ATTTATTTTTTGTATTCATTTCATTTCATTTTCTGAGAAATGTTGATTTTCGCATTAATTTGATAGATTTTTTATTAATAAACATTAGTAATGGCAACATTTATTTATTAATTTTTCCAGAAAAATCATAAAAAATTTCTCAATTTCAGAAAAACTATGTCAACAATTCCGCCAGCCAGCTTAGAACAAATCCTGCGTATTCGAGCCGAACGAAATCAGCGAACACCGAAATGTGCGAGATGTCGAAATCATGGTACCGTATCCGCTTTAAAGGGACATAAGAGATATTGTCGGTGGAAGGATTGTATGTGTGCGAAGTGTACGTTGATTGCGGAGAGGCAGCGAGTTATGGCGGCACAGGTGAGTACGGTGTCTACAGTAAGAATTTAAAGGGACATATAGGTTTTATGAATCCAAAGATTCTGAAGTTAGTTTGAAGTTTTGAAAATATGAAATTTTATGCTGAAAATATCTGAAAATCAGTATTACCATAATCCTCGAGAAGTACACGGAAATTTGAGAAAATTTCGAATTTTCGCCTTTTCCCGCTTGTTCTCGAGAAGTACACGAAAATTTCGAATTTTTTGAATTTTCCCGCTTGTCCTCGAGAAGTACACGGAAATTTCGATTTTTTTGAATTTTCCCGCTTGTCCTCGAGAAGTACACGGAAATTTTAAATTTTTTGAATTTCCCGCTTGTCCTCGAGAAGTACACGAAAATTTCGAATTTTTTGAATTTGCAAAGTTTCCCGCTTGTCCTCGAGAAGTACAAGGAAATTTTCGATTTTTTGAATTTGCAAAATTTCCCGCTTGTCCTCGAGAAGTACATGGAAATTTTGAATTTTTCGAATTTTTGCCTTTTCCCGCTTGTCCTCGAGAAGTACACGAAAATTTTGAATTTTTCCAGGTCGCCCTTCGTCGCCAACAAAGTCAAGAAGAAAAAGATGCTCGAGATTTGGAAATGTTGCTCGCCTCAAATGGTGGAAGTGGTGAGTTCCCTTTTTTGGAAGGGGGGTGTCAATTTGGGTGGGGGGTAACCTGATATTAAAAAAGACAGTGCAACATTTTGTTACACTTATAACCGGGTCATATTTGCACACACCGTGTTTTTTGTATTGTAATTTGGGATAGAAATTTTCGAGAGTTAGACTAAATCACTTTTTGCAGCCACTGAACTTCTTGACATGCTTCGAACTGAACAACAACCACAAAATCTATCATCCTCATCAGCTCCAAACCTAATTTCAATGAACAATAATAAACAAGACGACGAGGAACACCAGCAACACAACGAAGAAGGAGAAGATAGCAGCAATAACACAACAACCAGCGGTAGGTTAGAGGGCGAGACGTATAGAGTATAAATAGGAAAAATAGCGTGGCGGCCTTCAACAGCACGATGGCCGAGTGGTTAAGGCGTTGGACTTAAGTTCCAATGGATGCGAAATCCGCGTGGGTTCGAACCCCACTCGTGCTAATAGTTTTTATTTTTTTTCTATTTTTTCTTAATCCCTCGCAAGGGTGACAATTAGAGGGGCTAAGCATAAAACAGGTGAAGCTAAGTGGGATTAAGGTTACGCAAGTCAATTAATATTGTTGGCAGCTGTACTTAGTAATGTTTTTGTTTTTTTAGATGAGAAAGAGGAGGATACGGTAAATCGGAGTAGCCCAAGTAGTCCGTCGAGTACAAGTGAACTTGTTGGAAGTCAAACATCCTCTTGTTCACCAGTTGAATCGCCGGCAATGTATAGAAGACAACAACATCAACAATTATTTCAACATATTCCAATGTTCAATCCTTTGATGTATAATCGACATTTTATGAGGATTCCTAGTAAGTTCAGCCGGATTTTTCAAAGATTTTTTCTCAAAAACCTCTTTCCAGTGCTTCCCCACTTCGCCTTCCCACCAGCCGCCCCAATTCCGCAAAACTTCAGTTCAGCCGCCTCTTTGGCCGCACCAATGCCACCCGCTCCAACTTCAACCCTATTCCAAACCCCGCCAACCTCCAATAATTCCCCACCAACAACAAATAACACCATTTTCCCACAAATTTTTCCGTTAGATTGTCGACAATTCAAAACTGAACAACATACTGAATAATAAGAAGCTTTTTGTTTGAAAAAATATATTTATTGATCTCAATTTTTCTGGATTTTTTGTGTATATATAAAGGATTTATATGTAAAAATCAGTTTGTGAAATAAAACAACAAAAATACACGAAATAAAAGTAAAAATGGAAGTGCGCCCTATTGATAAAAATTGCATGTCTCGCACTCTCTCAAAAAATTTTTGTGTTTGTTTCCTCGTTGCTTTATGAGACTATAGTCTAGTACTAAAAGGATGTGTTTTTCACGGTGCCACGTGAAAATTTCCCCAGTCTGTTGTTTACTATAAATTTCGTAATTAAAAACTTGAAAAAATTAAAAATAGCTAATCGATAATTTTTGATAATAAACATCGTCGGAAGCGGGTCTAACGCAGGAAAAAGTGCCACAGTTATTGAAAAAATACTTGCGAAATGTTCTAATTCGATATCACAAATGGATAAAATAATCACCAAAGATGCAGGAATATGCATTAAAATAACTGGAATTATAGTTTGAGAAACAAGAGCATAGAAAATTTGATTTTGAAGATTTCCAAAACGCCGTGAAATTTCAGATTTCTTCTTCTCAATTCCTTGTCTCAGCTTCAAATAACACTTGATTGCGAAATATGGTGTTATAATAAATGATGTTGTGAGAATTGCCCATAAAATCATCACTCCAATCATTGAATCATAGAATATTTCGATAGAACCATCAGGTTTTCTCTCAAAGAAATATGGGCCAATATAAGTGATATCCTTTTCGATGTTCCAACCAAAAACATATAAAATTGTATTTCTCATTTTATCATTGATTTCGGTTTTTGGTGAAACCAGAAAATAACAAGTGGTTCCCCAAATTGCACCGAAAAATACAGGAATTAACATCCATAGAAAAATCCGATAACTTTTGAAATATTTCAAATTTATCGATCCAACCGCCACGAAATATCGATAAACAAATTGTAGCGCGAAAATACCCATTGATGTTCCAAAGAAACCTGTCCAAATACATTCAATTATCAATAGAGCGTGCTTGGAAAATAACGTTGAAACCTTTGTAACAACAATAATCATATAAAGTGCTCCTTTGGAATAAATGATTGGTGAAACGATTACATCCAGAATCGAATAAGCGATTTCGAACCAGGAAATGTAGAGCATCAAATATTTATATGCTCCAAGTTGTTTTGGGGATTTTTTGAGGATTAGAAAAGTTAGAAGAATATTCAGAAGACATGAGAATATTGCGGTGATGATTTGAACACGCTCAATGAAATTCGTCCAGCGCATTTTAGATATTTTTGAAATGATTTTTTTTTGAAAATCACATCATTCCCGAGGGATTCTAGAAAAATTACCAGTAAATAAAAGGGTGTGAGGAGTTATCAGAAAACCACACCGTCTTAATTAATCTCCAGAGATTTTTTAAAAAATATTTTCAAATAAATAGCGGTTGAAAATGCTCAAAAAATCAAATCAGAATGCTTTGGAATAACGTCATAGAAATTTTTCAAATAACCACCGCAATATTCTCATGTCTTCTGAATATTCTTCTAACATTTCTAATCCTCAAAAAATCCCCAAAACAACTTGGAGCATATAAATATTTGATGCTCTACATTTCCTGGTTCGAAATCGCTTATTCAATTCTGGATGTAATCGTTTCACCGATCATTTATTCAAAAGGCGCATTTTATATGATTATTGTGGTTACCAAGGATTCAAAGTTATTTTCCAAGCACGCTCTATTGATAATTGAATGTATTTGGACAGGTTTCTTTGGAACATCAATGGGTATTTTTGCATTACAGTTTTTATATCGATTTATTGTGGCAACTCGATCAGATCATCTGATGTTATTCAAAAATTATCGAATATTTTTATGGATGCTGATTCCTGTTTTCTTTGGTGCAATGTGGGGAGGAGCTAGTTACACCCTGGTTTCACCTAATCCAAAAATCGAGGCTGCAATGAATAACTCACTTTTAGAAGTGTTCAACTTAAAGATTGAAGATATCACATATCTCGGCCCGTATTTTTCAAATGACAATGTGATTTTCTACAAATCCGTGATATGTGTAACATTTCTATGGATGATTCTTGTCACATCTTTCATTTTAACAATACATTTTGCATTCAAATGTTATTTGGCATTGAAAACGAATATGAAAAAATCATCTCGCGGTTTTGGAAATCTTGAAAATCAGATTTTCCACGGATTGGTTGCTCAATCTATGATTCCAGTTATTTTGATGTATATCCCAGCTTCTTTATTATTCCTTTTCACATTTCTCAAATTCGATATTGGAAAATACGGGAGCATTGTTAATCTAACAATTGCACTGTTTCCTGCTCTAGACCCTCTTCCAACTATTTTCATCATCAAGAATTATCGATTAGCACTTTTTGGTTTTATGAAAACTTCGAAAACGAATTCTAGCACGGTGGGAAAATAATTCTAGCCAAATTTTGAAATTAAATAAAGATTATGTGTGTTAAACGTGAACTTGATGATGTGGCAATTTACCTTTCTCATTTCGAAATTTATTAACAATATACTTACACGTCTCATAACAAATACAAAACCAATTAATTTTTCTTCGATTTCTTGCTCGACTTCTTAACCGGTGTAACTGCGGAGTTTCGTACGAAATGCGCGCCACCAAGCCAACCAACAACCGGGCAAATCCAATATAAAATCACGAATACATGATTATCGATTCCTTGGCAACCGAAAAGTCGAGCAGTTGCAACAATCGGGTTGAGACCAGGGACACCGATGATGTAGAGAGCTGTAAATGCGGAGTGTTGTTGTTGTTGTTTTGAAAAAAACCTTGAAAATACCTGCAGTCAAGTAAAGTGAAACGACGAATGGAATAGTTTTTCTCAAACTTGGTCTCGCCGCGATTTTCGCGATCAAAATTCGCATTGCAAACGCGCCAAAAATCTCGAAAGCAATCACAATTCCAGCCGATTGTTTATATTGTAAAATACAAGTGGTGTTCAGTGCATTTTCCAAATGAGATTGCGAATATTGCGAAGTCCAATTCCAGATAAAATAGGCGCATTTCGAGGCGAACGATGCTCCGATTAATTGAGCTGTTAGGATTGCGAGGAATTTTGAGGAGGAGCAGGCGGAATAGAAGAAGTCCTCGATGATTGGAACGCAGTTGGTGAGAGCGCCGCGGTTGAAGATTCCGCCGGCGGTGAGCAAGAGGCCGACGACGATGAAAAATGCGTTGAGACCGTAGTTTTTCACGATAATTCCTGGAAAATTTGATTTTTTTCTCTTTTTCCTTCAAAACTAAGTATCAAATTCCCCATTTCTCCAAAAAATATTTACCATTTTCATAAACACACGTGCACATTTGAATAGTCCCGATCAACTCGATCGCAAACAATTGCGAATTGCCACGTGGCGACACATATTTCGTCACCAGAAATCGCGCCAATTCGCCGATGGCGAAAACGGCGGAATAATAGGCGAGTGCCGAATACAACGGGTAGAAATAGGGATCGGAAAGCCTCTCCATCACTTGCTACAAAATCTGTACTCTTAAATTTATATAAATAAATATATAACTTCTTATCTAGGAAAATTAGAAAACTTTGAGAGATGGAGAGAATTAGAGAGAAATTATACCACGTCAGCCAAGAAGATTGTGTGGTTTGTAGTTTTTACACCAAGCAAAAAAACAGGAGAAAAAAAAGAAGAAAAAAGAAAGTTGTCCGAGAGAACTACACAAGGTATTTGCATTGGAGCACACTTTCTTTATTTGTAGTTTTTTCACAGGGAAAATCAGAGAAAACTGGAATTTTCGAGGAAAAACACAACAAAATCATAGATTCTTTATTGCAAAAAATCGGAATTTCGACAAAGTTCCAATTCCTGTCGAAGTTCGGTTCGTCGCAACAAATATTCGTCAGAAATCGCTGCATACAGTGCACTTCTTTCACACCTGAAAGATTTTCGGGTTTTTTCCCTAAATTTTGAGCCAAAAATACTTGGAACTCACACATCCGCCTGCACACAACAATCGCGTAAAATTGCGCATTCTTGCCGCTTCTGTGCCACGTGGAAATGACAATTTTGTCCGGATTTTTGGAGTTCGACGAAGTTGGTGGGAGAGTTTTGGATTTTGAGAGCAGACGCGCGGCAAACTCGCTCCTGAAAATATTTGAAAATGCCACGGGGATTTGAAGCCGAAACCAACCGTAATCATAAACTCGCGCGTCACATTTACAATCGGCACACATTTATCCAAATATTCGAAAGCCTCCTCGCGTTTCTCGTGCATTTTCCGAATCTCCCCGCCCAATTTCTCAGCGCATTTTTGGTAATGAAAATCGGGATCGAAGCAATGCGCCTTTAAATTGTAGGCGTCTTTTTGACACTGCAAATAGTTGAGGCAAAGTGAAAATGGTGGGGATTTCAGGATTTTTCGTGGCGACAATGATTTTTTGGGTGTCATTTTTTCAGCGCATTCAGCTAGTTTTATCGCAATCTCCTCCTTGAGCCCTGTCAAAGTTCGACCGGTTTCGGTGAAAATCGCGTCTTGTTCACATCTGCAAAAATTTTTGTTAATGGATTTTCAGAATTTCCCAGCTCGAGAGCTCCAAAATGAGCTTATTTTCGAAAATCTCATCGGTACCGCGCGCTCCACCGAAATAAACACGCAACGCAGACCGCGTCGCGCCACAACACACAAATAAGGGAACGATTCAAATTAATTCCCTTCTTTTTTGTGTGTGTTGTGGCGCGGCGCGGTCTGCGTTGCGTGTGTATTTCGGTGGAGCGCGTGGTACCGATGAGATTTTCGATAATACCTGCTGGCACTTTCACAGCAACTTTTCAGCGCTTCACATCGATTTGAAATTTTGCCAATTTTCATCGCACAATTCTTTTGATCTCCCACAATTTTCAACGATAAATATGTCGAGCAAAAACGAGTCTGAAAAAAACATTTTTAGAGAAATTTTTAGACAAAATATCTAATTACTTTATCCAAATTCATAGGCGTCGTTGAAAAATTCGAAGAAAAAATACAATTTCGTGTTTCAATTTCCAACAAATTCTCGAATTTTTTCAATTTCAGCAAAATCGGCTTTCAGCGTTTCACGGCATTTTTTGGGAGATTTTTGAATTTCCGCCTCCGGCAAGCATTGTTTTTGAAGAAGAGCAGTTTTCGTGTCAAGACATTCGAAATAGGCGGTGCATAACAAATTTGGAGCCAAAGTTTGAACTGCTTGAATATTAAAAAACAAGAAGATTAGAAATTTCTGCATTGAAATCGAAAATGATAAAAGGTTTCACTTTTTCGGTGGGACAATTTGAAAATCCGGTTTTTAATAATTTAATTTTTGACCTATATTTTTGAAAACATTACACGAATCACAAACTTAAAAAGAAAGAACGAAAAAATAAGAGTGTGTGTCAACACCGACTGTCCGCAAACACCAAATCCTACGCGCAACCTTGACGCGAAATTTTCTGGGGAAACATCAGACCTTACGCGCAAGAGCTAAAAATTTGCAAAAGTGAAAGACTTACAGAAATACAATTTTGATATGCCACAAAAACATTCATTTTTTTTCCTGCCAGAAAAACAAATTTTTAAAAAGTTCAGAGAAAAAAATAATATATTTTCGCGTGAACGTGAAATATTCGTGGCAAATGTCATTTCAACGATGTCTAATTTTTACGCGCGAGATACATTATCATTAGAGCGCATATTCTCTACTCCCCTTTATTTCCTGCGAGTGGGGAAGAAAAAAAAAAGTTTTATTTCTCTCGCCGTGGCCCCTACAGAAAAAATTTTTTTTATCAAAATTTTTTTTTTGATCTACCCGCTAATATTTTTCTATTTTTCGCGAACTAAAAAACGTTCATCGATTTTTTGCCATTTTCATTATTTTATGTATTTTTTGGCCGTGCGAGGATGTGTAAGATAAGTTTTTCAGGGGTTTTTTTAATGCTTTCAAATTTTTTTAATAAATTTCAAAGTATGACCCACTCGGATCCTAAAGAACTAGAGAAAGTCTGCGCGCGCTCCCTGAGTTAGTACCGCCTACCAGCTTTTGAAACCCAAAGCCATTCATTTCAAATGAGTGAGGATTCTTCATTGAATCCCTTTGCTGCGGCCGGAAAACAGTGACGGGAGTTGCATTGGGTTTTGCGTATCGTTTATGATGTTTTTTTGGTGAAGAGTGGGACAAAACATGGGAAATGAATGAGTAATGAATGAGTTAGCTTTGAAAATAACGATTTTTCTATTTTAATTTTTGTTTTTTTTCGCAGGCGATTCAAATATGGTTGGATGCATGGATTTGGTATACGATCGACGCGACAATTCATCGCAGTTCACTCTGAGGTAGGATTCAAAACGCTATGGAAAACTTCGAAAAATGGAAGAGAAAATTGTTCACGAGTAGTACACACACATAGACTCGGCCATATTTTTGGTTTTCTAGGCCAGCTTCCAAATTTCACATTTTTTCTCGATTTTCAGCCTTTTTTGCTGGAAATCCTGGAATTCTTGATGATTCTCAATGTCTATAGATGAAATACCATCTCACGGACCAGGATTTTATATGATTTTCCGGAATTTTTAGAGAATTGCGAAATTTTTCGCAATTTTAGGAAACTTTTTTGTTTGTTATAAAAAAACGTATTTCTATGCTTCCCACTAAGTTTTGCATTTTTACAGGATAGTAAATATTAGATGTATAAATTTCGTCGATTGAAAAATCGAGTTATCGAAACTTGCGATGCTCCAGAACCACCTTCCACATCAACACGCCATTTTATTCCGCAACACTTGATTTCTTCTCAAATTCTTCCGGAATATATTGAATGGCCGAATGCTGGACAAGAAATCGAGTATCAACAACAACAAAATGAGGAAGAAGAGGGTACATCATCTTCTCAAGTTAGCGAAACTCTATTCGAATCCATCGCCAGGAGGATTCGAGAGAGTTTTCCCACTGATTTTGAGGTAAATTTCGCCTGAAAATCTTCTAGAACCCCATTTTTTCAGATGATTACTGTCTCAATAATCGATCTAGTTCTCTCAATGAAATCCGATGATATTTTACAAGGTGAAATCTTTGATATTTTGGGATTCGATCATTTCGAACTGGCATCCGAGATTTTGGAAAAACGAAATGCTATCACAACCGAGTTACAAAATCAAAAAACTGCGTTGAAGAATCAGAAAAAAGTGAGTTTATCCGCAGTTTTTGAAGAAGGATAGGGTGATTAAAACGAGTATGATAATTGAGGCAAGGAATCCGATTCCACCCTGGATACAACGATCATTACAAATAAATAGCTCATGATTCTGGAAAGAAAAGTTTTTGGGAGTTTTGAGGAGCGAGGGGGAGAGCTTACCAAGTTTCTCGGCGAAGTTGCAGGCAACCCTTCACATTTCAAGGCTTCTCGAACTTTCTGCAATTATATTCTTCTTGGGACCTTTTAGGTTTCTGGACTTACATTAACTCTGCCTGCCCATTCACTCCCATGAATATAAAAGAAGGGTTTGGTTGTATATTTTTCCGGGACTGCAACACAACTTCCATATTGACTCATCCCCGTCCAAACACAAGCAATCTTATAATTCTCGACGTTTTCGTCCAGTAAAAATCCGATTGTATCGTCTAAGCACAGCGAATTTTGCGCCGAAATCAGGGGGAATAGGTGGGAATCGCTGGAAAATTTGGTTCTTTACAATTTAAATTAAAAAAAAACTCACAAGGGAAGAGGTCAGGTGTTGAAATTTTGATGAAGCATAAAGAAATATACCAAATCGAACATGCTGATCACGATTCCGAAGTCAAAAATTGCCACAAATGCCTGTGAGCACTTTTCTGGAGCTCTAAAGTTAGTTCGTCCATTTTCACCATGTTCCTGGGTGGAAAATCAAGGTTTATAACTTGGATAAGTTTGTTCGCCACATTCGAAAACCTGTCAGCTTTTTAGATTATAAAAATATCAAATCGCAGCTGAAAACTGTAATTTAAAAAAAAAGTCATCAATACACACGTTTTTTGAGCACAATAACAGTTTTCAGCTGCTAGTTGATATTTTTGATAAACTAAAAAGCTGACAGGTTTTTGAATGTGGTGAACAAACTTATCCAAGTTATAAACCTTGATTTTCCACCCAGGAACATGGTGAAAATCGACGAACTAACTTTGGAGCTCCAGAAAAGTGCTCACAGGAATTTGTGGCAATTTTTGAATTCGGATTCGTGATCAGCATGGTCGATTTGGTATATTTCGGTATGTTTTATTAAAATTTCAACACCTGACCTTATGCCCTTGTGAGTTTTTTATTTAAATTGTAAAAAAGAACTAACTTTTTAATACCAATAATCCCATTTTCTTGCAATTCCCTAATATCTTTCGCATATTCTCGAAGAAGTTTAAAGCGATTATTGTTTCTCTCCAAATAGGGTTTGTAATTCTTGCGGCAGAACAGACTTGTGTCGCACTGAAAACGAGTTTCGAACTCGACATATTCCACATTTCCCCCGTCTTCCACGAGTTTTTCGGCGGAAAATAGTTTGAGCGAAGCAAGAGCGACCGAAAAAATGATGATTTTTGACATTTTACACATTAGAAATGAGGGGAAACATCACGTGAATTTCGAAAAAAAATTTTTTTTTGCAGGGCACCACGTCAGGAGGCTCAGCGGTTCCGGGATTTTTGCAAACTGTCAGTGTTCAATCGACTTCGCAAAATGAGATGCGACGAGAGATGAGAAGGGAGCAGAAGAGGAATAAACGAGAAATGAATAGGTGGGCTTCAGGCTTGAATCTAGGCCAGAAACGTGGATTTCTCGGGCCCAGAATTAACCTTGTGAGGTCTAAAAAAGGCTGGGCTAGGCATTTTCGATGTCAAAAAAATCTTGGATTTTTCGGGCTTCAAAAAAAGCCCAGATTTCGGCCAAACACTAGGCCTGATAAATGTAAAAAAAAACATGGATTTCACGGGCCCAAAATTAACCGTTTTAGGTCCAAAAAAGTCTAGGCTAGGCAGCTTCAATTTCAAAAATATCTTGGATTTCTCGGGCCCAAAATAAGCCTATTTTTAGGTCCAAAAAAGCCTGGATACTGGGCAAATTCTATTTCAAAAAAATTTTGGATTTCTCTGGGCTCAAAAAAATTCCAGATTTCGGCCTAACTCTAGGCCTAAGAAATGAGAAAAAACGTGGATTTATCTGGCTCAAAATGAGCCTTTTTGGGCCCGAGAAATCCACGTTTTTTTCACATTTATCAGGCCAAAATCTGAGCATTTTTTAGAGTCGAACTTGCCGGGTAAATTGCATTTTAACCCCCCACCATAAGAAATACATGCCCCCACCGGCATGACGTGTTTTGATACCCCACCATAAAGCGTTACAAGTCCCCTCATTCAAAAATGTTCAAAACATTTCCGAAATTCTTTTCAAATTAAATAAAAAATGTGTTTACGTGTACTAATTTTTAAATAAAAAACGAGAATTCTGAAAAAAAAAGAACGTGCCCTGAATAACGTGTTCTAGATGACGTGTTCGAGAAAGCCAAAAAATGTTCTGTTCATATCACTCATTTATGAAACTGTTCCGATAAGCTTCTATGTTTCTTTTCTCTCTGGATATAGATTTTTTGGATATAGATTTTAGATTTTCGGAACAGTTTCGCCAAATGTTGTGCTTCAGTTTTTGAGACGTAGAAAATTTGGATTAACCTCTTTCAATCAAGAAATTTTTTCGCACATTTTTTAAAACCATTTTTGTCAATTTTCTTCAGAAATTTTAAAAATCATACCTAGCGGAGAAAGAATTCAACGAAAATCAAAATTTCGGTTTTTGTTGAAAAAATCTTTTCCAACTTTTCAAAAACTACAACTCTGTCGTATTTTAAGACGAAACATGTTTCTGTTTACACCTAAAGAAAACTACGCGCGAAGCCGGGACAATCCAGAAGGAGGAGCCGGCGTTAGCCGGCGGAGCCCCTTCTGGTTCTATCCAAAAACCAGAGAGAACTGGCAGGATTTTTGAAGAAAGCTGAATGAAGCGGTTAGCAAGGTGTGGTTTTGTCAATGGGTAATGAGGTTCTGATCTTACTTGTGGGTGGGGGACTAATTTACACCGTATAACTGTTGACACGAGTACGAAAGTGGGGGCTTCATCTACATTAGTGAGGGGCTATCTACATTAGTGGGGGGCTGATCTACATTGGTGGGGGTCTGATCTACATTGGTGGGGGGGGGGGGCTGATCTACATTGGTGGTCAGCTGATCTACTGGTCTTGGTGGGGTTTCGAATAGCGTCACACCAAAGGGGCCATCAAAAGCTCTTATTGGGGGCTTCAAATACACGTTTGCCTGCAAAACGTGGAATCAGCCCCACTCACATTACAACTGAAGCTTCATAACTTCTTTTATGTCCCCACCACTTTGAAAACCCCCCAACCTTTTTCAAGTCCCCAATGCTGTATGTACCCCCACTTACTATTGGTGGGGACATGGGTGGGTCTTTCAAACTAGTGTTGGGGCCCTGAATGTAGGTGGGGACTCCAAACGCGTTTTTAGTATCAGGCTTGAGTCCAGGCTTTTTTGGACCTTAAAATAGGCTAATTCTGGGCCCGAGAAATCCACGTTTTTCACATTCATCCGGCCCAAAATGAGCCTATTTTGAGGTCCAAAAATCTAGGCGCAAGCCTGATTTTTAGGCTGATTCGATGTCAGATAATCGAATTTCAAGCCTATAATAAGCTGGCCTCATTCGTGATTTAAAAATCCCAGATTTCGGGCTAACACTAGGCATTCTTGGGCCACAAAAGGCCTAAGTTTGAATTTTTGTGGACCAAAATAGGACTGGGCTGAAGCCAGCATGTTTGGGTTCAAAAAGTGGAATTTAAAATTATCAGTGGAGCGAACTTGACAATTTTTGTTCAGAATCATCAACGCCTTCGACAATGCCGAACGCCTCGAACTCGAATTGGCTCAAAAAGAAATCGCCCGCCAACGTCAACTCGAAATCGATCAAATGAAATGGACGCCCTCACTAAAATCCCAAGGCCCACTACCAGAAATCTATCCCTACGTCTTCGACGCCAAAATCCAAGCCAATAATACAACAATCGATATAAATGGCTTCAAATTTGTGCTGCCCGAAGGCTCGAAACGGGAGAATCACAAAACCCACGACACCGTGTATGTTCCGCCGGCAAATAAAGGAGACATCGAGAAAATCCAACATGTTTATGTGAAAGATATGGATGAATTGGGAAAAAAGGGATTTTTGGGATTTGAGAAATTGAATGTGATTCAATCGATTGTTTTTGAGCAAGCTTATAAGACCAAGGAGAATTTATTGATTTGTGCACCAACTGGAGCTGGAAAAACCAATATTGCGATGTTAACAATTCTCAACACTTGCCACGAGTATAGCAATTTGAAAGGTGAAATTCAAAAAGATGATTTCAAAATCATTTATATTGCGCCGATGAAAGCATTGGCGACGGAAATGACTGAAAGTTTTGGGAGAAGATTGGCTCCGTTGGGATTGAAGGTTAAAGAATTGACGGGAGATACACAATTGTCGAGAAATGAGTTGGCTGACACGCAAATGCTGGTTTTGACACCGGAAAAATGGGATGTTATTACGAGAAAAGCCACTGGCGATAATTCGCTGATTTCACAAGTTCGACTTATGATTATTGATGAGGTGAGAGGAGAGAAAATTTTTCCAGAAATTTTTCATTTTTGACGAAAACCCTAATGACGTTTCCAGTGTCATTTTCGTAAAGTATTAAAATTAAAAAAAATCTTGAAAATTTATCAAATACGCTCTATTGATAAGCGACTTTTTGCACTGGAAAGAGGAAATCAGATTTCCACCTGGCGGGGGAAATATTTGTTTTTTTTTCTAATTCTCAATTTTCCCAAACTTCGGGAAATTCAGCTGAAAATCCACGTGGAACCTGAAACTTTTGAAATTTCCTAGAAATTTTCGAATTCTCACATGCCACGTGGATTTGCTGCGGAAATTTTTGAGATTTTTGGAAAAATTCAGAATTTTCTCAAATTTTGGGAAATTGAGCTGAAAATCCACATGGAACTTGAAATATTTGAAATTTCCTAGGAATTTTCAACTGCCACGTGGATTTGCAGCGGAAATTTCGAGATTTTTGGAAAAACTCAGAAAATTTTCTCAAACTTCGGGAAATTCAGCCAAAAATCCACGTAGAACCTGAAATATTTGAAATTTTCTAGAAATTTTCGAATTTTCACATGCCACGTGGATTTTCTGCGGAAATTTTTGAGATTTTTGGAAAAAATTCAGAATTTTCTCCATATTCGGGAATTTCAGCTGAAAATCCACGTGGAACCTGAAACTTTTGAAATTTCCTAGAAATTTTCGAATTTTCACATGCCACGTGGATTCGCAGCGGAAATTTTTGAGATTTTTGGAAAAATTCAGAATTTTCTCAAACTTCGGGAAATTCAGCTGAAAATCCACGTGGAACCTGAAACTTCGGAAATTTCCTCATTAAAAAAATTTCCCGAAGTTTGGAAAAATTCAGAATTTTCCCAAACTTTGGGAAATTCAGCTGCAAATCCACGTGGCAGTTGTGAAATGTAATCTTGATAATTCCAGGTCCATCTTCTTCACGACGAACGTGGTCCAGTTATCGAAACTCTCGTGGCTCGAACTCTCCGCCAAGTCGAACTTTCTCAATCCGGAATTCGAATCGTCGGACTCTCCGCCACGTTGCCGAATTACATTGATGTTGCCCGATTTCTGCGCGTCAATCCACACAGAGGTCTCTTCTTTTTCGACGGCCGATTCCGGCCCGTTCCACTCACACAGAAGTTCATCGGCGTTCGAAAAGCGGGCAATTTCCGGGATCAGCAAAAGCTGTATGATGAAGTTTGTTATGATCAGGTGATTGATTTTGTGAAGCGAGGACATCAGGTGCTGGTGTTTGTGCATACGAGAAATGGAACTGCGAAATTGGCCGAGGCGTTTTGTGCGAGAGCTGCGGTTTTGGGACATTTGGATATTTTTAAGCCAGGTAATTCGAGATTTGAAAAACATTTTTTTTAAATCCAACTTCAGAAAACGTCGATGCTGCAAAATATGCTCAAAGCGAAAAAGCTGTGGCGAATTGCCGAAATCGGGGCCAGCTATCCACACTTTTCGGTCGCGGCTTTGCAATTCATCACGCTGGTTTGGTGCGAGGTGATCGAATTTTGATGGAAAAATGTTTTGCGCAAGGACATGTGTCGGTGCTTTTCTGTACGGCCACGTTGGCTTGGGGTGTGAATTTGCCGGCGCATGCGGTTGTTATTAGGGTGAGTGAGAAGGAGCGGTGCCTAGAGAGGCTGGTTTTTAAGAATCAGTGCCTAGATCACCTAGTTTTCAAATAGCCACGCCTACCTACAGAGCTTGATTGTCAAGGGTCAGCTCCTAGAGAGCCTAGTTTTCAAGTAGCAGCGCCTATGGAACCTAATTGTCTAGGAGCCACGCCTAGAGAATTCGATTGTCAAAGGTCAGCTCCTAGAGAGCCTAGTTATCAGTAGCCGCGCCTACAGAACTTTAGTGTCTAGGACCTACATCTAGAGATCTAATCTGACAAGTAGCCGCAGCTTGAAAGCTTCTACTTCAAGCAGTCAAGCCTAGAAACCCGTGTTCTTCAGGAGCCGTGCCTAGAAGCCTCTAAAAATTATAGTTTTTCGCTTTTTTTCAGTCCAAAAATCCCCTCAACTCAATAATTTTCAGGGCACAGATGTATTCGATTCGGAAAAAGGTGTTTTCGCCGATCTTGGAGTCTTGGATGTTCAACAAATTTTCGGTCGCGCCGGTCGTCCACAATTCGAAAACGAAGGACACGGAATCATCATAACTGCCAAAGAAAAAATGGACAAATATCTGGCGATGTTGGTTCATCAAAACCCCATCGAATCACAATTCTACAAAAAGTTGCACGATAATTTGAACGCTGAGATTTCTTTGGGCACGGTTTCCACTGTCGATGAATCGGTCGAATGGCTCAAGTATACTTATATGTATGTGAGAGCTTGCAAAAATCCGATGGCTTATGGAATTGCGTATAATGCGAAAGAGCGAGATCCAGATTTGTCGGAACATTTTTCGAGAAAAATTCGAGAGGTTGCGATGGATTTGGATCGAAATCGATTGATTCGATATGATCCGAGCACGGAATTTATGAATTCGACGGATTTGGGAAGAATTGCGTCGAATTTCTATATTAAGTATGAAACTATGGAATTGCTCAATGAAGCTACCAAGGAGGTTGGAATTGAATTTTCATAGAATTCATCTTGATCTTCTGATTTCAGGTCGGACTTCCAGTTCAATTCACCTCCTTCATGCCTGATGACATGGTCCTTGGCCTAATTTCAATGGCCACCGAATTCTCACAACTCAAATGTCGCGAAGAAGAATTGATGGATTTGGAAGAACTTCTATCGTATGGTTGTATGATAAATGTGAGAGGCGGTGGATTGGCGAGTGTTGCCGGAAAAGTCAATGTTTTGCTGCAATCGCTGATATCGAGAACATCTGTCAAGAATTCGGCATTGATGTCTGAACAATTGTATGTTCAGCAGAATGCTGGACGGTTGTCGAGAGCCATTTTTGAGATTGTGAGTTTTTTTTTTTGAATTCAAAAATTTTTGCGCGCAAAATTTTAACCTTCAAATTTTCAAAAGTTTTGATGCCAGAAAACTCACGTGGCATTTTTTTTTGAAAATTTGACTTTGAAAATTTTGATGCCAGAAAATCCACGGGGCACATTTTTTTCGTTGTTTGGGGTCAAAATTTTTAAATTTTCGAAAATTTGAATTTCCACGTGGATTTTCTGACATTAAAAATTTCGAATCCGAATTATCAACAATAAAAAAATTCCACGTGGATTTTCTGGATTTGAAAAATTAAATTTTTGACCCCAAAAATCCACGTGGCATATTTTTTGTTGACAATTTGATTCAGAATTTTTCGGAGCCAGCAAATCCACGTGACTTTTGAAATTTTTAAGCCCTAATAAACCTAGGTCCAAATTTGAACTGAAATTCTGGATTTTTAGAGCCTAACTAAGCCTAGGCCCTATTTTAGACCTAAATTCGGGATTTTTAGTCTAAATAAGCCTGGGGCCAATTTTTGGCTGAAATTCGAGATTTTTTGAGCCTAAATAAGCTTAGGTTCAAATTTAGGCCGAAATTTGAAATTTTTAAGCCTAAATGAGGCTAGGTTCAAATTTAGGCCGACATTTGAATTTTTTAGAGTCTAAATAAGCCCAGGTTCACATTTAGGCTGAAATTGGGGATTTTTAGGAAAAACCACGAGGAAATTAATAAAATTCAAACAAAAATCCACCTGGAAATGTTCGAAATCCGAAAATTTCAATTTGAAATTTTTTGCTCCCTGAAAATCCACGTGGGAATTTTTTTTTGAAAATTTAAATTAGAAAAAAATCCACGTGGAAAATTTGAAAACTCAACAATTTTGGCCCCAGAAAATCCAAAAATTGTCAGGTACTTCGCCGTGGTTGGGCTCAAGCCTCCAACGCATTTCTCTGTATGGCAAAATGCATCGAAAAACAAATGTGGCCAAATCAATGCGCACTCCGACAATTCCTCCAATACGACATAATTCCGATATCCTGGATTGAGAAAATCGAGCGAAAAAAGACGACAGAAACCCGGTTATTGGAATTGACATCGAAAGATTTGGGATATATGTTCAGTTGTAATGGCGAAAGATTGTACACGATTTTGCGATATTTACCAAGAATGGAAATGAGCGCGAAATTCAAACCGATTACTTATACAATTATACAAGTTGAGGTAACTTTGGGAAATTTTTACGTGGCATCGTAAAATGGGAATTTTTAAAATAAAATTCGAAAAAAAGCAAAAAATTTCTTTAAAAATTGGAATTTCGTAACTTATCGTAACTCCAACATAATTTTAACAATATTATTCCATGAAAAAATTTTTTACGATTTTTTGAGCCGTAAAACCGTAAAACGTAAAAATTTCCAGGTAACTTTGACACCAAGTTTCATATGGAATGATCGAATACATGGAAAAAGTGGACAGCAGAGCTTTTTCCTGATTTTGGAGAATATAAATGAGAATCTGATAATTCATCAAGAACGATTTGGCATCGGCAAAATGAAGGTTAACAAAATGGAACAGCAAATAATTATTTTCACAATCCCAATTATCGATAGTCATTTAACAAATAATTATCAATTAAGATTGGCTAGTGATTATTTTGTGACTGAAGATGTTGTTATACCAATGTCCCTGCATAATTGTATTTTGCCAAAAAGCATCAAAGCTCACACAGATCTCCTGCGATTGGAACCATTGCCGATTGAGATTCTGAAAAACGCCAAATTTCAATCACTTTTCAAATACAAGTATTTGAATCCGGTGCAAGGGCAGGTGTTCTACCCGCTCTATCGGACGGATAAAAGTGCATTGGTTGGTGCGCCGACTGGAACTGGAAAAACATTCCTGGCGGAGCTGGCGATTTTCCGACTTATTCAAGAGCATCCGGGGAAAAAGGTGGTTTATGTGGCACCGTTGAAAGCGTTGGTACGGGAACGAGTTGAAGACTGGAAACAGAAATTCGAACAGCAACTTGGCTTCAAAGTTGTCGAAGTTTCGGGTGACGTCACACCGGATCCGAAGAGTTTGGCGGAATCGTTGATTCTGGTGACGACACCGGAGAAATGGGATGGGATTTCGAGATCTTGGGCGACGCGCGAATATGTGAGAGAGGTTGGGCTGATTGTGTTGGATGAGGTGCATTTATTGGGTGTTGATCGAGGTGCGGTGCTGGAAGCAATCATATCCCGATTGAAAATGATTACGAGAAGATCGTGTGTTCGTCTTGAACCGGCGAGATTGTTGGGATTATCGACAGCGTTGGCGAATGCGGGAGATGTTGCGGAATGGCTCGGAATTCCGGATGTAAGGTTTTTTCTTTTTTTTTTGTCAGGAGCAAGATCAAATTTTGCCACGTCATACCTTTTTTCAAAAAATTTTATAGCTCAAAATTAGTTGGAACATTTTTTTGTACAATAATTAACTTTTACCACGTCATAAAAAATTTTCAAAAAAATATCTAGCGAAAAGTTTTCTCAAATTTTTTTACGAAGTTTTCGAAATTTCAATCTTGTGCCAATAAAAATTATTCAAAAAGACCGGAAATTGAAATTTTCGAATGAAAATGCTAGGAAAACATGTTTTTTTCCAGGAATCCACCTTCAACTTCCGCCCGAATGTTCGATCTGTTCCAATCAATGTTCATATTCAAGGATTTCCGGGACAACATTATTGTCCGAGAATGGCGTTGATGAACAAACCGGCGTATAAAGGTATTGGACATTTTCGAAAATTCAAATTTTCAACAGAGCTGATTCATAAACGAAAAAAAAATTTCAGAAATGTTTTTGCAGACCTGAAAATTGAAAGTTAATTTTCTCGAGTAAAATTCAGAATTTCTCAGAAATTATTTCTGGTCAATTTTGTTCTATCAAAAATTAGCAAATCCTGTTTTCAGCGCTGAATTCTACGAATTTTGACATTGAAAAAATGTTAACCAAAAAAAATCCCGAAAAAATACGTTTCAAAGAATTTTGAAGATTTTTCAATGTGTATAAATTTTGATTCCACAACATATATGTTTTCAAAATATATATTTTGAAATTTTTCTGGATGAAAATTGTTGTTTGAAATGTCCAGCTTATTGGATTTTTTGATGGTTTTGGTTTTTATCAACCAGAAATATTTTTTTGTTTCTTAAAAATGCTTTTTTTAACATTGAAAATTCAATTCACGAAAAGTCAAAAAATTTTGAGAAAAACTTGTTGGTCAAAATTAGTTTTTCGAGTTTTTCAGCCAAAAATGATGACAAATCGAAATTTTCGAAGCTTCTGGAGTGAATTCTGATTAAAATAAGCTTTGAGAACCCGATTTTACCTCATTTTATTGATTTTGTCGAAATTCATCAGCAAAAACTTCTGAAAAGTGAATTCCAAGGTCAATTTTCATCAAAAATCACTACAGAAGCTTCAAAAATCACGATTTGTCATCAATTTTAGCTCCAAAAATCTCAAAAACTAATTTTTACAAAAAAAAAATTGCGATGTGGATTTTTTTCAAATCAAAATTTTCAAATTTCTGAAAATTTTTATGAGAAAAATTGCCACGTGGATTTTTGACCCCGAAAATTTTAAATTCAAATTTTCAACAAGCAAATTGCCACGTGGATTTTATGGGGCCCAAAATTTTAATTTCGAATTCAAATTTTCAAAAAAAAATGCCACGTGGATTTTTGACCCCGAAAATTTTGAAAATTCAAATTTTCAACAAAAAATTGCCACGTGGATTTTTTCGGCCGAAAATTTTTAACTCAAATTGAAATTTTCAACAAACAAAAATTCCACGTGGATTTTTGACCCCGAAAATGTCTCTAATTTAAAAATTCATCCACGTGGACCGGGAAAAAGTTTCGAATTTTTCGAGCACACATTTCCGGAGCACATTTAATATTTACAAAGGACCTTCTGAAAAATGACCATAATATAAAACCTTCTGAAAAATGACCATAAAACCCCAATTTACCTTGATTTTCAGCGATTCAAACATATTCGCCAACAAAACCAGTATTGATTTTCGTCTCATCCCGCCGTCAAACTCGTCTCACAGCATTAGCATTCGTTAATTTGCTCATCGCCGATTTGAATCCACGACAATGGTTGAATATGGAAATGTCGGAACTCGAAATATTGATGCAATCAATCAAAGATGAAAATCTCAAATTAACACTTCCATTTGGAATTGGAATGCATCACGCAGGATTGTCGACACATGAAAAAGCACTGGTTGAGGAATTGTTCATCGAGAAGAAGATTCAAATTCTTATCGCAACTGCGACTCTTGCATGGGGTATTAATTGTCCGGCACATTTGGTGATTATTAAAGGAACTGAATATTTTGATGGGAAGAAGGGGAAATATATTGATTTTCCGGTTACCGGTGAGTTTTGGAACTATTTAAAATTGCAGAACTCCACTTCTAACATGAGTAATGATGTGGAAAAGTTCAGAATTCACTTTCAAAATGATTTTCATGAAAATCTAAGTTTAAAAGGTTCATACAAAAATCCAGAAGATTTTTCAAAAGTTTGAAATTTAAGTTTGAAAAATTTTCTAAACTTAGCCTCCATCAGATTTTCATGAAAATCATTTTGAAGGCGAATTTCGATCCTCCAAAGTTCCGATTTTTCATATGATGAAAAATACTAGAAAAAATATATTTTAGCAAAGTTTTTGCTCAAAATCCCAAATTCCAGATGTTCTCCAAATGATGGGTCGAGCTGGCCGCCCACAATTCGACACATCAGCCGAAGCTGTCATCTACGTTCAAGACGCCAAGAAGACTTTCTACAAGAAATTCCTGTATGAACCGTTCCCAGTGGAATCTAGTCTTCTTCCAGTTTTGCCGAATCATGTGAACGCGGAAATTTCAGCGGGAACAATTGAAAGCAAACAGGGAATTGTGGAATATTTATCTGGAACTTATTTGTATCGACGACTTTTTGCGAATCCAAAGTTTGTTGGCGCTAAATTTTCAGGCTAAAAAAATTTTTTGCAGCTTCTACGGACTTGAAGAGAACACAAAAGAGGCGATGCTGAAATTCATTTCTGGAATCGTTGACACTTCTATCGATGAATTGACAAAATCTGAATGTATTTGTGTGGGCGAAGATGAGACTAGCTTGAAGTCGACGGCCTATGGAAGAATCGCATCGGTTTATTATTTGCAACATGAGACAATTCGATTTTTGTTGAAAGAATTGCATAGTGATTGTGGAATTTTGGAAATGTTGAAGATTTTGACGGTGGGGGTTTTGTGGGAGGCTGAAAATTCTGGAATTTTTTTCACTGAAAATCTTTTTTTCCCGTATTTTAAAACTCATTTTCAGGTTTTTCAATGTTCAAATGTTGATGGGTGCGGATTTTATTTTCTGAAAACCTGAAAAAATTCTGAAAATCGTTTTTCCCCGGTTTTTAAAGCACATTTTCACCAAACCGTTTCAAAAATGTTCAAATTTTGATAAATGAAACTCAAAATGCACTTACTTCACAAAAAATTGAAGTTGAACATGATTTTCAGAAAAAAAATTAAAAAATTGTAAATAAAAAAACTTTCTGTATTTTTTTTTTCAATTCTGAATTATCCAGTCAAAAAAACCCTGAAAATTTGCAGGTTTCTCAAAAAAATCAAATTTTCACAAACAATTTGCCACGTGGATTTTTGACCGAGAAAATTTCAAATTCAAATTTTCAAAAAAAATGCCACCTGGATTTTTTCCGCCAAAAAATAATTGTTTTCCGCAATTTTCAATGAGGAATTTTCTCAGATTATAACAAAAAAAAATGGAAAATTTGTGAAAATTTGAATTTTTGAACAGAAAATTATGAAAACTGAAAAAATGCTCAAATATTGATGAATTGAACCTCAAAATGCACTTACTTCACAATAAAATTAAATTTGAACATATAAATTTCAGAAAAAAATATGTGTCCGAACTTTTCCGGTGGCCGAGAAATGTCGGGAATTCGGCCAAAGCAACAAACGCGCTCTAATGTTGCGAAAATTCTTAGCAATCGTTGCTTTGGCCGCATTCCCGACGTTTCTCGGCCACAAAAATAGTTTGGCCACATATATCTTTTGAAATTTATGTTCAACTTCAATTTTTTTGTGAAGTAAGTGCATTTTGAGTTTCATTTATCAATATTTGAGCATTTTAAAAGGGCTCAAATATTTTCTGTTCAAAAATTCAAATTTCCGGATTTTTTGATAAATTTAGAAATCTGGAAAGTTTCAGGGTTTTTTGACTGAAAATCCGCAAAACTTTGAATGTTCAGAAATTCAGAATTTTCAGCAAACCACATTCAAAATCTTGAGATTTTCAGCATGTTCCCGAATACGCCGAGATTCCAGTTCGACACAACGAAGACTTGATCAACAGTGAATTGCAGAAGAAGTTGCGAATTCGATTCAGCACATCAGTCATGGGAGAATCGCACACAAAAGCACATTTATTGTTCCAGGTTTGTAGATTTTTCGGGCTCAAAAATGCTCAAAACTCAAAATTTCAGGCTCATTTCATGCATACTCAATTACCAACCGATTATCGAACAGATTTGAAAAGTGTTTTGGATCAATGTATTCGAATAATCCAAGCGATTCGTGAAATGACAAGACTCAAAAATTGGCTGTCCGCCACATTGAATATTATCATATTACAACAAATGTGTTATTCTGCGAGATGGTATGATGATCATCCATTGCTTTGTTTGCCAAATTTATCATTGAATGATGCAAAATCGATTGGTGGAACTATTCCCGAATTGCAAAATAAGGGAAGAAAGAGTTGGAGGAAATTGTTGGATAAATTTACGAATTTGGAGGAGGCGCAGAAAGATGAGACGATTAAAGCGATCTCGAATTGGCCGATTTTGGATGTTCTTCAACTTCATGTTACTGGAAGTAGGGGAGAGATGATTATTGATTTGAAGAAGAAAGATCCGAGTATCAAAGTAAGATCTGGAGAGGTTTATCGCTTCCGATTGCGGATGAAATCATCATCTACTACGACATCAGCAATTCTACCGAATTGGCCGAAAAATAAAGAAGCTGGATGGATTGTTTTATTGGGAGATGCGACGAATGATCGAATATTGGCAATGTCAACGGGTCTTCAGCCGAAATTTGAGATTCGAATCGATGAGAATATCCAAAGTGTCTCGATATTTGTGATGAGTGATTGTTATTTGGGAATTGATCAAGAGTATACTATCAAATTGTCTAGAAGCATGTGATTTCACGAGGTTTTTTTGATGTGTTACGGTATATGTTTTTCTAATAAATAGGATTTTTATGAGCTGAAAATCAAGGGCAAGCTTTTTTATTTTACAAAAAACGGTTTTATTTTTGTCATTAAAAAATTTCGGCAATTTTTTATTTTCCCGGAATATTGGAATATTTATAAAAATTCTACATTTATCACTTTTTTCAGAAATTTCAAATATAGATTCTGAAATTCTGATAATATTTTTCGATTTTTTCTACAGTAAGCAGAAAAAAAATCTGAAATTTTAAATTTTTTTTCCAATTTTTTTCAATACATTTATAAATTCTGAGCTACAGTAACCCAATTTTGATGCCACGTGGTTTTTCTCAAATCTCGAAATGTTAGGCTACAGTAACCCCGCTAAAAATTCCACATGGATTTTTGAGCTACAGTAACCCAAACACTTTTAGAGTCAAAAACCAATCGATTTTTCTACAGTAACTCTGAAATTTCAAAAAATTTTGTAGAACAAAAATTACTGTACCGGAAAATCACGTTTTTTGACACCAAATCAGCTCAGGATTACTGTAGATTTCGGCTGTGAAAAATTTTGGCGCCAAAAAGTGCTCCCCCTTTTCCTGTTTCTTCCTCCAATCTATCATTTAATCACCCGCTTTTTTTTGCTCTGCAAAAAAAAGAAGAAAAAAATATTGTTTTATTATTTGGCTGGCTGACTGGTGATTATGTATTTATCACTGAGCGCCTCTCTCTTTCATCTTTCACCGCCTCGTTTTTCGAACGATATCAAAAACGAGGAATTGTTTTGGAGGCAAAAGAGACGGCAGACAACCACTGAACACAACATCAAAGACAATTTACCGACTGAAAAAAGGAGGAGTAAGACACATTTTTGACGGGCTCCTGTGATCATTTTTTTGCATTTTTTTATTTTTATTTTTTGGTGCTGGGTTTCTACAGTACTAGAAATATTTTTGAAAATCTACCAGATTTTTGAAAATTTCAGTAGCGTTTTTTGGTAGATCAAATTTTTTTTTCTCTAAACCTCTCATTTTTACGTTGAGTTTCGTCAATATCAATTTTCGAAATTCACAAAAAAATTATAGAAATTTTGAAACAGTAATTTTTTTTTTGGACAAAAAAATTATTTCAAGAAATTTTCAAATCCTTAATTTTTCTGGAACTTCATTTTTTCAAAATTTTAAGTCTCCGAAAAATTTTCAAACATTTTTTTTTCTGATTCTCAAAGTTTTAAATTATTTGGTTTCCGGAAAATCAGAAAACGTTTTTCGAAAATTTTCAATTTTTTTCAAATTTTCAGCAAAAACTAATTTCGTGCTAATATTTTCCAGTTTTTCCACTTTTTTTTTCTTTGATTCTCAAATTTTCTGAAATTTCAGATATTTTCCAGCTTTCCAAACTCAAATCCAAAAAATGATATTTTTCCGCCCCTGGGAATCTGATGATTCGGGATATGAAGAAGTTTCGTCGCCATCTTCATCTACAACAAGTTCTGAAGAGCATTCTTCAGCTCCAAAAAAACCTGAAGTCAGAAAATGTGAAAGGTGTAAATGTCCGAATTGCAAAAATATGTGAGTTGGGAGATTTTTGGGCGGGAAAAAAATACTGTAGCTCAAAAATCCACGTGGCATTTCTTCCAGGTTACTGTAGAAATCCATAATTTTTTCTCACACCCGTTCAAGCAACGCAATGAGTGTTTTCTACTGTAAAACGAAACAAAAAACTGTGCAAACACTTTTGTCTAATTCTCTCTGTTCGCCGTTATATTTCGCACTACAGTATTAAAGGAGCATGATAAATTTCATGCGTTGGGTCTTGTCGCGATTGCTAACTTTCTTCGCAGGACCCTAAAAATTTCGAAATGCGTAGTCTCTCGATGCGCTGATTCTAATGGTATATTTAGTTTTGGCACTTAGTTAGCTAATTCCTTTGCAAATTGTGGCGCAGTGTGAATAAAAGAAATTTCTAATTTTTTCATTGTTTGAACGGGTGTGTTCTCTGAAAAAAATACTCTGAAAAAATACGTTTCAAAATTTTTGTAAATTTTTTGTAAATTTTGAATTTCTAATCAAAAATCGATGTTTTCTGAAATTTAACAAAAATCTGAAAATCTTCCAAATTCGGAAAAATTCTCATGTTTCCTCTATCAAACCCGGAAAATTTTACGATTTCTTTTCATCGAATTTTTCGGCGACAAAAACATTGGAGAATTTTTACAACCTCCCCAATATTTTATTACGGTAGCTCAAAATTATTTGAGATAATGTTATCAACTTTTTTTTTGCTATTTTCGGTCTGATTATTGCATTTTTCATGGGGGAAAAGAAAATTTTTGAAAAAAAAACGAAAACAAAATCATAAATAATGATCGTTCAAATAATCCTGTTTCAAAAAAAAATTTGAATTTTTTTTTGGTTTTTTTTTGAAGGGAAAAATTCAGAGCGGGACTTTGAATATTTCTGGAAAATTTATAAAATAATTTTGAGCTACAGTAACTTTAAATAAAAGCATTTTGCCACGTGGATTCTCTAGAAATGTTGAGCTACAGTAACCCAAACAATTTTAGCTTGAAGATTTCAATGCCACGTGGATTCTCTAGAAATGTTGAGATACAGTAACCCTATATGATAAATTTTGAGCTACAGTACTCCAAACAATTTTAGCTTGAAGATTTCAATGCCACGTGTATTTTTGAGCTACAGTACCCCTATATGATACATTTTGAGATACAGTAATTCAAACAAGTTTACAATTAGCTTGAAGATTTCAATGCCACGTGGATTTTTAAGCTACAGTAACCCATTTTTGAAAAAAATATATAAATTTACAGTAATCCTAACAATTTTTGGCAAAAAATATTTTGAAAAAATACAATATTATTTCAAATTTCCAAAATACTAGATGTTTATATTTTGAAACGTATAATTTTTAGGATTTTTTTTCCAGAAAACACGGTGACCGCGGAAAAGACTTTGTGCACATTTGCCACCATAAAAACTGCCACAAAACCTACAAAAAAACGAGTCATCTTCGAGCGCATCTCCGCAAACATTCCGGCATCAAACCGTTCGAATGTGAGTGGAAAAATTGCGCGCGAAAATTCGACAGAAGTGATCAATTGATTCGACATCGACGAATTCATACGAAGGAGATGCGATTCAGATGTTGTTTGTGTTCGAAAGAATTTTCGAGATCTGATCATTTACATCAACATGTTAATTCAGCACATCAAATTATTGTGGTCGATTAGTGGAAATTGGAAATTTTTGATTTTGTTTCGGGTTACCTTAAATTATTGATTTTTCTTCCGGTGTAAATGAATTATTGATTTTTTTTTGTGAGAATTTTGGAGTTTTCTATAAAAAAAAATTTTTTCAAAGCCTAAAACCTCTTTGAAAATTTCCCGAAAATTGCACGTTTCAAAATTGTTCTATGATGAATTTAGAAATTTTGATTTGATTTTCTTTTTTTATAATTTTCCAAAAAAAACTGCAGAACCTGGAATTTCAGATTAAATATCTGAGAAGCTGAATTTTTTTACAAAAATAGAAGTTTTCGAAACATTTTAAATTTTCGATTAGATTCAAAAAAAATAAGCTCAAAAAAAATTCCACGAAAATTTAAGTTTCAAATTTTGAATATTTGAAAGTTTTTAACTATTCAATAATTCACAGTGTATTTAAAATCAGAACAATTTCAAAATCGAAAAATTCCCGAAAATAATATGTTTCAAAATTGTTCTATGATAAATTTCGAAATTTCAAAAATTATTAAATTTCTATATTTATCGAAAAAACCAAAAATCGAAAAAATTTCAAAAAAAATCCGAAAATTGTACGTTTCAAAATTATTCTATGATGAATTTTAAAATTTTGAAAATTATTCAATTTCTGTACTTATCCAAAATACTTCTCAAATGGAATTTTTCTGTAAAGTTAAATTATTCATCTCCGAATCTTCAAAAAGTGGGCGTGGCTAGAATGCAACTTTGGTACAGTTTTTTTTTAATATAAAATTTATAATAAAAATCTATATTTACAAAAAAAAACATTCATGGAATGTAAATCTTCTAAATTAAAAAAAAAAACCATTTTTTTCAACCCAACGCTCGTTCCCAAACATCCAATCCAGGAAAAGCGACAGCTTGTCCTGTCTCAACACCAACACCAACCATCGGAACACCAACACCAAACGTATGTTTCACATTTCCCTCCTTCACATTCACCCCAACATGATCGTTTTGTTGATAATACGGCCCGACGCCATAACCATTATCCACTTTCAAATTTCCCGCGTCTTTTCCGTGAAGTGGAAATGAGACGGTGTTGTGTTGACCGCCTTCGATACCGAGCGATTGAACCAGCGGGACATTCCAGTGATTCTGAAAATGAAAAAACTTCGTCAGTCGCGTGCGGCTGTGCGTCGCGGTTTCTCACCTTATATCCATACTTGCCATCATACCAATTCGCTCCAGCCTCCTGATCAGAATGCCAATAATCTCTGACGCCAACACTGCTCGAGAATCCGCCACCCCAAGATCCAAAAGGAACACCAAGTCCCAAACCGACACCAACAGCTCCCTCTTCATTCATCGGATAATATGGGATTCCTTTCACATCCACGTTTGCGATGTTCACGTTGACCTGGAAAATTTGAATCAGATTTGTAAAGTTCAGGAGGTTGCGAACAACTTTGCCACGTCTACCTTTTTAAAAAATCCTTTTTAATAAAAAAAAAAAAAACTGGCCGATTTTTTTTTTGAAAAAACTCGGGCCGATTTTTTTGAAAAAACTCGGGCCGATTTTTTTTTGAAAAAACTCGGGCCGATTTTTTTTAAAACTTGGGCCGATTTTTTTTTGAAAAAACTTGGACCGATTTTTTTTTGAAAAAACTTGGACCGATTTTTTTTTGAAAAAACTCGGGCCGATTTTTTTTTAAACTTGGGCCGATTTTTTTTTTGAAAAAACTTGGGCCGATTTAAAAAAAAAAAACTCGGGCCAATTTTTTTTTTGAAAAAACTCGGGCCGATTTTTTTGAACAAATTTTTGAACGAAAAACAAAAATCTCACCGCCGAATCAAAAGAATTGGCAATTGCACCCAACGGATCGGCCTTGCTGATAAATCTGGAGCAATCGCGGAAAAACGCGGCACACCGTCCCGCATTCGTCGCCGAAACTTTGCCCGGTTTACAGTGTTTGCGCACCAAATGACTGACTCGCGCACATTTCGTTTGGAGCACATAACTTTGCTCGGGAGTGAGATGAGGATATGGTTTGCGCGATTGGGTTGTTGTTGTTGGGGTGTCGTGAGCTTTTCTGTCGGCTCCGGGTGGAAGAGGAAGTGGGGTTATTACTGTTAAAAAAACATTTGGTTGATAAATGAAATTTGAGGAAGAGGGCGAACTTACGATCTGATCCTGAACTTCGTCGATTCCTGAGATCTTCGCAAATTCCTAGCGTTGGATTTCTGGCACATGCCAATTTTATCAGATTTATTTGATCATCTGGAACAAATTTTGAAACATGTTTCGAATTTTCCGCCAAAAAATCACTGTTTCAAAATGTTTTCCTACAAATTTCAGATGCTAAAATTTTTGCGAGTACTAGGTTTATATAAGCTCAAAATTCATTAAGCAATTTTGAAACTTAAAATTTTTCGCGGATATTTTTTTTAGTTTTCAAAAATCGAAACTGTCTGGTAATACTCGTTAGTTTTAAATTGTTTGATATTCAAATTTTGAAACGTAAATTTTTCTGGAATTTTTTTTTGGGTTCAAAAATTCTTAGAAAACCCCATTTTTAAATTTAATCAAAAACACTGAAATTTACAGAATCTTAAGTTTCCCTGGAAAAAGTTTTTTGAAACCTTTTTTTTGTGAAAAAAATCAGCCTAGAAATTTAATCTGAAATTCTAGATTCTGAAATTTTTTCAAGCAGTTTTATCTGAAAAATATAGAAAAACGATACTAACCTTAAAAACAAAGATTCATCATAGAATAATTTTGAAACGTAAGTTTTCGGGGTTTTTTCAAAAGATTTTCTAACTCTAGAAGCTGTTCGGGAATACTCGTTAGTTTGAAATTGTTTGATATTGAAATTTTGAAACGTAAATTTTTCTGGAATTTTTTTTGGGTTTAAAATTTTTTAGAAACCCCATTTTTAAATTTAATTAAAAATTTCAAATTTTTCAAAAACACTGAAATTTACAGAATCATAAGTTTCCCTGGAAAAAGTTTTTTGAAACTGTTTTTTTTTTTGTGAAAAAATTCAGCCTAGAAATTTAATTTTTCTAACTACTTGGGTTGTATTTGGATTGTATTATATTTTTGAAAGATTATTATTTAAATTTCAAAATTCATAATAAAAAAATTTTGAAGCGTAAAATTTTTCTGGAATTTTTTTGAGTTCAAAAATTCTTAGAAAACCCATTTTTAAATTTAATTAAAAATCACAATTTTTCAAAAACACAAAAATTTACAGATTCTTAAGTTTCCCTGGAAAAAGTTTTTTGAAACTGTTTTTTTTGTGAAAAAATACAGCCTTGAAATTTAATCTGAAATTCCAGATTCTGAAATTTTTTCAAGCAGTTTTGTCTGAAAAATATAGAAAAACAATACTAACCTTAAAAACAAAGATTCATCATAGAATAATTTTGAAACGTAAGTTTTCGGGGTTTTTTCAAAAGATTTTCTAACTCTATTTAGAAGCTGTTCTGGAATACTCGTTAGTTTGAAATTGTTTCATATTCAAAATTTGAAGCGTAAAATTTTCAGGAATTTTTTTGAGTTCAAAAATTCTTAGAAACCACTTTTTCAAATTTAAAAAACAACTGAAATTTACAGATTCTTAAGTTTTTTGAGAACTGTTTTTTTGTGAAAAAATTCAGCCTAGAAATTTAATTTGTATTTGGATTGTATTATATTTTTGAAAGATTATTTTCAAAATTTCAAAATTCATCATAGAATAATTTTGAAACGTACAATTTTCGGGAATTTTTTTTGAGTTCAAAAATTCCCAAAATTTCCCGCGCAATCATTTTTCAACCTCAAAAAGTACCCAAAACAAACCTGGCTGACAATCAACGATATCTCCGATCAGATATACAAAACCCAACACATAGATTATAGATATCTTCATATTATTATTATTATCAATCTGTTTTTTTTCGTGAGATGAGATGAGGTAAAATAAAGAATGATAAAAAATACAATTAGATTGTAATAAAAATGTGTAAAATATAGGTTTTACACACTCACTCAAAGGTTTTTTGTTCGAAGAGAAAAGTGAAAACTTTTTCTGAAAATTGATGATGTTATTGTTATTTTTTTCAGAGGTTGGGTCAGAAAATGTGGGTAAAAAAGTAATCAATAATTTTTCTGAAGGTCAAAAATACTTGGGGAAAACGTGATATATTTATATATAACAACAATAGATAACATACATTTAGTCATTTTGTGGTGGTGGTGGTGAAAAAAATAAAATAAAAAGCTGGGGCGGATGAAAATTCAGAACTGGAATTGTTTTTTTTTTGGGGAGGGGAGAAAAAGTTGAGCTGGTTAAAAAAGTGGTGTAAAAAATTAATTTCGGGATAAAAATTGGAAAAAGGCGCTGTTTACGGTATATCCGGACTATAAAACACGTTTACAAAAAATTTAAAAAAAAAGAGAGAGAGGAAAAAATCAACAAAAAATTGGGGCTATTATGGGGGAGAGGTTGGCAAAGATCCAAAGACAAAATGGTCAAATTTTGTCGCTCAAGGATTTTTGGGGATGAAAAAATGATATACAGTACACTTTTGTTTTTGGGCGGGAAGAGAGCGTTTTTGAAACAAAATTTAGAGAATTGAGCACTTCTTCTTCTTTTCTTGTTGTGGTGGATCGAGGGCTGCCAATATTGCTTCATCGAACACGTTTTTCAAACCTTTCTGAAAATTGGGGGAAAAATTAGGGTAATTTTAGAAAATTGGATAATTTTTGAGAGAATAAAATTTTGAAATCCAAGTAGGCGCGCCTTGAGAGCTTCTATGTCAAGTACCGGAGCCTAGAAGTCCTAATAGCAAGGAGCCGCGCCTTGAAAGCCTCTATTCCAAGCAGACTTGCCTAGAGAGCCTATTTCTCAAGTAGCCGCACCTAAAGAATCTAATTGTCTAGGACCAGAATCTAGAGATCCACTCTGCTAAGGAGCCACGCCTTCAGAGCTTTTATGTCAAGTACTGTAGCCTAGAAGTCCTAGTTGTCAAGTAGCCACGCCTAAAGAACCCAATAGTCTAGTAGCGGCATCTAGAGATTCTCCCTGGTAAGGAGCCACGCCTTGAAAGATTTCTTGAGCCTAGAATACCTATACCTAAAATTTCACAACAAAATTTAAGCGAATCGTAGTTTATTTATTCAAAAATTCGAAACTTTATGAAAATAAGAGTTTTTGAATAATTTTTCAAAAAAAATTTTTTCAAAAAATAATTTTTCAAAAAATCAGAAAAATTATTGAAAAATTCGCTTTTTATCAGGTTTGGATAACTTCCACGGAATTTCACATTGAAAAATTTCAGATTTCCCTCCCAACCTTCCATTACCCCCCAAAAAAACCATACCTGCGTTAAAGCGGAGCACTCAACATATTTCACCGCCTTCAATTCTTTCGCCAATTTCTCTCCGACATCTGTCGAAATTGGTTTTTGTTTATTCTTCGCCAACTTCTCCAACATTCCTGGATCATCTCGTAAATCGACTTGTGTGCCAACCAAAAGGAATGGTGTTTTTGAGCAGTGATGCGAGATTTCCGGAACCCACTGAAAAAAATGTCCGTTTTTGTTGTTGTGACGTGAGAAATTTTGTTGAAGTATGTTTTAACGATTTTTGGAAGATGGAAAATTTTTTTGTGTAAAAATATTTCCTTATCATAGAAATAAAGGGATAAATGATTAGGAAGTCTACAATTAAGTGTAGTTAGGGAAGTTCAAAAATCCAACTTTGACTGATTTGGGAAGAATTTTTGTATTTTCAGAGCTTGACTGAATAATCTGAAATTTTCTTCAAGACAAATTCCAAAAAAAAACCCAGAAATAGCGTGTTCAATGTAAAAATGACAAAAGAATGCAAAAAAAACTTCAAAATCACAAAAAAATTCACTGCAACTAATCTGAAATTTTAGCTACGAAAAATTCCAACGAAATCCAGAAATAATCAATGTCTAAAATGAAAGATATTCGTCTCTAGATATCCACAATCTAAATTAGAAGTTGCGAAAAAGTTTGCTCAATTATTTATAGATCCTGAGGAAAATAAATTCTATGTAATCGAGAAAACTTTCGCAACTTCTAGTTTAGATTGTGGGTATCTAGAAACGAATATCTTTCATTATAGACATTGATTATTTCTGGGTTTCGTTGGAATTTGTCGTGGCTAAAATTTATGATTTTTCAGATTTTTAAGTTTTAGCATTCTTTTGTCATTTTTAAATTGAAAACGCTATATGTAACCAAATATTCAGAGTTTTCTCTTCAGATTTCAGATTTCCGCTTTCAAATTCGATTATCTACCCCCTCCCCTCCCCAAATCAAATAAATCTTCCCCGCCGATTATAGTGGGACATCGACTAAATGACATTTTCAGGTTTTTTAAGTGAGTGAGTTGAAATATTGGATTCTAATTTCATTCATATGATATAATGGTCTAAGACGAACAGAATGATATACATTTTGATAACTTTATGTTATCCATAAGTGATTTAGCGACGTTTAGTCGATCGATTCGGCTTATTGACTAAATATCGACTAAACGTCGCTAAATCACTTATGGAAAACGTAAATTTATCAAAATTTATATCATTCTGTTCGTCTTAGACCATTCTATCCTATGAATACTATTAAAACCCAATATTTCAACTCACTTGCTTAAACAACATGAAAATGCTATTTAGTCGATGTCCAACTATAGTTGCCGGACTAATTATAATTCATTTCACAAAAAAAAACGCTTCAAAAATTTCAGACAAGCCCCCCCCCAAATCTCACCTTCTCTCTAACATTCTCAAACGACGCCGGCGCCACCACTGAAAAACACACCAAAAACACGTCGGTTTGTGGATACGACAATGGTCGTAATCGATCATAATCCTCCTGTCCGGCTGTATCGAACAATCCCAAAGTGTACGGTTCGCCACCTATCATTACAGTCACCTGCAAAGATTTTATTGAGAATCTTGTAAACAGAAATAAAAAATGATTTATTCGTGTGGTCAAAAGCTCCTCAAACATATGGCGAAAGTGGGATGAGATGAGTGAAATATGATAGTTTTACAAGCTTTTTGGTGGTGGAAAATAAACTGGTTTTTTATTGCTAGCGGTTTAGCATTTTTAAAATTTACAACAATAACAATAAAGTATGTTTTTGATTTTACTTTTGGAAGATTTATAATCCACATATTTATATAGACTTCATGAAATATAAACATATTTGAGCTAGGGATATAGTTGGACGTCGACTAAATGACATTTTCATGTTTTTTAAGCGAGTGAATCAAAATATTGGATTTTAATGGTATTCATAGGATAGAATGGTCTAAGACGAACAGAATGATATAAATTTTGATGACTTTAGGTTATCCATAAGTGATTTAGCGACGTTTAGTCGTAATTTAGTCGATAAGTCGCTAAATCACTTAAGGATAACCTAAAGTCATCAAAATTTATATCATTCTGTTCGTCTTAGACCATTCTATTCTATGAATAACATTAGAACCCAATATTTCAACTCACTTGCTTAAAAACATGAAAATTTCATTTAATCGATGTCCAACTATAGCTAGGAAGCTTTCAAAAATGTATTTTTAAAAATCTCATTCACTTTTCATGAATTTGTAAAAGCTTACCGCATAATTGTCAAAAACTGTGGGCACATATTCAGATGGAAATTTATTGGTGGTATAACTAATGAGAAGACATGTTTTACCGACAGCTCCGTCACCGACCACAACACATTTGATCGTCTGCATACTATGGTCTGCAAAAAACAATATCATATCACATTTTTTATAACGATTATTTCGCAAGGTTTTGTTGAGTCATCAGGAACATTGAACAAATTTCGTAACCAAGAAAGATTTCTTTTTTTTCACATAAAAAATTGAAAAAAAGTTTGCATCAACAAAAAAATCAATAGAGGCGGGATCAATTTGTATTTATTTTTTCAAAGAAAAATCCCAAAAATTTACAGCAAAAAAGCAAAAACAACAAAAAACAACAGCAAAAAAAGTGATGTCGAACAGTTTGTCGGCGAGCAGACCGCTTTGCAACCGCGTCGCAATGAGAGATAGTCGCGGTTTGCGGAGAGTGCAGAGAAATGTGGAGACAGTGTGGTAGAAGGTGGAGAGTGCCAGACGTGCATTGAACAAAGGGAATGAGAAAGAAGGAGAAGACTTATTGGATACTATATTTTTTCCAGTTTTCTTTTTTCCTTGCTTTTCGCGGCCTGGATTTCGTGACAGCGCGTATTTAAGAGTACAATTTTAGGCGGCTACAAATTCTAGGTTTTTCCCCGCGTTCTCAGTTTATTAGTCAAAAATGTCCATGAATTTCCTACTGCCCTACTATATTTTAGGAGAAAAGCGAAGGTTAGGCCAAAAAAAATGAAAAGTAAAATTTCGAAAATAGGAATGACGAGGGGCGGGTCTCGTCACGTAGAGACATGTTTTCACGTGCGCCTTGAATGTGTACTACGGTAGAAATCGATTTTCAAAAATTTTATTTATTTTTTGTTTTTCTTTTCGGAAAAAAATTGAAAGTTTGTGTGCGCGTGAGAGATCCAAACCCGATTAATCAACTTCCTTTCGATTTTCAATCAATAAGTTTTCCATTTCCTGGACGCATAGTTAAAGAAAAGCTATGCGATACTTGAAATTTTCTGTTTACTTTTACGTAAATACACCGCGCGCACGAAACCGTTCTTTTCATGTTGAATGGAATATTCAAAGATTTATTTTTTAGGTTAATTCATTTAAAAAGCATATTCCGCTTTGAAATTCTTCGCCATCACGCCATACGGATTATTTGCGTAGCAAGAGTAGACACCCTGGTCGCCCATTGTAGCCGGATCGATTTCTAGTTTACTCCAAATTGTTTCGTTAGGCAGGCGCTTTTCATAAAACTGAAAATATTTTTTTGATTTTTTATTTCTAGAAACTCAGGAAAAACTTATTTATTTACATGAATACTTGGTTTCGGCATAAGTTCCGTGGCTTCTTTGTACCATTTAATAGTTGGACGGGGTTCACCTTTAGCTTTGCAGATTAGGAAGAAGTTTATAGCCTAGGCGATAGGTTTGAGTGAAATATGAGCCAGTGATGATTTGAGCGCTCTGCAAAAATATGGCATTTTTCTAGCCCCCCTAAATGACATTTTCATGTTTTCAGCAAGTGAGTTGAAATATTGGATTTTAATAGTATTCATAGGATAGAATGGTCTAAGACGAACAGAATGATAGAAATTTTGATGACTTTAGGTTATCCTTAAGTGATTTAGCGAGGTTTAGTCTATCGACTCGGCTAAATCGCTTATGGATAACGTAAAGTCATCAAAATTTATATCATTCTGTTCGCCTTAGACCATTCTATCCTATGAATACTATTAAAATCGAATATTTCAACTCACTTGCTAAAAAACCTGAAAATATAAATCCTACCCGATTATCCGACAACGTCGTCGAAACCAGCGAAAAATCGGCAATCTGTGCAAATTGCAGATTACTCTTGCCCTTTCCCTTACCGCCACGTCGTCCACCTCGACTATCAATGAGTGGTACCAGCGTGGCTAATAACACCACCAAAAGCCAAATGAAGGTGGTGGGCCGAAAACGCATGATTCGAGATTTGCCGGTGCGACTCGCCAAATATCTTCACCCCTCGTTGAGAAGTATTCTAGTTGGGTGAGTTGAACTAACTCGCCGAGAAGTTAAAAAAAAGTCAAGAAAAATAAAAAAAACTTATCGATTTTCTGCACATCTGTTATCCCTCTTTCATGATGTAATATTACTTGGACAACACTTGAAATTGAAAAGAAAGGAGGAGACTTTTTCCACAAATCTCGAGGGAATTTCAAAACTTCCAACTAAGAAAAGTGCGTTTTTCAGTCGACAAAAACGATGGAACCGCGGAAGCCCGCAAAATCGCCTAGCCGTCAATTTGATCAATCGATATTGTCGGCCCGTCAAGCCGCGCGTTTTGCCGTTTTATTGCGACAAATGTCATTTGGCGACACGTCGTCTCGACACAATTATACATCATCCTTGTGAGGATGAGGGTGGGAAGAAGAATGGTGGAAGCAAACGGTATACACCGTATGATTTTAATCAAGGTATGCTAGTTTTGCCACGTCATAGCTTGTTTTCAACGTGTGATTTTTGAACAAAATCATATTTTTTGGGGGAGTTATTATAATTAGCTCGGAAATCAATGTCAAAACTTGAAAATTTTCAGAATTTATATAAGTAGAATCCTCAAATTTCGACAAAATACCGTGAAATCTACTGAATCGACCAAGCTGATCACGATCCCGTATTCAAAAATTGCCAAAAATCCCTGTGAGCACTTTTAGAGTTCCAAATTTGGGCTTGAAATTTGGTTCTTGCTAATTTTCACCATTACTAGCAAAAACCAAAATTCAAGCCCATATTTAGAGCTCCAAAAGTGCTCACAGGGATTTCTGGCAGTTTTTGAATTCGGGATCGTAATCAGCTTGGTTGATTTGGTAGATTTCACGGTGTTTTATAAAAAGCCTAAGCTCATCAAATAAAATTTCGATAAAACACCGTGAAATCTACTAAATCGATCAAACTGATCACGATCCCAGATTCAAAAATTACCAGAAACCTGTGTGATCACTTTTAGAGCTCCAAATTTGAGCTTGAATTTTGGTTTCTGCTAGTAATGGTGAAAATTAGCAAAAACCAAAATTCAACCCAAATTTAGAGCTCTAAAAGTGCTCACAGGGATTTCTGGCAATTTTTGAATCCAGGATCGTAAGATCGTAATTTCACTGTGTTTTATCGAAATTTGAGGATTCTACTTATATAAATTCTGAAAATTTTCAAGTTGTGACGTGGCAACAGTGATTTCGGAGCTAACACGTTTGCCACGTCATTCCAAATTGTTTTTTTTTCAGACCAAAAAATCGCTCAAAATGGCTATAAATTGTTGCGAAAAAACGGCCTAGCTGTCATGGAAAAAACGCTGAAACCACAAAACATCAAGCTTCCAAGTTTCAGTGAAGCCTTCCCAATGATTGCAGCACCCAAAAAATATTCGCAAAACATCCCGACTTTACAGTGAGTTCGCCTAACTCTCCTTTTTTTTTGTTTTTCAATAAAAAAATTCAAAATTTTTCCAGAGAGCTCTGCTACAATGCTCTGGAATTCGAGGACCCGGTGGAATATGTGAAAATCGATGAGATTATGACAATCGAGCCGAGCACTTCTTCTTCTGAGGATTTGGAAAATTTGGGAAAATCATCTTCGAAATGTCTGAATCATGCGCCAAGCGGCACATTTTGTTTCAAATGTCAGAAATTGTTTGAGAATTATTCGGATTTTCAAGAGCATTTGGATATTGAGGCAGAGAAAATGCCGCAATTTATGTCGGTTTCGGTGAGTTTTCGGAAAATGGGGTTTCTAGGCGTGGCTACTTAACGACTAGAATTTCTAAGCATGGCTACTTGAAGAAGTGGTTTTCTAGGCTTGGCTTCTAGACAACTAGGATTTCTAGGCACGGCTACTTGAAAACTAGGATTTGTAGACTCGGTCACTTTACAAAGTTGCTCGCAAGGCTTGGCTCCTTTCCGAAGTGGGTTTCTAGACGCCGCTACTTGAGAACAAGGATTTCTAAGCGTGCCTCCTTTCCGAAGTGGATTTCTAGGCTCGGCTACTTGAGAACTAGGCTCTCAAGGCTCGGCTCCTTGCCGAAGTGGATTTCTAGACGCGGCTACTTGAGCACTAGGATTTCTAAGCGTGGCTGCTTGACAACTAGGATTTCTAGGCGCGGCTACTTGTCAACTAGGATTAATAGGCTTGGCGACTTGACAAAGTTGCTTTTAAGGCGTGGCTCCTTGCCGAAGTGGTTTTCTAGGCTTGGGTTCTAGACAATTAGGTTCCGTAGGCGCAGCTACTTGAAAACTAGGGTTTCTAGGCTCGGCTACTCGACAACTAGGAGTTCTAGGCTCTGATCCTTGACATTTGTATTTTTCAGGCGCGGCTACTTGAAAACTAGGGTTTATAGGCTCCGCTACTTCACGACTAGGATTTCTAGGTTCTGCCACTTGACGAAGATACTCTCAAGGCTCGGCTCCTTGCCGAAGTAAATTTCTAGGCGCCGCTACTTGAGAACTATGCTCTCTAGACGCTAATTCTTGAAAATCAAAGGCTACTTGGCCAACAACCCCTTTGAAAAATAAAAAAACTTTCCCCCAAAAAAATTCCAAATATAATTTTGCAGACCGAAGAGCGCACCGGCACAATAAATCCCGAATTCTCCTACCGAAAACGTCGCCATATCGCAGTGAAACGCGATGTCTCGCATATTCGATGCACATCGTGCCAAATCGGAAATTTCGAATCAACCGACGCTCTCTACGCGCATATGGTCAAATGCGGTGTATGAAAAATTTGAAATTTGAAAAAAAATAATTCTCTTGCCTCCGCTAGATTTTCCCCCTAGTTTTTTTAAGTAAAAAAATGTGTAGACTGCTGGACAGTTTTGTGTGTTTTATCCAACCAATCCATGAACAATAATTCTCTTTCCTATTTTTTTTCCTACAAGATCTCCTTTTTAGTATGTTTTTTTGTATGTAATTACCGTGATTCTTTCATTATTTGAAATTTTAATTTTTTGAAAATTTTTGAAATAAAATGAAAAAGCGTAACGTGAACATGAATTTGGCAGGCGAAAAATGAGACAAAAATGAGTCAGTTTTTGTTTTATTTGATGACGAAACATGACGAGCCATCGAGAAGAAGCGGCTGTGGAAAATGGAAGAAATGGCGGAGATGCTGATCAGAAAAAGGAAAATGATAATTGGTGTGATGCACTTTGTGAAGAGACCAAACATTTTACAAGTGAGTTGAGGTGGAGAGAAATCCACGTGGCTTTTGGGAGCTCAAACTGTGAATTCCTCAAATTTTAACATAGTTTTGACGTGGCAAGGTTTGCACCATTGCCCGAAATCGGACTGGAACTATCTAATTTCAGACGCAATATTTTCGAATTCTGAAGTTCATGGCCTTGTTCAGCAGGATCGATTTGGTAAGTTCACGATATTTCTTGGAAAATATGTACATTTCACATTTTGAACCTGAAATTTTGATTATCAAAATCTCAAATTCGAATTTTTCTTATAGAACTTTCGAATTTTCAGTTTAAATATATATATTTATTTTTTCGAAATCTCTATCAGGAAAATTAAAATTTAAGATCTTGATAATCAAATCACACTTCAAAGTTCAAGAGGCAATGACAATTATTGTGAGCTTACAATTAGCAAATCAACCCTGCTGAACAACGCTGTGAGCTCAGAATTCGAAAATATTGCGTCTGAAACGAATTTCAGTTCGATTTCGTCATAACTATCTACAACTGCCGAAATATTGTCGAAGAAAATCAGTGCAGAATTGAATGAATGGAAAAACATACTTCGTCAGTCGCGTGCGGCTGTGCGTCGCGGTCGGGAAATAGAGGACCGCGACGCACAGCCGCACGCGACTGACGAAGTATGTTTTTTCATTCATTGCCACATTTTCAACTTGTTTTCGAAATGGTCAAAAAATCCGAAATTTCCAGACACCACAACAATGCATGGCCCAAAAAGAATCTACAACGGTCGAAATATACCATTCCGTGTAACCTGGGCTGTCGTGTCTGCGCTCGCTGTAATCGTTCTCGGATTCACCATCTATCACATATCGACAAAATTTTTCTCCTGGCCTACGACGGGTCAAGTTGAATTCATTCTCAGCGAAGGTGGAATGGTATTTCCGGCTGTCACGATTTGCAACCTGAATCCAATTAAATTGTCGGATATTCGAAAATACAACAAATCGGGGGATTTGACGCCGGAAGTTTTGAAATATCTGTTGCGATCAAATATGGATATTATGTTTTTGTATTCGAATTTGAATCGAGAAAGATTGGAAGCTGTGCATAATGATGCGCTTGATTTTATGAAGAAGCATAAAGAATTTAGGATTCAGGATTTTCTGAATGATGTTGGGTAAGTATTATCGAAAATCTCATCGGTACCACGCGCTCCACCGAAATAAATACGCAACGCAGACCGCGCCGCGCCACAATACACAAAACGGGAGGGAATTTGAATCGTTCCTTTATTTGTGTGTGTCGTGGCGCGGCGCGGCGCGGCGCGGTCTGCGTTGCGTGTTTATTTCGGTGGAGCGCGTGGTGAGATTTTCGAAAATATGTTCCTGAATAATCCCAAAAATTAATTTCTAGCCACACTTGCAACGAAACCTTTGTAAAATGCTATTTCGGTGGGCACGCTTTCAATTGTTGCAAATATATGACGCATAAAATCACATCAATCGGTAAATGCTATCAAATGGATTTTACAAGCAGCGCACCCGACGAATTTCGAAAACAACTTTCGCCTGGATCAGAAGCGGGTCTCCAAATTATTGCCGACGCAAAATTAGACGAAGAGATGAATACCAATTTTTCCGATGACGAATCGTTCTTTTTCGATATTTTTGAACCCGGTTTTAGATATTTTATTCATGAACCGTTTAAAGATGCGGAATTGGCGTCGGAAGGAGTGAGCGTTTCACCGAGTAGAGTCGTGTATTCGGCGATCAAAAAATCAACGGTTAGTAAAAAGTTTTCTCGTCTGCAAACACGGCGGCGCACAAATGCACAGTATTTGAAAAAAAGTTTTTTTCAGCACGAATTATTGGATCCTTGCAACTGGGGAAGCTGCGCGAGAGAATTTCCATACAATACAACTTTGAAAGTCTATTCCGCCCCGTCTTGTCGATCATTGTGTTTGGCCGCGCATTTTCAAGGAAAATGCGATTGCAGTCCGTTCACTTTTAATATTGATGGAAGTGAGTTAATTCTGGGAAAACTATTGTTGAATTTAAAAAAATGTGGCGGAGAGAAAGCGAAAATTGATGAATGTCTTTGTATGCACGCGCGGTCGCGTTGCGGTCTAAGAAAATCAATATCGCCGATTTTTCTATGGAAAATGTTTTTGTTTTTCACAAAAATCGGTCATTTTTTGTGAAAAACAACATTTTCCAGAGAAAAAAAAAGAAAAATATCGAAAATCTCATCGGTACCACGCGCTCCACCGAAATGAACACGCAACGCAGACCGCACCGCGCCACAACACACACACAAAAAAGGGAACGAATACAAATTCCCTCCCTTTTTTGTGTCTGTGTTGTGGCGCGACGCGGTCTGCGTTGCGTGTTTATTTCGGTGGAGCGCGTGGTACCGATGAGATTTTCGATAATATTGATTTTATTTCGACCGCATCGCGACCGCCCGCGCACACAGGCATTCATTGATTTTGTTTGTTCCACAACTATATTGTAGGTAAGAAAATATGCCTTCCCTATGAATCGGTGAAATGTATGGTTGACCATATGACAGATGTAAATACAAAATTAGCAAAATTGCCAAATTGTGGCGATATCTGTCATTTGGAATGTTCCAGTACCACCTACACGGCCTTTAATTCATATGGCGATGGTTTCAACAAAGGATCCGTTCAATGGCTATCAAAATTGGGCGCCAACTATACAAAAGAGCATGTTAGGAAGAATTTTGCGATCATCAATATCTTCTACTCGGAAATGATTTACACGTCGTATAAACAAGTGAGAGCTTCGAGTTGGCCGGAATATGCTGCGAATATGGGTGGACTTGCTGGATTGTTTTTGGGCATCTCGTTTGTAACTATTTTGGAAGTTTCTCTCTATATCGTCAAAATTGCCTGGTTGATCTTTAGAGGTGATCGAAGAAAGGCTTTGTGCAAAAAACGACGATTCAATGGGTTGAAATTGGAATGGATCAATCAAAATGTTGAAGAGTATGAGAAAATCAAAGGGCAAAAGGAAGAGCCTCAACATATTACTCAACTTACACAAAGAACTCGAATTTCGGCAAGAAATCAGGCCTAACTGCTCAATTTGAGCTCAAAAACAGAAAAAAAACTTTGGTAATTTAATGCGATTCTTTTTTCTTACACGCGGGTTGAATAAATGAATGTATTTTCAAGATAAAAATGTATGTAAAAAGTAAATAAATAGAAGATATAAAAGTGAATGAAAAGATAAATAATAGTAGTATTTACAATGCATAAAAATGAATAAAACTTATATACAAGGACAGCAGTAAAAGCGATTTCGAGACAGACTGGGTGCAAATAAAATATTAGTCGAAATCTATTTAATTTCCAATGTTCTGGAGAGCAGCGCATTTGTGTTTTCTGAACGTGGTTTCTGTAGTGTAGCACTTTCCACACGCAAAGCATTGGTTAACCTGCAAAATTTTAGTTTTAGGGTAAAAAAAATGAAAACTGAATACTTTTTAAAATCTTCAAATGTTGATAAATGAGTCTCAAAATGCATTTACCTCACAAAAAAATTGAAGTTGAACATAAATTTGACAAGGGAAGTGCATGAGGTTCTGAAATTTTGATGAAACATATCGAAATATACCAAATCGACCATGCTGATCACGAATCCGAAGTCAAAAATTGCCACAAATACCTGTGAGTATTTTTCTGGAGCTCCAAAGTTAGTTCGTCCATTTTCACCATTTTCCCGGGTGAAAAATCAACTTTTATAACTTGGACAAGGTTGTTCACCACATTCGAAAACCTATCAGCAGTTTAGTTTATCAAAAAATATCAAATAAAAACTGTAACTTTCAAAAATGCACAAAAAACTTTGAAAAACGTGTATTTTCAGGATTTTCTCTAAAATTAGTTTTCAGCTGGTTTTTCATTTTTTTTTTCGAAAAACTAAAAAGCTGATAGGTTTTAGAATGTGGTGAACAATCTTGTCCAAGTTATAAAAGTTGATTTTTCACCCGGGAAAATGGTGAAAATGGACGAACTAACTTTGGAGCTCCAGAAAAGTGCTCACAGGCATTTGTGGCAATTTTTGACTTCGGAATTGTGATCAGCATGGTCGATTTGGTATATTTCGAAATGTTTCATCAAAGTTTCAGAACCTGACCTCATGCACTTCCCTTGTCAAATTTATGTTCAACTTCAATTTTGTTGTGAAGTAAATGCATTTTGAGATTCCTTCATCAATATTTGAACATTTTCGAAAGTTTCGGGCAATATAACTCACAATTCCGACTCGATGTTCCATTGTCGAATGAACCAAAAGTTTTGCACGAGTTCTGCAAATTTTCGTACAACGACAACAATTGAATTGATCCTTCTGAACACGAGTTCCAATTTTCACATGCGGATCCGAATCTAGGTATTGATCAACTGGCACGAAAAATGACGCATTTCCATATAGCGAATTCGCATCGGAAGATGATGACGAAGTTGATGATGTTGAGGGTGTGGGTGAACTCCGGCCAACATCTCTCGAAGATGAATTGAATTGTGTAGCCACGTCATAGGCGCTAGAAGATGTTGGAATCTGAATTTCAGCCCGTTGAATTGAGATGCCTCCTGGTGGTTCTAGAAATGTCTCCAAAAATGACTCATCGAAACCAACATCCGACGTGGATTGAAAATTATCATAAACAGCCAGTGTTTGTAAATTTTTTGCCGGACCGCCCATTAGATCTATACGTTCCATCAGCGAATCCTCCAACATCGGAGTTGTGATATTCGGCGCGGCAAACATCGTCTTCTCTTGTGTCAGTTTATCCGGTGTGAATAGGTTCGCCGCCGATGGCGCTGCTAATATTTTCGGTGTTTGCGGTGGTGGTGGTTTCGATTTCGCGGTGGCCTCCAGATTGATAACATCGAGACACACTTGGACTCCTTCAGCTTCTTCCAAGGTTCGCAGCCGCTTTTTGACCTGAAAATGAAGAATTTCGCTTGAAAACCATGTTAGAATTTCAAAATACCATGATTTTCTCCTCTACCAACGCTTTTTCTCTGAATCCACTCGAACTTTTCATTCCGGAATCGTTAATTTGCCCGACAAGCTGCTTTTGGCGCTCCAATAATTGTCGTTTCTCATTTTCTATCAAAGTTTCGATCATTGAATCGACAACCGCTTCTACATCCAAAACATCATCAATATTTGTTGAAGCCGATCGTTTTCGAGTATTATTATTAGCAGTAGGTGTAGTAATTTCAAGTATTGGTGAATTATTATGATTATTCTTATTATTCTGGTTATCGTTGAGTTCGTTTAAATATCGCGAGCACATCTCGTTGATTCGCTTTCCATCCAGATTTCCCAGAAATGAAAGGAATTGGTGGCCGTTGGGAGTTTCCAGAATGTTGCAGAGTGTTCGCAACTGTACTGGAATTGATGTGTCGGATTCCATCTGAAATTCGTGTGATTTACGAACGCCGGGGATCGGGGAAAACGAGAAAAGAAAAAAACGGAAAAATGTCGAAAACAAACATTTTGAATATATATTTTCGCGGGGAAAAAACTTTTGCGCCTTTGAAGGTCTCGTCACGCTTGGAAATTTTGTTGTGCGCCTTTTCAAATATTTTTTATTTTTTTTTATTTTTCACGGGATTTTTTGGGAAATTTTTCTAAATAAAGAAGTTCGCAAAGAAAAAGTCTGAAAGAAAAAAGTTTTGAATTCAGAAAAATTTCACTAAACTTGGCTTTCATTAAAAAAAAACAAGAAAACATATATAAAACTGTTTCTTGAATAAAAAAACTCATAGAAAACTTCAGAGAAAAGTAATTCTCAAAGATAGCGTTGGAAATTGAAAAAAAATCGATATTTTCTCTGCGAACAAAAAATATCATATGAGAAATTTTGGCGGGCAGGTCAAAACTTTTTTTCAAAAATTTTTTTTGGGTCTGAAAAATATTTTTTTTTGTTTTTTCTAATGTTTTTCATTTTGAGTAAATATTTATTACCGGATGGACGAAAAAAATACGAACAAAAATACGAACAAAAAAGGAAGGAACATAGGAAAATCTCAATCACATGTTTTATCACCGTGAAATTCTATAAAGGGCAAGTGACTAGACTTGGTTAGAGTATTTAATATTTATCTTCAGAATCTTCTAGAGACCACGTGGAAATTGTGTATATTGTGCAAAAAATATGAGGTGTTTCGATAAAACTCTTCAACGAGTTGCAATAAGTTGACGCAACGATTTTGGTGTTGTTGGATCGTTGAAGTGTTTTGTGGTGAAGCGAAGGCCAGCGAGAAGACAATTAGCCTAAATTGTTTGGAGTTAGGGTAAGTTTTTTTTTCTAATAGGTTACTAACCTTCTCCTGCGCACTATTCGCTTTGATCAACCTCACAACATCTCTCATATCAATCGGTGAATTTTGAACAAAAGCTCCATTTTGATCAACATGGTCGTATAAAATAACCAATCCAGTCATAACTCGGCAGCATAGATGTTTTGATGATTCAGTGAGTCGAGATAAACATTCCTCGTTGGATAACATGAAGCGGCAAACGCTGGAAAATCGATTATTATTTGTGGTATTTTCAACGTTAAGAAACGTTAAATCATCGTTAAATAACGTTAATTTAACGTTTTTCTAACGTTAACGTTTAAAAAAACCAAAAAGGGATTCACGAACGGTATTTTTATCATTTTCTCAACACATTCTTAACTGAATAAAGTGAAGCTAAAACGCATTTAGTGTTCTTAAAAATGTGTTACGAAAATGGTGAAAAAATGAATAAAAATACCGTTCGCGAATCACTTTTTTTCTTGGTTTTTAACGTTTTTAACGTTCGATGAATCAAACTGAAAAACTCACTTAATAATAGTGACAAAAACATCAGTAGTATTATGAACCGGAATCGTCGAATGTGCATGCATATACGAATCAACTCCATTACACAAAGCCCTCAACATCGGATTCTGCTCGCATAAAAACATCTGAACTTGTGGGAACTCGACCGCCGAATGATCAAAATCCTGGTATACAATATGTTTGACTCTCCGAAAATAACTATAATCATTGATGATTTCTGAAGAACCCATTTTCTGCACATCAAAATCCAACACGAATCCAATTATTCTTGCGAATTGCTTGGCAATCGATTGCTTATTCGCCAATTGTTCTTCCAAAGGTAGTGGACCTGAGCTAAGCTCCCAAAGAAGAACTGGAACGATTCTCTCGATTTTTGATGCGTGTTCATAGTATCCGATGGTTCTTGCAACCAGAGGCTCCATGGTTTTCATTAGCACTTTGAGTGCTTCAATATCGCTGTCATTTTTTAATTGTGATCTTTCTGGGTACGCTCCATCTCCATAACTTGACACATCTTCGAGGACTCTTTCACTATCGATCAGAACGTTTTCAGCCATTTGATAGATTTCCATCTCTTCTTCGGTTGGTTGTGCGTTTTCGAAATCCACGAAAACCTGGAATTCGTTTTTTTGTAACTTCTAACGACACTCCGCAATTACGCAAATCCTCACCTCAACCCATTTGAAGTTCTCATCAGCATGTGTTCGAATAATCGATCTGATCATTTCCAAGCAAGACGCATCGGTTTCCCGACAATTTGATGGCATTTTTGAAGAATGAAAAATTTTTTTTAATTCCTTCTGGGTGAAAAATGCCCCTGAAAAATCAACAAAACATTGTAATTATATACGTATTTATAAAAGATTAGCGGAAATAAGTTGGAAGATTATTTAACATTTAAAAAAATAGGGGGGAAAATGGGGGACTTTTCAACTTTTTAAAAAAGAAAATGCACATGTTGAAAGAGAAGAATGCTTGGAGAAAATAATAAAAATAAGAAAATATCAAAAAAAGTTTCGAAAAGCGAAGAAGAAAAAGAGAAGACATGACAACAATGCGCGCACTCGTAAAAATTATATTGCTAGGAGGTCTTGGAGAAGGGAGGAGAGGAAAAAGGGTGTGAAATTTTTGAAAAATTATTTTTTTTTTCCTAGACCACACCTGACGAGAGAGTGTCCCAAATTTTTTGTGCAGTGTGAAAATTTTTTTCAAAAAAAAATGTGCAGCGTGAAATTTTCAAGTTTTTCGAAAAAAAAAAAGTCCGCGGGCAGGAGGATTCGAACCCTGGTCTTATGCAAAAGCCAGGCAGAAGTTCACACCACTCGGCCATGCAGGCTTTTGTTTTATTGTCAAAAATGTCGGATATAAAATGCGTGGAAATTTTTGAAAAATGAGTTGCAACGTTGTTCAAAATTTGAAGTTAGGATAACTAAGCTTAGGCTTAACGGATATGGTTGATTTTTTTCCAATAGATTGCTAAGGTCATATGACCTTGACAACAGCAAAAAATGTGGATACTTGAAAACATCTTCATCTTTTTCTCTTTGTATTATGTAACCAAAAATGGATGAAGAATAACTACTATTTGTTACACAAAAAACACAATTCTATTCCTTAAAATAAGAGGAAAAAAATCGAATTAGGGCCGGAAAAATAAAAAAAAAATAGGCAGATGGTGTCATTCTACAACAAGATAGGCTTAAGCCTTGAAACACTTATGTAATTAAACATATGTTGATTTGATAGATACATGTATTGTTTTTCAACTTGAGAAAAATGGAGGAATACTTGAGAAGAATAAGAAGGCTGAATCAGGTTACTAGGACATTTTTTTGTTTGAAAAATATATAAAATGAGTTATGAAAAAGTAAAAAAAAAAACAGATTTTTCAGGAAAACATTTCTGAAAATCTGATTTTTTTAAAATGAAAAATACATATAAAATGAGTTATGACGTGGCAAAGCTGAAACTGAAGAACTAAATAAAATAAAATTCAGATTTTTCAGGGGAAAATTTCTGAAAATCTTATTTTTTATGAAAAATACATATAAAATGAGTTATGACGTGGCAAAGCTCAAACTGAAGAAGTAAAAGAAAATTCAAATTTTTCAGGAAAACATTTCTGAAAATCTGATTTTTAAATGAAAAAATATATAAAATGAGTTATGACGTGGCAAAGCTCAAAAATGAAGAAGTAAAAGAAAATTTCGATTTTTCAGGGAAAAATTTTCTGAAAATCTGATTTTTTAATGAAAAAAACATATAAAATGAATTATGACGTGGCAAAGCTCAAACTGAAGAAGTAAAAGAAAATTCAGAATTTTCAGGAAAAAATTTCTGAAAATCTGATTTTTTCTGAAAAAGAATGGCCAATTTGAAATGCATAATTTTTTATCGAAAAAAATTCTGAAATTCAAAATTTTCTGTGAAGAAAATGAGTTCCGAATTCAAAATCGAGATCTAATTTTGCCACGTCATAACATTTTTCAAAAAAAAATTCTCAAAAAAAAAAAACAATTTTAACCAATTTTTCCTACGAAGTTTTCAAAATCTCAATCAAAAAGACCGGAAATTGAAATTTTCGCAATGAAAAAGGAAATTGAAAATTTTTCTGGAAAAATCCGCTGTTTTCCTTTCTCAATGAATACAAAATTCGCCCATTAATAAAAAGAAAATGAAAATGAAAACGAAACAAATCGGCAAAAACAAGGAGAATAAATGAACTTTTCAAAAACAACCAGAGAGATATTAGAACATAGAAGAGAGACGCAGAGAAAAAGACAATGGATGACTAATCGAAAAGGTCGTTACTTACATAAAAATGGGAGAATTTCTGTCTAAAAATCAGCCAGAATCCAACAAAAAACCAAAAACAAAACAAAAATTACGAGAAAAACGGGAAAACGAAAATTTTTGTCGTCAATGTGTGCACAAGAAGTCAGTCGCTTCCGAGAGTTTTTCTCTGGCTCTCTCAACTCTCGCCGCTCTCTGCGTCTCTTCTATGTGTAATTGTATCTCAAATGAAAAATATCATGATGATGATGATAAATTGATAAAAATGTGGTGACATGGAAATGTGACAAGGCGGTGTTTTATTTTTGTTGTGGACTTGACATAGTTTGAAATGAATTTGACTAGGAGGTCTTTGAGAGCTTGAAATGATTGGATTCGAATTTGTGATGGTAAAAATATAGAAATGAACTTTGTCGAAATCCACGTGGCGCCAAGATTTTTTTCAATAGAAAAACTGGGATCTACAAATTTTTGAAACCTGTTTCCACGTGGCATTTTTTAAGCTCAACATTTTTAATCTCAAATTTTTCCACGTGGATTTTCAGTTATGGAAACACTTATGATCTACAGTTTTTTTCAAATTTTTAAAAATTATATCCACGTGGCATTTGCAGTACCCAATTTTTTCAGCCTGAAACTTTGCCACGTGGTTTTTCAGATATGGAAACATTTGTGATCTACAGATTTTCGGAATCTTTTCAGAATTAAATCCACGTGAAATTAAAAATTTTAATCTGAAATATTGCCACGTGGATTTTCAAATAGTAAAAAATTTGTGATCTACAAATTTTTTGAACTTTCAAATAACAAAATCTAAATTTCAGAAATTCATATGCTGAAAATGTTAATTTCCAGTGAATGGGAAATCGAATTCTAGAACTTTTCAAAATTTTAAAGTTTTCTGAAATTCTGAAATTCAAAAAACCAAATTTTCATTCAAAAAATTGTTTCTAGAAAATTTTTGGGAAATAAATTCGGTATAATACAGCCGGGCTAAATAAAAATATGTGGAATGAAAAACTACAAAATTCCCAGGCCACCTGCATCCAAAAAAACCCACGTGGCCACAAAAAGACAAAAAAGTAAAAGTATATTCAACAAAAAAACGAGAGATGTAATTGAAACCACATGAATATTTTTTTTTCAAACAAGCTCTAGCTTTTTGGGAGCCGGGAAAATGAAGGAAAAAGGGAAAAGGGGGACAGCTGGGTGCTTTTTGGCAAGAAAGAGCATGTTCATGTGTTGTAAATGAAATATGACACAAAACGAGGAATAATAATTACACAACTGCACTTTTTTTTGTTGAAACATTTAGAAAATTTGGATGAAATTCGAGAAGTTTGCGAGATTTTTGAATCGCAAATATTTTTTTGGAAAACGAAAAGAGCTCTGGGTTTTTGTGTTTTGTTTGCTCATCCATTGTCGACAGCTCAACCACCTCTCATATATGAACAAAAAAAACACGAAATTTATTTTTCATTTTTTTGTGGGGTTAAAAGCCCGGTGAAAAATTTGAAAAAAAAATAGAGAAAAAACATCTGGAAATTTGACATTTTTCATCGGAAGTTTGAAAAATTTGAGTTTATTTCTGAACTTCAGAAATTTTTTTTTGAAAAGTTGAGATTTTCAAAAAAAAAGCATTCAAAAAAGTTTTTGGCAAAAATTGTTGTTCAACAAAAAAACAATAACAAAACAATAAATAATAAATAATTTTGTCGAACCAAAATTTTCTGGCTGAAAAAATATAGAGACCAAAAATTATGGGAAATTTGAAAAAAAAAAAGTTTCAGAAAAAATTTCAGTCTAGAAGAATCGGGCCTTTTATAAGCCTAAAACATGGCTATTTTGAGTCTAATTTTAGGCTTAGTTTTGACTTGAAAATTGGACCCACTAAATCAATTTTCAGGCCTGAAAAGCCCAGCTTATATACAAAATTTTCTGGGTAAAAAATAGATTTCAAATTTTTAAATAAGAAATTTGAATAAAAATTTTCAAAAAAAAATTTCAGCCAAAAATAATCCCTATATGGGGTGAAACGGGCCTGATTCATAGGTCTATAACGGGCCCTAACTTAGCAGCCTAGTTTTGACCTGAAAATTTGGGCTTACATAATTAATTTTCAGGCCTGAAATTAAGGCCCAGTTTCTATTGACTTCAGGCTGATATTTTGCCCCAAGCAAAAAAAAATCCAGGAAAAAATATGTTTCCAAATTTTTCCTAAAGAAACAGAGAAAAACTATACAAATTATTAACAAACAAAAAAATTCGATAAGAAAAAACAAGTCTAATCCCATTATAATATTATTTCTAATACAAAAAGAAACCTCTTTTCTTTCATTTTTCCCTTTTTTCCCCAATCAATAAATAAAATTGGAAATGAAAATAAACAGAAAATCGGTAAACATGTTGTATGTATAAAGCCGAATTATTAATATATTATTATTAAACATTATTTGTTTAATTCCGGTTGCGACAAAATACAAATCGATAAATCTTTTCTGGTTCAAAAAACATAGAATTTCACAAAAAAACAGACATGACACGGGAATTAGCATAATTTTCTATTTTTTCCAACAAAAAATGTTTGGGCAACAGCAAAAAAAATACACCAACCAAAAGGGCGGAGAAGGAAAATTTGTCTCTCTCAGATTTTGAGATGAGATTACGAGGAAATGGCCAGTTTTTTGGCATTCATTCATGATTTGCCAATAAAATAGAGAGGGGATCTTGATTAAAACGGGAAAGAAAGTCTCAAAAAACTTTTGCCTTGAAGAGAAATTGCAATTTTTATAGGAGCCAAGCGGTACTGTAGATTTTGGGAAACCAAAATTTAACTGAATTTCAAAATACTTCTAGCATTCTTTAGGGTTACTGTAGATTTTGGTCTCTAAAAATTGAAATTTGCAAATTTTGTAGATCAAAAATTACTGTAGTGAAAAATCCACGTTTTTCAACTTTAAAGAAGCCTAGGATTACTGTAGATTTTCATACCAACACTTGAGATTTTGTAGATCAAAAATTATAAAATTTGAAAAATTCATGCCACGTGGATTTTTAATTCTTCTCATTTTCAAAATTGAGTATTATAAGATTTGAAGTACTGTAACTTTTGGCGGGAAAAATCATTTGAATTTTTTTGAAAAACAAAAATTGATCTAGAGCTTCACAAAAAAAAACAAAAAATTAGGCCAAGTATTCTGAAAAACCACGTTTTTTTGGTACCAAGCCTACGATTACTGTAGATTTTGGTGCCAAATTTTAAGATTTTTTTTGTAGATCAAAAATTATAAAATTTCAAAAATAAATGCCACGTGGATTTTTAATGCTGCTCATTTTTAAATTCGAGTAACTTAATAATTCCAGAAGGCGAAAAATTCAGGATTTTTTGATTCTAAATACGCTTAGGCTTGTTTAGTATCAAAAAATTGCAAAAAATAAGCCCAAGCCTAAGATTTAGCCTAAACTAGGCCTACATTTTTAAGGAATTCCACATAAAATACGGGAAAAGTCACCACAAACACACATGAATAACTAACAAGTGGTCATTCATAAATATAAGAATTTTGCGGGGACACACCCTCCTAGTCACCCTATTTCTAAACGATCTTCATAAATTATTCACCAACAAAATCTGCCTTTTCACCTAAATTTTGGGGAAGAAAATAAAGAAAACAGAAATTTTGGAGGAAAAAAAGGAATTGGAAATTTTTGTGGAATCTCTTGGGAATTTTTTTGCAAAAAAAGGAGGAAAAAGACATCTTCCGACTCGAGAATTTGAGATTTTTTTGTCGAATAAAATTGTGCATTTTTTTGGGAGTTAGGATAACATAAATTAAATTTATTCTCTCAAAAAAACACCCGTAACAATCGAAAAGTAGCAAAATCAAAAAACCCGTAAAACATGAAAACAATTTGGGGATTCCTATCAAAATCCTGATTCAGCAATTGATGTACAAGAATCATATGCATTATTGATGTGACCAGTTTGAAGTTCTTTGAGAATGTGAAGAAGACAAATGTGGATGAAAATGTATTGTTGCTGGAAACAAAATCAGATTGAAATCTACAGCCGAAAATTCACGAAAAATTACCTCATTCTGCACCATTTGACATCTTTCATATCGCATTTCACAAACAATTCCGAAAACATCGATTGGCGAATCGAGAGCTATTGTTTGGATTAATCGATCGATGGCGATGAATGTTCCAGATCGACCAACTCCAGCGCTGAAAATATTGATTTATGAAATAGCGGCGAAAGAAGAAATCAGGATGAAAATAAGGCAAAATGTTTTCAATTTTTCGCGAAACGTACATTTTTCGGGATTTTTTTGGGGTTCTAAATTTAGCGAGTTTCTTTAAATTTCAAAATGAATTCTGAAAATCTACGTGGCATTTTTCGTAAATTTGATCTACAAATTGTGTGTATTTCTACAGTAACCCTAAGCTGATTTGATGTCAAAAAACGTGGATTTTCTTGTAAATTTTTGATCTACAAAATTTGTATTTCTACAGTACCCCAGAGCTGATTTGGTGTCAAAAAACGTGGATTTTCCGGTACAGTAATTTTTGATCTACAAAAGTGTATTTCTACAGTAACCCTAGGCGTATTTGGCGTCAAAAAACGTGGATTTTCAAAAGTTCTCAGAATATTTGGCCTAATTTTTTTCACGTTTCGTGAAGCTCTAGATCAATTTTTGTTTTCAAAAAAGTTCAAATCAATTTTTACCCGCCAAAAAATACAGTACTTCAAAGCTTATATTACTCAAATTTGAAAATGAGAAGAGTTAAAAATCCACGTGGGATGAATTTTTCAAATTTTGATCTACAAAACCTTAAAATTTGGCACTAAAATCTACAGTAACCCTAGGCTCACAACGTGGATTTTCTGGGGTACAGTAATATTTGATCTACAAAATTTGTACTTCTACAGTAACCCTGAATTTATTTGATGTCAAAAATCGTGGATTTTCCGGGGTACAGTAATTTTTAATCTACAAAATGTGTATTTCTACAGTAACCCTAGGCTTATTTGGTGTCAAAAAGCGTGGATTTTCTGGTACTCACCTGCAATGCACAATAGTTGGCAAATTATTGGGCGACGGTGGTAAATGATGTCTAAACATCTTGACAAATTGCGATATTCCACTCGGATGTTGTGGAACTCCAAAATCCGGCCACGCCATATAATGCCAATGTCGAACAATTCGACTGGCCGCCCCATCTTTCCGATCCAATCGCAAATCCCGAATAATGAATTCATCGTAATGTTTCTCGGCCATCAATGTCACCTCAATTTCGCCATACATCTGTGGCGAATTCACAGAATCCGGCCAATATTGATGACACTTGTCGCGACCCTTCTCCACACATTTTGTGAGCGCAATGATCGCCGGACACTGTTGTTCCCAAGTCATTTGCCAGAATGCGTCGCGTGTTGTTGGAAGTGGACCTTGCGCGGCGATAAATTCACGGCGCGACGAAAATCCTGGCATATAATTCGCATTGATATAATCCGCTCCCGGACTATTATCCTGTGAAGTTAGCCGAACTCTCGAATGATCATACGGTAGAATATTGGTGAATCGATTCTTGGGGCGATTCACAGCCATTTCTGACGCATGAATACTCTGGCCACATCCAACATTTTTCATCATCTCATATTCTTCAGAGAATCGGAAATCTGAGTCGGCAGACATCATTCGAACGTGCTCTTCGAAGTCGGCAATTCGAACAGGTCGACTTTTATTTGTGTTAACTCCGGAGATTACGGTATACAGGGGTGTTCTATTGATCGGACCGGATGAGAGACGTTCCAAACGATGTTCAACACCAGTTCTCTCACGTAGACTTCGAGTTCTGAAAAAAAATGAATTAAATTTTTTGAGAAATTTTAAAAATGTTCAAATATTTATGAATGAAACTCAAATTGAAGTTGAACATAAATTTCAGAAAAAATGAAAAGACTTTTGGGCCTATAGGGCTCGGAAATTAGAGCCCTAGATTCTAAGGCCTTAGATTTGGGGCTTTTGATTCTTTAAAAAATTCTTTGCAATTTTCAATTTTAAAAGCCCGCAATCAATAGTTTTGAAGTTTTTTGAGTCAAAATTTCAGCCAAGAAAATTTGAGATCTCAATTTTTCCCACATTTTTTTTTTCAAATTTGGAAAATTTTTTCAGCTGATTTCAGAGTTCCTGGAAAATTTGCAGAATTTGTGAATTATTTTGAAAACTTTATATTTTTTGAAGAAAAATTTCAAGCTCAGAAAACCTACATCTTTTTTCGGTTGACTTAAGATTCTCAAAATTTTCCCACCCAAAAAATCCACCAGCAACCAACTCGCTGAGAATTTTTGCAAACATTTAGAGCGAGTTTGTTGCTATGGCCGAATTCCCGATATTTCTTGGCCACCAAAATATCGGCCACATATTCATTTTTTTTGAAATTCATGTTCGACTTCATTTTTTTGTGAATTAAGTAAATTCAATTTGAGTTTCATTTGAACTCAGGCCAGTGCCGGAAATTTTCCAATTCCGGAATTTAGTTTTCAAATTTTACGACTTTTTGAACGTAAAACGTCTTAAAAAATTTGTAGATAAAAATAAGTTTAGTGCCAACTTGAGGCTGAAAATCAAAATTTCCGAATTTGCCGATTCAAAAACTCACCGTCTATGCTGTCCGCTTCCAAACGCATTCGGCGCTCCCAAATGATGTCCACCATCCACGGTGGTCGTCGACGAGGCTGTCGATGTTGGAGAACCGGAAGATGGTGGTGGTGTTGTGGATGACGTTGAGTCGAGTCCAAGTTTGGCGAGACAATCGGCGGCTCTCTCGGCCATCATCATTTTCAACGCGGCCCACTGCGATTCCTTCTCTTTCGATGGTCCGTTTTTGTAGACGTCGGCGGCGAGTCTGGAAATTTGGAGAGGTGGAAGGTGGGCAACTTCAGGCTGGCTTAGGCTTCTCTCAGGTTCGAGCCTAAGTTCTAGGCTTAGGCTTAGGTTTTGACAGTGCCGCTGCGCGGAAGCTTGCGGTGTGAACCGTAAGCTTCCGCGTAGGCCTGACCACATTACAGTAGAAAGTTCCGCGGAAGCTTGCGGACACATACGGAACATTAGAAAACGCAGGAGACCTAATTTAAGCCCCGTCTAAGCGTAGAAACCCTGGATTATCAGCCAAAACTAGAAAAAAAACAATAAAAACTACCATAAAAAAACCAGCGACAATTCATAAATAACTACTATAAATATCTATTTTTCTGCCCCAAGAAAACTTGTTTTCTCTTCTTACTTTTGTTCAAAAAGACCGGTCTCCGGTAGCCAGAAAAACTAGGGAATTTTTATTTTTCGGAAAAAAACACATTTGGGAAAAAATCGCGATGAAGCTGAACAAATAATCCATAAAAACCAACCAACCTCGCTTTTTTGGTGCGATTCCAGAAGCAAAGTGTTAGAGTGGCTGTAATTCCAGCCAAAACAATGACAGCCAACAGAAGAGCGACGGTGAAGAGGCTCAGAGAAGGTGTCGATGAATCTGAAAACACCAAGATTTTATTTTTATAGTTGGCTGGAAAATGGGCGGGGCGTTGAGCTTTGAGTTTTCAGAATCAGATAATAATTATGTGGGTTGAGATTGAGGTGCGGTGTGCACTTTTTCGTATAATTTTAATTGTGGGATTGTTTGGAAAATTATACCTACACGTGAGAAGAAATTTGAAATGTCAGAAGGTCTTTGAGATTTCAGAACTTCTGGTAATTCGTGTTTTCAGCAAATTTTCTGCTCAGAAAGCTTCAGAGCTTGAGAAAAATCTTCAAAATTGAAAAACTTTAGATAAAAAATTTTTCAGAATTCAGAAAAAGCATGGATTTTCTGGAAAAAATGAAAAATCACAAGGACCTTTAATTTTCCAAGGGACCTTTAAAAATCCTCAAATCTGCCACGTGGCACAGTTTCTGTTGAGAGCGGTAAACTTTGGAATCCAGAACTTCTGGTAATTCCGTATTTTCAGCAAATTTTCACCTCAAAAATCAAACTATTTTTGAGCCAAATAAGTTAGCTCCAAAACTCGAGAAAAATCTTGCAGACCGAAAATTTTGGATCAAAAATTTTCAGAATTCAAAAAAAAAACAAAATTTTCTCTAGTCAATGAAACATCACAAGGAACGTTAAAATCTGCCACGTGGCACAGGTTTAAGCTCAAAAATTTTCAAAAAAAAGGGAAAATCTTAAAATTATGAACAATTTCGAGCTTGAAAATCTATTTTCAGATCAGAATTTTAAGCTCAAAAAGTTTCAATATTGGGAAAATCTTAAAATTATGAAAAATTTCAGAAAAATCACAAGAACCTTCAATTTTCCTAGCCAGAGACCATTAAAATCTCAAAATCTGCCACCCAGCACCTGGCACTCGTCCAAAACACGAACAATTTCCGGTGCTTCTCAAAATTCTCCCGTCTTATCATATGTTGTTCTCACATATGTCAAAACAACACAAGATTTTCCGCTTCTTCTTCTCAATTTTTTTTCAAGCAAAAAAGCAGCAGCGAGCAAAAAATTTTGAGAGAAAAAAGTAGTGGGTGGGTGGGTGGATTCTTCTTCTTCTATCTCTGTCTGTCTTCTTTTTTCTGTGTCCTTCATGGCTGAAAAGAAGAGCTCACAGAGCTCTTCTTTTTTTTGGGCTCTCAACTACTCATAATTGAGAAGAAGAAGAAGAAGACGAAAAGAAGAAGGAGAAATCAGAAAAAAACGCGAAAACAACACAAGAAGATGACACATTTAACGAGAAAATTTAACAAAAAAGGAGAAATTAGAAATTGTGTTTTAATTTTGCAGAGTTTTTTAATTAGAGAAGAGGATCAGGGTTACGGTAGGTTTAGAGATTTAAAATGGAAATGCGTGGGATCAGAGTCTAGGGCTCTGGCTTTCGAGCTCTGGATTTTAAGGTATTAGATTTAGGGCTCTAGGCTTTAGTGATCTAGGCTTTAGGGCTCTAAAATTAGGGTTCTGGAGTCAAGTCTTTCGATTAAGAGCCCTGGATTCTAAGGCTTAGGCTCTTTTAGGGCTCTGGATTTAGAGTCTTTAAAAATTTTTTTTGGAATTTTTTTTAAAAATCAAATTTTAAAGCTCGCAAGAGACTCAACAGTTTTGAAATTTTTTGAGCAAAAATTTCAGCCTAGAAAATTTGAGATCTCATTTTTTTCCAAATTATTTAAAATTTGAAAATTCTGAAACTATTTCAGCTGATAACAAAGTTTCTTGGAAAATTCTCAGAATTTCAAATTTTCCCATATTTTTCAAATCCAAATTTTCAGAATTTGTGAATTATTTTGGGAACTTCAGATTTCTGTAAATAAAAATTTTCAAATTCAAAATTTTCCCACCCAAAAAAAGTCCAATAAAATCCACAGTATCTTTTACTCCTCTCGCTGGAAAATAATAAGCTAAAGAGTTTCCAACAAAGGATTAAAAAATGCGAAAATGTGTGCGGGGCTTAAAGGAGCGTGCGCCCAAAGAAAACGAAGCAAAAAAAGAAGCGACCGAAGAAAAAATAGTAGTAGAGAAGGGGATTATCGAGTTAGACGTGTAGGAGGAGCAACCAACAAAAAAAAAGAAGTAACAAAGAAGAAAAAATTGAAGAGATACACCGGAAATGATTTTTTTTGCTGTTTCTTTGAAGTTTTGCTTTAAATTTTTTTTCGGTGAAGGTTTTTTGTTGGTTGGAAAAAACGTGGGAAAGTTTGGAAGCTTAGGAAATTTTGGTGCTAAATTTTTGTTAAGCTTAGGTATAGGTTTAGACAAGACCTTAGGCTTAGAAAATACCTTAGGCATGAACAAGGCTTTAGGTTATGGCTTAGGGGTAGACAAGGCCTTAGGCTTAGACAAGGCCTTAGGCTTAGACGAGGTCTTAGGCTTAGGCTTAATTAGACAAAGCCTTAGCCTTAGGCTTAACCAAGACCTTAGGGTTAGGCTTGGGCATTATTTTATACTTACGACCTTAGGCTTAGGCTCAAGCTTAGACAAAGCCTTAGGCTTAGACAAGGCCTTAGGCTAAGGCTTAGACAATACTTTAGGCTTAGGCTTAACCAAAACCTTAGGCTTAGACAAGACCTTAGGCTTAGGCTCAAGCTTAGACAAGACCTTAGGCTTAGGCTTAGGCAAGGTCTTAGGCATACACAAGGCCTTAGGCTTAGAGAAGACCTTAGGCTAAGGCTTAGACAAGGCCTCAGGCTTAGACAATACTTTAAACTTAGAGAAGACCTTAGGCTAAGGCTTAGACGAATCCTCAGGATCAGGCTTAGACAATACTTTAGGCTTAGGCTTAACCAAGACCTTAGGCTTAGGCTCAAGCTTAGAAGACCTTAGGCTTGGACAAGGCCTTGGGATTAGACAAGGCCTTAGGCTTAGCCAAAGCACTAGGCTTAGCTAAAGCCTTAAGCTTAGGCTCAAGCCTTAAACTTAGGCTTCTCAGGCTCAGACTAGGCTCAGAAAAAGATTTTCAAATCCGAATTTTTTGCAAAAAATGCAACTTTTTTTGAAACTTTTCAAAAACTGCAAAAAGTTCCCAAAAAATGTATTATTTTCCCAGTACAAAGTCCGGCAGTTCTCAAATTTCTTTCAAAATAATTTTTTCGCCGTCACGAAATAAAATGAAATATTGTTTTCCGGAAACGATCAACGATTAACATATTTAAATAAATTGAAATTCGATTTTTCAAGAGAAAAAATGGAAAATTCCGGAAAAACAAGCGGGAAAAAAACGAGAGGAGAATGGCGGAATTTTTAATAAAAAATAATAAAAAAAAGTGTGTGGGCGCAGTGAGCAAAAAAAAGAGCACTCAATAGAGATATATATTTATATTCAAAAAAAAACTGAACACCAAAAGTTCTCTCGTTTTTTTCGTTATTATTATTAAATTTCATTCCCCCTGATATTTTTTATTAGTTTTTCTCGTTTTTTCAGCAGCAGAAGCAGAAGCAGAAAAGCGTGGGACACCCATGATAAAAATAAAAAAAATAATGAATAACAAGGTGTGAGGGGGGCAGGGAGGAGGCCGCAAAAAAAACGGAAATTTGTTTTTTTTTCGAGCAAATATGTATATTTTTTCGTGATAGCGCAGCAGGAAGTTCTACGAATTTTATTTTTGTGGTTTGGATACAAATATATCTACACGGTGAGTAATAATCTCACGCGAAATGAGAAAAAAATGTGGGAAAAAATCGGGCACAGATTTTACAGAGGTAGCAAAAAAACTACGTATGTCCTTTGGACACGTCGCATTTTTTTGGATCAAAATTGGATTCGGACCATTTTTTCCTCGGCAAGTAAAACGTGAACGCGTGGCCGAGTGGTTAAAACGCTCGTCTTTCAATTTTTGGGTCATGGGTTCGATTCCGCGTCGAGGCAAACTTTTTTGTTAATTTTTTTCAAAACGCAATTTTGTCATTTGAAAAAAAATTGACAAAAATGTTTGCTTCGAAGCGGGATCGAACCCATGACCTAAAAATTAGAAGACGAAATTAAATTAAAATTCACTCAAAAATTGCAAGTGCGCTCCAATGCAAATCTGGTGTTTTTGTGAAAAATTCAAATTTTTATTTTTTTTAATGGAAAATTTCGAAAATACAATTTTGTGCCACATTTCAAGGCGAAAAAATAGCGCCAAAATTTCAGATTCAAAATACAATTTCAGCTCAAAATTCTCAAAAATTGGGGGTTTTTAGCTCAAAATGATGAGAAAAAGCCCAAAATTCAAAACTTACCCAAAGCCAATGAAAAAGAGGATTTTAGAGTAGAACTTGGCCCTTTTGGATTTCAGGCTGTCACATGAAAAAAGCTCCAGATTTTTGGGCTTTTTAGGTCCAGAAATTTTCTCTGAGAGCTCTAGATTCTCATGAAAATTTCCAAACTTGAAGACAAAAATCTCCCCAGAACTTACCGAAACCTTCAAATAACTCTATAGATATTTCAGAAAACACTAACAAAACCTTATATACTCTTCTCAATTTCCGCTCCTCCTCCTCCTTTTTCTTTTCATTCATTCATTCCCTATTATGAACCAACCCGATACTTTTTCCTCTTATTAGTTCTTCTTACCACACACAATTATCCCCCAACGCCTCTTCGTTTCAATCAGTCTAATTGCACTTTTTTCTTATGTATATGTACATCCTACGTCATCACCTTTGAATTATTTATAGATTCATTCACATTCACATTGTTTGTTCTCAAGTATGTTCTAAGGCTAAGCCTAAAATTCGGGTGGTCCCTTTTCCCCCCAAAACTCACTCATTGTAATAACCAAACTCGTTGGCGAATCGCTAAACATATTCGGCGAAGTGAAGAGTCGAATTCTGAATCGATACTTGCTTCCCGATTTCAATGGTCCGTTGCAGATTCGATCAGTCGCAATGATATCCGAACACGTTTCATCGTCTCCAATTTCTTCGAAAATTGAGACATCATCTGATTGCTTGATTTTATCAATGGTTCGAAGTTTTGCCACGTATGATGGCCAGATGTCGAAGCGTTGCACTTGGAGCCAAGTCTGGAATTGTTTTTTTTTCAGATTATGATTAATTAATTAATTAATTATGCGTGCTTTTTATATCTTGGGATTCAACCTATATACAGTAACGCGGGAATACTGTAGGTACAGTACCCTTTGTCAAGTTAAATTTTAAAGGGACATAGATACACTCGCTCCGCTCGAGCCGCGTCCGCGGAATTTTGATCTACACTCGCGCCAAAGGCGCTCGGATTACTGTAAGTGAATAACTCCAGTATCCCGCAATATCTTGGGCCTTCAACCGATCTACAGTAACCCGGGAATACAGTAGGTACAGTATTCTTTGTCAAGTTAATTTTTAAAGGGAGATACACTCGCTCCGCTCGAGCAGCGTACGCGGAATTTCGATCTACACTCGCGCTAAACGCGCTCGGATTACTGTAAGTGACTAACTTCAGTCTCCCGGAATATCTTGGGTCTTGAACCGATCTACAGTAACCCGGGAATACTGTAGGTTGTCAAGTTAAGTTCAAAGGGAGATACACTCGCTCCGCTCGAGCCGCGTATGCGGAATTTCGATCTACACTCACGCTAAAGGCACTCGGGTTACTGTAAGTGACTAACTTCAGTCTCCCGGAATATATTGGGTCTTGAATCGATCTACAGTAACCCGGGAATACTGTAGGTACAATACCCTTTGTCAAGTTGACTTTTAAAGGGAGATACACTCGCTCCGCTCGAGCCGCGTTCGCGGAATTTTGATCTACACTTGTGCTAAAGGCTTCTTTTTTCAAAAAAAAAACTCACATAAGTTCCATTGTCAACTTGAAGCCATCGATTAACAGAATCATCATTCGAAATCTCACTAACAATAATCGCGTATTGCTTAATCTCACCATTTCGATTATCAAAAATCGAGGTGGGAAATTTGACAATCAGATGGTCACTCTTGATGCTTTCCTTCATCACAATCGGTGCAATTTGCGGTGTTGGCGGTGGCATTAAAGGCATCGACACAGTCGGTATAATCGGAGAGATTTCACCGAACCCAGCTTCAGTAACAGCTCGCACACTAAAGTTATAGACATTTCCCCCAAACAATTCATCGATGACGACTTGAATCACATGATCGGATCGATTTGAGGTGACACCAACATCAATCGATCTTGTCTCATCGGAATTCAGTTTGGTAACATTGACAACAAAATGTGTCAAAATACCATTGGGCAAATGCAGGCGGCAGCCAACTCAACATAACTGAATAGGAATTCAGCGCTTCCACTTTGACCTGCTGAACCGGTCCGGGTTTGTCCTGTCGTGTCGAGAACGATAGTTGTCGCATAGTTCTCGTTGCAGCTGGGCATTGTTGCTGTTGAGCTGCCGGTTCGTTATCCCCGCAGATGATTTGTGTGTTCACCGTGTATTTGTGGAAAGATCGCAAGCCATCGAGGTTCAGCAGAGGTGCGAAATTCTGGGTGAGTTGAATCCGCTTGTCATAGATACTTTTGCTATTCATATCTCGAACTATAATATGCAATTGGCAATTATTAGTCGGCGTGTCTTGCGCTGTTGAAAACGCCAATCTCAACGTCGCCGATGTTCTCGTCACACTCTCCAAGCTCACATTAACCGACGGACTCGACATTCGAATCGTCTCATTGTGTCGGGTCTCCGAGATGATGCCAGTTTTCGTAACAGTGTAGAGCTGCACTCGATAGCACGCACCTTTCACCAAATCACCAACAAATACCGGTTCAAGGTGTTTTGGATTCGTCTCGAATTTCTGCGATTTGCCAGCTTCATCATTGATTGGTGTTACTCTCATGTTCAACATCGATTTTGCGCCCACAACCTTATTCCAAATATCCTTGACACGTGTCATAAATACTTCCGATTTCGGCCATAGCAATTCAATTCCCCCGTTGGCTTCTTGCAGGGTTAAACCGAATGAATTGAAATCAAAGGCCGGGGATAGAACGATACTCTTCTGCAATTTTTGACTGCTGGATTCGTTGGCCAGTGAGGAGATCGAAAAATCGAAGCGTTCGCCAGGCGATAAACCAAAGTTATACCAACATCTGAAACAAACTTTTTATTAGAAACGTTTAAAAAATGGAAACGCGAAAAATATTTTTTTTTTGAAAAAAAATAAATACCGTAGTTCTTCCGTCGCGACGAGACCCTGTGTGTTTCAGCTGTTGCGCCTTTCAAAAACTACTGTATTTTTTTTTCGGATTTTCGATTTTTTGCATGACAAAAGGCAGAAATCAACCGGACTCACTGTGTTTTTTTCTGATAGAAAAATGCAATTTCGAGGAGACGCAGACACTCGCTGGTCTCGACACGCTGTGTGTCTGCCACACACTATTTCTCTCCCTTTTTCGGCGAGAGATTTGCCTGCACACGTTAAAGTCTGCGTCTCCCTCGAATTGCAAAAAAAAATACAGTGGACTAACCCTGTTTAAAGCAAGAAAAACTTTAAAAAACGATTTTCAGGTGTTTTATTGAGGAAAAATATATTTTTCGGCTGAAAAATACGAAAATTAGTTCTTATTCACTTTTCTCAAGTTGAATTCCTCGTTTTGATCAAAAATAGCCACCAAAACACACCAAAAAAGTTTTTTTGCTGTAAATCAAAGGCGCATCGATTTTTGAAAGATGTGTGTCTCGTCGCGACGAAAGAACTACGGTAAATATATAATTTTTTAATAAATATTTTTCGCGTTTCCATTTTTTCCCTTTCATAAAAATTCGAGGATAACTCACATTCTGTGCCCAGATTTTGTCTGCTCAATATTCGCATCATTAACAATTCTCTCCAATTCATCACCGGCTACCGTAATCCGACATTTATCGATTTTCGATGTCGTCGGCAACTCGGCCAACATCTTATATTTGCCCCGCTTCAAATCAGGTCTCACACGGAAATCGATTGGTGGCAACGGGCGGAGTTGGAACTTGGTGATTAGTTGATCGGAGATTTGCGAGCCTTTTTGGACGATTGCGTTGATTTGATAGGCTTCGCCTTGTTGGAGAGCGTCGCAGATTGAGATCGAGGTTTCGGTGGAGGGGATTGTCATCTGGAAATTGGAATTGAAATTGGAACTGAAGATTTGAAAAATCCGAAGATGTGAGAGTTTGAAACAGCTCAAATTCAACTTCAAAAAACTTCCAAACTGGAACAGATTCTAAAAAAAAAATAATAATCTATAACATGAGCAATTAAAAGTTCCTTGTTTCAAAACTCCCCAGAAAAACCTTATGACCCCTTTCCAATTCCTCCTAAAATGAGCAATAACTTTTCAAAAAATTTCGAGAACATGTAAATTATATTTCAAAAAATCTAACATGAGCAATGCTTCTGAAAATAATGGCTCCAGAAGGGTTGAGCCAAGAAATCACGAGTTCTTGCACATTTTTCAAAGTTCAAGTCTTCAAAAATCAATTATTCAACTTAACATGAGCAATATTTTTTTTTATTTCAAAATGTTCCAGAATTTCCCAAAAAAAAATCTTCTCAACCCCTTCTAAATCCATCCTAACATGAGAAACGTTTCTGAAAATAACTAGAGTTCATGAAAATTTTCAAAATGTTCCAAAACTTTCTCAACCCCTTCCAAATCCCTCCTAAAATGAGCAATCTCCTCTCAAAACCTGCCCTGCCTGCCTTCCTTATCAACAACAAAAAATGTCATTGTGTTGGCACCTATCTCTCGTGAGCAAACAATAAATCAGTGGTGCGACAAAAATAGCCCCCCAACTCACATTTGTGGAATTTCTAATCTCCGCGTTTTGTTTCGCATATTGTAGCGCCAAAAAATCAGCACCGCTAAACTCATCAAATTCCCAAACAACTTCCACACAATTCCCGCTGTTCTGATTGATTTTTAGTGATTTGAGCGGAGAAGGTTCTGGAAAAAAAAACAAGATTAAAAAATATATTAGAGAAGATTTGAGAACATCTTACTGGTTGTGATAGTCGTAATCCACGGCCGACTACTCATTCCATCTTTATGTGCCGTAACTCTCACCGAATAATCGAAACCCGCATTCAAATTGCCCAAATAGAACTCCAAATTCTTCTGATCCGCAATATCCAGGATCTGTAGAATGGGGAATTTCTTATCCGGATTGATTTGTCGATATTCGATCGAAAAAGAATCTTGAAGATTCGTCGAATTCTTGACAGTTCGCATTGTGATGTTGTGCTCGGCGATTTGAATATCCGCGCCAGAATCACGGAAATCAGGAGCCTTCGGGTCCATCGTCACCGATTCCTCCTTGATTAGACTTGTTGAGCCGCTTTTCTGACCGTAGATTGAGATGGAATATCGATGACCGGGCCGGAGACCGTGCATTCGGATTGAGTAGGGCGATTCATCTGATGTGACGAAGGTTTTGTTGGAATCGCGGATCTCGTCGGATCTGGAAGAATTGAGAAAAAGTTGTGGGAGGAATTGAAAAAAATTTGAAAAAAAGGAGGTTTTGGAAAAAAGGCCTACCAGGTTTTGAAAATTGAAAATTGCCAGTTTTGAAAAATGTTTCATTCGAAAATGAAAAAATGAAAGAAATTTTGCATTTCACGTAAAATTTTTACGTTTTTTTTTAAATTCAGGAATTTATTTTTTTTTCAAAATCCGGACGAGTTTGAATCGAGTTTGAAACGAATAATAGACGTGGCAAAGTTTTGAAAAGCGCGCGCTTTTTAATTTTTCGAAAAAAACTTGCTTTGGCCGAAATCCCGACATTTCTCGGCCACCAAAATAGTTCGGCCACATTTTTCATTTTTTGTGAAGTAAGTGCACACTTCGTTCCAACCCTGTGTTGGAGCGAACAAATAGAGAAAACGCGACGCAGACACAAAAAACCCCGAACATTTTTTAAAAATGAGAATTCATGGAACATCGCTTCAGGACCCAACAGTTGGCTGGTTGCCAGCAATAATTAAATTTCGCGGGTTTTTCAGTTTCGCGGTTTTTTCTTTCGCACTCTACACACTCTCTCTGTCTCTATTTGTTCGCCCTGAAACGAAGTGTGCATTTTTAGTTTGATTCATCAATATTTGAACATTTTTAAAGTGCCCAGAAAAACTCACACATTCTCCGAAACATCCTGCAACTTTGCCACAAAACTCTTATAAAGTGGATGGCGTTTGGGAAGAGTTATCAAAATCTGCGACCACGGCGATAATCCATCCTTTTTGATTGTGAAAATCTCCTCTTCTTGAGCCGCGCAAAAATTAATTGAAATTAAAGTTAGTAGAACTATCCAGCGTATCATTTCATGTTATTCTTCTGGGGGATTCTGAAAACTGTAATTTATAAAAAAATGATGAATACCTTGTTCCGGTCAGCGGAAAAAGTGTGATAAAAGATGGGGGGAAAACGAAGAAAAAAATCGGGGTCAGAATAATCGAAAGTTTTCTGTGTTTTTTTTGCGATCCATCTATTATCATTCAAATTGTTTCAAATCATTGGGCGTAATCATGAAGAAAAATGTTATGGACAAAATTCTAACAAAATTCTATCGTAAGAATGGAATAATATTTTATGATGGGAAAATAGTGAAAAACAAAATAGTAAAATGGCGAAAATCAAGAGAGATCAGATAAGGAAAGGAATGTAACTGTTTTGAAGAAAAAATTGGTTTGAAAGGTCGAAAATGTTATTGTTGGGGAAATTGAAAAGACATTTTTGAATCATCGGAGAATCAGAAGAATAGAATTTTCTTTAAGGAAAAAATTTAGATTCATCGCTTGATGCCAAAAATTTAGCCTAATTCAAATAAGGCCTAATGCTAAGGTCTTTAAGCTAAATTTATTCAAACCTAAATTTATTTGAAGCCTTACTTGAGGCCTAATTTTGAAGCCTGAAAATAAAGCTTAATTTTGTCTGAATCTAAATAGGCTTAGGTTCAGTTTTCAGGCCGGGATGATTGGGGTTAGGCTTAACCTGGACTCAATTAGGCTAACAAGCCTTGCTTGTAAGCCTTGGTTAGGCTAAGGCTAGGCTTAGGCTTAGCTTGAACTCAGTTAGGCTAGATTTAGGCTTGGCTGAGGTTTAGCTTGGGCTCAGTTTTAGGCTTAGGCTTCACCTGGGCTCAATAAGGCTTAGGCTTAGATTGAGCTTAGATTGGCTTAGGCTTAGCCTGGACTCAGTTAGGCTTAGGCGACGCTTTGGTTCAAAAAAGGCTAATATTGTTAAAGTGCATTGCTCATATTAAACTTCACAATCTTCTGAAGAAAGTGAGAAAAATATTCTGAATAAATATTCAGAAAAATAAACTAATGTTCAAACTGAAGTGGAAAAAATTCAGAAATTCTAAAAGAAAATCGAACCAAAAAATTTTGATACAAATTCAAATTCAGAAAAAAATTGGCACAAAAATTATTTTTTGAACTATAAGGTTTTAGATACGAAGCTTTAAAGCCTTAAGTTCTTAGGTTTTTAGTCTTACAATTAGGGCCTTAGATCTTCAGGACCTTGGGTCAAAACTCCAAATTTTCAACAAAAAATCGGACAACTAATGTTCAGCTTCTAAACCACAAGAAATCCCAGATGTTCCCGATTTTCAAAAAACCACAAAAATCCCAAGCAATTTCCAGACGTGTCACTAAACGACCACTTGAAAACGGAAAAAAACTAAAATAGTTCCAGATTTCCGCCACAAACTAACTATACAAACAATTAACACATAACACCTCAATTTTCGCAGATCTGTGTGAGAAGATCTAATCTTCTTCTTCTGCCAGTTTATCTAACCAACAATCTACTTAAAAAGTAACAAAAAAAAAAGACAGTGTGGATAAATATAAATATAAACTAGTCTTCTTTATACCAAAATGCCACCACAATTATTCATAGAAGAAAAAGAAAAACGAAGAATAAGGTAGGAGAAAAAATGGTGAAAGTCAAGGACAAATTGGAGAGACGCAGAGAAAAAAGGGGATAGTATATAGTCAGTCAAGTGGGAGGTAGAGGGAAGAAGACAAGAATAATTAGGAAGGAAATTTTTTTGGAGGATCGTGGATCGAGGGTGTCAGGAAAATATGAATATTTTAGGGAGGGAGGGGGGGGGGTTCAAGGTCGGTCAGGAGCTCAAAAATTTTGAGGTGCCTTCGAAAAATACGTTTCGAAAATTTGTGAAAAATATTTTTCAAAATTTTTTTCGATAGAACTATTTGTGTTTCAGTCTAAAAAATGTTTTTCAAAAAAAGTTCCCAGAAAAAACGAAAATAAAATGTTAAAAATTATTTTTTAACATTTAAAAATCAATTCACGAAAAGTCAAAAAATGTCGAAAAAACATTGTAGGTCAAAATTAATTTTTCGAGTTTTTTTCAGTCAAAAATGATGACAAATCGAGATTTTTGAAGCTTCTGGAGTGATTTCTGATGAAAATTGACATTTAGAAGTTTTTGCTGATTTTTCGTGAAAAAAAAGAAAAAATTTTAAATTTTGATGAATTTCGAAAAAACTAATAAAGTGAGGTAAAATAGGGTTCTAGAACCTTATTTTCATCAAAAATCACTCCAGAAGCTTGAAAAATATTAATTTGTCATCATTTTGGCTGAAAAACTAACTTTAACCCACAAAATCAAAAAAATATAACCTTCAAAAAATACGTTTCAAAAATTTGTGAAAATCATTTTTGCAAGTTTAAAAATGTTTGATTTCTTAAAAAGTTATCAAAAACACAGATTTTTCTCTAATAAAGTTTCACAATATATTTTCACTCAACAAAAAAATTCCCCCAAAAAGATTAACCAGAAAATGGAGACCTTCCTTCAAAAAATACGTTTCAAAAATTTGTGAAAATCAGTTTTCAAAATTTTTTTTGATGTTTCCCATCAAAAAATTCACAATAACTTTTCCCTCAACAAAAAAAAACATTCCCCAAAAAGATTAATAAGAAAATGGCGACCTCCTGCTTGGGCTGTCAACTCAGAAAAAAAGAGGTCACATGGAATTAACAGCTTGACTTTTCAAGGTAAAACCTAGTTATGGTTATGGGAAACGAAATTTGTTTTGGCCAGCAAAAAAATAGCCAAGAATAAATAAAATATGAGCTTTACACACCAACAAAAAAGTTTGTTTATAGGATTCTGGCGTTTGGAGAAAAATTGGCAGATGTTCAGGGGAAGATCCAGTTTCAACAGATTATTTAGACAAACTATCTAATTAAGAACTGAGAATCAAAATTTACATTTGAAAAGAAGTTGGTCACAAAAATAAAAAAAATAATATACACACAAAATGCCTGCCTTTCTATTCTCTATTTACCACCAAAAACATTTGGTTGAATAAATAAACACACGACATTTCTGACAACCTGTTTTTTTTTCTCCAACCGTCTAGATACACTTGACTTTCTTCTTCTTTTCTACCTTGTTCATTTTTGGACACTTGCCAATATCAATTAGGTATTCATTATTTGAGATCATCATCGAAATGCGAAATGCAATTGAAAATTATTGGAAGAACCGGATGTTTCTTCGAATTTTCAAGAAATTTTGGAAAAGTAGCAAGTGCGCTCTATCGAAATAAATATTTAGAATTTTTTTTTTTTTGAAAAATTGTTTCAGAATTTCAAGAATTTTCAGAAAATCTAGCTAAAATTTTGAATAGTTCTGAAACTTATGGATTTTGAGACTTTTGAAAACGGAAAATAAAAAAAACAATTGAAATTCTGAAAATCCAGAAAATTCTAGAAAACCCTGACATTTCTTATACCTTTGAACTTCAGATTGAATTCAGAAGTTTTGAAGATAAAATTTTCGAAAAAAAAACGTTTCAGAAAATCTAGAAAAACATTTGGAAAAGCAGAAAATATTCGGAAAATTTTAAATTTTTTTAGAAAAAAGTTTCAAAATTTTGAAATAAATCAGCGATCGAAATTCTGAAAATCCGGAAAATCTACAGAAACCTAATTAATTTGGTTCTAGAACTTTAGTAGATCTTCAGTTTGAGCTGTGAATTTCAGATTTAATTCAGAACTCTAGTTTGAATTTCAGAACTCTAGTTTGAGCTTTAGTTTGAGCACTAAAATAAAATACTTGTAAAAATCACAAAAAAATTCAGAAATTCCGAAATCAAAAGTCCAAAAAAACCCAGAGAATCTCAAACGAGGAAATAAAATCTCACAAAAACCTCGAGATCTATCAAAACCACTCAAAACCCCAGAAAAAATCCACACACACACATAAAATCAAAAAAGGTTGTTTCGAATCTATAGGAGGACACTGTCCGTTCTTTTCGTGTGTCGCAGATTCTTCTTCAAGTGAGAGCTCAAATAAAAAGGACCGATATTGATGGAAATAGTATGGAGGGTAGAAGAGACGTGAGAGATACACAGCATTTCACAAATAAACAATGCGAGGGAAGAAGAAGGAAAGAAAAAGAAGAAACTGTACAAAAGCGGGTTGGGAGGAACAAAAATGACCTATTATTATTATTATTGTTCTTACATATTATGGCGGAACAGAACAGATTTGGAACTATTTGCCTTGAGCTTAAGTTAGCCGAAATTAGATTTTGAAACACTTACAGGGACTATAGGAAACTAGAAAAAATTAGTTTAATTTAAATTGTACAAGATACAAAACGGGTATGAATAAAATAGTGAAGAACTTAAAAACTTTGAAAAAAAAGCTGTGAAACACACCGAAAAGTTGAATAATCGATAAATAAAATAAAAACAAACTTTCCGCTAAACAAAGGGCAAAGTGCGGAGTGTCGTAGTATTTTTGTTTTTATTTATTTTAATTTTGTTGAAAGTAAATTTTAAAAAACCAAAAACAGAATATTCACGATGTGACTACAAAACCCGTCACTCTATGATCTATTTTTTCAAATGAGGAAATTCAAAAAAAATTGACAAAAAAGTGTGACCCGAAGCGGGATCGAACCCATGACCTAAAAATTGAAAGGCGTGCGTGTTAACCACTCGGCTACGCGCTCACGTTTTTCTTGCCTGCAAATGTTTGAGATATGAAAGGAGGAAAATGGTGAATTTTTGAAAATCGAGTTCGAGTTCGGAAAAATGAACTTTTGAACTTTGAAAATATACGAATTTCCTGGAAGTGTTGAATTTCAAGGGTGTTTTTGGAAACTAAAATTTTCAAAAAAAGCCATGTTTTCAAATGCCGCAATCAAATTACACATCACATCATAAACGTTTTTCACCTCATCAACCAATCATCTCTATATTTGGATAGTTTTTTCACACAAAAAATTCGTCAAGTGGTCATCAACGCATCATTAAACCGGAAAACGCGCCACAAATATATATATATTGACTTTGGTCACCTGAAACTTTTTCGAAAAAGTTTCATCCGGCTCGGTTTTTTTTGTTTGCTCATCTAGGAAAAAAATCTCTATTGTTTGGAGGCAATTGTTTATTTACTCGATTAGAAATCGCTAATTACCATCTCTCGTGAAATTCGTGAAACAATAAACAAAAAAGTGTGTAAAGTTACGGCTCTCACGATTTTAATTAATTACTATTCGAGGGACAAAAAAGCGGAGGAAGAGTGAGTAGAGTGACCTGTAATTAGTGCCGATGTGACCTTTACACAGAGAGACTCAAAGATTCCAAATTTTTTGGATTAATCGCATGTGCTCTTCAGTTGTTTGAGTTTGTCGTGTGATCTTTTGAATTTTCGATTGTCGATCTTTGCGAAGTTTGGTGATTCGGATGATGAGAAGAACTGGGACTAGCAACGCGCCGTAGGGAAGGGTCTGGAAATGGGGATTGGGAGCTTTGGGGGTCTTGAAGGGGGAGGGGCAGTTTTAGAACAGATCAGTATTTTCCGAACTAGAAATAATTAATTCAGAAGTTCAATGATCTGGGAAAAATTTGCCACAGAGAGAAAACGAGAGAGTATAAATTAGCGTGTGCGTGCAGAAGAGACGCGAGACGAAAAAGGGATATTTTGAACAAAAAATATTTTTTTGCGGTTATTATAGTAACGTCGAACAATTGTTAAATAGATAAAATACAAATTTTGAAAATTTTTGGAAATGAACTAGAATGTTTGAATTATGGAGTGATTCAAGTCGAAAAAAATAATTTAAAAAAATGTTTTAAATTTTTTTTTAAAATCATTCTTTTTTGACTTGAATCACCCCATAAAATAAGATACAAATTGGAAAATTTTTAAAAGTGAACTAGAATTTTTTAAATTAGAATCGGTAAAATTAGCTAGATTAGAAGATCCAAGATTTATGGTAACTTGAAATTTTCCCTTCAAACTCACATAGAACAACGAAAGAACAATCGTATAATTATGTTTCTCAAATCCATTCCGATTTAGCCTAACCAACAAAATCCCGAAAGAATATACGAAATGCGCGAAGAATTCGGAGAGCGTCAAAACACAGATAATCCTTGTTGCATCAATTGTCTCCTTCACCTCAAATCGACACAGCAAATCAAACCGATTCTGATATTCGAATGCTGAATTGTAGCGGAGAATTGCGAGTGTTGTGATGAGATTGAAAAGGGTCAGAAATCCGAAGATCGATAACATTAGGTTCGCTCTCTCCCGACTTTTGGCTGGGTAATATCCGCAACTGAAACGTACATCATCCTCGGTTTCATGCCAGGTTACAAATGAGTAGGAGGAGAGGCTAAGAGCTGCCTGAAAGGAGAAATGAATTCTATATGAAGCCGGGGATTCACATACCACAATCAAACCAATGATTAACCCTGGAAGCTTCTTGGGGATTCTCGAATAATTCGGGAGAAAGGTTGCGCAAGCTCTCTCAATCATCAAACCAGTTTGCACAAAAACCATGCCGCTGATCGAAGTCATCAGAATAAATGAGTAGGGTGAACAATCACTTGGAGAATACATGAGCTCACAGGGTTTGTTGATTTTGAAAATTGCGCGGTAGATGAAGGAAGTCTAGAAAAATTCTTAAAAATTTTATTGGGATTTCCTTTACTTACAGAAACTTGTAGCCATGAAAACTGATGACCCAATGCGTATAAAATATTAGAAATCAATAAAATTTTCGTAGAGCTATGAAAAATTGATTTGTGAATTATATGCTTCATCGCATAGAACGAGACAATAAATGTGAAGACGCAAGAAATTGCCGCAAATATACAGGACGCTTGAAATATCGGACTAGAAAGTTGATTTATTCGATCCAAATTGGCGCATTGGGAGTCGCTTGAACTTGACATTTCACAGCAGAACAATGAGAAAAAATGGATAGATATAAGAATTTGAGGCGACCGGAAAACGATTTCATCTGCAATTTAATTGAAATGTGTAAAGTATGTTGCACTTTTTATCAAACAATAATAATAGGAAAACAATTTTTGAGCTTACAATTAGGTCAAAGTTGAATCTGATGAAAAACAGCAACAAACAAATTTTTGAAAGAGTGCGAGACATGCAATTTTTATCAATGGGGCGCACTTCCATTTTTACTTTTATTTTTTTTGTTTTTCGGAAAATTTTCAGAGAAATTCTTGGTGTTCCCTACACTTTCAACGTACCCATTTCTAAAATTTGGGGGGGGGGAGGGGGGGTTCATAAAAAGTCTCCAGAGGGGCTTGAGATTTGATATATGAGGGACCAGATGGTGTTGACACTTTTTGTGTTTTTGATATTTTTGAAATGTAATAATTTTTAGAACTTCAATTTGAATTTAGCTACATACAATTAGTAGTAGGACAAGTTTCCAGATGAATTTTTTCCCTGAAAATCTTGTAAAAATTTGAACGCGTTTGGTCAAAGTTAAATCAGATAAGGGCCTTGATGATATATTTATTATAGGATAGATCTTTATCAAAACAAAAACGTTTCTTTTTCTTTTTTCATATATCTTTATATATATTTTTTTCAACTATTGATTCTTCTTCTAGAAAAAATGCGAAACATCATTGGTTATACACGTGGAATGGTGCTTTGCAAAAAAATGGAAAATCTGTTCAGATATTCTGATAGCTCTACAAAATCGATTATTCTGGAGAGCATTGTTTTTGATGTGAACACGGAAGAAGAGATGTTGGGAGTGGTGGAAGTGTTTACAACAAGTGATCGATTTCCATCAATGGTTGAGGCTTGTAAAAAACAAATCGAGAAGGATTTGAAATTCAAAGGATTCAGTCAATTTGGAAACACGGTGTATGCTGAACTTTTGGACTTGATCAGATATAGAAGAGGTGATCGAGAGAATTCGGAAGCTTTTGAGTTTATTGAGTGGTATATGAGATGTTTGGAGAAGAATGGAATTGAGAAATTGGAAGAAGGGAGGAAACTTCGAAATGATATTGAGAAGTGAGTTCTGAAATTTCATTAATTTTCCTAGAGACCTTGGTAATTTACAGAATCAAGACTCAGCGAGAAAGTCGGATCGTGAATATGAGAAATCACATTCGAGAGGTTGAAACAAAATTTTCAGATTTTAAAATTGAGATGGAAAATTTGAAGAAAGAAAATGCCCGACTCACAAACCAAATACTCTCTCAAAAATACCGAAAATTTTTGGACAAAGACTATGACAATATAATCGATTCACTATGCGCAAACCTCAATGAGTAAGTTTTTTTCTTCGCTAATCTAACATAACTTAAAATATTTTCAGACTTTGCCATCGCTATCCCGAATCTCCAGAATATTCAGCTGCCAGAAACTATGTTATGGATTTCAATGAAACCCTTGAAGATCTAGTGCGAAGTGTTGGAGAAGAGTTGGAGAAAATTGAGAGGAACCCGTGGGCTGAAGTGGTTGAGTTGGAACTCGATGAATTTCCAAATGACGCGTTCTTGAATGATTATACCAATTGGGTTAGGGATAATGGACTTCCGGATTATTTCCACCAATAATATCACCAAAAAAGAAAAACATTAAAAAATATATTCACGCAAAACCAAAAAAAATACAAAAATACAAAAACTCAAAAAAATTGAAGCATTATCTAAGCGAAGCCAGCCCGGAGCATATCAAAATTAAGCCAAATTATATTTGAAGCACAAGCCAAGCAATATTGACACCAAGCCGAAACCCAGCCACAGCACACCTTATTGTTAAGCAAAATTTGTTATTGTAATAATTTATTTTTGTTGTTAAACTGTATATAAGCCTTGTACATAAGCATTTTTCATGAAAACTTAAGAATGGATATAAATAAATTGTAAATAAAGCGATAAATTGTTTTTTTATCTATTCCTACAGTATGTATGTATACTGAAATCGCTTCGAGACCCAAACCCTTTGAAGAATGTGTTCGCCTTTAATTTTTTCAGAATGAGATTTTCAGCCTCTAACAAGGCCTTCCCTTAAGGGAAGCTTCCCTTGATGAATTGTTTTTGTTTTATATGCATATCAAACATGTCAAAAATTTGCGGGTAAGAAAACTAGCAGCGCGTAGCCTAGTGGTTAACACGCCAGTCTTTCAATTTTTAGGTCATGGGTTCGATCCCGCTTCGAGGCAAACTTTTTTGAAACGATGACCAGTAATCGCGAAAAAACACCTCACACCTTCTCTCTTTCTATTCTCGTTCAAAAAACTATATCACAAAAAAAACCGGAAAAATCCTGCGTACTTATCATCACAAATCATCCGCCGCAAAAATGTCCCCCACACAATACCTTTTCAAGAAAGATGAAACAAAAAGCCCCAACCAAACTTTCGCTTCCTATATCTTGTCTCTCGAGAGAAGAGACAAAAGGTATTAGCCGATTTCTTGGGGGACGATTACAGGTTTCTCTCAAATATGAGATGAAGCAGCAGGTTTTATCAATTCAATTCTGATCCCACCTCTTCATTCCCGATTGTTGATTTATTTTTTAACATAATATTGTATATCGCTCGCGTTTACACACGGTTACACGGTTAGCCATGATTTCTAGCTTAGCCAAATGTGTTGTTCTCGTTTCCTCGATAATTGCTGTTGGTCAAGCGTGTATTGCCACAACCACAACAACCCCAGGTAAGCAAAGTTTTTGAAAATTGTTACTATTTATATTTGAATCTGTAATTTTCAGTCTGCTGTAGTGTTCTTTCCACATCTACATTGACTCGTGTGCCTCCAGTAGGAATTACGTCAGAACAATGTTCAGTTTTGCGACGAATCTCGAGCGTCTGTCCAACCACCGGAACTGTACTCTGCGACGCCGCTGCTGATACTAATGTATGATATATATATTTCTCGGAAAAATTTAAATTCAGTATTCTACTTTCAGCCCAGCAACGTTATCATTCAATTAATCGGAACTGCTGGTACATCCGTCAAAGAAGTCAGTGTAGCCGGTGACAGCGCCGCTACCACTTTGCAATGCGTAAATGGATTATGGTATGTGCCCGGCACATCGACCCAGGTGAAATCAGTCACGTGCTCACAAACTGGATCGACAGGAACTGATGAGGGAAATTTCCCATAGAAGAACAATGCAAAATTTAATAATTTAATAAAAATAATAATGATATCAGGATATGTTATACTTATAAATTTGTTTCCCACCTCTTCTTGTTACCAGTTTATCAATCGAAAACAATAGTAATCCTACCCGCCCCTTAACTTACTTTTTTTTTTGAAAAAACTTTTTCATTCCTCATTAGTATCTACCTCAATCGCGATGTCTTTCATCTTCTACCTCACTATTCTCTCTCTGGCGGTTTTCGAAAATGTTGAGAGTTGTGTGGCGACCGCTGCACCAACCACAACTCACGCCACAGCGACTACAACTACTACCACAGTTGGTGAGTTTCTGTGTCGATAGAAAATATGTAGAACACAATTTTTTGAAAATCTTGATTTTGAAAAAAAAAAATGAGAACGTGTCAGGGACCACGGCTTCCACCACCACAACTACTACAACTACCACAGTTGGTGAGTGCGCCAAACTTTCGAATTTCTGAAAAAAAACCCTACTCAACAAAACTTTTTGTGAAAAATTTTAACTCTAGATAGGAAAGAATGTTCGCTCTATCGCACACATATTTTATTTGTGTGTACTTCTCTCGGACTTCACATCCGAAAATTTAGAGCAAAAACTCAAACAGTTTTTCTAACCACAGAAATGTGAAAAAAGCAGAATTTTTGGATGGCGAACAATTATGTGACTCTCCTGAGGTCGAATTCAGTACTTGAAGGATCCTATTCAATTTGCCACGTCATAACTTACATTTTCCGACAGCCAAACTTACAGAAAAATTCAAGAATTTTTTACAATTTTCAGCCTGTTGCCCAGTTCTCACAACTTCCTCTCTCCCTAGAGTTGCCCCATCTGGAACTGGTCATGAGCAATGTTCAATCTTGAAGCGAATGTCCACGAAATGCCCAACAACCGGGCTTGTATTATGCGATGCTGCGCAGGAGACTAATGTGGGTGCAAGTTGCTAGATGTTCTAGGTTCGAGATCATAGATCAATCAATTTCCAGCCAACCAGCATTCTCATCCAATTCTTCAACTCATCCGGCACCGTCGTTCGCTCAGTTTCCACTGAAGGCGACCACGTCACAGCTACCGTTATGTGTATCAATGGAGTTTGGAACGTTGCGACAACATCAGGCGGAACCACTTACACCCCAATCTCTTCGGTGTCTTGTTCGCAGAGTGGATCAACTGGAACAGATTTGGGGAACGTTATAAGTGATGGTTATAGTAAAATTGATAAGTATGGGGGTGGTGGAAAAGGATGGTGATGATTTCAATTTCATTTTGGTTTTTCAACAGTTAAGTATAATAATTTTAAAATAAATTAATAAATTTTTCAATGAGTTTCCCCGTTGAAGAGGACGCAAAGATTCTTGGAAGCCTCCGAGTTTTCAAAAACTTTTCGCGAAATGTGCTTGACAAAAATAATAATAACCATGGATTTGACAAGGCAAACAGATCGGCAGATAGAGTTAGCAGAACTATAACAATATTACGAGCATCGGAAGAAAGTGAGAGAGCTAGAAGGCATTGAAAGATTGTCATCGCGATGATGACAAGGGTGAAGATGCAGGAATAGATGAGGAGATTTTTTTGAACTTTGCTAGCCAGGTTGGGTTGCGCTTCGAAGAGCTGGAAATTTATTTTTATTTTTTTAAAATTTAATTTAATTAAAAAAAAATTCAAGCCCACCTGCATTTTCCGATTTTTCGAATGTACATAGATCGCAAGAATGTTGCAAATTAGACAAGCGACACAAAATGAGATGTAAATTGCACAGGAAACATATGAGTTGAAACTTTGATCTTCACGGTTTTTAAGACTTGGAACAACTGCCCCATGCAGTGGAAAATAATAGGCCTCTTGGTGGATTCTGGAGAAGGTTGGGATGAGGCACATCAGTGCGCTTAGCAGGATTAACAGGTGGGTTGAGCGAGGATTCCACAGCTGGAAAATTTGGATTTGAATTTTCAAGAGGGGTGTGTCTCTAGACTTGACATGTAAGCTCTCAAGGCGCGGATCCTTGCCACAATGATTGTCAAAATGCGGGACCTAGGGAATTAGGTTCTTCAGGCGCGGCTACTTGACAAATGAGACTTCAAGACGCTGATCCTTGACAATTTAAATTTCTAGACACGTCTATATAGACGCGTCTACTTGATAACTAAGGTCTTGTAGGCGCGGCTTCTTGACATATAAGCCCCCAAGGCGCCGTACCTAGCCTCAGTGATTCTCAAGGCGCGGAACCTTGCCACATTGCTTTCCTAGATGCGGGACCTAGGCAATTAGGTTCTTCAGGCGCTGATCCTTGATAATTTAATCTTCAAGGCGCGGCTACTTGAGAACTAGGGTCTCTAGACGCTGATCCTTGACAAAAAAGGTCTCAAGGCGTTGCTCTTTGTCAGAGTGAATTTTATAAGGCGTGGCTACTTGAGAACTAGGCCTTCTAGGCGAGGCTACTTGAGACCTAGGGTCTCTAGGCGCTGATCCTTGACAATTTAATTTTCAAGTCGCGGCAACTTAACAAATGCGATTTCTAGGCGTTGCTACTTGTCAGAGTGGATCTCTTGATAGGTCTACTAGACAATCAGATTCACTAGACGCAGTTACTTGGGAACTAGGATTTCTAGGCGCTGATCCTTGTCATAAAACCCCTCAAGGAGTGGCTTCCGAAAAACAATCCCGTGTAGTTCACTCGGACAACCGCCAAACTTCAAAATTCAAATTTCTCACCTTGGCATGCGACAGCGGTGTCGCAATCGCCGAAAGTCGATTCAACGACAACAAAAACTGCAAACACAATTCGAAAAGTGTCGAATATTGTGAGATCATAAATCCGAGTTTGGCCAAAATCTGGAAGGATAACGCGCCCTGCCAGCCAGCAATCGGAAATCGAAAAGCGATGAGAGATGTGAGAACTTGAATGAAATCAGCGGGAGCTGCAAAATTTCAGGAATTTTTCAGCCAAAGTTTTTTTAAAAGTTACCTCGAAAAATGAACAATCGATGAAAAGCCGAATTGAACTCTTGATCTCCACTCAAAACAATATAGAAGAATTCGAGGAAATAAAGTGATAGACTCGGAATAATGTAGATTAATTGGCAGGCAACTATGTAATAGTAATAGAGCATATCTGAAAATAAATCTGAAAATCTAGAATGTGCACGTATTCGAAATTGGAGCAGCAAAGGAAATGAGTCAAAATCTCAAATTTCTTTTTTAATTAAATTCAATTGGGTTGTAAATTAACAAAATCCCAAAAGATTCATGTGAAAATTACGTGTCAGCCAAAAAAAGTAATAAAAATCATCCAAGCTTATCATAAATTCTCACGATTCGTAAAAAAACGAACTTTACTTTTTTTTAGTATACATTTTTATTTTTATGTATAAGGAACAAAAAGAGACAAAATGTGATTTTAGGGCTAACCAAAGAAAAAAGCCCATAAAAAGGGATGAGATGAGATCAAATTGGTTTCACGTCGTCAAATTGTTTTCGCGCTTTTTTCAGCTCTTCGGACATTGAGAGGAGATCCTGGAAAAGAAAATCGAGATTTTTTTTTTTTGTAATAAAATATAAACAAAACACATATGTTCTTGAGGGAAAAGTTATGACATTTTGTGATTTTTGGTCAGAAAAATTTAAAATTTAGAGTAAATTTTTTCATCAAACATTTTCTGCGAAAAAATATGTAGAAGGAATCAAAACAAAATTCCAAAAATTTTCATTAAAAAATCTCTTGAAACGTATTTTTCTCAACAGTTCTGGGCCCGAATTTCCGGATTTTCAAGGAAAAATCAATTTTCCGGAAAATGTGCTCGGAAAATCCGGAAAATGATCTTTAGCAGTAATATTTTCAAAATTCCCTAAAAATTTGGGAAATTTTCTCAGTTTATGATAGAAAAAATGAAACTTTTGAATTTTTTTTTCAGAATTTTTCAAATTCTACTATTTTTGAACGTAAAAAACGTCTCAAATAGTCAATAAATCATTTGTGAATAAAAGAATTGTATATAAAAATAAGTTTCAGTGCAACTTAGGGCGGAAAATCAAAATTTCAGACATTCTCCGAATTTTCCGGTTCAAAAAATCCGGAAATTTTCCGACTTTCCGTTTTCTGGGTTCTGATTTTCCGGCACAGGTCTGATTTGTGTCTTTGGTTTGAAAAATTTAAATTCCAAAAATTTTAAACTAATCAAAACAAAATTCCAAAAATTTTCAATAAAAAATCTCTTGAAACGTATTTTTCTCACCTTAACCCGCGCAAATTTCTTAACATCTCGCCGAATCAAATAATGAATATCTTCCAGCGCCAATTTATCCGGTTTTCCGACTTTCATTGCCAGTTCGCAGAGTTCTTTGATATAGTTCAGCGTGATTGCTTCGAGGACTTCTAGAGTTTTGTCATAGGGAACTTTGTCGTCGCCGAAGCCATACATCATGTTTCGAAGTTCGCGTCGGAGAAGATGTTTTTTGTCTTCGGGACTTGTCTGGAGAAAAATGGATTTGGAACTTTGGGTTTTTCAAAGGGGTTTTTAATTGTTTTTTGATATTTATGTAGTCTAAATTAATTTTTTTCTCAAAAATCTAGGCCACCAAATTCAAATATTCAAATTTCTTGGCCACCGAAACCTAATTTTTGGTTTTCTAGGCCACCAGGCGGAAATCTAGGTCGTCAGATTCAAATTTCTTGGCCACCGAAACCTAATTTGTAGCGTTCTAGGCCATCTGACGGAAATCTAGGGCATCAGATTTAAATATTTAGATTTCTTGACCACTGAAACTTAATTTTTGGTTTTCTAGTCCCCCAAAATCCTCACCAATTTCTCCTTTTCATCCTCTCCATCAGAAGTCGCAAATAAATCCTCTTCCTCATCCATTTTCCTAAAAATTTTTTTTTTTGAATTTTCAAAGTTTTTTACTGATATAAATATTTAAAGTGCAATTTCAACACATTTCAAAATTCCAGAACAGTTATAAATTTGAAAAATCTTATTATTAAAAACGAAAAAATCCAAAAAATACTAGTACATAAACAGAACACAGACAGAAAAAAAAAAATAAGTGAGAAAAACGAACCAGAAAAATTTTGGGAAAAAAAGAGAAGGGAAGAAAAAAATAATAAAATAATTTAAGAAAATTGGTGTCGAGTTGGTTATTTACACGGAAAAATCGAATATTTTCCAAGTTTTTTGGTGGAGTTGACGAGTAAAAGCGCACAATTGAGCCAGTCTGAAAATATGTCATGAGCACTTTTAAAAATGTGTCAAATTTTGATGAATGAAACTCAAAATTCACTTACTTAATTCACAATAAAATTGAAGTTGAACATAAATTTCAAAAGATATATGTGGCCGAACTATTTTGGTGGCCGAGAAACTCAGAAATTTTTTTGTACCGGGACAGAATTTTTTAGGCACATTGTTCGAGTACTGTCTATATTTTGTGCAGGTGATGACGTCATGGCATGCACAAAATATAGACAGTACTCGAACATTGTGCTTAAAAAAATTCTGTCCCGGTACAAAAAAATTTCTGAGAATGTCGGGAATTCGGCCAAAGCAACAAACTCGCTCTAATGTTGCAAATATTGTCAGCGCGTTTTTAGCGTTGGCCGAGTTCCCGACATTTCTCGGCCAGCAAAAAATTCGGCCACATGTTTCTTGAGGATTTTTGGGTGGTTTTGGGATGAAAATTGATGTTTCCATGATTTTCAGCGCAAAATTCTGATCTAAAAAAATTACTGTTTCAAAAATTCTTGGTTAATTTTTCTCAATTTTATCATGCATCTATTCATTTGCGAAAAAAATGTATTTTTTTTACAATATTTTTTCTATTCACCAAAATGCACGAAATAAATGTCAATCGTGACGAGACCCACACACATTTCAAGGAGAAAAACATGCGTGAAAAAAAACAAGAAATGAAATTTTCGAAAGCATGCATTTTTCACACTCGTTGCCTTGAAATGAGTGTGGGTCTCGTCACGATTGACATTTATTTCGCGACAATTTGTGATTTTGGTGAATAGAAAAATATTGTAAAAAAATACATTTTTTCGTGTTTTTTTTTTGCAAATGAATAGATGCATCATAATTTGATTGTGATTGATTTTGTGATTGTAGAACAAAAATTTGCGCTGAAAACCGCTGAACATTGAGAATTCCATGATTTTCAGCACAAAATTTTTGACTGTTTCAAAAATTATTTATAACTTGTTCAAATTTATCATAATTTGATTGTGGTTGATTTTGTGACTGACTGAGAATTTTGCGCTGAAATCACTGAAAAATGCTGAAAATCGGTGTTTTCATGATTTTTAACACACAATTTTGACCAAGAAAATTTCAAGAATAAATTACGTTTCGAAACTAACTTCTGTATAATTTCCCATTTTCTCTGGAATTTATGTTCAACTTCAATTTTTGTGAAGTAAGTGAGTTTCATTTTGACCCGAAAATTCCCCGGAAAATCTTACATTGAGAATAATAGAAATCATCAGAAGAATCTAAAGCATAAACATCATCAGAGAAGTTCTAGACACGTCGAAGTTTCTCATTAATCGTACGAACAATCATAGTTGTTTGAAAAACCAGTTGATTCGCCGAAACCGAAACTTCATTCGCATTCTGATCTTTGAAATACGTTTTCAAAGTGTTGCTGAACCTTTTGGAATAATGAACAAATTCTCGTTTTCGTTTTTCAACTGCAGGCTGAGCATTTGGTGGAACTATTTTGTAGACCGCATTTATCGCTTCCAGCAATTTTTTGATTGAAGACGCAATCAATTTGATGGTCTCCAGAAAAGCGTGACGATCTGACATTTCTTCGGGAACTCGTGACAATACACGACGTAGTTCGATGGCTCTTCTGGTCAATTCTTGATATTCTTCAATGTGCTCGAATCCGCTGACGATTAGGTCATTTGTTGGCGATGTGTCGTGCATTCTGAGATATGATTCTTGAAGATTCACATTTAATTCCGAGTCGTTGAGTAGGATTTTTGTGAGATCGTATAGGAATGATGGAGATGCTTGTTCGCAAGTCGTTAGAGCGTTGTGCAGTTTCTAGAATTTATTTTTATTTATTCATTTCTCATACCAAGCCAAAAAAAAACACTTACATTCAACGCCGCATGTGCTCTCGGATCATCGCGATGTCCTGACTTCAATTTCTCGAGCACCGGACTGTACAAGCATTGATAGGTCATGGCACCCAAGTAGCCGCCTTCCTCATTCATTTTTTATTGCGCTTCAAGTCAAGCTGAATAAATAAATAGATATGCGTATGAAAATAATAAAATGACGAAGAATACAAACAAAATCGATCGATAAAATGGTGAAGGAGGCGAGAGTGGAGAGTGCGCAGAGAAAAAGACAACAAATTGTTGTATGGAGAAGGGAGGGGGAATGGAATGTTGGTTTGAGTCATTTGGACAAGAGCTGAGTGAATTGATAAGACTGTATGGTTTGGGTTGAAAAAATCAACAAAAATATTCTGTGAAGAAGAAAACAATTTTCTTTCGTGTTTTATCAGAAAAATAAAATTTTCAGAGAATTTTCGTAGGGAACACTGAACAAGAAATAATAGATACTAAATTCAGCAAATAAAAACCCGCATCAGCTGCGAAATCGCTCAACTTTTGAGTTGGCAAACCCGAAGCAAAGAAAAAAAGAAAAATCCGAGGGTCGTGAGAATCTTCGGCCACGGCCAGCAGAAACATGGAGGCAATTTCAAATATTATCGATGAAATTGGATAAAAAAATGAAATAAATAATAAAAATGAAACTCTATTTGACTCGTGGAAAGCCAAAGTTCACGCAAGCGTGAAATATAATTTTTCTAGAAAAAAACTTTTTTGTATTTTTTTTGAGTTGCAGAAGAGAAAATTCTGATTTTCTACGAATTCTTTAGCTAAAATTGAATTATACTATTTCGAGAATGAAAATACGGCTTTTTGGTGAACAACAAACAACCACAGCTGCAGATTTTTGAGTTGGAAAGCCGCGAAAAAAAATGAAAAAAAAAAAAGAAAATTCCGAGGGTCGTGAAAATCTTCGTCCACGGCCACGATGAAATTTGGGGGAATTTTGAAAAAAAAATGATGTTTTGATCACTCAGCGCCTGAGTAGAAGTGAGGAAAACAGGGAAAAACTAAAAATGAAAAAAAATTACTCGTGGAAAATTCAAAGTTCACGTTGACGTTAAAATATATTCGAGATAATTTGAAATTTTATGAAGTTTTGAAGATTTTCTGAATTTTTTACATTTTTTGAACACCTGTCTGTTTCTCTTTAAAACTTCCATGCATCGATTTTTTCTCCCAAAAATTCGTTGTACCAATGAACGGATATGTTATCATCTCGATATATTTTCACTAACTCTTATATTTTTCTCTCATCTCACACATCGTGTAAACAACATACACATATATTTCATACCAATTTTGTATATGATCACCTCTCCTTCTTCTTCTATATTTACTTAGCCCAACTTTTTTCACACACACGACCATTTTTCATCAAAAAATAAATAATATCGTTTTGAAACTTGACAAAATTGTTGTAGTAGTGAAGAACTAATTTTGTTCAATGTCATATTTCTCTAATCCTCTCATCTCTTCTTGTTTTTCATGCTAGTTTTCTGGCTGTCTCTTTCTCTAAGTCACACTTTCAGCTTTTTTTTTCAATTTTTGTTTTCTTTTCTTTTTCGTTCCCCCCCCCATTTTTTTGCCTACTCGGAACAAATATTTTTATTTTTTTTTCATTATTATTATTGGTGTTTTCTTCTTTTTCCTATATAATAGGCTGATAAGAATTTCTCAAAAAAAAAACAAAACATTTTTTTATTGTTTGTGTTCCTTGTTTAAGTGCTCCTTGTTTATTTATGTACCTCGAAAATTCTTTTTGAAAATGATTTTTTGCCAGATGAAAAATGATAAACGGCTTTGGTATTTTTTGATGGTTTTGGGATGTTTGGCGCTGCTCAACGCTCTGATTTCGACAATTTTCAGACCCTTCAATTATGCACAGTAGGTTTTTCTATTATTGATTTTTTTACTGTTGTTTTTCATAACCAAAAAATAAATAATCCTCTTAATTTTATTATGTTGAAATTTTTTTTTGAAAAAAATTCCTTTTACGATCTGACCGGTCGAAAAATCAAAAGAACTATGGGATACTGTAGCACTTAGAATAAGATTTGAGAATAAAATAATGAGCACATTTATGGGGGATGGAAAATGTGTGGGATTTTTATGAGATACTGTAGGAGGCTTTTTAATGTGATGATCGAAATTCAAGACAAAATTACAGAAAACGAAAATTTCTTCAGAGCTTGAATTTTATTTACAGTAGAAAAAATAACCTTTTTTTGAAACCGGAAAAAATACGTTTCAATATTTTAATAAGCATATTTGTTATTGATACATAATGTTAAATAATTGAAGTGTGTTTGAAAACAAAAATTTTAATTTTATGAAAAAATTCCTTTTTTTTCGAAACCTAAAAAAATACGTTTCTAATTTTCTTCAAACAAATTTTTCTCAATAGCAATTTTTAGTGCCAAAAAGTTCATGTTGTTATTAATAATCTTCTGTAATTTTAAACTGCAGTGAAAATTTTGACCCAAAAATGATTTTAAACAAATTTCCATAAGCTCTATTAACCAAATATCGTATTTTAGGAAAATAAAACAAACAAAATGTTTTTTAACTAACAATTAGCTCCAGATATAGAAATTTTATACTAAGCCAATCTTGCACTACAAAATTCTATTAGGAATTAAGGTTCTAAATAACGAACCTAATCACAAACATATCTGACTAAAAATAACATTTCCAGCCATTTCCAAGTGATCAACGTTCACTGGATCAACACAATCATTCTAATCGCCGCAATCGCTCCTCTAATCTTCCCCCAACAAACCCTCAAATCCGAAACCGCCATCGTCGTCACCAATGTGATAAGTCTTTGCATTTGCGCAAGTTGCGCACTAGCCGATATTTCCAACGTGTTGCTTGTAATTGCACGACGTGGCGGCGGAAATACCACAGTGTTTTCCACAGAAAACGGCGAGGAAGAGGATGATATCGTGAGTTTTTACGGAAAATGTTAGAACTTTAGAAAAAAGACGATTTAGCAGTTGTATTATTCGGATGATTTTAACTCGTTCTTACGACTACGTGCTGCTGAATTAGTTAGTTTTGAGAAGGAGTTTGCTCATTTGCTTTTTACGCGCTTTCCTGCTGGGCTATAGCTTTTTTTAAAAACTTTTCGGCTGGTCGGAATTTCAGATCAGAATCGGTGAGATTGAGAGAGACGCAGAGAAAATCTCTGCCACGTAGTTCACGTTTTTATTAAAAAAATTAATTTTATATTTTTTTTCGATGAAAAATTGAGATTTTCACGTGAAAAAAAGATTGCCACATAGTTCACGTTTTTTCACGTGAAAATCTCTTTTATCGAAAAAAAGATAAAATTTATTTCTAATAAAACGTGAACTACGTGGCAATCTTTTCAGAAATTTTCTCTGCGTCTCTCTCACTCTCACCGATGACTCTTTAACATGTTGTGATTCCGATCAGCCCTGATCTAGAAGATCCGCATTCAAAAATCCACTAATATTTACAGAGAGAACACCTCTTCACATATAATTGCATCGATTTGGCGATTTGCACATTAGCCGCATGTATTTCCTATCAAATGATCGAAAATCGCGTGAGAATCTCGCCAATCATGCACATGGTCGATAGCAGAAAAGTTCAAGCTCTCGGACTCGGATTAGTCATGCTCTCCTCAACAGCAATCCTGAATCATGTTTGGGAGCGAATTGTGATGATGAATCATAAACTCGCGATTTTCGTCGACATGCATACCATGGATGAATTCTCGTGGCTCACAATTAGCATGGCTACCGGAATCTTCACAATAATGTCATCTCGGGGAAATCAAATCATTCAATCTAGTGCATTTGTGCTATCCGGCGCAACTATTTATCCATCATTTTTCTATGCTTGGCTAGATTATCGAGCGATGACATCCACACATTCAAGATTTTTATTCAATCAAGCTGCGCTATCTTCAATGATTGCTCTTCCACATATTGGAGTGCTTCTAGCAACCTTCTTGCTCTTCACAATTTCAATGAGGGAAACTGTGCAGGTATTATCGAAAATCTCATCGGTACCACGCGCTCCACCGAAATAAACACGCAATGCAGACCGCGTCGCGCTACAACACACAAAAATTCAAATTCCCTCCCTTTTTTGTGTGTGTTGTGGCGCGGCGCGGTCTGCGTTGCGTGTTTACTTCGGTGGAGCGCGTGGTACCGATGAGATTTTCGATAATATTTCCTTCCAGGTGCGCCTCGAAACCCGCCACAAAATAATCTTCGCCGCCTTCTCCCTCTTCTTCCTTATCGTCGCTGTCGCTCTTGTCGACATCTCATTCTACGCAATCTTCACCAAACAGTTCTATCGCATCTTCCACAGTTCCGAGCAAAAACTGCCATTCCTCGCCGCATTTTTATCACTTTTCACTGGCTTGAGTGTCTTCACAAAGTTCAATTTCATCACAATTTCTGCTTCGATAGTTATCGCATTGTTGGCACTGAATTCAACATATCTCCACATTTTTTCATATTTTTATCTGCGTTGGAATGGGTATTTTATCGATGTTACAAATTTGGAGTTTCTCGTGTTGCCTGCCGATAAATTTGAGAATGGAACTGAGAGTGAGTTTGCTTCTTTTTTTTTGAAAAAAAATAATCTATTTTTGCAGCCTCAATGGTTCACACAGTCGAAACATCCATCAATGTTCTCTCACTCTTCGCCTCCTTCTCTCTCGTCACATTTCTCATGATCCTCTGCCGAACTCACACATCTCCCTCCGAAATTCTCGAGCAAACCACTTCCAAACTCCCACGCGAACGTCGAATTCTAATTCTTGGTGTCTCAATGTTGGCTGGCGCATTTGTTGTGCTCATTTTGGCTATCTATTTATTGATTGTAACCGATAGAGTTCACCCGCTTGTCACGATTTATTCGCAGATTTTTCAATTGGTTCTAGGCTTATCGATCACCAGTTTTGCGTTGTTTCAGGTGAGTAACACTGCATTTTTCAGAGAAAAACCTATTTTTTCTCTGAAAACAGGTTCTGGTCTCCGAAACACTCTCCAAATACCCGCTCTACCAATCCTCTCTCATGTTTCTATCAATCGTTCGAGCTCTCGACATCCTCACTCAAATCGACTACAAAGATGTCGGAACTCAACCATACGCTTGGACAATTCACGCGCTCATCGAGTATATTTCAATTTTCGCTCACTTTTTGACAATCGCCGAGTTGTTATATATCCAAGGAGCTGGTCGACCGCTAGTCGAACCAGCCGAAATCCCGCTGACGTTCGAGAACCCGCTGAGTCCTGAAAATAACGGAGTTGGCGATGAGAATGGCTATGTTATGCTTCAAACAAATGATGTGAATGTTGAAGAATAGATGGTGCTGCTAAAGAAAAACAAATAATTCTATCTAGTTTCTCAATGATCTCTGTACATAATCGTCTTTTGCTTGTGATATACTTAACTTTTCATACATAATAAACATTTGATTGTTGTTTGAACGGGTTTCTTGAATTTTTCAGCAGTTTTTATTCATGTTTTTCACTGGAAAACAGTGATTTCTAAAAATACTCACTTTTTGGCTGAAAATCGATGAAATTTCGCATTCCTCCGTCGGAAAACATGATCGAGGAAGTTGAGAGAAGAATTGCCAATGTCAATTTACTGAAAAATATATGAATTTATCGTTGAAAAGTGAAAAACAAGCAAAAAACAAAAAAAATGAAAAAATAATAATTTTTTTGTGTGCATTCTGACGTGACGGTGTTTGCACACTTTGCTCTGTGAGAAGAAAATTCAAACGGTTTAAACGTTTTTTGTCATTTTTTTTATTTTGGTGCAAACTTCACCATTTTTCCATTTTTTAAAAAATTTGTTGCGTCTCTGATTCTCTAGATGTCTAGTTCCTCTGCGTCTCTAGTTCGATAGTGTTCTCTAATTGTCTAGCTTCTCTGCGTCTCTGACTTTCTAAAAAAGAATTTCTCAATTTTTAATTTCGAACGTGAAACATAAAATGACGTGGAATTAAAAAACACTTCATTTCTTTTTCGAAAACCACTTTCTCAAATTAATATGCTTCTTGAGCGGAACTTTCGGCGCCTGTCCTTTCGGTGCCTGTCCAGATTGTCCAGCCGGACTTGCCCCAACTTGCGGCGAAGTTACCGCAACTTTCGCCACCGGTTTCACAACCTCCTTCGGTTTCACCACCACCGCCTCTTTGGGTTGTTTCACAACCTCCACCTTTTTCGTCGGGGCCGCTATCTCCACAATTGTATCATCACTTTTGGATGTTGAAGCATCGTGAAGTGGTTCACCTTCAACATCCGGAAAATCTTCGTCGGTATACTTTTTCGTGGCAGGATTCGCGGGTAGATTCAGTAGATCTTCGAGTTTTTCAACCTTTTCGTCCACTTTTTTCCGCATCGATTTGCAATTTTCCGCATTTTTCTGCCAATCTAGCGGTTTATCCGGTTTGAAATCATTAACTCTCATTAATTGACACAAAATTCCTCGAATCTTCTCATAATCGGGTTCCATTTGATAGGACAAAGTTCGCACATAATTTCGCAAGAATTTAAATTCGGCCGGACATTTTTCGAGCAACTCATCGGTTTTGGAATCTTTCGATTTTTTCGCGTCATCTTTGTTCATTTTTTCCCACGGCAAATCGCCAGTGTGCAATTCAATGAGCATGTATAAAAGGGACCAATAATCATCTTGACGACCGGGTTCAAGACGTAGGTGCACATTTGGTGAGCAATATTGAGTTGTGCCACGGAATGGAACACGGGCTCGAGGTTTGCGTAGAGTTTTGCCGGATTTCTGTAGGGAAAAATATTTTTTTTGCAGTTCGGACTACTGTAGGTTGAAAGTTGGAGCTAATATAATCCAAACTGCAAAAAGATCAAATTATTTTTGCAGTTCGGGTTACTGTAGCTTTAAAACTAGTTCCCAAAAAGGTTGCAAAAAGTGTAGATTTTGCACAGTAATCTGAACTGCAAGATGTTTTGCAGTTCGGTATACTGTATCTGAAGGTTGGACGTATCATTTTTGTTATGAGCTACAGTAATCCAAAAATTCTGCAGTTTGGGTTACTGTAGACTGAACATTTTCTAAATTCTCGTACTTTCGAAAAATGATTTTATGTTGTTTTCTCAATTGTGATCTACAGTAATCCGAACTGCAAAAAATTGTAGAGACAGAAAACGGATTTTTGCAGTTCGGATTACTGTATCTGAAGCTTGAACGTATTATTTTTGTTATGCGGAAAATTGGAGCTACAGTAATCCAAAAATTTCGCAGTTCAGGTTACTGTAGACTTAAAATTTCTTAAATTCTTGTACTTTTTGACCTACAGTAATCCGAACTGCAACAAAAAAAATGTAGAGACAGAAAACGGATATTTTGCAATTCGGGTTACTGTGGACTTGAAATTTTCTAAATTCTTGAATTTTCAAAAATGATTTTATGCTGTTGTTTCTCAATTTGACCTACAGTAATCCGAACTGCAAATAATTGAAGACAGAAAATGGATTATTGCAGTTCGGATTACTGTACCTGAAGGTTGAACATATAATTCTTGTTATGCAGAAAATTGGAGCTACAGTAATCCAAACTGCAAAACATTTTAGAAAACGGATTTTTGCATTATTTTTGCAGTTCGTGATACTGTAGCTCAAAACTAGTATCCAAAAAAAGTTCCAACAAGTGGTTTTTCTTCAAGTGATAAAGAGTACTGTAGCTCAAAAAAAAGTTCCCAATTTTTTTGTAGATCAAACCTAGAGACTTTCAAAACTCACATAAAGTTTTCGGCAAATTCCGAAATCCAAAATATACAAAATCTTCTCAGCCTCCGTCCCAAGTAAACCAATCGCAAAATTCGACGGTTTCACATCTCGATGAATATATCCGGCGAAATGTAGTTCCTGAATTGAATCACTCGCCTGAATCGCCACCACACTCGTCGTATACAACGTGAACTTTTTGCTCGCCATAGTTTTTCTCAAATCGGCCAACGATGGACCGATCAAATTCATAATGATATAATTATAGTTTCTTTCTTGACCCATTTCATACGCAATTATTGTATGTTTCGATTTTTTCTCAGACATGACTGTCATCAGGTCCCATTCGATTTTCAAATTGTTGCGAAGTGTGGCGAGTTCGGTTTTGCACGCGAAACGGGCGGTGGGATTGTTGAGACGCATCACTTCGTACACTATTCCGTAGCCACCTTTGCCAAGGAGTTGGACAGTCTGCGAAATGGGATTTTTGAGGTCAGGCGTACTGTATGATAATTTCCGTAGGGCATACAGTTTTGAATTCGCAAAATTTCCCGCTTGTCCTCGAGAATTACACGGAAAATTCTATTTTTTTTTTAATTTTTGCCTCTTCCCGCTTGTCCTCGAGAAGTACACGGTCATTTCGAGTTTTTTGAATTTGCAAAATTTCCCGCTTGTCCTCGAGAACTACGTATTTTTCTAGATTTTAAGAAAAATTCAAATAATTAACTTTTCCCGCTTGTCCTCGAGAAGTACACGCAAATTCCGAATTTTTTGAATATTTGCCTTTTCCCGCTTGTCCTCAAGAACTACGTATTTTTCTAGATTTCAAGAAAAATTTAAATGTTCAACTTTTCCCGCTTTTCTTCGAGAAGTACACGGAAATTCCGAATTTTTGCCTTGTCCCGCTTGTCCAAAAGAAGTACACAGAAATCTCGAAATTTCGAATTTTTGCCCTTTCCCGCTTGTCCAAAAGAAATACACCGAAATTTTGAATTTTTGCCTTTTCCCGCTTCTCCTCGAGAACTACATATTTTTCTAGATTAAAAAAATTCAAATATTCATACTTATTTTCCCGCTTGTCCAAAAAAACGACACGGAAATTCCGAATTTTTTGAGTTTTTGTCTTTTCCCGCTTGTCCTCGAGAAGTACACGAAAAATTCGAATTTTTTTGAAATTTCGCCTTTTCCCGCTTGTCCTCGAGAAGTACACGAAAATTTCGAATTTTTTGAATTTTCGCCTTTTCCCGATTGTCCTCGAGAAGTACACAGGAATTCAGAATTTTTTGAATTTTCGCTTTGTCACTCTTGTCCTCGAGAACTACGTATTTTTCTAGATTATGAGAAAAATTCAAATGTTAAACTATTCCCGCTTGTCCTCGAGAAGTACACGGAAATTTCGAAGTTTTGCCTTTTCCCGCTTGTCCTCGAGAAGTACACGGAAATTTCGAAGTTTTGCCTTTTCCCGCTTGTCCTCGAGAAGTACACGGAAATTTCGAATTCTTTGAATTTAAAAAGTTTCCCGCTTTTCTTCGAGAAGTACACGGAAATTCCGAATTTTTGCCTTGTCCCGCTTGTCCTCGAGAAGTACACAAAATTTCGAATTTTTGAATTTTTGCCTCTTCCCGCTTGTCCTCGAGAAGTACACGGAAATTTCGAATTTTTTGAATTTTCGCTTTTTCCCGCTTGTCCTCGAGAAGTACACGAAAATTTAGATTTTTTGAATTTCCGCCTTTTCCCGCTTATCCAAAAGAAGTCCACGGAAATTTCTAATTTTTTGAATTTTTGCCTTTTCCCGCTTGTCCAAAAGAAGTACAAGGAAATTTCGAATTTTTTGAAAAAATCGCTGACTAAATAAAACAGGCAAAAGGGACTTAGCCTATCTCAGTGCTTGTGCGCTCAAGCGAACAAAGCTGATGAGTTTACGGTATCTCCCTTTAAAAGTGGGGGTACTGTACCCAACTCACAATATATCTTTTGCACACTATCGTCGACAATTTGATCTGCGGGTTTTTCTCATCTTTTGTCATGCTGAATCGATATAAAAATGAGTGATTTTCGAATTGGCTTCCCTTTTATCTTTCTATTTTTGGCCGAGATTTTTATTGGGTCACGTTGAAATTTGTTTTATCTAAATATTCATTTCCGTTATTTATTCAGATTGTCAAAACACATTTGTTCAAACAAACCAAAAATCCACTTGTTACATTTTTTCCCCTTCGTTGGTCAAAGAATATATTGTGCACAGTCTTTTGTTTTATGTGCGACCTGTCTAAGAAAAGGGCATCCCATTTTTAATTACAATGTGCAAGGACACAAATCCGACGCGGCCTATTGTTCCTCGTTTCTTTTTTTTCCGTCACCCTGACCAATTGAAACCTCGAAGGTTAATTTGAATCTTGTATTATTATTATTATTATTATTGTAATTTTTCAACAAGTTGTATAATAACAATAAATTTTTGTTGTTATTTATTTATGAGACAAGATGGGATGAATTAATTAATGAGTGGAAATAATGGTGTCAGGGATACTGTAGTACTGTAGTTTGGTGTGACAAAAAATCAGGTTGGATGAAGCTTGGTATTAGCAGAAACCGATTGTTTGTTAAATTTTGAAACGTATAAATTTCGGCATTTTTTATAAGAAAGCATCTTGAATTTATTTTTCATGTGGTTCCGGAAAATTGAAAAATTGATAGTTTTAGAGTAGTTAAGGAACTTCTTCTGAATTGTGTTGGAAAAGCATGGAATTTGAAGTTTTTTCCTGAAAAGCCTAAAGTAATCTGGAAAACTCTATAGTAACCAAAAATTTTTAAATTTCAGAGAAAAAAAGGTCCGCAGTAGTTTGAACTTGAACTGAAAAATTGGCAAAAATTGAACCATACGATTTTTTTTCGAAAAAAAACTTGGGGTCAAAATTTCTGAAATAAATTTGTCTCTAGATACGATAAGTATTTTAAATTTTCTTGAACATTTTACTTGGGAAGGAAGTTTTGATCTACAGTAACTCTAGGCAAGTTCCTACAGTACGCTTTGATAACGTTTTCCAAAAAATCAAGAATTCTACAGTAACCCTATCATATTTGTAGATGAATTTCTACTGTTTCAAAACTTTTCTGTCAAGCCCCAATTTCCCAAAACTTCTGGAATAATCTCTGGTTGCTTCGTGTCCAAATTCTCTATGTATATGTACATAGCCCACATAATATTCCATCATTTCTTTCTAATTTCCCTCCTCACGTCCTTGTTTGAGTGGGCGGAGTCTTGGTGGTTTGGTACCAAAACGCGATTTGTTTTCTTTTCTCTCTTATTTTTATATTTTTATTTATTATTGTAAAATAGTATTTATTATTTTATGTGAGTGTGTACTCTTTCCGATGTTTGTTGCTATTTTTTCGATAATTTTTGTGAATGTGCAGGTTGGTTTGTAGTTTGATCTCTACAGTACTATAGAGATCTATTTAAAAATTCAAATTTTTTTCAGGCGCAGACAATTTTGGACAATGCAATTATTGGTAAGTTTATTGATTTTTTTTGAATTGAAAATAGAAAAAAGTGGCACTTGAAACTTTTAAAAAAGTACAAAAATCGAAGAATTTTTCGAATAAAAGGTCGTGGTTTTCAAAATTTCAAAGTAGTCGCGCCTAGAAATTTATGCCAAGTAGCCGCGCCTAGAAATCATATGATTCTCTAGGGCTGGCGCTTAGTGATCCATTCTGACAAGGCTCCGCACCTTGAGAGCTTCTTTGTCAAGTACTCGAGCCTAGAAAACCTATTTGTCTAGGAACGGTGACTAGCCAAATCTCAAGTAGCGTCTAAACTTCTAATCTTTCAGGCCAGCCTTATATTTCATGTGAACGTGATCGAATTGTAGTGGAAGTTGTCACCGAGCGAACTTTTACTGGAAAAATATTTGTGAAAGGCGATTACTCGAATCCAACATGCTCCAAAATATTCAAAAACGGGATTCCTTTTCAATCAAACTCAAAAATATCTGAACCCTTTTTGGGTACAGTAACCCGATCAAAAGAGCCCATTGAATCCACATTTCCAATTGGTGAAGCTCGTATATCTCCACCTCCAGAAGTAGAAAATCAAAACCAGAACAAATCTCGATGGAGTTCGGTGGGCGGAGCGAGTTCTGGATTTAGTGGAGCTTTTGGTGGAAGTCGCGGAGAGGAGAAGCTGAAGATTTTTGGCAAACCGGAATTTGAAGATCAAGGGAAAGCGAAAACCAAGGCTGAAACTTTGAGGTGAGACGTGGATTTTTTTGAGGGGAGGAAAACAAATATTGTGGGAGGATTTTGAAATACATTTTTTAGAAAAACTACCTTCGAAAATTAAAAAAATGAAAAATTTTCTAGTAAAAAAAAACAGAAAAAAAGTTTGCCTCGAAGCGGGATCGAACCCATGACCCAAAAATTGAAAGACGTGCGTGTTAACCACTAGGCTACGCGATCCTGTTTTTCTTGCCCTGTTTTTTTAATCTTGAAAAACGATTTCTGAAATAATATCTGAAATTTTCCGAATAATTTTTGTGAAAAAAAATTCAGCATATATTTAAGCGAAAAATTTTTCGATGCTGAAAATTTAAATTCTGAAAATGAAAATTGAACTTCAGTCTCTTAAAAAAGTTAAAATTTAAAATTTCTGAAATATTTTCAATAATTTTTCCAGATCCACATCAACCTGTCCCCCATGCGAACCTTGCAAATGCGCCGACGACAAACGATCACGCCGTGCCACAAATTCAATCCGCCTCGAAGTTCCTCTCGATTCCTGCAACTCGAAACGCGATCGAAAGGTGGGTACCAGGTTTTTGAGATGATCCAATTATTTATTATTATTTTCCTCCCCCAAGGACATTTCAGTAATTATTGTATTTTCTAATTTTATTTTGGCTGCCTGCCTTCCGAGGAGATTTTCAAGGAAAAAAATCAAAAATAAATTTCGAGAATTTTTTGCAGCTCAATCCACCGTCTGTTGTCGTCTCATTTGTTGCCATCGTTTCATTTCACGATAGTTTCATCACCAAACTTGACAAAGCCTATCATATTCAATGCGCGTATGCGGAAGCGGAAAAAATTGTGTCGACAGATTTGGATGTTGGGTAGGTTCAGGGAAATTTAATCAGGGCTGATTCACAAACGAAAAAAATGTTAAAAAATGTTGTTTTTTAACATTGAAAATTGAATTCACGAAAAATCAAAAAGGTCAAAATTAGTTTTTCGAGTTTTTCCAGCAAAAATGATGACAAATCAATATTTTTCAAGCTTCTGGAGTGATTTATAATGAAAATGAGCTTCGAGAACCCTATTTTGCTTTATTTTATGAATTTTTTCGAAATTGGTCAAAATTTGAAATTTTTCGTTTTACGAAAAATCAGCAAAAACTTCTGAAGGTCAATTTTTATCAGAAATCACCCAAGAAGCTTCAAAAATCCCGATTTGTCATCATTTTTGGCTGAAAAACTTGACTTTTCGTGAATTGATCTTTCGATGTTAAAAAACATTTTTTAATTTTTTCGTTCGTGAATCAGTCCTATCGGCTTCAAGATTTTTTTTGTGAAGTTCTGAGAGCCATTGAAAATTCTGAAAGTTAGAAAAACTTCATTTAAATTATTCAACACACTGAGCATCTGTTAAAATCGCCCCATCTTCGCTAAAAGCCAAAGTGACAGATTTTTCGAAACCCTCATTTTTGATAACAACACCATTCTCAACCGCATTAACCACATTAACTCGGTCAACAACACTTTTCAAAACATCGATCGCTTCTTCTCCAGTAAAACCCTTGTCATCACAAGTAATTCGGAAATCAGGAGCGAGGAATTTTTTGATTTCTGATTTGGAAGCGGCGACGATTGGAATCAAATATTGCGATCCTTTCGCAATGTCCAGAGCATTTTTATTTAGAGCTGGAGAAGATGAGGCGATGGCGAAAATCAGAGGGAGAATGAGAATGAACATTTTTTCTTGGTTGAGAGAGGCTCAGTGGGAACTTTTGAAGCAGATTTTCTGGCGTGGGAAATCATAAAGTCTAAGAACCAGACTTGGTTTTTTGAACAAACCAAATTTGTTTTGCAAAAAAAAAATTCAGAAAAGAAACATGTCAGATCTGAATAAAAATATTTAAATGTTGAAAAAAAAACATAAACTTCAGAAAAAAGGAAAATATATATTACCACGCGCTCCACCGAAATAAACACGCAACGCAGACCGCGCCGCGCTACAACACACAAAAATTCCCTCCCTTTTTTGTGTGTGTGTTGTGGCGCGGCGCGGTCTGCGTTGCGTTTTTATTTCGGTGGAGCGCGTGGTACCGATAATATGTGGTCGAAATATTTTGGTGGCCGAGAAATCGTATTCGGCCAGACGCGCTCTTATGCTGCAAAAAATCTCTTCCAGAATGCTCGACGACACGGATCTCTCAGTCACCACAGATGCTCCAACTTGCGACTATCTAATCACCGACGAAAAAGGCCTGGCCGTCAAAAATGGCCTCGTCGGCGAACTCGTCAATCACAAATGGACGTGTGGCGGTGGAATGTCGGCCAAGCTCAAAATTCTCGTCCACGATTGTTTTGTCAAAGATGGCGGTGGGCAACAATTTCAAGTCATCGATGAGAATGGGTAGGCTACTGACTCTTACGGCTAATTTCTGAAAAAAAAAATTTTTTAGCTGCACTTTGGACCAAATCATGTTGCAAACTCCAACCTATTCTGATGATGGATTGACCGCCCAAGTAAATGCCTATATTTTCAAGTTTCCTGATAAGTCTACCGTGGATTTTCGATGCAGTATCACTTTTTGCTCCATTGATGATAATGAATGTCACACAATGACGGTAAGTTTTGTTGTCTTTGAAATTTTAGCCTAGGGAAAAATGTGCTAGCTAAGCGCAGCAGGTAAGCGGATAGCCTCGCAAGCAACGCTATCGGGTTCGAACCCAGCTCGCTGCAAAATTTTTTTTAATTTTTATATTTTCAGCCTCCCCGCTGCGATCCGGACCAACAATTCCTCCGGCGTAAACGAAGTTCCACCTCTAAAAAACCATCAGTCTCTCTACATGCAAATTCGTTGACAGTTTTTGATATGGATATGATGAGCTCAAGCTCAGAACCAGAAGTTTTCCCACCGGAATCTCTACTACTTTCCCAAAACCAAATCGATATTCAGCCGTCAGATTTTTGCATTTCTGTCGCCAGTTTCGGAATTCTCATCTCGGCCTCCACATTTTTCGCAACAATCTCGTTTGCAATCATTTTTTCCTATGTCTTTTTGCGATTCAACCGAAAAATTTACATGTGATAACTTATTTTTGATTATTTTTTTTTGGATTCAACCATGATTCTTTCCACGCATTTCGGGTATTAATAAATATTTACTAATCAACATGAAAAATTGAACTGCAAGGGGTACTGTACCTTGAAAAAACTTCAAAACAATTTTTGCTACAAAGTCTATTGTATCTTCCAAACTGCAAGAAGTACTGTAACTTGGAAAAATCGGAGCGAAAAACTAGAGAAATACTTCAAACTACAAGGATTACTGTAACTCTCGAACTGCAAGATATACTGTAGCCTAAAGTTTTTTGAAAAGTCAAAAAACACCACCCTTCAACAGCATTGTAGCTCCCAGACTGCAAGGATTACTGTAACTCTCGAACCTTATATTTGGAGCTCTCGAACTGCAAGATATACTGTAGCCGGAAGCTTTTTGTAGAATTCCAGATTTTCTGTAACTTATAAGGCACCAGTTTTCGAAAGTCACAGTAGCAAACAGACTGCAAAGATTACTGTAACTCCCAAACTGCAAGATATACTGTAGTCGAAAGTTTTTGTGCAATTTTAGGTTTTGTAATTAAAAAAAAAATCAGTCTTCAATTTTTTTGTAGCTTCCAAACTGCAAGGATTACTGTAGAATTTTTTTTTTGAATAAATTATTCTAATTATACAACAAAAATTGTAACATAATCAATCTTATCATTTTTTTTCTTGATAAGAAAACGAGCATTCCCAATCAATCGATTTTCTCCCAAAAAAAATGCCGCTGAATTTCGCGAGATTCAAACAATTCCCCGAAGTCATCAAATTCTTCACCCTGATTCTCACATTTTTCCTGATGTTCTTGATGGAAACTATCCAATTTCAACCGCCGGGTAACTATTTTTTTTGAGTTTCTTCCCAAGCAAAAAAAAATTTTTCTAGGAACTTCAATGATTTGGTTCACAATGACGATTTCAATTATTTTCGATATTTTTACAATTGCTCTGCTGCTCAAAGAATTCGATTCTTCAGTGATGGCTTTGAGAATGTTGCCGTATGCTGCATTGGTGAGTTATGACGTGGCAAAAAATCTGGGAGTTTAGTTCTAGAGAAAATTCTGAGAGATCTGATTTTCAAAAATAATAGTTCAAATATTCCGAAAACAAGATTTTGAAAATGAATCCACCTAATTAAAAGATTTCACTGTTTCAAAATTAGATGACACAAATTTTTCTAGATATGAAAAATCTTTGAGAATAAATTTTCAATTTCAAATTCGTAAATAAAACCTCACAATTCCGAGCAAGTTCTGGGAAGATAAAGGTTCCAAGTTCAGCTCCTCCATCAATAAAATTTCAAAAAAAAAATTTTAAATCATAAATCTTCTAAATTAAGAAATTCACTGTTTCAAAATGTTTATATAAAAAATCCTCGAGAACAAATTTTCAATTACAAAGTAGAATAAATAAAAAATTTATAACAAGTTCTAGGAACATTCGAAGTTCTCGAATTTTTCAGGAATGCACATGTTCAATCCTGATCGTCGTCTTCTACATTCTCTCAGCAACCCTCTCAATTTCCAGCGAAGAGGTCACCGATGATTTCGGATTTTTAATTGCAGCTGTTGTTTGTCTCTTCATTGCCCTTTCCTATCTTTTGAATTTAGTGCTAAATATTCGAAAATGGGTTTATGGTGCACATTTGGCAAATCCACCAAATGTCTATGATTATCCATCTTATGGTTCTGATTAGGTCATGATATATGAATAAAACTTCAATATAAAAAAAACTTAAAAAAAAATGAAAACGCGAAAAATATTTTTTTGTTAAAAAAAAATTATATACCGTAGTTCTTCCGTCGCTACGAGACCCACATCTTTCAAAAATCGATGCGCCTTTGATTCACAATAAAAAACGAGGAATTCAACTTAAAGGGGGGTAAGACGACAAAATTTTATTTGCTCAAAGAAAAGTGAATTAGAACTAATTTAGAGATGAGTTTGCTCGATTTTCGTAATTTTCAACCGAAAAATAGGCTTTTTTCATGCAAAAAATCGAAAATCCGTAAAAAAACAAAAATACCGTAGTTTTTGAAAGGCGCAACAGCTGAAACACACACAGGGTCTCGTCGCGACAAAAGAACTACGGTATATAATTTTTTTCAAAAAAATTATTTTTCGTGTTTTCATTTTTATTTGGTAAATGTATTCAACAATTATTTTTTGTATTCAACAATTATCGCACGCGTTTGGACAAAAAAAAACACGAAATGTCGCGCATGACACAACTATTTATTACTTTCCTCTAGTTTTATTCGATTCATCGATTTTCCCAGGAGGACAGAGCAACTGACCATTTTCACTTTCAAATTTATTTTTTTTTGATAAGAACTTCTTCTCAGCAGGTGATTTTTTCGCATACTTTCGGGTTTTCCCCTCATTTTTAATGAATTATCAAATCAAGTCTTCTTGCCGACTAAATAAACATAAACACCAATTCATTTTCGTTCGCAAATGTTTTTGTTGTCTTTTGCCTGTCCGGCCGCAATCATTCATTTTATAATAGAAAGATAGATATTATTTTATTTGTAAATACTATATATTGATTATTTGTTAACGACTTATTGGGAAAATCCGGATTTTTAAGCTTCAAGGTTTTTTCTTTTTCACCCGAAAAACAACAACAAAACAAAACAAAACGATTGTATTTACATGTAATAGAAAACCGTCGTTTCACTCACTCACTCGAAAATACCAGATTTTTTTTGGTTGTTTTTCAACACAAAGCACTTTTCGATTGAAATCTTCTTATGCAAAATTTTTATTTTTATTATTATTGAGAACAATCAGATAAATTTTGGCCTTGTTGGAGAAGGTGGAGATTTTAATAATGAAATTTTATGTGAATTTTTTGATTTCCAAATTTTTTTTGAAATTTTTTTTCGTGTAAGTTAATTTTTCCGTACAGTTAAATTAGATTTTTTGAAGTCAGGGTTCTAGAATTTTGATTTTAACTTCAGATATTCAAACTTTTTCAAATTTAAGATTTTTAGAACGTGACTCATAAATAAGCACTGGAATTCCAAATATAATTTTATTCTTTAAAAATTTTAGGGAACAATTTTTGAACATTCCGGATTTTCAATGGGGTGATTAAAATTGAAAAAAAAATTTTTTTGACAAAACATTTCGTTTCAGCAAATGTCAAATTTTCAGATTTTTTTAAAATTAAATTAAAATTAATTTTTTTTCCAAATTTAAGATATTTAGAACTTGAATCACAAGCACTGGAATTCCAAATATGTATAATTTTTTATTCTTTAAAATTTTCCAGGGAACAATTTTTCAACATTAACATCTTCTTGATTTTCCAAAAAAATCTGCTATCCAGAGTTGAAAAAAATATTAGAAAAATAATTTTTGACAAAAAAAATTCGTTTCAGCAAATGACTAAAAACTATTTTTTTTTCTATTTTTTGAAACATTTTCGCTTCATTTTTGTGTGGAAAAAATGTCAAAAATACGAAAAAAAATTTTTTTTATAAAAATCTCTAAAGTTTCGCTAGCCCCCAAAACTTCATTGTAGATCAAAAATATCAAGTTTGATCTACCAAATGTTCGTAAGTAGTTTGAACCCAAGGCATATCGATCCATCTCCAAAAGTATATTGTTTTTGACAACAATACATATAATACACCTAGGTCCTCCTCCTCTCCTTTTATTATTATACATTTATTTCGCGCACCCTCTCTTTTTTCCTCATTTCTCATCTCCGTCTCTCAAAAACCCACACTATTCCATCGCCGTTTCCTCCGCCAAAATAATGTTGCCACCCTGTCTAATTTCTCTAGAACCTCCCTAGTTTCAATGGTCTCTGACTGTTTTTATTGTTTGACCAAATTAGGCAGATCGAATATATACTATTTGAACGGAAAGGTCGAGGTTTCTTTTGGTTTTTTTTCTTTAATAATAATATTTTATGTTGTCAACTGTTTTTTGGACAGAAACAAAAAACAAGTAAGTTTTAAGTTTTTACAAGATGTTTCAAGGTTACACAAAAGTTTTTCGACAAGGTAATTAAGCGAGGAGGAAACAACCAAATTGATTTTTTTCTTTTTTTTGAATTTAAAAATTCTTCGTATAGTTTTCGAAACATTGACATTCATTAATACCACTTTCATTTTCCGACATCCGTTTTTAAATCGGGCCGCAAAACAAAAAAAAACTGGTAGAAAATTGTATTTTATTTGGTTTTTTTTGATGACACAGAAACAAAAAAAAACATTTTTTTGTTGTCTTTTTGTGTAAATCAGAATTTGTGAGCAAATAAAACTTTTTTTTTTAACTTTGCAAAAAAGACAGGTGACTTTTTGTACTTTTTGGAGACCAACATGAGTTCATTTTTTTTTGTAAAAAAAGGGTTACTATGTAATTTGTCTGCTTCTGTTTTATCAGGTCGGGTGTTACAATTTTCTCGATTTTTATCAGAAGTTTTGAGCTGGGAATTTGAACTTCTGGTCAATTTTTTTGGAATCTTATTAAATTTATAAAAAATAATTAATTTTTTTTATTCGATTTTTTTGAAATTCATTTGTCGGACCAAGGTGGACCAATTTTCGGACCACCAAAGTTAAACGACCAGGTCCGTCTTCAACTTTAAGTTCAGAATCTTTAACGTTAACTTTGGAATATTTAACGTTAACTTGAGAATCTTTAACGTTAACTTGAGATTTTTTAACGTTAACATTAGAATCTTTAACGTTAACTTCAGAATCTTAAACGTTAACTTCAGAAAACGTTACCTTGAGAACCTTTAACGTTAACTTTAGAACCTTTAACGTTAACTTGAGAATCTTTAACGTTAACTTCAGAATCTTTAACGTTAACTTTAGAATCTTTTTCAAAATCTTTCTTAATCGACATTTTTTAAACTTCTAAAATCCCGTGATCGCAACATTTCTCATCTTTCATAACAACATATACAAATTTTGATTCATTCCGGTTATGAATCATAAAAAAGCAGCGACGAGAGAAGAAGTGTACACATAAACATTTGTACAATAAGAAAACGTACAAAAATATGGCATACTTATTCATATTTGTTCCTTCCTTCCTTCCCACAACACACATCTATATATTTTTTTGATGCTTTTCCTCTCATATTTATATATTTTTTGTATGGTTAGATGGTTTGAAACTTGAAACTTCTTCTTTTTATATTTTTTTATAGTGAGTGAGGCTTTTTCTTCTTCTTATTTATTCATTTTGTTGTGCAAAAATATGCTTATTATTGCTATTTGTGTTTATCAATATTCTTATTCTTATCAAAAAAATTTTAGGGGCACATTTGTTGATTTAGGGAACAACCATATTAGGCTTTCTTTGTTCCAAAATGACTCATTATTTTTAGAAAAAAATTAGCTTGAAATTTCTTTTAAAAACATGAGCAATCAAGTTTGCTCCATGTGTACTTCTCTCGGAATTCATTCTCCAAAATTTTTGATCTACAAAAAAATTTTGACCAAGATGCTCCCCTATTTTTTTAATATTGCAATATTGATGTTTTTTTCCCGATTATTTTCTGTTTCCCATCGAATTGATGGTTTTTAATGTGATTTTATTATTTTTTACGATTCCTTTTGGCTTCCAAATTTCATTCTTCTTCTTCTTTCCACCGTAACATTCCATAAAATTCCTTTTTCCAGTTTCTATGAGTTCTGTGCCTTCATCTTCCACGATTAGTGGATCTAGCACAGCTACAGACAATATAAGGGTTCTTCTAATGGCCTCGGTTCGAAATGAATTTGGAGATTCTTGTATTTTTTCGCGACTTGGACAAACTGCACTCGGGCAACACTATGTACTATTGGCCAAAAAACGATTTCTCAGCGGCTATCAGGTAAGAGAAATTTGAACAGCTGCCTCCAACTGGGGGTATAGCTCAGTGGTAGAGCGCTCCCTTAGCATGGGAGAGGGCTGGGGTTCAATTCCCCATACCTCCAAAACATTTTTTATTTTTTTTTTTAGAAAAATAAATTATTTTGCAGACTTTCATGATAACGGCAAATATGCGAAATCGACCATTCATTTCTGCACCTTTCAAAATTTCGGGAATCCAAAGTATGGATGAATCGAGAGTTTTTATCGAGAGAATGATTCATGAATTGGGACGACCTGGAATGTTTGGATTAGATGAGCAACCCGTGGGTTGTCAAATTCCAATAGGAAAAGAATTTTTGCAATTGGACGAGGTTCCGATCGAAGTTCACGATAAACCAGACAAATATTTGAAGCGTGGTGATGAGATATTTTGTGAGATCAATGTTACGGGAATCAAATTTTTCCACACTGGAATCTACGCGGGGAATGGAGAAGTTTATCATTTTGTATGCGATCCTCGTAAGTTCTCAAAGTTTCCTGGAATTATCTTCTAAATTTGCTTTAAAAAAACATTTCCAGAAGAATCTGAAACACTCGCCGAAGCGTTGGCCGTGTTCAGCGGTGTTCAAGCACACGTCTGTTTCGATTCGTGGAATGAATTTGTGTACGCGCTGATTGAGCCGGGATTCAGTGCACCGAGAATATTTCGAGCATCACATCCGCTCGTTTGCAGATCAGAAGACCAAGTGAGATTTTTTGGGAATGTAATTAGGTTTGGAGTAAAGGCAGCTGGTTAATTAGTGCACAATTTTTTTTCTCGAGATCTGATAGGTGAAACCTTCCTAGATTTTTCATTTGAAAAAAAATTGACAAAAAAGATCACCTCGAAAAAAATGGAAACGCGAAAAATATTTTTTTGCAAAAAAAATATATACCGTAGTTCTTTCGTCGCGACGAGACCCTGTGTGTATCTCAGCTGTTGCGCCTTTCAAAAACTACGGTTTTTTGTTTTTTTTCCGAATTTTCGAGGTTTCTGCATGAAAAAAGGCAGAAATTAATCGGATTAATAACAAATCGAAGAATGGAAATAGTCTAACCCTGTTTAAAGCAAGAAACACTATAAAAAACGATTTTAAAGTGTTTTATTAAGGAAATACCTGTTTTTTGGTTGAAAATTACGAACTCATCTCTAAATTAGTTCTAATTCACTTTTCTCAAGTTGAATTCCTTGTTTTGATCAAAAATAGCCACCAAAAACGCCTTGTGAATCAAAGGCGCATCGATTTTTGAAAGATGTGGGTCTTGTCGCGACGAAAATCAACGAGAGAGGCACACCTGACGAGACGTGTCCAAAATGGACACTGTACATTTTTTTCAAAAGTCACACTGCATTTTTTTCGAAAAAAAACTTTGTTTCCTTTTCATCAACATTTAACTTGGGGAAATAAATGCACATTTAGTTCAGTGGTAGGCCATTTTGCTAGTGTTCAGAAGTCCCAGGTTCGAATCTTCATTCGAGCTAACTTTTTTTTATTTTTTCCCAACTTCAAAATCAACTTCAGATTGCGAATTTTTCGAAGTTTCTCGGTGAAAATCAACTCAGCAGACTTTGTTTTACAATTAGTGTAGTAACATAATGTGCAGTGTGGAATTTACGTGACTGCTTAGCAAACCATAGTGTCACTGAAATTTCAAAAAAATTGACTTTCTATAAAAAAACTTCAAATTCCACACTGCACATGGGTAAATTCAAAAACTACGCTTAAAAATACACCAACTTTCTGAATATACCAACCCTTGATATGTGCTCGAAAAAAAATGCCGTCCGATTCTTTGTAATGTCCATATTTACCATCAAAATGGACACTTCAAAATAACAGCGAAATAGGGCATTTCCACACTGCACTCATGGTGTTCCACACTGCCTATGACCTTAGCAATCTATTGGAAAAAAATCAACTATATCCGTTAAGCCTAAGCTTAGTTATCCTAACTTCAAATTTTGAGCAACGTTGCAACGCATTCGTTTGAAAACAGTTTCCTTTCCACCAACATTTTCCCCTCGGGAGAAAAAAGAGATGTGGCCGAGAGGATAGCATTTTAGACTGGCGAGCATGAGACCGGGGTTCGAATCCTCCTGCCCGCGGACTTTTTTTTTTCGAAAAACTTGAAAATTTCACGCTGCACATTTTTTTTTGAAAAAAATTTTCACACTGCACAAAAAATTTGGGACACTCTCTCGTCAGGTGTGGAGAGAGGGAAACAACTTTTTTCAAAAATATTTTTTTTCGCGTTTCCATTTTTTTAACGTTTAAAATATATGAAACACGGAAAAAATGATGCAATTTCGGGTGCAGCAATTTTTTGAAAACGAATTCGAGATCAGCTTCCCCTGTTGGATCTTATCCTTCACATTTTTGCAGATAATCAAAGCAGCTGAAAATCTCCAAGAAACCTTATTCGTCTACGATATTCGCCGTTCAAATTGTCAACATTTCACATCAACTTGTTCAACTGGTTCCGGATTTTCGTACGATATGACATCTGGTCTCAAATATTTCGCATGTTCTGTTATGAAACCAACACATACCGTAGTTTCTGCAATGACAAGAACCAACAAAGATCGATCGAGTAATAGTTCATTCGCAAGTAGTAATTCATAGATTTTGCATCATCTAGATACGTATTTTTTTCGGGTTATCAAACTACTTCAGGAATCTTTCACTGTTGAATATTATTGGGTTGAATATGTATGCTTTTATTGAAAAACCATTGTATATTTTGTTCTGTTCATAAATTTTTATTGTTTATACACGCACAAGAAATTGTAGCAAGATGGAAAGAAAAAATAAATAATTTAAAAATTTGAAAATAAATTAAAACCTCCTCGGTTCTGGTTCGGGTTGTTGGGATTTTCTGCGCGCCGACATCGGATCAGGATCCTGCTGAGCGGTGAATAATCGTTCTAATCTTCGTTGCGCCGGTCCTCGCATATTTGATGGATCTTGAATCTCTTCAGCGTCCTGGAATTAAAATTTTTCATATATTTTTTTTTCAAAGGTCAAAAATACCCTTCGATTGTCAAGTGTTCCAAACATTGAATCTCTGCGATGTTCGAGTGCACGAATTGTTCCTTTTTTGAGTGTCAATCGTTTCGAATTGCCTCTTCCACCACCGAAACCTTGTTCTGGCGCTTGTTCGGATGAGAGAGCGAAGAACCGTTTTTTGAAGGCGGCATCGAGGGTTTCAGTTTTTCGCTTCATCATTGATCTTCGGGATGATTCGAGGTTTTGAACTACACGGCGTCGAGATATTCCACGATCATCACATGTCTGGAAAAATTGGACAATGTTGAAATTCAGAGCGAAAAAAGTGGGCGGAGTCTGTTCATATCCCTTTTCCGTCTCGCGCTCTCTTCTGCACGCACACTCTCTCGTTTTCTCTCGCGTGAAACATGGAAACGAAAAAATAATTTTTCTCTGCGTCTCTAATTCAAGCGTTCTCTAACTGTCTAGCTGCTCTGTATCTCTAACTTTCTAAAAAACAACGTGGAATTAAAAAAAAACACGTCTCCTAATTCTACAAGATCACTCGAGGCGAGTGTCTTTGCGTCTCTAACTCTATAGTGATCTCTAATTGTCTGGCTCCTATGCGTCTCTAACTTTCTGAAAAATAATGGAATAATTAAAACATTGAAAAAAAAAATAAAAAACATTTTTGACAAAAAATTTCGATTTAGCAAAATGTGAAAAAAAAACTATTTTTTTTCATTGAAACATTTTCGCTGCGAGATATTTTTCATTTTTGTGTGGAAAAAATGTCAAAACTAGGAAAAAAATATAGTTTTTTGACATTTTTTAAATCGAAATTTTTGTCAAAAAATGTTTGTTTTAAAATTTTTTTTTCGACTTTCTGAAAAATGACGTGGAATTCAAAAAACCACATTCCCGGATTTTAAAACTGTTTTTTTCTAGAATTTCAAAGTTCTCAAAGCCTTCTGACTAACCATATCAATAGGATGTGCATTCTCATCAATTCCTCTCAACGTCTGCAACTCCTTCGCAATTCCCACCGCATTCTGCACAACCATCTCATCCTCACTCAATCGATCAATCGGTTTTCGGAAACAGAAGAATTCAGTGGAAGCGATGATATGAGCAAGAGTTCCGAAACGATGACATAACATTGCCAAGAATTGAATAATCAGAATACTAACAAAGAACACTAGAAATACTAATCCAATCGGTTCTAATTGAAGTCTCGTCATCACCCAGATTTCTTCTTTTGGATCATCGTGATTCGCGTAACACGGTCGGATTGTGTGATTGAATTTTGGACCAATTGGCCATTCAATATTCAGGCAATCTTTGTGAATTTGAAGAACAAGGACGGAAATAATGAAGACAACATTGATCATCAAAAAGTATACGGTATACTGAAAATAAAATTGATTTTTTTTCGAATGGTCCGGCAATGGAGATTATGAGCACCTTTGAAACTCAAAATGTACTCACTTAACTCACAACAAAATTGAAGTTGAAAATAAATTTCAGAAAAAATGGCCGAACTATTTATGTGGCCGAGAAATATCGGGAATTCGGCCAAAGCAACAAATTCGCTCTAATGTTGCGAAAATTCTCATTATTAGAGCGAGTTTGTTGATTTGGCCGAAAGGCCGGAAATTTTTTTCAAAAAAATTTGGAAAATTGAATTTCAATTCTCTTTTTATGCTTTTCCAGATTTTTGCTCTAAAATTCAAATCATTTTTTGAAAAAAATGAGATTTTGCTAAAAGTTCAGTTTTCTATCTTGAAATTTATTTAAAAAAAAAACATTTTTTTCGAAAAATTCATAAATTTTCCAATCTTCCTTTTTTTAGCTTCAATTCGGCAAAAAATTCTGATTTTCTCAATTTTTCAAAAAGTTTCTTTGAGAAAAATTATACATTTTTGCAATTTTAAAAGTTCAATTTTGCCACGTGGATTGTTTTGAGAAAAAAATATTTTCAAAACTCAAAGATGTATGTGGCCGAACTATTTTGGTGGCCGAGAAATCGTCGGGAATTCGGCCAACGCATTCCAACACGCTGAGAATTTTCGTAAAATTAGAGCGAGTTTGTTGCTGTGGCCGAATTCCCGACATTTCTCGGCCACCAAAATAGTTCGGCCACGTATTTTTTTCCGAAAATTAAATTTAAATTTTGTTATGTGAAGTAAGTGTTGTGAGAGTTTCATTCATCAATATTTGAACATTTTTAAAAGTGCTCATTATAAATTTTCTGAAAAAAAACTCACCGAATTCCTAATAGAAATCAATCCAGCTCTCAATCGATCCATCTCCTTCCCATCCATCGTCAAAGGCGATAAATATCTATCAATAACTTCAGTCCAAAACGATTCTTCCTCCGGTTCGATATACTCTCTCTCCGCTCTCTTCAAACATTTATCCCCGAGCCACGCTTCACTCTGCGCTTGCTTCCATTTCTGATTCTTTCTCGCCGCATGCGACTGATTCGACATCTCCAACGCATCTTCAATTTCAGCCTGCTCATCTTCATCAGCTTCCGAACATTTGTCAACTTGAAGTGTTCCTCCAGTACTCGACAATATACTCGCTCTTCTTCCCAACGTTGGCGCTGATTTTCTCTCAATTCTATCCAATTTTTTATTGAGATCATTCAATTTTTCATTGATAACAATCGTCATTGGATCAACACGATCTCTCGGACAACACAACCATTTCGAAATACTATTATTTTGTTGCGGCGTTTCAATCGAATCAATTCCTTTTTTCTTGGCCAAATCATTCTTCTCATTTGTTCTTGGATCTTCTCTAGTTCCCCACGATACAGTATGCATATTACAAACACTATAAATTGGCAAAAGCATATACATACATGGAATTGCTAGGAAATATATTGTTCCCGGGATAATACATGTGAATTCAAGGGGATGTAAAATGGCAGCAGTCAGAAAACTCGTAACAACAGCAACCATAAACATTGAATGGGGAGATAATAGACCATCTTTTTGTAATTGCAAACTAGTTCCAACAATAACAGCAGTCATCAACATTGCAAAAATCGCTCCGATTGTTTGAGCAACAATTAATTGCTTCTCTTGTGTCGCAGTCAAACAAACTGCAATAAAAATCACCACTGGAACCGACACAATAATCAATGAAATCATTGTATCAATCGTAAATGAGATACTAATCGCTCCAACAATCATAACAAATATAGTTCCAGGTCCGAGAATTGATGAGATGAGCATGACAAGTTGATAAATAATATACCAGATTGAGATCGATTCATTGACACTCACAACATTTTTGTAGTCTTTTAGAAGATCCATGATGTTGAAGATTGTTGATGGAATCCATCGACGACGTTGATTGAAAAATTCATTGAATCCTTCGGGCGCAAAAGTTTCGGCATCTGAAGCGGCGCAATATTCGACACGATATCCACGTTGAAGGAGAAGTGTGCAAAGCCAACGATCTTCTCCTTGATCATATTGAATGAAATGTTTGGGTTCTTCAGATTTCAACGCATATCTGAAAAATATTTTGAAAATGGTTAGTGAAAAGTTTTCACTGAAAACGTGAAAAAATGGAAACGAGAAAAATATTTTTTTTTGAAAAAAAATTATATACCGTATAGTTCTTTCCCCTCGCGACGAGACCCTGTGTGTTTCAGCTGTTGCGCCTTTCAAAAACTACTATATTTTAATTTTTTTTCCGGATTTTCGATTTTTTGCATGAAAAAAAGGCAGAAATCAACCGGATTAATAACAAATCGAAGAATGGAAATAGTCTAATCCTGTTTAAAGCAAGAAACACTGTAAAAAACGATTTTCAAGTGTTTTATTGAGAAAAAACCTATTTTCCGGTAGAAAATTACGAAAATCGAGCTCTAAATTCGTTCTAATTCACTTTGCTCAAGTTGAATTCCTTGTTTTGATCAGGAATAGCCCCCAAAAACGGCTTTTTTTGTTGTGGGGTGATTCAGGTCGAGAAAAAACAAAAAAAAAACATTTTTTTACAAAAAAATTCGATTCAGCAAATGTCGAAAAACGATATTTTTTCCTATTTTTTGACATTTTTCGAAATTTTTTTTTCATTGAAACATTTTCGCTGCGAGATATCTTCCATTTTTGTGTGGAAAAAAATAGCGTTTTTTGACATTTGCTGAATCGAATTTTTTTGTAAAAAAATTTTTTTTTTAGTTTTTTTTCTACCTGAATCACCCCATTGTGAATCAAAGGCGCATCGATTTTTGAAAGATGTGTGTCTCGTCGCGACGAACTACGGTATATATTTTTTTTTCTATTTTTTTTCTCGTTTCTATTATTTTTTACCTTCGTGTAACATTATCATCCATCAACGCATACGCTCTAAACAACGAAAAACATCCAGGAGAGCACATAACACATCCAATCATATGTTCAGTCGCCTTTTGCAACCAATGTCCCACTGCATATTCAAATTTCTGATACCAAACCATAGCTCCATCACCTCTCGGATGAATTCTTCCACAAGCAGCTCCTAATCTCCGATTCTTTTTCATCAAATCAACCAACAAATAAACACTCTGCGGTGTAAAATCAACATCTCCATCCAAAGTCAAAATAAAAGTGTTCTCCGAAATCAATTCCTTTCTCGATGGATCATCAACCTTCATCATTAGTCTATAACCCAACAAATAATACAGGTACATAACTTGACTCCATCGTTTTCGGTGTCGAATTTTATGTTTATCTTTGAGGTGGATGTATAATTTATTCTTTCCAGGCATTATATAAGTCAACTTTCCTCCATACGGTGTTTTCGCCTTTTTCGGACTTTTCAATCGCAATTGTGTTTGATGAACTGCACTTGCCGCTTGATCAATAACTCCAACAAATTGCCGTACAAATTTGTTGATTTCCGGCTCTCCATATTCATTAATATCATAAGCATCATCAAAAAAGATATGCGCTTCAAATTCATAATAATCCGGATCAATAACCTTCAAATACTTCTGCGCATTTCTTCGCGCACATTGATCCTCATCCATTCGGAATAAACTCTTCAACATACACGTCATCTCATGCCCAGTCTCGTGCCACATTGTTGCGCAGGCGTAGATTTTTGTAATTGCGTCAGCGGACGATGCCGCGTCTCGAATCAACCCATTTTCCAATTTACTTGAGCTCACCGAGCAAACACTTGGTGGGGTTTTAGAAGCCAAACCGGGTATCGTTTCATATGTTAATGATGAATCTTCAATGTCGAATTCCAAATCTTCCGCTTTGATTTTTGCTTTATCATCTCTTCTACGATTGAATGCGAGCGATTGATCAACAAATGCACCAATATAATAAGGAAGAATGAATAATTTTTCACTTTTGGCCAATCTTTCATGCTTCGGTGTCCATAAATGAATATTAATCCAAACTTGCGAAGCCAACCAACACAACCAAATCCACGTCTGCGGGCTCAATAGAAAATCGCCAAACGACGAATAAGCTCCGTCACATTGCCAAAACAATTCGACGGTCAGCACATTTGTGAGATGACATGGATCTTTCGTCCGCATTTTACACATAGTGGAGAGAAGAAGTACAGTCACGGGAACTGATAATGTCATTGGAAGAGCGAATCCCATTCGTTGCATCATTACTTTACAGGCGAATTTTGAACTGTGATAGCAGACGAAAACCGAGCCAACTTGGAGCATAACAAGCCATAGAGCATCGTATGCCATTGTTAATTGATTACGTTCAACGTAATTTGAATAGATCTGGGTAGAAAAAATGATTATTTTTGCTCATTCTGAGTCAGAATTTCTGACAAGGAAAGTGTGAGACACATATTTTTTCATGCTGAGCAAGTTCCCCATTTCAGTTTTTGCTGAGCGACTCTCTGAAGGGCCCAAAAATAAGGCAAAAGTTGAGAATTTTCTGAAAAAAAGTTCAGGAGGGTTGATTTACAAAAGTCAAAAGTTGTGACAATTTTTTCCAAAAATTTTCAAATGTGATCAATTTTTTTTTGCAAAATTTTTTTCTGAAAAAGTATGAATTTACAAACCAAAATTTTGTGACTTTAGTAAATCAACCCTCCTGAACAACGTGACGCATTCAGTTTTTCATAAAAATCATCTCTAACATGAGTATGGGCTCTTAAAAACGCAATTTTCAGGAAATTCTTAACTTTGTGCTCTTTAGAGAGTGCTCAGCAAAAACTTGAACCGCAGTCTTTCTCACAAGCGTGAAAAACTGTACAGTACGTGAAACTGAAAGAAAACGTGAAAGAAAAATTGTACAGTACTGTACGTGAAAAACTGTCAGCGTTAAAAACTGTACAGAAACATATATGTCTCGTTGAAAATCTCAACTCACATTATAACTGCTAAACTCTTCTTCCTCTTGCTCTTCTGCATCTGGCAAAAACCTTTTGAATCTTCGATATTCTCCAGTATCAACTTCTTCCGCTTCCTCAGCTGTCGGTTGTTTTTTCGGCTTCGCTTTTGGAGCTGGCGGATAATATTCGCGATTTGCTTGCTCAATCATTTGATTGATTCTCGTTTGGAATTTCTCAATTTGTGTTGCATTCATATCGTGTCCAACAACAGATAGCAGTTTTTCACCGAATGGATCTCTTTGCATCAGATCTTCCATTCTCATTCGACTTGAGATGAAAACAAAGCAACACACAAAATAGATGCATATTTTCCATAATGATACAAATGCATATGTTTTTGATCTTCTCTCAGAAAGTCGTTGAGCAAATTTGGCCAATGTTCGGACTGGCGGGAAAACCGAATCGCGATGAACAAAATTCTGCCACCAGGCGAGAGAAATCAGGGTGAGCGAGACCGGAATAGCAACCGAATGTTTTTGCAAATTCGGCATAAACATCGGGTATGCCCAGAATCCTGAACTTTGTGCAGCGATTGCAGCAATATCAATGATGACTAGGATTAATGCGACTTTTGATGGTCGCCGACTTATTAATGAGAGAATTGCTGGAACAAAACACATTGCATTTGTTAGTTGAACAGCGGTGACAGCGTCCAAATCAGGGAATATTCGAAAAACAAGAATACCAACACCGATACTGTGAAGTGATTCAATGATCAAAACAAAGCAGAATTGGATGAATGTTGGTCGTTTTACGTTTCGGAACATTGTTCGATGCATTGATCTGGAAAAAAATTGTTGAAAAATAGATTCTGGGAGTTTTGCTACTATGAGCACTTTTAAAAATGTTCAAATATTGATGAATGAAACTCAAAATGCACTTACTTAATTCACAAATATTGAAGTTGAACATGAATTTCAGAAAAAATAAAAAGATGGCCGAAGTATTTTGGTGGCCGAGAAATGACGGGAATTCGGCCAAAGCAACAAACTCGCTCTAATGTTGCAAAAATTCTCATTATTGGAGCGCGTTGGCCGAATTCCCGACATTTCTCGGCCACCAAAATAGTTCGGCCAGATATATCTTTGTGTTTTGAAAATATGTTTTCTCAAAACAATCCACGTGGCAAAATTCAACTTTTAAAATTGCAAAAATTTATAATTTTTCTCAAAATTTTAGCTCAAAGAAACTTTTTTGAAAAATTGAGAAAATCAGAGTTTTTTTCTCCGAATTGAAGCTAAAAAAAGGAAGATTTGAAAATTTATCTTTTATTTTTTCTGAAATTTCTGTTCAACTTCAATTTTTTGTGAAGTAAAGTTTTAAAAGTGCTCATAATCTCCGTTGCCGGGGGCCATTTGAAATCTAACCTGACAAAACAAAGTGCTTCGGGTGCGGAAAGTGATAAAAGTGTTGCCCAAACCCATTTCACAACATGTGCATTTTTCAGTTTCACAGTATTCAAAGTGGATTCCGATATCACTTGATTACAAATCGTAACAGTTTGACCACCCCATCCAATTGCTGACGTCATCAAAATAAACGTCGATTTTGCAACAACCGCTGAACCAAGTGTTAATATAAATAACACAATAAATGTGGCAAGTTTGAGGATTTGAAGACTTGCATCGTGCCAAAACCCTGAAACATTTCAATTTACTACAGGAGCGTTTTTTTGTGTTGTGAGCGCGCGCAAAGTTTGATGAGTCGTGAGATGGGTCAATTAGCTAACAGCACGGGGGCCTGATGCTCATTTATTTGAGCAAATATAGGCAGAGAAGAAAATGGAGACGCGAAACAAATTGTACTTATATAATAGTTTGACACTTTTTGAACTAACCATGTCCGATTTGGTCGGGTTTTGGTGGCAACAATCGAAATATGTCCCATCCTTTGTTCTCAGCGACTGTTCTGAAAATATTGATTTTTGATATGAGAAAATTCTGTTCCTGGAACTTTTCAGAAACTTCTGAGAACTTAAAAAATCCAGAAAATCTGAAACTGAGAACTTTTATCTAGAAAAAGCCCCTGAAAATCCAAAAATTCTGATAATTATAACTTCCAGACTAAAAAATCCGATTTTTCAGAATTTTTGGGTTCAGAAATATAAATCCCAGAAATTCTAAACCCAAGGCCTCAAAAATTTTATTTTCCCAGGTTCAGACAATTCCTGAACCTTCTAAATCTTGAAATTCTTTTCCTGAGACTGGAAAATCCGTGTTTTTAAAAATATTTTTGTGCCCTTCTCAAATTTCCAGGATCTTTCTTATCCCTGAATTGAATAGAGAAACCTGATTGCCGTGCCCTTCTTTTCATCAACAACAACATTATACGCAAATGACACAACGAAAAAAGTGTCAAGCACTTCAAAACAACAAAAAGACACTTTTTGGCGGCAACGACGAGCAAATAATAGCCGGTTAAACGGTGGTCAAAAAAAAATAATACAATGAGCAAAAAAAACATTTGTTGGAATTTTTGCGGTGAGAAAACGATACTTGAGACTGGAATGAGAATGGAAAAGGAACGGAAAAATGGTGAAAAAAATCGGATTTTTTTTCAGAATGTAATTTCTAGGTCTGAAATTCCAAATTTTCAAACATTTCAGAAGAAACCTAGAGATTCTGAAAAATTAGCTTACATTAATTTCGGATTCTGAGTTCAGAAAACATCTGAAGATCAAATTTTGATTCTCATTTTCTGATCAGAACTATCCACCAAATAATTTTCTATATCAGAATTTTGAAACAGCAAAAATTCGAGAATTTTACAATTTACTTAGTGATAAATTGTGTTACAAATCAGGATTTTTTATTCAGTAGGAAAATTCTGGAAACAGTGGATAAAATTGTAAAATTTTGAAATTGATTTTGAAACAGTGTAATTTTTCCTTCAAAATTCAATCGCGAAAAATTATTTCTGTGAAGCTGTGGATTTTTCTAATGGGTTGATTCAAGTCGAAAAAAAAAACATTTTTAACAAAAAATTTTAAATTTTACATATTTTTTACATTTACAAAAATTTTACATTTTTTTCCACACAAAAATGAAAAATATCTCGCAGCGAAAATGAAAAAAAATAGGAAAAAATATAGTTTTTTGACATTTGCTGAATCTAATTTTTTTTTCGACTTGAATCACCCCATAAAAAATCAAAAGATTAAAATTTTTCTGAATTTGAAAGCTCAAAAACATTTGTCAAAAATTGACATCAAGAAGAACCCGAATTCAAGCAGAAACAAAAAATCCAGAGAAGAAACTCACGAAAAATCATTCGCAACTTCTCTGAGCTTAACTGGCTGTCTATTCAAAATCTTGCCATCCATAGTCAAATCTCCAGCATTTGTAGTAGATTCATATTTCGGTTTCTTAATAGCTGTCGCATCCATAGTTGCCGTCCCACCCTCATAATAATACGCCGATTTTGGCATCGAAGTTGAAGATGTCGATGCTTCCGAATCATCATTTCTAGATTGTTGTTGTTGTTGATGATTAGCAATTCGTTGATCCAACGTATTCATCTCATTGGATAATAGAATGTGGTCAAGAAAATAATGGAACGAACGAAATGAACGAGAGAAAAAAGATGGGAGAAGCACTTGAACAGTATCTGTTTGCGCTAGTTTTGCGCGCAGCGGAGAGCTCGCGGTAGGCGAATGGAAGGAGGCAAAAAATAAAATAAGGAGGACGGAGGAGAGAAGGTGGAGTGAAATACGTTAAGAACATTGTATAATAAATACCAATAATAATTATTTGTAAATGTTTATGTGTGCGGAAAGAATTTGGAAATTTCAAAGATGCTTGATGATTATTGAAAATGTGTCAAGAATTTTTCACAGTAAGACAACCCAGGGTGGATTTTTTCTGTCAAAAATTCCTTTGCACCTAATGACAACCCTCCACTTCTATACAAGTTGAACTCAAAGATCGCAACAAACATCAAAAAGTATCTCTCTTCCGATTATTACCCAATGGTCAGTCACGAAGTATAATAGATCGTATCGTATTTCATGCACAAACATTGTCATTCAAAAAAACAGTCTAGTTACTCATTTCCCAAATAATTTCCGAATTTTTCTGTTGTTACGTAGAATGGCAGAATCAAAGGTGTGAATGAATCTAGTCTTCTCAATTTCCAAATCTGTTGAGTCAACAAATAAATTCTTCTATTCATCAGGCGAACGAAGCGCAAAAGCTTGTTCGTTGATCAATCAGACCAATACAATTTTCGAGGTTCGGTAGAGAAATTAAGGAACTTTTTGGGAAGAGCAAAAATCATGTTTTTGAAAAAAAAAGTTTGAACTCTGGAGTCGGAAATGTTTCAGTAAACAAAAAAAGATTCCAAAGATCAAGAAAATCCTCATCGCCGTGTTGGAGAGTTAGCGTAAGTCAGAGAAAATTTTGAAAAAAAACCTAGATCCTATAGATAGATGTTACTCCAATTCAAATTTTTCTAAAAAAAAAATCCCCAACCCCAAAAAAACTTTTAAGCCCTGATTTTTTAGATTCAGAAAGTTCCTAGACTTTTAAATTATTGAATTCTGAACATAAGAGCTTTCAGGCTTAAAATCCTGGTTCATCAGATATTTCAGAATTCTAAAATCCAAAAAACCTCAAAATCCCCCCAGCCAACTCACCCTTCTGCAATATAAATATGTGAATTAGTGTCGTCGCGATCTCGACGATCCATCGTTCGATCAGTATCGGCCTGAAACATCCAAAAAAATTCAAAAAAAAAACATGTTTCTAATCTAGATACCTCTCAAGACCTAAACTTCTAGAAAATCTCAATCCAATTTTTCCACAGAAAACAGAAAAAGAAGAAGGATCAGGAGGAAAGAATGAAATACGGTGCAGTGGCTGTCAAATCGTGCACAATATTTTGACACCTTTTCTCCTCTTTTTTTGTGACCTCCGTTTATTATTTGTTTGACATGATCGAAAGCATGTTTGAATCGCGGAAAATCGAGGAATGCCAAGAAATTATTTATGCTTTTGTCTACTATTCATATTTTTGTTTGACTTTATTTTTGATGCTGATTTTTTAAGAATTGGATTTTGACTAGAAATTGGAAGGCTCAGGCTGATTGGGGGTTCAAAATTATGGCATTAAAAATAGGCCAAAAAATTCAGGCGCACAAAATGAGCCTTAACATAGTTTCCGGACCCTGGTTAGAATTCAGGCCCTGGTCAGGCAAGTATTGGTTATAGGCTAAACCTTAGATTAGAACCCGGGCTCCCAATTTCTAGACCCCCTGATTTTCGACGAATTCAATTTTGACTAGAAATTGGGGTATAAACTTAGAATAGCCCCCACCCAATGCATTACAGCCCCCCACTTGGCAAATTCATTTCGTTCCCCCACATTTTCATTTGAACCCCCTTCCCTTCTTGTTTTCCTGTGAGGTTGGAAGAGTAGAAACACATTTTAAATATTCGGACGTGACATTTTTAAATAAGAAAATTGCGCTCTTAAAGAAAAATTCTAAAATTATTTTAAATTCCACGCAAAACGTGTCCTAATTTTCAATGTCCTATTTATCTCTCACAATCTCAGAATCAGTTTATTCTTCCCTTATATAACAACAACAAATGGCAGCAATTATTTGTGAGTTCCTTGGGTTCTACCGTAGTTTGGGATTTCGTAGGAGGGCTCACCCCAGACTTGGCAAAGTTCACCCTTTTGGCAAAATTGTCACTTATTATTATGGTATAGGGTAACGAGGTGGTATTCTATTATTTATCAAAATTTTGGATGTTAGTGGTCATTTTTATCCAAAAGAATTATCTTCTGCAAAATGGGAGACTGTTTTTGGGCAGCCGGATAAAAGCATGAAAAATATCTCAAAGGAGCTTTTCCACCAGGCATTTTGAGACCTTAATGAGCCTCAGATGAACCCCCTCCCAATTTTCGTGATGGGGGGTTTATCTCAGCCTTAGATGAGTCCCCCACTTATTTTGGGGGGCTGATCTCAGCCTTAGATGAGTCCCCCACCTATTTTGGGGGGCTGATCTCAGCCTTAAATGAGCCCCCCACTTTTTGAACATGGGGGCTGATTTTGAAAATGCCGAATGGGGGGCTCAACTAAGACCTTTGGGGGTCTGTTCTGCGTTTTGTCCGGTGTCCAAAAACAACCCCCCATTTTCACTGTGGGGGTTTTTTTTGTGATAAAAAAATTTACCCACTTCTCAAATTTTGATAATTTCAGAATACACCCCCACTGCCTTATACCATTATAATGGGGGGGCAATTTTACAAAAGTGGGGGGCTTTGCCGAGCCTTGGGGGGACATAATCAGGTGGGGGGCTGTTCTGCGTTTATACCGAAATTGGATAGCTCATGTTAATTTGTTCAACATTCAAAATCAGGCTTACAAAATAGGCCAGAGCTTCCAAACTTCTGGATTCGGGCCCTGGTGACCAGACCTGGGAATTTTACCGTTTTTTACGTTTTACGGTTTTACGGCTCAAAAAACGTAAAATACTTCGTAAAAATCCCTAAACAGGGTGAATTTTGACAGAATCAAATTAAAACTTCAAAAAAAAACACAACATTTTTTAAAGAAAATTTTGATTGAATCCTAATTAATTAATTTTTATTTGTTAAAATTTTGTTCTTAAACTTAAAAAAATATTTTTATTTTATTTATTGAATACGTTGTGGGACAACGTGACAAACAAGTATAAAATCATAAAATACATGAAAAGACAAAGAAAGTTGATGCAGGATTACGAGTTAGAACCCGGGGGGTGGTTATGCGCGAGTATTTATGCTAATGTAGGTCTATTATTTGGTGAATCTGAAATTTGTAATGAGCAAGTGCGGTGAGTAAAGAAGTTTTTGCGAATATTCGTTTTTGGAACTTTGTAATGATATCTTACTTTACTACGAGTTTTAGAATCCGTTTTTAAGGTGAAGAGTTTTCCATAAATAAGATCAATTTTATTTGTGTTGAGTTTATATAGAAATAAGTTGTCGATTTTAATTCTACGATTTTCCAAGCTCATCAAACCAAACTCATTATTTCGTGTTTCATTAAACTTATAATCCTTCTCATCTGATCTAATAAATCTCCCTTTGTGTCTAAATAATAATTTTCTTGTGAAATTGTTTTGGGCACTTTCTATGATTTTTTTCAATTTCTTAGTTGAAGGAGAAGTCACTACTGTTCCATATTCTAATATTGGGCGTACAAAAGTTTTATATAAGTTAATCATGAACTTTATATTTTTGCTTTCGAAAGTCTTGAAAATTTGATATGTCACATAATTAGCTTTAGAAACATATTTTTTCCAGTGTTCTTCAAAATCCAACTTTTGTGATATTATAAATCCTAGATCCCTAATATTCTTTTCAAATTTGATAGGTATAGAATCTATAGTGTAGTCAAACTTTATCTATAGTGTAGTCAATGAAAACCGTAAAATGCACATTTTACGTTTTACGGTGCCACGTTGAAATTTCCCAGGTCTACTGGTGCCCCCCCCTATGGTTAAAAGGGGACCCCGAAATAATTTTCAGATGCTCACCTTTTTCTCCTCAAAAACTTTTTTCTTCGACGCTGGCGTCGAAACAGTCGATGAAATATTGGTCGCAGCATTACTACTACTACTACTGATAGATTTCATAACGCTACTCAATATTTCTCGTTTCTTAACCGATGGAGTTACTGGAGTCGATGCTGTTTGAGAAACATCATCGTCTCCCATCTCCCAAAAATGTGAACTAATTATTTGAAGAAAATGAAGAAGAAGAAGCGTAAAAGAGCACGAAAAAAGAGTTTCGAGACAATGGATGGTCAAAAAGGCTGTTGTTGTTGTTAACCAGCCTATTTGTTTTGTGTTTAATCGGATGTATTCGGAGGAAGTTTTGGCGATTATTTTGTGAGGTGTGCGAAACGAAACAGTAGCTACTGTGATTTCTGATGATAAATTTGAGATGTTCCCTGGGTCCCCTAAAGGTTTACTACTTAAAAGTTACCCTAACTTGATCCCCTTACCTTTTTCTTTTTCTTCTTCTCCTTTTTCCGATCAATAGTTTTCAGATTGTCCAATCCAACTAAAGCATATCCATATTGAGATACCTACAAAAACAAAATTCACAGAAAAATTTCCACAAAAAAACCCAACTTACCAAAGTATCCATTTGCTGTTGATTTTCAATAGCTGCAGTTCCTTCAACCCATTCATTTACAAATTCGACTTCAGAAGTTGTCAACATGGCACAGTCGACGACCATAAAAATGAGAATGAGCCAAATAATAAATGCTTCTTCTATTTGTTGTATACATAATAATAATAATGAAAGTGGGTATTCATATAAATTGACCTCAAAAGACCGGTTGGGAAGGCGTTTTTCGTTGAATTGTTGAGCTGCGACTGTAAAAGGAAGTCTTGATTTTTGATGATGAGAAATAAAATATTGCTCATGTTACCAATGATTTTTTTTTTTAATTTTTAAAAGAATGATTGACCTGAGAATATTTTTCCAAAATTTTGAAAATAATTTTTAAAAAAATTGAAACCTAATTTTTCCGGGAATTTTTTTCTGAAATTTTTTGAAAATCTAGATTTTTCAACATTAGTCAATGAAAAATCTGGATTTTTCAAAAATTCTACAACATACAATTACCAATATTGGATTTTTCAACATTGCTCATGTCAAAGAAATATTCACCAGTGATTTCGTTTTCAATTTACAAAAAATTGCTGCATTAATATTTTTCCGAAATTAAAAAAAATTGAAACCTAATTTTTTCGGGATATTTTTTCTGATGAATTTTTAATAAAACATTTAGATTTTTGAAGATTACTCGTATCAGTTTTCAACATTTCTCATATTAGTCAATGAAAAATCTGGTTTTTAAAACATTTCTATAACTTCAAACTACCAATATTTCTCACAAAATTTCAAAAATTAAATATTTTTGAAACCTAATTTTTCCGGGATATTTTTTCTGACATTTTTCAAAATATAAATCATCGATTTTTCAATATTGCTCATGTTAAAACAATACTTTCAAAGAAAAAATCAGGTTTCAATCCAAAATCATTTCAAAAATCCAAGAGATAAAAATTATTCACTCAAACTCAACAAAAAGTTAACATTTTTTTAACCTAATTTTTCCGGGACTAAAATTTTATCAAAAATTTTTTCAATTTCTAAATTCTGGATTTTTCAAGGGTTCCCTTAGCTAAATATTCTCCTTACCTTATACCTCAGAGTGAAAACTGCAATGACTTGTCGCATCGATCGTATACCAAATCCATGCATCCATCCATATTTGAATCGACTGCAAAAAAAACAAAAATGAAAATAGAAAAATCATTATTTTCAAAGCAACATCCCTTTCTCATTCATTTCCCATGTTTTGTCCCACTCTTCACCAAAAAAACATCATAAACGATACGCAAAACCCAATGCAACTCCCGTCACTGTTTTCCGGCCGCAGCAAAGGGATTCAATGAAGAATCCTCACTCATGTCAAATGAATGGCTTTGGGTTTCGAAAGCTGGTAGGCGGTACTAACTCAGGGAGCGCGCGCAGACTTTCTCTAGTTCTTTAGGATCCGAGTGGGTCATACTTCGAAATTTTTCATTTGAAAGCATTAAAAAACCCCGAAAAACTCATCTTTCACATCCTTGCACGGCCAAAAAATACACAAAATGATGAAAATGGCAAAAGATCGATGAGTGTTGTTTAGTTCGCCAAAAATATAAAAATAGCGGGGTAGATCAAATAAATTTTTGATAGAAAATTTCGAGTTGGCGGTGTTCCTCCATTATTAGTTTGTTAACTCACCATTTCCCGAATGCAAATAATTATTAATGACTGGACAAAAACGAGAAAAACAAGAGAAAAGGCCGCCACGTATTGCCACGTATATGACAAAAGATACGTGGCAAGATTTTTATCAGGTTGAGAAAAAAAAAACAAAAATTGAAAAATAAATGTTTTTCGCGTGATCCAAATTTTTCGAAAAAAAAAATCAAATATTTTTTGAAGCCTAACTTTTCCGGGAAATGTTTTCAGATAAAAATTCTGAAAACTTCGATTTTTCTTGAAAATCTAAACTATCCTGAAAATCAACAATCAATCGATTCGAAAATATTAACCCTTTATATTAGGTCGAAAATATACAGAAAAATTGTTCGGAAACGATCAATTATTTTCTACAGCACTGTCCTCCACATTGCGAATAATTAGTTGGACATCCACATTGTTGTTGATTTCCGTTACTGTATTGACAGGAAACAGTTTGTTGAGATTGGGATGAGCAAGAGTTTGTGCAGGATTGTTGACAGGCTGGTTGACATTGGGAAACTGACTGAAAATTTCGGGAAATTTTTTGTGATTCTTCTAGAATTTTTTTTGTCTTACCTGATTTTGTTGAATGCATTGAGTATTGCATGATTGTTCGCAAGCTGGTTGACATTGATTTGATTGTTGTGAAACTGGAACTGTAATCGTCAATTGGATCTCTTGTCCTCTTTGTGCTTGAATAGTTTGAGTTTGTTGTTGTTGATAATTGTTGTTATTATAAACATTTTGTTGTTGATAGTTATTTTGTTGTTGTTGAGCTTGTTCACAGATTGGTTGACATTGGGCATCACATTGTTGAGAGCATTGAAGAGCTTGATTATTGTTCGACAAACACGATTGATTACAATCATTTTGACACGAGTTACATTGATTGTAAGCGCTGTTTGTGTTGCTATCATCTTGATATGGGTTGTAGGTATTTGTTGAATATGTGTTTTGATTGCAATTAGTGTTAGTATTTTGATTGCATCCAGTATCACGGTAAACTTGAGTGGTAGCAGTTTGATATGATGGAATAGCTCCAGGTTGTTGATAATTGTTGGTTTGTTGAGTGCACGATGATTGACAAGATTGATTGCACGAGCTTTGACATTGTTGAGCTGGTTGAGATTGTTGGCAGGAGTTTTGACAAGAGTTTTGGCAAGTGTTGCATTGCGAAGTGACTGGAGCGTATGTTGAGCTAGCAGTGTATGAATAAGCTGGGATACTTCCTGGTTGAGAATAGGTTTGTTGTTGGATCAATTGTTGAGCATATTGATCATCGGAAAGACAGCTTGTTGCACATTGTTGATTGCAATTGATGCTAGATTGAGTTGTAGCTTGATTATTCGAGCAAGATGATTGACACGATTGTTCGCATTGTTGTTGAGCGGTTTGTTGCGAATATGAAGCTTGTGAACAGGCTGATTGACAAGTGTTTGAGCAAGATGAAGCACATTGTTGGGTGGATTGTGTTGGACTGCACGAAGAGGTGCATGAGGATTGGCAGGATGGGGTGCATTGGGATTGTTGATATTGTTGGGCACATCCACAGGACGATGATTGAGTTGGTTGAGAGCAAGAGCATTGGGTGTTCGATTGACAACTGCAGGATGTTGTGGCAGGAACTGCACAACCGCACGATGATTGGCGACGAGCGCGAAGAACCTACGACAATTTTTAAGAATGTTTTAAGAGGATAGCCCTAAGCCTTAACAAAAAATGTTTAGGCTTGTAGAGCATGTGAAGCCTAAAGCTTGTTAGTTAAGAATTTCAGGCTTTTAAATCCTAAAGGTCTTATGGTTCTCCGGGATCTTAGTGTAGGCTTCAGGGTCCACCTGTACCTTCAAGTCATATCCAAAACTCACCATTTCTTCATTGGCAAAAACGCCAGTCGAAATCACCAAAAAGGCGAATACAGTCAATTTCCAAGTGTTCATGATAATTGTATATTGTAATATGTTTCAGCGTGTCTCGCCAGCTCCTCTTATATGCTTATCCTGTTAAGCAGTAAAGTGTGTGCTCTCTTGCTCCTCCCGAAATATTCCGGTTTCCTCCCCCCCTTCCTCGCTGTGCATGTAATTGTCACACGCAAATAACTTTTTTCTTTCGAAAAGTTGTGTTAAGGGCTTAGTCACAAACGAATTTCATATCATATAAGTATATAATACTCGATTGCACGTCATTTCGAAATCACAAAAAAGTTGAGAAAAATAAACAATTTTTAAAGGAAGGATTAATTTCAATTATAACTATGTATGTCTGACAAACAAATGATGAAATGAATGAACATTTCGTTCTATTCTGAAAAAATTCTCAGGCTCGAAGAAAACAGGAAAAATTGTAACGAAATCGAATTTCCTTAACTTGACTTTTTGACTCCGCAGGTTTGTTTTGGTTTTATTGTTTTTTTTTGTCTTTGAGCATCATGTGAGAAATATAATTATAGTATTTGATCGAAATATATTTATTTTTCTTCGTCTTTCTTGTTAGTGATTTGAAAATAAATGTGTGAAAATGTTTTTTCTTCCGTTTTTTTTTCAAAAAAAAAAAAAAAAAAAATTCTGCCTTAAAAAATGCGGAAACTTTGGAGAGGTTAATCCGTGTATTGTTATTTTTTGTTCCAACATTTTTTGTAGTTGTTCACAAATCAACACATTGTTTTGTTTACTTGGAAAACAAGCCGCGCGTGCGCGCTATTTTCCCACAATGCTCAAACTTTCTCATCATCTTCCCAACAAATTCCGATTGTTGTGTATGTAGTAAATAAACTGGTATCATGAGAAGATGATAATGATCTTGTTACGATTATCAAATCTGAAAGATCAATATTTGAACAACGCTGATTTTTGTGTTGGAAATGTTTGTGAGGGATAATTATAAATAGTTCAGTATTGGATTACACACACACAGAGCAAATAAAATAACTCGAACAAGTTTTGCGATGAGTCATTTCAGTTCTCTATTTTGAAATTTGAAAAATCCTCAAATGTAGGAAAGCTGTGAACAATAAATCCCACATTGAAAACTTATAATGTGATTACATTTTCCATATGTTTTGGTTTTCAAACATATAAAAATGTTCGGCCTTCAACAATAATTTATTCAACAACAAGGAGCTTAGGAGCTATTTGGTTCCACAGCCCATTCCGGTAATTCTGTCTTAAAACACCATTTCTCTGTCTCATATCGTAAACAATGTAGATATAATTGATAATGTCCAGGTGGCACTTTTTTGGTCGCAACATTGCATTTCAAACAAATCTCATCTTTCTCTGGTCGATCTTCAATTTTCAAATTCAGAGCTTCCGGTTGAACATCGGGATCATCGGCAAGTTTTTGCATTCTTTCCTCATATTCCTCATTCGGTTCTTCATGCCAATTCTCAGATTTATGAGCTGATTGAACATCTTTCGCTAATTCTTCATACGATTTTCCATATTTCGCATCTTTGCCTTTTCCGTCTCCCCAAATATTGGAATTATAAACTTGATCGCCTACAATTGGATATCCTAAATATTGCGCGTGTACTCGAATCTGATGTGTTCTTCCAGTTGTAATCTTCACTTTAACCACCGATTCCTTCCCATCCGACCATAGTTTTGTGAATACCGAATGTGCATCCTTTCCATCACTTCGAACACATTGAATTCCCATCGAAATAACCAAATTACCAATCGGCTGATTACATTCAATATCACCACTAAAAATTCAAAAAAGGTATATAATATATGTAATATAAATAATACTTACTCTGGAAACTCTCCTTCAAGTCTGCAGACATATTCTTTTGTCCATTTTCCCTGCTTCAGTGTGCTTTTGAATTCCAAATCAGTCTCGTAGTTTTTTGCAAACAAAAGAATACCCGAAGTTGTTCGATCTAATCTATGAAGCACTGAAAAACGTATTTTTTTAAATTTTGTCATTTTCTTGAAACGTATTATTCACCTCTTAGACCAGTTCTACCATAAGTGACTCGTAATTGTCCTAAAACCGTATGAATAGCATATTGACCACAAGCATGAACAGGAAGTGATGGAGGTTTGTCAACAACTAATAAATCCTCGCAATCGCTGACTATTCGTATCGGTAGATCACGAACCTACAAGATTAACTTGAAGAAATTTTTTGCATTCTAACTAACTGGATGTTCATGTCGATGCGCCCAGTGTTCCACCAAATCACTATTTTTCATCACATAATTCGGATCTGTCATTTGTTGTCCATTCACATAAATTCGACCAAGTTTGCAGGCAACTTTCTAGAAAAATTGATATTTTTTCGCTCCCTTCACGTATCACGATTTTTTGTTGACCTAAGTTAGTCAAAGGGCACTTCCAAAAATGCCCCGAGGCAAAAAGATAGACACATGTCAGATAAAAGCCGTTGTTCCAAATCGAATTTTGTCAAAATGTGAACAAGTTGACGCATTTCCGATTTGAGTATTGGACAAAAATATTTAATTAGACGGTTTGATTTGTGTATAGAATAATTGCAGACAATTAAATGTGCTGATAAAAGTTATTTCAGTTTCAAACATTCAGAAAAGGTTTTTATCTCATAAATTGTCGTAACCTTTTGTTATTGTTTTGAAACAAAACACTTTAGCTCATTTATCCACGGTTCATAAGTTTGACGTGTTTCGCACTAAAAATAATATTTGTTTTTTTATAAACAACCAATTGAAAAATCACAAGTGCATTTTACCATTGAAACAACTCGAAAAAAAAGTGGAAATTCAAAATCACAACAACTTAGAGGGATAGAAAATTCAATTTGACATCTTCTCATATTTCATGCTTAGGTACGATAGGTCAAGTTCTCAGGTCCTGGGTTTGATTTTCGCCGTTTTTTTTTGCTTGTTTATTTCGTGTGTATGTGTGTTTTTCGAGTTTTTGCAATTACACAATTTAGTCGTAGATTCAGTTTTCGATAGAAGACAAAAAAAACGAAAACAAAATGATTGTGCAAAAAATGCATTCTTTGAACTTCAGGTATTTTTTGAGCGTTCCATTTTTCAATTTGAGCGATAATTCATCACATTTTGTGTTGAGTTTGTTTTTGCAACATCATATTACACTAATCTTTCATTTTCTCAGTTTTTTTCGTCTTCGAGAGCTAGCTGAAACTGATCTCAGTTCATCTTCAGACTATAATTTTCGTATTTTTTTAAAATTAAATTCTAAAATCTGTTTTTCTATATATTTTTCATTATTGAAAATGGATCAATCCACAAAAACAAAAACATAAATCATGTTAAAAGTTCAATATTCATTTTGGTTTTTTTTGGGATGGCTATTTGTATTTACGTATATTTAGAGCCATAATGTTATTTATCCATTTTTTTGCTGTCAAACACATCCAAATCTATACAAATATGTGTAAAAGAACCGATTTTTGGAAAAAATATTGAATTGGACCAGTGGCCAATAGTAATCGGACCATCAAATCTAATTTTCGGGCCGATTCAGAATTTTTCTTTTAAAAAATCGGTTTTGCTTCAATTCAAAACTATTTTACCTCAATCTCAATTTTTGATATTTGAGAAAGTGTGAAATTTCGAAATGAAATTTGAAACTTGAGTTTTGGTTAGAGATCCTTTCCAATATCAATGACACAAACTTTGCTCAGCTGCCTAGTTGTTCAAAACTTTTTTTTTGCCATTTTTCCTATTTTTCGACAACACAATACGTCTTTTGTATACCTTGTTATTCTGTTTTTTCTTCTTCTACGCAAATTATATGAGTTGGAAACATATCTTGATTCTATTGTTGTTTACTAGAAGAAATATCTACGTAGAAAGCAAGCATTGAAATCTGATTGAATAGGTATTGACTATTTTATGAGAGCTATTTATCATTTTTATCACCATTTTTCACATTTTCTTAGTAACTATCTATCATGATCAATGGGCTCGCAAAAAAATGATGAGATAGATTGGCCCGATAAGTGAATTTATGAAAAAAATGTGCGCTCACTTTGAAAATGTTCAAAAATGTTTCTCGTGACAGCTCTCCTGTTAATAATTCAACCAAACTACATTTTTGGTTTTTTTTTTTGTGAAATTCTGAATTTGGTGGAACAGAATTGTCTCTTTATGTGTTTTTCTCGAAACAATAACATATTGGGGTTGGTTTATGAAAAAAAAAATATAGAGAACAGCGTTTTTTATTTGGTTTTTTTTGTTCACGACGATTATTATTGGATCAGTTGACTCGGAGAGGTTTTGATGGATTGTCGAAGAGACGACAATTTTCGGCAGCACATTGAAGATTTTTTCAGAAAAGCTAGAGAAGTTTGCAAAAAAAAGCAAATCCATATCTTTTTTTTGATTGAAAAAGAAAGTGTAAACCATTTTCAAAACGGTTTTGAAAAACATTTTGGATTTATTTTTTGGTGTAGGCGGTTAGTGTGATTCAAGAAATGAAAAAAAAAACGTTTTTTAACGTTAAAAAAACCAAAAAATGATTCGCGAACGGAATTTTTATTCATTTTTTTATCATTTTCTCAACACATTGAATAAAGTGAAGCTAAAACGCATTTTAGTGTAAAGAAATGATATTTCAAGAAATCAGCCTAAAAGACAAATCAAGCCTTCAAAATCAAATTGTTGATTTTCGAAAATCGCCAATTTCATTTTCTTTTAGGCTGATTAGAAAGTCTTGAAATAGCATTCCTGGACAGAAAAATGCGTTTTATTGTTAGCTTCACTTTATTCAGTTGGGAATTTGTTAAGAAAATGGATAAAAAATGAATAAAAATACCGTTCGTGAATCACTTTTTTGGTTTTTTTTATTTCAGGAATCACTGCATGAAAGAAAAGTTTTGAAAAGTTTGAAAGAATAGTCGCGAGGCGGAACCGGGACCTTTAATATATAAATATATCCATTACACCGTTTGGTCCGCTAAACTAGTTTTTCACCAGTAGTTTTTGATACACGGCATTCTATTTCCCGTAATTTTATCATCGCCCACTTCTTCGACTTTGCCCCCCGAAAGAAAAAAAAACTCAATTTCATTTCAATTTTTTTCGGTTCGCCCCAATTTATCTCATCCATTTTTCGTTTACAAAGAAAAAAAACTCGATGAGCAGCATCATCATCAGAAAAGTCACTTTTTCCTTCGTTTTTTTCCTGCTATTCAATTATACCCTATAGCCGCAGGGGATCAAGCTACTTAGCGTAAAATGAACACATCCTACACGGTTCTTTGGTAGATAGGAGGCGGATCCTCTTCTTTTTTTCGCTGTTTTTTGTCCCTCTCATATTCTTTTAGGTGGAAAAAGGGCACAAGTTGTGAGTCTCATTTAAATATAAATTTGTTCCGCCTTTTTTGGGGGGGGGGGGAAGATAATTATAGTGTCAATTTTTTCCCTCTCAAACTGCCCAATCTTACTCACCGCATAATTTTTGTTGGTTGACAAGAATTCCTGCGCAAAAACTTCCACCATTTTTCGACCAATCCATCTTCCTTTAGTCCGAGTTCGATAAACCGCCCAATATGGACTCAAATGTCGAACTCCTAGAAAATTTTACATTTTTTATTTATTTTTTCATTTTAATCAAATCACTAACCATCAATAATTTTGAATGGAACATTCATTGGCAAATCGTCATGCGCATCAGGCTCTTTCCTTTGCTTTTTTGCTTTCGGCTCTTTTTCTCGTTCCTCGGCTCGCCGTTTTTTCTGAAAAATATATTTTTTAGTCTGATATTATCCTTTATAACTAACCTTTTCTTGATTCTTGCTCAGCTTAACTTCTTCCATGCGAAAAAACGAAAAAAAAAGAAAAACTTTTTTTGCAAACAAACAAAAACACCTCGTGTAGGAAAGTGCGCTCTAGCGAACAGAGAGGGAAATCAAAAATAGGTTTTTTTTTGTTTTTTTCTAATTTCTAAATTTTTTAGAAATTCGGAGAAAAGCAAAATGAGTGCAAAAATGAAATAGAAATCCTCGAAAATATTGGTCACGCAATAATAGAATCTAGTCACTTTTTTGTGTCATTTCATACATTTTCTCAAGGATTTTGAAAGTTCTAATGAATATTTCTTCACTTTTTCAGATAAATGTCAAACGAAACTATATTATCATGCAACCTTTGCCTCGGTTCAGTTGATCCCGAATATTTTTCCTACAATCTTGCAGTTTCTGGAGTCCTATTGCCGATTATTGGAGTTGTTGGGCTAATTGGAAATATTCTGGTTGTACTAACATATTTACATCCTGATCAAAATGTTAGTCAAAAAATTGTGTTTTTTAAAAACGAATTTACAAAAAAACTAAATTTCAGATTCACTCCACATCAATATACTTGGCAGCGTTAGCATTTTCAGACTTTTTCCTGATTCTAACTGCAATTTTTCTATTTTGTTTCGAAGCTTGGCGACATCACAATCATGAATTGATGGCTTGGTTATATGTGACAGGTGCTCCGATGGTTTTTCCGATCGCTTCGATTTTTCAAACAAGTTCTGTTTATTTTTGTGTCGCTGCAGCTGTGGATTGCTTTATTATTGTGGTTTTACCAGAAAGTGTTAAAACTCTTTATTGCACTACAAAGTTGGTTTTTCAGATGTTGATGAATGAAACTCAAAATGCACTTACTTGATTCACAACAAAATTGAAGTTGAACATAAATTTCAAAAGATATATGTGGCCGAACTATTTTGGTGGCCGTGAAATGTCGGGAATTCGGCCAAGGCAACAATTTCTGAGAATTTTTGCAACATTAGAGCGAGTTTGTTGCGTTGGCCGAATTCCCGACATTTCTCGGCCACATATTTTGTCTGAAATTTTGTATTTCAATGTTTTGTGAAGTAAGTAAATGCATTTTGAGTTTCATTCATCAAAATTTGAAAATTTTTCAAAATTATTCGGAACCACAAAAATCAAATAAAATTTTTTCCAGACGAGCCAAAGTCACTTGCGCTGTTTTAATGGTTCTCTGCATCGTTTACAATCTCCCACATTTTCTCGAACTTGAAAGTGTTCGATGTCGAAATGATGACGAGACTTTGGGCTGGCAGATTTGTCCGACTACGGTCCGAACAAATGAGGCTTATTACACGATTTATTACACATATATGTACACCACATTTTTGGCCATCGGACCATTGGCCCTTTTGATTTTGTTGAATATTTGTGTGGTTTACACGGTTTTTAGTAGACCAGATACAGAGGCTGAAAATGGTAGGTTTTTTTTTTCTGAATCCTACAGATGAATTCAAATTTTTTTAGAAGGTGAGGATATAACATCGCTGATTCTCGTCGTATTTTTCTTCATTTTCTGTAACTTCACTGCTCTTCTTGTCAATTTCATGGAACTCATTTTACAAGATGGCGTAAGTTTTTTCCCTAGATTTCTTCTCCCAAAAAATTCCTCCTCCTTTTTCAGACAATTCTTGTTTACTTTGTCGATTTGTCGAATCTTTTGGTCGTTGTTAATGGAACTGCCAACTTTTTCTGCTATTTGATTTTTGGAACTGGATTTAGAATCACATTGAAAAAGGTGAGCTTTGAAATTTTTCGAAGTTTCTAATAAAAAAATCAACTTTCAGATCCTCTACGGCGAAAAAGTTGCAAAATATCGTGCATCTGAATTATGGTCCGAAACTCATACACATGCATTGATTTGAAAATTTGCTACTGCTAATTCAGTAGAACGGGAACAACTTTAATCGTGTTTTTTTTATGTATTTTGCTTCTGGAATTTTGTGAAAATCTTTTTTGTTTGGAATAAAATTTGATAAAAAAACAGTTTTCTTTCCACCAACATTTTCGCATGGGGACTAGCGAGAGATATGGTCAAGGTGGTTACATTTTTGACTGCCATGCATGAGACCAGGGTTCGGTTCCCATTGCTCGCGAAATTTTTTGTTGTTTTCTGCTCACCAATTATCATTGCATCCGCTTAAAAATTTAAATTTGTGTGTGAAAAAAACAGATCCAAAATCCGTGCTAAAAGAGGGAAGAAGAAAAACGAATTCCCTCTTTTTTCTGGCTGTCGTTTAAAAAATTTGATTTCGAATTTGACACAACTTTTTTCCTTTTTGTTTTGTGTTTTTTTTGTCTTCCGCCAAGAAAAAAAGATAATTTAAATTTGGAATGAAATGAGTTTTTTTTTCCAATTCGTGGAGATTCGAATAATGGCTGGATTATTTAAATTCGTTTTAAATTCCCGCCGAAAAAATGTATACTGTATTTAATCCATTTTTCTAATATGAATCAGTATTCTTTTTGTAAAACACCTGGAATATTTTTTGTATTTTTTTTTTTGTTTGATAGAATTTTTAGCATTTCCTATTCCAGAAAACAATTCTTGTTTATTTTTTTTGTTTGTTTTTCTCCTAATTCACCCAAAAAATAACAGCTGACAGGCCCAAAAAAGTCTAGAAAATCTTCAGATGTTTATTATTATTATTTTTTATTTTTCCATTTTTTTTTGGAGCATCCTTCCTTTTTTCCAACAAAATACTCTCAAGTGTCATTATATTTAAGGAGAAGAAGAAGAAGAATGAAGAATTTTCCCAACTAATTGGCATCCAGTTTTTGGATCTATTTTAGGATTTTAATTGTTGATTGGAGTGGCGCACAAAATTCTAAATGAGAACTTTTTTTCAGCTCGACTATTTTTGTGGCAAATAATAATCGCGTTCAAGTTTTTCTTCGAGTGTTTTCAGTTTTGCAACAAAAAAAAATTCTGAATGCAGTTTGACCGGTCAATTTTTTTTTATTTCACTCTGTAACTGAATTTCAAAACTTTTTAACCAGTGTTTCACAAATTTCAGATCTTTGTTTTTTCACAAAAAAATCAAGCTGGAAAATTTCTGATTTTTAATGATAGAAAATATTGATCTACAGTATTCAAATCACAAATTCCAATATCAACTAGAAACCAGAATTTTCAAACAAGAATTTCTGAAATAAAAAAAAATATTGCTGAAATTCAAAACTTTTTCTCGAAATTCTAAAACACAATAAGAATTTTTGAACATGACATGACCCTAACTTTATGATTAAGCCTAACCAAAAAATTTTGATATAGGCTTAAGGTTAGTTTATGAGATAAGGTTAAGCTTAAGGTTTAGCTCAATCAACCCAATTCAGAGATCCTCTCTAAAGTTCAGAATCATCTGGATTTTCAGACGAAAATCAATTTTTGTTGCCATTTTCATTTTTTTTTTTCAAAAAATTTTCTCTGAAATTTCGTTGAATGATGAAAACTCTGTTATCTCATATCAATCATTCCTCAAAAAAATTTTTCATTTTCATATTTTCTCCCCAAAAATCTTCCACCAATTGTTGGTCTCATCTTACTCTTATCATTTCCAACTCAAAATGTTCTTTCTCTTCTTCTTCTTCATTTTCATCTCTCCGAATTCTATCACAAGATTGGAAGGGGGCCCCGAAAATGACATATGTTTTGCTGCTTTTCCCGTCGTCTTTTCATTCTCTTCCAAACCTCTGTCGCCTTCAAAACTCATCATATCTTTTTCTCGCTCAATTGGTCTTTTTTTCTGTCTCTCTCTTGGATTTTTTCTCTGGTACTGATTTTCCAGAATTCATCAATTATTCATAAATCGAACACTTTTTTCGATGTGAATTTCAAATTTGTGAGAACCTTCAGAATTTTCAGAGTTTCATATCCGATCGTTTTTTCTGTTCAAGTTATTTTCAGAACATTTTGTGTTTCAACAGATGTTGACAAAAAAGTTCCAAAACTTTTTTCCTTTGTTCTCAAAAAACACCATTTATCATAATTCATGTTCGCCATGGGAAAATATCGAAAAAATTTTGACCACAGCTCATTTTCTTCTCTGAATCCTTCCACGTGAATCAATTTTCTTTTGAAATATTTTTCTCCTAACATGAGTTATGACGTGGCAAATCTCAGAAATTTCAAGAGCTCTGAAAAATCAAAAATCAAAATTGAAAAAAAAATCTCGGGCGAAACTATAAACTTTTTTTTCTGAAATCAATTCAGATTCTTATCTAGGATTTAAATTTCAAATAAAAGTTCGCATTAAAAATTTTTTTTTTGAAAAAATTCATAGCTTCCAAAATGGGAACAGACCTAAAATTCTAGCTCAAATTTATTTCAAATGACAAAATTCCAAAAAAAAAAGAAAATGATCATAAATTATAAAAATTTGAAAAAAAAGTGTGCCTCGAAGCGGGATCGAACCCATGTCCTAAAAATTGAAAAGAGGTCCGTGTTAACCACTGAGCTACGCGCGCTTTTTATTCCGTGGAAGCGAATGATTGATATATGAAACGTGAAAAAATGGTGAAATTTCGAACTTCTTTTGGGTGTGATACACATTTCTCTCAATTTTTGAACCAATTTCAATTTACACACATTATGACGTCATCTAAATAGTGTAAAAACTCAGCTATTTGTCAAGAGATGTTTCAAAAAATGATCTCAATAAAACTGGAAGAGCCAGTTGTCAATTAGTCACGTTTCTCTTTGAATTTTTTGAACTTTTGTTTTTTCAAAAAAAAATTAAAACTCAAAATCTTTGAAAAATTGATTGAATCCTAGACAATAAAATTAATCACTACTATTTTTCTTTTCTCTCGATTTCTCACCAAAATGTATCGATTTTTCCAGATTTTAGAGCTCCGAGCTATTGAACAAGAAATTGTGAATTGGGTAAAATAAGAAATTCAAAATTTCGAAACTGGAACAAAACGGTCGGCCTAATATGGGGCCCGACCAATCGGATGATGATCAAAAACCATCGACTTCTTCATCAAAAAAGACAACATTATTAGCATTACTTGCGTTCCTATTTTTTCTACTTTTCCTTTTCTGTTTATGTGCTGCTATTTATTTTTATGTTCATTATAAAGACAGTTCAGATGTATGTCTATCTCCAGGATGTATAAATACAGGTGAGATTTTTGAGGAATTCACGAATTCAAAAAAAAACATTTTGAATTTTTGTAGCATCTGTGATATTATCATCAATGAACGCGTCAATAGATCCATGTGAGGATTTTTATGAATTTGCGTGTGGCCAGTGGATCAAAGGCCATCCGATTCCTGATGATGCTCCAAGTGTTTCGAATTTCGAAAATCTTGGACAAGATTTAGAATTTGCATTGAAAGGTAAGGCGAATTTTCAAAATTTTTCAAAAACAATGTTAAAAAACTCACTTTTCCTGTTTTCCTCGTTTTCGAAAATAATTCGCTTCAGCCATTGTTTCGAAATTTCCATCATTATGCTGACGTTTTTCCTGTAAAATAGAATTGAGTGAATTTTAAATAAGAATTCCAAACTGAAGAAAAATTCAACAAAGTACATTTTTTCATAAAATTACTTTTTGAGCACCAGTTTTAGTATAAAACTATCGAAAATCAACTAAACTTGTGTTACTTTTACTAGGAAAATTGATAAATATGAATTTTACAACAAATTTCATTCAAATTCATGGAAAAACACAAAAATGAAAAATTTCCGAAAAACAAAAAAACAAGAAAATAAAAGTAGAAATGGAAGTGCGCCCTATTGATAACAATTGAATGTCGCGCACTCTTTCAAAAATTTGTGTGTTTTGTCGTTGTGGTTTTATTTTTTTATGGTCAAAATGCCTCACAAAAAAAGTTTTTTTCAGAACTTCTGGAAGAGGAAACCGATCTCTCCGAATATGAAACGAGTGCCGTCGGAAAATCCAAATTCTTCTACAATCTCTGCCTAAACGAGTCCGAAATCATGGATAATTGGAGAAAAACTTTCGATGAGGTCATCAATAGTTTTGGCGGTTGGCCAAGTTTGAATCAACCATTGAGAGCTGACGCAAGTATCGAGAAATTATATGCGGATATGGTTGCCAAGTTTAAAGCCGACTCATTGTTCAAAGCCACAGTTCAACCAGATGATAAAAATTCACAGAAACACGTTCTTTTGGTTAGTCATTTTTTCCTGGTCCCCCACATTTTTTAATGACTTTGTTTTCAACTTTTTCCAGGAAAACCAATTGTTTTTCAAAAAAAAAAATAACTCAAAAATGTATGAAAAGTTTCATTTTTTTTCTCGCAGATCGATCAACCTCAACTCAATCTTTTCGCCCGCGATTTTTACGTGGCCGCCGAAAACGAGGAGCGGCTCGCCTATCTTCAACTCATCCAAAATGTGCTGATCTTGTTGAATGCGCGGCGAGAAGTTGCGATTCCGGATGCGAGTGAGATTATTGAATTTGAAACGGCGTTGGCGAATGTGAGAGCATTTTCTGTAATATTAAAAAATGAGCAAACATTTTTAGATCACAATGGCTGATGAGCAACGACATGATATCGCAGAATTGTATACCAAGGTAACACTTGGTGAAATGCGTCGACAACTTCCAAATTTTGATTGGCATCTCTTTTTCAATCACATGTTCAAGGATTTACACGATAAAAATGGAAAAGTGATCAGCTTTGATGACACTACTGAAGTCGTTGTTTATGGTTTCGAATTTTTGCGAAGACTTGACACGCTTTTGCCAAGATATGAGAAGAGAAAAATTGTGAATTATCTTCAATGGTGTTGGTTTTTCAAAACTATGTTGAGAGATTTGCCAGATCCGTTTGCATTGACTATTTTCAAGTTCTACAAAACTTTGAATTGTGAGTACTTATTTGAATTGGGATTCTTTTTTAAAAAATTGTGTTTTCCAGTAATGAATGTTCAAAAAGTTCGATGGCATGGTTGTGTAACTCGAATCAACAGCTTGATGCCAATGGCAACTTCAGCCATCTATGTCAAAAATCATTTCGATCACGAAGCTAAGCAACAAGTTGAAGAGATGATCTCATTGATCATGGAATCATTTGTAGATCTTCTTGAATCCGAAGATTGGCTAACTCAAGAAACAAAACTGTTTGCCAAGCAGAAAGTGAATGAGATGAAGCGGAAAATTGGTTATCCGGATTATTTGAACGATCCTTCGAGTGTCAATAAGGAATATGATACTTTTAAGGTAATTTGGGAGTGTTGAGGAGAAGAAGAAGAAAATTGGGTTTTGCAGGTCTATCCAAATGATTACTACAGAACAAAATTCAGCTTCTATGAGCAATACCAGAGAGATGTTTTGGAGAGAATTACGGAGCCGGTTGATAGAGAAAGGTGAGTCGAATAGATTTTTGGGGGCTCATTTATGACGTGGCAAAGTTTTTTCCACAAAGAATTAGTTTTCCCAAACGCTGCCTTTTAGATCAAGATATCTAAAAAAGTTTTGAATGACCAAAAAAAAATTTCCAATAAAATTTCAAATTCATTGAACCCATTCCATTCCATTCCCTTGTCAATTTCGAGCTTCTCCTAAAACATGCAAAAACTGACAAAAACAGCGCAATAAAATTGGCTTCGTTCCACATGTGTGTTGTGAATTCTTTGCGCTAACTAGACTAATAAATTTTGGGATTTGAAAACAAAAAATTTTTTGATGAGACATGTTTTTGATTGGCTTGGCAGAAAGTTCGTGGGAAGAAAATGTGAAGTAGAAAAAAACAATAGTCATTCATTTTCAGAATGATGTCAGAATTTGTCATAGAAAATTAGGTTGATCAGAAAAAAGAAAAAAATTCGCGGGCACCCGGCATCGAACCTGAGGGTACCCGTTGTATCGGAAAACAAAGCGATAACCTGCTGCGCCATATGAAAAATTATTTTTTTCTCAAAGTATCTACTGATTATACTCATTCGAAAGCTCTTGATCAGCTATAGAACATTAGATACTCAGCGAGCAGCCAAATGGTGTAAAAATAATATTTTTGTTCCAGATGGGTCGCCGGTGCCGCGTTGGTCAACGCCTTCTACAGTCCCAACACCAATGAAATCATCTTTCCGGCCGGCATTCTTCAACCCGTTTTCTACAGCAAACATTTTCCGAGTTCGATGAATTTCGGTGGCATTGGAGTTGTCATTGGGCACGAAATAACACATGGTTTTGATGATCGAGGTAAACATCTTCATTGAAATTCAATATCGGTGAGAAACAAATTTTTCAGGTCGACTTTATGACAATTTGGGAAATATTAGACAATGGTGGGATAATGCAACTATTTCGAAATTCGAATCAAAGGCGCAATGCATTGAAAAACAGTATTCGAGTTATGTTTTGGAGCAAATTAGTATGCAAATTAATGGAAAATCGACAAAAGGAGAGAATATTGCGGATAATGGAGGATTGAAACAAGCATACAAGTGAGATTTTTTCTCATTCGCTTCAAGCATTTATTTGCAAATCGCTAGTCATTTCACGTGACAGAAATAGTCAAGTGGTTAGAACACGTGTTTTTTGTTCACAACGTCCAGGATCGGATCCGTTTGGACGCTCGCGAATTTTTTTTTTTTCAAATATTTTCCATATGAAAAAATAATTCTGTAAAGTTATAACAAATATTCCCCAATGACTTTTCGCCCACTAAAAATTTTTAATCAAAAATTACATTTTTTTTCTAATAATAGTCATGATATATTAAATTATCACCGAATTCAAGGAAGTCTGATTCAGAGCCTACAAAAAGTACGAAAAAGTGCACAAAACTCCGCCACGTTTGCCCGGCGTCAATCTAACACACGATCAATTGTTCTTCTTGAACTACGCGCAAATTTGGTGTGGAACAATGAATGATAAGGAGGCGATTCGGAAATTGAGAACATCTGAACATTCACCTGGTCCGATTCGGTGAGTCAAAGATCGGAAATCAAGAAATTAGAAATTCAAAAGCCCCACGCGATTTCTAATGTTTCATAAGTTCTATTTTAAGAATATCTTATGAACTTTCAAATATACATTTTTTTCAGTGTCAAAGGTCCATTATCCAACAGCCACGATTTTGCCACAGCCTATAATTGTGCACCTGGAACACCGATGAATCCAGTTGATAAATGTCGAGTTTGGTAGCCTTTCCCTTTCCCCGTTTTCCCCGAAATTTCAATTTTCCGAAGTTTCTCCGGTTGTGTTTTATTAGCCTTCATCTTTTCCTTTTTTCCATTTTTAATCAAAAAAAAAATCAAAAATATTAGATTTTTCCATCCAAATGCACTATATTGATTGAGCTTTTCCATTCTTTTCTTCTTGAAAATAAATACATAAATAATAAACTTTGAAATGACGTGACAGGGGAAACCAAAAAGGATTACCAGGTTTTTAAGTGTATATAGAACCAATTTATTATTCTGGGAAGAAAATGATGGACGAGGAGAAGGAAATGGAATTTTAATGCAGGTTGGAATTGGATTTTTGGAGCTGAAATGCATTTTGGTGCTAATTGAACAGTGATTCAAGAATCTGGAGAGCCTGGTGTGCTCTATGAGCTTTTGAGAGCCCAGAACTTGGCTCAGAGGTCCATTGGGCTCCGAAAGCTGTCTATTGACAAAGTTCATCAAGATTTTTGTTAAGAAAATTTTGTTAAGGAAATTTTTGTTAAGAAAATTTTTGTTAAGAAAACTTTACTTAAGAAATTTTGTTAAGAAAACTTTACTTAAGAAAATTCTCAACAAAAATGTTCTTAACAAAACTTCCTTGCTCACCATAAATTTTAAATTTTAAATTTTTTTTTGTTAAGAAAATTTTGAAACGTATATGAAAAGGGATATTCCAAAAAATATTCAATAATTCAGAAATCAGCAATTTCTAATTTTTTTCAAATTTCCTAGTTACGACGTGGCAAAGTTTCCTAAATATTTTATCTTCCAAGATCAAGAAGTTCCCATCAAAGACATCTCGATTTCGTTTCCATCAGATCCATCAGAAGTCCTCCAGGCTCCGCCCCCATTTTCCCTTTTTTTCCCTTGACAAAGGGGCGTGGCTGGCTCGAGCCGTTAAAAAAAACCACTATTTTTGCGTTCACCTCGTCGCACACCCCAAAACACATTCAAAAGAAATGTTGAGAAACATGATTCTATCACTATTTTTGAGCATTTTCGCTTTGAGCTTCTTTGGACAACAAGTTGCAGCTGCTGCTGTTCAACAACAGGTTTGTTATGAGAATTTTTGGAGGGAGAGGGGTTGAGAGGGAAAATGAATTTTTCAAAAATTTTAATTTTCAATCCTGTGTGTCCCTAAAGAGCCCCTAAAGATCCCTAAAGGTCCCTAAAAAGCCCACCATTTAAATTTTGAAAAAATATTTTCGAAAAATCTTATTCAAAAATATTTTCATTCCCACGAACTTTTTGTTTTTATCAAAATCCAGTACGTGTGAAAATAAGTTCTCCGAAAATTAATTATTTTTCGCGGGTGATTTATCTTTTTCCTACATGACATAACCAATTTATCATAAATTCTCGTGACGAATAAATTATGATATAATTTTTTGTGAACTTTACTTTCGAAAATTTCTCGGAGAATTCCAATTTTTCCAAAAAAAAATCCAATAAAAGTACTACTAAATACATATATTTTATGTGTTTTTCAATTAGCAAAGCTTTATTTTATTTTTTGTTGGGACTAAATAAATATTGTCAAAATTGCAAAAATAAAATAAAATAACAAAAACAGGGAAAAGAGATCTGATGTTCGATGCGCAAGAAAAAAGAAACATCGCGTAATTTGTGACACAAAAGTAATAAAACCAGAAGGCCAAATTTAATCAGCGTTTGTGTTTTTTGGTGCGAATTAGCGCTTTCTGGTCTCCAAGGAACAATTCTTTGACCTCAAACACCTGTGTAATCTAAAACTCATTTAGTTTCCGGCGGGAATTTAGAAAAAAAATGGAACAAAAAAATTCTGTTATTGAATTTTGTTTGTTTTCGCTTTGCCGGGAACTCGATTTAGTATATATATGTATAACAAAGAAAATATCTAGAAATGACGTTGGGAATCCAAAAATTTTCCAGCCATCATATCAATTCGAGCCAGCGATTCAATACGAGCTCTTCAACAAAAGAGCTGATGGTTATGGATGGAATGACTGTGAATTTTCGCCGATGAGTTGTCTTTTGAGAAGAAGACGATCGATTCAATAAAAAATATAAACTAGTAGAACGAAAAAAAAGAGAGAGAGAACAACATCAAAAAAAAACAATGACAATTTATATTTTATTTTATTTTGAAACAGCTTTTTCTTAAGATCAATAATAAATAAAGTTTTAAAATTTTTTGGCTGCTGGAAAGCTTTCAGATTGTAATTGAGCCATTTTTTGAGAAACTTGGCGATGACGCTTCCGAACATTTTCATATGGTAATTGATAACAGGAACAGGAGGCGATTGAGATGTTGTCAGAGAGTGGGAGACGACTGTTGTCCAGATCTTCACATGGGTCGCCAACTCGAACAAATCCTTGAGCAGCCAGGATTGCTTCTCTGGAAAAATCAATTTAATTGAATGTAAAAATCTAATTATAATTGCTTTAGGCTGTGTTGCAATATGTTTCATTAACAAATTGAGCTTTGGTAGATTTTGGAACATAGCTATTTGATAGATTAATTTGTAGATTTAACTAAATTGTAGCCTTCAACTGTATTTAAATTTGGTTTTTTGGTTTCAATTCTTGGATTTTTTATAATTCTTACCAGGTTACTGTATATTTAAAATTCTGAACTATTTTTTTTGTCTCAAAAGTACATCTAGAAATAATTTATCCAATTTTACAGATAAATGAAATTTTGAAAATTTTTCCATAGTTTTCCACATTGTCAAAAAGCTTTCAATTTTTCTGATCTTCTGACAGAAGGTTCCAAAGCTTTTGAAAAGGCCTTGAGCCCTTTAACAATGCCTTAAGGTTCTTAAGAAGACCTTAGGACCGTTAAGAAGCCTATTAGGCTTTAAAAAGGCATTGATCCCTTTGAGAAGGCTTTCTCAAATTTTTTCATAATTGTTTCACCTCCAAAACAAAAAATGTCATTCAAGAAGTCCTTAAGAGCCTTAAGAAGCCTTGAAGAAGGCCTTAAGCCTTTTTGGAAGGCCTTAAGGCTCTTAATAATGCCTCATGGGTTTTAAAAAGGCCTTGAGCCCTTTAAGAAGGCTTCAAAGCCTTTAATAAAGCCTTAAGGCTCCTAATAATGCCTTATAAGCTTTGAAAAGACCTTGACCCCTTTGATAAGGCTTCAAAGCCTCTAAAAAAGGCCTTTTAGGCCTTGAAAAGACCTTGAGCCTTTTAAGAAGGCTTCAAAGCCTTCAAAATGGCCCTAAACCCTTTAAGAAAATGTTTCAGCACTCTGAAAAATCTTTTACCAACAATTTTTTGATCCTCATAAAACTTGAATAACTCACTGTTCATCACGTTTCTCATCTTCCGTATTCAAAGTCAAAAATCTGAGCACCAATAAATTCATGGCTGCCGATATCACAGTCAATCCAAACAATATAAACACTAGGGAAAATAAAACATATTTGGGTTTTTTCTGAAGTGCACTGTCTTTCTGCAAAGCCACATAATCACCAAATCCAATTGTGGTCAGAGTTGTGAAACAATAATAAACCGCATCGAAATATGACCAGTTTTCATATTTTGAAAATGCAAATGCTCCTGAAAGGTTGTGAAATTCAGATTTATTAATTGAGGTAAATGCAGAAAAATTATACCTCCAGCAATAAGAAAAGCTCCCCATCCAGTACAAACCCAAATCAAATCCATCGGTGTTACAATCGGCTGTTTTCCAGCAGCTCGTCGGAAAAACCTTATCAATTTCGCCGCAAACGTATTCATCCGCTCTCCAATACTTTGAAACATGACTAAACCCAAAGGAATGCCGGCCAACGCATAAAACATACAGAATATTTTGCCGCCATGTGTCAGCGGGGTACTGTGACCGTAGCCGATTGTTGTGATGACTGTGGTGGCGAAATAGAGGGCTCCGGAGAATTTCCATTGATAGCCGGCTTTGTGGGGAACACCTTTGACGATGGTGTTTTCGAGAACTTCGTAATCCGCATTTGACATGTTGTATTTTGATTGTAGCATTTTTCGGATTGTTTCTACTAGTCGACGCTAAAATTTTGAATTTTATCCATTTTTAAAAATTGCTACAAGTGCACCTAAAGGCACTTTGGCGCCATCGAAAATATATCAAACATTTGCGGGCTGGAAAAACATGGTGGCGTGGTCCAGTGGTTAACACGCGCGCTTTTTAATCATTAGGTCATGGGTTCGATTCCCGCTGCGTGCAAATTTTTTTTTCGAAATTTTCGCCATAGAAATTGAACTTTTTTTTTCAAAACTCTAATGAGAATTTATAACAAGCTTCTTCAGAAATCAATATTTTCCAAATCAAAGCCCCAACCAAACCTGTTGTATTTCATTATCCGACTCAAGTGCATCAAAAACCGCAGCTCCAACCAATAAATAAGTAAAAGTACATACAATCAAAGACAATGTTCGAACATTTTGTCGCTTCATTATTCAGTTTTCAAAAAAACACGAAAAATAAAAAAGAAACGAAGGCGGATAAGATGAAAATATGTGTAAAATAAGAGAAAACTATTGAAACTAGAGAGAATTAGAGAAATGAGAAATGAGCATTTCAAAATTTTATTGCTTTTGTTTTATTCCTAACTTGAAACCGGTATCATTGATATTTGCACTTTGATGAACCACACAAACACGCGAATTTCTGAAAACCAAAAAATTTAAATTCATATTTTGAACAAAAAAAAATTATTTTACCTTGGCAGCCCACCAAGAATCACCATAATCAATTGTTATTTCTTCATTCTTCATAATTATTCGATCAGTGTAAAAACACATGTGAATTAGTTGATTTTCCGATTGATCCCAGCTCACATTTGCAACTTTTACATTCGGATTACAACTGTGATTTATGAAGCGAGTATAGTTTCCACAGTATTTTGCATCAATTGTATAAGTTTGCTCGCCCTAAAAAAGTAAGATAGAGGAAGTCGGCTAGATAATTTTGTGAGTCTAGACCACGCACAACGCCGGAACTTTATTGAAAATTTTTTAGTAACTCACAATCCTAGTCTCAAACAAAAAAGTGGTGTCACTTCTCATTGCAGCTTCATCATCATCAATCAACTCCCCAGTATATTCACCAATATAAACACCTTTCGGAATATTCATCTTCGCTCTCACACCCCAACCACATTTCAAATCTCGCGCGAATATCTCCATCGATATATTCGAACCTTTTTGTGCGATTCGATTGCCGCACCAGAGGGCACATTCACAATAATCGTTGCATTCTTGAACAATATCACACATCAGATGATCCATGTTGTTTACGACGCCGGCTGGAAATATTGGGGGAATTTCAGGATGAATTCAGAAATCCTGAAGCCTTCTGAAGCGTTTTGAAGATTTCTAGAATTTTCTGGAGCCTTCTGCAGGCTTCTGGAGCCTTCTAAAGCCTCCTGAAGCCCTTTGAAGCCTTCTGAAGCTTTCTGAAGCTTTTCTGATGCTTGCTGAAGTCTCCCGAAACCTTCTGAAGCGTTTTGAAGAATTTTAGAATTTTCTGGAGCCTTTTGCAGGCTTCTGAAGCCTTCTAAAGCCTCCTGGAGCCCTTTGATGCCTTCTGAAACCTTATAAAGATTTATGAAGCCTTCTGAATCCTTCTGAAACTTTCTAAAGCTTTCTGAAGTCTCCCGAAGCCTTATATAGCCTTCTGAAGTACTCTGAAATTTTCTAAAGCCTTCTGAAGCTTTCTGAAGTTTTCTAAAGTCTTCTAAAGCCTTCTGAAGCTCTTTGAAGCCTTCTGAAGCCTTCTGAAGCCTTCTGAAGTCTCCCGAAGCCTTCTAAAACCTTCTGAAGCCTTCTGAAGTTTTCTGAAGTTTTCTAAAATTTTATAAAGATTTCTGAAGCCTTCTGAAGTTTTCAAAATTTTTCTGAAGCTTTCCGAAGCCTTTTGAAGCCTTCTAAAATCTTCTGAAGTTTTCTAAAATTTTCTGAAGTCTCCCGAAGCCTTCTGAAGTCTTCTAGAGCCTTCTGAAGCCTATTGTAGCTCTCTGAAGCCTTCTCCTAGGTCTAATTCAAAACTCGAAACTCACTTTTAGTATAAATTCCAGAAGCACATTGACAATTAACATCACAAGATCCATAACATCGACACGAATAGATTTTCTTGGAAACCGGTCGATTTTTCAAGTGTCCCGAAACATCAATCAACCGTGGCGCGTATTTGAAATCCCGAAAAACTGATGTATCCATTTTGGGAACAGTGCAAATCACTGGAACTGAAAATCTTTCAGCGCCATTTGAAAGATCCTCGATTAATAATATATTTTCATCGGAAATCTGGAAGAATTTTTATTTGTTTTTTTTTTTGAAAAAGTATTTCGAAGAAAAAACTAACCATCTTATTTTTCCGAAATCATTTCATTTTTATGAAGAAGAAGAAGAAATCTGGAAAAAAGTGTAAATAAATAGATGGAATAAAAAATATAAAAAAAAAGGAAGACACAACAAAAGAAATGCGAAAAAAAAGTGCAAAATTTTGTGAAGGATGTCGTCCTCTTATGGGTAATTAGCACAACAAACTTGGGATTTTTTTTTGAGATGATGCAGAAATTTGAGAAAGTGCTAAATATATATTTTTTATACAACAAAAAAGATCTTCTGAATCGTGGGAAAAAGAATAATAAAATAAAAATGTCTCAAAAAAATGGATGGAGTGAGGAAATCAGCGAACAATAGGGACCAAATAAGTGGTTTTGGATGGATAGATAGATATGTTGTGGTTTGTTGTGGTTTCCGGACGGAATTTTGTGGTCTATTCAGAAAGAAAATAAATTTTGAACAATATTTTATTTCTACCATTCTTTGTTAGGATTTTTTTGAATATAAATTGAAGTAAATTTTCGCGGAAAAAAATATTTTGAGATTCGACGAAAAAATGAGAGATTTAGAGAGAGATTATTTTTGATCTACTAGAAATTTTTTTATGATTTATGACGTGGCAAAGTTTCGAAGACTAGAAAAACTATGCTTCAAAATTGATTGCTGGTATCAGATTCATTTTCAGAAGAAAATTTTTGAATTTCTAAAAAAAATTCAGAAGCTGTTTAGATTTTATTAAGAATTTATTTTCAAAATTTCTAGAAACTCTAGATCAGGAATTCCAAAAATCCGAAATTGACAATTTTTTTCATAATCTCAAATTTCTGAATTTTTCGAAAATTTTGAAAAATTGAAAGCTTTTCTCATAATTCATTCATAACCAAAGCAATCTGAATAATGAAACTCTCCAACTTTTTTTTCCAAAAAATAAGAAAAAAAAAGATTTTTGAGATACAAAAAACATAATATATATTTCAGAATACGGAACAAAAGACTTCCTTTCCTCTTTTTTTTCTGCCAATTTGTTATTTGAATAGATGTTGGATAGTTGGAAAATAAGAAGAAACACGACCGGAACAAACATGAGATTTCGAAAAAAAACTAAAAAAAATGCTCAAGAAAATCCACAGAAAAAGTACTACGGTATAGAGAATGCTAGAAAAATATGTCGAAAAATTGAAAAAAAGAAGAAGAAGAGGAATGTAATTGACATGAAAAATTGTCTAACGACAAGGCAAAAAAAAACGAGAGGAGATTCTGAAAAGTTGTGAGGAGCAAGCACTAAATTCGATTTGTTCTACTACGAGAGCACAAAATGTTTTGAATCTTTTCACTTTTTTTTCGAAATGACGTGACCACCGGAAATCGAACTCAAACGAATTGTTGTTTTTTTTCTTACTCACCAAAAAATACCTGAAACGAACGAGAATTGTGCCCATAAATATTAGATTTATTCTTGTCTGGGGAATTGAAGGAAAAAACGCTACGATTATCGGTGAAAATGGCAAAAACACCACCCAAAAATAATCCATTGAGCAATGTTTTTTGGGGGTATTATTTTGACTTTGTCTTGTCTAACTTGTCGCCCGATGATTTGTTTTTTTTGAGAAAAAAAAATATTTTTTTTCTTTATAAATAATCATAGGGTAGATTCAACATTGAATTGAAGCATGTAATTAATTTTTCCAGATGCCGAAAAAAATGATTTTAGAAGATGATGTAACTATTGTTGTAAGACCACCCACGAAGAATTTGAATGTTTGAATTGTGTTGTACGCAAAGTATACTGTAGTTCTTTCGTCGCGACGAGACCCTGTGTGTGTTTCAGCTGTTGTGTCTTTCAAAAACTACGGTTTTTTTGTTTTTTCAGGATTCTCGAGGTTTTTGATGCTTCTGCAGTGTGTGATTCAGAGATGAATTTGCTCGATTTTCCTAATTTTCAACTAAAAAATAGGTTTAATCCGGAAAAAAACCAAAAAAAAAACCGTAGTTTTTGAAAGGCGCAACAGCTGAAACACACACACGGTCTCGTCGCGAAAAGAAATACGATATATTATTTTTTTTTTAATTTTCTCGTTTCAATTTTTTTACGTTTATAATACTAAAAATAAGTATGTAGATTGATAACCTTCTGTGCACTGACGCATCTTTGAACATAAAAACGTCCATCGATTAATAATAAAGAGTTCCATATCAACAAAATTTGCAAAACTGATAACTATTTTTATTCAAACTTTTCCGTTTTTATCGGAGGTTCGTTTCATTTTATAATGCCATCTACTTCTTGCCTAATTTGTACTGAAGACTACAACGATCATGAAAATTGTCCAAAAGTAACCAGTAAGAATTTTTTTCTCATCAAAAATGTGTCATTCATACTAATAAAAAATATGTTATATTATTTTCAGGATGTGGTCATACATTCTGTATAAGTTGCTTGTTAAAAATCAAAAAAACTGTTGGAAATGAAGAAACATATGAGTGTTTTACTTGTAAACAGCAATTTGCTTTTCATGAAATGACAACAAATTTTGCTATAATGCCAGATGATACTCCGAAACCAAATGTTGCACAAAATTTGGAAGAATCACATTTTGCTTGCTGCAATTGTCCTAGAAATGCAACAAAACATTGTAAAAATTGCGGAACAAATTATTGTGGATCGTGAGTTTAGATAAATCGAGCTTTTTGAAAATTATTTTTACAGATGCGAGGTAATAACACATTCGATGTATCCAAATCATATAACAAAATTAATTGGGCAAAGTACACATGTTGAGAAGCTTTGTTCTTGTTTGCAAAATGGAATATCTTTATTTTGCAGTGTAGGATATTTAGAACTAGATTGTATTTTATGATTTTTTGGATTTTCAGAATATGGAATGCTCAAAAATTGAATTGAAAGCCACGTGCTCAAGCTGTTTTGCAAAGCATCACGCAAATTGTTCGAGTATCTTCTTTTCAGCGGCAAATAAAATGTTGAAAAGCCAAATAGAAGTCATCCTTGATAAAAAATTCAAAGAATTCGATGAAAATGATATCGTGAAAGAGTAAGTTAATCAAAAATCATCAAGATATGGAATGTTTACAGAAAATTTAATCAAGATTTGATTAGAAAACACAATGAACAAAGGAAGAAGGTGAGATTATTTGATTGAGAGCTAAAAATTTAAAAATAGTTTCAGATTGAGACAAATTATCAAAAATTACGAGAAGAATTAGAACGAAATTATAAAATAAGTATGCGACAACTCGATCATTTTATTGAACTTCATAGATCTGATAAAACAAATCTCATCGATGAAGAGAAAAGGGATATTTCAAATAAAATCAATGTCATAGATAAAATTCGAGATCTTCATAGCGAAGATTTGGTTAGTATCTATCCCAAACTCTTCGAATTATTTCAATCAAAACCAGTTGGTAAGTGATTGATGAAAAAAAAAAAGATAAACAAAACGAACATTTTTAGATGATAGTTATATCAAAGATCCAAAAGTGCAACCAAATGGTTTGAAATGGTTTCCATCACATAACATCCTGGTTACAGGTATTTTAAAAAAAAATTGAGAGGAAAATTTCGAAATTGTTTTCAGGAAACTGGCAAAATGGAAAAATTTATTTTCTTGATCTGTTGAAAAAACAGAGTTTTGGTGTTTGTAACGTGCAAGGGTGAGTTGAAAGCAGGCGGAGAGCCTTTCAAAGACAACTAACCAGTTGAACCGGTTTTCGGGGTGATTCAAGTAGAAAAAAAGTAATAAAAACATTTTTTTGATAAAAAATTTCGATTCAGCAAATGTCAAAAAACTATATTTCTACGTATAACGTCATCATCAGGGATAATACTGAAAAATAAAAATGGGTTATTTTTAAGTTACGGATTTTGAAATAAACTTAAAATAAACAAATGAACAAAACCAAAATTTCGAAAAATCACAAAAATAAATCTGCTAAAGTGCGGGTAGGTGGAGTGTTGTTAGTACTTAAAGGGTTGGTGTTCTCCTGGTGAAAAAATCGTCTGCAAAAAGGCGTCACCGTGTTATTTTCAAAGTTGTGTGCAAACACACGCACGAAAATTCAAAAACGAGTTGTGCGCTAGAGCGCATTTACTTGTTTTATTTCGTAGGTTTTAATTCGTTTGTGTTTTTGAGGAAAAACATGGGCTGAATTGATACTAGAATTTTTTCTAAAACTGGAACCTTCCAGGAGCACCTTATTCCTATCAATACCAAACAAGATTCCCTGGCGGAGCACCAACCCTTCAAGAAGCATTTTATGTTTGATTCATTTTTATTGTGATAAGACTTAGTCATAGGAAAACGTTTCAATGAAAAAAACGTCAAAAAATAGGAAAAAAATAGAATTTTTCAACATTTGCTGAATCGAAATTGTTTGTCAAAATTGTTTTTTTTCGACTTGAATCACCCCATTAAAACACCTCAAAACCCGTTAGAATTTTTTCAGAAAATGTGAGATGTATTATGGATCAACACAACTGTTTTTTCACTTTTCTGCCGATTCATCAATTCAAAACAAATGTTTGTTAAATACTTTCAACTCTCAAAAATTCAAAATACATTTCAGGCGAATTGCATTTCACTCAATTCCAAAATGCGAATCCAAGAGACAATTGTACGGTTATAACAATAACAGATAAGGAAAATCAAGAAGGTGCATTTTATCTTCCATTGGATCCAACACAAAAACCGAAAGCTCAACAAACAATACATCAAATAATACGTGATAACTTTTTTTGAAAACACGTTTTTATATGAAAATGTTTATGGATGATAAAAATAAATATAAGTACTTATTTATTTTCTTCCCCATCCCATTCCTGGTCCCATCATAGGTCTTCCGAAACCTCCACCCATTCCAGGTCTCATCATTGGCCCACCGCCGAATCGATTCATTCCTGGACCCATTCCCATACCAGGTCGCATCATTCCCATCCCCATTCCAGGACCTGCAAAACAAATTTTTGAAAAATTTTTTTTTTAATTACAAAAAAAACTTACCCATTCCCATTCCAAATTGTGATTGGACGACGGAAAACAAAACGAAGAGAACGACTAAAAATTTCATTTTTGTTTCTTTCTTAAAAATTTTGCGGATCTACAAACTTATTTATATGAATGAAAAGAACTGGTATTTGTGTAATGAAAATGTTGAAAAATACTACAAAAATATTATTTTTTTATTATTTTTGATGAAAAACATATAAGTAATGAATTGTTGGACGAAGAAAATTTGAAAGGATGTTTGATGGTTGGGAGATTCTGGAGGGCTCGTTTCATATATCAAACATTTGCGTACGAGAAAAACGTGAGCGCGTGGACGAGTGGTTAACACGCACGCCTTTCAATTTTTAGGTCATGGGTTCGATCCCGCTTTGAGGTAAATTTTTTTTAGATTTCTCACGGAGCTCCTAGTTCAGAAAAAATAAACTTCCTAAATACAAAAATTTCATTCATAAATTTTTCGAGAGACTACTTTTGATCTCCAACGACGGCGATGATGAATTCGAAACAATCGGAATAGAAACATTCACCTTCTCCCAATCATACAACTTATTGCTTGATCTTCTCGTTTTTCTCAACGCGTGTGTTATCAATCCTCGAATAATTGCATAATCTGGGCAATCATAATAACCCAAGCTATCAATATAAACAAGAATGTGAATGAATTCTTTGGGACATCCGGAAAAGAATTCGCGAATTATATGAGTTCTTGAGTGTTGTTTTGATTGTGCGATATGTGCGATGTCATTCATTGTGTACCAAGGGAGAGTTCCAACCATCATTTCAACCTGAAAAAACGTGAGGATGAAGTTCTAGATTTTTCCAGGATTCTGAAAAAATCAGAAACATTCCAGAGCACCTTTCCAAGTCTCTAAAAATTCAGAAAAAAAATAGAAGATTCTAGAATTTTTCCAACAGTTCAGAAAAATCTTCTAGTCCCCGTAGATTTTTATTCAGGCTTCTGGAAAAATCAGAAACATTCTTTAGGACTTTCAGATAAATTTCCAAGTCTCTAATAAATCAGAAAAATTTTTTTAAGATACTAGAATTTCTTCAAAGGTTCAGAGACTCTTGTAGATTCTGTTCCAGACTTCAAAAAAATTCAGAAAAATTATTAGGCTTTCAGGAAATTTTTCCAGGCTTATGAAGAATTAATTATAGAAGAGGGCTTCTATTTTTTTTCAATTCTGAAAATTTTGAAAAAAAATCTTTCAGGCCTTGTAGATTTTGTTCAAGGCTTTCCAGAATTTATCCCACCTCGCAGATTCTAAAATTTTTCGAAAAATTTAGAAACAATGTTGGCCCTCAAGAATTTTTTCTGTCTTCTGAACTGTAGAATTTTCTCACCGAGATAAAAAAAAAACGTTTTTGAAATTCAGCAAAATTAAAAATAATTTTTCAGATTTTCTAGAATTTTTCCAAGGTTTATTCCTAGCCTTACTCCATTTTTAAATCTCAAAGTTCGAAAATAAGTATATATATTTACATTTATCGAATGAATAAAACATGTTCCGAGAAAGTGTAAAATGTGTGTCATCATCAAATGTTTACTTACTTATTTGTTGTCGTATTTTTGTCCTACGTCATTTTTCAAACCACTTTATATGTTTCGTGGTTTTTTTCTTTTGAAACCTTAAATCATAAGACTTACCATAACATACAACCATGATTCCAAATCATCTTTCCTACTATTCTCTCTTCCATTATGTGTCGCCAATGCAGCATATCGAATTGTCCCTTTAAACGTTGAATACCACCTCGGATTCATTAACTTCGAATTTTTATCCAAATATTTCCGACTCATCCCAAAATCCAATAACTTAATCAATCTTGGATTTTCAAGTGAAATACAAAAATTGCCAGGTTTTATATCTCTATGAATAAATCCGATGCTATGCAAAATCTGAATCGAATCCAATGTCTGTTTTGCCACATTCATTGCCGTATAAATTGTGAATTTTTGATGTTTGCATTCTTGTCGCAATTGATTCAAATTTCTTCCACATAAACTCATCACGATGATATTCAAATGAGTTGTTCGAGCACAAAAATAGAATCGACAAAAGTGTGGGGATTGCAGTTTTTCAAGACTTCTGATAAAGAATGTAGCGAAGATTTTTTGGGAGGTAATGATAAAAAAAACCTACTGAAGTACTGTAGCATCCATTTTCAAATATTTTTCTGCTCCATTTCTGGCCTCAACTTTTAGGGCAAATGGTAGACTATTTGTGTGGCGAACCTATAAAAAATATTTTTCATCTTCAGAATTTTCCATAGCCTCTCGGGAGAGTTCTTCCACGCTTTCAGGATTTTTCAGCCTTGAATCAGTTCGCCTAAGTTCCCCTTCTCAAAATCTTTGTCAAAAATCGTAGGCGTAGTTTGAAACTCGAAAAATGTAAATTAACCAAACTACAGACGTAAATAGAGTGTAGGCAAGAACCGGTTTGATATATCAAAGAAACGAACGATGACGAATATGTTGTTTATTTATTTATAGCCAAATTGAAACTTTTGAACCTACACTCCAGAAGTATAATTCACACATTTTGCAAAAAAGCGTGGGTTTCAAAGCTGATTTTTTTAATCTACAATACTTCAAAGTCTTACTGATTAGTGCAATTCGAAATAAACCGTTTAATGAGATTTTGTTAGCTAAGTATGAGTTCGGAAAATTTTTTGCTGAAGTTCACACGCCAAATAGACACATAAACATCTATTTTTAGAACTCTACAATGTCTGTTATTACAAAAAATACCATGCCGAAAATAAAATTCTAAATTCTTTGTTGTGGTGTGTTTTTGTGATCAAAATTTAGAACTACTGTAGTTTTGTTATCACTTAGAATCAGTTTTTGATTGGAAATTTGATGTGGATGTAGGCTGAGGTTACGGTAGTGTAATATTGATTTTTGGACGTTAAGAACACTGTTTATGCTATTGTTCCCAGAGTTGTTTTCAAAATCACCTCATAAATAGCTCCGAATTCCCCGGCAGAAATCATTTTCACAACTTCATAATCTCCAAGTCGATCACCTTCTGATAATTTGATATTTGTTTCATCTTTGTTTTCTGTACAAAAATCATTTCACTCAACTCCAAACTCTAATTTCATACCATTTTTAACAGTTTCCATTTTGTTTCCAACACGTTTTCTAGAAATGACTTCCTTCTTAAAAGGAAGCCAATTCCTCCCTCATTTTTTCTCGAAATAGGAGGCCACGCCTTTTTTTGGTACGTCTATTTTTTTCTTGCTCCGCCCATTAATTCAAAGTCTACATCTTTAGATGTCTATAATATAAGCTAAGCTAAATAAGTGCTTGTCAATTTTTTGCTACGACAATGGGTCAACGAAGTCTGTTACTGGTTCTTTTGTGTATTTTTACATTTGTCTCGAGTCGACCGAATGATGAGAAACGTATGAAATTATGTGGAGAACGGATTAAACAAGAGGTTGAGAGATTATGCCCAAATGGACATACTTCAAATCGTAAGTTTCCCAGGGTGGGGTTGAAAATATGACAAGGGTAAACCTAATTTCATAGAATCATGTGAACTTTTTGCTCTGATTTAGTATTCCCGAAGTTGGAAAGTTAGTTTTCTCAAAAAAAACTTGTTATAAATTCATGACCACGTAGGAAAAAATGACGGGTTATACATCTGTTCACGGACTGTAAATCTATACGACCATACTGTATGGTACATACCACCCGTTGAGTCATACGCGAGAGTATTTTGCGAAAACATCCCGAAAATGAATTTTGTGGCGAGATATTTGTGTGTTCCTTCAAAAAACAAATCACGGTTTTTTTCTGAAATGGACACACATTTTTTTTTTCAAAAATATCTCGAAGCGATCTGTCTTTGATGGCGTCATTAGACTCCCCTCGTCTGACCCGAGGGGGGGGGGCCAGGCCTGATCGGAATGGACCTTGTCGGAAGGTTCGGAATGAGCACACTCGTTCCGAGTAGTCAGATCGTAATTCCGAATTCCGAACCTCTATTCCGACATTTTTACCTCGGAATTTCGGAATTTTTCGGAATGTTTCGGAATGATATAAAACTTAAAAAATTGTCTTCAAAAGTTACATTTTTCGAGAATCACAAGAGAAAAAGAGATTTTTTGAAAATGACAGGTAAAATTCATCAACTTTTCCATTTTTTGTTGCATTTTTCACTAATTTCAGCTCAAACATTCCGAAAAATTCCGAAATTCGGTAGAAAAATTCCGAAATTCGGAAGAGAAACACATTCCGAAATTCCAAAAAGTTTCGGAAGTAACATCGGAATGATTCCGATTCCGAGAAAATAGATTCCGATTCCGAGACACGTTTGTCTCATTCCGAAAAACCTGTCGGTTTCGGAATTTCGGAATTCCGACATTCCGATTCCGATCAGGCCTGGGGGGGGGCAATTTCGTATTGTTGTCGAAACGGAATCGGCCGGAGCTTTGTCAAAAACCCGTAGGTTCCCCTGTACGACATAAAAATGTAGCTAAGGTCCGCTGCTATGTTCAAAAATTCATGTGGCTTTTCAAAAGCTACCCTACCTTCACAGCTTTTAAGATAAACTTTATTTAACCCCTACCTTCACCACGTTTTCCTAATTTAATATATTTCCTTTCCTTCCACCTTCACCTTTCGCAATTTCAATGTATGTTCTATGAAAAAAACTTTGAACTGATAGAAGATTACAAAATCTCATCTCTTCCGGCAAAAGCACTTTCCCGACTGAAATAGGATGTTATTTGTTTTGCTTTGTCCCCTTTAATCTCCACAGATTAAAGGTTTCAGCAATATGTTTACTACTATTGCATCTTGTAATAATAATAATAATAATAATAATAATATCAATCTGATTATCCGTATATTCTATTTTAGTACACAGAGATTCTTAAACATCGGGAAAACAATCTACGTCGGAGTCAAAAACCATTGTTATAATTTTTGCATTACGAAATGAACAGAAACCACATGCCTACTTAGTTGATTCAAAAAAACATGTGAGAGCAAAACACTTGTCAGTAATATTTTTACGCAATCCACTTGACCCATGGATTAGTAATAGGCTAGAAAAATCCAGTGTTTTTTGTTCAGCAAATCATGTGATTATTTTGAATTTGCCGAATTCTATGTTTCAAAAAAGTAAAAAGTGAAATTGATCTCAAGACTTTCCAGTTCAAAAAATTTTTGAAAAAAAAGTGCAAGAATATTTTTCACGCATGTGAGGGTGGATGTTAATAAATTATTCACTGATGACTTGAGTCAAGAAACAAAAAAAAATTTTCTTAACATAAGCATGTATATCAAAAATGTTTCTTTTTCAGCTGAAAGTGGATCGGTTTCGGAGCGATGTTGTCATAACTCGTGCACCTTCAAATATCTCAAATCATTTTGTCTTCCCTGAAGGAATGCCATTAATTAAATGTTCCTAATTGTGATTTTGTTAAACGGGTTTTGTTTTGTTTTCTTCATATGATAATAATTCAAAAATGTAAATAAATGTACTTTTTTCCAAACTGAAAAAGCTTCGAAGAGGAACTTGCATAAGAGTTGGTTCCTATAATAATCTCCGGCAAATCTTCTTAAAATAATTGTTGTTTTTTGATTCAGATGTCCTTATCTGCCGTAGGAAGTTCGAGGGATTATCAGATCTCAAATAAATAAACAAAACACGTCCAAACATCAACGTGACCTGACTCATTTTCATTTTCATCTCAAAAAATACAGTATTTTTGTTATCAAATATTGCAAATGCTATATTGATTTGACCACTGTTCATTTCTCTCCATCACTATCTCTCTCCAAACCGCGTTATCTCTCTCTCTCATTTGCACTATACTCTAGCCTAGACATCATTTGTTGTTTGTTGCTTTATTGAACTATTATCTTTTGAAATTTGTCCAACAAAAAAACATTCGATGTTTCTACGCAGTTTTTTGTCAAAGCCTAGAAGGTGAGCAGTTTTAAATATTCAAAAAGGCAACAATTTTTATCAATTTTTTTTAATTATTATCATTATATCATTGCAGAACTATGCGACTCAACTCTTATAAAGCGTCCGGTTTTGAAAAAGTTGCGAATTATGAAAATATTGCACGATCTTTTTTTCAGTTCGAGCAAAATGAAAAGGATAATTTCAGGTTGGTGAGGAACTTTGTTTTAACGGAAATAAATTCGATTTTTTCGAAAAAGTGAAAAACTTCTTTGTGTGTTCTTTGAATTATATCATAGTTTGTTGCGATTTATGATAACATAACACATTTTTCAGGCCAAAAATAATAGTCAATTCGCGACAAGGATCTCATTCTTCAGCCTACGGTGGACTCGTATTTGCACAAGCACTTTCAGCCGCCGAAAATACTGTTGAAAATATTTATAAACCACACTCTGTACATTCGTTTTTTATATTGAGCGGTAAGTACACACCCTTCCGCAACAACAACGACGAAATATTTGAGAGACGGTTAGAGAGAAAACATTTGGCAATAGGGCGAACATGCGTTAGTGAACTCAAACTCGTTTGCCAGCGCTTAACCACATCTCGGGGAAACAGTAAAACGTTTTTCTACTTTAAATTTTTTTTTAAAACAATGTTGAAAAACTCACTTTTCCTCCAGTTTTCCTCGTTTTTTGCAAATCATTCAACCAAAATTCGCTTCATAAATTGTTTCGATATTTTCATCATTTTGCTGACGTGTTTCCTGTAAAATAGAATTGAGTAAAATTTAAATAAGAGTTCCAAACTGAAGAAAAATTCAAGAAAGTACATTTTCTCATAAAATTACTCGTTGAGCACCAGTTTTAGTACAAAACTATCAAAAATCAACTAAACTTGTGTTACTTTTACTAGGAAAATTGATAAATATGAATTTTACATCAAGTTTCATTCAAATTCATGGAAAAACAACAAAAAATCCAAAAACCCAAGAAAGAACGAAAAAATAAGAGTGTGTGTCAACACCGACTGCCCGCAAACACCAAATCCTACGCGCAATCTTGTAAAAATAAAATAACGACACTCCGCTCAGACAGTGTGTGAAAATTGAACAACAGGCAAGCCGAGTGTAGTTTTTTTACTTTCATTTTTTTCCTTTTTTGGTCTGGAAGCAACTAGTTTCCGAAAAAACAAAAGTAGAAATGGAAGTGCGCCCTATTGATAAAAATTTCATGTCTCGCACTCTCTCAAAAATGTGTGTATTTCGTCGTTGATGTTTTTTATCACGAAAAAACTTGATTATTAAAAAAATGTTATAGTTGATACAAAAGAGCCGATTGAATATAAAGTGAAACGAGCAAGAGATGGAAAATCATTCGCAACACGAACAGTTGAAGCGATTCAAAAAGAAAAGACTGTTTTTGTCCTCCAAGCTTCGTTTCATGTAGACGAACCTCAATCAATAGTTCACCAATGTCAAATGCCAGATGTTCCAGCTCCCGAAACATTAATGAGTATGCGAGATGCGGTGCCTTATATGAAAAATATGATTGAGAATGGTGAATTAACAGCACCAGCAGCGATTTTGAATCGATTGAAGAAGTATGAAACACAAGTTTATACACATGACGAAGATCTTTTTGAAATGCGTCCAACTAATTTGGCCAAATATTTTGGACATGAAAATGATCGAAAACCATCGTTGTATATTTGGATGAGAGCTAGAGGAGATGTAGATGAAAATGATGAAAGGCTACACCGATTATTGATTGCGTATAATAGTGATTCTTCAATGATAACAGCTGCAACAACACCACATTATGCGGAAGGATTCAAGCCATCAATGTTATTTTCTCTTGATCATTGTGTTTGGTTTCATCGTGGACAAATGAAGGCAGATGATTGGTTATTATTTGAAGTTATATCTGATGTTGCGTCTGGTAGTCGAGCATCATCTCATGGTCGAATTTGGTCGAGAGATGGAATATTAGTAGCATCATGCCATCAAGAATCGTTAATTCGAACAAAGGGAATTGTATCGATGCTCTAAAGCTGAACATCTTTTTTTTCAAAGGTGATCCCCTGAATAAATTTTTTTGAATTACACCAATACACAAAAAAGATATCAATTTCAACTCGAACCTGTTTTAATTTTTCTTCAAAATGCACCCAATAACACTATTCTTTCCGCATATAATTGCGCAATCTTTCCAGCGCGCCTCTTTTCCCGCGTAAGTCAATATTGCTTGATTCTTCCGGTTAGATCGCAACTTGACACTTTTTACGCCTGTATTATATTATAATAATATTATAAAGCGAAGACTGTCAAGTGATCGAAATTGAGATTTTACGCAAACAAAATTGAAATCGGTTTTTGATATTATTGGTTGTTATGAATAATTATGAGAACAAGGAAAAGTTAAAAATTTTACACGAAAATATTTTTTTTTCGAAATATCATATGTTTTACAGTCTCGTTCGAACATTCTAATTTTTCCAGGCAAAAATTCCAGTCAAGTTTACAATAACATTCTATTTGGCGATTTCAAGGCCCAGAAGTGAATCAAAAACCATTCCCACCTACCCAATTCTTCTCCTACGCGCCGATTTTTTTTCACATCAATCTATTCAACGATTTGTTTTCCTTTTCATAATAGCACGGCAAATTTAGACTCATGTAACAGTCGGACGAAGCACACCTTTTTGTCTTGCGCTGACCGCACCACGTGTTTTGTTTGTACAGCAACAACGGCAATAAGTAGCAACACATACATACAATAAGAATGTGGCAGGCAGGCAAAAAGTTGGGGAAAACAGCCGGACTTTGGATAATTAGTAGTCAAATAGAAGAAAGTTACTGTTAACTTAACTGGAATTTTTGATTCGAAATGTCAGGAAAATTTTTCCTGGATTTCTTCAGCTTCTGGAGAGAAACCAGACTACAGGCTCCACGGCTCTATCGCAATATATGGGTCCCATGAAAATATATGGGTCCGCAAAAACATATAAGGGTCCCTCAGAAATATAAGGGTCCGTGAATTTTTTTATGGGTCCCAAAAAAATATAAGGGTCCGTTATTTTTTTTAGGGTCCATAAAAAAAGTATTTTTTCTAATTTCAATCATTTATTTTTGGTGATTTTTTGTAATTTTTTCACATTTTTTTAGCCAGTCAGTATTTTTCTAGGGGGTTTACTAAGCCTAAGCCTAAAATAATAGAGACATTTTGAATCCTCTGGTAACTCTATTTTCGGCTTTTCAGCTTCATAATTAGGCTTAGGCTTAGTAAACCCCCCGAAAATACAAAGAATCGTCAAAAAATCGAGAAAAATACAACAAAACAATTGAAAATTCAAAAAACCACACATTTTTTCCTCCAAAAATCAAAAAAAAATCAGACCTATGAAAAAAATCACGGACCCTTTTATTTTTTTGGGACCCATAAAAAAAATTCACGGACCCTCATATTTTTTTGGGACCCTCATATGTTTTTACGGACCCCTATATTTTTTACGGACCCATATATTTCCATGGGCTCCACATTCTTTGAACTCTAGAATTCAAAGAATTCATTCCTCAATTGTATAAAATTTTGAAAAGATATACGATCCCTACTCGCATGAATCCAGCTCAATCCACCGAAAAAACCAGCCGAATTTTCAAAGTTCAAAGTTCGTAACATATAAATTTGTATTGTCATTCGGCATTGTTATGTTGAAGTATGTATATGACTAAAAAAAACAATTGCCTCGTATAACTTGATCAAACAAGAAACTCGCGCAGCCGCTGTCGCCTTTTTCCGGGTGCGCAAAAAGTGGGCGTGGTCGCGAAATTTGCAAAACTATAAAACGTTGAAAATTTGAATAGAATGACACATCCCATCTCTCCAATTCGAATATTATGTTTTCCAAATTATTGACGACTTCTCTTTTGGTTGCTTTGGCGCTTGCCGCGCCTTCAACAGGTATTATAATATCATTTTGATTTTGATTACTTTGATTAATGTTTTTTGTATTTTAGAAGAAGGCAAAAGCACCAAACGTCGTCAATATATTGCTCGCCCGGTTGTTGCAGCTGCTCCAGTTCTTGCAGCTCCAGGTAATTTATTCAGACACAAGAGTTGAGAATGAAATTGAATTTGTGATTTTTCAGTCGCAGCCCCTCTTCTTCAACAACCAGCTGTGGTTGCTCCAACCGTAGTCGCTCCAGTTGGACAATGTCCAGGAGGACCATCACTTCCAATTGAATGCGACCCAAAAAGACCATGGCCACAATGTCCACCACAATCATACTGTTATGCTACCAACTCGGTTGATATTGGACCATATTTCTGTTGCCCAATTTGTAAGTTGAAATTCTCAAATACCCTCAATTCAAAAATCAAATTCACTTATCTAGGGTCAACTTATGGAGCTGCTTGGAGACCAGCCACCCCATTCTACAACTACGTTCCACCAGTCCCATCAAACTGGCCAGTTGATGTTCAAAGAATGGCTGCTGCTTGGCCAGTCGGAGCTGTTGCTCTTCCAGTTAAAGCACGTAAACAAGCTAAAGAAGATGGAGATGATGAGGAGAAAATTGGATCCGCTATTGATGGATGGGTTGAAAGACAAGCTAAATTGGTATGTTTTGAATCTCATTGGAATTCCAATATAAGTTCATTTTTTTCAGTAAAATAACATCGAAACAACAATTGTCTGTACATATTGCGAAGGTATTTATCTAAAGTATTACTGTAATTTTTTATCAGTATTGTTTTCCGGTTTTTCAACTTTTAATGAAGCTTCAGCTTATATTTTGTTTTTTTGGTTTTCGAATGAAAAATAATGAAATTCGACTAACCTGTGATTTTTCCGACCTTGAAGAATAAATTAGATCCTCTCAATTGTGAGCTTTCTCAAGATTTCTCAGAGATTCGCTGGCCAGCTCGCCACCAGATCGCTGCGGCCACCTGGAAACCGCATGGCCGCCAGGTCGCCTCGAGTTTTCCGGCGACGTGGCCTGTGTGTTTGAAATCCTGGAAAGCTGGCAAGACGGTGGTTTGTACTCAAAACACTGCATTTTCTACTGTTTTTTTTCACTTCCTAAGGTTTCAAGTGCTGCGAAAAAACAGAAAATGAGCCAATTTCTTCAAAAATGGCTCAATTCACAAGTTTTTCAGACATTTTCATGAAAATTCATTTTAACGCGGCGAAGTGGCCACCACGTGGTAGCCATGTGGCCGTGACCTAGCCAGAGCCTGGCCACCTTGCCAGCGAAAAAAAGCGGGCGACATGGTTTCCATGTGGTTTCCAGGTCAGCCAGCCTCCCCACCTGGTGGCGAGCTGGCCAGCGAATCTCTGAGTTCGAGCTTTTTTTTTCAACTCAGAGATTCGCTGGCCAGCTGGTCACTAGGTGGGACCGACTGCCCATCTGAAATTGACACGGACAACCACATCGCCCGTATTTTTTGCCAGACGACCTGGTCGCGAGGTGGTTCAGTTCATGCAGACCACCTCGCCCAGGTTGTCCAGCTCGTGCCGACCTCGCGTCCAGATCGTCTCGCTTAAGAGAAAAAAGTCTAAAAAACGTGTGAATCCGAGCATTCTAGAAGAAATTGGCTTATTTTCTGTTTTTTCGGAGTACTAGAAACCTTAGGAAGTGAAAAAAACAGTAAAAAATGCACTATTTTGAGTACAAACCACGGTCTTGCCAGCTTTCCAGGATTTCAAACACACAGGCCACGTGGTCGGAAAACTCAAGGCGACCTGGTGGCCGAATCAAATTCAGCTCGTTTTGAACTTTCCGGCCACCTGGTCCTGATCTAGTGGCGAGCTGGCCAGCGAATCTCTGAGAAAAAAAATATTATTTTTAAATCCGCGCAGTACGGTAGCTAGCGCGTGTTTGCACACTTCACAATGTACCACTGCATTTTAATTGACGCGCAATACTTTTTGTTTTTTTTTTTTCGAAAGTTTCGCGCGGGATTCTCCGGAGAGCTCCCTGTTTTTTTCGTCCAAAATTAAAAATTATGATCGGTAAACATGCCCCATGTGATATAAGTTGATTAGCAATAATTCAACCTATCAAATCAGCCAGTTTTCTCTCATATTTTCATGTTTTCTTTGTCAGAGCAACTTTTTCTTTTGTTCAATGAAGCGAACTTGTCCGTTTTTCATTTTTTCTTTCATGTTTGTGTAATGTTGCTTCCCGTTATTATAAAGTCGATGTCCATCTAATACTAACAAATTTTTCCAGGTCGATTTTCAAAAATGTTTATGAATCTTCTTTCCCAAGTTGTCAATTCAATTATTCCACAGGTAAATAGGTTTTCAATGTTTTGCATGGAGTTTTTCGAAGTTTTTTCTACAAAGTTGTGGTTCAAAAAAAATTAGAACAAACATCTCCTTTTATTTGTCATCATTTTTGTTTTGCCGTAGTCAGTCACAAAATAGTTTTTTTTTCATAGTTGGCAGAGAAAACTCTGCGCCTCGCTCCTTATCTATCTTTGTTTCGATTCACTCTTTCTCTCTAACCTTGCTTGTTGTTTTTCTTCTGCGTTTTTCATATTTATTTCTCTCGAAACTTCTAAATAATTTTGAATTCAGGTCGAAGCTGCTCAAAAAATGTCGAACCGCGCTGTTGCCGTTTTGAGAAGTGAAAATGTTAATGGAACTATTTATTTGACACAGAACTCTGAAAACGAGCCAACTGTTTTGTCTGGAGAAATCAAGGGATTGAGCCCTGGACTTCACGGATTCCATATTCATCAATACGGTGATTCAACAAATGGTTGCATCAGTGCCGGACCACATTTCAATCCATTTGGCAAAACTCACGGAGGTCCAAATGTAAGTCAAAATTTCTCAACAAACAAAAACCTTCGCAATTTTTTTCAGTCAGAAGTCCGTCATGTTGGAGATTTGGGAAACGTTGAAGCCGGCGCCGATGGTGTCGCTAAAATCAACATCACCGATAAATTCGTCACTTTGTTCGGTGTTAATTCAGTCATCGGACGTTCCCTCGTTGTTCACGCCGGAGTTGATGATTTGGGAGAAGGAGTTGGTGAGAAAGCTGAAGAATCAAAGAAGACTGGAAATGCTGGAGCTCGTGCTGCTTGTGGAGTTATTGCTCTTGCCGCTCCACAATGACTAAACGATGTGAATTCGAGAATTTGATAGAAATTCCCCTTCTTTTCCCCAAAACCTACTATATAAAATCTACGGCGTTCCTAACGAATAAACATATTTTTTGAAAAATATTTTTTTCTGGAAATGATTCATTTATTTTTTATGTTGTAACGTTGGTTCGACTAAATTATTTAATAACGTGACGTGAAATGATTCCTAAGGAATGTCATTTCTCCCAAAAATCATGTCAGAAACCAGTGAATCGTGAGTTTTTCATTTTATTTCATTTTGGAACCGAAATTATCTAGTTCTCGTAAATCTTCCGGAATTCCACTTGCGCATTAAGATGGCCGAAGTTAATTTGGATTTCTAGGCCACAAGCATTCTAACACGCTCGCTCTGTTTTCCCTGGTCGACGCTCTTTTTTTGTGTGTCAAACACAAGAAACGAAATCGTGTCAGTTTTCTTATCTATGCAGTATTGTATCACACCACTTTCTTATTATGTGGTTATTTTTTTCGTTTACAAATAGTTAGATTCTTGAAATTCAAGAAATTTTCAGAAAGATGAGTGGGGTTCTCGAAGTTTACGATGCAAAGAAGACGGATAAATTGATTATCACTTTAGAAGGAATTGCGGGAAGTGAGACAATTGGAGCAATCAAGAAGAGAATTGCGCAAAAAAGTGAGTTTTTCTCCCAAAAATCATGTCAGAAACTTATTAAATAATTCAGAACTCACATTGACCCAAGAACGTCAAGCACTTCGAACTGAACCAAAGGGTAAACCAGTTTCCGATGATCAAAAATTATCGGATCTCGGCGTATCTTCGCAAAAAGGTGTTCTCTATCTTCGTGATCTCGGACCACAAATCGCATGGAAAACCGTTTTCATGGCTGAATACGCTGGACCATTATTTGTCTATCCATTGTTCTATTTCCGACCATCTTTCATTTATGGCGAATCTGCTGCCAATTCGGTGTATCATCCAGCCGTTATTTATGCATTTTTCGCCTGGTCATTCCATTATGCGAAAAGATTGTTTGAAACCCAATTTATTCATCGATTCGGAAATTCAACAATGCCACAATTCAATTTGATTAAGAATTGCTCATATTATTGGGGATTTGCTGCATTTGTTGCCTATTTTGTTAATCATCCATTGTTCACACCACCAGCTTTTGGAGATCTTCAAGTGTACATCGGACTTGTTGGATTTATCATCTCCGAATTCGGTGAGAACCTATATTTTTTTTACTAAATACCTTAAGTTATCCTAACTCATCTTATTTTCCAGGAAACTTGTCGATCCATATTTTACTCCGTAATCTTCGCCCAGCCGGAACCCGCGAACGACGAATCCCAAAACCCGACGGAAATCCACTCTCCCTCCTCTTCAACTATGTCTCCTGCCCAAATTACACCTATGAAGTGTCCTCCTGGATTTTCTTCTCAATCATGGTTCAAAGTTTGCCGGCGCTCATTTTCACATTCGCCGGATTCGTTCAAATGACAATTTGGGCTCAAGGAAAACATCGTAATTATCTCAAGGAATTCCCAGATTATCCAAAATCGCGAAAAGCCATCATTCCATTTGTTCTCTAAATTTTTCTTTTTGTTTTTCAAAAAATTTTTCTTCATTTACTACAGATAGTTCATTTCTCTTTTGTATTTATTTATTTTCGGTGGTTTTTTATTTTATTTATTTGCATGAAAGAAAATTGCTTATAGATTTTCAGCTATGAAAACGAAAACTGTCTAATTTATTCAGTGTTAGAAATACTTACCTTTATCTGTTTTTAGTTTATCTCACCATTTTCAATAGGCTTTTAGATAGAATGCGAGATTTGCAAGGAGTTCTGTTATGTTCGGGAAGTGGATCAAGAATGAAACCGCTGACAACACCGAAATGTTTGCTTCCTGTTGTTGGAGTTCCAATGTTTTTATATCCACTTTCTTCAATTTTACGAGCAGGGATTAAAGGTTAGAAACTGGATTGATTGATTCGTTTTAATTTCAAATTTTTAGATATAAAAATCTTTGTGCGAGACACGAATGAACCAATTCTAAAAACCGAAGTGGAAAAAAGTGGACTTCTAAAACAATTCAACGCAAATATAGAGTATATTAAGATAACAAGCAGTCATGATGATTTTGGAACCGGAGATTTACTCAGGCATTATCACAATCGATTCACGCACGATCTTCTGATTGTTTCCTGCGATTTCGTATCCGATTCTAGTCTCATCCCATTCGTTGAATTTTTCCGAGCCTATGAAGCAACTCTTGTCGCATTAGTTGATGATAATTGTGCAAATTCACCTGCACCAGGTCCAAAAGTCAAAAAAGCAAAGGCAACTGATTTGATAGCGATGGATGAAGAAACTGGACAATTGGCTTATTTATGTGGAGATGATGATTTTGATGGAGTTGTTGGAACCGAGAAATTTGTTGATAAGTAAATAGGTTCTTATTGATTTGCTGATCAAAAATATTATTTTTTCCAGGTTTCCTAAACTATCTCTCACTTCAAAGTATAATGATTGCCACGTTTATGCAGTTCGAAACTCGGTTTTACAATCGCTCAACAAAAATTTCATATCCTTCAAAGCAGATTTCGTTCCATTTTTGATTGAATCTCAATTTGATGAAAATTCAACCACATCTTGTTTTGCTTATCGTCTTCCACATGAAAACGGCACGGTGACTGCGCATGCAAATACAACTGGCGCGTATTTTGAGGTTAACAAGGAGGTAAACATATTTTTTTTTGAAAATTTATAATATCAGAGTTTTTGCAGATCTTGAAATCGTTCAATCGATTAATGCCAGCAAAGGGAAATGGTCTCACTTTCAACTATCGAACTGATAAAATTGCAATGAATGACAGTCGGATTGAATCAACAACAAAAGTTGGAAAAGATTCGGTTATCAAGAGATCGGTTGTTTTGAATACTTGTCAAATTGGAGAAAAAGTTAAACTGAAAGAAAGTTTGATTTTGAATAATGTGATAATTGGAAATGGGTGGGTTTTTTGGAATTCGGGAAAAATTCGATTAACCTGAAAAACTTCGGTTTCATGTTCAAATAGTCTTATGGGAAGTTATCAAAAATCCAAATAGGATTTTTTAAGTAGAATTTTTTTCATGAGAATCCTGATGTTGAAAAAAAATTCTGAACAATTTTAAAAAAGTCAAAAAACCTTCTCTTTTTGAAAATTCGTAATTCAGCTCAAAATTAACGAAAAAATCGATGAAAAGCGCGTTTTAAAGTTTGAAATTTTCTTTTTTTTTTCATGTATCACATTAAAAGTTTGATAACAGCTCTCCAAAACACTTAAAAAGAGGGCAATTCAAACTTTAAAACGCGCTTCTCATCGATTTTTTTCGTTAAGTTTGAGCTGAATTACGAAATTTCAAAAATAAAAGGTTTTTTTGACTTTTTGAAAATTCTTCAGAATTTTTTTCAACATCCGGATTCTCATGAAAAAAATTTTTACTCACAAAATCTCCTTTGGAATTTTCCATAAGACACTATTTGAACATGAAACCAAATTTTTTACCCTTAAAATTTGCAATTCCAGCGCTTCAATCACAAATTCAATTATTTGCGATGATGTTGAAATCGGAGACAATGCTGAAGTAATAAATTGTATCGTAACATCTGGACAAAAAGTTGCGGCGAAAGGTGAGAAGATTTATTGTTTATAACAACGCATATGTGTTTTTTTTTTGTTGCAGCCAAAGTACAAAACGAAGTTGTCGAAGATGATGATGATGGAGGATGGACTGATGATTAGAAATTTATTTTTTATTGCTACGATTTCTGTTTTTTCTTGTTTTGGGTGTTTTTGAATAAATGTTATATTTTTTGCCCTCGAATTTATGCATTTTTCTGGCCAAGATTACCAATTTTATATTATTTCTGAACGTTTTTTTTTGTTGATAAATTAAAAATATTTCATTTTTCTTATAGGAAATGGTTAGAGAATGATTAAACTTTTAATCGGTATTGTATTCGGAGTTTCACTTTGGTTGATTGTAGTTGGCATATCGTTTGGAATCGATTTACCGAAACTTGTTAGAATATGGCCGGATTTTTCGAATTCTTCGTCGGAAAATCATCGAGATCTGGAATATATCGTTGAAAGAGTTCGGCATAGAATAGAAGATGGGAAAGAAGAGAAGGAGGATATGAGAAATGGTGTGTATTTGACACATCATCGATATTTTCTGGAAAATGTTGCCAATTGGAAATGGGAATATGCGGATAGGTTGGTTTTTGCTAATTAAAAAAAATTAAATTTGCTGATTGTGAATCGAAATTTTTGTTTTTATTATTTTTTTCAACTTGAATCACCCCATAACACAATTTATCACTAAAATTCTTGAATTTTTGCTGTTTCAAGATTCTAATCTAGAACTATTTCAGTTGATAATTCTTATGATAATCCAAACCTGATTTTCTGAACTCAGAATCTCAAAAATTTTGCAAAAGTCAGATCCTAAAAAAATTTCCCAAAAACGTGACATTTTTGACGTGACACGTAGAACATAATAATTCATTTCCAGAAAATTCTCATTAAACGACATTTGCTACAAACCCCACTATGAACTCATCAAAACCTCGAATTCCCGCCAAACCTCCGCGATTCACAAGAAAATCGAAATTGAAGCACGAAAAGCATCGCCTTGTCTCATAGTTTCACCGCTGAATTGCTTCTATGATTCATACAAACTCCATTCGGATATCAGTGAATGGAATTCGAATGTTGAAATTATGAATGGTGAAATTAGAAGTTTGTGGGAGGAAAATGGGACAAAGCCTTATGTAAAGGGGAATACAAAATTGGAAATTATCGATGGTTGGTCGAAAATTGTTGATCGAAAATGGTATGAGAAAATTGAAGAGTGGATAGCGGTTAGTTTTTCAATCCTGAAATTTATAAATTTCAAAAATATCTTCAGAGTTTGAAACCAAAATCAAAAGTTTGCGCAGACCCTCTAAGATCTTGTGAAGATTTATATGATGCTCAAAACTATTTCAATATGTGCACAATAATGTCAACATTCAATGATTATGATTCAAAAAATGAGATAACCCTCAAATTCGAATTGGATGACGATGATTCGGAACTGATGACCAAATTAGATTGTGTAGAAGATCGAGAATTATTCATTGAATGGGCCAAAGAGAAGGAATTGCTCAATATGATTGATGTGATCTCGCCGAATATGTCATTGCATTTGCCGAATTATGAGAAAATATTGGATGGGCCGTGTAATGGTGTTTTTGGCGAGGGGAATGAGGACAAGCTTTTTAGTGGAAGTTATGATGGAGATTTTGTTTTTGAGATTTTTTTAATGAACCCGGAGGATTTTTTATCAAGCTTGGTAAGAATTTAGTTTTATTTAAACTCAAAAAGACGCTTTTTCACGCTGAGAAAGATCCTGTTTTCAGTTTTGCTAAACGACTCTCTGAAGAGCCCAAAAATTGAGAATTTTCTGAAAATTGCGTTTTTGAGAGCCTGTAACTCATGTTAAAGATAATTTTTATGAAAAACTGAATGCATCACGTTGTTCAGGAGGGTTGATTTACCAAAGTCAGAAATTTTTACAAAATTTTCCAAAAATGTGCAATCCAGAGCTGAAAATCATTATAGAGATATTTAGTATCAAAATTCTGAATTTTCAAGCTCCAGAGCTCACTTGTCATTAAAAAATCCAGAAATCCAGCTTATTTTCAACTAAAAAAGCTTCTAGAGTAAAATTCATGATTTTAAGAAAATTCTAGGTAAAAAATCATGCTTTTCAAGCTCCAGAGCTCAATTTCCATCAAAAATCAATAATTCCAGGCTATTTTTGGCCAATAACGTGCTCCAAGGCTCAATTTTCATCAAAAATCCAGAAATTCAGCTTATTCTCAACTCAAAAAGCTTCTGGGGTAAAATTCAAAAAAAAATCATCTCTAACATGAGTTATGGGCTCTCAAAACCACAAAATTTCAAAAATTCTTAACTTTTGGCTCTTTAGAGAGTCGCTCAGCAAAAACTGAAAACAGGATCTTTGTGAAAAACTGTACAGAATCATCTTTGTCTCACACTAGGACTCTATCTGAATTTTTTGAAATTTTCAATTTGAAAGCCTTAATTTCTACATAAGTTCCCTACAGTACCTATGTATTCACTCTGATTTTTCAGAATCAACAGAATAATAAGATCAATTGGACACTAAGTGATTCTAATGAAATAATCAACATTTGGAGAACCAACATCAGATCTGAAGCTATCAAATGGAACTCGAAAAAACTCAGCGAAAAACTGAAAATTGTGACAGAAGTTGTGTCACTGAACACTGAAGACGAGAAAAATCCAGAAAAAAATTTTATAATAGTTTTATCAAATCAATTTTTAACCGTACTTGTAAGTTTTTCATTTTTTTTTCTGCATTAAAAATCTCAAAAGTTTTCAGATTTTATCCACAATTTTCCTATGGAATAGCACAATCATTTATAGCACATCAAGTTTTATTGCTAGAACTTTTTTTGGGTTTATAGTTGTTTTCAATTATTTCGACGGGTCTTCTTTTTCTTCCAAAATTATGGTGAGAGGATTCAAATTTCTCCTAGAAATTTTCAGAATTTTTTGCAGATTTTCACGGGTTTTTTGATTGTTCTCAATATGATTTTAACTTCCTGGATCTCGAAAAGATGGAGAACAAAAAGAAAAAACGACTCGCAAACCATAGCAGAAACTAAAGAAAGTATGAGAAGTATTTCGATGGCATCAAGTGTTTTTGAAAATTGGACAAATCAAGAAATGCTACAATATTTCGATAATTATCTACGGAAAGCTTCGGAATCTGAATTTTCAAATTGGTTTCGGATAAATTCGGCGATATGGGTGTTGTTGATTATTCCATGCTTGATTATTGAGAATTTTGTGGAGTTGTTTGTTTTGATTGGACCTTCGATTGGAGTTTTTATGGTGGAGAGATATTTTAGAGGTTTGTGGGGTTTTCGGGGAATTTTCAACTCGAAAATATTTGGACCAAATCAGAGCAGGTTTTTTACTATCAAAAAAATTTAGAGAAAACAATTTTTAATAAAAAAAAGTCAAAATCTCCAAATTCAACAAAATTTGAAAGATTTTTAGGTTTCAGAGATATTATACAATTTTCGATTTTTTTCCACTGAAAATTATCCATTTCAAATTGTTTTCAGCTGAATCATGATTTTTCCAACCAATATTTCAAAATTTGAATTATTTTCAGGTTTCATATTGATTTTTAGAGTTTTCATTGTGAGGGTTTTAAAGAAAATAATTTTTGATCTACCCGAATTTTTTTTTAGAAAATAGGATCAAGTTGAAAAAAAAATAATGAAAAAAACATTTTTCTACAGAAAATTTCGATTCAGCAAATGTCTGAAAACCCTATTTTTTCCACACAAAAATTAAAAAAAATGTCAAAAATAGAAGAAAATTTTTAACATTGGTTCTTCAAAATTCCAAAATCCCTCACAATTCCTGTTTTTCCAGCATGTAAAGATGAAAAATGTGGAAATTTGATTGATCGGATTAAAAATTGTCGAAAACGACTTATTGAGAGAATTGATGAAGAAGGAATTGAGATGGTTAATATGGCAGGATGTTCGGAAACAATCCAAAATTCACCGAAGAGAACGCCTACGGTTTCCAGGAGACATATTGTAGGTTTAAAAAAACAATCATGCCTTTATAAAAGAAATTTTCCAGAAATCAATCCACAAAATCCAGAACTATATCCAATATTATTCATCGTGGTTTTACTATCATATTCTATTCCTGTCTAGAAGATCAGCAATTTATATTTATTCGATCTCAACACTATGTTTTCTTCTATCACTTTTTGTCATTCTGTTTTGGAATCCTTCACCAATTCCATCAACTTTTCCAAAACAATATTCAGAAGATGTATTTGTTGATATAAAAATTGAAAATTTGGCCAGAAATTGGCAGAGGTTTTTGGATTTTGAGAAGGAGATGAAAAATTATGCAAAAGAATTGACGAATTGGAGAAATGGTTTTGAAATTTATATGAAAAAACGGAAATTGTGCATTTCTGATGGATGTCGTGATAAATTATCATTTGAAACATTTTACACTTCTTGGTTTGCGGAGGACAAATTATCATCTTCGATTTCGGCCAAAAGTGCTCAACCGAATTTTGATGTTTTTGATGTGAGTTGAAAATATATTTTTGAAAAATGTGGCTGCCGTGAAAAATAAAAATCAGTTCAGCTTCGTCAGTCGCGTGCGGCTTGGCGTCGCGGTCGAGAAATGATTAATTCTCTCATTTATTTTCCAACCGCGACGCACTGCCGCACGCGACTGACGGAGTAAAGTTGTTTATATTCATTCAGTTCTGGCAGCCACATTTTTCAACTTCAAAAATATCTAGCATTCCAAATTTTCAGGATATCTATAATCCATCAATATTCAAATTCCGATTAAGATACGATGTGCTCCCGAAAAATTTCGAAAATTTCCTACAACTCTGTGACCAATATCATGTAACTCCAATTGGAAATGCCAAAGAATTTGCGATTTCTCAAAAAAATTATAAAATAAGGTTAGTCATAGTAAGCAGAAATCCCTAATTATTCATCGAGCTCACACAAAAGTGCATATGAACTTTTTTGCGCCGCGATTTCTCAGCTTATTTGAAAATGCGAGGAGAAGGAGCAAGAAAAAACCTCGGCCGATTTTATTTAATAATAATCATGTAGGGCATTGAAATGCAGGTGTCAGGCAACACAAAAAAAAACAACAACTTACCTGAACTCTCTGTTTTTTCAGGAACAATTTCACCCGAATTCATCTGCTCTCCACAATTTCAATTCTCATTATTTCCCTGGTTTTTATCACCATATTTTTCAATTGGAAATTCGCCGTGGTTTTTGGGATTTTTGGAATTTTCACGAGAATTGAGATCGGAGCCGTGATTTGGATCTTATTCAGAAATTCTGAAGTTGTTCTCGAAAATCATCAAATAATCGCGGATTTTTCGTGTTTTCTAGGTTTGTGAAAAAAGTTTTTGCCACCCTTCTTTTATTGAAAATGAGCACTTGAAAATGGAAATCCAAAAAAAGGGCTCTTTTCCCCTTTTCCCCCTTTTTTTTGCTCGAATTTAATTAGTAGCAAGAAAGAAAGAAGAAGGTGTGAGTAAATAAACAACAAAAAATCTCATTATTTGTTGTGTTGCAGGTCTCCTAATTGCCTGGAAGCCGCTCATCTCGCTTTTCGCCTATCAAAATCGCATAAGAACTTCAATTCAACGCGACGAGTTGGCTGGAAAAGAGGAGACGCGAAAACCGGCGATTCCGATTGCACATTTTGTGGATACGGCGAATATTGTAGTTGTGCTAAGTTGTGGTGAGTTAATTTGGGTTCGGAATTTGTAGAACTTTTGCATATCTACAATTGACCTAGAATATAGTGTAGTTTCTTCAAAATTATTTATTTATTTTTAATGAGCTCCAGAGGATCCAGATCCTTTGGAGTGGTGCCAGGTTCGATTTCCGGTTATGGGCGGGACCCTTGAGGAGTTTTCAGAGAAGGTACCCCGAGTTTTTGTTTTTGTTAAGGACTTTAAGGTTAGGGGCTTCAAGGTTATGGTAATTTAAATTTAGGGCCTTAAGGTTAATGAAGTTGGGGTTAAGGAAGTTAAGAACAGGCCTGTGCTGGAAATTTTCCAATTTTGCTAAATTTTTGCTCGACAAATCCGGAAAGTAAAAGATCACCCAGTTTTGTGAAAATTTTCCTAGAATCTGACAAAAAATCTAAATTTTCGAGAATTTTTCAAATTTTTTTTGATTTAAAAAATCACTTGTAAATGGAGAAATTTCAGATTTAGTGCTGAAATTTGAAATTTTTAAGACTTGATTGGCTATAAAGATTCAGAAAAACCGACATTTTCTGTTTTGTGGACACTACTGACAAAAAATCTGAAATTTCGAGAAAGTTTTCAGAATTTTTCTTTTTTTTTATTTTCGGAACTGAAAACCTGACAAATTCCAGAATAAACCTAAGTTTTACAGTCAATTTAGTGCTGAAATTTAAAATTTAAAGTCATTTACCTTAATGAGTGGCTATAAAGATTCAGAAAAGCCAAAATTTTGTATTTTGCGAACACTACAAATATTGTAGTTTTGCTATTTTGTGCCTAATTTCCACCCTTTATACAAAAATTGTAGCAACATTTAAAACAAAATTGTATAGTCTTTTCGAATGCCTTCCCCCAGCTCCCCTTCCGTTTTTAATTGCGAGGTGTGAACAATAATTTGTTCGACTTGTCCTTCTCCCCCAGCGATATTTCAGCCGGCCGCGCGGAGAAGACATAGAGGGGGGAGAGTCGAGAAAACGTAGAGGAGACCACCCCTAGGCATAGAGGAGATGATGATGATGAGGAGAAGAAAAAACGGAGAAGGCTGGGGGGACAGGCTTGCTCAGCATGCACATTTTCATATACATACACTTTTTTTCGTCTCCCCCCGTTTTCGCGCGCGAGCTTGCGCAATATATGAATGTTGTATTCGAGAAGAAGATGAAGCTGAGGAAGACAACTTGTGTGTATGCATGCATGTGTGCTTTATTTTTTTGAGTTTGGGTGGCCGCTGATGGATTGCTGCCCCGTGGGTGGCGCTCTCCTTTTTTTTCCGGCTCCCCCCATTTTTCCACGATGAATGTGTTTTTTATTGTGCCTCCCCCATTTTTTTAGTAGGTGATTAGTAGATAGTTTGGGTTTATTTATGGGGGTCTTGGAGTTTTTTAAGGGTACTGTAGAGTTTTGAGGATCTGAAGGTGAGACTCAACCTAGATCTTCTGGCTTTTGAGATCTTTGAAGATTTTGGAGATCTACGTTTACGTTTTTATCGTTTTACGGTTTTACGGCTCAAAAAATTGTTAATAAATTAAATTTGAAAAAAATCACTAAATACATATGGTGAATTTTGACAGAATCAAATTGAAACTTTCAAAAAAAAATTTTTATGAAAATTTTGTCCTAATTAATTAATTTTTTATGGATATGGAGAATAATATTGTTAAAATTATGTTGGAGTTAATTAAGATAAGTTACCAAATCCCAATTTTTGAAGTAATTTTTGCTGTTTTTCTAAATTTTACGAATTTTACGGGATTTCACGGTTTTATTAAACCGTAAAATTCCCATTTTACGTTTTACGGTGCCACGTAAAAATTTCCCAGGGTTAATTATGAAGTTTCACAGGTAGAGCTTTTTTATCCCCGAAAAATAATATCAGAAATTCTATTCTAGGAAATATTTAAAAGTTTTCAATTTCTGAAGTTCGGAAAAAAATTACTTGGAATCTTTTTTCTTCAATTTCAAACATTTTTTTTTTCGATTTCTAAACACAACCAACAAGACACAGTTGAAAATTACGAGATAAATAAGATTTACAAAAAAACACAGCGCTATTTATTCAATTATAGTAAAAAAATTATCCAAAGCCAAGTTATAGGGCTTCAAACCGCGCGGTTCGTTTTTTCCGAAGGAAAAACATTTGAGCTAATTTTTCTTGTTGACTGACCTCAGAGTATGTGTATTTCTGCAGAAATAACTTATTAATTTTATTCTAGTGAACAATTAATTATTTGACGTCATTTCATGTACTTGGAGAGACCTACATTTAATTAAAACACTTTGCCTGTTTCTTGAATGAGTGAAAATATTTTTCATTTTTAATTGTAAAAACCACAAAAAAAATACCACCGTGACCGCAAAAATCATGAATAAAAAGTATTATTCAAAAAAAACGTTTTTAATTCCTGGGCGATTGTAAGTTCCAAGTATTTCTTATCATTTATATTTGTGTCGAAAAAAATTTTGGCCAATTTTCGCCTATTTTGGTTGTAAAGTTATTTTTCTTATTTCAATGCCATTATTAATAAAACATAACAAATGACTTGATTTGAAAAAGGTCTTGGTCTCCTGTTTTTTTGCGGGTAAAAAAAGCCGGGATACACTAACATGAGTCATCTTTTTGAAAATACCGCCGCTAATATTCATTTTCCCATTCATCCCAGTCACAGGTTCATTTTTTTCGCGCGCATTTTCTCGCCAAACCCCAAAACTATGTAATAAATCGTTGTCTCAACACCCTGCTGTCCTCCCGCGAAAAAAAATATAATAAATCTTTACAGTTTGGCTCATCGGAAGTTTGACATTTCTTGCGATTTTCGATTTTCGCACGACTTTTTCCATCAGTTTTCTATCAATTTTCGCTCTCCTTACCGCTTCGCTCAACTCAATGACGATGATATCGAAAATTCCCGATGTTTTTGATTCGCAAGTTCGAATTGTTATGGAATCGCGCAAGAATCGATTGAAAACTCGCGCGTTTTTCATTCGTCAAAAATCAGACACTGTAAGTTCATCAAAAGACATTTTAAATGTTTAAAATTCAAAAATTTTCAGTCACCAGAATCATCATTTTATGAAGAAGAGGAAGAGGAATTCGAAGAGGAGGATGAAGAAGAAGATTATGAATCAGAAGAAGATTTTGACAGCGAAGATGAACCTGATGAAGAAGTTTTGGCATTGGTTGAACATTTGGAGTCGAAGCTGGCACAGAGTGAAAAAGCGGAATTTTTGAAAAATATTGTGGCGGCTGACAAAAATCTGAAAATATTGCGAGAAGATGAGACGAGTTTGGAAAAGCGGAAGGAGCGATTACTTGAAGATTTGAAATCTCAACCGTCTTGCTCTACGGCCAATCATCAATATGCAGATTATTTCCCGCCTGATTTCACATCGGAGATGATTGATTTCATGATCGATCCGAAATATCATGGTGGAAAGCCTTGGGTTCCACCGGCTGTTCCGCCACCACGAGCCGAATTGGCGCAAGCCACCGCTTTTGCCAAGGAATTGTATGAGAGTTTTCTGGAATCGGTGCAAATGGCGGAAGTTGGAATTCCTGTGCCGCCCATTGAAGTTGTGCCCGAACCGGATCTCGAGAGTTCGGATGAAGATGAAGGTTTTGGTGGAGGAGGAGATGAATCGGATTAGTTTCGGTTACTGTAGTTTTATATTTTGTATCTCTTTATGATCTCACTCTCAATATCATTCTGTTCCAGGTTTTATACTGTATGTACTTATCAAATTTTTTATACTTTATTTTTCTAACAAAAAACGTAATAAAAATTACCTGCACGTAATACGTTTCAAAATTTATTTATCCGTTTTTTTTTTGAAATTGAGGACAATATTTCTTCTACAGAAAAATCAAAAAATTTGACGCAATATTTTTTAAAAGAAATTTAGTTTCAGAGAAATTTCCAGATCTACATGATTGGAAACTGTGGAATCGGAAAAATCGTTGACAAGGAAAATGTAGTTTGGACCCCCCGAAATAGTTAGGTCAATATGAGAGATTTAGAGAAGTGATCATACAGTTCTAGTGATCACATGAGACTGTTTACATTGGAAAAAAAAGAGAGAACACACACTGTATTTTCAGACTGGAAAACTGAAAAACTGATAGGAAAACTTTCTGATTTTCCAGTGGAATATCTCAAAGTTTGTTAGAGAATTAGACAGTTATACCACCCACGAAGCTTCAGGATTAAACAGTTTTCACAAAAAAAACATCCCAATTTTGATAGTTTTAAAATTTCAGTAAAACGTATCCTAATTTTTAACAGTGTTACTAGGGTTTCACTTTTTTCAGTTTCACTTTTTTCAGTTTCACTTTTTTCTGTGGAAAATTACAACCAAATTTAGATATAGAAAATTTAAAATTTTTTGATTGAAAAATGTCGCGTGGCTAAATTAGGAATGCTTCCTAATTTTGCCACGAGTCAATCGGCCTAATCGGCCCGAGTTTTTTCAAAAAAATCGGCCCGAGTTTTTTCAAAAAAAATCGGCCCGAGTTTTTTTCAAAAAAAAATCGGCCCGAGTTTTTTCAAAAAAATCGGCCCGAGTTTTTTCAAAAAAAAATCGGCCCGAGTTTTTCAAAAAAAAAATCGGCCCGAGTTTTTCCAAAAAAAAAAATCGGTCCGAGTTTTTTCAAAAAAAAATCGGTCCGAGTTTTTTCAAAAAAAAAATTGGCCCGAGTTTTTCCAAAAAAAAACGGTCCGAGTTTTTTCAAAAAAAAAAAAACGGTCCGAGTTTTTTCAAAAAAAAAATCGGCCCGAGTTTTTCCAAAAAAAAATCGGTCCGAGTTTTTTCAAAAAAAAAAATCGGCCCGAGTTTTTCCAAAAAAAAATCGGCCCGAGTTTTTCCAAAAAAAAATCGGTCCGAGTTTTTTCAAAAAAAAAGTCGGCCCGAGTTTTTCCAAAAAAAAATCGGTGTTAAAAATTAAGAGAAATTTTAACACTGTCAAAAATTAGGAGAAATTTTAACACTGTTAAAGAATAATTTTAACACTGTTAAGAATAATTTTAACACTGTTAAAAATTAGCACAAAATTTAACACTGTTAAAAATTAGCACAAAATTTAACACTGTTAAAAATTAAAAGGAATTTTAACACTGTTAAAAATTAGCACAAAATTTAACACTGTTAAAATTATGAGATTTTTTAACACTGTTAAAAATTAAGAGAAATTTTAACACTGTTAAAAATTAAGAGAAATTTTAACACTGTTAAAAATTAAGAGAAATTTTAACACTGTTAAAAATTAAGAATAATTTTAACACTGTTAAAAATTAAAAGAAATTTTAACACTGTTAAAAATTAAGAATAATTTAAACACTGTTAAAATTAAATTCCTTTTAATTTTTAACAGTGTTAAATTTTGTGCTAATTTTTAACAGTGTTAAAATTCCTTTTAATTTTTAACAGTGTTAAATTTTGTGCTAATTTTTAACAGTGTTAAAATTCCTTTTAATTTTTAACAGTGTTAAATTTTGTGCTAATTTTTAACAGTGTTAAAAAATCTCATAATTTTAACAGTGTTAAAATTCCTCTTAATTTTTAACAGTGTTAAAAAATCTCATAATTTTAACAGTGTTAAAATTTCTCTTAATTTTTAACAGTGTTAAAAAATCTCATAATTTTAACAGTGTTAAAATTTCTCTTAATTTTTAACAGTGTTAAATTTTGTGCTAATTTTTAACAGTGTTAAAATTTCTCCTAATTTTTAACAGTGTTAAAATTTCTCTTAATTTTTAACAGTGTTAAATTCCTCTTAATTTTTAACAGTGTTAAAATTTCTTCTAATTTTTAACAGTGTTAAAATTTCTCTTAATTTTTAACAGTGTTAAAATTCCTCTTAATTTTTAACAGTGTTAAATTTTGTGCTAATTTTTAACAGTGTTAAATTTTGTGCTAATTTTTAACAGTGTTAAAATTCCTCTTAATTTTTAACAGTGTTAAAATTCCTCTTAATTTTTAACAGTGTTAAATTTTGTGCTAATTTTTAACAGTGTTAAAATTCCTCTTAATTTTTAACAGTCTTAAAATTCCTCTTAATTTTTAACAGTGTTAAAAAATCTCATAATTTTAACAGTGTTAAAATTATTCTTAATTTTTAACAGTGTTAAAAAATCTCATAATTTTAACAGTGTTAAAATTCCTGTGTTAACAGTGTTAAAATTCCTCTTAATTTTTAACAGTGTTAAATTCTCTGCTAATTTTTAACAGTGTTAAAAATTCATCCTAATTTTTTTCAAAAAATATTTTCTAGCCCTGAAAAAAAAAGAAACATCTCTAAAAAAGCTTCATTCATTTTTCGCATATTCGTTTAGTCTATGCTTGAACAGTCGATCCACCACACGGTGTCGCTTCCAAAGCCGCATTGCGGCGTTTCTTGCTACGACTCTTCGATCTACACGATTTCTTGCTCTTCTCTTTCTCCTCAGCAGCTCCATTTCCACAAATATAATCAGTCAACCAGCAAGATTTGACTTCATTATGTTTTCTGTATTCATCAACATATGTCATCAAAGAACCGATTGGATCAGCAGTCACAACATCTTTCTCGATGTTAACCGCAGTCATACAATCCAATTCTTCCACATCAACCGGATGATCAGTCGAATCAATACATGAAGCAGTTCCGGGGAGATTGATCACAGTTTGAGGCGCGCAAAACGCATCGCTAAACACAATTTTGACGTGGAACGCTTCTTGATTGTCGGCTTCCGCTTGATTTTTTCGCTCAATCCACGCGCCCAATTTCTTCGAATAAACCGGCAAAACGAATCCCTTGATCCAGAGACCCGAACGATCCCACGTGTGCAATTTACGCGAATCGATGCGAAATTGAATTGTGCGATAGGAAGCGGGTGGGAAACGAAAGACGGTGGCTGGAAAGAGGACGGCATCGGCTGACGAGGCAACCAACTTCAGCACAAAATCTTTGCCCGATGTGTTGCGAAACACGATTGAACGTTGAACGACGGCTCGATTATTCGAAATGTAAACTTCGGTCGGATTTGACTTCTTTTGCCTGCAAATATGTGTGTATAGGAGTGGAAAAGAGCAAAAATCAATGGTCTACAGTAGTCCCATAGTGGCCATTTAACACACAATTTGTTTGCGGTGTTAAAATAATCCTTCCTGCTAATGTTAGCTATACGGTGTACCGGGTGGGCTTTTTGTATACTTATAGGATTGTTTTTCTGTTGCTGCTGCTGCTGGTGGTGCTTTTTTTACAGCTACAGTAACCCAGGGCTACAGTAATAGAAAAATTCGAGCTACAGTATTTCAGCTACTACAGTAATCTAGGGGTTCAGTAATCCAGGGCTACAGTAATACAATAAATTTCGAGCTACTGTATTTCAACTACAGTAATCCAGGGCTACAGTAACCCAATTAAGTAAAAGTCATAGTGAAAATCGCGTCTACGCTACTTATCAAGTTCACAGATCAGCTACAGTAATCTAGGGCTACAGTAACCCAGTTACAGGAAGTTCAGCTCCTCACAGCTACAGTACTCCAGCTCCTACAGTACTCCCTCCCTTCAACTCACGAGGGCATGATGTTAGTTGCAAGTATTGATTGGCTGGGAGATGACTGGAATTCGTCAGAGCAAAATCCTTTGGATCTAAATGAGGACTCGGCTTGTTTCGCCGCCTTAATATAGTGTCGACTGGGCCACGTGGATTTTTGATTTGGGCTAGAGATAAGCCGAAAAATTGGGGAGACGTGAGAAATTTAATTTTTTTTGGATTTTTTATTTTTGATTTTTCTGAGATCTGGTTTTTTGGAGCATTTTTACTAGGGGATTTTTGAGGTTGGATCTACAAGGTACTGTAGAAGGTTTTGAACTACTATAAAAGATTTTTCTGATCTACAAGGTACTGTAGAAGCTTTTTCTGATATACAAGGTACTGTAGAGGAATTTTATTTATGAGGTTCTTTGATTCACGGGGTACTGTAGAAGCTTTTTTTTGATCTACGAGGAAGTTTCCGAACTTCCAGATACTGTAGAAGCTAATAATCCATGGGGTACTGTACAAGCTTTTTTTAAACTACGAGGTACTGTAGAAGCCAATAATCTACCAGGTACTGTAGAGGCTTTTGATCTACAAGGAAGCTTTCTAACTACCAGATACTGTAGAAGCTAAATATCCACGGATTACTGTAGAGGCATTTTATTCATATTACTGTAGAAGCTTTTTTTTGATCTACAAGGTACTGTAGAAGCTTTGTGCTACGAAGTACTGTAGAAGCTCTGTAAAATTTTTTTGATCTACAAGGTACTGTAAAAGTTCTTGATCTATCTACAAGGTACTGTAGAAGGTCCATCTGAACCTTTGTAGTTCAAACTAGAATTTCGCCAAAATTACTGTATCGTGGTCTGGACAATGAAAATATGAAACTTCTCTTGCTCATATTTCGGGATCTCCTCGTTTTACACACTATTTCGGGTTCAAACTACATATAAACATTTGGTAGGTCAAATGTTCTATTCTTCCGGAGTACTGTAGCTTTTCCTTTTTGTTTCACAATTTTTTGAACTTTTAATCCCTCAATTGTTTTTTTTCTTCAAAAACAAGTAGTTGACTGTTAGTATTTACAAAAATATCCAACTACTGTACTCACATCTAAATACACATGTCGGGTGGGTAAAAGGAAAAAGTTAAGGCGAAGAGGAAGAAGACATTTATAAACACTCAACTGATACACTCTTACCGATTTCCGTGTTTGGACAAGATTATAAAAATACTTACATATCTCGTCTCCTTCTTGACCTATCCATAATTATTTGCTTTGATGTTCAGTTTGATCAGAAAGCACTTATGTACGTTTCTTAATAAAGTTTTGGTTAAGTCATGTTGTTTTGGACAGATTTCAAAATAATTTTGTGGGGTTGGTAGATCAAAAAAGGTGCCACGTGGCTAATGTAGCGATTTCTCGTGCTATTTTTTTTGAAAAAAAAAACAAAATCACTACAGTATCCGTGATTATTTGTTTTGCTGCTGCTCTTGTCTTTTTGTCCTTGCTCCTCAACAACAAAAATCCTAACACTCACCTTTTTTTCCTCATTTTCGCGCGTTTTTATTTCTCACTACTAAATCCTCTGTGAATTACGGTAGGTTAGCGAAAAAACATGAGTTTTGACTTTGGGAAAACCCAGGAATTTTTAGGTTTCAATTTTTGATGAAAATAAAATCTGATGAGCAAAAAATTCAATTCCAAACCATGACATGTTTTAATGTTTCCCAACTTCAAACTTATCCTAAGTTCAGGTTTTTCTGAAAAATGGAAAAAAAAGAAAAAACAACGAGACTCCGTGTTGACACGGCAGCCCGCGCGCGGTTTGAATTCAAATTTTTTCATAAAATAGGGTTCTCAAAGCTTATTTTCATCAGAATTCACTCCAGAAGCTTTAAAAATCTCGATTTGTCATCATTTTTGGCTGAAAAACCTATGAATTTTTGTGAATTGAATTTTCGATGTAAAAAAACATTTTTCGTTCGTTAATCAGCCCTAAATTGTAATTTTCCGATAAAAAATGGAAATAAAAAGAAAAACAACAAGACTCCGCGTTGACACGACAGCGTGCGTGGTTTGAATTTAAATTTTATTCAAAATTTTTCAATGGGCTTTCATATTTCTGAATTTTTTTTCTGAACAAGAAAACAGTGAAACTAAACTTCAAACCAATTTTCCTCGCTAAAAATCTCCCAAAAATTCAATATTTTTCAAATTTCCCCGCTCTCAAACCTATTATTTCAAATATCTCGCTCAATATTTCGTCTCTCTCTCTATATACATAAAATGTTTCTGCTTGTTAATTATTATATTTCGAAAATTTGTCTTTTTTTCTTTTTCTCGTCTATAATTATCAGCTGCTCCTACTTACTTTTACTTCATATATAGATTTTCTTTTTGTCATTCACCAGCGCTTTTTCACCTGTTCTAGTAGTTGCTCCGAATTTCTCCCCAAAAAAAACTACGGTAGGCTTGCTCCAAATAAATATTTGCTTTTTGTCCAATCGGGAGCCCGCGCACAAATCACTCCGCCCATTTTTCCTCACAAAACTCCACCCAGAATTGACATTTCCATATTTGGACTTTTATATTTTTTCTATCTACTCTACTCTAAATATTCTTGTTCACCACTTTTTTCCGTCTTACCTGAACATTATTTAGATTTTCTCGCTAAAACAAATCTAATACTGTCAGGTAATGACGCTAAAAGGTTTTTAGGTGATCTCATTTATGGTAAGTGATGAATAATTAATATAATAAAATTTATCCGATTTCTATAAGAGTTAGGAAACAAGGAAAAAACACAGGTAAGCAAAAATTACCCATAAAAGAGAAGATACACATTGAAAATTCGATACAAACCTAGAGACAAATCAATTTTTGTTTTTTTTCTTGTTATTTTTTGTTTTAACCGGCCCAGTTGTAGTCCAACCATCTTCATCGACCTAAAAATGTCACTTTTTGAAAATTGGCTACATTTTTTCTAACAACTTCAAATCTTGATGAAATTTTGTCCATGGGCAGCTTTTGGGGTCACCCTAAAATTTTTTGGACCTCTGAGCAAAGTTCTGGGCTCTCAAAAGTTCGGAAATTGGCTCATAAAAGTTAGCATAACTCAAGGCTTGATGATTTTTGTTTAAAAAACTGAAAATTTCTGGCAAAAGGGATAACCCTCCCGTTTTCTTTTCCATTTCCAGCTATAAAAATTTGAAGTCGACTTTTTTTTTTGATAAACTTTGAGCTCAAAATAGCTTAATTAATTTTGATTCGAAAATTCTAATTTTTCAAAAACAAAAAAAAATACGTTTCAAAATTTTGATATAATTTATTTTCAAATATTTTTTCGTATGTCAAGTTAAATCAAAACCAACTTTCAAAATTTGGATGAAAATTTTGAAATTATCAATTTCTGGATCAAAATTCGTGGAAATTTTAAGCATTTTCATGAATGTTCATCCAACAAAAATAAAAAACTCCAAAATTTGTCGAAAAAAATACTTCTAGTAAATCGACTATGCTGATCTGAAACTTTATTTCTCCCAAAAATTATTTTGAAATGGAGTTATGCTAACTTTAATGAGCACACCTCGGCCAAAATCGTGGTTTTCACAATAAAAAATTGTACGCTAACTTTTTACAGTACAAAAATTGTGAATTTTTCAGTTTTCGTCCCCTAAAAATTGTTATTTTTCAATTTTTTGATCTCTAAAAACTGAAATTCAGATTTTTCAAAAAATTGTACTCTGGCCAGCCACGGATTGACCGAGGTATGTTAATGAGAAAATTTTGAACTTTTAAGAGCCAAAAACTTGGGTCAGAGGTCCTAAAATTTTTAGGGTGTTCTATGACCCCAAGGAAAAAATTTCATCAAAATTTGAAGTTTTGAGTAAAAAAAGGTTCCTTTGTGAGCCACTTTTTGAAAATTGTCCAAATCAGGCAATTAAATTTTGAATTTTTCAAAATCGGGCCCCATTCAAAAACTCCTCGTCTCCCTTAAAATCCCTATCAGAACTAACCTTATTCGTCTCAACAGCCGCCTTTTGCTTATTCGGTTTCTTCACATCTTCATACGACAAAACTGGCGCTGAATTGAAAGAAATCTGACTGACATCAGCAGAATTCAAACCAGGTGGCGGTGTCAAAACAACATTTTCAAGGCCCGGCGGAGGAAGTGGTACAGATGGTGTTGTTGGTTGACTTCCCGATGATCCAGAGCCGAACATCGAGGATAATGAAAAATTGGAAAACATTGAAGTGACCGAAGGCATTGACCAGAGCTAAAAATCAGAAAATCGTAAATAAATTTTAAAAAATATATTTTCAAACTTACAGCATCAACTTTTTGCTGAAAAGCTTCACTGGATTCTTTGATTGAAGATTTGACAATTTCTTCCTTTGGTTCAATTTTCTTCTCTTTTTTGTTATTTTTCTTATTCGAAGATTTTGTTTGGAATTCCACCTCTTTTTCCTGTTGAACTTCTTTCACAGGAGTGGGGATTGCCACGTTTTCTTCCTCGATTTTTTGCGGCTCTTCTTTTTTGGCTGGATTTTTAGCAACAGCTGCACGAATTTCAGCCTTTTTTCTAGCCCATTCTTCACGTTTCGCTTGCTTTTCTTTTTCAGCTTGAGCTTCTTTGGATAATGGAACCTGAAATAGAAAAAGTTTTTGTAAATTTCCAGGTAAATTTTCTTTTGAGCAATTTTAAAAATTGATGAATGAAACTCAAAATGCACTTATTTTATTCACAAAAAAATTGAAGTTGAACATAAATTTCAGAAAAAAATAAAAAGATATACAGGGTGGCCAGAAATTATCCGGACAACGAGAAACGGCCGTAAAACATTTCCCGACATTTCTCGGCCAACAAAACACTTCGGCCACATACAGGGTGACCAGTAATTATCCGCACAAGCATATCCGGTCATAAAAACTTTAAAATTTGATATTTTTCAAAGAAATGTTTTCTGAACATCAATCCAAAATTATCACGAATGTTGAATTTTGGATTTTTTACAGAACCTTTTGGGGGATAATTTTGGGCGTGTTATACATTTATTGATGTTCAGAAAAAATTTCTTTGAAAAATATCAAATTTTAAAATTTTCATGACCGGATACGCTTGTCCGGATAATTACTGGTCACCCTGTATGTGGCCGAAGTATTTTGGTGGCCGAGAAATGTCGGGAAATGTTTTACGGTCGTTTTTGGTTGTCCGGATAAATACTGGTCACCCTGTATATCTTTTCATTTTTTTCTGAAATTTATGTTCAACTTCAATTTTGTTGTGAGTTTCATTCCTCAAAATTTGATTTTCCGTTCAAAAATTCAATTTTTTACAAACCTCATTCCACGAATCAGTATCAACCAACGGTTTAACTTCACTCGGTCGTGGTCCAAGCGATGACCAAACATCATTCATCGGAGTTTTCACTTTTTTATTTTTCTTTGGATTTTGAGAAGCCGCCGAATAATTCAAAGGAACATGTACACTTGATATAATTCCTTTCGTTTTATTTTTACTATTCAACCAAGCACTATTTGCAGGTTGTGAAGATGGAGCTGAAGCAGGTGGAAGTGACGGAAAATCATTATTAGATGTCGGTAATCTTGCAGAATTTGTGTTTGAAGAAGAAGAAGAAGTATCCGGTTTTGTTCGTTGTATCAATTGAATATTTGATTTTGGAGCTGCTGGAGCTGTTGAAGAATTGCTGATTGTATCAAAACGCAATAATGTATTATTGACTTTGACAGTAGTTTGTGGAACATGCTCTCTTATTGGACTATAACTTCTTTCCCTTTCAATTTTACTGTTATTCGGCTTCGTATTATTTGTCACAACTTTTTTCGGCTGCTGCGCAACTTTTCTTGGTTTCGGCAATGGTTTCACCGAAACTCGTGTCGATGTTCCAGCTCCTCCTAACGTCGGAAAATGCTCAACTGGCCCTTCTTCTTCTCGTTTTTTGTTCACCTTGTTCAATCTTGGAAAAGCATTTGATCGAAGTGTTGGTGGAGGTGCAGGAGCAGGTGCGAGACTTGGAAAATCTTGATCTTGTGGAGTGAAATTGGCGCGAGTTGATGAATATCGTATTGGTCTGCGTGATTGAGCTGATGGAACGACTGTGAATTCACTTGGATCTGATTGGGGATTTGTGGCTTGTTGACGTTGAACAACAGCGATTCGATCTCGTGGAACTTCTGGTGGAGCATTTCGACTTCGGATTCTGGAAATATTAAGAGGTTAGCTTGGGAGCTTGACCAATTTTTGATGAAATATATTTTTTGGTCAATTTTTGGCCAATTTCTGACCAATTTTACAATTAGAACCAAATTTTGGTCAAAAACGTTTGATAAAAAATGCTCCAACTCGTGTTTTAGTCAAAATATGACCGAATATTGGCCAATCACAACTTTTTGGTCAATTTTTGGCCAATTTCCGTCCAATCTTACAAGTTGAACCAAATTTTGAGCGAAATTTGGCCAAATCAGTAGATTGATCAAATTTTGGACAAAAAATGTTTGATAAAAAATGCACCAATTCGAATTTCGGTTAAAAGATGGCCGAATATTGGCCAATCGGAACTTTTTGGCCAATTTCCGACCAATCTTAATCTTAGAACCAAATTGTGAGCAAAATTTGGCCAAATAAGTGAATTGATCAAATTTTGGCCAAAACTATTTTGATAAAAAATGCATCAACTCGTGTTTCGGTTAGAAGACGGCCGAATATTGGCCAATCGGAGCTTTTTGGCCAATTTCCGACCAATCTTTGAACCAAATCAGTAAATTGATCAAATTTTGGCCAAAAAATGTTGAATTTCAAAATCTCCCGAAACCTCCCAACAAAAAATCTCACCTTCCACCATTAGTTTCTCTCGCCGGTCTCGAAAATCCCAAATCAATTCTCTTCTCATCATGCTCACTTGCTCGATGCAAATCCAACTCCAATTTCGTCGCAAACGCTATTCCCAATTCTTTACATTCTCCAGCTTCACATATAAAATGTTGTTGCTTGTAATGCTGCTTCAATTCATCGTGTTTTCCATAAAACACATTCAATGTTCCATCGGCTTCACAAAATTGACAGAAAAAGTGATCTTTTCGAAGATGTTTGTAGCGATTTTCCTCGTCCAAAAATTTCAATTCACAAAACAGACATTGTGGGTGGCCTTTGAAACTTTTATCATCATTATCACCGATTCGAATATGTCGTTGAAGTTGTTCGCGAGTATAACATTTACGCTCTCTTGAGAAGAGATTCAAATTTTCGGTGCAAATATGACAATATGATAATTGGTGATTATTTGCCATATGTTGTCGAAGTGACATAAAAGTGGGAAATTCGAGACGTTCTCCATCTTCACTTTTGCATATTTTACAAACATGCGCCAGATATTTTTCATATTTACTGCCTGCCACTGAATTACTGAATCGAACACCATATCGATCTTCATCGGGATGATTTGTTTTTGCGAAGAACAATGGGACATTCATCATATCATCAGCGGTTGTGCAAAAGAAGTAGGTGTCGATTTCTTTTCGACAAGCAGGACAGGTTTTTGATTGTCCGATGATTCGAATTCGAATTGCACATTCTGCACAAACGGGATGACGACAATCACCGATTGCGAACACGTCATTTGGTTTGCAACAAATCAAACAATCTTCTGTTTTTCTACCACAAGCAATATCCGAGAAGTTATTCTGAAACAGAACAAATATTTCATTTTCAATAAAAAAAATAACTTACATGAGCTGCTGAAATCATCTTATCATACTTTCGCATATCAACTTTTCCATTTTCTCCACTTCCTGCTGCATTTCTTCTATTTCCATTATTACTATAACCTCCTCTACTACTATTTCCTCTTCTATTTTGATTTTGATTCTGAAAAAAACAGCATTTTTCATTGAGAAATCAAGAAATGAACTTACATTGTTGTTGGTCTTCTTTGGTTGTTGTGTCTCAGACATTTTTAGAACCCAGTATCTGCAAATTCAACACGGTTTCTCACTTTTTTCAAAAGAAAACATAACATTGCACAACATTTTCATGCAGTTCAGTGTTTGTCGATAGAGCGCGTTTGCTGCAGTTAGGAGATGGGAAAGGTTTTTTGTGTGTATTTTTTTTTGAAAAAAAAGTTTTTTCTGGTTTTGTTTTAATAAAAAAACGGAGCAGGAAAGAAAATAGATACAACGAATCTACAGAAAAATGTCTTTTGAGTTTCTAAAAATATCCTGATGATTCTTGTTAATGACTTTTTTATGATGTGCCAAAAATTATTGTATTTTTTTAAATTCAACTTCTTCCAATACGGTGTTTCACAGTTATTTTGGTGGCCGCATTCATTTTTTCGGCTCAAACGAGACATGGAGACACAATCACTTATGCGATTTCATTTTTGATGTCAAATTAAAAGTGAGTTTTATTCTTCAATTTTGCGTCAAGTTTCAAAAAACAAAGTTTCTAGACAAGATTGGTATATGGATAGAAAAACAAAGAGAAAAAAACAGAACTTTGCAGAATCAAATTTATTTGAAAAAAACGTAAAAAAGCTTGAAACGAGAATCAAATTAATGTTAATGAATTTTTCATTTTTTTTTTCAACACGAATGAAAAAAAAACATATTAAAAACACTTAATAAAAATAATTGATTGTTCATTTCTTCATTTTGCGATCCATTCGAATTTGCTGAATAAATAATCTTGAGCTAAGATAAATTCTAAATGGTTCAACTTACATCGACCCAGGTTTTTGTGGTTGCCTCCAAATCATCCAAAATTTCATCGAAACTTTCGAATTTTTTGTGGTTGTATAGGGGCCAAAGAATTTTCAACAGATCAACTGTTATTGTTTTTTCTCTCGAAATCTTCAGCATTTTTTCCTTCACTTTGGTGTCACTCTCCAATTTCCACAAGTAGTACAACGTCTAAACATTGCAAATATAACTCATGTCAAAGTTTGAAAAAATATTGTACACTCACCTCGAAAATATCGTCTCCCATTTTCTGCCTGAGCAATGGGAAACTCATTTCAATTAGCACTTTTCAACCCACGTATTATTGCCAGCTTAAAATGGTTCAGTTATTCATTATCAAATTAGTCAAGAGTCAACTTACTTTTTCCGGCAACTTCGAGTTGGATGCAATCAATTTTTCAATCATTTTTACATCGTTTGCTTTTCCTTCGACAATAGCTTGAATTGATTTATTGGGCATGATGAGCGATTCATAAAAACTTTTTCTTGGATCTTCAAGTTCCTCAGAAGTTTCGGTCTCCCCATCTACCAAAGGTTGAATATTTACTAATGACAATTCAAGAGTTGAATCGGGCTTGAAATGTCTTCCTGGTGGTGAATTGCATATACTCGACATCTGGAAAATACATTTTTCTGTTTGTGTTTCGGAGACGACACTTATTCCTTGAAAATATGCCTTGGAAAAATCCGCAAACACACTGTTAATGAATGCACTAAAAATGAAACTGACCTCTTTCTTTGTATTGCTTCTTTAGAATAATTGCTGAATCCACCGACTTGCTCTTCACAACTTCGCGATGTGGTTCGGCAGCTTCCGTGGTCCCAACTAATTTCTTACCCCCAATGGGGAATTAGCGTATACGGCATATTCGCCGAGCCATGGACGAAGTGGTTCGATTCTGGTTCGGGCCGAACGGCGGAGCCCAGCTTCGTCAGGTTGCCTGTAAACACATTTTGATTTTTAATGGTGGAGTCTGACCACGACCATTTACTCCAATAGAAAATTGCCCCTCGGGTCAGACGAGAGACGACGGGAGTCTGATGACGTCATCTAAGACAGAGAAAGACATCGCTTCGAAATATTTTTGGAGAAAATGTGTGACCCTTTGAAAAAATACCGTATTTTGTTTCAAGGAACACATGTTTTATTGAAAATATCTCGAAGCGAAATTCATTTTCGGTATATTTTTGCAAAATACTCTCGTCGTCTCTGTCTTAGACTTTGCCAAGTCTGGGGGATGAGCCCTCCAATAAAAACCCCAAACTACAGTTGCACCCAAGAAACTCACAAATAATTGCAGCCGTTTGTTGTTGTCCAATAAAGGAAGAATAAATAAAAATTGAAAATTAGGACACGTTTTGCGTAGAATCTTGTTTTTAAAATTTTTTAAAAAAATTTTCTGTTTTTTTATTGTTGCTTTACATTTATTGGTGTTTTTCACAGAAAAATCAAACGAGGTTTTTTTTTTCAGAAAAATTGTCTCTTTATTTTTTTTTGCACGACCAACTGAAGAATATGATTCAATTTCAAAAGAATTCTGACTCCGCCCTTTTTCGTTTTTAATATTATTTTTTCGTCGTCGAAACTTTTGGGAATGGCTGTTTTCTTTTGTTGCGAAACATAGGACACGCTCACTTTTGTGTAGTTCTCTCGGAATTTATCGATTCTCGCTTATTATTTTTCTGAAAACTGATCAAAATGGAAGTGGATGATAATTCGGATACAACTGGATGGTTTGATATGCCCTTTGAAATGCGAAAAATTATCATAAATTATATGGATCTTGCAACAAAAATCCAATTTTCACAATGTTCGAAATTATGTTTTGAAGAAGTCCAATTACCTGATTCGCGTTACTTTTCTGTCAGTATATCAAATAGTCCATGCAGTGAACTAGAAGGCGTTTTTTTCGAAGTGTTGAGTGATCATATCTGGATTAGTGATTCAGAAGACGAAGACGGAGACGGAGACGGAGTCGTAGACGACGAAGACAAAGACGAAGACGAATCGGATGTTGATCGAGAGATCGAATGGATGAGATTGAGGCCAACGTTTCTAGTTTGTGATAATCCCAATATATCTGAAGAAGAATTGATGGAATTACGCTCAGAATATGACTTTGAATTGATTGAAGTTGAAACAAGAGAAAAAGTTACTGACTATGTAATGTATCTTTTGCGAGGTTTATTGAAATTTTTGAAGAATTGCTTCAGAAGCTTGACAATCAGTATTGTAAGTCATTTTGAATATGTACAAGAAAAACTACGCGTAATTCCAGTGGGTCCTTGTTATATTCTTTATTTTCAGCCTGATTTTCCGTACAACAAGATGAAAATTGAAAGAAATTTGAAATATTTGGAATCAATTGATCTCTCTCCGAATGATAAAGTTGATCCGATTAGTTGTGGATTTATCGATTTTGAACATCTTTGCTCTTTGAGAAAAATAGTTGAAATTCCAAATCTAACATTCGATCAAATATTTCAACTAAAAGCAGGATTTATTTCTGTTGGTTATGATGGAAGTGAAAAATTTGATATTATACAATTTGTGAATCGTTTGTTTACTGATGGAATTGATCGAAATGTTCAACAAATCACGTTTGAAGCAAAACAGGATTTGAATTCCTTTCCGGAAATTCACGCGATTCCGGGAATTTATGCAACACGATCCACGTAAGTTATTATTTTCTTAATTTCATATTCAAGTTGTATAAAAAACTTTGCAGACCGTGGAGTGATGTCGAATATTTGTTCAAACGAGGGAACAAAATGTTTAGCCTGGCTGATGCAAGACAAAATTCATCAGTTACTATATACTTTCACAATTCAATTGACTCCGAACATATCAAATGGATTCGTTTGTAAAATATTGAAAAAAAATTCTAATATATTTTTTTAAAATCAAAATTTTTCCGTTTTTTTTTGAATGATAAGCATTTGCAATAGGGCACGTTTACTTCTGTGTAATTCTCTCTCTCGGAATTTATTGATTCCAGCTGTTTTATTGTTGCGAAAAATTGATATTATTTGTAAAATATTGAAAAAAGTTGGTGTTTCACAGAAACATCAAACGAGATTTTTTATTTTTCAGAAAAATTGTTTTTTTTTTTTCCACGACCAACTGAAAAATATGATTCAATTTCAAAAGAATTCTGACTCCGCCCTTTTTTTGTTTTTAATATTATTTTTTCATCGTCGAAACTTTTTGGGAATGGATGTTTTCTTTTATTGAAAAACATAGGACACGTTCACTTTTGTGTAGTTCTCTCGGAATATATTGATTCTAGTTGTTTTATTATTGCGAAATAATTTTTTTTTTTTTTTTTGAAAAACGGTTCGAAATGGAAGTGGATGATTTTTCGGATACAACTGGATGGTTTGATATGCCTTTTGAAATGCGAGAAACGATCATTAGTTATATGGATGTTCCAACAAAAATCCAATTTTCACAATGTTCGAAGCTATGTTTTGAAGAAGCCCAATTATTCGATTCGTCTTACTTTTCTATTAAGATAAGAAATAATCCTTCCGGTGAAAAGAAAGGTGTTATTTTCGAAATGATGAGTAATCATATGTTCCGTGGTTCAAAAGATGCATCAAAAACTTATCAAGTGATAACAATGTTCCTAGTTTGTGACATCCCAAATATATCAGAAGGAGAACTGATGAATATACGCTCACTTCACGCATTAAAATATCGATTGATTGAAGTTGAAACAAGAGAAAAAGTTGTTGAGTATGTGATGTATCTTTTGCGAGGTATTACGAAATATTTAAAGAATTGCTTAAAAAGCTTGACGATTCATGTTGTAAGTTATTTTGAATCAACAAAAATAGTTAGCGGACTAACTTAGATACTTATTTTCAGCCGGATTTTCCATACAACAAGTTGAAAATTGAAAAAGAATTGAATGCTTTGGAATCAATTCATATTTCTCGGAACGATCAAATTAATCCTGTCAGTTGTGGATTTATTGATATTGAACAACTTTCGTCCATGAAAAAAATAGTTGAAATTCCAAATCTAACAATCGATCAAATATTTCCACTGAAAGCAAAAACTATTTCTATTGTTTATGATGGCAACGAACAATTCGATATTGAACAATTTGTGTATCGTTTGTTTTCTGATAAAATGGATAGAAATGTTAGTAGAATTGATATTACACCAAAAAAGGATTTAGATGATACTGCAGGAATTTATGCGAAACGAGATACGTGAGTTCTCCTATTTTCACAATGATATAACAACGCAGTTGTATGAAAAACCATTTTCAGTCCTCGTGCAGTTGATTATTTGTTCAAACATAGAGGAAAAATTATTCGGATCGAGTGTCCAAAATACAGACCACAAATGAGTATTCTTCTCCGCAGTCCAATTGACTTTGACGAAAGCGAATGGACTATTTTGTAAAAATTTTATCAAAAACTGCTCCACAAATTGTCTCTGTATATATTTTTTTTCTGAAAGGGTAGTAGAATCATTTAAGAATCTATTTAAAGATTTGTGATACATTTTTAATATTGAACCCAAAAATCATGTGTTATGTAATGAAGATTATTATTTTTCTAATCGGAAAAACCATACCAACCTGAATATAAAAATTTTTTCTGTGACACATAATTCGAGTAAATTCTTTCCAGAAAACTATACGATATTTCACAATCACACATCGTTTATTGAAAGATCCGAAGGAATTGTTGACTCCGCCCCTTTGTCTTTTTTCAGACTTTTTTTCTGGGAATGACAGTTTATCTCTAGTTGCAATAAGACACGTTCACTTTGTGTAATTTTCCCCGAATTTATTGATTCTAGTTGTTTTATTGTTGCGAAATTATATTATTTTTCCGAAACACGGATCGAAATGGAAGTCGAAGACAATTTGAATACAATTGGATGGTTTGATATGCCCTTTGAAATGCGAGAAATGATTATAAGTTATATGGACCTTCCAACAAAAAAGGAATTTTTAAAATGTTCGGAGCTATGTTGTGAAGAAGTCCTATTAACCCATTCGCGTTACAATTGTGTCGATGAAACATATTGTTCTTACTATAGACGAAGATGCTTTCGTTCCGATATGTTGAGTGATCTCTGCAATATGGATTGGACTATAGACACACCTCGCGAGAGAGTGTCCCAAAATTTATGGGCAGCGTGGAAATTTTTGCAAAAAAAATTGTGCTGCGTGAAATGCTGAATTTTTTGATAAGTCATCATCAGTCATCAAAAACCGCTGAAAATCAATGAAAACTATACTTTTTCGTGAAAAAATCTACAGTGTGGCTTTTGAAAATTTGTGTACAGTGCCCATTTTGGACACGTCTCGTCAGGTGTGTCTATAGATTCAGAAGACGAAGACGAAGACGACGAAAACGAAGACGAAGACGAAATCTTTCAGAACAATTCAGAATGACCTCTTGAAAATGGGAACAAGATTCAATATTTTTAATTGCCGAATAAATTTGTCATCAGCAAATTGTTTACATTCCAAACCAGTTTATGCCATTAAAAAATGAAAAAAAAAAGAATAGGTGAAAGAACTCCACAGTAAAATTTATCTAAATATTTGAAACAATACGAATGAAACAAAACAAATTTAACCAATTAATAAAAATAATGAATTTTTCGTGCAATCGCTTTGAATTTGCTGAATAAATAATCTTGAGCTAAGATAAATTCTAAATGGTTTAACTTACATCGACCAATATTTTCGAGGTTATTTCGATTTGCTCCAAATCATCCGAAATTTCATCGAAAGATTCGAATTTTTTGTGATTGTATAGTGGCCAAAGAATTTTCAACAGATCAACTGTTATTGTTTTTTCTCTCGAAATCTTCAGCATTTTTTCTTTCACTTTGGTGTCACTCTCCAATTTCCACAAGTAATACAACGTCTAAACATTGCAAATATAACTCATGTCAAAGTTTGAAAAAATATTGTACACTCACCTCGAAAATATCGTCTCCCATTTTCTGTCTGAGCAATGGGAAACTCATTTCAATCAGCACTTTTCAAACCACTTATTATTGCCAGCTTAAAATGGTTTAGTTATTTATTATCAAATTAGTCAAGAGTCAACTTACTTTTTCCGGCAAATTCGATTTCGATGCAATCAATTTTTGCATTGAGAATATCATCTTCACATTGTTTGCTTTTTGCTCGACAATTGCTTGAATTGATTCATTGGGCATGATGAGCGATTCATAAAAACATTTTCTTGGATCTGGAAGATGTATTTTGAACTTTTCCAATTTTTCTTTTTCTTTGTTATTGAAAACCAATTTCAGCCGGTTCAAAATATGATGGAAAACTTTGATGACTATTTCAGTTCATACCACGCCCAGGGTGAGGCATATGCACGGCGCCAATAAAAGTTTACGGAAATTCACCTCGCCAATTTGAGATTTTCTTGAAAAACAGCAAATTTTTGCTTGGTTTTTTCCGTTAAAAAGTGGTATTTTTCCGTCAAAAAGGTTGTTTCTTTAATTTGCACGAAGCTGGGCGTGGTACGTTTCAGTTGCAATATTGAAAAAATGACATCAATTCAAAACTTACTGTTGGTCTGATCGACATATTTGAATTGAGTTGAATTGTTGCAGATGTTGTTTCCTCATGGCATTCGATAGGAAAACCATAGTATGTTCCAACTTCTGAACACTTGTGATAAAATTGATTCTTCTCAAGAAATGTCGATTTTGTGGGAAACTGAAATATCCGGGGTTTTTTTTTTGAATTGCGATTTCTAGATACTTACATGGCAAACCCAAACTAGGTTTGCACATCTTCCTAATTCCAATGGTTCCGAGACGAAAATGTAGAAGTTCATGTGTTCCATCTGGAACACAGTCTTCATTCGACATTTTGCAAAACGAAAGTTTTTCGTCTTTCAAATTCCCATGTGCCCTGGAATTTGAATAACTTTGAAGGTTTATTGCATTTGTAAAAAACTAACCATCTTTGATCAAACAATAATTGAATGATTTTCTGGAAATCAGACACGTTTTCAAAATAATTTCGTTTGTTCACTAACAAACATGTTTTGCAAACACAAATAATAAACTGTCAGTAAGATGGGCGGTTGTGTTTTGTATCCAAAAGGTCACGTGAAATAATTCATAAATCGATTTTCCATGTGATTTTGTTTGGTAAGAAAATAATGAAACATTTCTTGAAATAAAAAACCCCCCAGTTAAAAAACAACAGTAAAAAAAAACAAAAATCTTCTTTCTTGTGTCTTTAAACTTTAAACTGGGAAAGAATTAAAGGTGCACGCTGAGGAGTACGGTAGAGCCTGCAGATCTAACTCAAGAAGAAATCGAACAGTTAGATACGCAGGTGATACGGTTTTTTGCAGTGTTTTGGACGGAAAAAGATGTTTTTCACCAGAGAAAGATCACGTTTTCTGACATGAAAGCATTCTAAGTTCAAAGGCGCCGTTTTTTGTCCCGATAATCGTTTTCAATAGGGCAGATTTACTTTCGTGTAATTCTCTCGGTTTTATTGATTCTAGTTATTGTATTGTTGCGAAATAATAATATTATTTTTTGTAAAACGGATTTTCTTTATTGAAACGTTAATAAATAATAAAATAAGGAATAAATAGAAAAGAGAACAATTCAGTTTTGAAGGAACTTCTGACTCCGCCCACTTTTCATTTTTCAAATTATTTTTTCGTCCAGAAATGTTGGGAACGCTTTTTTTCTTTTATTGCAATACATAGGACACGTTCACTTTGTGTAATTCTCTCCGAATTTATTGATTCTTGCTGTTTTATTGTTGCGAAATATTATTTTCTCGAAAAACGGATCAAAATGGAAGTCGATGAAAAATTGGATACAATTGGATGGTTTGATATGCCTTTTGAAATGAGAGAAATTGTTATTAATTATATGGATCTTGCAACAAAAATACAATTTTCACAATGTTCAAAACTATGTTTCGAAGAAGTCCAACTACCTGATTCGCGTTATTTTGCTGTCGGTATACACTATAGTTTTATGGGAGAAAAAGATGTTGTTTTCGAGATGTGGCATAATGAATTAGATGATTGTTATGTAAGAACAGTGTTTCTAGTATGCGCTCCTAATCAATCTGAAGATGGAAATATGAATTCACGCACAATATCTGTAGATCAATTGATTGAAGTTGAAACGAAAGAAAAAGTTATTGATTATGTAATGTATCTTTTGCGAGGAATTTTGAAATTTCCGAAGAATTGTTTGAGAATCTTGATGATTTATATTGTGAGTTATTTTGAACATACACAAGGAAAACAACTGTATTCACCTAATGAATGTTTTTCTATAATTTCAGCGAGTCCACAAACTTTCCTTCTCAGAAACTTATTTTTCAGCCCAATTTTCCGTACAACAAGATGAAAATTGAAAACAATCTGAATACGTTGGAAACAATTTCTCTTTCTTGCAATAATCAAATTAATCCTGTTAATTGTGGATTTATCGGTTTGAAACAACTTTGCTCCATCAAAGATAAAGTTTTTGTTTCAAATCTAACAATCGATCAGATAATTCAACTAAAGGCAAGAAGTATTTCTGTTGGTTATGATGGAAGTGAAAAATTCGATATTGAACATTTTGTAAATCGGTTGTTCTCTGATGGAAATGATCAAATTGATATAGACATCAACTTTGGACAAAAACAGGATTTAGACAATATTCCAGGCATTTATGCGAAAAGAAATAAGTAAGTTCTCTTTTTTTTTAATATTCAAATATAATACACAGGGTGTAATTTACTACTTCAAATCGCTAGACCTCAAAATTTTCATTAATTTTTGGGTAGATAAAAAATCATTTTTTTTCTAAATCTCTCATTTTTGCGTTGAAGATTTTAGTCCCACCCGTGTCAGGTCTCAAAAAATGCTCGAATTTTTTCGGGTAGTGAATTACACTCTGTGCAATATTGAAGTTGTAAATATGAAAACCATTTTCAGTGGTAGTGGAATTGATTATTTGTTCAAACAAAGGGACAAAATGACTCGGATGGAGTGTAGAAAAAACGAATCAGCAATGAGTTCTCTTCTCTTTTCCCGCTTCCCGGCAACTGACTTCAAGGAAAGCGAATGGACTATTTTATAAAAACATTTTGTGCATTGCATTTTTGTGTTTCAAAAAAACGTTTCATATTTTCGTCAAGTAGATCATCCCAAAATAAAATCTGTGTTTGAAAAGTTGAAAAAATGAATCTCCGTTTTTCAAATTTTGGCAAGTATCCAACAAGTTTGCATTTGCCTGTGTAGAAATTCAAACTGTTCAACAAAAACTGAGAATCGAAAACTTTTCATTTGACTTTTGGAGGATCTTTCACATCCTCTTTCTTCTTCTCATTTTCCGCGCCTTTTTTCTCATTATTCAAATTCGCCGATATTTTCGGTTCCGACGCTTGCTTCTCCATTTTCTCCAAATTCACATAAGTCTTCGTTGCACTCGTCAAATCCGGCTCATTTCCAGCGTGCTCAATCAATTTTGTATCAAGGAACATTCCCTGACAATCCTCTTCCCGTTTAGTTTCCTCAAATGATTTGACATCTCCAGGTCCAAGAAAAAGGCCAATCAAAAGCCCTCGATCTCTTTTATTGAAATTTCCAAATATGTCTTCCGGACCATCATCAAATGATTTATGTTTTGGATAGGCGAATAGAATTCGGAACCAGTTCACACCATTTTTCTGTTTTTCAGCCTCACTTTTCCATTCTGAAATTCTTTTTTCAATTAAAAAATCTCGTTTTCGCGCTAAAAAATATACTTACGATTAAATTTAGCTGTCCAACTCTTCGGCAAATACTGTGGAGACACCAAAAACTCCTTCATCATCGCCGCCTTCAATTTATCGCGATGTTTAATAATTCTTTTCGTCTCCTCATCAATCGCCAGATTATTCTTATGAAGATGATCAATGATTTTATCGAGAGCAACATCGAGTGTCGCCAAAACTTCGGGAGTCAACGACTTTTTGCCCGAAAAGAATTTGGCGAGCGTTTCGTTTTCTTCGGCTGTCAAACATTTTTCCATTGCCTTGTGGCGCTTGGCGATTTTTAGGATTTTTGGAGCAAGGCGGAGGATATCCTTTTCGTCTTCATCGTTGAGTTGATTTGGAATGTTTGCGGCGGCTTTTTCGAATTCCTCATCCTGTAAAATTATGACTTTTACATGTTTTCACCCCCAAAACAGATTATAAACACTTGAATCAATGAATCAAGCTCAAAATGCATTTACTTTTCAAAAAACTTTTGAAAAAATAAAATAAAAAATATGTGGCCGAACTCCCGACATTTCTCGGCCATCGAAATTGTTCGGCCACACATATATTTTCTTTTTTGAGCTTCAATTTTCAACCGAATCTTACATCAAGTGTTCCAAACGCATCCTGTTTAACATCCAGTGTAATCGTACTCTCAGTCACCGTCGATGTTTTCGAATTCGTCGCAGTCACCGCAGTCGGTGTCTTCACACTCAAATCCGATATTTTCTCCTTGATTTTTGTTCCACTTGGCTCTTTATGGGGCTCTTTATCTTCTTGCTCTTTTGATTTGGATTCTGGAACTGAAGATGTTGGAGCATCTTTTTTCTCCGGTTCAACTGGTTTTTGTGGTGTAGCAGGAGGGTTTTCAGCAACAACTTCAGGTTTCGGTGGAACATTTTCAGGAGCCAAAACTGGAGCATCTTTTTGATCTTTCGAAACATCCGCAGCCTTTGCACTTTCAACTTTAGCTTTTCTAATCGATTTCGCTGAATTATCCTCACTAACTTCTAATTTCTTATATCCACCCGATTCCTCTGGCAACTCCAAAGTCGGTGATTTTTCACGTTTTCTCCCTCCATCCTTCAAAACCACAGCCGACGGCTTCGATTTCTCCTTTTTCACATCAGTAGAATTCTCAACTTTTCCATGCGATGCTCCTTTTTTCTTCTTCTTCTTCTCCTTCTTCTTTTTCTCCCCTTTTTCCTTTTCTCCACCCTGTTTTTCAGATTCGGTGAATTTTTTGTCCGATCTTTGCTCTTGCTCTTTTTCACTCCCATGCGATTTTTCTGATTGTTCCTTCGATCTTCCTCGTTTTCTTGGAGCTTCGCTCTGGAAAAAATCAGATTAGGTTTCCGTATATCAAACATTTTCATGCAAGAAAAACAGGAGCGCGTAGCCTAGTGGTAAACACGCATGCCTTTTAATCTGTAGGTCATGGGTTCGATCCCGCTTCAAGGCAAATTTTTTTGTCAGAAACAATTTTACCCAACCTTTTTCCCCTTCTTCCATTTCACAGGTTTCTCAGGTAATTTAAAGGCACACGGTGCAAATTCTCCATCTCCTTTCTCAATAATCGTCGGCGCCTCATCTTTATCATCCGCCTTCACCATAATTCCGCGTTTCCGCATCTCCTCCCGCTTCGCCATTTTCCGCTCCTCCGCAGTCATTTGTGGTTTTTTGACAACATTCTGTAGAAAATCAGTCATAGGTTTTATAAATTTCTTGATGAACTTACCTTGTGATCTTTGTTTTTGAGAAATTCATTATATTGATCCTGAACTAAATTTGCTGTAACCTTTTTGCCAACATTTGTTCCTAACATCTCTATTTCTCAACAAATCTAAAATGACCAGATTTGATGATTTTTGGCTTTAAATAGCAGAAAAAAACGTGTTTATGGGTCACGCAACAAAAAACCCTGATTTTTTACGTTTCAGAAAAACGTTAAATAATTGGCGCCTTCAACATTTTTGCTGCTCCTTTTAATCCATTTATAATGAAAAACCTTGAAATATTTATTGTAAAATCAGTCAGATATTATCGAAAATATACCACGGTACCTCGCGCTCCACCGAAATAAACACGCAACGCAGACCGCGCTGCGCCACAACACACACAAGAATAAGGGAACGATTCAAATTCCCTCCCTTTTTTGTGTCTGTTGGCGCGGCGCGGTTTGCGTTGCGTGTTTATTTCGGTGGAGCGCGTGGTACCAATGAGATTTTCGATAATAACTGATTTTACAATAAAAATTTCAAGGTTTTTCATTATAAATGGATTGAAAAGTGCAGCAAAAATGTTGAAGGCGCCAATTATTTAACGTTTTTCTGAAACGTAAAAAATCAGGGTTTTTTGTTACCTATGAGATTTTCGATAATATCTTCTATCCTGTTTTTTTTTCCAGTCAAAGCCACCCCTCAAAATGAGTCATCCATATTTTTATTGTGGTCACAAAGTGTACTGTTCATAAGAGGATCATGCAAATTTTCTATCGTTTTCCAAAAGTGATAAACAATGCTGACATTTCAATTTCCCTCTCAATTCCAACTAAAAAATGCCATCCTCAGTTTTGCCAACCACAGATCCACCCAACAAATCATCAAAAACATCTTCAAAACTACCAATTTATTTGGTTTCTGCCATCGTCATTGTATTGGTGATCGCTGTTGTTCTTATCAATTTCTTCCATCGAACTACACCTCCAACTTCTGAATTAGTCAATTCTTCAACAATTATTCCATTATCCGCTATTTCCAGCACCACAAGTTCTAGCTCCAGTAGCAGCCAAGAATCGGATGAAACTGAAAATCCAGAAAATCTTACTGAAGTCACAATTTCTATTGAAACAACTCAGGAACCGACTACTTCTACAGAAGCTGACACCACAACAGTAATCTTTGAAACATCTACAGTTGTACCAATTGAAGAGACATCTACAGTAACCTTTGAAACTTCTACAGTAAGCCTGGAGACATCTACAGTAACCTTCGAAACATCAGAAGCTCAAATATCCCAAGAAGAAGAGTGTAGTAAAACTTGCAGGTTCGTAAAATGGATCAAAACTCAAATTCATAAATTCATTAACACATACTTTTAAGTAAAATAAATCGTTTTGCAGTATCCAAGTTGTTGAAACAATTCCACGTGACGTTCATTTTTCCTCCCCAATTTCCACGCGAAACTCATTCGAATCATGGGCTGAAATGTTGTCAGAAGCCGAGCGAGAAATCGACATTTTCGCATATAAAATGAATCTTCGTGGAAGTGAACTTCGCTATGACGTGGATAATTCGACGACGGAGGGAAAGATGTTGTATGGAATTTTGGAGTCGAAAGCGAGAAATGGAGTGGATGTGAAATTGATTGATTGTCAGCCGCCGACAAATCCGATTAATAATTTGGATGCTGAGGAATTAGAGAAATTGGGTGAGTTTGGGCTCGAAACCAACCAGGCCCAGGCCTGTGCCGGAGCTTTTCCGGTTTTTTCAAGGAAAAATTTTTCCGATTTTCCGGAAACTTTAGTAGTAATCTCTTCAATTTTGCCTAAATTTTGGGAAATTTTCTCAGCTTATTATGAAAAAATAAAATTTTCACATTTTACGACTTTTTCAACGTAAAACGGCTCAGATGATTACTAAATTACCAACTTTTAAGTAAAAAGGTTGAAAATCAAAATTTCAGACCTTGAAAAGTTTTCCAAATTTTCCGGTTCAAGAAATCAGGAAATTTTCAGACTTTCCGTTTTCCAGGTTTTGATTTTCCGGAAAAAAAGATTTTTCAAACATTTTGGAGCTCACAAGGCTCAGTCTGAAAAAGTTACAGATTTGGAATAATCCAAAAATGTAAAAATGAAGTCGATGAGTTGTTTTTTTAACAGTGTCAAAAAAGTTTTTTTATCAAAAAATGACTCGTGGCAAAATCAGAAAGGCTTCCTAATTTTGCCATGGATGAAGTCAACGATAAATTTTTCAAAAAAAAAATCGGCCCGAGATTTTTCAAAAAAATCGTCCCGAGATTTTTCAAAAAAAATCGGCCCGAGTTTTTTCAAAAAAAAATCGGCCCGAGATTTTTCAAAAAAAAATCGGCCCGAGATTTTTCAAAAAAAAAAATCGTCCCGAGATTTTTCAAAAAAAAAAATCGGCCCGAGTTTTTTCAAAAAAAAAATCGGCCCGAGTTTTTTCAAAAAAAATCGGCCCGAGTTTTTTCAAAAAAAAATCGGCCCGAGTTTTTTCAAAAAAAAGTCACAGATTTGGAATAATCCAAAAATGTAAAAATGAAGTCATTGAGTTGTTTTTTTTAACAGTGTTAAAAAAGTTTTTTGATCAAAAAATGACTCGTGGCAAAATCAGAAAGGCTTCCTAATTTTGCCATGGATGAAGTCAACGATAAATTTTTCAAAAAAAAAATCGGCCCGAGATTTTTCAAAAAAAAAAATCGGCCCGAGTTTTTTCAAAAAAAAAAATCGGCCCGAGTTTTTTCAAAAAAAAGTTACAGATTTGGAATAATCCAAAAATGTAAAAATGAAGTCATTGAGTTGTTTTTTTAACAGTGTTAAAAAAGTTTTTTGATCAAAAAATGACTCGTGGCAAAATCAGGAAGGCTTCCTAATTTTGCCATGGATGAAGTCAACGATAAATTTTTCAAAAAAAAAATCGGCCCGAGATTTTTCAAAAAAAAAAATCGGCCCGAGTTTTTTCAAAAAAAAAATCGGCTCGAGTTTTTTCAAAAAAAAAAATCGGCCCGAGTTTTTTCAAAAAAAAAAATCGGCCCGAGTTTTTTCAAAAAAAAAATCGGCTCGAGATTTTTCAAAAAAAAAATCGGCCCGAGATTTTTCAAAAAAAAAATCGGCCCGAGTTTTTCAAAAAAAATCGGCCCGAGTTTTTTCAAAAAAAAAAATCGGCCCGAGTTTTTTCAAAAAAAAGTTACAGATTTGGAATAATCCAAAAATGTAAAAATGAAGTCATTGAGTTGTTTTTTTAACAGTGTTAAAAAAGTTTTTTGATCAAAAAATGACTCGTGGCAAAATCAGGAAGGCTTCCTAATTTTGCCATGGATGAAGTCAACGATAAATTTTTCAAAAAAAAATCGGCCCGAGATTTTTCAAAAAAAAATCGGCCCGAGTTTTTTCAAAAAAATCGGCTCGAGTTTTTTCAAAAAAAATAGGCCCGAGATTTTTCAAAAAAAAGTTACAGATTTGGAATAATCCAAAAATGTAAAAATGAAGTCGATGAGTTGTTTTATTAACAGTGTTAAAAAAGTTTTTTGATCAAAAAATGACTCGTGGCAAAATCAGGAAGGCTTCCTAATTTTGCCATGGATGAAGTCAACGATAAATTTAAAAAAAAATCGTCCCGAGTTTTTTCAAAAAAGTTACAGATTTGGAATAATCCAAAAATGTAAAAATGAAGTCGATGAGTTGTTTTTTTAACAGTGTTAAAAAAGTTTTTTGATCAAAAAATGACTCGTGGCAAAATCAGGAAGGCTTCCTAATTTTGCCATGGATGAAGTCAACGATAAATTTTTCAAAAAAAATCGGCCCGAGATTTTTCAAAAAAAAAATCGGCCCGAGTTTTTTCAAAAAAAATCGGCTCGAGTTTTTTCAAAAAAAAATAGGCCCGAGATTTTTCAAAAAAGTTACAGATTTGGAATAATCCAAAAATGTAAAAATGAAGTCGATGAGTTGTTTTATTAACAGTGTTAAAAAAGTTTTTTGATCAAAAAATGACTCGTGGCAAAATCAGGAAGGCTTCCTAATTTTGCCATGGATGAAGTCAACGATAAATTTAAAAAAAAATCGTCCCGAGTTTTTTCAAAAAAAGTTACAGATATGGAATAATCCAAAAATGTAAAAATGAAGTCGATGAGTTGTTTTTTTAACAGTGTTAAAAAAGTTTTTTGATCAAAAAATGACTCGTGGCAAAATCAGGAAGGCTTCCTAATTTTGCCATGGATGAAGTCAACGATAAATTTTTCAAAAAAAAAAATCGGCCCGAGATTTTTCAATTTTTAAAATCATTCTAATTTCAAAAAAATCCAAATTTTAAATTCAGGTTTGATTGAAAGACATGGTTTGGATATGAATACATTGAATGGTGGCGGAGGTGGAATTCAACACAGCAAAACTTTCATCGTCGACGATCGTCATTTATTTGTTGGATCTCAGAATTTCGAATGGAAATCATTTTCTCAAGTCAGATATATCTAGATATTTATTTCAAAATTCCCAAATTTTTGCAGAAACTCGAAATCGGTCTGCAAATCATGGATTGTCCATGTTTAGCACTTCAAGCCAGTCAACTTTTCGATGAATATTTCAGATATTTGTCTGGAAATGATACTTTCCAACCTGTGGAATTTGCGGCGGTTCAAATAAGAAATTCAAGTTTTCAATTTCTGGTAGATCAACTTTGACCTAAAAATTCCAGAGAAAAAAATTTCAGGCTTCTCCATCTGTTCTTCTCAAATCCTCGGAAAGTTGGGATTTCGAAAAATTGTTGAATTTGATTTATGAGGCGAAAGAGAGTGTCGATATTGCAGTTATGCAATATTTCCCATCTTGGATTTATTTCAAAAAACAAGAATTTTTCTCGCCAATCGATGACGCGATTCGAATGAGTTTATCGAGAGGAGTTCGGGTAACTCAACTTTGAATTTTTCTTATTTTTCAAAAGAAAATTTAAAAAATGCAATTTTTCTCCCTAGATTCGTATAATTGTTTCTGGCGATGATGAAGAGGAACAGAAATTGATGTTCACTTATCTTCATAGTTTACAAGTTCTCGATTCGCCGGGGAATAATCGAAATATTCAAGTGGTATGTTTGTGACGTCATGAGAGAAAACGAGAGAGTGTGCGTGGAGAAGAGAGCGCGAGACGGAAAAGGGATATGAAAACAGGACTCCGCCCACTTTTTTAAAAATTAAATTAAATATTTTTTTTCAAACAAATTTTTGTTTGAAAAAAATGGTTTTCACAAATTTTTGAAACGTATTATTTGAGGGTGTTTTCAATCTACCAAAAAACTGTGAAAATTGAAAAGTGATGATTTTTCTGTTTCAAATTTAATTTTCATAATTTTTTTTGCCTCAATCTGAATTCTGCCACGTCATAACTCAAAACTGTAGTGATTTTTCTCCCAGAAATTCCTGACCATCCCCCAAACCGCCCAAGAATCCTACAAAGATCGAAAACTCCACGCCAAATTCATCGTGTCCGAAACGCAAACTCTCATCGGCTCCTCTAATTATGCTCCCGAATATTTCTATAAATCTTCCGGAACCGCTATTTTGATTAGCGAAATGCCATTTATCGGCGAGTATAATCAACAACTTCGCGCGGTTTTTAACAGGTAAAAATCTCCTTTTTTTGGGGAAAAAACCCTCAAATCTTTTTTTTTCTAAATAGATATTGGTCAAGTAAATACACCCAAACTCTTCAAAAATTCGGTGAATCTCGCGGGTTTCTTCCAACTTCTCCAAAAAATCCCATCTCTTGGTTGGATTTCGATCATATTCTATTTTCCAATGAGAAATACGTTTCAACAAAAGTGGTCGTCGAGAAAAACAAGCCGAAAAAGGACGAGGAATCGGGAGAAGTCGAATATTTGAGCTTCAATTAGATGTTTTAACGTTAAAGTTTTTATTATACATAAATCTTTGGTAGAGAAAAAGGAAAAAGGCCATGAAAAAATCGAGGAACCCGTTTGAAAGAAATAATCTATCTATTCACATGTATATAAATTCCGAAATATCGGGTTGGAGTAATTCGGCGCGCGCCAAAACCGCATTAAAAATTGCATCTTGAGTAAGGTCCAATGATTTTCGACATTCGGCTAAGTTGAAATGACGTGATCGAGTTCCACATTCTTTTTCATCTTTTCCAGGGCGGCTAGAAAAATACAATAATGTTACAGGATAATCAGAGGAATCAGAAATGAGCTATGAAAATACATACCTCGAATCCCGAACAAAAGCTATAAAAGCAATCGCCAAATTGTCAATATAAAGCATTAATTGCGAGCAAAACGTGGCTCTGACAGATTCTTCCATTGGTAAAAGATCCATTCTTTTTACAAATGTATTTACACATTCCATAGATCGACAATTTGACAGTTCTCTGGAAAAAAATGCATTTTTGGGAGATTTTCCGGGAAAAATTCAAAATTTTTGATGATTTCAATATTTTGGAAAAATTTTTGAACCGAACTTTTGTCCCTCTGGAAAAATGCTAATTTTTGGGAAATTTTCATGATTATTTCTGGCATTCTCCGAAAAAATTAAAATGTTTGTTTTCATTTTTAAAAAAAATCCAAAATTTCAGAATAAAACTTGAAATTCAACATTTTTTAATAATTTTCAGCTGGAAAAAATATTTTTGAGCTGAATTTCAGAATTCTGAGACTAAAAAGTTTTCCGATTTTTAATTTTTGAACTAAATTTTTGTCCCTGTGGAAAAAAATGCTTTTGGAAATTTTCCTGACTTTTTTGTTTTCCGAAAAATCCAAAATTTCAGAATAAAACTTGAAATTCAACATTTTTTAATAATTTTCAGCTGGAAAAAATATTTTTGAGCTGAATTCCAGAATTCTGAGACTAAAAAGTTTTCTGATTTTTAATTTTTGAACTAAATTTTTGTCCCTCTGGAAAAAATGCTTTTGGAAAATTTCCTGACTTTTTTATTTTCCGAAAAATCCAAAAATTTCAGAATAAAACTTGAAATTCGACATTTTTAATGATTTTCAGATGGAAAAAAATATTTTTGAGCTGAATTTCAGTATTCTGAGATTAAAAATTTTTCCGATTTTTAATTTTTGAACTAAATTTTTGTCCCTCTGGAAAAATGCTAATTTTTGGAAAATTTTCATGATTTTTTCTGGAATTCTCCGAAAAAATTAAACATTTCAGAATAAAACTTGAAATTCAAAATGTTTGATGATTTTCAGCTATAAAAAAATATTTTTGAGCTGAAAAAGTTTTCCGATTTTTTATTTTTGAACTAAATTTTTGTCCCTCTGGAAAAAATTCTTTTGGCAAATTTTCCTGACTTTTTTTTGTTAATTTCCGAAAAAATTCAAAATTTCAGAATAACACTTGAAATTCGACTTTTTAATGATTTTCAGATGGAAAATATATTTTTGAGCTGAATTTCTGAATTCTGAGAACAAAAAGTTTTCCAATTTTTAACTTTTGAAATTAATTTTTGTCTCTCTGAAAAAAATGCTTTCGGAAAATTTCCTGACTTTTTTATTTTCCGAAAAAATTAATTTTTTTTTGGGAAATTTTCATGATTTTTTTCTGGCATTCTCCGAAAAAATCCAAAATTTCAGAATAAAAATTGAAAAATGATTTTCAGAAAAAATTGAAAAATTATTTCGGTGTATTTTCGAATTCCTGGCCAAAGTACAATTTTGAAAAAAATCCGAATTTTAGTTTTTCGAGGTCAAAAACTGAAAAATTCACAGTTCCGTACTGTAAAAATTTAGCGTACAATTTTTTTATTTTGGAAACCACGATTTCGGCCAAGGTGTTATTCTGATACTTCAAAGTTTTCCGAATTTAAATTTTCGAACTCCCCAACTCACAACTGCGGTGCTTTCTCATTCCTCGCCGACGACATAACTCCAGCATGCTCCAAAATCACTCTCACACCTCTCGAATCATTTCTCGCCCGCAAAATCCGATGTCTCTGATAATTCGCCGAAAAACACACAGCCGATCTATCCAAATCAATAATACAAATCGGCCAAGGACTCGAAGTACCACTCAATATAATTGATGGCAATTCAGCTCGTCGAACAGCTTGAATTCGTAAATATGGATTATATTTATGTCGATACGGGCGTAAACAACACCATTGAAGATTCAAAGGTACAAAAAATGCAAGCGTATACATCATTCTAGCGACAATTTGATGATCCGATCCAATAATTACAGTATGCCCTTGACTTTGCAAACATCCAGAAATCGATCGACAAAGCAATCGATTTTCAATTTTTGCTCTTTCCGTAAAAAGCGTGTTCTTAATCATTAATGGTTTCTCAATGGCAACTAATGAAAATCTTTCAAGAGCTGATAACAGCGCCAATAATCTTGTCAATTCCGAAGTCACTCGAACAAGAACATCATCCGAATCTTCGGCAAAAAGTGATGCTTTCATTTTTGGAACTGAATCTCCAACCATTCTCTCAAACCACATTTGTCTATCCATATACCAATCTTGTCTGAAGGATTTCACATTAGATTTTTAATGAAATATATTTTTTCTAGTAGTTTTCGACCCGCTGATCACGATTTCGCTGTCTAAAACTGCAAAGTTCGACTCCTAACATGAGTTATGACGTGGCAAAGTTGGAAAATATTGAAAAATTGGGTCTTTGTAGGGTCAAAATTCACCATAAAAATTATTTTCATGAAATTCTGATAGCATAGCGTTGTTCAGGAGGCTCGATTACAACTTTTTTGAAAAATCTTCCAGATTTTTATATGAACCTTCTAAAAAAATCCGGAAGATTTTTCAAAAAAGTTGTAATCGAGCCTCACGAACAACCCTTTGCTATTAGATTTTCATGAAAATAATTTTGAAGGCGATTTCTGACCCTCCAAAGTCCCAATTTTCAAAATTTTCCAACTTTTCCACTTACAACAATAACTCATGTTAGGAGTCGAGCTTTGCAGTTTTAAACAGCGGGATCGTGATTAGCGTGTCGAAAACTACTAAATCTCGATTTCAAATTGAAACAGTTCCCTTTGGAGCAAATTTTAAAACCCACTTTTCATTAGGCATCAAAAATGAAATCGCATAAGTGATTGTATTTCCATGTTTCGTTTGAGCCGAAAAAATGAATGCGGCCACCAAAAGATGCCTCGAAGGTGAAACAATCAGTTTATGTTGTAATGGGCATCTTGAATGTGGCATACTGAAACAAATAATGATTTCGCGGCTCACAAGATTTAGGAGCTAAACTTACTTGCAAATTAATTCAGCAAGAACACATTTGGCAACAAAAGCCTCATCACTAACATAATCTCCAAAATCAATTTGATCATCGAAAAAATTGAAAATATCTTTTGGTGGAGGTGTTGTTGTTCGACTTCTTGATCGGATATTCGGTGTTGATGTCATTGGACCATTAAAAACATCATCTTCATCATATTCATCTCTTTTTTTCGGCGGTGTATGACAAAATGCAGATAAATCACTATGTGTTGAGACACCGACACCTGAATCAACACAAGATCGACGTAATTCGTCGTCTTGTTGTTGAAAAATCGGAGAATATCTATCAAGTTCATAATGTTCGGATAAATGTGCAACACCTTCAGTCATTGTTTCATCTGTCTCATTTGCCATTCTAAAAAAATTCAGAATTAAATTTAAATATTTCTGATTAATTCAAGCGATTCACGAAATGAAAAAAAAAACGTTTTTGGTGATTTTCTAAAAATTTCGAAAATCAAAAATTTTATTCTGAAGGCTTTATTTGTCTTTTACAAGGGACTTACATTAGGGTGATAACGGGTTTTAAAATAAGGTAAGTGCAGTATTAGGTAACTCGGCGCGCTGATCACGATCCCACAAAATTTAGCTGCTGAGCTCCAGTCTGAGCCACGCAATGAGCTACAAAGTTTGCTCAGAAACTCTCAATTTTCATATGAAATAAGTAAGTTTTGGGTAGAATAGAAGTAGCTCAGGGTTAATTGGGTCGAATTGAACGTTGCGAATATTTATTTTTGTCGAAAATTGATGTTTGAAGTCGATTTTGGGACCCTCGAAAATTTGAGTCAACAAATATTCACGTGAAAAATTATTTTAAAGAAACGTGAATCTTTTTAATTCGAAAATTTCTGTAATTTTTTGTATCAAAATTTGCTTTGGAGCTCATTCGCGCGGCTCAGACTGGAGCTCAGCAGCTAATTTTTGCAGCATCGTGATCAGCGCGTCGAGTTACCTTATTTCAAAACCTGTTATCACCCTAAGTCCCTTGTTAGAATGATTAGAAGGTCGTGAAATAGCATTTCTGGACACTAAAATGCGTTTTACCTCCACTTTATTCAGAAAATGGTGAAAAAAATGAATAAAAAACCATTCGAGAATCACTTTTTTGGTTTTTTTAAACGTTTTTTGTTTCGTGAACCCTGCATATAAAAAAAACCAACTTTTCCCTCAGAATATCAGCCAATTCCCTCTCTTCATCATTCGGATATTTGGTAGCCAACAATTTCCCAAGATGTCCCGTATCATTTGGAGAAGGCGATGCAATAAACATTTTATCTTCCGGAGATAATATAATCGATTTTGCGCTGCTTCCCGGGCTTTCAATTCTCGAATCTTCCATTGTCAGGGTTTTTGTGGATGTTGTTGTTGTGCTATCCGTCATCATATATTCATCCAAATATTTCATTGTTTTATATTTATAATCACCGCATTGCAACAAATTCAGCTCAGAAAGTGATTCAAGACAACTATCATCCAAACCTTCCAGAATCGTTAGTTCTGTCTGAAAATTAAAAATTCAAAAAGTCCCCCAAAATTCTAACCAACCTTCAAAGGATCATCAATTTCTTCAAAGGAAACTGATTGATTCGAACCGCCAGAATCAACAAGACTTTCTCCATCAGCAATCGAACCATCTTCCCCGGATAAATTCACGGGTGAAATCGAAGTTGATGGTGTAACTTCCCAAACAAATTTGAGTTCGGGTCCAGTCATAAAATCGAATTGTGACCAGACGATCTTTGAGATTCCACAATTCTCATTGGTTTTCAGTGGAAGTTGTTTTCGAACTGCTTGTTCCTTTTTCTGCTGCTGAAAAATGTTTTTGAAATTTGATAGATCGACTAAATGACATTTTCAGGTTTTTTTAGCAAGTTATTTGAAATATTGGGTTTTAATGTTATTCATAGGGTAGAATAGTCTAAGACGAATCGAATGATGTAAATTTTGATGACTTTACGTTAACCATAAGTGATTTAGCGACTTATCGACTAAATATCGACTTAACGTCCTTAAATCACTTATGGTTAACGTAAACTCATCAAAATTTATATCATTCTGCTCGCTTTAGAGCAATCTACCCTATGAATAACATTAAAACCCAATATTTCAACTAACTTGCTTTAAAAACCTGAAAATGTCATTTAGTCGATGTCCAAAATGTAAATAACCTTATATTTCATACGTTTAATTTTTGCAGAATAAGAATATTTACTTTCATCGTCATTCATTGTTGAATTTTTTTCAAAATAAGCAGAAAAAAAAACTTTTTCCTGATAAGAACTCGTATTTCAAACATTTTTTTGCTGATAATGAAATAATAAGCACTTACATTTTGTAACGCATCGAATGTTGAAAAATATTCATCAGCTTCCATAGGAATTGACAGGGAAAAATGACGAAAATGTGTTTTTTTTCCTGTTGAGAGGAAAGCGCTTGTTTTATTTACACAACACACTGCCTGTAGGTAAATGAATTGTTTGGTTGGTTGGAAAATCGATAAATGTTGTGTTGAAATCGATTTACATCGAGAGAACAAGGTTAGGGTAAATTAACTAATTCGAATGAATGTCAAGGGAAACAAACAAAGCTGATTCATATGCGTGGCCGAGGAAAATCATGGGATATAAAAGTTAGGCCATCAACCTTTTGTTGAAAGAAACTAGTGAATATATACAGTTTATGTTATTCGTTTCATAAAAAAATATTTACAAACTGTTAAAAGCAGTGAAATCGCCGTTGCGAATACGATTGAGTTGTGAGGCATTAATGGCAAAACGGCAGCGTTTGTCAACTTTTTTGATGACAAGATCACGTAATGGTGGTGCAAGTTGTTCGATCATAACAGTAGCCGCGTCGAATGGTTGCATAAGCATGTCCAAAGCGAGCCAACCGCTCAAAGCACAAGCTTGATTCAATTTTTGTGTTACACAAGGAAGAGTGCATTGAAGAGAGCCGCAGAGATCGCCCAAATGATCGGTGACGATGAAGACATTTCCACCGACAGTTGCAGCGAATTGGATGTTTGAATTATTGGAAAATGCGGTGAGATTTGAGCGCGAGTAGCAGGTATTGTCGCATTCTTCCATGATTTTGTCGACGACTGGCGTCAAACATTTTTCCATTCTTTCGAAAAGCACATATTTCTTTGTGCACATATATTCCACACTGCTGCTTGCCACTTTGAAAATCTTGTTCATATCGCAAAATTGATCGTGTTTCAAACAAGAAATTGCTTTGGCGTGTGATCTGGAAACAAAGAAATTGAAGAGAGTTATCCAGTTTTTGTCTAAAACTCACGTGCAAACATTTCTGGCCTGTCCGACAACATTTCTCATTGTCCAAAGTGTTGTTGTCGAGTTGATAAATCCATCAATGCACTTTCTCATACAGAATGGTACGCCCATCGCGCGGAAAATTGTGTCAACATCCAACACTGAAATTAAAGTTATTGAAATTGCCTGATATCTACTTAAACTCACATTCTTCTCCATGTGGAACAATATCTTTATCGCTGGGCGATTGTACAATTGCAGCCGAAGCGGCAGCGATAATAATCAGCAAGAAGTAAAGTAAGGAACGCATTGGATGACAACTGAATTGATTTTCGGCGAAAAATTTGGGCGAGAAAAACGAAAACAAAAAATTCGCGGGGGAAATTTGAGAGTTCGCGGTGATGGGTCTCGCACCGAAAACCGTACTTTGTTTCAAGGAACACAAAACAATGTTGCACAATTTTTTTTTGTTTTCGCAAAAAAAAATTTTTTTTTTTCGAAGCGCGCCGTGTTTTTTAAATGAAAAACTTTCATTACAAAATATTGCAACAACATTTTTTGCCTTTTTTAGATTTGGTTTCGGACGACGGGCAAGACGATGCTGCTGGAAGAGCCTGTGAAAGTCCCGGTGAAGGAGCCAATGATGGAGCCGCAGCCGAAACTGCCGAGGGAGCTGATGGAGCGGTGGCAGAAACTACAGGTTCGTTACTTGTTTTAGCAGGTTGTGCAGTCTCATTGCCTTCTGCTTTCGGCTCTTTTTTCTCCGCAGGTATTTCTTTTTTCTCTTTTTTCTCTTCATCTGTTTTTGTACCCTCTTCCGGTTTCGATTTCACCTCCAGTTTAGCTTCATTTTTCCCATCTTTTTTCCCGTCTTTCGCCGATTTCCCTTTTTTCGATTTCTGCTCCTCATCATCGTCACAATCACTCAATTTAACTTCATCATATCCCTTTTTTCGAATCACTGATGGATTTTCTGAATTCTTTTTAGCCAACTCTTCAATTCCCATTGTTTAACTATAAAATGAGCAATTTTTTTCTATTTAGTTAGGAAATTACCTTGATGGAAAACAGTAAAAAACCAAGCAGATAAAGTTTTATTATTTTCAAAAACGAATTTTTACAAAATGAGGATTTTCTGATTTTTTTTCCTATTTATAGACCCAAGGTCACGTAAATGTAAAATTATTTTCATTTTGTTAGCTTTTTGTCAACCTTCATAAATAAAAATGCTCATCAAAAAATAATAAAACACATTTTATATTCATGAATAAAACAGAATACACCCTTTTTATACAAACACAACAAAATGTGTTCTATTTCAGAATTTCAAAAAGTTTTTGTACTTTATTTATTTATTGACTTATGCAATCCTCTTGAAAATGTGTGAAAAAGAGGAAAAAATGCATCTGCAGATGGTTTCTTTTTGTATCTATTTAAGTCAAGTACACACGATCGTATATAATATAAATAAAATAGTGTTAGATTTGAAGAGGGTATTTCGCGCACGGCAAGATGAAGCCTATTACGGTTATTATTATATATGACAGATGAATTGAGACTTTAGAGATTCTTCCCATTTTTTTATTGATGGTTTTTTCAATTTTCATACAGAAATTTCGAAACGTAATTTATTCTTGAATTTTTCTAGGTCAAAAATATGTGCTGAAAATCATGGAATTCTCAATTTTCAGCATTTTTCAGTGGTTTTCAGCGCAAATTTCTTTCTGTTCTACAAAAGTTTCTACAATCAAATTCTGATAAAATTTAACAAGAACAGTATTTTTTTCTAGATCAGAATTTTACGCTGAAAATCATGGAAACATCAATTTTCATCCCAAAAATCCTCAAGATATATGTGACCGAAGTATTTTGGCGGCCGAGAAATGCCGGGACTTCGGCCATGGCAACAAACGCGCTCTAATGTTGCAAACATTCTCATTGTTGGAGCGCGTTGGCCGAATTCCCGACATTTCTCGGCCACATATATCTTTTCTGAATTTTGTGTTCAAATTTAATTTTTTGTGAATTAAGTAAGTGAGTTTCATTCATCAACATCTTTTTTTTTCTGTGAACTACATAATCCACAAATTTTTTTCTATATATATTTTATTATTTTATTAATCGCCCAAGATAATTACTTTATAACTGTGTCAATTTGAACCAATTTTCAAATAATATCTCACGCCCTCCAGACAAAAAAAAAGAGATAATATAGTGTTGTGTTTTAAACACTTCCTATTCTCATTTGGCCCCAAGAGATTTAACTTGACCCGACGACAATTTTTCTCGCTTTTTTTGTTCGGAAATGTTCGCTCTTTGTATAACTTTCCCTCAATTTTCTGGAATTTTTTTCCAATGTTTATTTTTAAAAAAAATTTCCGTTGTTTTTGAAACAAGATTAGTGAAATATCTAGATGTGTGAAGAAAGCAGTTGTTTTGTTTTCTCTTTTAATATTTATGTTTGACCTCCCTCCGCACATTGAAAAAATGTGTGAAGAAACAAACAACTAATCAGGATTAAGTGCACCAAAGAAAATCAGAAGAGGATTTAGGAAGAGAAAAGAGAGGGAGAGGGTTATTATTATTATTATTACTCATGTACATTTATTGTCTATTTAATTCTATTGTTAAATATCTGGTGTGGTGAACGTATTTTCTACGATTTTTCAATGTTTTTGTGAATTTAGGAAAATTAAAAAAAAAGTTTTGTTTCACTTAGCTTGAATTCTTCTGTAATTTTTGAATGCCTATGGAAAATAGTTATGACGTGGCAAATTCACAAACGTGGTTCGGAAACTTCACGAACTTCTAACTAATTTTGAAAATTTCCAACTGGAATTTTTGGAATCTTCAGATTTTTTAAAGTGGTTTTCTGGGAGCCTGAACTCTAGGCGCCGCTGCAACTATGTACATAACTTGATTTTCTAGGTGCGGTTACTGGATAGATAGGATTTGTAGGCGCGGCTACTTGGCATAGAAACCTTCAAGGTGCGGCTACTTGAGCACTAGATTTTCTAGGCGCGGCTTCTTGCCACAGTGCATCTCTAGGCGCTGATCCTTGAGAATTGCATTTTCTAGGCGCTGATCCTAGACAATCAGATTTTTGAGGGTCGGCTACTTGCCATGGAAGTTCCCAAGGCGCGGCTCCTTGTCAGATTGTATCTCTAGGCGCCGGTCCTTGAAAATTGCATTTTCTAGGCACTAGTACTATACAATTAGATTTTCTAGTCTCGGCTACTTGCCGTGGAAGCTCCCAAGGCGCGGCCTCTTGCCAGAGTGTATTTCTAGGCTCGACTCCTTGGCACAAATTTTTTTCGAGTCCCTAACTTCCTCACCAAAAAATATTGTTTGTACAGTATCTACGCATAATATGTTGCGTCTTTTGAAAAACAATGTTTGACCATCTTTTTTTTGCTTTTTTTTTGCTCCAGGCAAACAACGAGCATCTTTTCCTTCCTTACGCACTGATTTTTGCGCTTTCACAACACTTTTATGTATTTTCAAGCGAATACATGATTCATTTGAAATTATCATAATCTGATCTGAATCGGATTAAAATCAATTTTTTTTGGTCAAAATACACTTCAGTAAATATTCTTCTGCACACATTTTTCGTATTTTTATGACCTTTTTCTCTGCCGGAAAAAATAAAAATCATGGAAATTAAAACCATGTGCTTTTTTATTTATTTTTCGTTTGAGTTCTAGTTTTTTTTTGAATCCCGCTTCATATTTAAAATATGCCTAAAATTTGCGATGGAGGAAAAAACAGCTAGATGGCCGAGTGGTTAGCGCGCTCGTCTCTGAGGCAATCATTTTCCGGGTCATGGGTTCGATCCCGCCCCGGCGCGAGCTTTTTTATTTTTTTCGGATATTAGTTTTTCGGGGTAAACAACGAAAAAACAACAAGTTCTCAGATTCATTTTTTATTCAGAAGGTAGAATTTTCACCCCTTTCTTTTTCTCTCCAAAAAAAAATCAAGAAAACAACAAAGAAAAAAAATAGTTTGTCATTTTCAAGGAGTTTGCAAATAATCATCTGCTCGAATTTATCTTCATCTTTTTTTTGTCTTTCCCTACGCATTTTGTTCTCGAGTGGTTTATCTTTTTTTTTCTTTTTCTGTCAAAAAATTCCGAAACAAGTTTCATTTTATTTTATTTGATCAAACACTTTTTCAAATGTCAAAGTTTATCCCGATATCTTTTTTTTTTAGATTACTGTGGGGAATTTTTTCTCAATGTTTTCTTTTGATTTTTATTTATGTGACTCATAAAACATGAAAAATTGTGTTGAAAATTACACAAGAGATATATATTTTACAACTTTTTGAAAACATTTTTGATCCCGACACTTGTTTTGTTTTCAAATTTCAAATTTTATTATTATGAAAAAAGTACTCGAGCCTAGACATCCTATTTCTCAAGTAACCGCGCCGGAAGAATCGAATTGTGTAGGATCGACGCCTAGAGATTCATTCTGGCAAGACGCCGCGCCTTGAGAGATTCCATGTCAAGTAGCCGAGCCTTGAGATCCTAGTTCTCAAGGAGCCGCGCCTAGAGATTTACTTTGGCAAGGAGCCGCGCCTTGAAAGCCTCTTTGTCAAGTGACCGAGCCTAGACATCCTAGTTTTCAAGAAGCGACGCCTAAAGATTCACTCTGGCAAGAAGCCGCGCCTTGAGAGCTTCAAAGTCAAGTCGCCGCCCCTAGTCAACCTAGTTCTCAAGCAGCCACAACTAGTGAGAAACAAAAAAAATTAGCTGTGATTTCAAAAATCCAATTTCATCATTTTTGCTCCTCCTTTCTTTATTTTCTCGTCCACTTTTCTCACATTACTATTATTCTCTTCCTCCGATTTTTTCACTCATATTGAAATTCGAGATTCCCCTGAACTGCACTTTTTTTTGTCTGATTCAGATTTTTTTTTCTAAAAATAATCTGCTGACAGTTTATTATTTACCTCAATAATAAATATAGCGATTATTTATTTATTTTTCACAAAAAAATTTGATTTTGAGAAAAAGTAGGCGAAATTTCAGAAATTTTTGATGCTTCTCTCACTGCTATCAGATTTCGTTTTGTTTTTGAAGATTTTTTGGAGCGAGAAAAGAAATGGAGCGGATTTTTAAATAGCCTATAGTTTTCTATAGAGCTTTCTAGGCGCGGCTCCTTGACATAGAAGCTCTCAAGGCGCGACTCCTTGCCATAGTGGATCTCTAGGCGCCAGTCCTAGACATTTATGTTCTAGAGACGCGACTACTTGATAACTAGGCTATCTAGGCGCTGATCCTTGAGAATTGGGCGTTCTAGGAGCGGCTACTTGACAACTAGGGTTTCTAGACTCGGTCCCTTGACATAGTGGATCTCTAGGCGTGACTCCTTGACACGGGAGATCTCAAGGCTCGGTTACTTGATAACTAGGACTTCTAGGCTTAGTTACTTGTCGTAGAAGCTCTCAAGGCGCGGCCCCTTGCCATAGTGCATCTCTAGGCGCTGATGCTTGAAAGTTTAGCTTTCTAGGAGCGGCTACTTGACAACTAGGGTTTCTAGACTCGGCTGCTTGTCATAGCAGCTCTCAAGGCGCGGCCCCTTACCATAGTGAATCTCTAGGCGCCATTCCTAAACAATAAAAATTCTCAAACACTTCAAATCGTTCCAGAATTTTCACTTTTTATCTTTCTCTTCTTTTTTTTCTCTTCAAATTTCCAGTTTCTCTCTCTCGAACTAATAAAATGCATCTCTAATAACAATAATAATAATCGTATTCTCGATTTTTTCCCCTTCGCTTGTACTTTTTTCTCTCTCAATTTTTTTTTCGCTGAAATTTATAGCTCTCAAAAATAAAAACGAACCATCGCAAAAATTCCATTAAAAGTGGGTGGAGTCAAGTTTAGAAAAAATGAAAAAAAAGAGAATAGAAAATGTGGAAATCAATCTCAAGATTTTTTTTCGGATTTTTTTCAGCTCTTCTCGTGTTTTTTTCTTGTTCTTTGTTCGCACGAAAATTTTGGAACAACGAAAAAATAAAAATGAAAAAATCCATTGAGAACTCATAAAAATGTAGTATTTATTTCCGATTTTTCATAAAATTCTCTTGAATCTTTTTTTTTTTTTTTTTTGAGGGAAAATTATAGTTGACGTGGCAAAGTTTCGGAGCCTTAAAGGCTCTAAGCTTAGGCCTAACTCTAGGCTTAGGTTAACTCTAGGCTTAGGCCTAACCCTAGGCTTTGGCAAGCTATACATTTTTTTCAAATTTTTAAAGGACCATATTAATATTGCTCATATTATAGTATTCCTTTCTCAAAAATCATTCTTTATAACATGAGCAATATATTTTTTTTTCTCATTTAATTTGAGAAACCTTTTGTGTTCCTGAAGAACTATAACATGAGCAATCCTCTTCTAAATTTTTAGCCACGTCATAGCTTATTGAGGTTCAAGTTTTTGTTGTTTTTTTCCGCAACCTTTCCGCAACCTTTCCGCGTTAGCTTCTCCCCCAAAATAATTTCACTTTTTCCAGACTCAAAACTCAACTTCAACTAGGCAACTATCAAATGAGCGATAAAATGAATGCAAGAAGACAGTATAGGTCAGTCCAATTTTCTTTTCCAAAAAAAAAATTTATTTCCTCTCGTAAAAAAATTTTATTTGTGAGAAAAATTTCTCCAACGTGAACTAATTTTTTTCTCAAAAAAAAACCAAAAACAAATTCGAATCCACATCATTTTGAAAAATGGTGATTTGTGGAAAATTGGCAAGTGTTCAAGTTGTTATCAGAAGTCCAATTAGATTAATTAGAAGAGATTCGGATTTTAAGAGAAATACTAGTAGTAATATTTGTTGTAGAAGGTGAGTTATGTTGGAAAATTTGAGTTTTCTCAAGTCAGAGGTGAGAAAGGTAGAGTTGAAGTGAGGGTTGAGATGCAGAGTTTAAACGAGGTTAGAGACGCAGAGTTGAAAGGTCAGAGACGCATCGAGGTTAGGGACGCAGAGGTGGAAAGAGGTTAGAGACGGAGAGTTGAAGAGAAATTAAAGAAGCAGAGTTGCGAAGATTAGAGAGGCAGAGTTGAAAAGATCAGAGACGCATCGAGGTTAGAGACGCAGAGTGGAAACGAGGTTAGAGACGGAGAGTTGAAGAGAAATTTGGGAATCAGAGTTGGAAAGAGGTTAGAGATGCAGAGTTTAAACGAGGTTAGAGAGGTAGAGCTGAAAAAGTTAGAGAAGCAGAGAGTTGAAAAGGTCAGAGACGCATCGAGGTTAGGGACGCAGATCTTGAACGAGATTAGAGAGGCAGAGTTGAAGAGATCAGAGACGCATCGAGGTTAGGGACGTAGAGTTGGAAAGAGGTTAGAGACGAAGAGGAATTAAAGAAGCAGAGTTGCGAAGGTTAGAGACGCAGAGTTGCACTGTACTTGGGAAAAGTAGAATTTGAATTTCTGTTGCCAAATTCTTCTGACCAAGAAAATCTGAAAAATTTATCAATTTCAAAGCTCTTCCCGAATTTTCCTGGATTTTCCTGGATATTCTTGAGGATTCCCCAAACTCCGATTCTATGTAGAAATCCAATTTTCCCTCCCAAAATGTCCCAATTTTGCAGATCAGTCGCATTTGGAACATGGCAAGTGGGCGGAGCTCGAAATCTAACCGAACGACGTTCCGAAGAACCAACATCGAGATTAAAATGGTTAGTTGATCCACTTTTTTTTCATCCAATTAGTACTCCTCTTTTTTTTGTTTTGGGCGGTCTCTGGGGATATGTAGAAGAGAGAAAATAGGTAATTGTATGCTAAAAACCAGACCACTCACCTCAGCGAATTGGAATATGCCATTTACTAATTGTTGTATAGCTTTTCTTTTTTTTTTCGCGACTTTTTTCAACTCAAATCGGTTTGTTGCTGTACTTTTTGCTATTTTTGAATGACAGCTATTCAAATATTTGAAACTTTTTGAATTGACTTCCGATTTTTCGTGTATAATTTTTTTTGGAAAATTTTGAAAGCCACGTTTTTGGCTGAAAATATAGAAATGAAATGAAAAATATGTCACGCGATATTTTTTTTGGAAATTTCACAAGCTCCTGAAATTGGAAGAATTTTTAAAATTTGTCAAAATCTTAATTTAGGATAATTTTTTTTAGAATTAGTAGGGCCCTTTTTATAAAGCTCATTTCAGAAAAAATCTAGGATGGTCGAGGCCCAATTGTCACAATTCCAAGGTAGTTTTTGAACACTTGTAGACCAGCTGTGGAATATGAAAATCTATGTCTGTCAAAATTAGTTTTCCGAGTTTTTCAGGTCAAAAATGATGAAAAATCGAGATTTTTGAAGTTTCTGGAGTGATTTCTGATGAAAATAAGTTTCGAGAACCCTATTTCACCTGATTTTATTGATTTTTTCGAAATTCATCAAAATTTAAATTTTTACGAAAAATCAGCAAAAACTTCTGAATGCCGATTTTCATCAGAAATCACTCCAGAAGCTTCAAAAATATCGATTTGTCATCATTTTTGGCTGAAAAACTTTTTTCGACATTTTTTGAATTTTCCTGAATCAGCCCTAATCAGATTCCAAAGGTACTGTAGAAAATTGTGCCAAAAAGTTCCAAAAAATTGGATCACCCGGGTTACTGTGGAAAAAAGCATTCTTCTAGTCTGGAATTTTGTGCTGAAAATCAATATTTTCATGATTTTTAGCACAAAATTTCGGGGTTTTCTACAGTACCTTAGTCCAAGGAATATGAAAATCTTTGGAATTTTTTCTGAACGCTCTGTGAATTTCAGGTCATCTGAAAAATGCTCTGAAATCTTATTCCACATCCAAAATCAGGTCAGCCGATTTTCGAATTCAAATCCAAACCAAAAATATTTTTGAATAGACATAGACCACCCATTAAAAGGTCAACGATTTCGAAAATCTCATAAAATGTTTTTGTGGCTTTTTTTGGATCTAACCTTGATTGTATGTATACCTTTTCCCTTTTACTGTGAGAATGATGATTTGAATTTATTTATGAAAATGAAAATACCAGCATTTTCGAGGTCGCTTGTTTTGTTTCTACACATTTTCACTTTCATATTACTTTCGAATTATGAATATATGTATTTGAAACAGGAAATTTTTGCTTGCTCGAATATTTTTATTGTGAGCACACACAAAACTATAAAAAGGCAATTTGATCGTTTTCAAAAACAAACAAAAAATGCCCTTTTTTTTGCTTGGTTTTGAATTTCATTTGATTTTTTTGTAGTTAGAAAAAATTTGTTTCTACTGAACAATTTTTGCTGCTTGCGTTTCGATAAATCCCCCAAAATATTCTAGTTTCATTCAACGATTTATTGGCGAGAAAAGAGAAATCAAGTCATTTGCTGTCTTTTTTGTATATTTATTTATTTGCATTTCAATTTTCGTTCCTTTTGTATTTTATTTGGAATGGGAATGTGAATGTGTTGGCTTGAAACTTGTCACATTTTTTTTTGTGATTCTGATGCATTTTTGTTTGATAGAATATAAACAAAGAGAATTTTCCTTTGTTTTGTGAAGAGATAATTTGAGCTAATTTAGAAAATGTACTTCTCAAAAATTCTTTAATTTATTTTTGAAAGGGTTTTTGGGGGCTTGGAATTTATTTCTAAAAAAAATTTATAGGTCCAAGTGAGCAAGTTTTAGAGCTCCAAAAATCGGACGAAAAAAAGTTCCGCTAAATTTTGAGCCTGAATTTGATTTGTTCTAATTACATGAAAAAATCAATATTAAAATTTCATTTAAATTTTCTTGAGCAAACATTTTTTAACATAATCAGAAGCTATTTTTTGAAAAAACATTTTTTGGGCGAAATTCTTGAAGACTTTCTGTAACTTGACTTTAGATTTTAAATTTTGAAACTAATTTCCATCCGGTTTTTTCAAAATAGAAAGTTCCCCTTTAATTTTCCGAATCGAAACAAAAAAAAGTTAATTCAAGCTAATTTGAATGAATTAAAAATCAATTTTTCATCCTCATTTTTCATTTTCCAAAAATACCGGAACTGAAGGCTTGATCAGAAAAAGTTCCGCTAACTTTTGAGCCCAAATTTGGTCTGGTTAATTTTTAAAAAGTAGGGGAAGTTGGAGCTTTTTTTCCAGAAATCGTAGCTCAAAAATTTTCAGAAAATACATTTTTACCCGAAATTTTCAACTTTCGAGCCCTAAAATTTGACCAATTTTCATCCGGTTTTTTTTTCAAACTAAAAAAGTTTCCCTTTCCTTTTTCGAATCCAAAACAAAAAAAATAAAACTGAAGGCTTGATCAGAAAAGTTTCGCTAACTTTCGAGCCCAAATTTGGTCTGGTTAATTTTTGAAAAGGATAAGTTGGAGCTTTTTTTTCCAGAAATCGTGTCTCAAAAAGTTTCTGAAAATAGATTTTAACGCGAAATTTTCAACTCTAAAATTTGACCAATTTTAATTTTTTTCAAACTAAAAAAGTTCCTCTTTCCATCCGAAACAAAAAAAATAATTCGAGCTAATTTGAATGAATTTTCCAAAAATAAATTTTTCCCATTCTTTCGTCAAGTATTCAAAAAAGTTATTATAACTATCCAGTATCTATTTCCTCGATCTCAATTTGCTCCTTCTTCCTCTTTTTCCTCTTCCAAAATGTCTTCTCAACCATAAAATATTCGGTTTTCAACTGCTTCGACATATGTTTGTTATAATAATAATAACCAAATAAATAAATAAATCTTTGAACCCCAAAAAGGCGAAAAAGAGGAGCGATTTGTGTTTATTTTTGGAATTTTCTTGCTTCTGTTCACTTTTTGTTTATTTTTGTTCCTTTTTTCTTGGAATTTAGTTCAACTCGGAAAATTTTCTCTGGACAAAAATCATCTATTTTTTGCTCATGCAACCAACAGTTGCTCATATCAAGTTGGACTCGGCGGGCGTTTTTTTTGTGTGTGAAAACGCTGAGCTCAAGAATTATATTTTTGAGATTTTTGAACTCGAAAAAAAAATTTTGTTGTTTGACGTAAGAAGTTTTTCAGCAAGATACAATTTCATGATGTTTTTTTTGTTGGAAAAAAATTGTTGTTGTTTTTTCCGGAAACATTTTAGTTCGCTCATTTTTTTGACCAGAAATATATACATTTACTCTATAACAGTGTCTAGTCGTCTGGACTCTCTCAGCTCCTCTGCGTCTCTAACCTTACTGATGAATCCTCCTAGTTCAATTAATTTTGTAAAACTTCTGTGAGTGCCACGTGGATTTTTCAAATGAAAAAATTCCCACGCTCTCTAGCCGTCTGAACTCTCTCATATTTGTGTTTATATTAGCTAGCTGTATTGGTTTCTCTAGCTCTTCTGCGTCTCTAACCTTACTGATGAGTCCCCCTGGTTCAATTAATTTTCAAAAAACGTAGATTTTTTGGTGCCACGTGGATTTTTCAAATGAAAAAATTCCCATGCTCTATAATTCTCTCTAGCCGTCTGAACTCTCTCTCTCTCTCACATTCACATATTCTCTAACTGCATAGGTTTCTCTAGCTCCTCTACGTCTCTAACCTTCCTGATGAATCCTCCTAGTTCAATTACTTTTGTAAAACTTTGTGAGTGCCACGTGAATTTTTCAAATCAAAATTCCCTTGCTCTATAATTCTCTCTAGCCGTCTGAGCTCTCTCACATTTACATTACCTCTAACTGCATTGGTTTCTCTAGCTCCTCTGCGTCTCTAACCTTACTGATAAATTGTAGTTACAAAGCTATAAAACCCACGTGGCGAAAATTGGTGCCACGTGGAATTTTTTGGACTCAAAATTCGAAAAATTCGGCATCAGCTCAAAGGTTTTCTGAACTTTTTTTTTCGAAAAAAAAAAATCCACGCCAATTTTTTATTTTTCAAAATTAACAACGTGGATTCGCAAAAATTCAACCACGTGGCAAAATTAATTTTCAGCACCGGCTTTTCCTGAAAATCTAGGCTGCAAATTTGCCACGTGGATTTTTTTCTTTCAATTTTTATCTAGTTAGCCTAACTTGAAATAGTTCCGCCATGTGAAATCCAGCTGTGTTCAATCTTTTGATCTCCGGATTTATTAGCATAATTTTTTTCGATTTAAAATCAAACCATGCCTAAACTTGAGACCAGTGACCAATCCCATAAAGTGCTTATTCCTTTCATTTTTTTCGTCGCGTCAAGTGGGCATTTTCTTGTTTTTTCTGCTTTTCTGTATCACGTTATCGGCTCAAAAGACCGCGCAGCAGCATATAAATTATTTGCTTTTCTCCTGCCTTTTCCGGTCGTTTTTCTGACAGCCTTAAGGCTTTCTTCCTCCTTCCAACCAGATGTGTTGATGTCGTGAATTTGGTACCTGTCTGAACATGTGTTTTTATCATCTGTTCACGTTGATTTTTATGTATTTTGTTCTTTTTTTACTTTGACGAGTGGTCTTTTCTTGTTTTCAGAAATGAAATCAGATGTTTTTCAGCTTTTACCTGAAATCGAATGTATCATCTTTTATTTTTCCCAGAAACAAAACATTTTTTCAATCGATTTCCAGTTTTTTCAGAATTTTTTCTTCCAACATTCAATTTTCGCCTTTTTGAGAAGCCATAAAAATAATTACATGGCAAAAACGAATGTTTACTTTGAACATTTTTTTTTGAAAATTGCAAAAAAGATGGTCATTTTTCAATTTTCGCACATGTGTCAAATAAGAGAGAAACTTTTTTTTTGGAAAATATTTTTTGATCTACTTTTTGGGTCGTTTTGCAGTTTGATTTTTAATCTTTTAGTTATTTTTAAAGTCAGAATTGATGACAAATTGAGATTTTTGAAGTTTCTGGAGTGATTTCTGATGAAAATTGACCTTCAGAAGTTTTTGCTGATTTTTCTTGAAATAAAAAAATTAAAACTTGTTCTCGAAGCTTATTTTCATTAGAAATCACTCCAGAAGCTTCAAAAATATCGATTTGTCATCATTTTTTGACTGAAAATTTCGAAACAATGTTTTTTCGACATTTTTTGACTTTTCGTGAATTGAACTTCCGATGTTAAAAAATAAGTTACATTTTTTTTTCGTTCGTGAATCAGCCCTGGTCAAATTTGGTGGCGTACTGTACTGTAGATTAATTTGTCTGCAAACACCACACACCTCTTATTTCATGATACTTATATTGTTTTCGAAAACTAGCTTCAGGACCAGAATTAACTTCTGTTTTCCAATAAAAACCAATATACATTTTTGCAGCTCTTCTCCCGATCTTCACAATCACATCAACAATCTCCTCTCAATCGAGAAACGAATCAGTCGATTAGGTGAAAGCAGCCCGAACTTGTCGAAACTTCATCATACACACACGCAATTGTCATTAGGTGAGTTTGGTTTTGGGCTCACGGTACTTCAGAATTTTTGTTCTGAAATTGAAGAAGATCCAATTCAAACATCCATAAAATCAGTAAAAACTTTATGTGAGACCAAAAATCTCTTTAGAAAAAAAAATCAAATTAAAAATTTATGACAATCTGAATCTGCATTTGAAGTTTTCCTTCTATTTTTTTCTAGTTCCTCCTTGATTTTCCACCAGTTTTTTTTCTTTTTTTTCAAATTATAAATGAACTTTTATCATGTCAAAAGTCATCAGTCAGTCAGAAATTAATCACAGTCGGTGAACATCAAAGATATTTCAAAAATGTCACTAATTTTTTGTGTAAATAATGACTTGGACTATATTTTTGAGGAATGTTTTTGATGTTTGCAAAAATTTGCAGGATTACCCAACAAAATGTCGACATCGAATTCGGCGGCTGCACACGATTTCTTCTCAAGTACGGAATATTGTCAATACCAAACGAGTCGCGATGATATTGGTTAGTTTTGTTTTATTTTTTGGGGAGGCTTTTGAAAATTTTCGAAGTTGAAGTTCTAGAAATTTTAAGTTTGGTGGATCAGGGAATTTTTCGTGCATTTTTCAGAGTTTTGAAAAAATTTCCAACGCGCCTTGAGATATTCTATGGCAAGTAGCCGAGCCTAGAGAACTTAAACGTCTAGGACCGGCGTCTAGCCATTAACTCTGGCAAGAAGCAGCGCCTTGAGAGAATCTATGCCAAGTAGCCGAGCCTAGAGAACCTAATCGTCTAGGACTCGCTTCTAGCCATGCACTCTGGCGTGAAGCCGCGCCTTGAAAGCTTCTATGTCAAGTTGCCAAGCCTAGAGAGCCCAATTGTCTAGAACCCGCGTCTAGGGAGACACTTTGGCAAGAAGCCGCACCTTTAGAGATTGTATGTCAAGTAGCCGAGCCTAGAAAACCTAATTTTCTAGGACCGGCACCTAGAGATCCACTCTGCCAAGATGCCGCGCCTTGAGAGATTCCATGTCAATCAGCCGAGCCTAGAAAACCTAATTGCCTAGGAGCGGCGTCTAGAATTCCACTCTCACAAGGAGCCGCACCTTGAGAGTCCATATGCCAAGTAGTCAAGTCGAGAAATCCTGGTTGCCACGTAGCTGCACCTAGAGAACTCAATTGTCTAGGGTCCGCGCCTAAAAAGTCTAGTTCTCAAGTAGCCTCGTCAAAAAAAATAATTTTCATCAATTTTTTCTCATTACCCCATCCATTGCTAAAAAAAACGGAAAAATTCAATTATTTTTCATTCTCGCAATTAAATTTTCATTTCTCATCATAACATTTTTTCCAACATTTTTTTGTATGAGAAGTTCATTTCCACTTGACTCAAACGCCTATAAGATGAAGAAGCAGCGACGAAAAAAACCAAAGAAAACAAATAATTTGGTCGGCTTATCGTGTGACCCCCCTGTCATTTAGATACATAATAATTTGTTTTAGAAAAACCCCCCAACGGCTTTTTCTTTTTCTTTTTTTTGTTTATTTGAAAAGCAGCAAAAAACTTGTGATAAGTGGGGAGCAAAAGAGTACTGTATCCAAAAAATTTTTTTGGAGAAAACATGACGTGGGAAAATGATATAAAATGAATATAAAAGGCCAAAATTATGCTTATTTTCTCTTTCCTTTTTTTTCTTTTGTGACATTTTTTGACGATTTTTTTCCAACTGACTCTTCTGGATTCAGAGCTGAAAACCCAGGCTTCAGCTTGGCCGCTTAGGCTCGGACTTTTAGGCTTCTGGACTTGGGCCAAGGTTTTTTCGCCCCAACTTGTTTCTCTCTCGCTCTATTTGCACAAATAGCTAAGAAACATTGGAAAACAATTTGCGCCCCACAGTTTTTTTTTCTCATTTTCGGCCTGTATCTGTACAATTTCCAGTTTTCGCTCCGTTTTTTTTGTTGTTGGCTTACTTTGACCATATTTGTTGTACACACATTTTTTTTTGGCGGATTAACGGATCAAGATATTCTGGTCTTTCGCTCTGCAGTGTTTTTTTCTCGCGCGCGCTGTGTCAAATTCAATTTTCGACATCTCTGCTTTTATAGAAAAAGCAGATTTTGATGACGTATTCATGTAGTTTTTTTTGCTGGAAAAGTTTTGCCAAGTAGCCGAGCCTTGAGAACATAATTATCTTGGAGAGGCGCCTAGAGATTCTCTTTGGCAAGTAGCCGCGCCTACAGAACACACTTCTCTCGATCAGACACCTAGAGGTCCACTGCCGCAAAGAGTCGCACCTTGGGAGGTTATATGCCAAGTAGTCGCGACCTGAGAGCGTATATGCTGAGTAGCCGTGCCTAGTTATCCTAGTTCTCAAGTATCCGATCCTAGAGAACAGACTTGTCTCGATCAGGTGCCTAGAGATCCACTTTCACAAGGAGTCGCGCCTTGAGAACCTAGTTATCAAGTAGCCGAGCCTAGAGAACCTAGTTATCAAGTAGCCGAGCCTAGAGAACCTAATTGTCTAGTACCAGCTCCTAGCCATTCACTCTGACAAGAAGCCGCACCTTGAGAGATCTCATGCCAAGCAACCGCGCCTAGATACCATCATTCTCAAGCAGCCGCGCCTAGAGAGCAAACTTGTCTGGGGCCATCGCCTAGAGATCCACTTTCACAAGTAGCCGCACCTTCAGAGATCTCATGCCAAGCAACCGCGCCTAGAAGTCCTATTTGTCAAGTAGCTGGGCCTAGAGTCTAAATTTCAATTTTTCCTAGAATTATTTTTGGATTTGAGGCCAATAAATTTTCAAAAATAGTTTTATTCAGATTCTAGACTGTAGTTTATCCATCCAAATTTTTCGTTCATAGGACCTAAATGATCCATTAAAAAATTGGATCATCTTTGAAATTTTCTCAAAATTTTGGTCCGATTTTGTATCAAAATATGTGTTTTTTCCCGAAAAACGCAACATTTTTTGAAAAAAACAGGTTCTTTAGTTCAAACATTGGGTTTCGAACAACAATTCTCCTGAAATAACTTTTTCTTTGCTCAACCCGATACAAAAAACATTTTAATCCGAAACTCTAATAAAACCCAACCAGTTGTTGATTATTATCATCACGTTGTACTTAGTTTTCTTCTCTTTCTTTTTTCGTCCCACCGATATTTACCTATCAACTTGAGATACCAATTTGCCCCACCTTTTTTTCTTCTCTTGGAAGCACATTGTTATCTCTACTATACTAGTTAGAATTTTCGAATTTCCCGTGTGTCGAGCCAAAATTATTGTCCTCAAAACAATTGTCATGTTTATTATTCTATCGCTAATTGACTTATGGTCATGGCTTGTTACTTTTAAGGACATTTCTTTGACGCTATTTCGACAACAAGGTTTGTGATTGGGATTTAAGATGCATCTTCTTAACAGTTGGATTTTCTAGGCGCTAATCCTTGACAAATATTATTTCTAGGCGCGTCGCCTTGACAGAGTGAATCTCTAGATGCGGGTCCTATACAATAAATGTTCTGTAGGCTCGGCTGCTAGGTTTTCACGACGCGGTTACTTGAAGCTCTCGGTCGCTGCTCCTTGCCATAGTGAATCTCTAGGCGCTCATCCTTGACAACTAGGCTTTCTAGGCTTGGCTATTTGACAAACTAGCTCTGAAGGGGCATCCACCAGTCAAAAATTAATTCTCGGATTGTGAAATTTTTTGAAAACATTTTTTTTCAGAAATTAATTTTCGTGTGTGAGAAAAAAATGAGACAAAATATATTTATTTTTTCAAACAAAAATTGTTGGGACCTTTTTTCAATTTTATCCCTCGTTTTTTTCGTTTCATAAATTTTGTGTGTGTATCTGTTGGCCACAAATATCACAGGGCACCTGTTCGAATCACGAAATTTACTATAGTTTTTTTTTTCGCCCCGCTCGCTATCTTTTCAAAAATAATCACAACAGTTGACCTCGGTGTTCCTCCCCGGATTTTTTTCGAGAAACGAAAATAGAGCAAGCCAACATGGTTTATGAATTGAGTTTTCTAGTTTGCGCGGATTCAGGTTTGTTATGACGGGGGAGAGGGGATTTTTGAAGATCTGAAACAGGGCCGAGAGATCAGACTTATTTTGGACTGCTCAAATTGCCTAAAGCCTGAGCCCGGAAGCTTCAGAAAATGTATCCAGTTTTTCAGACCCGAATCAGAATCTTATTGAACAAAATCCAAAATGTTCCAGGCTCCTAAAATCCAAGTTTGGTTATGCTAAGGTCCGTAAAGCCCAACCAGAATTAGGGTCTGGGGAAACCGAAAGTAGGCTTAACATTAAGCCTAACCGAAAATCCTGGCTCACGATTAGGCTTCTCTAAAACTTTAGGCTTAGCTAATTTTTTAGGCCTTAGGCTTTTCCAAAACTTTAGGCTTAGGCTTACAATTAGAAAAATGGTTAAGCTTAGCTGAATTTTAAAGCCTTAGGCTTGGCCAAAACTTTAGGCCTAGACATCACTAAAATCCCTGGCTAGGCTTTAGGCTTTTCCAAAACTTTAGGCTTAGGCTTGGCCAAAATGTTAGGCTAAGGTTTAACCAAAGTCTGAAACCTTGTGCTCGACTAAAATTTCAGTTAGCGAAATTTCAGGATTTTTGGCATCCCTGAAAAAATTTTCATATGAAATCGATATATAAATTCATCTCATATAAGTAATTTATTATTCCATCCCCAAAATAATTTTGGCTAATATTTTATTCTCGTTCGGAAAAATGAAAAGACGAGACTATTTCATCTCTCTCTCATTTTACGGCCTATTTAGCATGAATAAAAAGAGGTTAGTACATAGTATGATTTCGCTTTTTTTGGGGCGAAGAAGAGGCCGTGTATTATATATTTTTGTTTATTTTTTGTCTCTTCATCTTCACAATCTTGTGAAAAATAAATGAAATTCGAGAAATTACATTTCCTGAATGGGAAGAAAATGTTTTTAGGTCCCCCTTTTTCTCCATGAATTTTAAATTTCCTCCTTTGCTTTCTGAAATTTATTTTTGTATGTGAAAAACAAAGACACTTGTGGTTGTGTTTTCGACGAAAATAAAGTGCTTGAAAAATCTCATTTCACACTAAAATGTACAATTTTTCCCGCAATTTTTCTCGAATTTTGCAGATTCGTTCAACGGAAATTCGAAACAACTCCTTCAATCCGAGCCAATCCAAGCGGCTTTTCGAAAATCACGAAAAGATGATAGTAGATTAGACGAAACGACAACAACTCCGACATCGACGAAAAGAAATTTGAAATATTCGCAAAGTTCGAGACGAAAATTGGAAACATCGGCACAGAAACAGGAACAACAAGCACATCATAGGTTTGGGTTTTTTTCAAATTGAAATTAGCTAAAATCAAGGTTCTCAAGCAGGCGCGCCTAGATATCAAGGTTCTCAAGCAGCCGCGCCTAGAGAGCCTTCTTGTCTAACATTGGGGCCTATAAGTGCATTATGGCAAGCAGTCGCGCCTAGAGATCGAGGTTCTCAAGAAGCCGCGCCTAGAGAGCCTTCTTGTCTAACATTGGGGCCTATAAGTGCATTATGGCAAGCAGTCGCGCCTAGAGATCGAGGTTCTCAAGAAGCCGCGCCTAGAGAGCCTTCTTGTCTAACATTGGGGCCTATAAGTGCATTATGGCAAGCAGTCGCGCCTAGAGATCGAGGTTCTCAAGAAGCCGCGCCTAGAGAGCCTTCTTGTCTAACCCTGGGGCCTATAAGTGCATTATGGCAAGCAGTCGCGCCTAGAGATCGAGGTTCTCAAGAAGCCGCGCCTAGAGAGCCTTCTTGTCTAACCCTGGGGCCTATAAGTGCATTATGGCAAGCAGTCGCGCCTAGAGATCGAGGTTCTCAAGAAGCCGCGCCGTGAGATCAAGGTTCTCAAGAAGCCGCGCCCAGAGAGCAAGGTTTTCAAGGAACCGCGCCTAGAGATCGAGATTCTCAAGCAGCCGCGCCTAGACAGTCTGATTGTAAGAAAGTTGCGTCTAGGAAGCGATAGCTAGCTTTTTAAGAAATTTATAAACTCCTGGCGACCCGAAAATTAGTTATGACGTGGCATTTAAGAATGTTGAAAAAACCAAAAAAGTTGTCAAAGTTGTACCTGAAAAACAGTATTCTAAAAGTCGTGCCACGTCATAACTATTTTTCCACTTCTCTAGAATTCCTAGAATAATTATCAACAGACAAAAACAGAAAAAAATCTCAAAAATGTATTTTTTCCGATCTTGATGAATTTTTCATCTAAAACCACTAATTATTCTCGTCTCTGCACAATTTTTCACTCCATTTTTTTCCCTGTTTTCTCCTATTGATTTCACAGTGTAAAAGAATTTTGACCACTTGTTTTTTCTGTTTTTTTTTCTACGGAAAAGTGCAGCATTTTTCACTTGTTTTTGAAACCCGAAACTATTATCGAATTTCATTTTTTTTTTCTTCTTGACGTGCAAAAGTGCAAAAATGTTTTATTTTTTGTGTGGCGCCAGCCAGAAGTTTTTTTTGTCTGAAAAAAAGAGAAAATTAGGAACTGATAACGAAATTGTGGCATCATTTTTTGTTTGTGAGCTAATTATTATTTAAAAAAATTTGAAATGAAGTTGAAAAGGTTAGTTCTGGCGCGGTTACTTGAGAACTTGATTGCCTAGGCGTGGCTGCTTGGAATAGGAGCTCTCAAAGCGCGGCTCCTTGTCAGAGTTGATCTCTCGATGTGGCGCCTTGAAAATTTGTTCTGTAGGCGCGGCTGCTTGGCATAGGAGCTCTCAAGGTACTGCTCCTTGTCAGAGTTGAATTCTAGAAGCCGATCCTTGAAAATTGATATTTCTAGACGCGGCTACTTGGTGTAGAGTTTCTGAAGGCGCTGCTTCTTGTCAGAGTTGATCTCTCGATGCGGCTCCTTGAAAATTCGGTTCTTAAGGCGAGCTTACTTGAGAACTAGGGTCTCAAGGCGCTGCCTCTTGCCAGAGTGGAAATCTAGACACCGTTTCGAGACAATAAGATTCTTTAGGCGCGCTTGCTTGATAACGAGGTTGTCTAGGCGCGGCTGCTTGGAATAGGAGCTCTCAAGGTGCTGCCTCTTGTCAGAGTTGAAGTCTAGACGCCGTTCCTAGACTATCAGGTTCTGTAGGAGCGGCTACTAGACATAGAAGCTCTAGGGACACTAATAAAATTAATGTGTTAAAAATTTTCCAAAAAATATTTTCCAGATCCCACAGCGCTGGTCCACACACTGCTTATTCAACAAACTCGAATCTCTGTGCCTCAACATCCGAAATGAACCGATTAACCACCACCAACAACGCCACCACCAACACCAAATTCCTGCGAGCCACCAAAAGATTTTTCAAAAAAATCTACTCGTCAGCAACGTTGCCCAAAAAACAAACGAGCACATCGGTGGAGAATTTTCAAAAATCCAGTGTGTTTTTTGATGAAAGAAAATGTATCCCGGTACAACCGGAAGCCGAAGAAGATGATGAGAAAAGTTATCGAACCCGTGAAGATGATTATGATGATGATGATGATACGATGAGATCTGAAAATGCTACAATGGATATTAGTTATCCGGATAGTGGATTTGAAATGGATCGGTTGGTTTTTTGGGGGCTGAATTTTGTCGGGTCAGGCTTAGGCTTAGTTTTCTGCCAGAAAATCTGACGTTTTTTGGCTGAGAGAATTTCAAAAAAATCTCAAAATTATCCAAAATTCATGGTTTTTGGTACCAAATTTTCCGAATTTTGGATTAAAAATGCAACGTGGCAGAAAATATTCAAAAGTTATTTTTATTAGCTCACAATTTGAAAAAAAAAGTGAAAATTTAAAAAACTCTGGTGATCACAAATTTCTGATAAAACTTCAATACTCAAAATGAGTGACTTTTGAAACCTGATTTTTAGGATATCTGAATTTTGTCGGGCCAGGCTTAGGCTTAGTTTTCTGCCAGAAAATCAGATGTTTTTTGGCTGAAATTCAGATTTTTAAAAATTTTGAAAGAAGCTGAAACTGAGTTTCAAAATAATTTTTCAAAAATTTTTCCAAAAAATCTGAATCGCACTTTTTTCCAGAATTTTTGTCTGAAATTCAGAATTTTAAAAGAAGCTGAAACCTAGTTTCAAAATAATTTTTCAAAAATTTTCCAGAAAATCTCTGAATCGCACTTTTTTCCGGAATTTTTGGTTGAAATTCAGATTTTTAAAAATTTTGAAGAATCTAGTTTCAAAATAATTTTTTAAAATTTTCCCAGAAAATCGCACTTTGCTCCGGAATTTTTGTCTGAAATTCAGATTTTTAAAAATTTTGAAAGAAGCTGAAACTGAGTTTCAAAATAATTTTTTTTTAGAATTTTTCCAGAAAATCTTTGAATCCAGAATTTTCATCTGAAATTCAGAATTTCAAAGATTTTGAAGAACTTAGTTTCAAAACAATTTTTAAAATTTTTTCCAGAAAATTTCTGAATTGCACTTTGCTCCAGAATTTTTGGCTGAAATTCAAATTTTCCTGATTTTTTCAATACAAACCCCGGGAAATAATTCAAATTTAAATTCTATTTTTTCCAGAGCTTCAACTCCTGAACAATCATCTGTTTCAATGACTTCAACTTCGAAAAGTGATGAAAATTCACTTCCAATGAATTTCAACAATCTTTTCGAGCATTTGAAGAGAGAAATGGTGAGCTCAGCTCTCCCAAAATTTTCCAAACCCATAATTTTCCAGGCTGAAATGCGTGAACGTGACGCGCAAATTCTGGCCGATCTACAACGTGTCGAAACGCAAATCCAAACCGTAAAACAAGCGCAAATTTTGGCGCAACTTCAAGATGAATTTGAACCCGTCGAAAGTATGCAACTCTAAAATATTTTAATATCAATAATTATTCGCAACTACTTGTCTGTTTTTATCCGGTTTATTCTAGTCTTTATCTTTTATTTCTTTTTTCGCGGGTCTCAAATCTCATCTCCTTTTTTCATGTAAATATTTTCTTTTTTTGTATTTCTCACCCCCCAAAAAGTCTCTAGAAATGTTCATTTTATGGAAAGAACTATTGAAAAAAGAGACGAAAATGAAGTATTATTTTATTACTGATTATAATAGGATCTGAAAGGTTGATAGAAGGGCGTGAAAGATGGTTGAGAAAATTGAACTTGTTGATTCAACCATCGCGGATCCATTTGTGGCCATTTATCTTGGGGTAACGACGATGGAAATACTTCCAACGCTGTGAATGAACTTTGACGATCGGACATTGGTTGCGAATCGACGGTGATTGGTTCCTTGGAGGCGGCCGGGATGTTTTGCCGGGAATAGTAGAGAGGGCGGATTTCGTCGGGTTGAAGGAGGAGAAATGGGGCGAAGATTGGGGCGAGAAGATGGGCGACTAGTCGATCGATGTTCTGAATTGGGAAATTTTATTCAGAAATTTGAATTTTTGAAAAAAATTCGGAAAATTTGAGCCAAAACTGTTGAATCTTGGATAATTTTGAGATTTTTTGAAAAATTCTGAATGAAAAAATTCTCTGCAGGCACCAGGAATCGATCCCCTGACCTACTGAACGCAAAAAAACAGTATTTTTTTTAATTTTCAGAATTACTGTAGAATTTTTTTCCAAAATTTAGGTGAATATATTTTGTTCAGAATTACTGTAGGATTTTTTTCTCAGAATTACTGTAAAAATTTTTTCCAAAATTTAGGTGAATATATTTTGTTCAGAATTACTGTAGAATTTTTTTCTCAGAATTACTGTAGAATTTTTTTCAGATTACTGTAGAATTTTTTTTCAGAATTACTGTAGGATTTTTTTTCAGAATCACTGTAGAATTTTTTTTCCAAAATTTAGGTGAATATATTTTTTTCTGAAATTTCTAGCACGATGTGTACTCACAATCTGGAGATAAAAAAAACACCGTGAACTCAGAATTCCAAAAAATTTGAACACTACAGTAATCTGTTAGAAAAATATTTTGAAAGTTTTTCCACGTCACAGTTCAGTTAAAAATTTTCTCTCTACAGTACTTTTTCTAGGTGATTCAAGTTGAAAAAAAATTTTTTTTTTGTCAAAAAACTATATTTTTCCTATTTTTTGACATTTTTTTCCACAAAAAATGAAAAAAATATAGGAAAAAAATAGTTTTTTTGCTGAATCGAATTTTTTTCACCCCATAACTCACCGATTTCAATTGCGAATATCTGATTTTCAACCCATTTCTGAATCGATATTTGATCCGATCAACTTTCTCAAGTTGAACCGGATCACCATTTTGCTCGACGATATTCTGAACCGGTTGGAATCGCATCACATAGAGGATTAGACGACGACGAAGCTGCAAATATTATTTTTTTTTCATTTTTTCACATGTAGATAGCCTAACTCACATCTCCATTCAACTTCCTTCCATTTTTCAAATAAGTTTCGACGAGGTTTTGCGATTCAATATTTAATTGATCAAGTTTTCTATCAATCGGACTATTCTCTTCATCTTCGAATGGGTTTGGAGGTGGAGGTGATGTTGAAGTGGGCCTCTCGATTATTGAATTGGGAACTTCAGGGAATGGCATCATTGGGATTGGGGTAGGAAACGATTCAGTAGATGTAGATGTTGAAACAGGTGTGGAGGTAATAGATATTTCCTCAACCTCTTCAGATGTCTCGATTGAGTTTTGGCCATCGGCAATTTTTGAAAATGAAGTTATAAAGACAAATAAAATCAATTGTTTCATCTGAAAACCACAAAACTTTTCAAGAAAACAAAATAAATAAAACAAAAAACTTTGAAGAGAAGATTACCCTTCTAAAAACAATTTTGTTGTGTTGTCTTGGTATTCTGAATGAATTCAAGGCTACTTTTCTTATGGCCACCTGAAAAAACATAAGCGGTTTATTTTTATACTCTCCTCATTTTTTCTTGACTCTTGACCGTGTTTATAATTGCCGCCCTTGTGGTTTTGGACTGTTTGTGGTGTTGAACGCTTTTTTTCCGGCGGAAATGGAAATGGAATTTTGAATTTGACATTGAGAAATATCGGATTATTTTTCGGATCTTTTTGAAATTCATTCACAACGAAAAAAAACTTTATTCAGGAATTTCACAGGCCTGTGAAAAATTCTCGACACCGATTTGTCCAAAATATAAATTTTCCTGCATGAAAGTTTCGAAGGCAGATGCGCGGCACATTCCGAATTTCAAATTATTTTCATTGCAGAATGAAACATCGGCTGATCTATTGAAACCATTGAAGAGAACTCGGATGAAGAGACCTTCTTCGGAATGTTCGTAGATCTGAAAATATTTTTGGTTAGCTTTGGAAATGAGTTTTGAAGGTGTATTTAACAGTTCTTCTTGAAAAACTCGCAGAAATCTCTTCCTCATAAAAAGCGAAACACTGAAAATTTGGCGTCACATCAAGTGTTTCGATGTGTGCAAACACCGCTTCGTTTTTTTTTTCAAAAAAAAAAATCAAGAGAAAGGATAACATAAAAAGTATAACAATTGGGAACCCTGAGATTCTCTCCAAATATTGGCACAAAATTAGAAAATTAATTGAATTTACAACGACACTCCGCTTGCCCGCTCTTTAGCGCAACACGTGAATATTTTCATTTTTCGTTTTTTTTTTCGCTGGGTTTTCAGGTTTCCGGGGAACATCGGTTGATTTAAGTCAAAAATTGCATTTTTTAGATGTTCTATAGGGCTGGAATTGAAAAACCAACGGAAAAACCGAGAATTATCGAAGAACGGTGGGTTTTTTCTAGAGAAAAACTGTTTCGATTGAAATGTTTGATTTTTCAGCTCGAAATATTGATGGGCAATTGGATTTCACTGTCAATAACGTGGAAAACTTGGAGGATTTTGGATTTCGATGATTTTTGTGAGATTTGAGAGATAGAAGCGATTGGTGAGTTTTTTTTGGGAGGGATTGCGGAAAGATTGAAAAAATCGATAAAAAATTCTATGAAATTTGAAAAATATATGTAAATCATGAAAAAATTGAAAAAAGTTAGGCTAACGCATCAAAATCTAGGCCCAAAAATCTATAAAAAATAAATTTGAAAAGCGCGGGGAACCACACACACACATACACCACGACGCACAATTACACACAACAAACATTTGCCAACTACAGTAGTTATGCTTGCATGCGAATCTTACTTCAAAAACCAATCTCGATGTATAATGTGGCGGATCAACAAACGGAATCCCAAGAACTCGAAGAAGCGGTGCGATCAAAACATCATGCCCCGAAAACACGCGAATATAATTTTTCTCCGATTTCACCCGCATTTTCTCCAACGCCATCTTCAAATAGGACAACACTGGCCAAGCTTCCAGCAAATGTAATCGTTTTGAAATTCCCGAAGAATTGTACATTTTTTGCCCGCGAAGTGTTGTGATATCAATTAACTTAAAACTTTTTTTACTGGAAATTTTTACGTTTCAATTAAATTGCAAACCTTGTTCAAATAATCGTTCGTCAAACATTTTTCATTTTTACATGGAAGTGGTTTCCTTCTACAAATATATTTTCCAAGTGCAACATCAATTATTTTAAAAGGATCGGAAGAACTTGAAAAATCATCGAAACTTTGGACAAATTCTGTTTCTTCTCGCAATATTCTATCGTTTTTCAATAAATTTTCGAAATATTCCAAATGTTGCTGAAAATCAAATGAATAAAAATTATAAAAATTTTAATGAATCCGGAAAAATTACCTGTTCATAATACTTGATTCTCATTTTCTTGGCAAGTTTACAATTACAAAATTGATCGACACATTGAAAAGAATGATTTGAGGCTTTGATTGTGATTGGTAGAAAATGATTTCGTTGTTTGAAAAAGAATTCAGATGAAAATGCGAGAACTGATTGAAAAGTTCGATTGTATTTTGATGTCACAATTCGAGTTTTCATATTTTCCATATCTAAAAAAAATGCAATTTTTCTCAAGATTTGGGGGAAAAAGTACCTTCTGTGAATAAACTTGATTTTGCGTACTGTTTTCTGAAAAATTTGCCAAGTTTTACATGTTGTAATGCGCCTTCTGCAGTCAGTTGTCCACTAGAACACTTTTCACTAAAAAAAATTTTTGTTGATCATCACAAAATTTCAAAAAAAAAAAACTCACTCCTCCGGAAACTTAGGCCATGTTGAAAGTGCTGGAACAACTTTCAAAAATGTCTGAAAATCTTCAGAATTCACCAATTCTTTATACTTCTCAAAGTTTTTCCGATCGATTTCTCGATGCGCGCGACAACCAATTTCATCATTGATTTTACTGAACGAAGATCTTTCGCCGTGTCGGAAAGAGACAAATAATCCACGTAGTTTGAATTTCTCTTCCAAGTTTTCGTTCTGAAAAAAATTGGAAAATTTTTTTATCCAGTTGACTTACTTTCAGCCATTCATCGCCTTCAATTCCTTCAATATCATTTTCTAAAAATTGGCACATTTCAGAAATATTTTCCTTCAGAACTTGACTATTCCCGAAATTCAGAAGAAAAACACCAAAAAATAGTTATAATCAGCCGCATTTTGATCTAAATATTAAAAAATTTCATTGTTGTATAAACATTGTCATATAAAAAATATCGATTATGTAATTTGAGATGGAAAAAAGTTGGCAAATTAAAATTTGATGATTTTTATTTTATCTAATGAAATCTTTAAATTCATGCGTTCATTAAAACCAAACCAAAAAAAAATTAAAAACTGTCCTTTCAAGATTTTCTCTTTTTCGCAGAAAGATTGTTATCAAATTGAATTATCGACTTCTTTTTCGAAGAAAACTGTCAGAAATGGGACGAAAACCGGTGGAGCTAACAAATTTGAGACGAGAAGTTCGAAATTCTGAAAAATTCTATCAGAAATATAATGTTGAATTTTTAAAAATACATACCTCTTTCAATAATGAATATCGAATTTTTAGAGCCCTTCTGAAACGATATTTGATTATGTAAACCTGAAAAAATTTTTTAATTAGTTTTTAAATTTTTATTTTGCTCACCTTTTCTTCAAAACTTGGATTATTTGATTGTTCAACTAGTTTTTCGATGGGCGAAAATTTGACAACAAATTGAACAAAACGATTTCGAAGCTGGAAATTCATGTTATTATTGAAAATTGGATTGACCTACCTCATTTGTAAAAATTTTATCATTTTTCTCAAAATCTTCTATCAAAATTCTGGCCTCCAGATTCAAATCATCCAAAATGCTCATATTTATAGTTTGATCAGCATCAGGAAATTCAGAATTCACGAAACTTGCAATCAAAAATATTAAAAATAATTTCATTTTTTTTAAAATTTGAAACTCAACCTTTTCTTTGAAGGTTTTTTTATATACTTTTTTGCTGATAAGAATAATGATTTATTATGTGAAGTTAATTGGAACCAATTAAATGAAATAAAAAGTGTAAAACTGGAAAAGTTTGAAATTTTGACAAAAATAATTATTTTCGATCTACCCGCTGAAAAAAATTAGACAGGAAAATAATTTTTCTGTGCCGCCCAAAATTTTCATTTTTTCCATTTTTTGTTTTCAGTACTTTTGGGTTATTGAAACTTTCCAGAGATTTTTGAAAATTTCCCTTTTCTCCCGATGTTCGGGGTACTGTAAACTGAAATGTGTGCAGTTTCTGCAAACACCGAAGCGTAGCCACGTGCAAATAATTTTTTTCATTTTCAGAAAAAATGGCGGTAAATTTTAATTTGACAAACACATGTTCTGTTCTTGGATCTGTCCAAAAAATATGTGATATCACTGGAGGAGATCATCTTCTCATTCAACTTGGAGATCTCTCTAGAGACGTTCTTAAAGTGGTTCTATCCAAATTCGGCAAAATATTACAATCTGAAACTGGTGGATTTTTGACTTCATCGCCGCAACCTTCGCCGTCAGCTACAGATGATATTGATACGAGTCAATCAATTATTGAAGAAGTGAGTTTAGAAAAATTGAAAAGTTTTGAAAAATCTCAATTTTTTGCAGGTTATTGCTGGTTTGGTGAATTCGACAGTAGAAAACCAACGTCAAGAACTCATAGATCGCCGGCTTCAAATCAAAAAAGAATCGTACGACAATCATATTCAACTATTACAGAAAGATTTGAAAGTTAGTTTTGAAATGAAAAACAAATGAAATTTTCCATGGAAAAACATAATTTTTTAGTTGATTGAGCAAATGATGTTGATTGATGGGACAAATTGTGTGTACAAACCTCCTGTGGAAATTTTGCCTTCTGAAAACATCCCAAGCACTTCACGAAATCAATTCAATTCAATTATAAATCGAGTTTCAAAAAATCCCGATGGAATTCAAGCGATGATTGATTTGTTTTCACATATTTCTTCATCAAATCTCTCCCCTGATCTGAATGTGGCGAAAAATAAAAATCAATCTCCAATTCAAGATGAATCACCAGTAAACATCAGAAAGCGTCTAAGGAATCATGATTCGAGAACACCGAAAAAATCAGCGATTCGAAAAATTGTCGAAGAACAACCTTCTTCTTCTTCTGGTTCTTCTTCTTCCCAAACAAATTTGAGGAATAATTCAACGGTGTCCAAAGAATTGATAGAAATAGTTTCGAATATGTCAGCACATGATGTTTGTAAAACAGAAGATGGTGTAACTTATGGACATAGACGTGGAAAAACTGTAAGTTTTGAAGTCGGATAACGATTTTTCTAGAAAAATTGAATTTTAAGGAATTTGTATGTTCAAAATGTGAATGGAAAACAACAACTCGTGCACTTCTTATTCTTCATTCATCAGAATCACATGGAATTGGAAAGGTATTTGAATTTTGGGATGATTCTTGAAAACTCTTTTAAATTTTTTAGACATATAAATGCGCAGATTGTGCAAAAGTTTATACAGTCCTTTCCAAATATCAAAAACATCGAGAAGATTTGTGTACCATGAAAAATGGTGTACCCCTACGAAAAAGAGCCAAATCTTGCGTCTCTTCATAATAGATTTTTTTTATTTTCAAAGTTTTATATAGCACGTTTTATAAATTTTTATGGTTTTGTCAGAAAAATATCAATAAGTAGTTTAAAATTGTTGAAGATTTCGAACAATTTCCTTGGCAATTTGATAATGAATAATTGTTGAAGGATTCCATAAATCATGAAAAGCATATCGGTAGATTTGCTGTGGACTGAAAATCTACAATTTTCAAAAAAAAGTCTCTTTTGACTTACACTAAATCGGGATTGTGATGTGTGAAAGGTTCAGAAACATTCAGTGATTGCATTGCTGCCAGAGCAATTGTATTTATATCAATTAATTTGACACGTAAAAATGGATTAAGGCGACGAGTTCCAAGATCATTATCAAGAACAATGTGGTGAAGTTGCTAGAATTTTTTTTCTAATTTTTAAATTAATTATTGCTCACTCTATTAGTTTCCGCGATTAATGATCCAAGACGTTCTTGAAGTGCTTCCGAATCTTCAGCCGCTTGAACTCCTGGACTATTCGAAACATCCAAAAGCGAAAGAATCACAAAAGTTCCCGAAGTCATTGTTTGTGTTATATTCTGAATAGTTAGCTGGATGTTCTCAACAACTTCGGAAGAATTTGTATCGCCAGAGAAGAAATCGATCGTACCACCGGTTTGAAGAATAACAAGGGGTTCTAAAATGGTTTTTTTTTTAAATTATGAAGAACCCAGCAGAGTTAACTCACCATCAGCTAGGAATTTGTTATTCGTCAGAAATTGATTGACTTGCCATTGAATTCCTTAAAAAATATAGTTGGACATGGAATAAACTATATTTTCAGGTTTTTTTCAACGAGTGAGTTGAAATATTGGGTTTTAAACGTATTCATAGGGTAGAATGGTCTAAGACGAACAGAATGATATAAATTTTGATGACTTTACGTTATCCATAAGTGATTTAGACTAAATATCGGCTAAACATCGCTAAATCACTTATGGATAACGTAAGCTCATCAAAATTGATATCATTCTGTCCGTCTTAGACGATTCTACCCTATGAATAAAATTAAAACCCAATATTTCAAATCACTTGCTTAAAATACTTGAAAATGTCATTTAGTACCTGAAAATGTGTCGAAATAAAAATTGCCGACTCCGGATTTTGCGCCACTATATGCGTAATTTGTATATCTCTCGCATTCAAGCATATTCGTCACATATTCCGACCAAACTTTGCCATTTGAGTTTCGAAGAAAACCGTGGCTTTCGCCTTCGGCTTCAACTCCATCGTCTGAAAGGCTGTCACCAAAAACAATCATTCGACCACATCGGAAATCTCGAGGCTAGAGAAATTGGGAAAAAATTGGATTTGTTTATAATTAAAAAATTGAAAATCTTACTCTGTGTAGAATTCTAGACTCGGAAAAACCAAAAATCACAAAAAATACAAAGAATCTCAACATTTTTTGAAACAAACCAATATTGAATGAATGAAGAAGGCATGGGCCGCCATTTTCAAATCAAATTTCCATTAACAGGTGCACAAATGTTGTGGCGGTCAAATACGAGTATTATTATTATTTGCTAGTATTTTTAGACTGTATTATTATTTTTTGTTTGATTTTGGTTGCGGCTGCGCGGAACCACGAAGCGGTATATATCTACCTAAAACGTGTCAACAATAGATAGGGAAGGAAAAAAAATATTTTTTATGTCAGAATAAAATTGAAACGATATTATGACGATGTTTTTTGGCGAGTTGTTTAATTGGAGTTAGGAGAAGTCTTAGGAGCACGTGACGATAACAATTGTGGACGAAAATCATGGAGATTGAGGATAGGGTTCCGTGAAAACAGATTGTTATTATGGCGAGATTGTTGAGGGCTGAAATTCTTTCAGCAGGGCTGATTTACGAACGAAAAAATGTTTTTTTCAATTCACGAAAAGTCAAAAAATGTCGAGTTTTTCAGTCAAAAATGATGACAAATCGAGATTTTTGAAGCTTCTGGAGTGATTTCTGATGAAAATTGACCTTCAGAAGTTTTTGCTGATTTTTCGTGAAATAAAAAAATTTCAAATTTTGATGGATTTCGAAAAAATTAAGTAAAATACGGTTCTCGAAGCTTATTTTCATCAGAAATCAATCCAGAAGCTCTGAGAACCGTATTTTATTCAGTTTTTTCGAAATTCATCAAAATTTGAAATTTTCTATTTTACGAAAAATCAGCAAAAAACTTCTGAAGGTCAATTTTCATCAGAAATCACTCCAGAAGCTTCAAAAATATCGATTTGTCATAATTTTTGGCTGAAAAACTCGAAAAACTAAATGTTTTTTGACATTTTTTGACTTTTCGTGAATCAACCCTAGAAAATTCTCCCTCACCCTGATTATGATAATGTGATAAACAAGATACTGCAATATAAACACACGGTATAAGAATAACCATAATTGGAATTGAAACTTGAAGACAAATCGCAAGAAAAAATGATTTTTGAAGTTTTCTTGTATGCGCTGATAGATTTAGGGCTTTGTGAAAATATAATCGTTGGAAGGTTGCCAAAACGAAAAATATTCCTTGAATACAAAATGCTAATGTTGTTGCGCTTATTAGAAATCCCATCAATTCAATGTCAAGGGAAAGAATGAATAGATTTTTGCTCTCGATTTTTGTGAGACATGGGAGAGACTTAAATTTAAAATTTTAAAATTCTGTTATTTTTTTCAAAAAAAATATATTCTTACATTAAATATTTGCTCGCTTGCCTCATTCTGATCTGGTAAATCCTTCAAAATAATCAATATAGAAATTGAGCCGATAAAAACATTTGAGACACTTATGATTAGACTATTTTTTAGTTTGTAAGTGTTATTTAATTGGCTAAATCTATTTTCGAGTAAACAAATGATAGATGCACTTGTAGCTATAAAAACAACAAGAGTGCTGAATATCTGAATTTCTTCTTTGACTTGAAAGAAACTGAAAAATCCCAAAGAATATCCAGAGATCGTTGGGAATAAAATAAATGGGGTTAATAAGATACCAATCTCAAAATCCAGAAGAGATGAACTACAAATTAGTTTAAAAAAGTTTTCTCCAAGTCTGATTACTCACCAAAAACTCAACAATAACATACAAATTCTCGCCGAATCGACGGATTTTGGAGTTTTAAAAATGATACAGTAAACTGCGAAGCAATTAATTGGAGTTGAAATTATCGAAAAATAATGCAACACATTTTTGTAGAATATGGGAGTTGCTAGAACTAATTGAACCTCTGAACACATGAAGTCACAAAAAATAGAAAAAGAAGAAAAAAACAAGAAAAATAGAATACATTCCACGCCAATGAATTCATCTTGTGATTAAAAAGAAAGAGTCGAGTTTCAGTTTAGTATGAATAATGATGCATTTTGAGAAAATTAATGCGGAACTAATTTTAGAAAGAACGCATTAAAAATCAAATATTTTTGAAAATTTATTCGCGTGGATACGTGAACTTTATCCATTTCCCAATTTTGTAAATTCCTCGATTTCATTCTTTTTTTTTTGCCGAAAAAAAATTCGCATTAAAAAAATACCCACAAAAAAGTGTGCGGCGGCACACAATTATGTGCGATGCAATTACCAAACAAGCCCCGCCCATCAGCTGACAACTCCGCCTCCATTTCGTGGAATTTTCATTTCGCTAGCAGTTTTTTCGAGTTTTCATTGTGGTTTAGATATGTTTTTCGATATTGTGGGGTTTAGAACATAGAATAAGATAATTCTGAGAAGTATAGGTCGTCATTTTCTTGTCTGGTTGGGTTAACTTCCTTGTGTAATCTTTTTTTCAAAATTTCATAATCTTCATTTTTTTAAATATATATATTTGTACAGCTTTATTATGTTTCTATACGATTTTTTGATTGAGTCAGCAATATCTATTTCGAAGTTCTGAAGTTTGTTTTTGCGAAATGTTCTCTTTTTTATGATTTGTAGACGTCATCGTAATTTTTCTTCATAAATTGATCTATCTCTTTTCATATGTCTAACCAAAACGTTGTATTTCAGACAAGTTTTCTTCCCGTCCATGTTACCGTATATGGCATATCGATACGTGAAAAATAAACGAGAAAACAATCAAAGAAACATGGAGGAGAATCTCGATTCGATGGTGTCAAATTTGACAAGAAGTATGGTTCCAGATCAATGCGTTTTGCGTATTCCTGGTGTTGCCGCGAAATTGATTGATGAGTCAGAGGAATATGTTCCAGGTGTTTTATCGATCGTTGAAAAGGTTGGTTAAACGAGTTTTTTCTCTCTTAAATCTATAATTTTCAGTCAATCGGAGTGTTCATTGAATGGAGTCCTTCAGAAGATTCAGATGCTTCATGGGTTATCGCATCAGATGACGGAAATACAGAAACCTACAATCCAAGAAGCCCAAGTCATTCAGCAAGTCTCGAAAAAACGAGTTCTGAAGATATTGCGAAATTGGCGTTTTCTCTTGATGTCAATGATTTGAGCAGTTATAAAAATATCGAGCCGAAAAAGGGAAAAGGATTGCCATCGATTCGATTGATATGCAAAGATGGAACTAGTTATGTTCCATTATATTTTCGAAATACTTCGACTTCTGCTTTCAATGATGTTTTGCAAAGGTGAGTAGGCTTATTTGAAATAGGTTATCTTTGTAGAAAATCTTATGGTAAACATAAACATTTTTTGTTTTTCAGTATGAACTATCGAGTTTTTTTGCATATATAAATATAATTTTTTTATTCAGATACTTGACACTGCGCCGATCAAACCGTGAAGCAAATCTCATTGTTGTTTATGATCAAAAAGCCGAAGCACTCGCAAAAAGTGTTAGCATGCTTGATGAAAACGGTGATATTCTCAGTCGATTTATGCAAAATCCATATATGACAGCGATGACTGGATTCAGTAAAATCACCTCATTCGTGCAAGATCAAGTCATTCCAACCGTCCTTGATAACGATGCAGTTTCTTCGGAGGAAAAAATCCGATTAATGAGAGAACTTCGTTTGGCAAATGATAAATTTGAAGAGCAAATGAGGGTTCATTCGGATGCGGCTGGAGAGTTTGAAGTTGTTACGCAATTGGAATTGCCGCCGAGACCGGATATATATCGAGAATCATCGGTTACTCAACAAATGTGGGATGCTTTCAAGCTTCCGAATGGATCGATTGATCCTGTTAAATTGCATCATTTGAAAATGAATGTATTCCGAGGTGGATTGAATGCTGAGATTCGTAGAGAAGCGTGGAAACTTCTTTTGGGATATAGAAAATGGGATGAATCGGATGCGGAATTTGAGAAGAGAAAACAGAAATTAAGTGTGGAATATGAAAATATGAAGAGACAATGGTCATCGATTACGGATGATCAAGAAAAACGGTTTTCGAAATATTCAAAACGAAAGTCTCTTGTTGGTAAGAAATCTAATATTTTTTTTTAAAAATCAACAATTTTTCCCATTTTCAGAGAAAGACGTGGCTCGAACTGACAGAACAGTTCCATTCTTCCAAGGAGACGACAATGAAAATCTGAAACTTTTGCACAATGTTCTGATGACTTATGTGATGTACAATTTCGATTTGGGATATGTTCAAGGAATGAGCGATTTTGCGTCGCCGTTGTTGTTTGTGATGAAAGATGAGGTTGATACATTTTGGTGTTTTGTTGGATTGATGAATATTACGGTTAGTTATTATTCTAGAAATTAGAATTCGAATGCCACGTTTTTGTAAATTTAAAGTTCATGTTTTTAAAAATTTAAATTTCGAAAATATTTTCATGCAAACGAAAAAAAAAACATTGTAGGTCAAAATTAGTAATTTTTGAAGCTTCTGGAGTGATTTCTGATAAAAATAAGCTTGGAGAACCCTATTTTACCTCATTTTATCAATTTTCTCGAAATTCACCACGAAAAATCAGCAAAAACTTCTGAAGGTCAATTTTCATGAGAAATCACCCCAGAAATTTCAAAAATCTCGATTTGTCATCATTTTTGGCTGAAAAACTCGAAAAACTAATTTTGACCCACAATGTTTTTTTCGACATTTTTTGACTTTGTGAATGATCTTTCAATGTAAAAAAACATTTTTTCGTTCCTGAATCACCCCTTTTTCCAAAAAAAATTCAAATTTCAAATGAGAATATTTCAGCACCGAAACTTCGAAAAAGACCAAGCATACATAAAACAACAAATGAATCAACTCCGAGATCTCGTTATGATTGTAAATCCACGTCTTGCCAATTATTTGGAAAGTCATCAATCAGATGACATGTATTTCTGTTTCCGATGGGTTTTGGTTTGGTTCAAACGAGAATTCTCGTTTTTGGACACTTGTAAACTTTGGGAGGTGAGTTTGAGTTCGAAAATCAATAATTAAAAAAATCAAATATAAATTAATTCCAGGTTTTATGGACCGGTCAACCATGTGCTAGTTTCTTGCTGCTTATCTGTGTTGCAATTCTCGATTCACAAACAAATGTTATTATTGATAACAAATTTGGGTTGACTGAAATTTTGAAAGTGAGTTTTGTGAATTTCAAAAATTGAAAAAAAGTTCAGATTAGGCTTGTGCGGAAAATGAAAATGAGTTTTCCGATTTTTCGACTTTTTGGAAAAATTTCGGAAAAAATTGCTTTTCTAAAATTTTCCGGGACCAATAATTTTCCGAAAAAGTGAGAAAAATGACCGTTTTCATGATTTTTTGCTAATTTTAACACAAAATAATTTTTGGTATTTCTGAAAAACATGGAAGTTTGTTAGTAACATACCCAAAAATCTGAATTTCAGAGTTTTTAGAGGTCAAAACCTGAAAAGTTCACAGTTTTCATACTGTAAAAAGTTAGCGTACATTTTTTTATTCTGGAAACCACGATTTTGGTCGAGGTGTGGTTAGTAATATTTAACAGAATTTCCAAAATATCGTGAAAACTGCTGAATTTGTTGAAACTACTCCAAAAATTTTCAAAAACCAACAAATGAGCCTATTATTTCATCAATGAAATTTTTTCCGACATTTTCCGAAAAATTAAGTCGGAAAAACCAATTGGAAAACTTTTTTCCAAAATTTTTCTTTCGGAAAAACACGGTTTTCCGAAATTTTCCGAAAATTTATTTTCCGCACAAGCTTGGTTTCGATAACCAGACAAATTTGAATTTTCCAGCATGTCAATGATTTGTCGATGCATCTAAACGTCGAAGAGATTCTCACAGCCGCCGAAGCAATATTCCATCAATTATCAGCGAGTCAAAACAAACTGCCAATTCACATATGTCAATATTTGAATATTGGCGAAACCGCAGTCACACCAACATCTCCAAACAGAAGTTTCGAGGAAAATTTGTAAATACACAGTTTTTATCTGTTTCTGTGATGTAATTTTTCATATTTATTCGCATTTTTGCCTTGCTGGACAAAATTGTATATAACTTTTCCAACATATTTTTTTGTGAATACATAAATACATATTAAAATTGTTTTATTTTTGGAATTTTAGTTAAGTTAAATCTTTAGATTAATACCTATTGAATTTTTAAAAATTTAATTCGGAGAAAAAAAGGTTTTCAGTCAGAATGTTGAGAAATATCGTAGCTAGTTGCTCTAGGCCTAGCTTAATCGTTAGAAGTTTATCAAGTGAGGCGAAAACTGTGGAAACAGTTAGTGAAGCACCGGCAACACAGACACTTTTGAGAGTTGATTGGATGATGCAAAAATTGGTGAGGTTTTTTTCAAATTTTTCCCCAAAATCATCTTGAAAGCCAGATTTTTTATTTAGACGCCTCTAGTTCTCAAATCAAACATCCGAAACTTCATTGATATTTGCAAGGACGATGTTCAACTCGAAGATCGACTTTTCAAATATAACTTGACGAGTCGAGCTGCGCTTATGTCACATATTGCGAAAATTCGAATGTATTATCGATATTTGTCACCGTTCAATAAAGTTGAGGTGAGATTTTGAAAAATTGAAAAAAATATGTTTTTTTTTTAACATTGAAAGATCAATTCAAGAAAAGGCAAAAAATGTCGAGTTTTTCAGTCATAAACGATAACAAATCGAGATTTTCGAAACTTCTGGAGTGATTTCTGATGAAAATTGACCTTCAGAAGTTTTTGCTGATTTTTGTGAAATAGAAAATTTCAAATTCTGATGAATTTCAAAAAAATCAGTAAAATGAGGTAAAATACGGTTCTCGGAGCTCATTTTCATCAGAAATCATTCAAAAAAGAAATAACTCAAAAGTCGAAAAAACATTGTAGGACAAATCGAGAGTTTTGAAGCTTCTGGAGTGATTTCTGACGAAAATAAGCTTCGAGAACCTTATTTTACCTCATTTTATTATTTTTTTCGAAATTCATCAAAATTTGAAAATTTTTATTTTACGAAAAATCAGCAAAAACTTCTGGAAAGTGAATTCCACGGTCAATTTTCATCATGAATCACACCAGAAGCTTCAAAAATCCCGATTTGCCATCATTTTTGGCTGAAAAAATTGAAAAACTAATTTTGACCTACAATGTTTTTTCGACATTTTTTGACTTTTCGTGAATTGATATTTCGATGTTAAAAAACATTTTTCCTTTTTTATCCATATATATATTTTTCCAGTGGATTGGTTCATGTGTTTACGAAAATGAAGATGTGATTGTTGTCCTTTGGCGTTTATCAACTCTCGAATCAAGTTTCATGTCATATTTTCCGAGTTTTCTCACGAAAAAAGAGCAGAAAATGATTGTTAAAGAGGGAGCTTTGGATATTCATATAAATAAGGATGGAGAAGTTTTGAGAATTGTTAATAGACCGGTTGGTTTTTAATTTTTAAAATTTTTTTCAATCGGGTCTGGTCCAATTCATCTTTAAAAATGTGGTCATCTTGGTCCGATTTTCAAAAATGTTCAAAATCTAGGCTGATCAATTGGACCTGACTTGATTCTTCTGGGCCACTTCAAATTTTGCTAAACAAAAATTTTCTGAAAGTTGTTTTGAGGAAAAATGTTTTATTCGTTGGCCAATTCTAGAATTTCCCTGAAACTTGAAAAATACAAGACAATATCAAATTTTTTTTCTAAACATAATTGTCCTTTTTTTTCATATCACCGCTTCTGATCGAGAAGGTGCAAAAGCTTTGCTGAAAATCAAACAAGAACAAGAAGAGGAGCGAATTCGAGCCGAGGAAAAAGAAATGCGAAAAGAATTTGATCGACAATATCATTCCTAGGTTCAAACTATATATTTTTTGGATGACTATATGCTCTTTCATTATTTAATATAGCTATGTAGAATTTTTCTGTTATTTTTTGCTGTTTTTCTTCTTCTCACCAATGAATTTTATATATTTAATTTATCCCTGAAAACTACTTTTGATTTCTGTTTTTATCAAAGCCTAGGCATTATCAGAATTCCCCGGGGTCCATTTTTTTTTTGAAAATGAAAAAAATGAAAAAAATTGATGTCATTTCACCACACCTTGAACGATTTTTTGTATTTCCCAAATATCCCTGAACTTTTGAAAAATTGAAAAATTTCGAGCAAAAACTCAGTGGTGAGCAAGCAATTTAATCATTCAGTTGGATGATTTGAGAAAACTCACAAATTTTTCATTTTTTAAATCATTCTTTATATCTGCTATTAGTATATTTCGGCTAACTCGATTTAATTTTCCTCGAAATGAACTTTTTCCGGAAGTTATGGTAAGTTGAATAGGTTTCCAAATTTCGCCCACTCAAAAATTTCTATCATTTATTTTTTTTTGTGAAAAAAAAAGAGAAGCTGGCTAATTATCTTCTGAAAAATATTTGAACACAAAAACAAACTCGAAAATCTTTTTTTTTTTGAATATTTTTGTGGGTTACTGTAGTTCTAACTAGAAAATAATTAAAGGCGCATGCTGAGGAGTACGGTAGAGCCTGCAGATCTAACTCGAGAAGAAATCTTAGCGGCTATGAAGCCCTCTGAAGCCTTCCAGAGCCCTGTAAAGTCTCTGAAGCCTTCCAGTGCCCTCTAAAGCCCTCTGAAGCCCTGTAATGCCCTCTGAAGCCTTCTAAAGCCCTCTGAAGCCTTCCAGAGCCCTGTGAAGTCTCAAATGCCCTCTGAAGTCTTATAAAGCCCTCTGGAGCCCTCAAAAGCCCCCTGAAGCTCTTTAAAGCCCTCGGAAGCCCTCTAAAGCCTTATAGAGCCCTGTAAAGTCTCTAAAGCCCTATATTTACTGTAAAATCTCAAAGATCATCTGAACTCTTGGATTGTTTTTTGACTTTCGTGAAAATAACAAGTATAATATCATGATTTTTGGAAATGTCTACATGTCTTGTAATTCCAGACATATTTTGATTACTTAACTTAGATACAGTAATCTTGAATGTCAAGATTTCGCTTTCAAAAAGTTCCTGTTTATATTTGGAATGATTTTTTGGACCACAGCCAAAGAATTAATTCGTCATTTTTCATTTCCTAAAATTCGAAATGAAAAATCGCGTGCCACATACAAGTTCACGTCATTTTTTATACCCAAAATTTAATTTCCGAATTTAATTTTAATTTCTTTTCTTCTTTGTTTCACACCACTCTGTTATTTAGAATATCATATTTTTATGAACGAAAAAAAAAACTAACAATTTTTTTGTTTTTTTTTTTCGTGAAATCTGGAAATTTCACGATTTTCACCAGGCATTTTGGGATCACATAACCACATTTTTAACCATAATTTATTCATGTTTTCTTCATTCACGAAACAATTGATTAAATAGTGTGTTGTGCAAAAAAAAAAAGAAAAAGCGAGAAAAAATATGAGAAACTAGCGAGATCGTGTCACACCCGTTTAATTAAATGTTTCATTATTCTCCTTTTGTCAAAAAAAAATGGAATTTTTCCTCGATTTTTCTGCAAGTTAAATTACGTTTTGATTAAAAATCTCGGCGGCTAGAATTCTTTATTGAAAAAGTTCAATCTTCATTTTTTTCATTTGGGCTCTCGGCTGCCAGCAACTTTTACGTTACAGAAATTTTTGGGTTTTCTATCTAGATTTTCTGAAAAATTCAAAAAGCCCAGCGTTATTTTTTTTTAGAAAATCAATAAATTTCTTTGCACTTTAATATCCAAGACGGAACAATCTTAATACAATTTCCCCCAGATTAGAAGGTGTTTATCCTGATCTAATCTAAAAATAAGTTGCGAGTTGGGCGGAGTTAATAACATTTTCAGCTGTGACAACTTATCACTTTTTTTCCACGATATGTTTTTTTTTTGAAAAAAAAATCCCTTAGAAATAGAAATCATTCTTTGTTATTGACAAGAGAAAATAGAAAAAAACCTAACAATTTTAGCAAGTCTGAAAAACAAATTATTTTTGTGTTATTCATATGTTTATCATAATTATTCTAGGTATTTTTTGATCCCCCTGTAACAATTTTTTTTTGAAAAGTTCAATTTTTAATTTTGATGTATATAGTAAAAAAGAGAAGAGGCTACAGTAAAGCTATGCTACCTGTGAAAATCAATAAAAAAATGTAGCCTCTTCTCTTTTTTCCAACGAAGCTCCGCCTTCTCATATTATAATTATAACTTCGAAAAAAAATTCAATTCTGGGCAATTTTCAGTCAACTTCTTCTCTAATATTTTCCAAAAATGGGCGCAAATTATAGTCAAATGTAAGTGTTAGGAACAACAAAATGCCTTGATTTTCTCTAGTTTTTCAAAAACATTTTCATTGATAAGATTTTTCTCGTTGTCCGTTTTGTCTGGATTTGTTTTTTGCTCTTCTATATTTTCTTAAATTTCAGTCGATTTATCAGCGAAAAGAAGAAGACGAGCAATGTGTTACTCAAGACGGTAGGAAAAAAATATTTGAGTCAAAACCCTTGTGACTTAGGCTAACTCGTGATTTTTCCCCCAAGAGTTCACTATCGATTTTTCTCACGAGTTTTTCTTTTCTAGAATTAGAGGTTTGAAGCATGTAATTATTGGCAACTGATTCTCCTTGGAAACACCGCCTATTTTCAATCTTATCTTTGATTAAAAAAGGGGGATTTGTTGGCTTTGATAAAGCTTTTTGTGAAAACAAAAAGTTTTATCGATTTTTTTATTGAAAATTGAGGGAAACACTATTTTCTGCGATTTTCAGCACAAAATTTCAGCCTAGAAACTCTTCAAAAAGTACTGTAGAAATTGTGCCATAAATTCCAAAAAAATTGATCAACCAGATTTCTGTGGAAAAATGATTTTCTAGGCTGACATTTTGTGATGAAAATCGAGGAAAACCCTATTTTCAGCTATTTTCAGCACAAAATTTGAGCCTCAAAGGTACTGTAGAAAATTGTGCCACAAATTCCAAAAAAAAAATGGATCAACCAGAGTTCTGTGGAAAAATAATTTTCTAGACTCAAATTTTGCGCTGAAAATCATGAAAAACTCAATTTTCTTGTTCCTAGGCCATATTCTTCCAAGGATCACAATATCTCAGATTATTTATGAGTTCCATTTCTTTTATCTCTTTTCATTCATTGTTACTTAATCCTCTTTCTTTTCTCAAAGAAAAAAAAACATGAAATATCACATTTTTCTTTTTTTCAATTCTGCGAAAGCAAAAAAAAATAGGTTTGATTAGTTATTTGGTTTCTATAGGAAACGTACTTTTCTCTCTCATTCGTTTTTTTCTTTTTTCTGAATCTAATCAACGTTTTTGTTGTTATTCAGACAAAATCTTGATTTTTTTTGAGAAGCTGAATTGAATTATGTCATCTATTTTACAATACTGCTTTCGTGATAATTATGAGTAAGTTTCCTAAGTAAAAAAGGATGAAAAATAGTTTTTAAAAAAAAGTTTTCCTAATTAGTTAATTAATTAATTAATTAATGATATTGATTTTTTAGTAGTGGATCTGGTGTCGAAAAGAAGACCGTCGCAATCACTGACAACAATCAAGATCAGTAAGTTTCTCTAAGTTCGTTTTTGAAAATATATACATATTTTTAAAATTCCAGACCACCTTATGATGTCGTTTTCAAGTGGTCCCAATCTTTTGAATTTTTGATGGATAACAAACGTGAGATTAAAAAATCTTGATTTTTTTTCTGAAAATAAAAAAAATTTTCGATTTTCAGAAGGACAGAAATATTTCGCCGAATTTTTGAAGGGCGAATATTCGGATGAGAATATTCTTTTCTGGCAAGCTTGTCAGGAATTGAAGAGGGAGAAGAATGGAGAGAAAATTGAGGAAAAGGTGAGGATAGGATTACTGTAGTTGAAAAATGTGAGATGTGTGTAATTTTGCGTCGCGGTGTGTGTGTATTCCAGAGGTTCCCGCGCTTTTCAAAGATTTAAAAAATTTAGATCTTGAAGAAGAGGTTAAGGAGAGCTATAGGATTACTGTAGTTGAAAAATGTGAGATGTGTGTAATTTTGCGTCGCGGTGTGTGTGTATTCCAGAGGTTCCCGCGCTTTTCAAAGATTTAAAAAAATTAGGAGAAGGTGAGGACCAGGGATTACGGTAGATCTTGAAGAAGAGGTTAAGGGCACCCTTAGGACTTACTGTAGTTGAAAAACCGTTGCGAGACCACACAGAAAGCTTTTTACCAGTTTCTAGAAAAATATTCCAAAATTTTTTATTTTATCTCAATTCCCCGAACTTCTTCTAAATCACCTGATATGATTTATGAATATTTTGATATTATTTCACCAGGTGTTTTTTCCGAATAATTTTTTATGCGATCAACGTCACACGAAATCTAATAATCAGCTGTATTTATTACGTAAATAATCGGCGAAAATAATTTTTTTTCCTTTTTCGTGTGAAAATGTATCTACAAATTGGATTTGCGTGCGCAAAATAAAATTAAAAAAAACAGACATGTGGTGATTAATTTTTCTCAAAAAAAAATCACGAGACGAGACTTTCACGCTTCTTGCGCAAATTCAAAAGTGCAAGAACTTTTTTAAAATTTTCAAATGAAAAAAAAAATCAATTTTTCCCAGGCTCGAATCATCTACGAAGATTTCATCTCAATTTTGTCACCAAAAGAAGTCTCACTGGATTCTCGAGTTCGTGAAATCGTAAACTCAAACATGAGTCGACCATCGGCCACAACATTCGACGAGGCACAAAATCAAATATTCACATTGATGCAAAGAGATAGTTATCCAAGATTTTTGGCGTCGAATATGTATCGGAAAATGATTGATAATCATGGAATGATAGAAGAAGTCTAACTTGTTTACTCATTTTTTATTGATTTATTTTTTATTTTTTTTCCAACGGGTTCTCTGGCTTTTTCTGTATCTATAACACCGTAATCAAACTTACATCAACTTAACTTCAGACCTATAATTATCTGAGAAAGAAAAAAGCTCCCAAATGTCATATTGCTTTAAATGCCACGTTTTGTGATTTTCAAAGGTTACTGTAATTGAGAAAGGGACTAGAAATTCTAAGGAAGTGCATAAACCCGCTGAATTTTTGTTTAAAAAATACGTCGCCGGGAGAAGTCGAACCCTGGTTTTGAAATTAGTAGGCCATCGTGCAAGCCACTGGGCTATTCTTAAAATTTTTTAAGGCGTCTGCACTTCCCTTGTCAGCTGCTATAGTTCCTCTAAGTTCCCAATTTAGTTCGCGCTATCATTTATCATTCTTGCAGTTATTTTCGTAGAACCGTTTCATCTTCCAGACCCACAAAAAAATCTTATCAAACCCATTTTTTCCCGTTTCACTGTTGTCAATCTTTGACTTCAGTTATATCAATCATTTTTAGGGACCACCCCTATTTCATTTCATTTTTGATTTAGTCCCTAACTAACCTAGCAATCCCCCTCCCCACCTCAAAATTTATTTTATTTTTTTTTTTTGAAAAAAGTTGTCCCGATGTTTTTTCTTCCCCAATTTGATTAAATCTTCTCTCAAAAGTACTTGTTATTTTTTATTTTTTCACGTTTTCCCTCATTCACTCACATAACAAAAACAGGTTTCAAGAAATTCACTGATTTTTATCTGATTCTTGATTTTTGTCGTGTTTGAGTGAATTCTGTTTTTTTTTGAGGGGGGAATGCTCGATTTTTGCTTCTTTTTTGCTATTTAAAGCTTGTACAATAAAGCCATTGCGAATTTTTGCATTTTCCAGTCAGTTTTCTTCTTCAAATCATGTTTTCATATCCAGAAAACAGTTTTTCCATGCAAATTGTCGATTTCCGGAAAAAAACGGAAAAAAAAATTGCAAAAAAATAAAAATAAAACAACGAGACTCCGCGTTGACGCTAGCCTGCGTGGTTTGAATTTTTGTATTTTTTTTTCAGTTTTTGAATTTGAATTCCAAATTTATTTTTTATTAGTTAGAATTGAAATTATGTGAATTACAAGTGTATATTATCTTCTTTTTTTCTTCGGTTTCTCGTTTTTTCTCATAATTCCCTCAATCAATAGTTTTTCCAATTTCAAAGTGCTCATTTCAAAAAGACAGCTCCAGAAAAATGCGAAGGTAAATGTTAAGATTGTGGCGGGTATTGCATAGTAGACATACTGTAAAAATAAAAGGTTGGGGATCAAAAATTAAGTTTAAATCCGGAGTTAGAGTAACTTTAGAATAATGAAACCTCTTTGGGATTTTCTAGAAAATCCTAGAACTTTCATAAATTATCTTATTGTCAAAAATACAAATAAATTATTTGAAACAATAGATTTTTGTTCGAAAATTTGAGAAAAATACACGATTTCAGTTATTCTGGTATGAGCTGTTTTTCTTAACAAAATGTTCGAACCTTAAAAAAATATAAAAATAATTTGAAACGTATATTTTCGAGACAGAATTTTTCAATGGGGTCCCCCCTGTTCTAAAAATAAATAAACATTGGATTTCAGAACTCTGATTTTCAGCCAAATTTGAAATGCCTATTATCTCTAGTTATCCATTTTTAATGGAATATTTTGAACTCAAAAGAGTTTTTGAAAAATTTTCTCACATTTCTTAGAATGAATTCATTTTCGGATCTTAGTTTTCGTGAAATATCTTATCCTTAAAAATATTATGCGTTTGAAAGTTTCGATAAGTCAACTCACCATCTGCCAAAGCGAATAATAATGTATCGGCCGCTCTCCCAAATTCAAATAATAAAACACAACCATGAGATGTACAATATAAGCACAATAAGATAATCTGCCAAAAGGCTGCCAAATTGGATGAGCCATGAAATTATTAATAGGTCCTCCCCATCCGAAATGATTTGCAATAATTAACCATGATAACGCGATTGCCCAACCAATTCTAGTGAAATTGTAAAATGTTCCTTTCGCAAACCAACTCCAATATGCGCCTTTGTCATAATCAAAATTTGAAAACATGCAAGCAAAAGCGATTGCGAATGCGATTAACCAACCGAGTAGGATTAACATCCAATTTAATTTTGGTTTACGTTTTGAATAAATTGCAATTATATAGCCAGCAATTAATCCAATTAAATATGGTGTACATCGAATCCAAGGTTTTTGATACAGTAAACTCCCAAATTTTCCATTTGTGCTAAAAAAAAATTATCTGATGTTGCAATTCACCAAAAAAACAACGACACTCCGCGTTGCGCGTTGTTTAGCGAATAGAGAAATATTTTCATTTTTTGTTTTTTTTTTGCTGGGTTTTCATGTTTCCGGGGAAAATCAGTGGATTGCAGTCAGAAATTGAATTTTTAGATGTTCTACAGGGCTGGAATTGAAAAACCAACGGAAAATCCGAGAATTATCGAAGAAAGGTGGGTTTTTTTCTAGAGAAACACTGTTTTGATTGAAATTTTTGAGTTTTCAGCTCGAAATATTGATGGGCAATTGGATTTCACTATCAATGACGTGGAAAACTTGGAAGATTTCGGATTTCGATGATTTTTGTGAGATTCGAGAGATACAAGCGATTGGTGAGTTTTTTTGGGGAGGGATTGCGGAAAAATTGAAAAATCGATAAAAAATTCTGTAAAATTTGAAAAATATATGTAAATCATGAAAAAAATTGAAAAAAGTTAGGCTAACTCATCAAAATCTAGGCCCAAAAATCTAGTTTCAGAAAAAAATAAAAGATGGCCGAACTATTTTGGTGGCCGAGAAATTTCGGGAATTCGGCAACGCTCCAACAATGAGTATTTTTTCAACATTAGAGCGCGTTTGTTGCGTTGGCCGAATTCCCGACATTTCTCGGCCACCAAAATAGTTCGGCCACATATCATTTTTTCTGAAATTTATGTTCAACTTCAATTTTGTTGTGAAGTAAGTGCATTTTGAGTTTCACTCATCGAAATTTGAAGATTTTTAAAAGTGCGTGCTCATAATCTCTTACTCTGTAATATAAATATCCGCACTCATATCATAAATCGAATATAAAATATAAGTTGTTACCACACTTCCCAGAACTCCAGCCAAAATCAACAGAACCCCAAAGACACTTGAAATATACAACGCGATGATGAAAATCGGAGCGATCAGATATAATTGTGTATCGGCTGCCAAATACCAAGATGGTCCATAACATGGATTTTGCGAGCCGAAATTGTTGATGTAAATGAGATTGTGCCACCATAGTTTTTTACAAGAATCCACCTGGATTGCTTGAATATCTGAAAATTAAAAAAATTGTATTAAAATTTTTTCAAAGTAATCCAACTCACTAAATAATGAAGCAGCAGCTGGTCCTTGAATATAATTCATATAAACTGTAAAAAAACCAATAAAAATCATCATAGGAGGAGTTAGCCGAAGATATCGATGAACATAGAACATGATCCATGTTATTGGATTTTTCATCGTCTCCGATTTTGGGCGCTCTTTGAAAAACATGTAGGATAGAACTAATCCGGAAAGTAGAAAAAATGTGTCAACTGATAAAACAGCGTTGATTATAAGATGATGAAAAAAGTAATCGGGAAATGATTCGAGAGGAACCATGGTTTCAGGAATCGCAAAATATTGACCAAGATGGCCGAATAAAACCCAAGACATTGTGATTGTTCGAATACAGTCTAGTGATTTTATAAATCCAGTTTTTTGTTCTTTCACTGATAGAATAGTTCCTGCGTTTGTCCAAAATGAAAAAGCAAATAAAACTTTCAAATATAAATTTGCGTCTTGATGACTACTTTTTCCCGAAACCGTTTCTCGCAGATAATCTATTATCGTTGAAAGTATTGCGATTGAAACAATGACGATTAGAAAAATCGAAAAACCCCAAAACGCCGAATCTTTTTCAATATCTCGTTTCGCACAAAATGCATATTTCGCTGTGAAAACTTTCGCATCGAATTGATTGTAGAGAGTTATCAGATCTTGATTTCCGCATGATTTTGGCATACAAACTGCACTTCGAGTTGCAATTGTTGTTGAGAGATTTTGAAGGAGATTCGGGAAAAGTGCCAGATAACAATAATTTGTCTCGTATTTTATGCCACTTATTCTTTCGCATTCTTGAGAAGATCCATCAATTATTGTTGTGTATTCGAGAAGTCCAGCTGGTGGAAATTTTCCGAATGCATCAAGTTCTGAATTGAAAGTTTGTGATCAGGAAATCTACATAGATCTAGAAGAAAAATTCAACTTACGTTGAAACGCGTATAAATTATCCTTCAAAATCTGCTTCTGCTTTTCAGAACATTTCTTGAGAGCTAGGCATTCGAAAGTGACAAGATCGAATTGTTCCAAAGATCGAATCCAAGTGGATACATCTTGTGCACATTGAGTTGAGACATTTTGAATTTTTAAATTTTTGATGTTCTAAATTCAAAGCATGAAAATTGAAATCCCAAGCTTAACCTACCTTCCAATCAACCGCAACTACAGCAGACAACAGCACAAAAATCAGAATCAAAAAATGAAAATGCATTGCAATTTATCATTTTGCTCTCGGTGCTCTTATTTATACCCGTAGAAATTTTTTCGAACTGATAAGAAAACTATTTTCTAGTCAAGGAGATTTATGAGGTTCAGAAGTTTAAGTTGGAATTGTACCTTATAGGTAATCTTGATCAATAATTCTAGTAGTGTAGTTAAAATATTCAGAATTTTCAGCATATGTTTTAGATATTTTTCTGGAATTTTTTATTTAAGTTACGTGTATAATATATTATTTTTATCACGAAACGAATCAAAAGATTAGAAGGTATCAAAACACATTTTTTCCAATTCACAAACGTCATAATTACGACTTGACTCATTTTTTTGTTTTATCAGCCGAGAAAAAATGTTTTTTGGGAAATAAATCAGGAATCAGGAAATTTCCGAAATTTTTTTCACAAAAATGAGTTGAATTCAAATCACCCTCTGAAAAACTTTTAACAAAAATCTGACCAAACTTTCTGAAAAAATTTTTCTGACAAGGAAAGGTTTTCAATGTTCCCCCAAGGAAAAAATCGAGAGTATGTGGAATGTTGAGGGTTCCCATGGATAAGAAAACCCTAACGGGAATAAGGAGAAAAAATGCCTTGTTTTAGAAAATTTTGGTGTTATTGATTTTTGCGATGAAATTTTTTAGAAAAATCGAAACTTTTTTCAAAATTGATGAAAAATGTCAGTCTAAAAATCCATTTGTAGCGCAAACGGCGTACTTTAGTATTACTTCGACTAAAATTAGGAATAAAATAATTTTGGTCCTAAAAGTCCACTAAATCAAAAATCCAGTTTGAAAAATTCATAGAAAATCAAAGTTTTCGTTGTGAAGGAGAAGTTTGTGTGAATCGAGACTATGATTTTTGGATTCTACGGACCAAATTACGTCTGTTGACCGTCATAAATTTTTCAAGTTCCGTTCATTTGAGAATGGAAAAAATTATTTTTTGTGTTTTTTGGTGACCATTTGATCAGAAAAACCCCGACTAAAAAAACCAAATTTCAAAGAATGTCTAAGTTTTTGATAAAAAGTTTCACAAACACGTAATCGACCATTCTGAACAACTTCCACGACTCAAAAGTTCATGAAATAGATTCAAAATCGAGTTACAGATGCTCTAAAAATCAAAAAATGGTGTAAAAATCGACCTAAAATACATTTTTTCTCGAGAATAAGGCATTTTTCTCCTTATTCCCGTTAGGGGTTTTCTTACCCACGGGAACCTTCAACATTCCACATACTCTCGGTTTTTTCCTTGGGGGAACATTGAAAACCATTCCTTGTGAATGCTGAATTAATTTCAGCCCTCCTTCTCAGTTAAATCTCGATTTCTCCAAACTTCAAATCTCAAAAAAGTTGACCTTGATAATAGTCATCCATCCATTTTTTTGTGTGTGTCCGAATCGAATTGTACTTTTTCATTCTGTTCTATTCTATCATCTGCTGTTTTTCTTCCTTCCTTCAATCATTCGTTCATTTCTTTTATCAACTTTATCATCTGCGCGAGAAAAAAAGAAAAAAGTTAATCATAAAGTAGGTCAGTTTGAATTTATTATGAACATTGAAAATGAACAATTTCATACGAAACTCTTTTTGACAGCAAAAAACTTGTTTTTTATGATCCGATGGTTGACCTGTTTTGAGAGCGGTTTTTGAATAACTAATTTTGAACAAACATTTGAAAATTGTACAGATTCTGATTTTTTTTGTTTCAGAATCTTTGATATTTGAGCTGAGGAAAGTTAAAAAAAAACTGTGGCTACAGTATCTTGAGCTGCTGTGGGTTACAGTACCTAACCTAAAGGGACAAACACTCGCTCCGCTGAAGCCGCATCCGCGGAATTTTGACCTACACTCGCGCCAAAGGCGCTCGAGAGTATTCCCACTAGACATTGCTCATATCATAAACTCTGGTCACCCTGTTAACTACCCTTAAAGGGATACACTATTGCAGGCTGTGGGTTACAGTACATGAACTGAAGGACCCCCACAGTAACCCTAGTTAAAGGGACATACACTCGCTCCGCTCGGACCGCATACGCGGAATTTTGATCTACACTCGCGCCAAAGGCACTCGAGAGTATTCCCACTAGATATTGCTCATATTATAAACTCTAGTCACCCTGTTAACTACCCTTAAAGGGACATACACTCGCAGGATGTGGGTACAGTACCTAACCTGAAGGAACCATACAGTAACCCTAGTTAAAGGGACATACACTAGCAGACAGGGTTACAGTACCTAACCTGAAGGCCCCCTACAGTAACCCATGTTAAAGGAACATACACTCGCTCCGCTCGGGCCGCATCCGCGGAATTTTGATCTACACTCGCAGGCAGTGGGTTACAGTACCTAACCGGAAGGAACCCTACAGTAACCCTTGTTAAAGGGACATACACTCGCTCCGCTCGGCCCCCAAACATTCTTCCAAAAATAGACAAAAACACCTTTGATCATCGCATAATTATCTCAAAATAAAATCTACTTCTCCCCTCTTTTTTTCGTTTTTCCCAATCAAATAACCTGTATAACTTGTATTAGGCTCCGCCTTTTTCCCATTTTTTGCCCCATTCATTTCCCTTGTTTTTTTATGGTGATGGTTCCAGGTTACTGAAACCTCCTCCTCCTATAAGGAAACCCTTTTTGCTGTTCTGTCTTTTGCAAATAGTTTTTATTAGTGATTTCTGATAACTATTTTTCTTTTGAAGGTCGAGAAATGAATCGAGAAGAACACGAATTTGTGGAGTATTTGAGAGATGAGGTAAGTGAGGGAGCAAAGAACGAAAAAAAAATAAAATGTGGTTTTTACAGTGCAAGGATTTATTAACAGATTATTATGATACTGATTATAATCTACTTCGATGGGCACAAGGATATGGGTTAGTTGAATTTTGACAAAAAAAAGTGCGCGCGGGGGAAAAACCGAACTCGCGTCTTGCGATTGGCAGCCTGACACTCTACCACTGAACTAAAGTCGCTTTGTTGAAGATGCATCAAACGCTGGTAATAAAGTATTGGTATGAGATTCACCCCGCGAAAAAATAAATTTGAATTTGAGAAAATCTCTAATTTCCTCCTACCCCCGCGATGCGTGTGCGTTGCGGTCGCTTTCTCATACAAAACCCCCGTTGGCTGTTTGCCAGCGCGCTCTCTCGCTGTCTGCGTCTCCTGCAGCAAGTGACTCTCATTTCCAAACGGACAATAACTAGAATCTAGGCGAAGCCGTCACAATTCAAATCCCAAAATTTCGAAATTCTTACAGATTCCACAAAGAAGATGCGCTAACTGAACTTCGCCGTCATCTCAGATTTCGAAAATATTACGATTTGGACAATATCCTTACAAATGTTCCCGATCATCCAATCCTCAAAAAATATTTTCCAATCGGACTTGTCGGAGAAGCCGGCTTGGGAAACACTCTTCTCGTAATCGAATGCGCTGGTCGCATCGATTTGATGGGAATTCTGAAATCCGTGCATCTCTCGGATTTCCTCATTCAACGATTCAAATTTCAAGAAAAGATGTTGGCAGCGATGAATGAGATGGAAAAACGAAATGGGACGCAGTGCTCTGTTGTTTATATTTTGGATTTAGAAGGATTGAAATTCGATCCAGCACTTATCAATATTGCAACTGGTCCGTATAGAATATTATGGGCTTCGGTTTATACAGCATATCCAGAATGGATTAATACTTTATTAATTATCAATGCACCTTCGTTTATGACGTTGATATGGAAAGCGATCGGACCATTATTGCCGGAGAGAACTAGAAATAAGGTTAAGATATGTACCGGCAACACTGATTGGAAGTCTCAAATTCAAAAGGTATACCTTAACAGTTCTAGGTACCTTAAAGGTACCTTAACTTAATCCAGAAATTTTGAATAAACGTTTTCAGTTTGCTCACGCTGACAACATTCCAAAACATTGGGGTGGAAATCTTCTTGATAAAAATGGCGATGCAATGTGCAGAGATCGTTTGAATATCCCATTCGATCCGATTCCTCAAGATCTCTATTGGCAACCATCGCAAGAAACACCGGCTACTCAAGATTTGACATGTTCGACGATTGGAGCTGGCAAATTTGCGTTATTCACTTATGTTGTTGAAAAATCGGTTGATGAGCCGGTTTATGTTGTTATTAACAGGTTCGTTCTGCAATCAATAAGTTTTGTTGATAACTAGAATATCGAATTAACTATGAGAAACAAAGAAAACACGAAAAAAAATTGATTTTTCGAAAACAAAAAGAAAACAACGACATTCCGCTTGCCCGCTGTTTAGCGCAATTTGATTTTGAGTTTTTCACAGAAAAATATTTTTTCCTCTAAAAATTCAGAAGAATTCAGTCATCGAAAACTCAGTATAGGGAATTTCTCTAGATTCTGCGATCGAACTTTTGGAATGGGAATCTGGTTTAGCGAAGACGATGACGCGATTTCCTACGATCTTGAAGAAATGGAAGAACTTGCACCAGACTTTGATTATCCAGGAATGCCAACCGTCGATTACCTTCGTCTGAAAATGCCAGGTTCAGGAGTGTATAAAATCAAATGGGGAAATGAAGAAGCGTGGCTTCGTTCGCTGACTGTTTATCATCGAGTCCGATTCCAAAATGAGAATCGAGAAAATATCAAATTTCACGAAGTATCAATTTAGATTTCTGCTGCTGTTTTTGAATAAAATAAAATGTAAATAAATAAAAAAAACTTTATTGTAAATATTTTTCATGTAGAACCCGACTCTCAGTCATTTCGTCGAAATACAATCTCAGAATTTGTCGATGTTTTCTTGTCAGCCGCCTGTCTTCGACGTGGTTGTTCACGTGAAGTTTTGGGCGGCGAGACGGAATTCAGGTCGTGTTGACAAACCGCCAGACACTTGTTCTCGACGCGAGACATTCGAGATGTCACATCTTCGATTGAGGAAGCAGTCTGCAATTTTTTTCTCTGATTTTTGAAAATTTTCCGTTTCTCAATTCTCAAATACCTTCTGAACAGAATCTCTCAAAACATCCAACCTTGTTGAAATATCAGTCAATCTATCATAAACCAGTTCGGTTGTCGGTTTTCTTGTCGAATTTCCACCATCCATAGACGATTCTCGGAAAATATTCAACTGCATTTGGATTTTTGAGATTTCCAAGTTGAGTTCATCGAATTTTTCCGAAGATATTCGAAGTTCTGAAAATTTTTGGAAGATTTTTTTATATTTTTGAAAGAAAAAAAAAACTCAAAATGCAATTACTTCACAACAAAATTGAAGTTGGACATAAAAATAAAATATATGTGTGGCCGAACTGTTTTGGTGGCCGCGAAACGTCGGGAATTCGGCCAACGCGCTCCAACAATGAGAATTTTCGCAACATTAGAGCGAGTTTGTTGCTATGGCCGAGTTCCCGACATTTCTCGGCCACCAAAATAGTTCGGCCACATATGTAATTTGAGTCCTCACCTTTTATCTCATCATTGATAGTTTTGATTCTTGATAAAGCCGTATATAAAAAGTACAAAACTGCCAGAAAAACAATGATGAATGAGATTGACAATATATTTTTATAGGTTTTCCGACGATGTCTTATTTCTGCATAATCTTCGGATGTTCTACAAAAAAACAGTTTTTTTTTCCGCTTTTTGACCCAAAATAGTGTCTCACTTATTGAAAAACGTTCTTCTTCGATTCGAATCTCCTCGAAATTCCAAATCCGGAACATCGGAATCATCATCGGATTGAAGAAGAGAAGCTCCGACCATTCTTCAACACATGATTGATTAATCCAGAATTTTTAGAAGATTCTGAAATTCAATTGTTGTTTTTTATTTTTTCAGAAAAAAAGATGAGGAGGGGGAGAAAAACGGGCGAGAAAAACAAGGAATTCAATTAAAATCTGTCTTTTTTTTTTTATTTTCATAGATAGAAAAATGGAACTGGAATTAAATTTGAAAAGAAACAAACTTTGGAAAATTATTTTATGAAAGGGAAAACTTTTTTTTTAAATTCCGTTTTTTTTAATTATATTATCTTTCAAAACAAGACTAGAGTCTAGCCTGGGCCAAAAAATCTGGGCTAAAGAAACATTAATTTAGATGATAAGATTTTCAATAAAATTTAGATCCTGAAAAAAGAATTTTGAGTTTAGTCTGAACCTGAAGGCTAAAAAAATCTTTATAAAAATATCAGAGCACAAAATATTCAGATTCAGCTACTCCAAAAACTAATAAAATATGCAAAAAAAAAGAGGAACGGCTATAAAAATTGAAGAAAAAACTTGAAAATTCGTTTCGATTTGTGCTCAAGAGAAGAGCTTACCTAAAGTGATGCTTCTCATCAATTTTTCCCGTTTTCTTCGAAAAAAAACTGACTAAAAAAGATTAGTTTAGTTTTGAAAACAAAACAAAACAAAAAAAGAGAAAAGTTGGTTGGTTTCTGGTAATTGTGTTAGGTGTTTCGGCTGGGGGACCATGGAAAAACAAAAAGAAGAACAGGGAAACAAATTTTGTTTTTTTTTTTGTTTGGTGAAAAAATATTTGACGAATACAAAACACGAAGGATTATATGGAAAAGTTGCACTTTTTTTTGAAAAATATTCAGAATCGGTTAGAGAGAGAGAGAGAGGCTAGAGAGGCTAGAGAGGCTAGAGAGGCTAGAGAGGCTAGAGAGGCTAGAGAGGCTAGAGAGGCTAGAGAGGCTAGAGAGGTTAGGGAGCCTAGAGAGGCTAGAGAGGCTAGAGAGGTTAGGGAGCCTAGAGATGCTAGAGAGCCTAGAGAGGCTAGAGAGCCTGGAGAGCATGGAGAGTCTAGAGAGGTTAGAGAGGCTAGAGAGGCTAGAGAGCCTAGAGAGCCTAGAGAGGCTAGAGAGGTTAGAGAGGCTAGAGAGCCTAGAGGGTTAGAGAGTCTAGAGAGTCTAGAGAGCCTAGAGAGCCTGGAGAGCATAGAGAGGCTAGAGAGCCTAGAGAGGCTAGAGAGGCTAGAGAGTCTAGAGAGGCTAGAGAGGCTAGAGAGTCTAGAGAGGCTAGAGAGGCTAGAGAGGCTAGAGAGGCTAGAGAGCCTAGAGAGGCTAGAGATGGAAACACCTATCGTTATTGCGTAGTGTCGTTGGAAAATAATTTAATTTCTCCATTTTTTTGTGAAAATTATTTTGGAGTTGGTCTCTCCAAGAAAAATTTGAAATTTTTTCGTAGAACTCCAGAAAAAAGAAAAATCTGTTTTTTTTCAAAAAAATCATGTCAAAGCAAAAAAAAGAAGGATTAAACTTGCACTTTTTCATATAATTTGGAAAATATTCAAAGTTACATCAAATTAATGGGATTAAATAGAATATATTATCTACTTGAGTCATTTTTTTTGAGAAAACTAGATCAGAAAGCACAAATAAAAAAAGAAACTTTTCCAAATATTACGAAGAACCATGCGCAAATAATAATGCACTTTGGTTGGAGAAACCTCATGAATATTTCAATTTTTTGGGTTTTTTCTCCCGCCTTTTTTTTCTTTCTGAATATCTTAGCAGCTTCTTCTCCATCCATTTTTTTGCCTCCAGAACTCCGATAAAATTAGTTAGTTCCACTTCATTTCATTACTTTAATTGGAAAAATACTTCTTCTTCTTCTTTTTTTTGTGAAAAAATGAAAGAGAAGAAGAAATCTAGGGGCGAACAAAGAAAATGAAGCAGCAAAAATTATGCACAATAAGAGAAGATGGAACAATAAAAAACGAATGACAAAGGAAAAGAAGAAGAAAAAGTGTTGTTGTGATGGTACCAACCAAAAAAAAGAAGGAAAATATGGAAATATTTACGATTTTTACTATTTTAGAGAATGGGAATGATTGAAATTTGATTCTGAATGATTTTTAATTCAGAAAAATCGGAGAAAACCTAAAAAAAGCGGAAAAAATAAAATAACGACACTCCGCTCAAACAGTTTGGGAAAATTAAACAACAGGCAAGCGGAGTGTCGTTGTTTTACTTTTATTTTTTCCCTTTTTTGTTTTGAAAGCGAATAGTAAACAAAAGAACCAAAATCCAACTTTTTTTTGTTCCAAAATTCAAAATATTTTTCTAGGATTATAAAAAATGACCAAACAACTTTTTCATTTTCAAAAAAAAAAACATTTATTTTCTCCTCGCGTGTCCGAAAAAAACTCAAAACTCAATATTTCTTCTCCGAAAAAGAAGACAAATTTTTATTTTTATAGTTGTTTGTAGTATCCGCAAAAAAAATGCTCACATTCGTGAGAAAAATCTCTCTAGAGACCAAATTTGAACTTTTCTTTCTTCCAAAAAAAAAAACCAAGAAGCTCTCGTTTTTTTTGAGGAGAAAAAAGGAATTTAATTAAACTCTTTGGGACCCAAGAAGTTATTTATTACTTAGTTTTCACTTTTTCTCGACTCTAAATTGGTACCAAAAAGAAAAAATGGAAAAGGGAAAAAAAGAGAAGCTGGTGCGAATTAATCGACTTCACAATTTACATTTTTTTTTGTTCAAGAGAAAAAAAATTCTGAAAATGAGACAGACATATAATAAATACATGTGTATGAGAAAATGGGGGAAAAAATAATTTGCTATTTAATTTGATTATTATTTTTATGGGAAAACATGGTCGGGGCTAAATTGAAAACAACATTTAAATTTTTGAATGAGTTTTTGGCGCTCAAAATTATACAGTAATATTGTCAGGATTTTCAGCGTGAATTGTTTGATATTGAAATTTTAGAATAATTTTTTGAAAATATATTTTTGGCGCTCGAAAAATACAATAATATTTATTTCCCTGCGGAAATTGCACTAATTTACTATCAACCGGAAATTTCAAAAAAAAACACTACAATTTTTTTATCCTATCTAGTCAGTTTGCCACAGTATTTTTGGCGCGAAAGTTTTGAAATTCAAATTTTTTCATATGTTTGTAAATGGGAATTTTGGCGCGAATTGTTTGAATTTGAATTTTTAGAAAACAATTTGAATTTGAGTTTTTGGCGCTCAAAATTATACAGTAATATTGTCAGGATTTTTGACGCGAAAATTTTGAAATTCAAATTTTTCTATCGGTTTTTTTGAATATGAATTTTTGGCGCTCGAAAAAAATACTATAATATTTTTTTCCTGCGGAAATTGCACTAATTTACTATCAACCGGAAATTGCGAAAAAAAACTACAAATTTTTTTATCCTATAGAAATTCTAGCTTCCGGAGCTTGGAAAAACATACGTTTCCAGAAAATCAGAAAACAAAAAAAAATATGTCAAAACAACCAGAGTTGACAATATTCATAAATCATCGCACAAAAAAAATAGCATATCGGAAATATTTTTTTTTCCCAATGGAGAAAACAATCGACCGAAGATAGGTGTGTACAAAATTCAGAAATGGCTCGAAAAAAAACTAGAAGAAAGTTTTTTGTGGCGCTCGAAAATAAAAAGAACATGGAATCCCTGGAGACGCGATTTTTTTCGGGGAGAACAAGAAATGAGGAAAAATATGGGGATGGACACGAAATGTTGCAGTCTTTGTACGTTTTCAGATTTTTGTCAAAAGGATTCTGGGCTGCAGGCTGGAGAAATAGGGCCAGATCAAGCTGGCCTAGACGGCCTTCTCTAGAAAATCTGAAATTTTAGACTGGGCTTGAAATTTGGGATCGAAGGATATCTCATAAGCCTAGGCAATTCTTACGGTGAATCTGGAAATTTAAGAATTTTGGTCTGTAAAATTAATTTCAGCTTGAAATTCACCAAAGAATCAGGAAAATGAAACTGAAAGAGCGCTTACCAAAAAAACAAAAAATTGAAGTTGAACATCCCAAACCTAAAGAAAGAACGAAAAAAATAAAAGTGTGTGTCAACACCAACTGGTCCGCAAACATTTAATCTTACGCGCTGACGCGAAAAGGCGCTGCAGAATAGAAAACACGCTGCTCGCCTATTGTATTTTTTGGGGATTTTTAAAAATGGGAACCCCCCCCCCCCGGATTTCAAAAGGGACACGTTAAATGTATGAACATTGGGAACTCTGAGAGTCTTTCAAGCTTTGCTTTTCCCTTGGAGAATACTAGTAAATTTAAAAAAAACATAGATGTGACCGAACTATTTTGGTGGCCGAGAAATGTCGGGAATTCGGCCACACTCCAACAATGAGAATTTTCGCAACATTAGAGCGAGTTTGTTGCTTTGGCCGAGTTCCCGACATTTCTCGGCCACCAAAATAGTTCGGCCACATATATCTTTCTGAAATTTACGTTCACCTTAAATTTTTTGTGAAGTAAGTGCATTTTCTGGGCCAAAAAAACGAAAAATGAAAAATATTTTTCATTCCGCTAAACAACGGGCAACGCGGAGTGTCGTTGTTTTTTTGGTAAATTGCGTATTTTTTTTGTTTTTTTTCTGAAAACGTACTCGTAAGCCTGAATTTCTTCTAGACAGAATCCTTTCAAAAAGAGCCTAAAATTTAGAAAATCTTCAGCCGTCAACTAAAAAAAAATGAAATCAAAGCAAAAAATGCTGTCAATCCAGAAGAAAACACATTCAAAAATATGCACAGAATATGTCTAGTTGTTTCCTGTTTTGTTCTTCGTGTTTTTTCTTTTTTTTTTTCACCTAATAACATGTTTCTGTCTATCTTTGAAACCAATCGAGCATGATAGAATTTTTGACTTTTCTTCGTATTTTTATTTCAACTTTTATTTCTTATGGAAGAGTTATTTGAAGGTTTGCTTTTGAATTTTCTTTTCAAAACTAAAAAATTCACATTTTTTAATTCCAGATCTATCCTCAATTAGTGATTGCGATGATAATGAATGCTTCCTGAAATTATCAACCAAAAATAATAAATCATTTACCATTCAAGCAACTTCGGTTTATTTAATTTGCTCAATTCCATCTGCATATGAACCGGAAACTGAAGAAACGTGGGTTTTTTTTCGAAAAAATATTCTGAATTGGAAATACAGGGACAGGTTTCAGGACGAAACAGAAGCGACTTGAGGAAAAATCATGTGGAACTGAATCGAAGAATGAGGAGAAATCGGATAAATGGGTGCAAACTGATGAAACTGAAATTGATGTGAGTTGGGGGATCTGGGAATCTGGGAAGCCGTCTTTGTTTTTTTTTTGCCACTTGAAAAAAATTTAAAAAATAGTTTGCCTCGAGGCGGGATCGAACCCATGACCTAAAAATTGAGAGACGTGCGTGTTTACCACTCGGCTACGCGCTCCTTTTTTTTACCTCGCAAAATTTTGATATATGAAACAGGGAAAAAATTAAATTTTCATTTTCAAAAAAAATTGTATTCTAGACAAAATCAAGTTTCGCCGATCTTCCTCCAACATATCGAGAAGCTGAATACGACGAAAGTGCACTCGAAAGAATTCTTCGTCACATCAGCGCCCATCTCCATCGATCTCAATTACAACAATGGATGTCAGAAATGCCGGAAAAGAATGCGAGTTTTCATATTCGACCAGTTCAAGCTCCAAATATATTCCAAGCCACATACAATTACACAATGGTTAGTTGAACTTTTGATTTGTTGCATTTTGTGCCAGGTTTTAGGAACCAGTAGCCATTTAGAGATTGGCGAGTTTCTTTGTTCTTAATTCCTGAGTTGAAGTTATTATTGACGATGAAGGGAAGAAGTTCCGATGGATTTGAGAACCATAAACCATCTGAGATATCTTCATAATCAAAAACTCGACAAACCAATCCATTATATTGATTTGAACACATTTTATTCATCTCATCCTGATCAAATAATTTAGTATTATTCTCCAATCTTCCATACAACTCTTCTAGAAACATTTTCGATGTATTCGTTGGTTGAACAAACATCGGATCAAACGATAAAACATCAGACTTCCCCCCGGATCTTCCCTTGATTGGGACATAAATATCGAAAAGTTCTGTTGTCGTAAAATTTTTGAAGAACTCAAAGGGGTCTTTGAACCAAACAGCATCGGTTTCAAATAAAATGAATGGTATTTGATGTTTTGTTAATTCCATCATAATACTTGTTCGAAGTGTCAGAATATCGATATATTTTTGTGCTCCCCAATCGTAGGAGCCGTTATAATCTGACACATTCAATGAGATACATTTGATTGTATCATTCCAGTGATGGAATATGTTTTGACACGTTGAGTTATTCATGCTGATTATTAGAGTTCGATTATGTACGTTCTGAAAATTATATTAAATTTACGAGTTAGGATGAGAATATAGTTGGTTATTATCGAAAATCTCATCGGTACCACGCGCTCCACCGAAATAAACACGCAACGCAAACCGCGCCGCGCCACAACACACACAAAAAAGGGAGGGAGTTTGAATCGTTCCCTTATTTGTGTGTGTTGTGGCGCAACGCGGTCTGCGTTGCGTGTTGGAGCGCGTATTACCGATGAGATTTTTGATAATATGTTGAGCTCTCACCTTCATTAATGATGTATTACATATCCAATTCAATGTCAAATTCTCATAAGCCTTGTTAATCAAAGTAACATAAATAAAATCTCCAGTTGAATCAAACAATTTTTTCGAAATATTCACAACTTTCTTTAAAAAAAATTTTTTTTTTCAAATTTTTTTTAAACTTTAAAATTTCTCACCTTTCTCGCAATATCCGGCAATGATGTATAATTTTTCAATTTCGGTTTTTTCGAAGTTTTGTCAAAAACTGTTAAACCATAACCAATTCCTTGAATAATATTTGTATTTCCTTTCTTTAGTATTTTAGATGGTTTCAGGAGAAGTGGACCCTCCTTGAGATTCTCATATCCAACTCTCGAAGTGTCAACACTGAATAGTTGAACCGCTGAGAAAATATATTGCACGGTGAAGTATATTATTATGACCCATAGAAATATATAGCGAAGTTTTATCATTTCATTTCTGAAAAATTTTTTTTTTTCAATAAAACAATTTTTGAAAAGAAAGAGAACGGATATTTTATTGTTTGTTCAAAACGCTCTTTTTTGACACATTTTCTTCAATGAGACAAAAAAGAAAAAAAATGTTCGTTTAGTAAATAAGACAGGAAAACAGGAATACAGGTACTTATAGTAACTTCTTTGGACAAAAACAATTGGAAATATATATTTATATATATAAGATTAGATATAAATCTTGTTGAATTGGGACAATATCAAAAAGGGTTGACAAGAAAAATAGGGGAAAAGTGAAACTTTGCGCGAGAAAAAAAGGGAAATGAACGGTTCGGTGAAGATTTTAATTGGTTTACTTGAAAAAAAACCAGCTAAATTGTTCGGGAAAAAAGAAAAAAGTGTTTTTTTCAGAACACTTTTGTGCTGCTTCTAGCGTCTGGAAATTTGATTTTTGTTGAACTTCGATCGCTCAAAAATTTATTGGTGAGGAGGGATTTTGTATTTAATTTCAAAAATTAATTTTGGGATTTTATTCTTGAAAAAAATGTCCAAAACACAAAATCCCTAAAACTTTGAAACTTTTGGCTATAATTTCATGTGGACTGGAAAGTTCCTGAATTTCAAACTTGTTTTTGAATTTTTCCTGAATTCTAAAATTAAAAAAAGATCGCATTTTCAAACGTGAACTTGATGAGGCGATTCAGATTTTATTTTTCGAAAAAATTTCCAAAAAACAACATCCATTTTAGATTAATTTCGACCAGAATGCCTAAATTTTCGAAAAAATTTCTGAATTTCAAAATTTTTTTCTGAATTTTTCGAATTTTCAAACGTGAATTATGCGATTCAGATTTTATTTCCAGAAAAAATCAGCAAAAATTTGAAATTGGGAGCTTCTGAACTGAACTCAAAAGATTCAGAATTTCCCATTTCTCAAAAAATTCCAGAAAAGCATACATCGTGAAATCTCGTGTTTCGACAAAGATGATCGCCTCCGTCTCTACTCAAAACATCATTTCATCTCAATATATTCCGAAACGCGAATCGTCATTCTCGACATTCGAAATATGAGTAAAATGCAAATTTTTGATACGGAAAAAATCGTGTCGATATTCGTCCTTGAAAACATGATACATTATATAAATGAGCGTGGAATTGTAAACAAACTCGACCTAGAATCACACAAAATCTTGAGGTATTTGTGTTTTTTTTTAATTAAAAAAAATATGAATTCTAGGGTTGTGACAACTTCCACATTACTCTGCCCAGTTTTGGATTGCTATTCAATGTCCGAACATTTGTATACTGTATCATCAAAATGTATCTCAATATTCTCGGTGGAAAAATGGTTAGATTATGAGAGTTATGAAATCGATGGGAACAAAACAGCTTCCCTGAATCGTGGAAGAATTATAAGATTTGCAGAGACTTATTTGATATTCTTCAGCAGAAAACTTCAAATTTGTTATATTTGGGAAATTGATAAACCCAAAAATCCATCGCATATGCTTGAATTCAGCACTTCCGAGTATACCGTTGATATTTCTTGTGATGATGAGAATGTTTATTCATTGACAAGTGGAGGAGTTGTATCGATATGGAAATTGAGGCCGAACGGGTGAGTTAAAAAGATTCTTAAATTAGGAACATACCTGGGAAATTTTTCGGGGGCACCGTGAAATTCGTAACATTTTGTTACTCAATCTTTTCACTGAAAAACAGCAAGAACTTATTGGGATTTGGTAACTTATCGTAACTCCGAAAAAATTTTAACAATATTATTCTCTATATCCATCAAAAATTAATTAATTAGGATTTAATCAAAATTTTCTTTAAAAAAATTTCGTGTTTTTTTCGAAGTTTCAATTTGATTCTGTCAAAATTCACTATATTTAGTGATTTTTTTTACGAATTATTTTACGATTTTTTGAGCCGTAAAACTGTAAAACGTGAAAATTCCCAGGTCTGATTAGGAAGATCTTTAGGGCCTTAAGGTACTTAAAGTCTCCTATACACTATATTTTCAGACGAAAATTCCGAGATAAATTGTTCCCAACACTGTTATCAAATTGCACCCAAATTTTGATGGCTTACCCGCAGGTTTGTCTGTTTTTTCCCAAACTGCGAAAAAACTCCCCAAAAATTTCCAGAAGTTTGTCATTCAAACGCACACCTCAATTCATTTTCTGGTTTTTGGAGCAGCCACGGAAAAATCATCGGTCAATTAACAATTGATAAATTGATATGTGCCGGCAGGAGCCAATCCTCTTCTTTTTTACACAAAAAAATGGTGCCAATATTTTTTCGCTTATCTTTTTTTTTGCAAATCCCGCCTGACCCAATGATTTATATTTTGTTTTGTTTTGATTTTTCATTTTCAAATAATAAAATTCTTGAAATTGAAAATGATATTGATATTGATAAACAATATGAAAAAAATATTGGAGAATAGGAACGGACAAAAATTGATTGACAAAAAAATGTTTCACCTTGAAAACTAGATTATCTTGGTTATTGTCAGAGTTCATGGGAAGATTTTGATGAGGCGCGGCTACTTGAAAACTAGGGTTTCTAGGGTTGACTGCTTGACAGAGAAGCTCTCAAGACACGTATTCTTGTCAGAGTTGATCTCTAGGTGCGGGTCCTAGACAATCACGAGCTCTAGGCGCAGCTACTTGAGAATTGAACTTTCTAGGCGCTGATCCTTGAGAATTGAACTTCCTAAGCTCAGCTACTTGGGAACCAGGGTTTCTAGGGTTGATTGCTTGACAGAGGAGCTCTCAAGACACGCCTACTTGTTAGAGTGGGTTTCTAGGAGCTGGTCCTAAATAAACTGGTTTTCTAGGCTCAGCTACTTGACAACTAGAATTTCTAAGCGTAGATCCTTGATGTTTTAATTTTCTAGACGCGGCTACTTGGGAACTAGGGCTTCCCGGCTTGGTTGATTGGTATGTTAGTTCTCAGGACGCGACCACTTGTTAGAGCTGATCTCTGGGCACAGGTTCTAGACATTAACGTGCTCTAGGCGCAGCTACTTGAAAACTGAGATTTCTAGTCTCAAACACTTGACACACAGCCTCTGAAGCTTTTCAAAAATTTGAATTTATCCCATCTGCCTCTCCTAATTCCCCCTCCCCCACTCATAAATTATCTAGCACCCGCTTTTGAATGTTTGATCTCTGTTTCAATTCTCCTTATTCTGATCAATCATTTGCTGCTCCGATTCCCCCTTTTGACCTTTTAGCCATCGCCGTCTCCGCCCAGTCTCAACGACAGATGTTCAGCTCTTTTTCATCACATTTTCTTTCTCTATCGTTTTCATTTTCTCCTTTCTCAAAAAAAAAATAAAATTTTTCAGGTATGCAACCACTTACAGTATTCTTACTTGCCACATTGGCATTGCTTGTGTCTTCTGAAGAGATCAAGAAATTGCCAGGAGTCGATTTCGAACTCAACTTCAAACATTATTCCGGATTCTTCCAAGTTTCTGACAACCACGTGCTTCACTATTGGTTCGTCGAATCTCAAAATGATCCAACCAACGATCCATTGATCTTCTGGTTCAATGGTGGTCCAGGATGTTCGTCGCTCGACGGACTTCTCAATGAAATGGGACCATACGTTGCTAATGAGGATGGTAAAACACTTCGTGAAAATGAGTATGCGTGGAATAAATTGGCTTCGGTTGTTTATATCGAATCACCAGCTGGAGTTGGATATTCTTATGCGACTGATGGAAATATCACAACTAATGATGATTTGACATCGTTGGAAAACTATGAAGCTCTTAAACAGTTCTTCACTGTAAGTTCACGACCATACAAGGCGACCGTTGAGTCAGACACGAGAGTATTTTGCGAAAATGTCCCGAAAATGAATTTCGCTACGAGATATTTACAATAAAACATGTGTTCCTTGAAACAAAATGCGGTGTTTTTTCAAAGGGACACACATTTTCTCCAAAAATATTTCGAAGCGATGTCTTTCTCTGTCTTAGATGACGTCATCTCTCGTCTGACCCCAGGGGTTTTTTCTATTGGAGTACTTAACTGGTCGTGCAAAAAAGTTTTTTTAACAGTTGAAAAAGCTACTCTGAGCTTTTCCCCAATTTTGATTTCTCCAGGAATTCCCACAATTCCGTCACCATGCTACTTTCATTATGGGAGAATCCTATGGAGGAGTTTATGTGCCAACTTTGACTGCCAGAATTGTTGATGGACAAGAAGACTTCCCAATTAATCTTAAGGTAAGTATTTTCCAGGCTTTTAGGAGCTTTTAGAAACTATTAAAGCTCCTTAGAGGCTTCTGGAAGCATTTAAAGGCTTTTAGAGCTCACTTGAAGCTTCTAAAGTCTAACCTACTTTTGGTCTAAAATCAAATTTTTCCAGGGAATGGCCCTTGGAAACGGATATGTTCACGAAACTCTCAACATCGATTCATCAGTTCGTTTCGCTTACGGTCACGGACTTATCGATGAAAAAGTTTGGAATACCCTTGAAACATCGTGTTGTAAAGGATGCATCGATAGTTGCGACTTGACTCAAGTCACTGGACATTGTGCTACGATGGTTGAAGAGATCTTCCAATTCTTGTGGTTCGGCGGGCTTAATCCATATGATTTGTATAGAGATTGTGATCCAAACCCGTCAGCGAACAGCAAGAGAATGACACATTTGTTGAGAGGTGTTGCACCAAAAATGGCCAAGTTTGATAATCTTTTCAAAAATGCTACCAAGAATAGTCTTTATCAATATTTGAAGGTAACTTTTACTTGGGGATTAAGATAGTTTTTTTTTCAAAGAAAAAATTTTTCAGAACAAGCAAGAAAAACCGTTGACCGCTGATGTTCCATGCTTAAATGACACTGAGATGTTGTCATATATGAATGATCCAAAAAGTCAGAAAAGCCATCCATATTCCATTCAACCTTGGAAAATGGGATATTTGCAGTGATAAAGTGACAACAACCTATCAAAAACAATATCAAGATTTGAGTCCGTTTGTCAAAAAGGTTGTGAACAATCATGTTCGCGTTCTTCTTTATTATGGAGACACTGATATGGCTTGCAATTTTATGATGGGACAACAATTCTCAGCTCGTCTTGGACTTAGAGTATGTTATTATACAGTGATTCACGAAATAAAAAAACTTTATTTAACGTTAAAAAACCAAACAAGTGATTTACGAACGGTATTTTTATTCATTTTTTCACCATTTTCTTAATGGGCCTATGCAGAATAATATTTTGTAATAAAAAAACATTTTTTTCCTATGCAGAAAAACGTCTAAAAAACAAAATATACAGTTTATTATTTTGAGTAGAGACAACGTGAAGTTGAGAGAGTGCAGAAAAAAAACCCATTTTATGTCTGCGCTCTCTCAATTTCACGTTGTCTTTATTTTGTTTTTTCGACGTTTTTCTGCATAGGAAAAAAATGTTTTTTTATGTTTTTTTATTACAAAATATTATTCTGCATAGGCCCATTACACATTCCCAACTGACGTGAATAAATTGAAGCTAAAACGCATTTTATTGACCAGAACATCTCCCAAAAAATGAAATTGGTGATTTTCGAAAATTAACAATTGATTTTAAAGGCTTGATTTGTCTTCTCATTTAAAGAACTTGGGATGACATTTCTAAATTTTAAAATTGCGTTTCAGCTTCACTTTATTCAGTGTGTTGAGAAAATGGTGAAAAAATGAATAAAGATACCGTTGGTGAATCCCTTTTTAAGTTTTTTTAACGTTAAAAACGTTTTTTTTTAAATTTTGTTAATCACTTATCAGAAGTCTTCTACAAGCAAAGTTAAATGATTACAGAGAACCCTCAAAAAGACGCCATGGAAATATGACAGACAAATCGCTGGATTCAAAACTCTTTACGATGGTTTGACATTCTTGACTGTTCGCGGAGCCGGACATATGGCTCCACAATGGCGTGCACCACAAATGTACTATGTTATTCAACAATTCCTTCTCAATCATCCAATTTAAAAATGTTTTTTTTTTGTTGAGAAAATCTGTTGACACATATTTCTGTAATTTGTGATCGTTTATAAATTTTGAAATTATATGTCGAGATCAGTAGAAGCTGGAAGTTAGGAAAGAGACCGTCTATATCTCCCGAAAAAAAACTTCAACCTCAAAAAATAATATGGTTGTTGTTTACTTTTTTCGTCGCATTGATAGCATCGCAATACTTTGACAGGCACTTTCTTCATTTTATTTTGATAACACTCTTATCATTACTTTTATTTTTCTCATTTTCATTTTCTCATGTAAATTCGAAAAATAAGAAAATATTTCAGAATGAATTGGACACTGCTTTTAGTTGCAGTGATTGGAGTCACTGTTGCTATGCGAAAACAAGGTGTCGCAGTCAAAGGAGTATTGAAGTGCGGCACTGCTTTCGCAAATCATACAAAAGTTCGGATTGTTGATCTTGACACTGGACCGGATCCAGATGATACCTTAGACGAGAAAAGGACTGGAGCCGATGGTGCATTTTCACTCACTGGAAGCACTCATGAGCTCACTTCTATTGATCCTGTTCTCTATATTTGGCACGAATGTAGAGATGAAGATACTGTGAGTTCAAAAAATGGGGAAATTTTCAAATGAAGCAAATATTTCAGCCATGTTCGCGAAAAATTCGATTCACAATTCCGAAAAAATTCATTCACGGTGGAACCCCAACTGAAGATCAATGGATCGATATTGGAACTATCAATCTTGAAGGAACATTTGATAACGAGGGAAGAGAATGTATTAAAGATTAATTTTTTTTAAATGAAGCATTTTTTAAAAACAACTCTGGCTTTGAAAAGGGGGAGATGGGAAATACAACTTATCCTAACTCTGAATTGGACCAGGGGCACATAGAAACAGACTAGAGACATTTTTTCGAGAGCCTGACCAGTTTCAGAAAGTGGTCCGTACGGAAACTTCAACTTTTACTCTAGATTTTTATTAAAAAATATTTTTTCTAGTTCGACCCGCTGATTCCGATTCCGCCATCTAAAATTACAGAATTCAACTCTTAACATAAGTTATGACGTGTCAAAGTTCAAAATTTTCAAAAAATCTGGAATTATGATCTTCCAAAGTCCCGATTTGTTGAAATTTGACACGTCATAACTCATGTTAGGAGTTGAGTTCTGCAATTTTAGACGATGGAATCGTGATAAGCGTGTCGAACTAGAAAACATATATTTTATTGAAAATCTAGAGCTGAAACACTGGCCTTGTCAGAGCTTTTCCAGCAAAAATAGTCAATTTCAAGCTTCTCCCTTCAAAAAAGCACGCCCTACAAAAATTCTTCCTTATCTCAGCCTCGATCTCTTTCACGTAATGCACGTGACCTCATTTCAAATCGCATAAAACAGCCGCCAAAATCAAATGGATTTTAGTTTAGAAATAATCGCAAACCGTGTACACAAGAGGATTGTGTGTGTGAGCCGAAAGAAAAAAGACCTGTTGTGGAAATGCTCGAGTCTCTTGCTGTTATTGTTAGCACTTCGCTGCCATTGGCTTATGGTATGATCATGTGTGCAAGTGATCGAGATAATGTAAGATACAGCTAAGGGCTAAGCCTAAAAACCAACAAAAAAGTTTTTAGGCTCGTAAAAATAAGAAGAGCGATCGTTCGAAGAAGGGTGGAAAGAGTGGAAAGAGTAAGAAGAGCAGCCGTAGTAAGAAATCATCGCGTAGTAGCCGTGGAAATTCCAAGTCGCGCAAATCGAAATCGAAATCGCGCAAATCATCGAAATCTGGAAAATCCAAGAGATCCAAAAAATCATCGAAGAGCAGCAGAAGCAAGAAATCAACTCGTTCTACTCGTACAGCAAAACAATCTTCAGCAAAATTGGCCAAGAATGCTGAAAAGAAATTGGAAAAATCGAGCAAGAAACCAGTGGACGCCACAACTGCATCGAATGAGGCGAATCGTGGATCGAACTCGGCTCGTGAAACGGCTGCTAAGAAATCGAATATCGCTGAAGAGCTTCGTTCAATCAGTGAGTATTCTGGAATTTTTTGAATTTCCATAACCAAAAAACACTTACAGAACATCTCAAGACGATGAGTGTTGCTCCATCTCGACTTCCATTCCCATCTCAAGGAGGAATCAACAGTATTGACATCAAAAACACTTCAAATGAGCGAAAAGCTTATAAAGTCAAATGCTCTGACAATTTGTTGTATCGCGTCAATCCGGTTTTCGGTTTTGCCGAGCCAAATTCGACTGCCCGTGTTGATGTTTTGCGTGCGAACGGTGAGGAGAAGATGGACAAATTGGTTGTCATTACAGCGACTGTTAATGACGAGAAGGACGCGCGTACTGTCTTCAATCGTGATGGATTAGAACACGAAATGATGGTTGTTCCATTGACAGTCAATTGAGATTCTGCAAATAAATAAATCTGCTGATTTTGTTTTTAAATTTCTCACATACCTGACTGATTAGGCTCCAAATCGCTTCGTTTTCGCGAAAAAATCTTCCCTATAAAAAAACGCTCAAAAAAAATGAATCTTCGCTGTCCGCAATGAACACCATGACGCAAACTTGCACACATTTTTTTGGGCAGCTTGCCAATTTTTCTCAACAGAGCGTAGAATAAAGGGAGGACGAATTGTTCGTTTGGGTCTCGTCGCGATGTGACGCGCTGCTCAAATGTTTTTCATTTTCTCTTTTTTTTCGTTTTTTTCTCTTTTTTCGCCGAGGTTGCGATCTGGAGGCTGCCGTTCAACTCAGCTTCAGAACAGCATGAGCAAGAATTGGAAGAGCTCGAAGCAATTTATACAGAAGGGGAATTCTGAATCGAGAACATCCAGAAATCAGCCTACAAATCACACTGAAATCAAATCAAGTAAGTTTTTGCTTCAATTTATTTGTTAAATTGAAATCATGTAAACTTTTTGCAGTTTGGTGAACCTGGAAATGATGATTTTACAGTTGAATTAAGTATAAAATTCACTGAGAATTATCCGGAAGGGATTCCTGAAATAACAATTGATGGAATTGATGAGAAATTTGAGGTTACTCGGATTTTCGAAATTTCGAGGCAATTGAGAAAATGAAAGCGGTTGCTGAAGAAAATTTGTGTATGGTTATGGTATTTGCGATAGTTTCAACAATGCAAGAAGAAATTGAGGAATTATTAAATGTGAAAAGACGGAGATTGCTCGAAATCGAGCAAAAAGTAGGGAAATGTTGTGACGCCGAAGAGTTTACGCGCTTGGAAGGAGAAATTCGATGCGAAGCGGAAGGCGGCAAATGAGAGTGCGGAGAAGGAGCGATTGGCTGCGTTGGATGGCAGGTTGACGGACGGGAAGACAATTGTTCTTGAAGGGTACCACTTTGAATTTGTCGGATATGACGTTGATTGGAGCACAGGGTGAGGTCGAAATTGATGAGTCACTTTTTGATAAAGAGGTGAGTAACTTTTCTGGGAGAGTGGAGGGGAGGGGGTGGCACAAGGGTAAAAAGAGAACCTTTCCAAGGTAAAACCGCTATATTTCGAATTTGCAAATTCACGAATCGCATCCTTACAAATTATTCATAAAATTTCGCGCTGACGCGGATAACTTGCATGTTTCCATATTAAGATTCCAAATTATTTAGATGCCAACTCAATCGCCTCCATTTTCGACTGGATCATGCAATATATTGGTAATTTTAACTTTATGTTGTTTTTTTTTGTCAATAAATATTATAAAAATAATATGAATTCCTTCATAATGTGGTTCCTCAGCAATCCGGATCCCCGAAATTTCTCTTTCCGCATTCCCAAGAAAAAAATGAATATAATTTTTCAACGGAGTGATTCTACAGAATCTGGTTGGAAAATTGGAAAGCTGACAAAAATATTTATGTGCACGATTGCATTACGGTATTTGCAGCTTTTGCGCTTTTTTTGATTTTTAAATTGAAGAATATTTCTCGAGCTAATTTGAGTTCCCGGGCGAGTAAGCTTTCTAAAAAGACCTTTCGGTCCAGTCTTTGTCTAAAAAACATTTCTAATGAGGTCTCAAGGCTTGGGCTTTGTCTTAAAACGACATGACCCAATCTTTCTAATCAATAAAAAACTGATATGTTCACTAAATGAGAAGATGATTATGGCCAGGTGGTGATTGAACAAGCTTAGGCATAGCGCCCTGGGTCCACTAGTGGAAAAAAATAAAAATAAAAACACCATGGATTACTGTAGGCTTGAAAGTGTGCAAACACCAAACACACAAATCGCCGACATTTTCGCAGAATTTTTTTTTCATTTTTTCCTTTTTTCGCCCGGTTTCACGGCCAGCTTTCAGCCATTTCTAGAATTCTTTCCATCAAAACAAAGCGAAATTTTAGAAAAGCATTTATCAAGCTGTAAATAGTTTTAAAAGTAAACAAGAAATCAGCATTTTTCAAGCAATTTCTTGCATTCATTCATAATTTCCTTGTCGTTAACCGTCTCTGTTGGCAAATTAACTGCTTGCTTCAAATAATTCTTTGCCTTTGCCTTGTCTTTTTTGGATAAATAGCATTTTGAAAGGTAGAAAATGTTCTCAATCCAATCTGGTTTTGATTCGTAGGCGGCTTCGAAATCATTCATCGCATCCTCAATTGTAGCCTTTGGCAGCTCGCCGTACAAAACTGAGGCGCCCTAAAATATATTGTGACTGCAGATTTCAAAAAAAAATAATAATTTAATTTCTTACCTTACGTTCGAACCAAGACAAATTGGCAAGAGTATACGAGAATCTGGCACGAAGATGGAGAAGACAGAAATCTTTTGGATCCATCTCAAGAGCCTTATCCAACATATCTTTCAACTTTCCCCCCTCACTAATCTTCTCTTTTGTTGGCAAAGTGTCGACGTAGAGACCGAAAAGAATAGCGGACCATTTGGCGGCTTCGAAGTTTGTCGGATCAGCTTCGATCGCTTGAAGACCATAGTCACGTCCATCTAAAATTGCTTGTGTTTTCTTTTCTCCACTTGAACAGAAAGCAATATCGTTGCAGAAACGACAAAGGCGCCAAAGAATTTCAGCATTGCGTTCTCCTTAAAAACAAATTTTTCATAATTTTTTGGCTGGATTTTGAATAAGCTTACCATCTTGAAGTCTTTTGTGCAATTCCTCAAATCCCTTTTGGTGTTGTTGAAGCTCATAAAGTTTGTCGGCGTTCTCAAAAGATTGCTGAAAAAAATCACCAAATTTTATTTATTTATTTTTTTGCCAAAGATAATCACTCACCATTGTTAGTTGTTTGTCAAATAGAGATAGTTAGTACGAAACAATGAAGTGAATAACCAAATAAACTCGAATTTCACCTTTTATAGTAGCCAGCGAGGTCGAAAAGCAAAACTTTGGCGGGTAGATCAAAAATCTGAAAAACAAATTTGAAATCAATCAGTCGTTTTTTACTTTTTAAATACTCGTAATGCCTTTGCTTTAAAAAAGTGATAATAGATAAGTGCAATGAGCAAAAGTTTGTAAGAGTTTAGTTTGTAAACTGTTTGTTTTGAGTAATTGTTTCATTTGGTTAAGCGACGTTCAAAAAAAACGATGTGATGATTTTTTTCTTCAAAAATTGAACAGCGGACGAATATGGAATAATGGTGGGAATATTCTTTTCCGCAGCGAAATATTCCACTTTTTGAAAAATGAATTCGAAAAAAATAAATAAATAGCATAAATTTATTATTTTCGCGTGGCCTAACAAAATTCAGGTTTATTTCGAAATTTTCTAAACATCATTATGAAATATGGAAAAGTATGCGACACTCCCAGATAAGGAAGACATTTCAAATAGTAAAATATTTTACTAGGTTCGTTATATCAAAGTTCTCTAACATAATGATTCCGAAAATCCTAGTACGCACAACTGGCCAAAATTCAGTTATGACGTGGCAAAAATGACATTTTCACCGAAATTTGGACTTTTTTCGTGATATTTAATTAGTTTGAGAGTCCTGATTTCACAGCGGTGTTCAAGAAGTTGGCCTCTCAAACTAATCAAAACTCGCGAGAATGGCCCGATTTTTGATGAAAATGGCATTTTTGCCACGTCATAACTATATTTTGGGCGAGTACGATTTTTGGAATCATTTTCCTTTGGGAAAGAATCTTCTCTGTATTTTTCTTGTTCGAAAATTATTTCTGTGTTTCGTATGTTGAACTCCTCTGAGTTGGACATCGACTAAATGGCATTTTATGTTTTTTTAGCAAATGAGTTAAAATATTGGATTTTAATCGTATTCATATGATAGAAAGGTCTAAGACAAATCGAATGATAGAAAATTTTGATGACTTTACGTTATCCATAAGTGATTTAGCGACGTTTAGTCGATCGACTCGGCGTCGCTAAATCACACAATAACGTAAATTCATCAAAATTGATATCATTCTGTTCGTCTTAGACCATTCTATCTTATGAATACGATTACAATCCAATATTTCAACTCACTTTCTAAAGAAAACATGAAAATGTCATTTAGTCGATTTAGTCGTTGTCCAACTATACTCTGAGCTCAGGCTCATGATCTGACCTCATATACATCTCGTGACTTTTGTCCATTATCACAAATAGCCGATGCATCAGACAATAACAAAAAAGTTTAACACTTAAAAAATCCGACTCATGTCATCCATCCATTTATTTCTTCTATTTCCCTCACTCCTCTTCTCCTCTCACACTATCTCTTCTCAACACTGCCTCTTTTTCTTTTTATTATAAATTTTTTTTTCGAAAAAAAAACACTGAAATATGCATTTTTCTTTTTGCAGAAAGAATGCCACCTGGAGATTCCTCGAATTTACAAAATATGGAAACTGAAGAGAGGAGAGAAGAGGATGAAGGTTAGCTTTTTCATCATTAAAATTAAATTATAAAAAAAAATATTTTTAGAAATTGGTTACAAATCACAAATTTCAATTGATGATTGGTTTGTTGATGAAATCATGAATTTCAACGAAGTTCTATCGGTGAGCTTGGGAAAAATATGCATTTTTTTCAAAAATTTTCTCATCACAGGACACTGAAAAAGTCTACGCAGCTGTGAAAGTCTGGAAAGATATCGCTGACAATCTTCGGCGAAACAATTATCCACTTTGCGAGGGAATAGCGAATACTTCTAATTTTGATGAATCTTTGAAAAGGGACGCAAGAAAATTAGAGGATTTTCTAGACTGGATGATAACAAGTCACAATATAAAGGATGAGACGTTTTATCAGAAGATACGGATTCTTTTGGCACAGGGAGACAATTATAATTCGTTTAAAGAGAAAAGTATGTGGAAAGATATGGAATGGGTTTTAAAAAATTAATCGGGCTGGGAAGCTCCTTTTTTGCGAAATTGAAAAAAAGATCATGTGATTTTAGACCTTGAACATTCGTCAAATACGAAATGGGTTTCCAAAATGGCTTCGAACCATTTTTGAAATGGGTCCGAGGAACACAGCGAAAAATGGTTCAAAAATTCAATATGAATCCGCTCCTAATTTCTGTTTCTTTTGGATCAATGCTTTCAAAAAGTGTCCGATAAATTTCGAAATTTTTGTAAAATGGCTCCACAAAATCGGTTGAAACTTCAAGAATTACTATTTTTGTGATATGGGTCCGAAATTAGTAATTCTTGAAGTTTCAATCGATTTTGCGGACCCATTTTACAAAAATTTCGAAATTTATCGGACACTTTTTGAAAGCATGGATCCATTTTGTGAAAAACATAAATCAGGAGCGGATTCATATTGAATTTCTGAACCATTTTCCGCGGTGTTCCCCTGACTTATTTCAAAAATGGTTCGAAGCTATTTTGAAAACCATTTCGTATTTGACGAATGTTCAAGGTCTAAAATCACATGTTTTATTTTCAATTTCGAAAAAAATATAAAGAAAAGCTTCCCTGTCCGATTGATTTTGTTTCTGACAAAAATGATAGAGGCTCTTTTTTTCAGCTTCTTATCATCATCATATCACACAAAAATTTCAGCAATATAATAAAACCATATAAAAAAAATTTTTAAACATATAATAATCGAAAAAATGATACCATGCGCAAAATTGATGAAATATCAAAAGATTGTGTAATCTCTTTCAGTGAACAAGTTGGACATTTCGACAAAATGTAACAAAATATGGGAAAATGATGCGGTTGCGTATCGTTGTAACACTTGCGCGCTAACACCCTGTATGTCATTATGCGAATCCTGTTTCGAGCAAAACGGACATGCTGGACATGATTTCACGCGATTTTTGTCGCGAGAAGGAGGCGCGTGTGATTGTGGAAATGAAGATGTCATCAAACCGGAAGGGTATTTCTAGATACTAACTTTTTTTTAATTCAAATTTTTTTTCAATAGGTTTTGCGATCGACATGGTGATATGATAAATAAACCGCCGACGAATTTCATCGATGTTTCGCTTCCTGAATATATTATGGTCAAACTTTTAGTTAGATTGTTTTTGGAATGGAGAGGATGGGTGAGTTCGGAAGGATGAGGAACCTGTTGCTGGCCAGAGTAAAATTTTGAAAAATTTCTGAATTTCAGTTTTCAGGGGTCGAAAATTGACGAATTCAGAGTTTTTAGAGGTCAAACGTTGAAAAATTCACAGTTTTCATACTGGAAAAAAGTTAGCGCACAATTTTTTTTTTTGAAAAACACGATTTTGGCCGAGGTGTGACGTCAGATTTGTTGAAAATTTTGCCACGTTATTTTTTGCGAGTTGTTCTGAGACTGTTGAAAGAAACCCACTTTAAAAGTTAGAACAACTCGCAAAAAGTAACGTTATTACGTGGCAAAATTTCAAACAAATCTCGGCCAAAATTGTAGTTTTCAACATGAAAAATAGTACGCTAACTTTTTCCAGTATGAAAACTGTGAATTTTTCAGTTTCGGACCTCTAAAAACTCTGAATTCGTCAATTTTGGACCTCTAAAAACTGAAATCAAGATTTTTTTTCAAAATTGCACTCTGGCCAGCCACGGATGTTCCCCCTTGGGATGTTTTCCAGCTACCAAAATTTCCCCAAACCACACCTCGGCCAAGCCGTGGCTGGCCAGAGTACAATTTTGAGAAAAATCTGAATTTCAGTTTTTAGAGGTCAAAAACTGACGAATTCAGAGGTTTCAGAGGTTTTTTTGAAAACCACGATTTTGGCCCAGGTGTGCCCCAAACATTCATTTTCCAGTGGTCCCGAATGTCATCCCACAAACGAAGACACGATGAAAACTATCCCCAACCAGACGGTGCAAGCACCTTCAATTTGGGATTACATTGTGAGGAAGAAGCGAAAAATATACTGAAATTGATTGAATTCCTTCAAGAATGTGTGAATTATGGTGGACCGATGAGGGAAGCAATGACACGGATTTTGCTGGATAAAGAAATTTACAAATCGTTGACTGAAAAACGGGGAGAACATGTTGGAGGTTGGCAAATTCTCTCAATTTCAATTTCAGCTTCAAAAAATTTCAGAAACCGACCGGATTGAAGTGAATTTGGATTGGAGAACTCGACATTTATTTGATGACGATAGAATTTCGTTGATGCTTCCCGAGGATATCGCAAAAATATTCCCATTAATCAATAGTTTCGATAAATTGACTTGTGAAACACTACTCGATGAATTGATATTCTGGATTATTCGCCAAAATTTCCCGCACAGTTTGATCAATTTTTCCCTGAGTATGTTATCCGAAATCAGTTATCGAGATACATTTGCCACCCGATTCTTCACCTGGTATCCTCTAATCGGAAAAGTATTTCAAGAATTATGTCTATTCCAAGCTGAAAATGGTAGACATGGAAATATTGATCGAGTTCAATTAACTGGAAGTCGTGTAATCCACGTGTCCGTGCAAATGTTGTCTTCCGGAGTGCTATGCAAAAAATTGAATGATGAATGTGATCTTGTGAATACAGTTTGTAATGTTACCAAATTCCTGTTATGCGAGAGAATGATTCCAACAGATTTCACATTTGATCCAACGTTGAGATATTTGATGCATGTTGATGTTCTTCGCGATTATTGGAAATCCAAGTGGAATGTATTACAAATCGATACAAATGCTTCAATTGACCAACATGGATATTGGTTTGTAATGGGAGATATGCAAAATCTATTGTCGCATTCTGAAGTTGTTATATCAGCCATCCTAAATCCAATCACATTTCGACAAACTTACATTGGAATGTTGGCGAAGATGCAAGGAATGAATCAGATATGGCGGATTGTTTTAGGAGTTCATCAAGAAATGGATACAACTGATGTTGTACAAAGATCGTATTCATTAGAATATGAGACACTTGCTGTTACATTGTTCAATATGATTTCATCGATTCAACAACAAAATCATTCACAAGCTGCGGTTGTGTTTTTCGATGCTGTTTATGATGAATTAAAGGTAGAGGAGGGTTTTGGAGCTTTGAGAAATGCAATATTTGAATCTTGCTGAATTTTAGCTTCGAGACAAAAATCCAGAAATAAAGGTGGATTCCGAGCAAAAAATAAGTTGTGCTCATTTTTGAGAAAAACTGCATGATTCAAAATTTACGGGTCTGAAAATATCCCAAAAATTCTAGAAAAATTGAAGTAAAACTCTAGAGAGCTGAACATTTCCAGCTGAAAATTATAGCAAAATGTGAAGAATTTTCAGCTCTTCAAGACCTGATATTCTGGTCTTGAAGAGCTGCAAAATTCTACACATTTTGGTATATTTTTCTTTTTTTTTCAGCTGGAAATCTTCAGCTCTAGAATTTTACTACTCTAAATTTTTCTAGAATTTTTGGGATATTTTCAAACCTAAAAAGCGTGCAAATTTTGAATTATGCAGTTTTCTAAGCTCTGAAAATCTCAAATTTCAGAAGAAGGCGCATAAAAATTACCAAATCTTGCAAACGTAGAAATTTAGATCTGCAGCGAAAAATACACCAAAATGTTCAGAATGTTGAGCTCTACGAGGTCTCGAGACGAAAATTCAGAATTAAAAATATCTGGTCTTGTAGAGCTCAAAATTCTACACATTTCGGTATATTTTTTAGCTGGAAATCTTCAGCTCTAGAATTTTTTTTCTCAAAAAATTTCGATTCAGAAAATGTCGAAAAACGATATTTTTTCCTATTTTTTTGGACATTTTTCCCACAAAAAAATGTCAAAAATAGGAAAAAAAACTGTTTTTTGACATTTGCTAAATCTTTCACCCAGATTCACCAGAAAAAGATTTAAAAAATGTATTTGAATTTCAGGAATGGTTCAGTGATTTGGGAATCGATGAAAATGACGAAACCCTCCGATGTCAACCCTACACAGTCTCCTTCCATATCCCACTTCACCGCCTTCTATCAACCGCTCTCACACATCTCCACAATATTCCCGGCTTCCGTGATCATCTCTCCACAAAATTCCTCAACGACGAAAAAATCCTGAAATACCTCATCTTCCATCCGCTTCGTATTCAAGTGGCTCGCGCCGAAATTCATTGTGGAATGTGGGCGAGAAATGGAGGCGATGCGAGAATGTTGTCGTTGATCTATTCACAAAATAATGTGAATAACGCATTTCAAACACCGGATATTGATTTGATTCGATATTGCACATCGAAATGCGATATTGAATGGTTGATTCGAATTTTTTGCGAGGCGTTTTATTTGGATGAGAAAATTATTTTTGAAAAATCGCAAGAGCGACGAGATGTGTCGAGTTCGAAATTGATTGAATATGTTATCGATTATCAGAATTGTGAACTTCCAATCGAAGCAACTATCACTGAACAACAGAAAATCGAAATCTTGAAGGAATTGTCTACAGATATCCCAAATATCACATTGGCAAGAAGACAAGCAGTTCGAGATAATAATTTATGGACTGATGAAGAGGAACAACGAAGAATGCAGCAAGCAATTCGAGAAAGAATTGTCAATAATCTACAGCGATTTGAAGAAGTAAGATTTTTGGGCTTTTGGGGTCATAAGAAAACCCTATAAATTATTTTTGGACCAAGTTCTGGGCTCTCAAAACTTAGCATAACTTAATTCTCGATCATTTTTATGAGAAACTGAGTAGCAGAAATGATTTTTTCCCAATTTTTAAGCAAAATTATTTATTTTCATCCAATAAAGAAAACACTGTTTGATAATTAATAATTCTGAAATGCCGAATAATTTGAAATGATTTTTTTGAAACGTATTTTAAGTAGGAAAATTGAAAATATTATAATAACAATTCTCAACCGTAGATAATCACAAGTTTTCTCAAAAAAGGAAAAAAGATATGAATTTTCAGCCGAAAAATGAAAAAATTTTGAAGTTTTTCATTTTTTGGCTGAAAATTCATATACCTGCTTATTTTTTTTCCAAAATCAAAAATTGTTTTCTGCAAATTTGATTTATTGATGCTTTTTTGGGTAAATCGACCACGCGAATCAGTTTTTTATAAAAATCATCGGAAGTTGAGTTATGCTAATGTTTAAGAGCCAATTTTGGCAATTTTTGAACTTTTGAAGCCCAGAACTTGGCTTAGAGGTCCAGAAAGTTTTCAAAAAAAACAATTTCATCAAGATTTGAAGTGTTGAGTAAAAAAGGTTCTCTTGTACCTAAAATCAATTTTTATTCCAGATTCGACAAGAGCCAATTGAAATGGTGCCAATTTTGGATCGACCCGGATTCACAGCGGAAGCCATGGAAAAATTGGGAGCCACTCAAAATGGACCACGCTTGCCTGTTATTTTAAGACCCGAGTGGTTGGATCCAATGATTCAGGGAATGTTGAAAATGATTGCCGAGCTTTTGGTGGTTCGAGTGAATTGTGGAGCAACTCCCGAAGAACACTATAAATCGGAATTGATTTATAGTTTGTGTAGTTATCGAATGACACACTCGAAACTTCGAGGATCTTTGTGTGAGAAGGGAAGTCGATCGACAGAGGCGATTGATCGAGTTTTTGATGGGATTTTGAGAGAGGTAAGATTGTTTGGGTGTTCACGTATTTATCGAAAAAAAAATCGGCCCGAGAATTTATCGAAAAAAATCGGCCCGAGAATTTATCGAAAAAAAAATCAGCCCGAGAATTTATCGAAAAAAATCGGCCCGAGAATTTATCGAAAAAAATCGGCCCGAGAATTTATCGAAAAAAATCGGCCCGAGAATTTATCGAAAAAATCGGCCCGAGAATTTATCGAAAAAAAATCGGCCCGAGAATTTATCGAAAAAAATCGGCCCGAGAATTTATCGAAAAAAAAATCGGCCCGAGAATTTATCGAAAAAAATGGGCCCGAGAATTTATCGAAAAAAATCGGCCCGAGAATTTATCGAAAAAAAATCGGCCCAAAAATTTTTTTCGATAAATTCTCGGGCCGATTTTTTCAAGTGGTTTCCAGAACTAAACATTGTACATCAAATTTTTTTATGAGAAAAGTTTGAAATTTTCAACTTCAAGAGATAATTCCGCAGTTTTCTGAACTCTAAAAGTGGATTTTTTCAAACATTTTTTCGTAGATCGCAAATTTCATCGAACCCGACGCAAATCTCGCGCATGGAAGTATGCAACAAGGTGTTTATGAATTGAAAGATTCCACGTGGGATAATGATGTTTGCCCGGTTTTTTGTTTGATGAGATCGAATGGACAAAGACATATTTCGGATATTTTTGAAGTTATTGCTGAGAAGTCAGTTACTTTTTATTTATCATAAGCCTTAATCGTAATCCTAAATCAAATATTTTCAGAGATCGACAATTCATCAAGAACCATGATATTTATTCGGATATTGTGACAGATCAATCATTATGGATTCCATTTAGATTAATCGATTTTTCAAAAAATCGAAGACATGAAGGAATTTCGAAAATTTTCTCGATTTTGCACACGGAACAACTTCTTTACACTTGCTGTTTGACACTTTTTATGCATTTTGAAAATGTTATTTCACTTCATTATAATACAATACAATTGGCTCTGTATATTTTGACATTAGCTGTTAAATATTCGCAATTCAAATTTGATTCGGAACAAAATTCGGATGAGAGGGAACATTTGAAAAATGTGTATCATACTCCATTCAAAATGAATGTCAGGTTGGTTTTGAAAAAAACTTTTTTTTCATAATCCACTAAAAAACCCTAAATTCAGATCAAATGAGAGTTATACCTGCACAATTTTCTCAATTATTTTGAATATTTTCGAAAAAGAATGTCGGAAGCTTGGATGTTTTGAGAGAATTTTGCGAAAAGTGCTCGATTCCGAATTTGATGTTGAAAAGGTTTATGGTGGAGCTGCGATCTATTTTGCTAGGTTTATGTCGATTTTTGTGAGAATGTATGGATTTTTTCTTTGGGGAGCTCAAAAATCTAGAAATTTCTGAAAATCGCGTTTTTGGGAGCCCATTGCTCATGTCAGAGGAGATTTTGGCCAAAACTGAGTACAGGGCGATGTTCAAGGCAAAAAAATTGACAAAATTTTCAAAAAATTTAATAAAATCTTCTCTAACATGAACAATGGACTCTTAAAAACGCGATTTTTGCCTTTTCTTCTGAAAGTCGAAAAATTTCTGCTGAAATTTGAAGAGCCCAAAAATGTAGCATTTTCTGAAAATCGCGTTGCTCATGTTAGAGAAGATTTTGGCCAAAACTGAATACATGGCGAAAAATGAGCCCATGTTCTGAGAACAAAGTCAGATATTCAGTTTTTAATAAAATCTTCTCTATCATGAGCAATGGGAGATTTTTGTGCTCTTCAGAAAGTCGCAATGCAAAAAAAAAACAATTTTTCAGAAGTTCAACTGCAAGGGATATTTTGAAGGCAAAACTGGAGGATGAAATAAAGGAAAATGAGAAATTGAAGGATTTCAAAGATGAATCGGAAAAACAAAAATCGGCAAAGAAATCGGCAAAAGAATTGGCGAAACAAAGAATGGCTCGAATAATGGAACAAGCAAAAAAGAAAAATCAGGAAACAATGAAGAAAATGATGGAAAAAGAGGGAATGTCAAAGGAACAAGTTGATGAAATGAACACGAAACAATCAACGAAGTTGTATGATTGTCCGATTTGTGGAGATGTTCAAATTCCGAACACTTTCCACGCTCCGCTGGGAATGCTGGTGAAAGTCTCGTCGAATTTTATCGCAGAAGAAAGAGTTGCCGAAAATTTGCCGCCGACTTTGAGTATTTGCGAAACTGATCAGAATTTTGAATCTGAACACGTGGAAGCTCAATTCAAAACTAAGAAGATGTATACTTTTGCAAGGAAGGGGCTGGGAAACGTTGTAAGATCTTGACTTCAGAGAAAATTTTTTGGATCAAAATTTTTGAAATTCTAGGTGCCTGAGGAAATCGACATGCTAAATCCGTCAACTGGAGTTGATTTGAAGACTTGTGGACATACAGCTCATACAACATGTTTTAAAACATATCGGCAATCTGTGGTGAGTCATTTTTAGAGGGACGGGACTAGACTGTTTTTTAAAAAATTTGATACGACCATAATTAGAGACAATGGAAAATTGAGAGAGTCTAGACAATTTTTCTTGTATTTTTCGTTCGAAAACTATTTTTGTCTGCACTCTCTCAATTTTCCGTTGTATCTCTCTACTCAAAAATAACAATCTGTATATTTTTTCTTTCGAGGTTTTTCTGCATAGCAGGCCTGAGCCAGAAAAATTCCCGAATTTTCCGGATTTTCCGGTTTTTTCAAGGAAAAATCAGTCTTCCGGTTTTCCGGAACTTTTTTTTAGTCATATTTAGTCTTCCGGAACTTTTTTTAGTCATATTTTCAAAATTGCCTAAATTTTGGGAACTTTTCTCAAGTTATTATCGAAAAAATGAAACTTTTGGAATTTTTTTTTTCAAATTTTCAAATGTTACGATTTTTGAACGTAAAACTTTCAAATTGTCACTAAATTACCTGTGAATAGAAAAATTGTAGATAAAAATAAGTTTTAGTGCCAACTTAAGGCTCGAAATTTCAGACCGTGAAAAATTTTCCGGATTTTCCGGTTCAAAAAATCCGGAAATTTTCCGATATAGTTTCTGTAACTTCAAAATCAGCCAGATTTTTGAAGAGAAAAACATTCATTTTACTGAAATTTTCAATTTTGATTTTTTAATTTAAAATTTTGGAATTTTAATTTAAAATCTATGAAAATTAAAAAAAAACTGTACGAAAATTTTTAAAATGTAAATTTTCAGTATGATTCTTCACACGGTCGAGTTTTCACTGAAACCAGCGAAGTCGGATGTCCTTTATGTCGATTCACAGTCAACGCAATTGTCCCACTAAACGTTGAATATGGTTTTGAAATTGAAAATCGAACACCGTTTTTGAAAGAGGAACAAGTCATCAAATCAGTTATTGAGAGTTTTAAAGCCAGTAAAATTGTGAGATTTTATTTGATAAACAAAATTTAATTTTTAAAAAAAATTTCAGACCGAAGATTCAAATTTGAATGGCCTTCTGATGGATGTTGTGAAGTGTCGAAAAAGAACAAGTGATTCGAGCGAGAAGAAAATGTATTATGAATCGGAAACACCATCAACATCAATGGTTGCGATGGCTGTGTAAGTTGAAATTTTTTTTTTGAAAATCATCTTTTAAAATATTAAAATATTTCAGAGCAAACGTCGAGAGAAGTTGTATTTTACGAGAAATGAAATATGAAGAAAGGCGGAAAAATACATCAACTCTGATCACTGAACATCTTCTATCTGCCTCGGTTTTCCTATCAGAAACCAGAGATTCCGATACGGTTTTGGGAGTTTTGTACAATTTGCTCGGACAGAATTATGAGAAATATCAGATTGTGAAGGAAGTGGTTCCGGAACAATTGAATGTTGAAGGATTGGATTTGGATGATATTGCTGTTGTGAGTTTTTTGGGAATACATATTTTCTAGTGGTTTTCGACACGATTCCGCCATCTAAAATTGCAGAACTCATTTCCTAACATGAGTTATGACGTGTCAAAAATCAAAATTTACAAAAAATCTGGAATTCTGACCTTCCAAAGTCCCAATTTTTGAATTTTGACACGTCATAACTCATGTTAGGAGTTGAATTCTTCAAGTGTCGAAAACTACCAGAAAACATAAATTTTATTAAAAATCTTGAGTGAAACAGTTCCCTTTTTAGTGTCAGAATCTCAATTTTCCAAAAAAAAATGGGAAGTTACACAAAATTTGATTTTTCACCGCTTCTGAACAGTAAAATTTCAAAAATTCTGAATTTTTCTCAAAAATTTTGAAAATTGAAGGTTAAAAACTTTTAGTGTCTCAACTTTCTAAGAATTTTTGAGATCTTAAAATGCGAAGAAATTTCACAAAAGTCGACTTTTGAGCGAAATATTCAGAATTTTTACCTTTTTAATAAAATTTTTTTAAATAAAATAATTTTCAAAAAAATAAAATAAAATTTTGAAAATTGAACGTTAAAAAACTTTTTACCGTCTCAACTTTCAACTTTTCAAGAATTTTTGAGATCTTAAAATACGAAAAAACTTTCAGAAAAGTCGATTTTTGAGCAAAAAATCAAAATTCAGAATTTTTACCTTTTTAATAAAATAATAATTTAAAAAAATTCAATTAAATTTTGACAAGTGAACGTTAATAAACTTTTTAGTGTCTTAACTTTCAACTTTTCAAGAATTTTTGAGATCCTAAAATTTCAAAAGTCGATTTTTGAGCAAAAAATCCAGAATTTTTCTGAAAAAATTGGACTTGGCTCAAAATTCCCAAAATTCCACCAACAAAAAAACTCTTCGAAAAATCTATTTCAGCTCACAAAACGACAGCGAAAATCACCAGAATCTGAATTATCTGCGGAAAAATCAATACATGTTAGTGTTTTTCCTATTTTCTCCCATTCCTTCAAAAAATCAATAATTCAGAATCCTGTTCCATTACTCATGTATGATCCAAATCCAATGTTTGCGCGATGTATCGCAATTTTATTTGAGAGCAAAATTTATTCCGAAAGTGATAAGAAATGTGAGTTTTCTACATATTTTTTACATAATTTTCAAAACAAAAAAATGGTTTCAGGGATTTCTCGCGCACTTTTCTCTTCATTTATCGATTGGGTTACTGTACGTGGTCTTGTTCGATTAATTCTTCGATTATCCAATGAAAATCTTGTGGAAATTCGCGAGAAAACACGGAAAATTAGTGGATTGTCCGAAGAATTGCAGGAAATATGTCAGACAATTTTAGAAACTTTGAATAGTAATGAGGCATATTTCGAACATTTGCTCAAATTGAAGTTGAGCGAAGATGGCGAGGAAAAAACAATCAATGATTTGGAATTTGTTGAAAATATTTCGAAGTTTGTTGATGGTTTCAAAGCGTTTGGAGAAGAACTTTTGAATCATATTGGATGGAAACAAAATGACGAGGATTGTGAGTTTTTTCATTTTTTTTAAATATAATTTCAAAAAAAAAAACAAAAAAATATATAAAAAATATAATTTTCAAGATACATTCGATAAAAATCCAACAAAAATCGTGAAATGGATCAAGGATTATCAAAATGCTATATTTTGGTCGTTCAAAATGCCACAACAGGTTAGTTAGTCCAAATTTTGATCCTCGTTTTCTTTACACGAACCAATAGCCAATACACAGATTATAAAGAATATCACGAGACAATCGAAGATCTAGAAAAATTTGTTTTTTGAGAAAAGTTAGCCTAACTTTTGGGTTGAAAAAAAAACGTTTTTCGATTCAGAAACGATATTTTTTAATTTTTTGTGTGGAAAAAATTCGGTTTTTTAACATTTTCTGAATCGAAAATTAACGTTTTTTAGTAAAATTAATTTTTATTTAAAAAAAAACTCACTAAAAATGTTGTGCAAGCAATAAATGCACACCAATACACTGTAGGATCACAATAGTGCCTTTCGAACATTCCTTCTTGAAAACTGACCAATGTTTTACTACCGTATGTCCAAACACAGCCTTGAATGGAAAAGTTTGGTTCAAGAGTTGGAATTGTGGATTTGGGGAGAAAAATGGGCCAAAAATCAATAATCTTTGTTAATTTTGATCTTATTTTTGCTCTCAAACTCATGAAAATCATGATTTCAATTAGAATTGGCGTGAAATTTAGGTCGGGACAGTTTTTCGCCGGTATTTTTGAATTAGGAGGGACTAGGTTTTGCAACATGAGAATTCTAGTCCCTGGCCATTAGATTACACATTTTCTTACCCAAAATGAGCCAAACCAAATTGGCAATTAAAAAGAGCACTTCAATTCCTTTGCATAATAAACTTGCTCCAAGTTTTCTTTGTTGTCTTCGAATTTGTGTTTTCTTCGGTGTCGGAATCAGAAAATAAATTCGAAATGCGGACGAAATAATGAATAAAATCCCGGCAACAACTAGCCAAATCGGAATCATTGGTTGTAGTGCGCAAAATGGTAGATTCAAAATTCCAAAAATGATCATCAAAAATGCGAGAAGACTCAAAATCGACAGAATTGTGATGCTCACCGCGTATGGGATTTTGTCGTTGATATAATCGCTGAGATTTTTCGCGAATTCGACAGTATCTCCGCTTTGCGAATAGACGTCGGAGATTTTTTCGGGACGGCGACGTGAATCAGTTGAATCGGCTGGAAAAATGTTGGAAATTAAGCTAGGATTTTCTGAGTTACCTTGTGAATACGTGGCTGCTGGAACATTATGATATCTTGGGTCAGTTTCAAATCGAACTGGTGATTTGGCCAGAAGTGGTCTTTGAGAATTTGTTGAGGAACGATTGTCTGGGAGGTAGACACGTGGATTTGTTCGAGTTGAGGATAGGGTTTGGGAACCTCTGGAAATTTGGAATTTGGCCAAATCCAATTGGAAATTCAAGTCGAGAAAAAACAATAAAAAAAACTTTTTTTTCAAAAAATTTCGATTCAGGAAATGTCAAAAAACTATATTTTTTCTTATTTTTCACATTTTTTTCCATTGAAAAATTTTCCCTGCAAGATATTTTCTACTTTTGTGTGGAAAAAGTATATGGGGTGATTCAACTCGAAAAATATCAATTTAAAAAATTTTCGATCCAGAAAATGTCAAAAAACTCTATTTTTTCACACAAAAATGAAAAATATCTCGCAGCCAAAATATTTCAATGAAAAAACATTAAAAATAATAGAAAAATAATATAGTTTTTTGACATTTTCTGAATCGAAATTTTCTTTTTAAAAAAAAATTTCACAAGGGAACCTTTTTTACTCAACACTTCAAATCATGATGAAATGTTGTCCAGAGACAGCTTTTGGGGCCATAAGAACACCCTAAAAATCTTAGTTACCCAATGGACCTATGAGCCAAGTTCTGGGCTCTCAAAAGTTCAAATATTGCCAAAATTGGCTCATAAAACACGTCATAACTCAATTCTCGATCAATTTTATGAAACTGAGTAGCAGATGATGATCAGCGTGGTCGATTTACCCAAAAAACATAAATAAATCAAATTTTCAGAAAAAATTTTGATTTTGAAAAAAAGAATGAGCAGGGGCACATATGAATTTTCATGAATTTTCAGCCCAAAAATAAAAAACTTCAAAATTTTTCGAAAAAATGTTTTTTATTGATTTACTTTTAGGTAATCGACTATGCTGATCAATATCTGAAACGTTATTTCTCCCAAAAAAATTTTTGAAATGGAGCTATGATGACTTTTGTGACCATTTTTAGGCCTTTTTTGAGTTTTTGAGAGCCCAGAACTTGACTCAGAGGTCCATTGGGTAACTTAAATTTTTAGGGTGTTCTTATGACCCCAAAAGCTGTCTCTGGACACAATTTCATCAAGGTTTGAAGTGTTGAGTAAAAAAGGTTCCCTTGTCAGTAGATTTTTTTTATTAATTTTTTCCGACTTGAATTAACCCAAAAAATGAAAAATTTTAATATCAGTAGATTACGGAAAACTAGAATTCGAACAAATTTCGAAATACAAAAAAAACCCAACCTTGGAAATGGATTATTCGACATCGCAGAAGATGATGGCAAAATTGGTGTTTCTGTTTTCTGAGGCGATCGGGAAGAGCTGAAAGTGTTCCTCATTGACAAAGTTCTCCGAGCGAGCCCAAAAAATCCTCCAGGCCGTTAAAATTCATTAAATTGGTATAACAAGAGTTACTGACTGTCAAGAAAAATTTAGGCGTACAAAAAATTTTGTTCAGCAATTTTTGATATACCACTTTTTGAATTCGGCCTCAGAATCAGAATTCATCTAATTCTCAAAACTCACTTCGAACTACTCATATCAACTCTCAACCTCTGTGCAGCAGATGGTGTAACCGATGATTCTTGACGTGAAGGTGAAGGTGTATGTCGCATTTCGCTGAACGCTCCCATTCGCTCCGAAACAACCATTGATGGAGTTCGCGAGTGACTCTAAAATGACAAAAAAATGGATTTGCGGAAGAATTTACGAGAAGAGCAAATAATTAGTGCATTCTACATAGTACGAAAGATCAGATGAGTCACCAATTTCAACATTTTTTGCTTCGAGTTCAAGGCTCAAAGCAAAAAAATCAATAAGTTTCGAAATAGTTTACTATTAACAAATCGATGGTTTTTTTCCGCTTCAAAAATCATGTGTGTTATGTAAATAAACAGTACTCGTCTCATTTGTCATCAATCTAATTTCATAACTTTCTTACCTGCGGCGGAAAAGATGTTTCATTCTTGAGATAATTCGTCGATATATGAGATCCGGAATTTGATGTGTCGTGTGAAGCTGGCATTTCGTTTTTTCTCTGATAAAATAACAGTTTTGGGAAAAATTTGAGAGCAAATAGACGGAAAAAATCGATAAAATAGGTGTATGTGAAAAAATAGATAAGAAGAAGAATTCATGAAGATTTTTCTGATAGAAATTTTTGGAAAAAATGGGAAAAAAGAGGCCAAATAAAGCAAATTGAAACATGAAACCTCTTTTTTTTCACGTGTCTATGTCTATGTCTATTTCGAGTTTTTTGTGTGTACTTTTCTCTTTGAACTCAATCATTTGAACTTTTTCTGTTTGCACGGGAATTTTTTCTAGAGTGTAGCCGCCTTTTGAAAAAAATAATAAAAAATGTAGACGCGAGGCGGATTCGAACCCGCAACCTTCAAACTATGAACGTAGACACTTACCGCCTACACCAGACTTGGGAAATTTTACGTGGAAAAATTTTGTTACTTTTCATGAAAAACAGCAAAAATTTCTTCATTCAAAAATTGGGATTTGGTAATTTATCGTATTTAACTCTAACATAATTTTAACTATATTATTCTCAGAAAATTTTCTTTAAAAAATGTTTGTGTTTTTTTTTTGGAAGTTTCAATTTGATTCTGTTAAAATTCACGTTTTTAGTGATTTTTTAACGAATTATCTAACGATTTTTTGAGCCGTAAAAATCGTAAAAATCCCCAGGTCAGGACTTTTCGCAATCACTAAAGTTTCCAAATATTTTTCTTAGAAATACAGTACCAAAAGTTGGACTTCTCAGAATTTCGGCATTTTTTCAATTGATTCAGCTTTCATTCAAAAACTATGAGCACACCACTTTCTAGACAACTAGAGTGTTAATTACATAGTTTTGCAACGTAAAATTTGTGGGGTTTTTGACAAGGAAGTTTTGGAATCACTAACCGTAAAACGTAAAAATTCCCAGGTCTTTGGCTCCGCTATGAGCTCAGAAGCTGAAATTCACATGATCTCATCAATTTCTATAATTTTAAATTTGTGTGAAAAAATATTTAAAAAAAAAAGAAAGGTACATCTCGAACTTTTGTAAATAGTTTTCGAAATGATGCGTGACTGAGCAAACAAACGAATTTATGATTCAGAAACCTTGAAAAATCAACCAAAAACTAATAAATCGAATATTTTCCGGAATGATTTTGTTCTATGTTTTCATATGATGTCAGCGAAAAATTTGGAACATTTCCAAAAATTTTTTCGTGATTTTTCAACAAAAAATATATATTTATAACAAATAATTTTTTTCAAAAAAAAAGTTTGTTGGGACAAGAATAAGGAATGTGTCATCATACAAAATACAATAAAAGATTCATTTCTTTAAAAAAAAGTAAATATTGTTTGTGTTTCAGCCATTGACAACGGAACCATTGAATTGGAAACCGCGAAGAATTCTACGACTTCCCCAGAATTATGACGATTTATTCAATCGATATTTTCATCGAGAATGTTTGACGTGTTGTAAGGTGAGATTTTTGAATGGAAAAAAATTTGGGAAAATTTGGATTCGGTTAATTGTGAGCCGAGTTTTAGAGCTCTAAAATTCAGAAAATCGTGGTTTTTCATAATTTTCTGAATTTGTGTTCTCAAAATTCATAATTTTTCTGGTTCCAGAAAATTTTTTTCAAAATTTTCGAATTTTCTAAACTTTTGTAGTTTTCTTTCATTTTTTCAACTTTGAAGCTTCATAGCAGCTCAAATTTTTTGAAAAAAAATTCCAGAAATTTTTTTCAACATTTTCTGAATTTGTTCTCTCAAAATTCATAATTTTTCTGGTTCCAGAAAAGTTTTCTCTCAAAATTCATAATTTTAAAGTTTTTTTTAAATTTTCAAAGTTTCTTTTGAACTCTATTAAATTTTGGATTTTTCAACAAATGTTCGAATTTTCTAAACTTTTGTACTCACAGCAACTCAAATTTTTTGAACAAAAAATTCAGAATCTCCAAAAATGCCAAGAAATATTTCATTTTGCTCCAAAATTTCTGAATTCCACCCAGAAATTCCAAAAAAAAAACATTTTTGACCTAAATTTCCAGCTAATCCTCAAAAAAATCAATTTTTAAAAAAAATTTTCCAGGTTCCATCTTATCCCTTGATTTGCTTGATGTGTTCCAAATTGATCTGCCTCGGCGATTGTTGTCAAACATTAAAAAGTCTTGGAATTGGAGCTGAAACCAGATTGACTGTCACCGAAATGCAAACGGTTTGTTTTTCTACCTTATGTTTTCAAGTCCCAAAAAAATCCCCAAAATTTACAGCACGCTGAAGAATGTTCCTCCTCAAGTGGGCTATTTTTATCCCTAACCTCTTCGCTAATTATAATCGGTCGGGGAAATGCTTCGGCGATTTGGGGTTGTGTTTATCTGGATTCGCATGGTGAAGAGGATCGAAATCTGAAACGCGGAAAACCACTGATACTATCGAATCGTCGATTTGAACTTCTCGAAAAAGATTGGCATCAACAAGAATGGCAACGTGTTCGGCAATGGATTCCGTTCGCAACTTCTCAAATTCTCATCGCTTCGATTCGCGATTCTCATTATCATGTAAATAATTGAAACGACGCGGTAAAAACTCTTGTTTGTTTATTTATATTTTTGAATATTTATGTAATTGAAAAATTTAAAATTTATTATTGTGCAAGCAACAAAAAACAACAACAAAAAACAGAAACAGGTAAATTTGAAAACAAAATGAAATAACTAACAGGTTATTATTGCTCCATAGCATCGTCTCGGATAAGACTGATGACATTTGAGCGACTACGTTCAACAAAACGGGATGGAGCAACATCGCGAGCCTGGAAAATCATATATTTTCAATTTTTCAGCAAAATGTTCAATAGAAATCACCATTTTTTGAATTTTATTACAAAATTTGAAAAAAAAAATAATTTTGACTCTAAAAAATTCCGAAAACTCACAAATGGCGTGTAATTCCAGTTGGGAAAGACTCGTTTATACAAGTTCAACATGACCGAATCTTGAGCATTCAGTTGTTGATCGAATCGACATTTCATATGTCCGTGTGTTCCAACCGGTTCACGAATATGACCACGTCGACCACTTGGTGTATACAATTCGATTGGTTTGAACCATTCAATGTCCTCTGAAATTTTAAAGATTTTATATAGGCAATTGAAAAGAAATATCTAGAGCAGGCCTATGCAGGAAATTTTCAGAATTTCCGGATTTTTTAAAGAAAAAATCAATTTTCCGGAAAATGTGCTCGGAAAATTCGTAAAATGATTTCTAGTAGTAATATTTTGATATTGCCTAAATTTTGGTATTTTCTCAGTTTATGATTTAAAAAAAATAACATTTGTGAAATTTTGTTTTCAATTTTTCAAATTTTACGATTTTTTGAACGTAAAACGTCTCAAAAATTATGTGTGAATAGAAGAATTGTAGATAAAAATAAGTTTTAGTACCAACTTAAGACTGAAAATCGCGAATTTCAGACCTTGAAAAATTTTCCGGATTTTCCGCTTCAAAAAATCCGGAAATTTTCCGACTTTCCGTTTTCCGGGTTTTGATTTTCCGGAACAGGCCTGATCCAGAGTTTTCAAAACTAACCTCTATTGAAGAACATATATCTAACAACAACAGCTCTTTTATTGATTTTAAACGGATGTCCAGACAACACAATTCGCTTGAGTACAATTCGATCAGGATTACTATCCAGAACCGATCCAGTCGCAACCAACTCCTGTCTTCCTTTATCATCCCGTCGGAAGCATAAAACAGTCGCCGGATTGAAAGTGATCGGCGCATAAACCGTTGCAACAAACGTCTTCTCATTCGGCATAAATCTTTCCATTTTGAATTTGTCGCTTGGCGTATTTGAAGAGAACACGGCATCCGCCTCAAATTGTCGGAAACCAGCATAGAAAATGAATTTTTGATTGCTCTCAATTGGAATTGTGCAACTCGCGTGTTTCTTCAAAACCATATTCAAAATTGACATTTTCTGCTCATGTGGAAGTGGTTGGAAAAGAACCAAATGTTTCAGGTTCTCTAATCCCTCTTTAACCGCCAATGGAACATTAATCAAATGAATTCTCGCATAAACCCCATTATATTTTCTATCAACAACCGCATCTCCGCTATCCAAATCATTTTCTCCAATCTTCGACAAAACCGTCTTTTTCGTCTTTTTATAATTCGCAAATTGGAAAATTCTCGCATAATCCAATGGCAAATTCTCTTTCGGATCCCAAGGGGAGGTTCGGAAACTTTTGAGTCCTCGATATCTTTGGAATCGCGAGCGAGCTGGAACATCGAGCGGTGTATCAACTTCATCAGGCCATTGTGCATTTTCCCGTTCTTTTCTATATTTTTCCACTTCACTCAAATCAATATCCTCGTCGTCGAAATCAATCATTTCACTTGCTGTTGTTTCACCGGCTTCTGATTGAAGATCTCCATTTATTCCGTGCTCTTCTTCTTCCTCTTCTTCTCCATCTTCCATCATCTGAAAAAAAGGAAAATTGTGTTCAGGAAAATTAATTATTTTCTCAAAGACCTGGCAATTTTGACAGTTAGTAATTCTTCAATTTCCGGATTTTTTGAACCGGAAAATCCGGATAATTCAAAATTTTTTACTTATTTTTATCTACAATTCTTCTATTCACAGGTGGTAATTTAGTAACTATTTGAGACGTTTTACGTTCAAAAAATCGTCAAATTAGGAAAATTGAGAATTTTTATTTTTTCTTGAAAAAACCGGAAAATTGATTTTTTCTTGAAAAAACCAGAAAATTGATTGTTTCTTGAAAAAAACCGGAAAATTGATTTTTTCTTGAAAAAACCGGAAAATTGATTGTTTCTTGAAAAAAACCGGAAAATTGATTTTTTCTTGAAAAAAACCAGAAAATTGATTTTTTCTAGAAAAAACAGAAAATTAATTTTTTTGAAAAAACCGGAAAATTGATTTTTACTTGAAAAAACCGGAAAATTTATTTTTTCTTGATAAAACCGGAAATTCGGAAAATTTCCGGAAAAGGCCTGATTTCCCAAGTTACCTCATCCTCTTCATCATCCATATCATCCTCATCATCATCCTCATCTTCATCTTCTTCATCCTCCAAAATCCACGCAGCTTGATAACTCGACGTTCCCTTCGGAACTCGTCTTTTCTCCGCCTCTTCCAATTCTTCTTGTGTCGGCCAAGTTTGTTCCGCATCCATCGAATCCGGCGTGATTTCCGTTTCCAAACTCTGAATCTTCTCTCCAGGTTTCGCAATAACAATCGGTTCCTCAATTGGTTTTCCATTTTTCATCGAATGCGGATCGGCGACAATTTCAATTCGATCAATTTGATAATCACCAAAACCCGGAATATTTACAAGATTATTCGCATTCCACGCGGGACCTCTCAAATATCCATCAACAGCGAGTGCGCAATTTTCAGCATTTTCCTGGGTGATTTGCAAATTTTCAGCCAAAATATAGGGATGACGAGCTTGAAGGGTCAATGGCTTCTTTTTCGTCTCGTTGAAAGTACGCAATAATTGTAATCCATCGGTTGGAGAATCAGCCGGAAGAACTCCAGCACAACTGACACTCCTGGAATGATTTTTGACCGTTTTTTGGGCTTGAAAATAAAGAAAAAAAACTTGCCATTGCGAAATAATCGATTCAATACTCTTCCTAATATCCTCTTTTTTCTTCTGACTCGTAACACCTCCTAATCCAGGCACAACATTAACAATAGTTGGCATTCCATTGGCTTTGATAATTGTTAGAAGTTGTTCATCCCATTCGGATAATTCAGCGTTCATTGGCCATAAAAAGCAAAGAATATCAGAAGCCTGAAAAATAGCATTTTTTCCAAATTTCAAGAGGTGTAATATGAGCAATGCTGGGTTTTGCTATATTAGATCTAAAAATTTGAGAATTAGAGAATTTTGTAACTTTTTCGGTTTTTTTTTAGCTGAACCCGAAAATCTGGAGGTGTAAACGTGGATCATTGTTGTTATACTAAACGATACTCCGCTTTTACACCTGCAGAAATACCAGAATATCGCATTTTTCCTTTAGGGATTGAAAATTTAAGCCTAAGGTGAAGTTCATAATAAAGCCTAAAGCCTAATGTCTGGGCTAAGCCCCTTTGAGAGTGTGAGGCCCAAGCCTACAGCCTAAGCCTGATGTCTAGGCTAAAAGCCCAGGCTCTCCTAGATCCCTCAGAGCCCATTTCCAGTGAATCCTGAATTCTGAAAACTAACCCTAACCGAATCCAAAACCGCATCCATGTTCTCTTTTTCCGGCGTCAAAAACGACAATCTTGATTTGAATCGGGGAACCCTGCAAAATGGAACATTTGGGCGGAAAAACAAAGAGCAGAACTTACGCTAAATTGATAGTGGAAATCGAGGACGTTTGCACAATTGTTTCATCGCATTTTTCCAATTTTTTGATGAATTCAATTGGTCGAGCGCCTTGTCCGAGTGATAAAACTGTCTGGAAAAAATGCTCACGTTTTGATTTGAATTATTTCAGTTCACGTTTTTCGATTAGGATCATTTCTAGATTTTAGCTGCTCCTAGATTAGTCTAGATTTTTTGAATTTTAAACAATTCGATCAAGATCTCGAGTTCCAGGTGGGTGATTTTTGAATTTCGGAAAAAAATCTCACCACAAGAACCGGTGCTTGCGATGTTCGTCGTCTTTCAATCGCCGCCGCCAATTTCTGATCTCTCATTTGTTTTTGTTGATTTTTTCGAACCGTTTTCGAAAGTGAACGATGCGCATTTTGAGCCGATCGAACAATTTGACGAACACTTTCACGACCTCGATTTTCAGTCGTAATTTCTCCTTTTGTTCGTTTTCCTTTCCATGATTTGTGCGTTTTTGCCGGTTTTTTGAAAGAACCAGCGCGATGTCCAGTCGTACTCATTCTTTAACTAAAAATAAATTTTCTGTCAAAATCTAATATTTTTAGACGTGAAATAATATTGGCTAAAGAAACCAATTTTATCTTGAAAATTCTGACAATAAATTATTCTTTATTACATTCAATAAATACTCTGGAATCAGTAAATATGTACTGTAAAACCCAATTTGCGAGTCAAAAATAGGAATATGATGATGATGTATGTATATATATAATAAATAAATAAATAAATAATGGGATAAAACTAGACAGTGAAAAAAAATGGGGGGAAAAATTAATCACAGCTACGAAAAAGAATAGAAATCATCGGGGGTCATAACAAGTAATAAAATACATTTAGAAAGAAAGGGGGAATGAAGAAGAAAAAAGCAATTGGCTAAATATGAGAAAATTAGACCTCGTTTCCAGTGAAATCTCCAAACTCCCAAATATTTTTGCGTCCACGCCGAGCCTCTTGTTCAGCCTTCTTGTAATCAGCGACAAGTGATTGAAGACGATGCTCACGACGTGGTTCGGCCAACGCGAATCCATCTTCAATCAATGTTCGAGCAACATCCAATTTCTTTCCGTTGAACTCGATGAGAGCCTGGAAATCAGTAATGGTTCGAAAAATGTCAATGAAAATCGCTGGAAAGCAAACTCACTTGAACATATTCAGCACTTCCATTCTTGTATTCAACATTGATTTCAACCGATGGAACAGAGAACAACAAGTTTTCAAATTCAGCAATAGCCAATGGAATGTAGTCTTCGGTTGGAAGTTGAGCCAAAGCCAATTGATATTCACGAGCTCCGGCTGGAAGAGCTGAGAATCCAGCTGGAAGTTGAGCCAAAGTGGTTGCTTGAACAGTTTCGCGCTGAAAAAAGAGCATTTTATTTTATTTTTGATAAATAATGATAAATAAACCAACATTTCCATAATCAATAAACAAAAGTTCAGCTTGTCCAGCTCTGATGCTCTCAACCTTTGCTCTGTACCATTGATTGTCAGCCGAGAATTTGGCGGCAACCAATTCTCCTCGCTTCGCAGTGTAGGCTCCGGTGAGTGGTGGATTCTCGGCCAACACTTGTCTCAACTCGGCCGTCATTTTCTCGAGTTTCGCTCCATCCTCAATGTTTTGAGCGGAGAAGCGAAGAGCAGAGCGAGAAACATCAGTGACTGCAACTCGACGGTAGTTGGTTTTTCTTTCAGTGGTATCACTCTTTTGTACTTCAACTTCGTCTCGAACTTCAGCTTCAGTGTAATTGGCCCAGATGTTTTTCCTGGAAAAAATTAGATAAAACATGTAATTAAGTGATTCTCGGAATAAAAAAAACGTTTTTTTAACGTTAAAAAACCAAAAAGTGATTCACGAACGGTATTTTTATTCATTTTATTTTCTCAACACACTGAATAAAGTGAAGCTAAAACGCATTTTAGTGTCCAAAAATGCTATTTCAAGACCTTCTAATCAGCCTAAAAGACAAGTCAAGCCTTCAAAATCACCAATTTCATTTTTTGGGATATGTGAGGCTTGGTTCGGCTTTTAGGCTGATTAGAAGGTCTTGAAATAGCATTTTTTGACACTAAAATGCGTTTTAGCTTCACTTTATTCAAAGTGTTGAGAAAATGGTGAAAAAATGAATAAAAATACCGTTCCTGAATCACTTTTTTGGTTTTTTAACGTAAAAAAACGTTTTTTTTCGTAAATCAATGCAAAAAAACTCACTTGGCCTTTTTAGCGCGATTTTCAGCTGATTGAAGAGCGGTGTAATGTCCACTTCGTTCAGCGGTGAAATGAAGAGTAGCAAGACCTTGTTCCAAAAGCAATTCACTCAAATTGGTTGGCTTGTGTCCATCAACCGAAACAAAGACATATCCAACAAAGTTTCCAGATTTGTCCAAACTTTCAACTTCAAGCTGAACTTCGTGTTGCAACAAAAGTTTACGAGTGAAGGCGAAAGCCTCATTTGCAAATGGCTCATCTTGACCATTGAGAACACCTCCTGGTCCAACACGAGCATTCTTTGGACAATTGATTCCACCGAGAAGGAATGTAATCAAAACGGTTTCTTTTGGAATGTAGATACGAAGCCGCGATCCGCTGGCAATGAATTCGACGACACCTTCAGCACGTCCACCTCTTTGCAAATATGGAAGGAATTGTTTGGATTTGGCGATGTCTCCGGCAATTTCTTGAATTCTCAACGTGTCATTCTTGTCAGCTGATTTCTCAGAGAACAATCCTTTCTTGGCTTTTTCGGCATTTGCTTCAGCAGCCAACAAAGCATCGTATTCCGATGATCGGTTTTCATCATCATTACGATGACGAACAACTTTGCTCAATCCACGGGTAATCAAGGCTTCAGCAATGTTAACATCACCGACTTTGATTGTGGCACAAGTTTTTTCTGGGAAGTTTTCCGATTTTGGTTGGATATAATCAATTTGCACTTGAACCTTCTTTCCGATAAGTCGTTTGCGGAGGAATTCACGAGCTTGGAACATGTATGGAATATCATACAATGGTCTGAATTGTCTTCCAACAGATGGTTTATCTTCGCCGGTTTCTCTTGGCAATCTGACTGATGACAAATGAACCTTGAGCTCTGAGCCATCTTCTTTGTGGAGTACAACAGCGTCAGAGAGAACAACTTCAACAACTTTAGCGGTGAAAGATTTCTTGTCTGCACTCAATCCACTGGTACTTGGTTGATAAGATCTCCACAATCTGAGCTTCTTCTCTTTTGCTTGTCTTTCGGCGGCACGAAGTGGCTCAGATCCTCCGGAACACAATCCAATGCTCCAATCAACACATTTCGCATATCCTTCACGAACAAGTGATTCGGCGATGTTTCCTTTTGGATGGAGAACTGATCCGACGAAATTTTGATTTGAAACAGATTCCAAAATGATTTGAATATCTCTTTGAAGTACTCGAGACTCGGCGAAAAATTTCGCTTCTTCTGAGAATGCCTCAACTTTTCCATCGGCTCCAGATCTTGTGGCTGGTGCGCGAACTCCAGAGAGTTGAAGAGTGATGTATTCAAAGTTTGGCAAAAGAATCGCACGGAATGTTGAACCATCACGAACCATTTCAACAACAGCATCAACTGGTTTTTGTCTGTATTTGTCGACCAATTCACGTGGATTCTCAATAACCCATCGAACTTCACGAACTGTAGCTGGGGAGGAGCTCCATTTTCCAAGACCAGATGATTTTGCCTGCTCTTGCAAATCAAGCAATTTTTGTGTGTATTCACTAAAAAAATCAAATAGGAATAAACTAGTTTCGTTCAAAAAATTCTTACTCGGCAATTTTTCCTTGTCTCACTTCAAGAAGTCCAGCAGACACAGCTGATTCGGCAACATTTTCAGCGTCAGTTGGATCTAAATACAAATATTTAGTTCATTAATCTATCTCAGAAAATATCTCACTTGTTCCTCCAATGTACACTCGACCATGATCACGCCCAGAAGAAGCTGTGAAATCCTTAACAAAGGTCACAACTTGTCCAACTAATTTCTTTCTAAGGAATTCACGAGATTCCCAGGCGTATGGCTCATCGGGAGTGGCAGAAGTGTTGTCAGTTGGTCGTTTACCGAGGCGTGGAGCGCTGACATTGCTCAAATAAACAGTTGACTCTGGTGGTGGTCCGTTTGTGGCTTGTCCTTGGAGTACAACTGCGTCACCAGATAAAACCTGAAAACAATAAATACCGTTAGAAACGAAAACGTGAACATCGACTAAATGACATTTTCATGTTTTTTTAAGCAAAATTTATATAATTCTGTTCGTCTTAGACCATTCTATCATATCAATAAAATTAAAACCCAATATTTCAAATCACTTGCCCAAAAAACATGAAAAACTATAGTTGCAACAAAAAACTTAAAATTTTAAAATAAATTCGACTTACTTGCTTAACCAAACCGCGACGAACAGTTGGTTGTGCTTGTTGAATTGGTGGTGGAATTGTGGCGGCAGCTGAGTCAGACATGATTATAATCCTTCAAATTCGATTCGGGTACCCTAAAACAAATTAATTTGATATCTTATAGACCTAATAAATCCCCAGGCAACAATTAAAACTTGAAAGAAAACAAACAAAAATCTTTTTTGTTGTTTTCAAAAGAAAATGAACAGTGGAAAAACAAAAAACGAACGTTTTGTCCAGCGATTTTCATGCATTTTTCAATTTCGAATGAACATGGCCTACCGTAATCGAACTACAAACGGGTCTCACACCGTCTTTGTTTCTCTCGCAGTCTCTCATTGCTTAGTGTGTGTCACACACATCTCTCACTTCCCGCTATTTTTTCCCATTTTTTTTCATTTTGCCAAAAAAATTGCCGATTTTTTCATTTTAACAGTGTAATAGTGTTGTAGTTATGACTGAAGAACTTGAAGATGGTGAACTAGAATCTGAGTAAGTTTTGGTTTTTTGTCAGGGTTTGTTTAAAAAAAAAATACGTTGTTTTAGTGAAAATCAAGAAGATTCCAATGATGAGATCGAAATCGATCAAGTTATCAAAGATGCGGAACAGGAAAGAAAAAAGATGATAAATCAACAGAAGAAGAAGGATAAAACAGTGGATAGACCGAAAAGTCGAGAAAGTTATAGAAGGAAAAGAAGTTAGTATAACTTGAATGTTCACTGGAAATTTAGTAAATTTTCAGCTCATGAGAAGAAAAAAGTGATATCTCTTCCGCCGATATCATTTTTCAATACGCCACCGATTCCTATTCCGGATCATATTTTACCTCCGCCACCGCCTCCTCCTTTATTGCCTCCTCAACCGATTCAAATACCAACTACAAGTCGAGTAAACACTGATAATTATGCATCAGTTGATATGGAACTCGAAGATGATGTTAATTCTGACATCGAAGTGATACATGAGAAGAGTTCGAGGAAATTTGAGCTGCTGACTTCGCAGAACGAAAATCGGAAGAGGAAACATTTGGATGATGAGATAGAGGAGATCAATAGAGAATTAGGAGTGATGGGGAGGAAAATTGAGAAGGAAACCAATTTGTTGTATAGAACAAAGCGTGAAAATGAGAAATTATTTCATGAACAAGAACGGATTCGTGTAAGTTCTTGAATACTTGAATAAAAATCTCTGAAAACATATTTTTCCAGGAAAAAATACGGAAAAATAAATTGAAAATGTCTTCTCAAAAAGAAAACGTGTTCAAATTATATGAAGATAAAGAAAAACTTGAGCAACGTTTAGTTTCGCTGAAACGAGAAGAGCTTAACAATTTTATCGATCTGAAAAGTCCGGTTTATGTTGAATGCGATGATAATAATGATTGGAAAGAATTTGAAGAAAAAATAAATGAAAAGAAAAATGAAAAAGAAGATGTTAATGAAGATATTGCTCGAATAGTTTCACAAGAAGTTAGCAGTGAAAATGTGCATATAAGTGAGCCGATATCGATTGAGCAAAAAGATGAGGATGAAAATGCGCTTAGAGAGATGTTACTGTTACAAACGCTGAAAAAACGGAAGAGGTGGGATTTTTTTATTGAATGAAAAAAATGTTTTTTTTTAACATTGAAAGATCAATTCACGAAAAAGTCACAAAATGTCGAGTTTTTCAGCCAAAAATGATGACAAATTAATATTTTTCAAGCTTCTGGAGTAATTCCTGATTAAAATTGACCTTGGAATTCACTTTCCAGAAGGTTCTGCTGATTTTTCGTAAAACAAAAAAATTTCAATTTTGATGAATTTCGAAAAATTTCATAAAATAAAGCGAAAAATAGGGTTCTCGTTGTATTTTTTGAATTTTTTCGAAATTCATCAAAATTTGGAATTTTTTATTTCACAAAAAATCAGCAAAACCTTCTGGAAATGTCAATTTTAATCAGAAATTACTCCAGAAGCTACAAAATCTCGATTTGTCATCATTTTTTGACAAATCGAGATTTTGTAATTTTAACCTACAATGTTTTTTCGACATTTTTGACTTTTCGTAAAGCCTTTTAGGATTTTAAGATAGAAATATTTGAAATTTCCAGAACTCCTCCTCCTCCACCTGAAACTCTTCAACAACCTTTGGATGAAATAAATAAAGGTAGAAAATTATTGAGCCAATTGTGTAAATATGATATAAATGGCCATTGTAAGCGTGAATCCTGCACTTTGTAAGTTTTATTTTTTTTAAATTAAAATTTCAAAAAAAAAAATCCAATATCCAATTTCAGTTTGCATCTTTCGAATGTTCAAGTAAATGAGCGATTATTGCTAGAATCTTTATTCCGCTACATATTCGAATATCCAGAAGAAGTTATAGGTTTGAAAAAACAAAAAGTTCATCAAAATGCGGTTAAATATAGTCAATGTTGTGTTGTCTATCATTTAATATCGCGCACGATTTTTTTTATTTCGTTTTTTTTTTGCTGCGAAAAGTGATAATTCCCATTCAGGGCATGCGGTGACACAAACTCTGGCGAATAAGAAACAAACTCCATTCTATTTATTCATCAAACATCTTCTGACAAATTCAATGACTTTGGATGAGAAACTTCGCGGCAGGTTTTATCAATTTATGCAGGGTTCCTAGTTTTTTTCAATTTTTCCTCAGTTTTTTTCAAAACCTCCTCAAATCACGGAAAAAACGGAGATATACGGGTTGTTTTAATTTTTTTTGAATAAAGATTTGTCCTCGAAAATTTCATTCACAAAATAGCAATTGGACATAATAATAATAATTCAAAATAATAAATAGACCAAGGGAAAAGTGAGATTCACAAAATAAGAGAAAACAGTTTTTTAGGCATAAATTAGTTGACCATCTCGTTGTTAGTTTTATCGCCAAATGGATCGGATGAAGCAATTTTTGTCGTTATTGATCTGAATCGATTCTCCTTCTCCGCTATCGTCTTCTATAACACACCACTAACAACATCTACCCCCACATCTACGTGCCCCCAAAACTAACCCATCGCAACATCATTATCTCCAGCAGCTTCAGTGTTCTCAACAACCTTTCCATCCAAACTATTCAACGCGTTCGAAACACGCTCATTGACTTCTTCGAAAGCTAAATCGACTTCAGCATTCGCATCTCCTTCCTCTTCCTGGAAACAAAATTTGGAAAGGTTTAGGTTTCAAGTAAGAAAAACCAACATCATCATCCTCCTCTTCGTCATCAACTTCTTCATCATTCATTGGCATCAATTCCTCTTCAACAAAAACGCGCTCGCTTTCATTGGCTTCTGGAAATTCGGTCGCTGCTTCTTCTTCAGTCCATTTGATTGAATGAGTTGTGACACGAAGATCATCGATTTCGACTTTGCGAATGAGCTGAAATAATAAATTATATTATTTCTATTCCGAATTTTCTGACTAGTTTTATCTAGGACAATTTAGGCATAAAATTTCTGAAGTTGCATTTTTAGATAGAAGCCTAAATTTTGCAATCCTGGTACACTTTCTCAAAAAAACTGAGCTTGGAAATTGTGCCAGGGTTGCAAAATTATTCAAAAAGGAAGTGCATAAGGTCAGGTGTTGAAATTTTGATGAAACATATCGAAATATACCAAATCGACCGTGCTGATCACGATTCCGAAGTCAAAAATTGCCACAAATGCCTGTGAGCACTTTTATGGAGCTCCAAAGTTGGTTCGTCCATTTTCTCCTTGTTCCTGGGTGGAAAATCAATTTTTATAATTTGAATAAGGTTGTTCACCACATTCGAAAACCTATCAGCTTTTTAGTTTTTCGAAAAAAATCAAATGAAAATTGTAATTTTTAAGAAAATCCTCAAAAAACTTTGAAAAACGTGTGTATTTTCAGGATATTCTTAAAAATTACAGTTTTCAGCTGGTTTTTCATAATTTTTGAAAAACTAAAATGCTGACAGGTTTTCGAATGTGGTGAACAATCTTATCCAAGTTATAATAATTGATTTTCCACCGAGGAACAAGGTGAAAATGGGCGAACTAACTTTCGAGCTCCAGAAAAGTGCTCACAGGCGTTTGTAGCAATTTTTGACTTCGGATTCGTGATCAGCATGGTCGATTTGGTATATTTCGATATGTTTCATCAAAAGTTGTACTTCCCTTGTGAGCACAAAAATATAAAAAAATACCTTATCAACCAATGGCTGCGCTGGTGGATTCTCCTTCAATTCCTCATCAACATATTCATTCGAAACGAACCATCCCAAATTGATAAACTCTTGCTCATTGTATTTGCAGCGAAGCAACAAAACACTGACACCAACAATATCTTCAGTTGGAATTTTCGCAACATTTGGGCACGGCGCGTCGAAGACAAACTTGTGACGACCTTCTGGAACTGGGCCAACGAGGGCTGAATCCAAGACTTGATCGTATTCACTGGAAGTTCCCGATCCAACATAAACCAACTCCCATTCGAGATCTTTTGGGAGATATTCAAAAACTTCGAAAGTGATTTCCAAGTTGAATTTGGAAGTGAACTCGGCTGGATTGTTCAAAATGTTCACTTGGCAGATATTGACACGAGAAGCCATTCTGCAAAAAAAATTGTTTTTGTAGAGAAAAAACTATTCAAAATTTGCCCAAAAGATATATAAACTGTTCTGAGACAGGATAGTTGAAAATTTTTCAAAAAAAAAACAAAACAAATTATTTTACAAAACTGGGGTAAAAATATTAACAAAAATATAAAGTACAAAAGTTGTTAGGTAAATAAATGATGAGATCAATATGCCAAAAAAATAAAAATAAAAAGTATGTTTACAATTAAATTGCGCGAAGTGGTGTGCGAGTTTGAGGGCGAGGAGATTTATTGACTGTTTTGTTGGCCGATTCGAGGGCTGAGATGAAAGCATCGCCTGTTGTGATGAGAATTTCACCGAAGGGCTCAGCTTGATCAACCTGAATTATTGATTATAGTGATTTTCGCAGCGCTCCACCGAAATAAACACGCAACGCAGACCGCGTCGCGCCACAACACACACACACAAATAAGAGAACGATTCAAATTCCCTCCCTTATTTGTGTGTTGTGGCGCGGCGCGGTCTGCGTTGCCTGTTTATTTCGGTGGAGCGCGTGGTGGGATTTTCGATAATATTTAAAAACCTACACTAATAGCTTGTGATTTTGCCAAAGATAACAACGAATAAAATTGTTCTGCAGCCTGTTTTCTATCCTTCACCCCTGCAACAATCGTCGAAAATTCCACTTTTTCACCATTCTCTAATTCATTCGAAATCTTTTTCAGAATTTGATTCGATCTTTTCACCCATTTACTATCATTATAAATCGCCTGTTTTGCAGCACTTCCAAATCCATAAGCTTCCAGTTTTCCTCTTTGACTTGAATTCGAAAATGGATCTGGGTAATCCTCCTGATTCTCCTTGTTATTCATGATGAAACCGAATCCACCAACATCATCGAAATTTCCAGGCAAAAGTGAATTTTCTTGCATTGACACTTCCAAAGTTCCATTTTGTATTATATCACCAATTGGTGCAATATCATCGAAATCATTGAGACGAGAATCCTAAAAGTTTTTTTTTATTTTGTAAAAAAAATAGGACAAATTGATAACACAAAAGTACTTACAGGTCGTTGTTGTTCATCATTACCAAAATCAACACAAATATCATCATTCAATTCCAAATCTTCCCAAGGTTGCGATTGTCTACTAGAAGACGTTGATTCATCTTCATCAAAAGGGGTTGTTGGTTTATATGAACATGGAACTAGATTCGATTTATAATAATTCAATAGTTCACTATTATACATATTCATTCCAGGTGTTTCAGTTAAATATTGCATATCGCCAGTTATTCGCATTTTCATCATCTTTTTTGATGGAGGCGCTACATTCAGAGTTGCCATTATGTCACTGAAAATTTTGAGTTTTTTTAACGTTAAAAAACCAAAAAATTAATTCATGAACGGTATTTTTATTCATTTTTTCACCATTTTCTCAACACACTGAATAAAGTGAAGCTAAAACTTTAGTGTCCAAACACACCTCGGCCATCATCGTGGTTCCTAAAAGTCAAAATTGTATTCTGAAGTTTTGGGTATGGAAATTGTAAACTTATCAGATTAGCATAGAATGTTTAACTCATAAAAAACTATTTGAATTCTAAAAAATCGAAATTTGTGATTTTAATCAAACCATTCTTCCGCTCATGCCTTTAGAGTTTTTTTATGAGTCAAACATTCTATGCTGATCTGATAAGTTTACAATTTCCACACCCAAAACTTCAGAATACAATTTTGATTTTTGGAAACTACGATGATGACCGAGGTGTGTCTGGACATTAAAGTTTTAGCTTCACTTTATTCAGTTGGGAATGTGTTGAGAAAATGGTGAAAAATGAATAAAAATACCGTTCGTGAATCAATTTTCAGGTTTTCTAACGGTAAAAAACGTTTTTTTTTCTTTCGTGAATCACATTATACCTAAAATCTTCGAGTTGTTCCTTGAGCGCATCATTATCAATATTTGTAATATCATCCACAATTAATTTTCGAACTCTTCGATTTTTCTTGTTTCGTTTTCCTTCCATATGACTCAAATTCAAAGGATCTAATGCAAAACTTCCTCGACCATCATCGTTTTCTTGTGGATTATTGTTTTCAATATCATTATCAGCGTGATCTATTTCCATATCTGAAATTAGTCATTTTGAATTGAATACCAGAATTTTACACACGTTCAAACTCTTCTCCAGGAGCAGTTTGTTGTGGTGCAACATCAATCATTGAACTGAAAAGATCATCTCCAATAATTGGTGCATTTTGATCTTCTCCTTGATTTGTTATATTTAAAGGCATTCCGGATGAGAGATCAATCACAGTATTGTTGCCTGGCCTAAAAAAGAAAGGTAAAACACTTTTTTTGATATTTTTTTGTTCAAATGACACCTACATCACATCAATATTCGAAACATTTGAATCATTCACACGACGAATTTCTTCGAAAGTTTCTGGAACTGGTGTTGGAGCTGAAGAAGTGTGATACGATCCATAAACATCGAAATCGCCGAAATCTTCAAATTCCTTGGCAAAGTTCTTAAAATTCTCAGCAGCTTTCAATTTTTCGAATTGAACATTCAAATCAGAATCATCTTTCAATGTGATGTCCTCCAATCGACTTAAGTTTGCCTGCAACAATCGCTCGTCTAATTCAAAATCCATGAATTCGGGAATTGTCATATTGATTTCGTCACAAGCATCCATTTCATCACAATTCAAATCATCGCGTATTTCAAAGTTATCTAATTCCAATTGAATTCCGTTTCGAAAATTCAATCGCATCTGCAAAATCAATTTTGAAGATATAGAACAGTTTTTGAGATAATTTTACCTTTATAAAAGCTTCGTTGGTATCAGCTAACAAATATCTCGTTTTCTTCGAATAAATCCGAACAATTCCCAACAATAAATGTCCAACAGTTCGCAATGCCATTTTCACTTTTGGTTTAATAACCTCTTCAACTGCGCGCTCCACATCGGTTTCGAAAATTTGCGCTTTTGTCAGTTTTTTCTCCCAATGTGCTGCCAACCAGATTTTAGACAATGGTCCCTTCTTGGCAAGCACAAACTGCGCATAGAACATCCTGTTTTTGGGCTTGAATTCGGCTGACTAAAACTAGAACGAATAGAGAAACCAAATTCAAAAAATAATTTTCCTCCCGCCATGGTCTTATGACGAACATGTGTTTTCTTGTGCGGTATACGGTATCTCTCAGTTGAGCTGTGTTCATTGTCATTTGGATTTTTCAAATTTTCATTTTTTTTGCTTGTTTCAAGCTACGCTGTCTGAAATTATGTACAAATTCTCACCAAAATCTCTTCGCAAATGTTTATAGCGCGTGGTATTTTTCCAAAAATATCATTTTTTTGCAGAAATGAGTGAGAAACGACAAGCTATCAAAGTTGATCCTGTCACAGTTGGAGAAAAGTCAGACATTGATAACTTGGCTTATCTTGCTGCTCACGTAAGTTTCTTTATCAAAAATTTCAGAATTCAACTTTGTTTTTAAGGGTGGAGATGGTCGTCTTTTCAAAATGGAAGTTGACTACACCAAACAAGTTGATGAAGCAATCGTGAAATCAAATGAGATCGCTCAAGTAAGATTTTAAAGTTTTCATTATCCTGAAACCCTTAACATATATATTTTTTTAAGAAAGGCGATGTCGTTGGAGCTGTTGAAAGTTTGAACAATATCGAAAAATTGTCACGTCTTGGATCCGATATGAAAAGTAATACCAGAGTTGTGCAGCATCAAGTTAAATTATGCTTTGATGGTCAAAAATGGGACTTGCTCAATGAAACGATTCTCACACTTTCGAAAAAACGTCTTTTGATCAAAATGGCGATCGCAAAAATGGTCAGAGATGCAGTGGCTATGATTGAAAAACTTCCAAGTGAAGATCTCAGAATGAAATTGATCGAAACATTGCGAACAGTGACTGCCGGAAAGATTTATGTTGAAGTTGAGAGAGCTCGCCTCACATCAATGGTTGTTCGAAAATTGGAAGCCGAAGGAAAGATTGATGAAGCTGCAACTATGCTTCTCGAATTGCAAGTTGAAACCTATGGATCAATGGATATGAAAGAGAAAGTTGAATATTTGTTGGAACAAATGAGATTCTCTCTTGTTCGCAATGATTTTATTCGTGCTTCAATCATTTCGAAAAAAATCAACATCAAATTTTTCAACAAAACCGAGACGGATGAAGTTCAAAACCTCAAATTGAAATTCTACGAATTGATGGTTAAAATCGGTCTTCACGATGGAAGTTATTTGGATGTTTGTCGTCATTTCCGCGCTATTCACGATACGCCGAAAATCAAGGATGATTCATTGAAAGCCAGTGCTGCTCTCCGCTCAGCTGTTGTTTATTGTTGCCTTGCTCCACATGACAATGAACAATGGGATCTTCTCAATAGAATTGCGATTCAAAGAGAAATCGAATCAGTTCCCGAATATAAATTGATTCTCGATTTGTTCATCAATCAAGAACTCATTTCATACAAATCAACAATCGTGGCGAAATATGAGAAATTGTTGAGACGGGGCACTTCAAACAGTCCTGATACTGGAGTAAGTTCCTGAAGTAAAAATTTTGAATTAATTTTTTTTATTGAAAATTTTCAGATCTTCGACACCAGTAAAGAAGGAGAAAAAAGATGGAGTGATTTGCATCTTCGTGTTGGAGAGCATGTAAGTTTTCAGTTTTCAAAAAAAAAATGAAAATCTATTTTTTTTTAGAATATGAGAATGATTGCTAAATATTATACACAAATCACATTTGATCGTCTTGCCGAACTTCTCGATTTTCCAATTGAGGTAAATATTTATGCATCGTAAATACAAAGGGAAAAAAATGCTAAAAATATATTTGAACATTGAAAGATCAATTCACGAAAAGTCATAGGTCAAAATTAGTTTTTCGAGTTTTTCAGCCAAAAATGATGACAAATCGATATTTTTTAAGCTTCTGGAGTAATTTCTGATGAAAATATGCTTCGAGAACCCTATTTTGCTTTATTCTATGAATTTTTTAGAAATTCAACAGAATTTAAAAAAATTTTATTTGACGAAAAATCAGCAAAAACTTCTGAAGGTGAATTTTAATTAGAAATTACCTTGGAGTTCACTTTCCAGAAGGTTTTGCTGATTTTTCGTAAAATAAAAAAATTTTAAATTTTGATGAATTTCGAAAAAATTCATAAAATAAAGCAAAATCGGGTTCTTGAAGCTTATTTTCATCAGAATTTACTCCAGAAGCTTAAAAATATCGATTTTTCATCATTTTTGGCTGCAAAACTCGAAAAACTAATTTTGACCTATGACTTTTCGTGAATTGATCTTTCGATGTTAAAAAAACATTTTCAAACATTTTTTTCGTTCGTAAATCAACCCTTATGAAAAATTTCCAGGAAATGGAATCTTTTGTTTGCAACCTAATTGTGACTGGTCAAATTGTTGGCGCCAAACTCCACCGTCCTTCCCGCATCGTAAATCTTCGCGTTCAAAAAGCCAACATCGAACAATTGGACATTTGGGCGAATAATGTTCAACAATTAACCGACACCCTCAACAAAGTCTCGCATTTGATTCTCAAAGAACAAATGGTTCACAAGAATTTGGATCTGACCAAAACATTGGTCAATGCATGAATTATTTAATTATCCCTATTTTTTTTTTGCCCGGTTTAATTTATTTTCTGTAAAAAATACAACATTTTATTTATTTTCAACTAGATATACATACAAATAATTTATTATTTTATCCCATAAATGGGGCCTGTGCTCCCATTCCCATCATCATACTTGGCACACCATTTGGCAAGCAACGACCAAATTGACAAATCATTCCCATCGGGCAGGATATTCCCATATGACAGGCTGGAAATTTATTAGGTTAGTGAATTTTGGTGGAAAAATCGTTACCGAAAGTTGTGGACATTGGATTATGAATACAAATTCCTCCCATACAATATTGACCGACTGGACAAGTCGCACCAGTCATACAAGCTGGAAAAAGAGAATTTAAAAAAAAACCTCTAAAAACTGAAAACCCACTAGTTTCAGATGGCATAACTTGACTTCCTTGATAAGCCACATTACTCCGACTACAATACCCATTCACACAAATTTGCCCATTAAAACATTGCTGCATCAAACTGCACGGCTGCATTCCATTCATTGTCGATGGAACTCCGCCCATTGGTAAAGGTGCGGCTCCGCCAGGAGTGACACCTGTTCCAACATTGCCACCGACAGCGATTCCTTGCCGGGTGGCAGCCATTCCTGAATATAAAGCTGCTGCGGATGTCAAACCGGCGAGACCGCCCATTCCTCCCATGCCTCCCATGGCTCCCATTCCACCATAACCAAGAGCTCTGGAAAAAATTATTGAACTACAAAAATATTTTTTTAGGCTATAACTACATACTTTGATCCAAGCATTGATGTACTTCCACTCGATAAACAATTTCCATTCCAGCAATATTGACCAAACGGGCAGGAAATATATCTGGAACAAATTTGGTTTGAAAATCCATTTTTTTGGTGAGAATCAGAGTTATTTTTTAAAAATTCTAATTTTCCGAATTTGAAAAAAAAACCTGAAATCACAATTTTGCCACGTCATAACAATTTTTTAGAATTCTGATCTCACCAAAAACTGGCCGAGTGGGCAAAAATTCATGTCCACAAATAAAATGGAAAATATCCAAAATTGAAGATACAGTAATCCTCTAAAATTGAAGCTACAGTAATCCTCCAAAATTAAAGCTACAGTAATCCTCCAAAATGAAAGATACAGTAATCCTCTAAAATTGAAGCTACAGTAATCCGCCAAAATTAAAGCTACAGTAATCCCCCAAAATTGAAACTACAGTAATCGTTTAAAATTGAAACTACAGTAATCATCTAAAATATGGACAGTACTTCATGAAAAGATTTTTAAATTTTGAAAGATTTTCAAAAGTTTCATTTTTCTGGAAATGCCCGCACTACAGTAGTCATAAAATACAGTTCAAAATCTTTTGCTCCATTTTCTCCATTTCTTTTTTTCACAAACCTGCACATATCATTATCATTATAAGCTCCAAGTGCTCCATACAATGAACTTCCCAAAAATTGATGAGATGTTTCTCTGCAAAATAAAATTCTCTTTTGTTTTCTTTGAATTTCTCCATTTTTTCTCACCTCAAAAACAATAAAATTCCAAAAATCAACCAAAAAAATAGCATTTCCTGCGCGAAAAAAATACAAAATGAGGGAAATAACCTCGAGAATCACGCATCGAACTCTCGAAAATCACTAGTTTCTCTCAATTTCCCATCATATTTCTGACACATTCGATGCGCAACAAACTTGTCATCAATTATCCATTTATTTTCATGGAATTCAACCTTTTTTTTGCTTGAGTCAATCCGGTTTTTTTGAGGTGAAAGGTGGTGTAATTTGGAGTGTGATTCGGGAAAAAACTAGTCAGATTTATGAAATCCCGCAAAAAATGAATCGGAATTGTTTTCAGACTTTTTTTTTTCAAGAAAATCTCAAAGGTTTTGAACAAGAAAAATTAAAACCAAAAAGTTTTTGGTGAAATTGTTTCGAATTCGAAACCAGATTCGGTTTTCGAAAAAAAATCCCCAAAAATATTGGTTATGAAAATCCACATGAAAATCTCAGTTTTCAAAATCGAAAGCCACGTTTTTGTGATTCCCAAAGAAAAAAGTGATATATTTTATTGAATAAATTACAATTTACTTTTCTTTCCGGTTCTTCCACGAATCGTATTCTCAGTTTCTTTCCAGCCTTCTTCATCAAGATCGTGAAGATATTCACCCATTGAAGAACCATGGTGCATATATTGTTGAGCACCATCCAAATCAATTATCTGCAAAAATTACAGTAATTTTTTTGGCGGGAAACTTTTACCGTAATCTTTTACAGTAGTCTTCAAATAGTTTTCAACTAAATCAGTCCTATTTTTATCTGGAAAGTGTTTTTGAACTACAGTAATCCTATTTTTTGGGCATCAATTTTATCTTGACAAACTACAATAATCCAATTTTCAGGGTATTTTTTGTCCACAGTAATCCTCCAGACTGTACTCTGAAAAAACTACAGTAATTTAATTTCTTGGGAATTTTTCAGCTACCGTAGTTCAATCCATTTTCAGGGTATTTTATAGCTACAGTAATTCGTACAGTAATCCAATTTTTAGGGATATTCCAACTACAGTAATCCAATTTTCAGGGTATTTTATAGCTACAGTAATCCATACAGAAATCCTATTTTTCAAAATGTGTCTCGAACAACAGTAATCCAATCTCTAGGGAATTTTCTAGCTACAGTAATCCTTTTTCATAACTATGCTATTTTCAATAGTTTTTTCACCTACAGTAACCTAAATCTAGGAATTGTCAGAAAACATACAGTACCCCAAATTCAAAAAACTCACAGCTCCACTCATCCAACTCATAAAATCCGACGAAATAAACGCAACCAAATTGGCAACTTCTTCCGGTGTTCCAGCTCTTCCAGCAGGAACCGCCTCTTTAAATATATTTGCAGTATCCTCAACACTTCCCAAACCCAATCTTCCAAATGCTCCCTTTGTTGGAACTGGTCCAGGAGCAACCGCATTAAATCTCAAACCATATTTTGCCCATTCATTGGCCAATGATTTTGTCATCGTTTCAACACCGGCTTTCGAAACTGCTGATGGGACGACGAATGGAGCACCCGAACGAGCATATGGTGTTGTGATGCTGACAACTGATGCACCAGTTTTTGATTTGATGCAACGACGGCCGAGTTCGGTGGTGACGTGGAGGGTTCCTTTTAATACAATATCAACAATTGTGCCATAAGCATTTGGAGAAAGTCGCTCGGTTGCCATTATAAAATTACCAGCTGCATTGTTGATAAGAATGTCTGGATGTTTTCCAAATCTGAAAATGAGCAATCATTTTTTAATAATTTTGGGATAACTTGGCATTTTAATGTTCACTGTTTCAAAAATTTTTCAATTTTTTATGAGATAATTTTTGAAGACACACGAAAATTGTGAGAACTTTTGAAAATAAACAAAATTTCAGACCCCCTAGCTGAAAAAAATCAAAATTCAAACATACTTCGCTGTAACTTCATCAAAAGTTTTGGTAACTTTCGCCGGATCTTTGACATCAAGATGAAACGGTTCACAAATTCCCCCAGTCAATTGTCGAATCTCTTTGGCCGTCTCCTCAAGCACATTAACTCGTCTCGCTGCAATCGCAACACTTGCTCCAAGAGTCGCGAAAGTTGTGGCGATCGCTTTTCCAAGACCCGTTCCACCACCGGTTACCAGCGCGATTTTTCCTTTCAAAGTTCCGGCCGGAAGTGCCACACTTTTTTTGATTGGAAAATATTTGTTTGCGTCGGGACAGCTAGCCATTTCTGAAATGAAAACAATTTATAAAAAAAACAAAAAAAAAATCAATATTTATACTAGGAAAAAAGTGTTTGATAGGATGACTACATTGTAGTAATCAGAAGAGACGCAGACAAAAGAGAGTACACTTTAGTCTACTTTTTGTGTAGATCATTTTTTTAAATCCAGACTTCATAAAAATTTTGAATTTCACAAATTTGGCGCCTAACAATCCACGTGGAATAAGAATTGGCGCCAAATTCAAAAATTCAAATTCTCCAATTTTCATGCAAATCTTGAATTTCACAAAAATTGTGCGCCAAAAATTCCACTTGGCGCGAAATTTGAATTTTTCTGAAAACCAAAGCTTATGAGGTGTCTTTCGAGCCCAAATTTCATGAAAAATTTAAATTTGGCGCCAAAAAATCCACGTGGCAAAAATGGGCGCAAAATTCATAAATTCAAATTCTTTTTTTTCGAAAAAAAATCAAAAAAATAAAAATGTTTTGACCTCAACGTGCTCCAGATAAATGAATTTAAAAATGCTGAAAATCATCAAACCGAGTCATTTTACTAATATATTTTATTTCAGATATGTTGAATGTAAGTGATAACAAAAAGCTACAGTAATCCTCCTACAGTAATCCGTCCTCATTTTTCAGCGTAACCGTCATGTTAATAAAAATCAACAGAAAGAGCTGCGTGGCAAATCGGCTCCACCATACTTGGACTCCCGAATTTGCTTGGGAAAATACAAAGTGTTTCAAATCGATAAAATGATTGCTGGCGGAGGATTCGGGCAAATTTATCGCGCAACAAATTTGGATAACAATGAAGAGGTTGCGGTGAAAGTGGAGAAATCGGTTGGAAATGATGCGCAAAGAATTATTCTTGAATCGAAAGTTTTGGAAGAAATGTTAGGCGTGCCACATTTTCCACGAATGTTTTATGTTGGACCGTATAAAGGGTTCAATTTTATTGTGATGCAGATGTTGGGATTGAACTTGGGCGATATTCGAAAAGCATTGCCAACTCGTAAAATATCGATTCATTCGGCGGTTCGTTTGGGAATTCAGATTGTTGAAGGATTGGAATTACTTCACTCAAAAGGATGGATTCATCGGGATTTGAAACCAACAAATTGTTGTGTTGGATTGGATGATAAACGGAAACAGGTATTTATTGTTGACTTTGGTAAGTAGGAAAAACAAAAAAAATTGTAACACTCACTTTAACACGAAACGGATCTTCACTCCGTCCCGCAACGCCGTGAGCATTTTCATATTGCACTACAAGATAGTGAATTGCATGAAATCAACAATTCACGCGAAATAAGCGTGCGTTGCGGGCAGCGGGAATCGAACCCACGCCGCAGACTAAAACGGTGTGAGTGGAAGGCAAAGCAACACACCACTATACTAAACAGCTAGTCGAGAGAAGCGGGGGTGAAAATTGAAGAACAGTGTGAGAGGAGAGATTTTTTTGTAGGCATGTCTCGTCGCTTCAAAAACGATGATGGTTCGCATCGCGACGCTCGATTTTATTGCGGATTTCGTGGCACAACCAGATATTGTTCGTATAAAATGCATGATCGTCGCGAGCAGGGACCAGTCGATGATTTATGGTGTTTGTATTATAGTTTGGCTGAATTGATTGAGGGACAATTGCCGTGGCGGGATGTTGAGAGTTTGGAGGAGTTGGCGCAAATCAAAAAAGTTTGCAAACATGAGATGATTTTTCCGTGAGTGAAGAAAATTTGAATTTCGCCTTCAAAAATCCACGTGGCACATTTATTTCCAAAATTTGGCGCAAAATTTGAATTTTTCTCAAAATCAAAGCTTATTAGGTGTCTTTCGAGCCCGAATTTCATGAAAAATTTGAATTTGTTGGATTTGGCATAAAAAAATCCACGTGGCATAAGTATTGGTACAAAATTCGAATTTTTCTCAAAATCAAAGCTTATGAGGTGTCTTTCGAGCCCGAATTTCATGAAAAATTTGAATTTGTTGGATTTGGCACCATAAAATCAACGTGGCATGGCGAAAAATTTGAACTTTCCTGAAACCAAAGCTTATTAGGTATCTTTCGAGCCCAAATTTCATTGGTCTGAAAAACTTTGAATTTTTAAAGGTTAAATTTTGGCTTCAAAAATCCACGTGGCACAATTATTTCCAATTTTTGAAAATTTCAAATTAATATTCTGAGGTGCCACGTGGCAATTTTTTTTTGAAAAAAATTCCAACTTTGAAAAAGTGGTCCGATTTTTTTCTCGAAAAATCTAGCCTGGCTCGATTCAGGTAAAATTCAAGCCTATTAAAAACTAGTGAGATCTGAGATTACTGTACCTACAGTAACCCCCAATCTAATTTTGTTCAGATCCATGCCAACCAAATTTGCAAGCTTCGACAGAAATTTGAGAAGATTGAAACAAACTTCCACACCGGATTATCAGAAATTTCAAACAATTTTAGCTGTAAGATCTATCTAGCAAATTAGAAATCACTAATTGAAAAAAACAATTTTTTCAGAGTTGTGTGAAGTTTGTTGACACAAATGCTGAATTTGAGTGGGATTCCTGATTCTTGAGAGAACAAAACAAAATAAAACATTTTATTTTTGATAATATTTGACAATTGGAGCAATCACATTTGACAAGTTATCCAAATCCAAATCAATTTTGATATTGTAGAAGGATTTTTGAATAGGAATTCCATTATGGAAAATGACGATTCTTCTAACAATAGCTTTTGTTAAACAATTATCTTTGACAGTTAATTGAAAATTATATTTATCACTGTGTAATTCGTCTCCAAAAATTGTGGCGGTGAGTTGTAAATTCCTCTGCGAAACTGTAGTGAATTGGGAAGTTGACGCAACTATTTGATCCAATTTATTCGAGTCCAATTCTTGAATTGATATTTGAGAATTGAAAGGTTGTCCACATCTCAAACTGATATCAAAAGTGAAATTATCTCGAATTGTTTGAGAAACAACACATTGAAAGAGGAATATCAATAAGAACATTTTGATTGAAAATGAATTCTTCTAATTCGATGCTGGGAAACTGGGAAACTTTTATAATGACGATGCTTTTGAGGCGACGACAATCGTCACATCTCGCCGGCGATTTGTGTTTGTGGGCGGTTTGATTTTTCTTCTCATAGTTGAAAAGTAACATTATTCCACTGGAAAACAAAAAGAGTTCCTTAAACTTCACGTGAACTTACGCATCAGCAACGTGAACAAATAAATTGGAAAACATTGTGAAAAAGAATTGATAAAGGATATCAGAAGACCATGTGTAGACATACATACTATTCAGCGTGTCAATCAAATATACCCAATCTTGAAAACAATTTTGCATGAATAATTTGCGAGCTGTTTGTTTTCGCCGTTTTGTGGCGTAAGAATCGATATGATTATTGGTCGCGTTGAAAATCAATTTTGTGGCCACAATAACGTTGAAGGAATTCGAGCAAACTGCCAGAAACATTACGAGATACATAACTGAATCGGCTAAAATGTCGACACAAGGATCCAAGTTATCCCATGTCAAGATTTCAATGTTGAAGAGATTTAGGCAATTATCCGGGAATCCGGCTAGTAAAACGAAGAGGGAAATGCACCAGCAAAAGCTAAGAGCCGTCTGAAAAAAACATTGCGATGTTTTTTTTTTTGAAAAAAGCTTCAGGGGAGTTAGCCAGCAGTTAGTCCAACTCACAAAAACTACACATTTTCCACCATCTCTTTGCGCGTGTGCTGGGAGTATGATAACAAGAAAACGATTGGCAGCAATACAAAGTTGCGTCAAAGGTCCTTGTACATACACACCGTAGGCCATTGATTGATTGACTATTATGTTAATTATATCCGGACCGAAGTATGTGTTACTGAAAAATTATCGTCATAAGTACGAGAAATGAAATTATTACGAGAAAAGGGCGTTCTTGAAATTCTACTTACAATAATGCAACAGGACCATTGTAAAACACATAACCCAAAAGAATCAAATTATTACTAATAGTTTTCGATGCGCACAAAATATAAAACCCCGAAATATTCTTCTGTGTAATAAATCGATAAAAAACAACACTGTTCAAAAATATGCCCAAAGCTCCGCTGAATATCATAAATAATCCAGCCGATATTGTCATCCATCTTTCAGCAATATCTTCCGGGCGACTTTCCTCAATCCAAATTGATTCCAATGTTTTATTTGAGAGAGACATAAAGCTGTCGATAATGTCAGAAATAAACATATACGAGTAGAGTAGATTGACGTTGAATCAGAAGAAAGATATCGCTCGTGCTTGTTCTAGTTTTCGTGGAACGAGTAATTCAATTTATCCAATAATTTCCTATTTTTATTGGATTGTTATGAGTGTGAAGTGGGGGGAAAATATTTTGAGATTCGGTGCAAAATTTGGGAACATTTTCATAGATATAAAACGCTTCATGAAAAAATTTCGCTTGATATCTCTTTTTCGTCCGAAAATTGATTATTTCAGCTTCTCAAACGGTTTTTCTACAAGTTTACTTATTAAATATGATGAAAATTAGTATTTCAATGTAACTTACCTTCTGGTTTTAGTTGATGTAAATCCGAGACATACCACGCCCAGCTTCGTGCAAATTAACTTTGAAAATTGGCGGTATGGGTTTTGAAATTTTTTGACGAGGTGAAAACAACCTTTTCAACTGAAAATACCACGTTTTAACGGAAAACAAGCAAAAATTTGCTGTTTTTCGAAAAAATCTAAAATTGGCGAGGTAAATTTCCGTAAATTTTTATTGGCGCAGTGTATATGCCTCACCCTGGGCGTGGTATGATCCGAGAAAAACAAAAATGAAAAGAAAAATGAGCGACCGCAGCGCACTCGCTCAGCAACGCGGTCAGCTTGTAAAAATGCGTAGCTAAATAGTTTCTGAATTGGACAAGGTTCATCAATTTTTTGCTATAAAACAAAAATAGATAGAGTACCCGTTTTAACTGGAACTGACAAGATTCTCTCGGAAAACCTTGAACTTTTTTCACTTCTCCTATCTAAAAATATATTCTTCGAACTTTTCTCTCACTGATATTGTACCTAGAATAGAATATTTCTCGGGTTTCTTCCCAAAACCAAACCAGTTTCTCGTTTTTTTTGTTCGCAATTTGAAACAGTAAGTCGTTCAGTTGTAAACGAAAACGTGTTTGAAACTTTTGAGAACTATAAAATGACTTTGAACTTAACTCATATGAAACTTCCAGAAATGACCGTTTCCACTTTGATTTTTGTTTTCATTCTAATTTCTGTGACTCATGCTTCACTTCAAAAATCATCGAATTGCGGACAAATGGCGGCTTGTGCTGTTGAAAAATGTTTGAATCGAGATTTAGTTGAAAGAATTATCCGAGAATCACCGAAGGAAAAGGTTTTCGCAAATCTGGTTGAAAAGTGAGTGTTTTTCTATTATTGATGTTCAATGATTTTTGCAGATTTGATATGGTTTGTATTGCTTCAAAATGTGGAAATGAGTGTTCAAAATGTCGACAATGTCATTACGCATTGGAACAAATGAGTGCTTTGGCTCAAGGAGAAAAAACATGTGAGATTTAAGAGAAACAAAAAAGTTTTAAACTTTGATTTTCAGCCGGAATTTGCCCCAAATTGGAGACGTGTGTTTTCGATTGTCTTATGGAAAACGTTGACAAAGTTATGTCATGTGTAGCGAAAAAGTGTAATGTTCATTGTTATGATGGAGATTGTCCATCTTGTCGTGTAATTTCAAGACGAATTTTCGGTATTATTTGTAAGAAACATAATTTGATTGATACATTTGAATATGCTGGAACTTGTCCAAGTCTATTCATGGAATTAGCTGATGATTATGTTAAAAATAATTAGGTTATAGATACTAACATTTTGTTTTTCATTTTCATTGTTTGTAAATAAAGTTTTTTTCGGATTAGGAACTATCGGTGGTCGAAGAAAAAGAAAAAAAATAAATATAGGACTACTGTAGCACACAAGTTGTCGTCAAAGTGTTTGCACATTGCGGAGCTTGAAAAATATATTTTTTTGGTTTTCCAAGCTTTTTTCTTGAAAGCGGTCAAACCCATCGAATTTCCCATATTTCTGGTGTATTCTTGTTTTAAATTTAGGCGAATAGGTTGGTTTATTTGTTTTCAGAGATCTGAAATCGTAAATTCATTGAAAAAACTCTTTTTAATTTATTTAACGAAAATTAAAAAAACTTCACGCTGAGAACAAAAATCCACGTTTTTTCATTTCTACAAAATTGTTTTTCATTCATTTCTGATAAAAGGCAACGATTATTTTTCTTCTAGCGTTTCCAAGTAAGTTATTTTCCAAATCTTTTAGATTTTGTACAAAAATCTACTCTAGAAAATTAAAATACCACAGCTTTCTAAACATTTTCCCTATTGCAAAAATTTCCCCAATTCAAAACAATGCGCGTCAAATACATCAAATGCACAGCTGCTAGTGTTTACACAATTCTCAGCTTATGTGTTACGTGTACGACAAAATCGATCGATTGGTTTTTTATTCGCCATAATAAACCGGTTCTCTTTGACAGCTGAACATTTCTTCCTGATATTTGTTCTTTTATGTTATTTGGGTGTTTTTTCCAGAATGTCTGACGAAAATGGACCTTCAAAGACTGATCTTCAAACCGCAATGCGTAAATTACGCGCATTGAATGCCAACAAATTGTGTTTTGATTGTGGAGCAAGAAATCCAACTTGGTGCACAGTTACTTATGGTAATTTTCTTCTTTTTTTCTGTATTTTCCAATAATTCCTCCCATTTCAGGTGTCTTTTTATGTATAGACTGTTCTGCTGTCCATAGAAATCTCGGAGTACATTTAACATTTGTTCGTTCAACAAATTTGGACACCAATTGGACATGGTTGCAATTGAGATCAATGCAATTGGGTGGAAACTCGAATGCCACGCAATTCTTCAAACAACACGGGTGCAACACCACAGAAGCACAACAGAAATATAAAAGTCGGGCTGCGCAAATGTATAGGGATAAGTTGTTGCAATTGTGTCAAGAAGCGCAACGGAAGTATGGACAACAATTGATTATTGATACTTTGACGCATGCGGATGATTCTGCCAAAAATGTAAGTTTACAAGGACGCGCAGGTGTTGAACTTTTGATGAAATATACCAAATCGACCATGCTGATCAGGATTCCGAAGTCAAAAATTTCCCTGTGAGCACTTTTCTGCAGCTCCAAAAATACTTAGTTCGCCCATTTTATCCTGATTCCCGTGTGGAAAATCAATTCTTATAAGTTGGATAAGGTTGTTCACCACATTCAAAAACTTATCAGCTTTTTAGTTTTTCAAAAAATATCAAATGAAAACTGTAATTTTAAAAAGTTTTTTGTGCATTTTGAAAAATTACAGTTTTCACTTGCTATTTGATAAACTAAGAAGCTGATAGGTTTTCGAATGTGGTGAACAACCTTATTCAAATTATTAAAATTGATTTTCCACCCAGGAACAAAGTGAAAATAGACGAACTAAGTTTGGAGCTCTAGAAAAGTGCTCACAGGGCAATTTTTGACTTCGGAATCATGATCAGCATGGTTGATTTGGTACACTTTCATCAAAAATTCAACTTTTTCATCTAAAAAATATTCAAATTCAGGAAGAAGAAGACTTTTTCTCACAAGATTTCACTCATTCTTCGGCTTCAGCGACTTCATTGAGTAGCGATGCTTATATCACAGATCACAAAAAACCCGAAGACACCCAAGGTCCAAATGTCGATCATCTCGATTCGGCGCCAGTTCCAACATCAGCCCCAGTCTCGGTTATTCTCAAAAAACCCATCAAAAAAGCGACACTGGGCGCCAAGAAAAATGGATTGGGAGCGCAAAAAGTTCGCGTCAATTTCGATGAGATTGAACAACGAGCAGCGGAGAAGGAGAAACAACAAGAAGCTGAAGTTGCTGCAAGTAAATTGGCATATCAAGAAGAGGTTGTGGCGAAAAAAGATAGCGAACAAGCGGTTGAGAAAATGAGCGCGAGATTTGCGATGCAAGATATTGATGCGCAACGGAAAAGTATTGAGGTAAGATATTTCAAATTGAATTCTCTGAATATCCGAAAATTGTCAGGCTAAAGTTGCGAAAGATCCAACAAAAGCAGCTACCGTTGACCGTCTTGGAATCGGCGGTGTTGGCCGCACAAAAGCTGTTCATTCAATCGCCGGCGGTGTTCGAACTATCAAACAGGCCGATTCTTTCACCCCAATCCGAAAAATTCAACAAAAAGAGGAGGATGATTGGGAAGTTGTTGATGATACTAAATTTGGAGCAAGTTCGAATCATAAAGATGATGATTTATTCACAAATGATTACTCGAAGAAAACCAATAGCGATGAATTTTTCGATTCTTTCGAAACTCAGCCACAGTAAGTTCTTTATTATAGTTTTTTGAACATGAATAGTAAGAAGTTTTGGTATTTTCAGAAAATCAAGATATTCTGGAAACACATCTTCTTCTGGAAATACAACAACAACTACTAGATTGGCTGCTCCTTCTTCAGGTTCTAGTTCGAATGTTGAAAGCGCGAAGAAATTCGGAAATGCGAAAGCAATCTCAAGTGATATGTATTTTGGAACAAACGAAGTTGATGTAATTTTTTTTTGTTAACTCAAAATGCAATTCACAAAAATTTAAGTTGAACATAAATTTCAAAAGATATATTGTCCTTCCGAAAAAAAAAGAACCTTGGAAGAGAACCGAAATGGCCTAGGAAACCAAAACTACAGTAGACTTCGCGAAATTTTGGAGTCTATTTGAAAAATAAAATGCGAAATTTACACGCTGGCTATTTGCCAACCAGTTTGATATGCATGTGTCACGTCATTTTTAGTCTACTGTACGTGAGCGCCATTTCAAACGGGGGTTCTTTTATTTTTGGAATGACAATATGTGGCCGAACTATTTTGGTGGCCGAGAAATCGTCGGGAATTCGGCCAACGCAACAAACGCGAGAATTTTCGCAACATTAGAGCGAGTTTGTTGGTTTGGCCGAATTCCCGATATTTCTCGGCCACCGGAATATTTCGGCCACATATTTTTTTCTGAAATTTAAATTTCAATGTTTTGTGAAGTGCATTTTGAGTGTCATTCTTTTGAACATTTTTAAAAGTGCTCATAGTCTCGGCGATTCAAAAATTCATATTCAAAATTTTCCAGTTCGAAACCAAAAGTGCTCTCTCCCGATTCGAAGGTCAAACCTCACTCGGATCCGAAGATTTGTGGGGAAACGGTAGTCAACAACGTCAATCGAGCCAAGTTCCAGACATGGGTGAATTGAAGGACTCGTTCCGCGCTGGAGCATCGAAAGTCGCTGAAAAATGGTCGACACTGTCGAATTCATTCTCTTCCTACATGTCGGTGAGTTTTTTTCTTCTTGTTTTGTTTTGAAAAATCTTTGGAATTCAAAAAATATATAATTCAATTCAAAATTGAAAAGTTCAGCGTGGAGCTCCAGCACCAAATAAGACATAGGTAAATTTATATTTGTGGTGATTTTTCGTTTGAGTGTGTTTTGTGTTACTTTTTTTCGGTATCCGGGGTTTTTCAGTTCAGTGTTGTTCACATGCATATTCATATTGAAATTCGGAATGAAATGCAATAAAACAATATTTTTGGCATGTATTAAAACATCGAAAAACATAGAGACAACGTGAAATTGAGAGAGCGCAGCGTTTTTCGTACAAAAAATTCAAAAAACCTTTTTTTCTGTCTGCGCTCTCCGAATTTTACGTTCTCTCTAATCGCAGTATATTTTGTTTTTTCGACGTTTTTTTGCATACCAAAATATTATTTTTATTATATTTCATTACAAAATCAATCGATATAAGAAATATTTCTTTTTCAAAATTTCGAAATATTCAAAATTTTACTTACAAATGTGGTTATATCTTTAAGTTTCGAGTGGGCTTCTTCATTCACACGCTTTGTTTTTTCCCGCCCAAAAATTTCTCATTTTTCAGGATCGATATTGAAAAAGGGACAACACATTTTTTATTATTATTATAATTATAATCATTATTTGCCTGCTATCAACATTCAAATTGACTTCTATTATTAAAAAACAACAAAAATATCAACTTTCTCTTTTTGTTTTGCCTGATAAAAATCTGAACAGAACAGAACACATGTGATTTTTTTTTCAAATCTTTATTGATTGATTCGCCCTTTTTTTTAGCAAACACGTAGTATTTCGATGTTTTTTCATGGGAATCTTTTTTTTGTCATCATAAATTATTTTGCATTTATAAATGGATGTTTCTGAACAAATTTTAGGTTGAATTACCTGCTTTTTATTTTTCTTTTTTCTTGAACTGAAATTTCAGTCTCAACTTGTCAGATGCAAATAAAAAATGGAGAAGATCAGAATACTGTGTCGGTTTCGGAGAGTGAAGGAGCTTCAGCGGATGGAGTTCCGATTTATAGCAGTCTGGAAAGTCTATTGATTGTGAGTTGAGGTTTACGGGGCCCAAAAAATCCCGAATATTTTCTATACAAAATTCAGTCATTCACAAAATAAAAAAAACCTTTTTTCGTTAAAAAAAAAACCAAAAAAATGATTCACGAACGGAATTTTTATTCATTTTTCACCATTTTCTCAACACACTGACAAGGAATAGATCCCAATGTGACACCCTGAAAAATTTCGGTTTTTTATTTTTTATTTTTTTGAAAACCTTAATTTTCAAGCTAAAAATGAGCTAATTTTAAAAAAGTGACATTTTTTGTTGGAAAATAATTCCACGTGGATTTTTTTGAGATGAACTTCAGAATTTTCCAACGAAAATTTTGAAACAGTGAAATAATTTTCAAAATGTTTTTTTTTTCAATCAAAATTTCAGTGTAACATTGAAAATTTAAACCTGAAATTTTGAGGAAATTCTGAAACAGTGAGGATTTTTGAGGAAAATCAGAACATATATCAATTTCTGATTTTTCACCTAAAAATATAGGAAAATTTTGAAATAGTGAGTTTTTTCAAGCAAAAAATTTGAGCTGTTTTTTTTGCATTGAAAAATTTTCTAAATGAAAAAATATAGAACATTTTTGAAACAGTGAATTTTTAAATTACAAGTTTTTCAAAAAAATCTTTTCTCAAATTTCCAAGCTAGAAATGAGATAATGAAATTTTATAGTAGTTCTGGACTCTAAAATGCATTTTAGCTCAACTTTATTCAGTGTGATGAAAAAATGAATAAAAATACCGTTCGTGAATCATTTTTTGTGGTTTTTTAACGTTAAAAAACGTTTTTTTCGTGAAAAAAATATTTCGCAATAATTTCCTGTAGGTGAATGATAAGATAAAAAAAGAAAAAATTCAGATTCCTCCATCGATGTCTCAAGAATTAAGTGAAGCTGCTCGATTGGCTCAACGTTCTCTAGATAATTGGTCGAATAATCGTCGACACGTTATTCGAAAACTCGATTCGATTGCTCGCGAATTGGATGAATGGGAGAAGAATTGCTCAATCTCAACAGCAGTCGGAAGTTCTGTTGGAATTGTTAGTGGTGGAGCTGTTATTGGTGGTCTTATTTTCATGCCGCCTGTTGCGATTGCTGGGCTGATTGTTGGAACTGTCGCCGGAGCGTCGAATGTTGTTACTGGACTTGCGAAATGGCAGCATATGAAGATGAAGGCGAAAGATGTGAATGCGTATTGTGATCATGATAAAGTGTTGTTTGAAGAATTGATGAGAGATCGAGATGAACTAATGGAAGTGATTCGAAGAATTATACAAAGCGAAGATTATCAACGACATTTTGAACATAATTTCGATAATGCCAATAATATTAAGAATATTTTGGGAGCTACGGTTTTTGGTGCAGGAGGACTTGCGACTAGATATGCGATTCTTGAGATGGGAAGACTTTCGTCGTCGTTGGTCAAAGGAGTTTTGCATAGTGTTGCGGTTATTGGTATTATTCTTGATTCGGTTACACTTGCATTGAGTGCAAAGGTACGTATTTTGACGCGAAAAATTTGAATTTCAAAATCAAAATTCTGCCAAATGTGCTGATTCACGAACGAATTCACGAAAATTCGAAAAATGTCGAAGTTTTCAGTCAAAAATGATGACAAATCGAGATTTTTGAAGCTTCTGGAGTGATTTCTGATGAAAATTGACCTTCAGAAGTTTTTGCTGATTTTTAGTAAAATAAAACATTTTCAAATTTTGATGAATTTCGAAAAAATTCATAAAATGAAGTAAAAACGGTGAAAATAACCTTCGAAAACCCTATTTTATCTCATTTTATTAATTTTTTTCATCAAAATTTGAAATGTTTTTATTTCACGAAAAATCAGCAAAAACTTCTGAAAATCAATTTTCATCAAAAATCACTCCAGAAGTTTCAAAAATCTCGATTTGTCATCATTTTTGACTGAAAAACCATTTTTTCGTTTGTGAATCAGCTTTTTCAGTTTTTTCATGTTCTGCCACGTGGATTTTGAAATTTTGGACTTTTTAGCAAAGTCAACCGCAAAATTTGAAATCAAAAAATTTCCACGTGGATTCGTGGCTCTGAAAAATTTGATTTTGAAGTCTATCTCATTTTATTCCCTTTCCAGGACTTATCTGAAGAAAAACGCTCAAAATTCGGCGACGAAATTCTCGAACTCGCTGGCAAATTGGAACTCGATCGTCAAAAAGTTTGCAAAGATTTTTTGAATCAAGACGTTTGGAATGTCGATGATTCGAAAACCGAAGAAGACATGGAACGATTGTCCGACAGTGGTTCGATCGAATTTGTTCAAAGAATTCCGAGTGCACCAGTCTCAGAATGACTCTTTTTGGTTGGTTTTTATGTATTTTTGATATTTTGTATATATTTTTTTTGTATCATAAAAATTGTTGGATCAAATAATGTATTTTATGATAAACCGACCGAGCTAACAGAATTTCACAACTTTTGTTATTATAAACGTAAAAAAAATTAAAAAATAAAAAATTATATACCGTAGTTCTTTCGTCGCGACGAGACCATTTGTGTGTTTCAGCTGTTGCGCCTTTCAAAAACTACGGAATTTTTAGTTTTTTTTTCCCGGATTTTCGATTTTTGCATGAAAAAAGGAAGAAATCAAGCGGATCGGACCTGTTTAAAAAATATTTTTCACATTTCCATTTTTTTACGTTTATAATACTTATATACAACAAGAAAAACAACTAATTCAAATGCAACTAATGTTTTATTTAGCGAGTTTACCATTCAAAGAGCTTCCATTTTTAGTTGGCGTTGGTCGTTTTCGCCAATTCGAATTCGTCGAAAAATTCTTGGTGGCATCGCTCCAATCTGGCCAGAAACGAGAACGGATTCGTTCAACATAATCTTCTAAATTCTTCATTTCCGATCGGATGACTTCTCTGTGTTCGCTTTCATATGGAGCGAAGAGAATTTGGACGAGGTTGGCGAAAAGGCAAGCGTCTACCTGGAAAAAATTTTGTTTTTTCTAAAAAATAATTTGATATTTCTCACCTTTGTTGGCTTAAAACCATGCAAGAAATGTTTATTTCCCAAATAATTACTGATTGCTTTCAAATCATCGATTCCGATTTGAATGCGATCTTCTCTTTTATGAAATCCTAAATCAGTTCCAGCAATTCGTCTGCTCAAAAGTGAGGCATACGAATTTATGCTCAACATTTTGAATAATGCTCCAAGAAATCCGAATTCTTTGGGATTCAAGGTATCCATGATTTTATCCGCATTTTCTAGACGATTCACCCAAGCTGAAATTGATAGCGATTTTTCGATCATTGCTTCGAATGCGCGAGTTGTTGCTTTTTGTTCCGATGTCAGATGGTCATCGATTGAAACGTGTTGATCAATGGTTTTGTCCAAGTCTCTGAAAATATTAGATTTTGAAAAAAAAAATTTTCTCCCCGGCCGGGAATTGAACCCGGGTCTCGCATGTGACAGACGCGGATACTCACCACTATACTACCGAGGACACATTTTTCGCTGGGTTAAAAATCAATGAGGTTCTCGCAATTTTTGCGAAAATTTCTACCTACCTGATAATAAAGTTCGAATCAAAATATTCCACACCATTATATTCGACAAACGGCAAAGTTCCCTCTTTCGATCTGACATTCCAACTGATCTTCGGAATTTCATAAGTGATATCTGACATTCTGAGCCAAGTCTCAACTTTGAGACAATAAGGACTCGAGTTTGGAGAAACGGAAGTTCGAGGAAATTGGAACAAATATACAACATCTAGAAAAAATGGAATTTTTGGGGAATTTTTCAATGGGCCGAACCTTTTTTGAAGTCTTTAACATAAGGAGAAGCTCTCGGTTGACCAACCCAGAATCGATACGGGATATAGATAGTCAAAGCTGCTCCACCGGCAACAGCAGCTTTTCCCCAATTTGGGAGAGAGTCAATCCATGAACTTAACTGTTCAATAGCTTCAGAAGGCATGGCTGGAAACATTTTCGATTAAAAATAGGTCAACCAAAGTGCACAAAAGTGTGTTTGCTCACAGTCAAACAGCGTATCATTTTTTTTCAACAAGCAAACTATTTGTTGCTGGTTGGGTTGTTCTTTTTTTAATAAATAAAAACTCAAAAATTTTGTGAGAAAAAATTCTTGTCACGAAATCAATGACTTTCTTTTTCGTTTTTCTTGAAGAAATAAAAAAAACCGAAGAAAAAGAAACACAACAACAACAAAACTAACTAAAAAAAAGTGTATAGCCGTCGGCGTCTCTTTTGGGTTTTGAATGAATGGCCTCAAAGAACATGTGAGAGAAGAGAGAAGAGGAAAATAACATATGGAAAGGGTATGTTTTTTGAAGAAAAAAAGAATGATGCAAAAATTTCCGAATTTTAAAAGCTTTCCTGGAGAGAACAATGCAATTTGAACAATGAAAATTGATAAATTTTTGATGCAAAAAAAATTAATTCTAATTTTTTGGAAAATACCATTTTTCAAAATTTCTAGCTTAAATAATTGATAAGATTTTTTGTGAAAAAAAATTTGAAGAAGTTCCTGAAGTTCAAAAGTATTAAAGTTGAAATGAAAAAATTCCAGAATTTTTAGAGCCTCATAAAAAATTCACTACCAAATATTTCTGAATCATAAGGCTTGCGATTATCCTGGAAAATCTCCTGGTTCTTCTTTTCAACAAATTCTAAATGAAATATTCAAATCATAACACATGGGAAATCAAGTTCGCTCTATCGCACACATTTGTTGAAATTCTGAAACATTTTTTCTCGATTTTACAGAGTCCCATTAGATTTGAAAATTTTGAGGCATTTTTAAAAAAAATATAAACAAAAAAAATTTAATTCTGAAATTTTTCAGTCAATTTTTTTCAATGAAAATAGAAAGGTTACTGTAGTTTCGGAATTTTATATGAAATCTGGAATTAATTTAACAAAAGTTTTCCCATCGAAAAAAAAAACATTTTCAAGAAAAGTCTTTGAGTTACTGTATTTTCGGGAATCAAATTATTTTTATATGAATTTAGAAATCAAATTTGTTGAACTTATTGAATTGAACTTCAAAAATTCTCTAATTCAATGTACTTGGAAAATTTGATTTGGCCTTTCTTTATTCAAAAAATTTGGAATCTCAATTGTTTTTTATTTTAAAAATTTCTTAAAAATTAAAAAATTAGAATTTCACGTTTTCACGTTTTAATCAAATTTCATTTCATTTTTTCCCTGAATTACAGTAATCCTCCGGTCACTTTTTTCCAGAAACCTTTCAAGCATAATAAGTTAGTGAAAGTCATCATCATCATCCGCACAATTACCCAAGAGAAACCAAAATCCGGTAAACTTTCACCAAACCAATAACTTTCAGCTCACTAATTTTTCTCGAAATAAGAAGCTTGACTGCGTCTCTTCACATCACCATTATCTCTAATACCCGACCTTCACCTACAAATTTCGAAGAAAAGGAAAAAAACCAGCAGCAGCAGCCAGGAGGAGAAAACATTATCTGGCCATTTAGACATGACCTATCTTTTTTTGTTTTGTTTCCATATTTTTTTTTCTGGTACAGGTTAGGTTTGAGAAGCATTTAGGTAGAAAAAATAGGCGTGGCTTGACTCGTTTGACCTTTTGGATTAAAATATTCCTCTTTTTGACCATTCATATTGGAATTCTTTAGGAAAATGATCGACCTGCGACTATTTTTTATTCTACTTTTATTTTTCCCAAATTTCACAAATTCCCAATATTCTGACAATAATAATGAAGAGGTAAAACAGTTTTTCAAAATTTATTCAATTCAAAATATCCCAAAAAATTTGCAGACCTCAAACTATTGCTCAGATTACGTGGAATGTGCTGCTGTTTCGTTGCTTGAAGAGCGGTTGTGTTTGGGAAATTCGATTTGGCGGCCTTTTTGGCTCCCGCAGCGAAACGATCAACATAAATGTCACGATAAACTGAAAAATGATTATATACATTTGGAGAGATTGGAAGAGGAACAGGATGGGCAGTTGAATGCGTGTTTGAGTGAGAATTCGAAACCGTTGGATAGACAGACTGTAAGTTAGAGGAAGTTGGGAAAAACTGGGAGTTAGAGGAAGTTGGGAAGCTGGTTTACTGAACAAGTAATTGAAAAATGCTTGCGGTATTTCGAAAATGCACTTACTTCACAACAAAATTGAAGTTGAACGTAAATTTAAAAAAGATAAATGTGGCCGAATATTTTGGTGACCGAGAAATGTCGGGAATTCGGCCAAAGCAACAAACTCGCTCTAATGATGCAAAAATTCTCATTGTTGAAGCGTGGCCGAATTCCCGAGATTTCTCGGCCACCAAAATAGTTCGGCCAAATATATATATATATTTTTTTGAAATTTGTGTTCAACTTCAATTTTTTGTGAAGAAAGTGAGTTTCATTTTGAGTTTCATTCATCAATATTTGAACATTTTAAAAAGTTTCTTAAAAAAACATATAATAATTTTTCAGGCCCAAGAATGTTCATTAATCGGAAGAGTTGCAAAGTTCTCATACGGCCGAAGTATAACTTATGTGCCAAGTCAATGTTTCACCGGATTGAAACGACGTGTTGAAAGACAATGTGGAGTTTTATCGAAATGTTGTCCGGCTCTTGAAAAATGTCGACTTTTGAGTTCGGGTTCGACGATTCAAAAGATGATAAATATGACACGAACAAATTTGAGAAAACGAGCCAAGGATTGTGAAAATGGACTGAAAATGGAAGCTTTGATTTTGGAAAATGGGATAGGATTCTCGGAAGACGAGGAGAAGAGTGTTCTTGATTCGTGGGCGGGACCGAAGGGAAATGTTACAGTTCGATTCCATGAAGCTGCGAAATCAAGAGCATCATCCGGAGGAAATGTGAATGTTCGTTTTCACACTGAACAAGAGGCGATTGCCAATAAAATCCTGATTCGAGAAGGAGATCAACCGCGTCTGAATTATCCACAAAGATGGGAACAATTTGAGCAAAAATTCGATAAAGCTGCCAAGAATACACAGAATATTAAAGAAAAAATCGCGTATTGGGATCGAAATAAGATTGCAAAAGAGGGATTTGATTCGTTGGTTGATGCGGCTGCTGTTAGTGAAATTATCAATTTTGCGCCTCCAATGGGAACTGTTACACCGCATGTTGAAGAATCGAATGACGAAAATGTTATTGTAGAAGATCATGGGACCGTTGTTACTGTAACTGAATCAGTCACCTCAAGTCCGGTTATTTTTATTGAAACTTCTACTCAAAAGCAGGTGGAAAAATGTAGACCATCAAAAGTTTTCCAATTTTCGAAAATCCTTAAAGAACTTGGAGAAAATCCAGAATCAAAGGAGATGAAAGAAATTCTTGAACTTGTGAAGAGATTCGAGAATCGAAAAGATCAAGAGGGAAAATCGGGTATCATTGAAAAATCGCTGAGATCTTTGATTGATCATTTCGACACGGAAAATTTCGAAGTTTTGAAAAAAGATGCGGAAAAAATGATCAAGGAAAGTGAAACTTTGCCGATTTGTGCGGTTTCGATTTCTGAATCAATTGATGAACCCGAAACAATGTTGGTCGATGATAATGGAGATAAATTCATAATTCAAAGTAGTGAGTTTTTTTTGAAATGTAGTTGATGAATTTGAAAATTTTTTTAGAAGATTCAACAGCAAAACTTCTTGTTGGCGAACCTTTGGAAAATTATGACAAAAATGCGACGACAGAATCAGAATCTGTGGAAAATTTCATCTCAGATGAATATAAGAAAGAAATCGCTGCTTTCAAGAAGGAGTTCAATTTGTGGTCGAGAAATGTGAGTTCACGTGAAGAAAAAAAAAATTTGCCTCGAAGCGGGATCGAACCCATGACCTAAAAATTGAGAGACATGTGTGTTTACCACTCAGCTACGCGCGCTCTTTTTTTCTTGCACGCAAATGTTTGATATATGAAACGAGGTGCATTGTGAAAGTTTTTACCCCTTCTTTTATATATATTTTAAATTAAAAAAAATTATTCTAACAATCAGGCAACATCTACACGCCGAAACGACACAACTTGCGATATTTACATGAAATGTCGAAGTCAAATGCATATGGCAGTTGATAGTTGTGCCTGGAGATTTGCAAGTGATAAATTATTGTCAACGATGGCTGAGTCAGCGGAAAGTCTTCTGTTTAAAGACGATGGGATTTGCAGTCAGAAAAATGGAGAGCAATTTGGAAATTTGTATGAGGGAATTATTCGACGAAATGATCAATTGAGAAAATGTCTTGATGAGAAAAATGAGAAATTTGTGAGTTTTTTTTCTTAAATTCTTGTGAATTTTCAAATTCTGGCGATCTTTTCCAGTTCTCCGAATCCGTGTGCCTCGCGTATTCCGAAGAAAAACGCCACGCATACGACGACGCGTTGCGGCGTCTTCTGAATGACACACATGATTACAAAAAGTCGCGGGAATGTTTCGAAGATGCTAATTTGATACAGGAAAAGTGTACGAATCTTCGAGATTGTTGTCCAAACTATGATAAGTGAGTGGGTGGGGATTGAAAGGGAAGCAAAGGGAAAAAAATGGAAACGCGAAAAACATTTTTTTGAAAAAAAATTACTCCCTCTCGTTTATTTTCGTCGCGACGAGACACACACCCTTCAAAAATCGATGCGCCTTTGATTCACAAGGCGTTTTTGGTGTGTTTTGGTGGCTATTTTTTTATCAAAACGAGGAATTCAACTTGAGAAAAGTGAATTAGAAATAATTAAGAGATAAGTTCGTAATTTTCAAACGAAAAATAGATTTTTCTTCAATAAAACACTTGAAAATCGTTTTTTATAGTGTTTCTTGCTTTGAACAGGGTTAGACCGGTTGATTTCTGCCTTTTTCATGCAGAAACATCAAAAATCTCGAAAATCCGGGGAAAAAAAATACCGTAGTTTTTGAAAGGCGCAACAGCTGAAACACACAAATGGTCTCGTCGCGACGAAAGAACTACGGTATATAATTTTTTTCAAAAAAATATTTTTCGCGTTTCAATTTTTTACGTTTATAATATTTATAGATCATAAATCTGCTGGGCTTTTAAATTGAGAAGGGGGAAACATTAATCATATTCCGAAGGTCACAATTTAGCACAAAAGTGCTTTTGAAAAAAATTTAAAAAAAATTTCCAGCTGCCGCGAATCAACATTCGAAGCTGATGTCGAAAGAACAATCATCAACTTGACTGCCAAAATCAACGAGCTCAAACAAGATTGTGTTCGAACAAAAGCGAAAGAAGCTGTCAAATTAGCAGTTCGACAATTATTGCTTTCAACCAAAGCTGGTCAACGATTAGGACAATTGGGATTGGATATTTCACGAGGTGCAAGAGTTGTGAGAATGGCCAAATTCCGGGTTTAATTCTAAATGATTAATAATTTTGGAAAAAATAATGATAATAATATAAGGTGAATAATGCCTCGGTGCCATTTGTGCTTTAAATTTTCTTCTGCATTTAATAAATATTTATTTCATGTTGCTGATTAATTTTCGCTTAGTTTTAAAATTTTCTGGTTTGGAGAAAAAATTAGGAACGTTTTGCCCATTGAAAAACTGAAAAGAAGACAAATTCAAACCGCGCGGGCTAGCGTCAACGCGGAGCATAGGTGTTTTTCCCATTAAATTACCCTCGGGGTTAAAGACCTATGACGAAATCGAATTAAAAAGTTAAAGACCTATTTTACACTGAAAAAAACCTTTTTTACTAAAAATTTATTTTCCAGCATGCTTTCCCAGAGTTTCCTCAACAATTTCAAAACTCAATGCGTTTTCCATCACGTGAAATATATAAACAACTCTCATCGCCGACAACTCGCTGGTACGACCACACGCGATCCTTCTCATTGCACCTGGCTCCGCCCACTTTGTTTTTTCTTTTCTTTTTCTTTATTTTCACAGAAAATTCGAATCAAAACCAAAACTAATATTCTTGTAGGCAACCAAATGAGCTAAAAATTTTCACAGCCCTTCTACAGGTAATTTCGCATAGTTTCAATCCAGTACATTTCATCATAAAGACCTCCAAAAGATTTAGGAGACCTCAGCAGCAAAGTTTAGCGTTTCACTAAACTTTCCTGCTGAGGTCTCCTAAATCTTTTGGAGGTCTTTATATTAAGCCGGTGGGTCTTCTAAACAAGCTAAATATCTTGAAGAATAACTGTGAAAATTTTCATCTCATTTGGTTGCCTACAACAATATAAGTTTTGATTTTGATTTGAATTTCCTGTGAAAAACAAACGAAAAAAAAGAAAAAAAGTGGGCGGAGTCACTGCAATGAGAGAGATAGCGTGTGGCGCTACCAGCGAACTGTCGGCGATGAGAGATATTGAAATATTTCGCGTGATGCAGAATGAAACAAGGCGAAATTTTTGTGGAAACCCTGCTCCTCTTTGAAAGAATAAGTTGATGCAGAGGTAATTTTGATGACTTGAGAAATTAATAATAATTTTTTCATAAATGTTAAGGACCTATTTTTGATGAAAAATGAAAAGGTTAACGACCCTATTTTATACTTTTCCGGACCAAAAACATGTATGACGCGGAGTCTCGTTGTTTTCTTTTTTATTTTTTTGCAAATTTTTTTCCGTGAAAGAATTCACGTTTTGTTGAAAAAAGGTTGCGAGGGGTACTGTAGCACACAATTGTCGTCAACGTGTTTGCACAAATTTATGAAATTGCGGATCTGCACAACCTGCAGGCAATTTTCAAAAAAAAAATTAAATTTTTTCTCAAAATCGGTCAAATTTGATCGTTTGCTTTTTCTATGAAGTTTGAAAAGTTAAACTGGAATTTTCAGTTAGCCAAATTTTTGTTAATCAAAAAAAAATTCAAAAAATGATGTCATAAATATTTATTTTCTCTCTATGAAAGCACAAGTTGTAACATCTTGTGACCAAACCAAGTTCTTCCGAAGTTCGTCGAGGTCAATGTTCCTTCATCACATGATTCATCCCTTCTATTCTTATCCACGTTGTTTATCATCAAAGTACAAGAATCGTAGCTTTCCTCCCCCACACAAATGTTTTCCTCCCAAACAAAGTGGGCGTGGCTTGAGCCAAGAGCATTTTTCATGGGCGGAGCTTTTGAAAAAACACATAAAATACCACGGATAACCTGCTGAAAATCATATTTTTCTATATTTTCGAAAATGGTTGTGAGTTTGAAAAATTTTAAGCTTTTCAGCAAGAAAAATTTTTACAGGTCAAAGTTACCACTGCTATTCCAATTGAGGAACTTGTCAAGAAGCACAGTGATGTCAATGAATTCTTGATCAAAAAATGGGAGAGAATCTTCAGCCTCTTCTTCGACAGAAACGCATCGCATCAAGTCGATTGGGGAGATTTCTATTTGGTTGTCAAGGTGAGTCTGGTTGTGAATTTATTTGAAAATCTATAGATTCCCTTTCAGAAAGTCCGTGACATCTATGGTGCTGAATCGGTGCAAACAGATTTCGCCAAAAAATCATTGGCCGCACTTTGGGATGGTCTTTGCACAATCGCCGACAAAGACAAGGATCAATTGATTTCCATCGATGAATGGATCGGGCTTCTCAAGAAAACCGACGCGAAAAATGAACCAAAATGGTTCAAGGATTATCAAAACTTCATGTTCAAGTTATTCGACGTTTCGTGCGATGGAGTTATGGATCTTGCTGAATACACCGATGGAATGAATACCTATGGATTCACACCTGCTGAATGCGACGCGGCTTTCAGAAAATTCTCGGTGGATAAGAAGGGTCAATATGTTCCACAAATGAAGCCGGAAGTTTGGAACACGTATTTCCATCAACTTTTCTACTCGACAAATAAAAATGACTTGGGAAATCATCTTTTCGGCGTCGTCAACTTCTAAATTCCATTTTTCACTTGTAAATACATTTTTTTTTCTTTTTTTCGTAATAAATTCTTGAAAACTTCTTGAAAAAAATCCAATCAAAAATACACTTGTGATGCCCTCAATGATCATAAAACAGACATGTGTTAGGGGGAGATTAGATATAAAAACACACATATGTTTTTGGATGAGTGCCAGGAATCATGTGGGAGGTTGATGAACTGAACAATTGGTTGGGAGAGAAATATTTTATGACTTTTTGAACTCGCTGAAAAACAAACAAACATCAGGGGTCCAGATAATTTTTTTGAAAACCAAGAAACCCGATGCTTCAAAGAAAAAAGCTGAAAATCTTTCCACGTGGATTTTCACGAGACTTTATGTTCCTATAAAAACTCTTGAGTAACAGTAGGAGCGATTACAGTACCCCCCGAGTGCCTTTAGCGCGAGTGTATGTCCCTTTCAATAACCCTGAATTACTGTATGCACCTTTAATAAAGAAAGCAGAACATCTAGATTTTTCTAACAAGATCTATTAAGTTCTAGAAATAATAGGTGTACTTTTTTGCTTATTGAAATAATTGGCCAAAAAAACTTTCTCTTGACTTCATTTTTGTAGATTCTTGGAAAAATTAGTTTCAAAATTAATTTATTTTTCTGATACTTTTTTTAAATAAAAATATTTCAAGAACAATAAAACCTGAAAATTTTCCCATCAAAAAAAATCCTTTGTTTTTCAAACATCCAGTTTTTCAGTCAGTTTATCAATTTTATCCCATTCAATAATTTTTCATTTGATTTTCTCATCCTTTATTTTCAGCCTTCAAAATAAAATAGATATAAGTATGTGAGTTTTTGAAGATTCAGAAAGAATAAAGGTCGAAATCAGGACCACCAAGATCGATTACAGTTTCAGCTTAACAGTTGTTGTTCTGCTGAAAATTGGTCCAATCCATCCATCAATTTTTTTATGTTATGGGCTGCAAAAAAAAATGTTTTCAGGTTTAAACTGACTTTGAATCTTTTCCGAAAATACATATTATATTTCAACAAAACAAAAAGGTGTGGTCTCTTCATTGTTCCAGGCACGATTTTATCAATGAAAATTGCAAAAAAAATCGTTACACTTCCATCAATCAAATAATATCAAATCATCTGGAAAAATAAACTTATAAATTTTTTTTAATGTGACGTCGTAGGCTAGAAGTTTTACAGAAGAAGACCACCAATTATTTTTATTTCGAATCGAAAAAAATCAATACTAGAAGTTGATCAACGATTAAACGTCATTTTTAATTACTTTAAATGTTTGAAATGTTTTTGATTTGTTGAAAATAGGAAGTTATGAAGACTTTAAAATTTTAGGAAAAATATTTAAAAATTACCAAAAAGTTAATATGAACAGAATTATTATTTTTTCAAAATTTTGCTACAAAAAACTTTTTCCCTGTGTTTCATACCTAGCTATTCAATTCCATTTTTGGCGGTCAAACCCCAAAAATTCATCAATCTTGTTGCTGGCTAGTAAAAAAAGCGCGAAAAAAAACCCCGCGCGCATCTTTTGTGTTTTGTTTCATTTTGTAGACTACAAAAAAGGTGTTGGCTACAATACCTACAACAAATTAAATCACTTTTCCGAAAGTAGACGTCATAATAAACATCTTGTCCAGCCACAGACTGTGTGTTTTCTCCTTTTTGTTTCGTGTCAGTCAGAAACCTTTAACTATATTTATTATATGTGATGATTGTAGGCAGGCAGAAAGTAGATTAATTTAGTTTGTCCAAACAAAACTGGTATTCACTGTGACAACTATAACAGCAAAAAAAATATTCAAAATATTAGTTCCACGCAGCTACAAAGTTAGGCTAACTTTCAATTTTTTATTCTTTGTAGTGATTCAAGTAGATTGATCAAAATCATCTAATCTTTGTATTCCAAATGCACTTTGCCCAAAATCTCTCACGTAATACCTTACACTTTTTATCTATTTCCCTCTAACCGGTTTTCAACAATTCGGCCAACCCTTTAGAAAAGGCCACCCCAAATATTTATAGTTGGAGACACATTTTCAGGCACATTCTATTTTTAATTTTATACATTCATCATCAATTTGCGATTGATGAATGAATAAGTTTTTCTTAAAAATACGTTTTTTTTTCTTAAAAAAGTATTATTTTTGTCTTCGTTTTTTTTTCTTCTTCTTCCTCAAAAAAAAGAATAGGTCAACACTAACTTTCATTTTTATTCCTTCAGATTGGCCTCTTTTGTTGCTAGATAATAATCTGTTTGGAATAATGGCGCCGACTCCTCCACAAATCTCATCTACCGAATCTCAACAATCCTCATTTGACAATAACATTTCGTCGATTTTTCCACAAATTCAGTTTTCGAGTCAATTGCAGTTTTGGATCACAATGATTGTTATGATTCCGGTTGTGTATTTGGTCTATAGACTTCTCAGGTAATTAAAATTTCTTTTTTTTTTTGCAAATTAAAGTTTTTTATAACCACAAAAACAAAGTTTTATGATGTTCTAATCAAAACAAAACTTTTAAGTGCATTAAATTTTTTGAGAAAACAACAATTCCAGTTCCACCTGGAAGTAAATTCCTATTTTTAAATTAAAATTTTTCAGAACATTCTTCGCATTCATCAAAGCGATTTTCATTTATGCGATTGCTCCTCGATTTTATAAACCAAATCTCGAACAATACGCTCACAGATACACAGGTTTGTAGATATTTAAAAAATTAAAGAAAACGCGCAATTTTCGTGAAAAATTTTTATTTTTCAAAAAAAGTTAACGCGCGTTGCGAGACACAAGAGAAAAAATGTGTGCGCCTTTGATGAGGGTACGGTAGAAATGTTTTCTCATTTTTTCTTTTTTTTTCGCACGCGCGTAACTTGGGTCAATATTAATTTTTGCAGTTGTTTCTGGTGGAACTGACGGAATCGGAAAAGCCTATACTTTCGAATTGGCTCGCCGAGGTTTACGCAAATTTGTGTTGATTGGCCGAAACCCGAAAAAATTGGAAAGTGTCAAATCGGAAATTGAAGATGTCTACGAGGATGCACAAATCAAGACATTCGTTTTCGATTTTGGATCGACGGATTTTAGCAAACTTCGAGATTATCTTAGTGATATTGATATTGGATTTGCAGGTAAAGATTTATTTCTTTTCTCGAAAATAAAAAACAAATTCAAAAATTTTTTTTAGTAAACAGCGTTGGAACTGGACGCGAAAATCTCGAAAGATATGGAGACAACCCGGTCGAAGACACTCAAATCCTACGAGTAAATGGTCTTGGAGCCGCCGAATTTCTCTCATGCGTTCTTCCACCAATGGAAGCTTCGGGTGGCGGACAAATCGTTGTATTGTCATCGTCGCAAGGTGTTCGACCGATTCCAATGTTGGCCGCGTATTGCGCAACAAAATCATTGCTCAGTTTTCTTTGCGAATCGATTGATCGAGAATATAAAACGATTAGTGTTCAGACTTTGATCCCAGCGTTGGTTGCCACCAAAATGACGTATTACACGGTGAGAATTATTTCCCACGAGCTTACCCGAAGTTAATTTTTTTGCAGGAAGGTTCAATGTTCGTCGTAACCCCAGAAAACTTCTGTCGCCAAGCTGTCGGTTCCATCGGACTAACCAAAAAGACAGCCGGATGTTTGAACCATGATCTTCAAATGCTCGGATTCCACTTTTTCCCATGGACAATTTTGAAATACATCATCATGCCTATTTATTATCATCAAAAACAACGGGTCGCAAAATTGCTCTCCGAGCAAACTCACGTAATCACTCCTGAAAAAACTAATCAACGCGCCTTGGCCTAAACTTCCCTATTTTTTTAAAATCTTTTCTAACCCAAACTTTGCTCAAAGCTTTATTTCTGGTATTTTTTGTTGATAATCGATAATAAAATAATATTTTTTCTGAAATTCCTGTTTTATTGTACTTTGATTTGAATCCCATTATTATTTCTATTATTACACCGAATGCATGCAGTCAAGTGGAACTATTTGGAAGAAAAAATATCTGAAAAATTTTATTTTTCAAACATAAAATTTAGCGCCTCGAGCTCTTCGTAATCTTCCAATTCGATGAGAGCATAACGGACAAATATGGACAAAATCACTAAAAGAATTGAGAAAACATGGAAGTGGAGAACAGGGCCAGAGAAATAGAATGGCGAATAAAAAACATGATAGAATTGCGAAAAGGCCGGTTTCACGATGGACATCGGTTTCCACTATATTCTGTAACATTTTTGATTGTTTTTGGGTGTTAGTTTAGCTTCTGAGCTCCGAATTTAAAAAAATCAGGGATCTTAAATGGCCCCGCAAAAATGTTCAAATATTGATGAATGAAAAAAACCGAAAAAAAACGTTTGTGTGGTACGGTATCATTCAAAGGAACATTGCAATTGACAACTGCGTCTTGACACGCAACACACAAAAAATTCAAAACCTGCCCGCGAAATTTTATTTTTTCGACGCGCCAACCAAAAAATCGATTTTTTATTCATTTTTTTCTTTGTTTTTGCTTCGCTGACTGTTACACGTCGACCCACTAAAGAACAAACTGCTGCAATGAGTGTGAGACAGAATGCATCAAAATGCAAGAAAACTACTGAACCATTTTGAAAACTGATTTCATATTCGTGATCAGCATGTTAAAATCTATGGAAATAAGGAGTTTCATGAATTCTAGTTGAGGTTTTTTCTCGTAGCACTTCGCGGAAAACTCGAAAAACCGTACACCCATTGCAGCAGTTGGGTCGACGTGGTTATTCGACAATCCAACACCGCATCGTTTTTTTTCCAGAAAAATGCTCCGCAATCAATACAGCTCGCCGGAAAAATCGCTCGATTTGGACTTGGTGATGTTTATTGTGAGTTTTTGAACTTTTAAAGGGGGATTGCGGGCAAAAATGAAGTTTCGCACTATTTCTAGCAGCGTGTATCCCCAAAAAATTGAAAACTGCCACGAGGATACGAGAGAATGTCGAGGAAAGCGCGCTCTAGCGAACAAGCGGCACGTTTGAATTTTATGTGTCTTTTTTTCAGCGCGTTCAGCCAAGAAATGTCGGGAATTCGGCCAAAGCAACAAACGCGCTCTAACGATGAGAATTTTTGCAACATTGGAGCGAGTTTGTTGCTTTGGCCGAATTCCCGAAATTTCTCGGCCATCAGAATAGTTCAGCCACATATATTTTATTTTTTCAGTTATTTTTTCATTTTTTCACGCTATTTTTGGCTGTCCATATCGAGAGAGTGGCGCAGAGAAAAAGACGCTCGTTTCTCGACACGAACAAACAGATTTTCGTAAAACTACTGTAGAAATTGCTTCGCATGCCTCCTTAAAGGGAGTTTTTCGCGTCTCTGTCCTTTCTCTCGATTTGGACGCTCTTCTTCTTTTTTAAAATAGCGTGTTTTTTTAATTTGTTCAATTTTTTGTGAAGTAAGTGATCATTCATCAACATTTGAACATTTTTAAAAGCACTGTATCTCTGAGAAGTCCTCTCGTAGTCCAAAATTCACCCCAGATCATATTTTTTGTATAGAAATTCAAAACATACCCTACACCGTGAGCAGAACAAAACAACAGGTTTTTCACAAAAATCCAAATCTGGCCAAAAACAATATTCATCGATTCTCGCAATCGGCAAACCGCGAATCTGTCGCTTTTCTCGAATTTCTCCAAATGTACATCGCTCCAGGCCAGAAAACCCTCTTCGAATAATCGGTCGTGATAAATCATATTTCAATCGTCTTGAAGATGCAGTCATATCGTGCCATTTTTTGAAATACCGTAAGACTATGACACGACGGCGTCTAGAAAATCATTTTATTCTCAACGTCAAGTGGAACGTTCAGAACTCTACCCTTTTTCAGCCAGCCATCGTCCATAAGTGACTTCGATGAAACTGAAAAATACTCCTGACAAAACTCCAGTTGAAACAAGAATGAAAATATCTTTCATGTTGACAAGACCAAGTCGAGCTGGAGATTTGTGAACTTCGACAACACACGTATCGCTGATATCAATCCATTTTCTGTCGAGAGTTTCCATAACTCCACCTGAACTTGTTTTTTTGAGGAGAGGTCAGGTGGAGAAATTTAAAAAAAATTTTTTAATAATTTTTTTTTGTTTGGAAATTTTGGAAAAAGGAATTTTTTCCTGAGCCTCAACCTTCGTAACTCACTCTCTGACATTCTCAAAATAGCTTGTGTTATATGCGGTGTCCAAGGACTATTCTTCTGCAATCCAATTCCATACGCACTTCTACCAAAAAGCGAACCCCTTGTCCTCAAATCACAATGCCTGGCAGCCTCGAATTCCAGACGAGTTGAATCCCAAATAAATGCATCTAGTGATCCATTCAACAATGAATGCACAGCTTCTGAAGCTTTGTGAACATTGTGAGGTTCCATTTTCCGAAACGTTGATGATAATTCAACATGTCGCTTGAAATATTGGTAGACGTTTGAGTTGAGAACTGTGCCAAATGAAAAATTTGCGCTTGGATTTCTGAGCTGAAATTTTTTTTTTAAAAATTTAAAAATTAATTTCTTAAATTAAGCACTTACCCTTGGATCAGTTACTCCTGTTAAACCCTTCTCTGGCTGATCTAACACAAGAAAAGCAGCTAGATTTGCTGTGTAAGATGCTACCATTATCATACAAAATCCACACCAAACAATTCCAAGAACACGCGCAGAACAACTTCGAGGCGTTTCTGAATTTTTTATGTATATTTTCAACAAAAAAAATAAACGCGAACTCACTTTCCGAAACTCCACTATTCAACAATACTCCCCATACAAACCACATTGCCTCATTAAAATTCACATTGTCATCTTTATCAGCATCTCCTTCCCCGAACAAATCCTCATTCATTTTTCGATCCATTTGATAAAATCGATCAAAAGGACTCTTGAAATCGAGGAAAAAGATGGCGAGTCCAACAAGAAGGACAGAAATGAAGAGTGCTGTCCAGAGAGAGGATTGAAGTGGTTGAAGAAATGATTGCATCGGGGAGTCTCGAGGTATATTTTTCTCGAGAATCCGAATACCATGATACAACCAAGGCTCGCTGAAATCAACAATTCGTTCTCGCTCCGGATTTATTGTGATTCCTCCGATCGCCATATCTGCTGTATCTGCATCGAGTTCACCAATCACTCCACCGATGCTCAGACCGATCTGACAAGGTAATCAGAAATATTTCAAATTCTAGACCTCAAAGGCGCCCGTTGAGTCAGACGCGAGACGACGAGAGTAAATGTATTTCGCTTCGAGATATTTTCATGTGTTCCTTTAAACAAAATGTGGTATTCTTTCAAAGGGACACATATTTTCTCCCGTCGTCTCTCGTCTGACCCGAGGGGCAATTGGAGTAAATGGTCGTGTGGGGAACTTTCCTTCGAAAACCTACCGTTTCGGCTGCTTGTATCACCCCATAAGATTCATTCAAATGAATCGAAAATGTAAAACTGGTATCGATACTTGCATTCACTTCAGATGGCGATAAATTACTCAACAAATCGATAGCTAATCCAGCACAACAATAAAACATAGTCTCATTTGATGTTTTCATTGGACAGGGATACCAGGGACCAGGAACATCAATATCATCATTTGCATAATTACTCAAAGGGATTCGTTCGTTACCCAATTCTTGGCATAGTTCCAAATTTTCGATTGGGATTGTATAAACGAATGGGGGATCAGCGACGGTGACCACTCTCAAATGTTTTGGGAGAGTTATCTCGAGAGGTTTCGATTCTCCAGCCCATTCGATTAAATGTTCAGAAAGTTGCAATTCGCTTCCAATCTATTCGGAGATCAATTATATTCAATTCGTTTGAAAAAATGACCTACCATACTACCAACTTTGTTTTGTTTCCCATAAAAATTGATAATTGAATAAGCCACTCCAATTCGCTCACATTTTTCATTGAAATGAACACCGGTAATCGAAGTCTCACATATTTCTTTTAACAACATTGGAGCATCGTCTTCACTCCATGTTTTATCAATTGTTGTGTTACATTTATAAGGTGGAATGATTGTCGAGTTCGATAAAACAATATCAAAAGCAGATTTTAAAATCTGGAAACTGTCTCGAAGAACGGACAAAGGTTGTTGAACAAGACTGCAGCCGAGTGAACCATTTGGAACGTTATGAGCATATCCGGCACGTTCGCTGACAATCCAAACTTTACCTTTTCCGGTTAGATCACCAGCGTTGTCGAAAATTTGAACAGCGTCTTCTTTTCTGTTAATTAATTGAATGGGTTTTAAACGGAAATTATGAGCACTTTGAAAAATTGATGAATTAAACTCAAAACGCACTTACTTCACAAAAAAATTGAAGTTGAACATAAAATGAAAAGATATATGTGGCCGATAAATGTCGGGAATTCGGCCAAAGCAACAAACTCGCTCCAATGTTGCAAAAATTCTCATTGGTGGAGCGCGTTTGTTGCTTTGGCCGAATTCCCGACATTTCTCGGCCACATTTATCATTTATTTTTTTCAGTTTTTCTGGAATTTATATAAAGCGCCCGGTTTTTAGTACGTCACTCCGTTTGTGCGCCTGCCTGTTGTTTAGCGCAATAAAATTTCAACTTATTTTTCTTTTTTTCCGTTTTGAGACAGTTTTTCGTTGTTTTTACCATAAAAGGCTAATTTTAGTGTATTTTTTTTATTTTTATGGATCGCATTACTATTTCACCTAATTTATTACTAAATTTCAGTTTTCTTGGCTCGAAAAGAACTCAAGAATAACGCGTTCATCGAGTTTGGCAGAAAAGGAGCAATGATTATGTTCAACTTCAATTTTGTTGTGAAGTAAGTAAGTTCATTTTGAGTTTCATTCATCAATTTTTTAAAGTGCTCATAATCTCCGGGCCATTCAACCCAAAAAACTCACTTCGCAAACAAAACAATAATATTCGACGTAACTTCCTCAAAACTTTCCGCCAAATTCTCTTTCAAATTCCCCTTCAACTCAATTTGAATATATTGTTGAACAATTATTTTAAATCCAACTCTTCGATTCTCAAATTCCTCCACAAATTGTTCGCCATTTATATCTCCCTTGATACTTAAAACAACAACTTGTCGATATTGAAGACGTAAAAGTAAATGAAGAAACACATATGCTTCATCAGACAAAGAAGCTGTGGTTCGGATAAAATTCGGATAAATATGTTTTTTGCTGAACTCTGCATCTCGAACCATAACACCAATCACTGGTAAATTATATAATGATAACGCATAAGTTGTAGATGAGACAAGTCGGAGAAATGAGGTTGGAGAAATTGAAACTGATGAGGAATAAATCACCGAGGCTAGTGATGAACTCAACATTTCACCACAAACTATATTTTGGGTCATTTCTAGACGATTTAATGGGTTTCTCGCATCTATATATATTGGTTCAATTGAATGATCTGATATTATATATTTCGAACTTCCAAAAACCTCAATAAACGCACTCTGGAAATCTAGATCTAGAAAAGGGTCCCAAAAAGAGAGAGCCCCTACCGTAACCAATCCAACTTGTTCTTTGAATTCATCTTCGGGAAAAATGAGAATGGAAAGTTTATAGTCATCACATTTCACTTTCAGGAATAGTCCAAAATAGAAAAAGTACATGTACATATTTTTTTTCGGAAAAAATGAGATGAGAAGGAGAAGAAGAAGAAGCTTGTTGAGAAAAAAGGTAATCAACTTTTTTTCCTGCTCTTTTTTTGGAGAAAACGAGAAGACGTTTAATTTTGTGTTTTGAAGAACTTCGCCTAAATTGTTTTTTGAACGACGGAAGTTTTTGTTTGAGGAGAGATATTTTGAGATAAAAACATTATCTAGTTTTTGTCTATTTACATTTGCAAAAAAAATTTGATCAAAATATATTTGTTGATTTTTTGTAAATCTCGAGTATTTATTTATCAGATATGAGAAAAAATGATTTCGGAAAATAGGGGTCAGAAAAATTCCGCTTGCGTGAACGTGCATTAGAAGACGTGGCAATTCAAAATCATTTTTCATTCCAAAATCATTTCATTCACAAAAAAATGGCGATAGCTTCGCCACCGCCCGAAGGCGATAAACACACAGAGCACGCGAATAAATAAACTTCTGGTGTGGGCGACGGTTTACGGGTTGTGCATGCCGCCATTGTTTGTGTGCAAAAGGGGCGGGGCTTAATTGAATAAGCCCGTTTTGTTTTCTTCAAAATCAAGTTTTCAAGGTATATGAGTGAATTTTGTCTGATTTTTTCATGTTTACTGTGAAATTTTGTAATTTTCCATCAAAATAAGCTGAAAATGAACGAAAACGGTTCCAAACTACGTTTCCCAGAAATTTAATAAATAAGTTTATTCATTTTATTTTCAAACATACATTCTGATTGACTCTTTTTTGTTATTATTTTTTGGTGAATGTTGAACACGGCAAATTTCTAGAAAAAAAATTTGATACAGAAAAATCAACATATGTACTACATTCCCCCTTACCATGACTTGGAGCATTTCTTTTTTGAGCAGATTTATCAATCACCGTATTTTCAACGGGTTTTATCTTCGACGGTGGTTTATTATAAGTCGGCTCCATTGATGTTGTTCTATTCGTCGTTGAACTTGGCCCATCATCTTCATGCGAATCCAAATCTGTTTTTGGTTCTTCCATTTCTTTCGGTTTGATATTAACTATGAATTGACTTTCGGCTTCGTCTTCAGTTGATTTCACCGCTTTCGCTTTCGACTTCTTCATTTTTTCTTTCTCCGAATTTTCGGTATTTTTACTTCCAGCTGATGTCGATTCTTTCGATCTTGATCTTGTATTTTCCTTCGATTTTTCTCTAGATTTCACCGGTGATGGTGATCTAACTGGTGTTTTCTTCGACGCTTTTTTTCCTTTCTTTTTGATTACTTTTTCTTTTTTTCCATTCGCTGTCATTTGTTTTCCCGAAGTGCAGAAAAATAATGTGAATATAGTTATAGTAGAAATTGTTCCGATAATTATTAGAATCATTTTATAAAAGTGAATTTTTTAGAAATAACCAAGTCTTCACGATTATTTTCACGTTGAAAATATTTATTTTATGAAAAAAAAAACTATTAGAGATCCTACAGTAACCCGGACGTTAGTCAAAACTCGTATACTCATTTTCCTCTTCATGCCTTCTTCGTCCTTGCGTTTGAATCTTTGCCAAATCGGTGTAATTCACAATTGTTGTTAGAATAAATGAGATACACATGAAAGCACCGGCAACAATGAAAAGATATTCGAAACCGATTCGAGGTAGAGCATGGGTTGAAATCAGGCCAGCAATCAGACCAGCCAAACTCTGAGAAAAATATTGTTGAAGGGGGCGGATACAGTAATCTTTGTAGTTCGAATTTTGCCTTACAGCTAAGTGTGACTACCGTAATTCTTGCAGTTCTAAAATCCGAGGCTACAGTAAGCCTTGCAGTTTGGAATTGAGCTTGAACGGTTATTCAGATACAGTAATCTTTGCAGTTCTGAATTTGCATTACAGTTAACTTTGGCTAATTCTTGTAATTTTAAGATCTGAAGCTACAGTACCCCTTGAGAGCGGTATATCTAATGTAAATTTGACTACCGTATTTTTTGCAGTCTTAAGATCTGAAGCTACAGTAACGCTTGCAGTTTGGAACTTGAACTTTAACAGTTTTTCAGATACAGTAATCTTTGCAGTTCGAATTTTGCGGTACAGTTAACTGTAATTCTTGCAGTTCTAAAAACTGATGCTACAGTAAGCCTTGCAGTTTGGAACTTGCGCTTGAACAGTCTTCGAATACAGTAATCCTTGTAGTTCGAATTTTGCGTTACAGCTAACTGTGGCTACCGTAATTTTTGCTGAAGCTACAGTACTGTTTGCAGTTTAGTGTACCGAATCCTCCTAAGCTTGCAGTCTTTGAATACAGTAATCTTTGCAGTTCGAATTTTGTGTCACAGTTAACGGCTACAGTAAATCTCAAAGTATCTTTGCGACTTTCGATGCAGAAATTCAATAATCCTTTTCCCAAGTTAGCCCAACTTTAGACAAATGATTTTTCCCTAACCCACTCACCACCGAACATTGCAAAAATCCATACATAACACTAAAATTATCCTTGCTAAAACATTTGTGAGTAATATACGGGAAGATTGAAAACGTGCCACCGATGCATGAAAATATGAGACAAACGACGAGAAGGAAAAGAAGATCACTGGCAACATATTTGACGACAGGAAGACAGAAGGCGAGTAGAGCACCCATTGTGCAAACTATTGACATTGAAAGTTGGTATGAGGACTGCAATTGATCAATCATAAATCAAAAAAATCGAAAATCTCACCGCATCTGCAATTGCTCCCCAAACAATTCGACTTCCAGCATTAAAAATTGATGACAAACTTCCAATCAGTGATAAAAATAGATCGGAATCAATAAATTGCTGACCGTATGCTTTATATAATCCACTTGTTAATTGCACCCAAACTGCATTACAAGTTAAGGAAGCAAATAAAACAACAAAGGTTGTGGATTTAAGTTGTGGCCAAATTCGTGATTTTTCAATTAACACTTCCTCTTCATTTCCCAAAATACTTTGATTCTCAATTTCAATTTCTTCATTTGGCTGACCGATGAAAATGAGACCAATTGACTGGAGAACTGCGAAGAACATAGCCATGACTAGAAAAACAGAGGGAACTCTTTCGAGAAGATCTTCTTGGGTAAAATATCCTTCATCATTTACACGGTAATCGAGGGGATTTATAAATGTTGTTTGGAGGGGCGAAAGGATGAATGCACCACAGCCGTATCCACCGATTATAACACCACCAGCAAGGCCGACATTATCCGGGAGCCACTGTAAAAATTTGATTTTTAATTTTTTTTCAGATTAATCTTGAGAGGAAAAGTTTGTCTCAAAAGTTAGGGTAACTCAGAAAAAAAAAAAGATTTTTCAGCAGTTTCTTCTGCACCCTAGTTTCATTTGAACTTAATTTATAGAAAAAAGACCTAGGTTTAAGCTTTAAAAAATATTCTTGGAGTACATTAACCCCCCCCCTCTTAAAAAACAAACCCGTTGCGCTGTTGGTAAAATGGAACTATATGCAATACTACTTCCAATACTTGCAATAACTCCCATCGTTGATAACATAGCCAAATAAGAAATTTGAATTGAATAATAAGTTAAACCAACACCGGATGTATAAATGATTGCACCAATCATTCCACCAATTCTACCACCCAACTTTCTTTCAACAATTCCGCCAATAACCATTCCCATTGGGAGACCACTTAATAATGTTTGAAGCCAAATCATTTGACCATTTCGCATTGTTGGATCAATTTTCCAGCGGAAATATGAGACCAAATATGGTAAGAGGTTTCCTGAAAATGAGGGGATTTGAAATTAAAAATTTTTTTTTGTATACTCACCACATGTATAAACAATCCCAAATGTTATCATACACATAACTCCACCAATCAAAACAGCCCAACTTCTCGCTTTCTTCGGCAATCTTTTCAATATCAAATCATCGGTTTCCATTGGAATTCTGCCAAATAAATGACCACATTTCATGCACATTTTTTAAAAGTACAACATAAATACAAAATGACATAATGAGAGGGAGGGAGAGATAAGAGAATTAGACAGCAGGGTGAATTATTATGTTTATACTTATTATTGATTTCATGGAAAAACTTGATTTGAGGGAAAAATTGTTGGAAGAAAGCATGAAAGTAACATTTAATGAATGAATGGCAAAACTCATCCAAGTAAAATTGAACAAAAAAAAAAGTTTTACGATAAAAAAATCTGATGTAAAAAAGTGTTTGATAAAGAAAAAAGAAACAATGTTACTCCTGATAAATTTATTAAAATTGCAATGTTGCAATTTATTATTGAATTAAAAACACGTGAGAAATAAAAAAGTAGGTCAAGTGACGTGGATTTAAAAACAGTATAGGTAGCCATGTCGTCAGTTGCGATGCGTGTGAGCGACACGTTTTTAGAAATGAAAATTTGGAAAATTCAATGGAAAATATCGAGGTCAACACGCAACGCAGAACCGCATCGCAATTGACGACATGGCTACCTATACTGTTTTTAAATCCACGTCACTTGACCTACTTTTTTATTTCTCACGTGTTTTTAATTCAATAATACATATTTTCAACAATAAAAAAGGTTTTCGCTATTTCCAAGCTTCACTCAATTGATTAAAGTACACTTCAGATTGTTTGACATTATTTGTCACATCACTTTCGACTTTTGTCTTGGTTATTCGCATTTTCTTCAAAAATGGTGTTGTTTCGACGAATTTATCACGCCATGCTGGAACTGAATGAAGACCGAGTGGAATGACGCAAAGTGGGTTTCTGGAAACAAATTGGAAGTTCTAATGACAGGACCACCCACGAAGACTTACAGATTGAAAGAAGTTTCAGCTAACAAAACGATAAACGACACATGGCTAACGTCCACCATATTGAAAACTACCAAAGACAACAAAAATATCCCTGATAAAATCGCTAATGCAGCAAATAGCACAATTTTCCGAGCTAATTCTAAACTTCTTGCATTTTCTTTTGCTTGAAATCGTATTGCTAGAGAATAATAGTTCAAATTATCATATTTCTCCAATTTTTTCTGAATTCGAATGTTGAAATGTAGAATGAAGAAATATATCTGCAAAAAAAAATAGGATTTTTGAAAATAAAGTTCATGTAAACTCACACAAACTGCACCAATAATAAAAATAGAGCATAAAATAATACCAGTTGTGAAATGAATAATCTGAAAAGTTGCTGTGAATGATATTGATAAAGTTATAATATGCATTGAAAATAATAAAGAAATTGAAATATAAGATCGAGGTTTCTTCTCATAATCACTGAAAAATATTGTGAGGTCGAAAAATCTCTTTGAGATATAAAAAACCTTATAAAATAAGTTGCACAAGCTCTTTCACACGTCAAAATGAATACACTGAAAACCAGGGTAAAACCATAATGCAAGAAAAATATACCGTATATGAATAATGGATAGATTTTAGTTTTATTTGATTCAACAGGGATGATTTCATCGGTGGAAGATGTTACCCAATTGTGATATTCAATTGCTATAGAAAAATTAATTTTTAAGTTGCGTGCGGCTGTGCGTCGCGGTCGGGATACAAAGAAAACGATTGTTTCTCGACCGCGACGCACAGCCGCACGCGACTGACGAAGTAACTCGTTTTTATTTTTTACGGTTGCCACTTTTTTTTTTAAACAGCGATTTTTTTAAATCTTACTTTCATCTCCCAATGTAATAATTCCAAGCTGATACGGAAAAACCAAAAGTTTAGCAATAAACAATTCAAACCACTGAGAAATGATTGCTATAACAATAACATTCATATTCGGATGAAAAACATGCACATTTTTAATAACCAAACATATTTGAACTGTTAGAATAGCTGCGATTATTGATAGAATCACATGAATTAATATGAAAATTATTGCGCAAGGACTTGTGTAATTTTTCTCGTTGATTGAGAAAAATGGGAAAAATATTCGACCGATTTCTTCAACCAAAACTATCATTGTAAGAGGAGAATAATGTTGATAAGCTGAAAAGGCGGTTAATCTGATGATTTGTGAACTTCAGAACTGCATAGCTACGAAACAAAAAAAATTTTTCGGGGGAAAAGTGTTCTAGATCTGAAAAAGTCAATAATTCTTGCAAAGAACTATAATTCAACTAAATTTCTAATTAGCCTAAGCCCACAGAGAAAAATAACAACACCAAAAATATAATCACAAAAGCCTATAAATTATTTACCAACCTACATACACGCCAAACCGAAAAATGATGTAGGGAGTACAAAAAGTAGCCAATATGTATGCAAAAAAGCCAACCAACTTATTGAGAATAATTGAATCGTGACCGAAAATATATACAACTAATCTAATTTTGCCCCTAACTAACTGATATACTTTTTGTTTTCTCGGAAAGGAACTAAAATTATTATTATTACGACATAAATCAGTTAAAACATCGGACAAATTGTTGTTTATAAGGAACATTTTTCTGTGAATATGTATGTAGAAATGAGTTCCGAAAAATTGGAAAATAGAAGAAAATGAGGGCGTTCAAAATTCACAAAAAATGTTCGAGAAAACCGGTAGATTTTGACAAGATTGTAGTCAGAATATTTTCAGACAAAAACTAGGTTACTGTAAATTCTATTATCAGAAATATTATTAACGAAAAATGAAAAAATTCATTGTGTTACTAAATTCCTAAATTCTTGTAGGTTTCGTAGCAGAGAGAGATGAAAAACCACTAAAATGTTATTAGCATATCTTTTTGTTCTTTATTTTTCGCATTTTGGGAAAACCTTTCAGAAGAGTATAATTATTTTCAAACAAAAACAAAAAAAAGGAAAATCTGAAATTTGTTTTTTCTAATGGGACGATGCGCGAAGAAAAAAAACGTCAAAAAACGTGTTTCGAAACATAAAAATACAATGCACCAAATGTCGCAAAAGGTCGCGAAACTCGAGTTTTTCGACATTGAAATGTCGCGAAACAAGCATGCTTTTTTGTATCGTACTGTAACCACAGACACTGGAGATCGGTTCTTACAATGTTTTTACTTGTTTAAAACAGTTTTCACCACAATTTTCTTCGGAAACATGAGATGTGGCAAATGCAATTTACAGATAATACTTTTCATTTGACAAAGATTCCTTTTCAGAAGTTTTTATTCCCTATTTTCGTAAATTTATATCCTTTTTCAACTCCTGATATGTTTTTTCTTCAAAAAAATCCATATTTTTTCCACATTTTGAGAAAAATCATGCTTGTTTCGCGACATTTCAATGTCGAGAAACTCGAGTTTCGCGACGTTTTGCGACATTTCGTGCATTGTATTTTTATGTTTCGAAACACGTTTTTTGACGTTTTTTTTCTTCGCGCATCGTCCCATAAAACAAATACTGATGCAGTTTCAGCAGGAATTAACTTTTTCATAACATCAAATGCGACACTTTTCTTTTCCAATTTATCCACTAGAAAACTAACATTCAAAAATGGACTCAAAAAAAAAAGATTTTTATTTCAACATAAATCCATTATTATCATTCTCGAGTTTGATTTCCATAATCTTTTTCCATCCCTTCGTAAATCTTCCGGTCTGCTTTATTGACTGTTGGTCGAATTCGCGGAAGAGCTTGGATGAATCAGCTCTTCGCACACTGTCTCATCTTTTTGATTGATCCTTTGTTGGAGAGCGATTAAAGAGGCTTCGGTGATTGATTCATTCAAATCGGATCCTCTGAAAACAAAGCAATTGTCATTGGGATAAATAATCATTATTCAAAAAAAAACTAACACAAAACCATTCAACTTCTCCCATTGTGAAATTTCCTCAAAATCCACATCATTATCCATTTTTGGCTCTTGACCTCCCTGGAAAAATAATAAATATTATCGTAGGTAGAAAAATAAGCAAATATATTATTTTAATGTTGGGATTTTTTCCGACATCTGGAGTATTAGTGGAAAATTATTTGAAATGTGTGAAATAAAGTTCCAAATTCGGAGGTTAACTTCTGGTGGATTTTTAGAGGTAGGGGCTTAACTTTTGAAAATGTTAGGGTGTTTTATGCTTTTTGTGATAAAAAATCAGCAAAAAATGAGTTAGGGGGTTAACTTTTCGAAAATTTTCCCTGGAAGGGGGGGGGTTAACTCGAGAGTCCCCGGAGCGACTAGTTCATGTATGACCATCCCACTTTCCCAAAAATTACCTTGCTAATTTTTCGCATAATATCTGCGCGTTCTGCAGCATTTGGAAAACCAACGAATAATATTTTTCCGAATCTTCCGGTTCTCAAAACAGCTGGATCCAATACATCAGGTCTGTTGGTGGCGCCTATCAAAGATACCATATCTCTGCCTTCTATTCCATCCATTTCCGTTAATAATTGATTCACAATTTTTGTTCCACCGTTTTCATTTTGCGATCTTTTCGGACACAACGAATCGTTCTCATCAAAAAATATTATAGAAGGCTGGCACTGTCTGGCCTTTTGAAATAGATTTCTAACGGCTTTTTCACTCTCACCAATATATGCATTCAACAATTCGGGTCCTTTAACACTCAAAAACGAGATACCGGTTTCATTCGCAATGGCTTTAGCGATTGTGGTTTTTCCACTTCCCGGAGGTCCGCACAGTAAAATTCCTTCTGCTTTGATTTTGATTCCAAGTTTAGCATAGTCATCCGGCTATCGGGTTTAATATAGACAATTCCAGTTGCTGCCGAAGTGATCCAATATCACTCCACTTGATTTTCGAAACATTCGCAAACCCACCGTGTTTCATAGTTGGCTGAATTCTCCCGTGAGCAATTTGGAAATCTTCAAGCGAAACAACATGACCTCCCGAAATACTATCAAATTCTGATGGATCGTCATTTGCCTTCAACCATTTGACAACTGAAAATCAAAAATGAAATTCTTCAAAATACAACTATCACTGTACCTTTATCTAGTTTTTCATCGACTTGTTTAACTCCCAAATTTCTCTTTGTCGTTTTAGTCACTCCAATAAGACGCTCGAGTCGAATTTTTGCGGCTTCCGCAATCAAAGCATGCAAGTCAACTCCGAGAAAACCAGGGGTAATACGAGCGATTTCTCTCAGACTCGCATCCTCCGCCAATTTCACTCGACATATTTTCTGGAGTATATCCAATCGAGCAATTTCATCAGGAATTCGCAGTGAAATCTCCTTTTGAAAGCGACCAGGTCGACGAAGTGTACCATTCCGGTCGAGATGATATTCCAATAATTGATGTAATTGTTGCAATCTTTCTATACTCCGGATACATTGGCTCCATAATTCTTTGGCTCATTATGGAACACAAAATAAAATCCGGATCAAAATCTATCGGTATTGAATCTTCTTCTGATTTTGTAAAAATTTCCAATATTTTAACATCCGCATCTTTGACTGGACACGCTTTCGCATATGCTTTTCTGTTCATTCAACTGTCCATTTTCAACGGTATCCAGATATTCAATAAATTGGCATTCACATGATAATTTCAGCAATTTTGTACCGATGGCTTCTTTTGATGGAACAGGTTTCGTTCCAAATGCTGTCCACCTATTCAATATCATCCAAAACTTTATCGAATGTTTCCGGAATTTTTGCAATTTGAATGATGTTTTTGAGTTCTTCTTTTCTCAAATTCACTTCTTCCAATTCTTTCAAGGCGTTTTCTAATTTTTTGCCACCGTCGTTTCTAACCATAAACCTCAGTTGATTCAAAATGAACATACCATTTGGTTCATTTTTTATAGCTGTTTGGAAAATATTTTTCAAAATAAATCAAATGATTTGAGTTCGAATTGGAAGTTGTCAGTGGCCAATCTTGATATTCTTACGATTCTGCACTCAACTGTGTCCATATTTGACAAATCGAATAATGGCACATACATTTGGTTATTGGTATCTTCATCCGACATAAAGACGAAACTGAAATAGGTTTTAGTATGCTTTGGGGAACAATATCAGAAGATTGACAACTTACACTTTCTCAATGTTCGAGTTTGCCAAATTCAGTTTGAAGCATTTCTGTTTTTTTTAATTCCAGAACTGACATAATTTGAACTTCCTGTTCCTGATTGAAAACCACAAAAAATTGATTGATCAATGGAATTTATTGGCGATTTATCATGTGGTGAGGCATAATTTGCAGCTACTATTTCAGTTGATCCTACAGCCGAAACAGTCAATTCATTATTGTAGCTATCATTCGGAACGTCGTTGAAATACTGTTGCATCAATTCTTGATTCAAAACTGAAGTTTGAATCTCATATTGTGTTCCGATTGTTTTGAAAATTTGCTCGAAAGTTGATCTTCCTTTATAATCGAACATGATTGGTGTCTGGAAAAACTGAGTTTGTTTTCAAAAAAATAGGATTTTTGTTGCATACCCATAACAAAAAAATACCACCACGACTTCCAACTTCCGAAGTCAGGATACAACAAAGTTCATCATTTCTTAGTAATTCGGGAATTTCTTCCCTTTCAAGCCCACAATCTTTTCGTTTGATTTTACCTTCCTTTTCGTCGAATATGAATGTTGTCCTGGAATATAAACACATTTTCACAGTTTTTTAAAGTTTTTTTCTCAAACTTACCATGCGTTTTCGTCAAAAATCGCACTCAAATGTCTTTCGAATTCGGAAATATCGTGAATGTAGTGAACCATTTCTTTATTAGGAATTTAGTAAAATGATTTTTCGTATCGCCCATTTCCCAATTTCCGTGTCACGTTTTTGTTTTAAATGTCACGTTTTTATTTTTATTTTTTTTTCATCTTTGTAGTTTTTTTTCAATTCAATTTTTAATCACGCTTTTTATCCAAAAAAAATGTAAAGGACACTTGTTTTTTTCTCATTAAAATTGAAAATGTTTTAGGCATTTCTCGGTGCTATTTAAATTGAAATCGGTTTTATAAATAGGCGCCTGATATGTCTGAAAAAAATGATAAGAGATCTCTGAAGACTGAAGGTGGAGAACTTCACAAAAAAAGAGGAGAAAAAGAGAAAGGTGAGCATATGGGATTGGACTTGACAAGGTATTCAATTTCAGCATTGCTGAAAATTATTTGGTTTTCAAAAACTGTAGATAAAAGTTATGAGCCTCATGGAAGCCGCTTCTAAATCATACCTTTTCGCGAAATGAATTTCGATATTCTCCAAATTTGTCAAATTTTTTGATGTTTCGAAGGGGAAAATTTCGCTAAAAAATAATTAAACTGTAATTTATTCACAATTCACGAAAATCAATGCAATACAATAAATGAAATATATCAATTTCTTTGGGAATCACAATAAGAAAGAAAAGAAAAAAACAAGACAACATGGTGTGCAAAAAAAGAAAAATCTATTGGGGTTTCATAATTTGTTGAACACGGAAGAGATTATAAAGTTCATCAACAAGTGCTTCGTGTCTAAAACTGACACGGATATCCGGAACATTTGTGCGATGAATATCGTTTCCCAAAACTCCTTCTTCTTTGAAATTCGGTCCGAGCCAATGAATTTTCACCTGAAAAAAATATATTGAAATTTTTTAAAAATAATGATGAAAAACAAACCTTATCTTCAAAACCAGATTGATTAACACTATTTCTAGCGAGTTCGCACATATCACATGAGCTCAACTTCCAAACTTGTGCCGCAATCGAATATTCTTCCATCAACGCCTCTTTTGTATAATGAAATTGTAGTGGATCATCAGTTGAAAGTGAAACATTGAGTCCTTTTTGCAAATATTCCGGAAGCGGATTTCTTTGATAACTGATGAACAATGAATTATTTGACAACGGCGACATTGCAATTCCCATTTGTGTCAAATAGAACAAATATTGGAGCACTGGAACTTTTCTCAATAAAATACCATGAGCAATACTTTCACTTGTCAAATAACCGGTCAATAAATGTGAAACATGTCCAGCTTCACCGCAATGTGGGCGAAGTGAAAAAGTGTTGAGATTTCGAGCACGGCGGAATGCATTTAGAGCACAGATGTTTGCGTACATGTAGAAGAGATAATAGTTGTATGGTGGATTTTCTGCGTCGGTATAATCAGATGGACAAGGTGTTGAACGATCAAACTGAAAAAAAACGAGAATTGGGAAAATGCTTACAACGAAATTGAGTTACAATAACTTTTTCGATTTTTTTTCATAAAATCCTTATTTTTGACAAAAATACTCGATGATTTTCTAGCTAAAAACTTCAATTTTTCAATAAACTTACAAATGTGGCTCGACAAACATCTTGAAACGGAAAAAACACAAAAAAGTTAACCTATTTCGTGTTTTTTCCGTTTCAAAACTTTATTCAAGCAACATTCGTTATTCTATTGAAAAATTGAAGTTTTTAGCTACAAAATCATTTTTTTATCGAGTTTTTTCGACAACTTTAAGATGAATACCGAAAAAAAATCGAAAAGTTACCATAACTTCTACAACTTACATGAACAAATTCGTGTTTACTTTCATCATCAACACTGTCAATTCCAGAGACTTGTTTCAAGAAAAGATGAAGTTCCGGATGAGTTGTTGGATCATTTGTGACTTCGAAAAGCGGTGTGAAAATGTTATCGAGAAGCTCGTCAAAATTTTTGACCATTTTCTTTGATCGATAAATATCGCTGAAATGTATTTATTTATTTTTTAAAATTATATTCTTATTGTTAAACTCACTAAAGCCGTGGAATTTGAATCAACCATCTAACATTCGGACTCCAAACATCATTAGTAATCGCCCATTTCGCCAATTTATCCCACTCATTTTTATCCCTTCCATAAATTGAAAGTCTTGGCTCAGCATGTTGATATTTACTGTCCTCCAAATCGGACAAAACTTCTTTCAAAAGATCAGCAAAATAACTTCCCCCAACATAATTATCAGTTTTGATGAAAATCTCGCGCAAAGTCGATTCCCCAACTGGATTATATTTCGTATTGAATTTATCGAAACGATGAAAAGTGTTGCGATCAGCATGAACATCAAGCATATCAACCGAAAGATCATATGCATCAATCCCCATTTTCTTGAAAACCTCCTTCATCGTCACTTTTTGCCCATCTTTTTCCAAAACCACAACATCCGCTTCAGTCTTTATCTTCTTCTTGATAAATCTCAACATATGTTTTTGATTCATGGAAGAAGCCGCGTGAATGTGAGTATCGACTTTTCGAATATTATAGAAATCCCGATGCGAAACACCTTTCTGCTCATGCAATTCTCTCAATTCATTCAACAAAACATGAAGTTGAAATTTGTTTTGAAGATAGGACAATCGACGGAAACAGAATGATTTGAGTGGTCCGTCAACAATCATTGCTGTCAATTTCTCGGTGTCATTCAAAAATTCCTCTTTCTGAACGTAGACATCTTGGAATAACGGGTCGATCTTCTCATCCTCGTTACAGATTTCGGTCTGTAAAATAAAATTGTCCCATGTTTTGTGAAAACGGAGATTATGAGCACTTTTGAAAATTGATGAATGAAACTCAAAATGCACTAACTTAATTCACAAAAAATTGAAGTTGAACAGAAAATTTCAGAAAAAAATGAAAAAAAAACACGTATTTTTTGGCCCTCGCTTCACTGTTGTTATACTGTATTGACTTGTGCATTTGCGCGTCACCGTGTATGCACAAAAATGTCTCGCGTCTCTCAATTTTGCGCGCTATTTTAGCGTTTCGGGTTCGTGGCGAGACAAATCTCGAAAAATCGCGCGCAAAATGGAGAGACGCGAGACATTTTTGTGCATACACGGTGACGCGCAAATGCACAAGTCAATACAGTATACCAACAGCGAAACGAGGGCCAAAAAAATACGTGTTTTTTTTTTCAGTTTTTCATTTTTTCTGAAATTTAAATTTATGTTCAACTTCAATTTTGTTGTGAACTTAGTGCATTTTGAGTTTCATTCATCAATATTTGAACACTTTTAAAAGTGCTCAAGCCGGACCATTTTAGGAACTTACAACACCACGATTTCTCTTCAACGTATAATATTTCTCATATTTTGGCATTGGTTCAAGTTTTCCCCAGTGATCTTTTGGTGGATCCGGTGGATTGAACGATGTTTGAACCGCTGCAAAAAAAATCATTTTTCTTTTTTTGTTGAAAACACTTAATGAATTATTGCAACTTTTTAGTTATTTTTAGTCATAACACACTTTTGTTACAAAAATATAAATGTAGAAGTAGATAAATCACGCCTTACCACTATCATCACCAAAATCTTGTTCACTTGGAATGTGCCGGACTACTAAATAGAATGTGTGATAGATAGAGAAAATGGACATTTTTTCAAAAAATTTATATAATATTTAGCCCAAGAGAAGCCTATAAAAGGGTGCTTAGATATGATATGTGCTTCACAGAACCCAAATATAATAGAAAAACTTACACAATTGTCGAACTGAAACTCAATTATTAAGTGATATTGAAGAAAGAAGAGAAAAAAACGGTTTACTCACTTGATTCCGTATTTTTGACTCGATGTTTCGGCAAATTATTCGGGAAATGACCAGTTAGAAAATGACGTGTTGTAGATGGAAATTGATTTCCAATTCGCTCCATGTAATGCGAACGGAGGCGAAGAGCTTCAATCAAATGTTCGGAGGCGGTTTTCAGATCTTCAAGTGGAACTCCGCTCAATTCTTCGCCAGTTATGGCCATTCGTTGGTAATTGACATCGACAGCATCTCTAGAAAATGAAATTTTCAACAAAAACGCGCGCTGATTTAAAAAATTCAACTTTTCGCGAAAAAAAACAGAAAATGAAAACACGTGGCCGAGTCGGTTCCTAGGCTATTTTTCTAGGCCAGGGCAACAAGTTGTGCTAAATCCTAACCTGAAAGTGTGCAAATCGATATGTTGTGGCGATTTGCATCTCGGCTCCATTTGAAGTTCATCAAGTGCCGATTTCAATGAGGATGGTGACAAACATTCGTTTTGCGATTCGAGGCGAGCCCTGCAAAATTGAAAATTGTGAGTTTTTTTTCATATTTGTGTGCAGCCCTCTGTGTTCCATTCACAACATTTAAAATTGTGCTATTATCGAAAATCTCATCGGTACCACGCGCTCCACCGAAATAAACACGCAACGCAGACCGCGTCGCGCCACAACACAAACACAAGGGCGGGAATTTAAATTTTTGTGTTGTGGCGCGACGCGGTCTGCGTTGCGTGTTGGAGCGCGTGGTACCGATGAGATTTTCGATGATAAGTACTTACGAATTCATATTCAGAACATTGCTCCAAAGAACATTCAAGTCAATGTCGAATGACATCTAAGAACACATTTACAGTAATCCTTGCAAGAAAAAAAAAAGACAGCCACAAAATTAAACGAAAAGCAAAAAAATAATATCAAAAAATCCAATCTTCTTATAAAAAACATAATAAAATAAGATTTGGGAAAAAAGAAGAAGCCAAGATAATCTGGATAGGAAAAAAGAAGCCTTGAAAAAAACACAGCTACATTATTTTGTTTTCAAAACGACAATTTAGTTACAAATTTTTGGGAAACGTTCAAAACATGCAAGGAAAATCTCACCTTTTATCAGTTGCCGCAATATTCGATGTTGTTGTATCAATTTTAGCCAGGGTTGATCTTCTTTGTTCGTTTTCTCCTGGTTTATTATTAGTATTTTTGGCGGCATTTGAAGTTGACGTCGAGGTTTTTTCTCTTGAAAAATAAGGAGAACATAAAATGGTTAGGAGAACAAAAATTATTGGTGTGATATGTGAGTTTGTGATGGTGCTTGAAGGGTGTATTAGATCAGTAGAAGTTAATGTGACAACATTGATTGGATTCTTATTTTACACTTACAGACAAGACCATCTTCTATTTTTTGCTCCTTTTGAATATCTGTTAGTTAAAATTTTGGGGATTCTTAGAATTTAACAAGAAACCAAAAGTTAGGCTAACTCCTCCTTCTCTTACCGGTTTGTAATCTCAATAGTCTTGTGAATCCGACTCTCATTGATTTCAATCGGCGTTGTCGATAGTTCAAACGGCGATGCTGTTGAGTGAACTTCGCCAGCTCCAATCGCGTAATTTGGTCGGAACGGTCCCGTGTCAAACACTTCACTATCCACAGTTTCTGGAAAAATTGGATCTTTAAACCACGCTAATTTTGAACGGACAAATCGATAATCCACTAAAAAGGGAGAGTGCAGAGAAATCGCGCCAAGACCACACTTGGCTGTGCGCCAGCTAATGGTAAAATGGCGTACTGTAGCACTATTTCAGCTGTGTTTCTAGCTTCTTTTCCCTCTTTCAAACTCTCGATTTGTCCCTCTTTCTATTGTTTTAAAATAGCGTGAAACGTTTAAAAACATGTAAACGCGAAAAAAAAAATTTTTTTTGAAAAAAATTATATACCGTAGTTCTTTTCGTCGCGACGAGACCCTGTGTGTTTCGACTGTTGCGCCTTTCAAAAACTACGGTATTTTTTGTTTTTTTTCGAAAAAATATTTTTCGCGTTTTCTTTTTTTCACGTTTGTAATAAAAAATGACAGCCACAACCACAATCACAACATTTCAAAACTGACCCAATTTTGCAGAAGGTTCTAGAAAATCATGGGGATATTTTTGAATGAAATTTTAGAGAAAACCCAAAGAATCCACCCCCACAAGCTGTCTCAAACCCTTAGTTCCTTTTTTCGCTTTTACAACAGCTTTGAAAAATTTCTCCGGTGGATCCGAATCCTCTGATCGTTTCTTTTTAATACTTCTTTTCGGACTCGGCGATTCAGATTTGATCAAAGAACAACTCGATTTCCTAACCGGCTCCGGTTCTGCCTCCATATTTGGTGATCTCAAAACAACATCAGGATCTGATGGTGGAGTTGTTAGCGGAACCGGTGCAAACGAGCTGGCAACACCAGTTAACGAATAATCAATTTCCGACATATTGAAAGATCTCGCTTTTTTCGCCTTATCCAATGGGATTACAGTGTCAGTTGATCCGGTTTTACGCATCCGAAGAATTGGCGAAACATTGTCTATTCTTCGCGAATTTTTTGTCGCAACTATTTTTGTCTGTTTTTGCAATGGTTCCTAATAAAAATCTACTTAGTTTAGATGAGTTAGAAAATCTAGAAATTTCGAAATACCTTTGGTTTTGCCTGCTCATTGCCCATTTCGAAACAATTAGAAATTCAGAAATGATTTAAAAATTGATAAAATGTTGAAAAATAGAAAATCCACGCACTTTTTTTAGGTCACGTAAAAATTAATTTTTAGAGTTCAAAATTGTTTCTAGGCACGGCTGCTTGAGAAATAGGTTCTCTAGGCGCGGCTGCTTGAGATATAGGTTCTCTAGGAGTGGTTCCTTGAGATATAGGTTCTCTAGGCGTTGCTGCTTGAGAAATAGAGTCTCTAGTCGCTGATCCTTGAGAAATAGATTCTTTAGGCGGGGCTCCTTGACTTTTGGAAAAAAACTGCTACGATTCTTTTTTCTAAACTTTAGGCTTAATCGAAGGCTTAGGCTTAACCAAAGCCTTAGGCTTAACCGAAGTCTTAGGCTTAACCAAAGCCTTAGGCTTAACACAAACCTTAGGCTTAATAAATACCTTAGGCTCATCCAGAACTTTATTCTTAACCAAAATTTCAGTCTAAACAAAAACCTTAGGCTTAACCAGAACCTTAATCAAAGCCTAAATCCCAGGCCTCCCAAAAGTCCCACCAAAAACTCACTCATTCCAAAATTTTTCACGCTGTCCAAGGCAGAGAGAACTGGAGGACGAGTCTGCAAAAAACACAATAATTCTCAAAATTTTATCCCAAAATTGTCTTACCGTTGGAGAGCTCGCAGATTGTTCCTCGTCTTCGCTATGCGGATCATTTGTGAAAAAACAAACACCATTCGTCTCGTTGGGCATGATGTTTTCTGAAACAAAATAGGAATTTTTGAAAGTATTCAAGAAGCTTCTTATCGTAAAAAGGTAGTCGGTATTTAAGTTGAAGATAAAGTACACATTTTTTATCACGTGTCACTTATCAATAAAAAATACATAAAAAATGGCAGAACCAGGGGAAAAAAGAGAAAAAACTACGATAAAAACTAAACTAATCGGCTTTTCCTGGAGGAGGATTGCATGATAGAATTTATGAATAAAAAATGAATTTTCATGAAATTTAGATCTGTGTTTTTATGAACTTCTTGGAGAAGGTTACGAAAATTTTGGAAAAAAAAGCTGAAGAAAACATTTTTGAAATAAATTATCAAAAGAACTTTCCTGGTACAAAACATGGTAAGTTTTTGATGAAAAAAATTCAAAGAAGATTTTTCTCAACAAATTCCCCCAGAAAACCCATTTTTGGTACTGTAAAAATAAAAACTGTCAAAACGCAGATTTTTTTTCGAATAAAAATTTTTATCATCAAAAAAAAAAATGTTTTATCGTAAAAAATTTGCAAAATGGCGCCGATCAAAATATCAAAAAAAAAAATTTCGCAAAATTTTCGAATGAACAAATAATAAAATATAAAATATTTCTGTAAACATGAAACTTATCTGATTGATTTTCAGATAGATAACTTAAGAAATTTCGCTGTATGCTAAAAATAAAACTGTTTTATTTACAAAGGATTTTTCTCTTTTTCTCACTTTCCTTCTTTAATTCGAAAAGTCAATAATAAAAATGAAATTTGAGGGAATAAAGATTTTCTCAATTTTGAACAGACAAAAAAACATCACAAGGTTTTTCATTTCATAAAAAAGGAGAAATAACTAGAGAGCTAAGAGACGCAGACAATCAGAGAAATTGGAAGACGAAAATGTGTGCAGAATAGCATAGAATAGCATGGAGGAGAAGGAAGAGAACGAGAAAATAGACACTTTTTGGATGCATGTTCGGAAAGTAGTTTGGATTTGAAGAAGATCTGGATCTGCTGGATAATGATTTCAAAAAATCAAAAACAATTTTCAGGGAGACTCTTGGAAAAAATTCTGGAAATTTTGATCCTTTGAAATTCGATAATTATATGCTGAATTTATCTAGAATTATCTAACAAATATTTTTCAAAACAGTAATAAACACCAGAAGAAAAGAAACACGTGAATGACCAGACAAAGACAGCTGACCAATTTCTCAATAACAACAAAAGTTTGTTTGGGGGTTTTTCTCTTGAGAATTTTGGAAAAAATAAGGAAAATTAGGTGATCAAAATGAACGGGGAAAAAAAAAGTAATTTTGGAATTATTTTCTAAAAAAATTTCTTCTGAAAAAAAGTTGGGTGATAAAAAAATGTGTTTCAGATATTCGGAAACTACAAAACCTGTAGTTCAAAAAATTTGAGACTTGGAAAAATGTGAATTAAAAATTTGGAAGTTTCTCTAATTCAAGTCGGAAAAAAATTTCGATTCAGCAAATGTCGAAAAACTATTTTTTTTCCTATTTTTTGACATTTTTTTTCATTTTCGCTGCTTTTAAATATTTTTCAAAATGTTTTTTATTAATTTTTCTCCGACTTGAATCACCCCATAATTCATAGTTTGTGAACCGAAATTCAGAATTTAAAAAATATGTATCATCAACAAAACTTAGGAATTATTTCTGAATCTAGAAATGTTTTTTGAGAAAAATACAGACAGATTATTGGAATATACAATTGAATTATTCTATTTGGAAGTTTAGAATTTTTCTAGATGTAAAAGGAAATTGGAACTTTTTTCAAAAACAGATTAAAACTCTTGAGCTGAAACTTTTGGAACTCCTTTTCTAGGGCTTCTAATGGAGAATCCTTCTTTTAGAATTCACAGATGCTCTCAAAATCCCCAAATTTTTCCAGGACTCAACACAAAAATCAGACACAAGTCACATCTTTCCTCTCCAAATTGTTTCTCTTCTTAAAGAAGTCATCTTCTTAATTTTCATCTCGACCTCATAATGTTTCCCGCGAAATTCACATAAAAGATCCGAAAAAACCGATAACATACATTGCTAATTTTTTCTCGAAAACATGAAAAACAGTTATTTTTTCTCTTATTCTTCGATCTTAATCTTCTTCTTTTTTCTTATTTTTCCATATACTTTTTTCATATTCCAACTTCTTTTGCCCGTTTCTATGCACGAAAACATGGAGACCGTTGCCTTTTTTTGCCGCCCAAAAATATTGCCATTTTGCCTAGTGAAAATAAAAAATACAAATTTTCAAATAAATCCACTCCTTTCACAATTTGATAGTTCATTTTAATCTTCTTTTGTCTTTTTTTCCTGTTTCACAAAAAAAAAGGTTTATTTTTATTTAATACTTACATGTTATTGATCTTCTGGGGTTGAACTTTCTGATTTTTTTTCTTTTCTGATCAATATGGAAATTTTCGCTAATCGTATTTATTTGTCTGTTTTTTCTTTACAAAACCATATATTTTTGAGAACATTTTGATTCTTATTTTATTTCTGAAAAAACCTAATTTTTCCGGTTAAGCACCATCAAAGAGCAAGAACAAAACAAAATTTATCGTTATCATATCATTTTAAAAAAGTTCAACATCATTTACTAAAATTTTTTGAACATTAGAAACTATTCTATTTTGTCAAGCTTTCAAGCGGCCCTTTCGGCAAATATTTACAAACACATAAACATAAAAATATATGTTATCAGTGTTTTTGCAAAACAAATAACCTTTTTGGTCCGATTCGTATTGATTTTGAAGGTGTTCTTCGTGTTCGAAAAAACTCTCTAACGCTCTCATTTTCTTTTTTTTGTCGTGTTCATAAAAATTTCCATATATTTATTTGTCTATGTTTCCTTCGCCGTTTGCTTCACATTAACAATATTTTACATACATCTTAACTTGCACGATCTGTCACCATTTTTCTTTTTGTTGAGAATCTGCTTTTCAGCTCGTAAATAGGGTCACAAAGCTTGAATTTTTTCGAAAACCTTTTTTTTTTTGAAAAAAAAAGAAAATATTTTTCTAGTCTGCAAACACAGCGACGCACAACTGCACAAACTGCGTACCGTATAGCATTTCTAAAAAAAAAAGTTTTTTTCATCACTTTTCCCATGTTTTCTTGGTTTTTCTTGTTTCACTGTTTACAGAGTCTTCCTTGATTAGTTATACGTGTTCAGAAGATTATTTTTTATTTCCTAAAATAAAAAAAAGCCCATCCGATATCTATATAGTTCTATTTCACCCACACCTGCGAGAAAATCTCATTTTTTGTTCAAAAATGTAATGCAGCTGTGACCCGAAAAGTACATTTTCGACGATCCAAATATTCAATGGCCGCCCTTTCATTTTGCATATCGAGAAAATATTCTCGGGCGGCCCATAAAACCAAAACAATTAATAAAAATATAGTATAATATATTTTTTACAACTTTTTTCTCGCGTACACAAAATTCAAAGAATTCATACATGCTTCATATCGTATCTATCTATTTCTTCTCGATTCGATTTTCTTGTAAATTTCTTTTTTTCCCGAAAAAAGTTTCGAATAATCTAACAATCCAATCTCCCATCTGATTTGCCTCTTTAGGTCAGTCAGCGCTTTTCGGAGGGTTTTTTGATGGTTATATGTAATACAGAAGAAGAATAAGGAAGATCCTTGTTTAGAATAGAGAGAAGAAAATCATTTTTGCCTAACCGTCAAAGTGTCGAATTACACTTACAAATTTGTTTATTTTTTGTTTATATTTATATGAAATCCCCCTCTTTTTTTAGCATTGTGGCTTCACAATCCAATTACCATTTTTTTTTCGATTAATTATTTGACCAGCTTTGGCAAGGTCACTTGGCACATATGTAACTTACTTGAAATAGTTTTTTTTCTATTTATCAAAAGCTCAATTGTTTTCAAAAGTGAACGTGAATTCTTGAAAGAAAAATAGAAACAAAATAAAACATTTTGCTTTTTTCAACAAAAAATTGATACATGAATATTCCCATGTTTTCTTTTTTATTTCCATATATATTTCGATTGTTTCGTTTGAAATTCATATTTAAATATAATAATATTTTCTGATCATCCCTTTATGTTCAAATAATATTACCTCACCGCACCGCCAAAAAAAGTGTCCAATATATTAAATAGTATATTTATACATACACACATATATTATTTGATTGTATTGTCAATGCAGCCAGCTTATACAGCTGTATTCACAAATTATTGGCTGCTGTGTTGCCGATTTCGCCCCCAAAATTGGACGATTTTCGGCCGCTGTGTGCACTTCTTTTATCCTTCTATGTTTTTCGATTTGAACAAATGGTCTCTCCAAATTTGTTAAATACAAATATTACTTTTTTTTTGCAAATTTACATTCACAAAAATGTTTTGTTCTGATTGTGATAACTAAGGTCCTTTGAAACTAAAAAAAATGATAAGCTCACTCAATTTTAGGAATAATTCGTTTGTTTGCTCAAAAATTGATAATAATTTCTTCCTTTTTTTCGAAATACATCATAGATTATCAACTTTTTTACTATGTTCAATCGAATAAATTTGAACTGGATAATGAATCCAGATCAAAATTAAGATAATTTTTAATTTAAAAAAATGCGAAAAATGTTTTTTTTTCACGTGAACTTTTGGACCGCCGAGTTTTCATTTTCATTTTCATCTTTTTTATTTCAAAAAATGCCCGGGTTTTTCTCAGATGTATGTGGTAAAGATTCTAATCTCTAAATTTCTGTAGAAACATTTCCTTTTTTGGACTCTGAAGAATTCACAGAAATTAGGTCAGACTAGAGATAGAAAACCTGCTTCACCGAACAAAAAATGAACTCAGAACCTTTTTTCTTCAAACGTGCTCTACCGAACAAAATTTTGCTTTGAGCTCAATTCTTTGTTCGGTAGAGCAGGTTTGCAATTTCGACATGATCCTTGCTCAAATTTCTCACAAGGGAACTGTTTCCACTTTCACTCTAGATTTTTAATAAAATATATGTTTTCTGGTAGTTTTCGACACACTGATTACGAACCCGCGGTCTGAAATTGCAGAACTCAACTCCTAACATGAGTTATGACGTGTCAAAGTTCGGTCAAAACTCGCTTTCAAAACGGTTTTCATGAAAATATGATGGAACATGAGGCTCGATTACATTATTATTTTCATGAAAATTATTTTGAAGGCGATTTCTTACCCGATTTTTTGAACTTTGACACGTCATAACTCATGTTAGGAGTTGAGTTCTGCAATTTTAGACAACGGAATAGTGATCAGCGTGTCGAAAACTACTAGAAAACATATACTTTATTAAAAATCTATAGTGAAAGTTTTAACTATGTTTATTTTTAGTTTCATTATTATTATCATGAGTTGTATATTTATCAAAGGCGTAAATTTTATATTCTGTTTTCTTTTTTTTTCTCCTGATTTTCAATCCAAACTTTTCAGATACCAACCGGTTCGGAAGATCTCAACAATATTCATTAAATTCTCAGAAACGCGGTGCAAACGAAATTATGGACGAAGATTGGTCGCATAATGAAGTTCTTCAAAAAGATTGTCTGATTTCTGCAGCAGCCGATATTTCTGAAAACAATGATATTGCATTGAATGTGAGTGTTTGGCTTGAAAATTTCAGAAAAATTCAAATTTTCCAGCTCTCCGCTTTTGATCCAAATGACGATATTTTCGATGATATTTTCACAAGAATAAAGATGGAACCATCAGACGAAACTTCTGGTGAGTATTTTTATTTTTTTCCTCAAAATCAAACCGATCCCTGATGTACTTTGCCTCTCGAAATATATAATTTTTTTACGATTTCCTCGAGAAACTGATAAAAACCAACATTGTAAACATGTCTAATTTGTAGTGGGATGGCTCTTTTAAAAATAAAAATCAATGAGCACGTTGCTAGAGTTTGCAAAGATCAACGATTGATTGCGTGTATGTAGTTTAATCACAGTTAATTTATTATCAAACATAATTATGTTATCTATGAATCCGGACATTACTTTGTTGCTTTTTGTTGTCAGAAAAATAATTTTCTGCGGAAAAAATTCAAAATCTCGAGTTCTTGATAATATATCTAACATCAATAACAACTCTCAAAATATATGGACTTATTATCAGTTTGAGATAGTTTTTTATAGCTTTTAGTGGAAAAAGTGTAAATTTTTTGGAGGAAAAAAGATTGTTCTGATGGATGCTATCAAAAATTACACTGTTTTCGATATGAAAACGAAAAAAATATGTTTCCATAACTCTTTTTCAAAAAAAAGTGTGTACGAAATTTTTTTAACTTGAAAACACTTCAAATCTTGATGAAATTTTGTCCATAGACAGCTTTTGGGGTCAAAAGAACACCCTAAAATTTTTTGGACCTCTGAGCCAAGTTCTGAGCTCTCAAAAACTCAAAAATTGTCAAAATTGGCTCATAAAAGTTAGTATAACTCAAATTTCGATGATTTTTATGAAAAACTGAGTAGCAGAACCAAAAAAGCATAAATAAATTACATTTTCAGAAAACTTTTTGATTTTGGAAAAAAGAATGAGCAGGGAATTTTGAAGTTTTTTATTTTTGGACTCATTCTTTTTTTCCAAAATCAAAAATTTTCTGAAAATGTAATTTATTCATGCTTTTTGGGTTGATCATCATCTGCTACTCAGTTTTTCATAAAAATCATCGAAATTTGAGTTATACTAACTTTTATGAGCCAGTTTTGGCAATTTTTGACCTTTTGAGAGCCCAGAACTTGTCTCAGAGGTCCAGAAAATTTTAGGGTGTTCTTTTGACCCCAAAAGCTATTGAGTAAAAAAGGCTTGTTCATAAGATCAACCCCAACTTGTAATTCATCTGATAATACATAAATTATCTCAATATTTTCCCTCCAATTCCGCATGTTTTCGTGATAATATGCAAAACTAATGAAATTGAAACAAAAAGTAAACTTTCAATGATGATAAAAGTTGCCATCATATTCATTCTGTCTTTGCTTTTGCCTGCTGCATCGACGCCCTTTCGCTGCTCTCATTTTTATCAGAATGTATGTGTGTGCATACACTTCTTTCTCATAGCCATATTATTATGATTTTGAAATTATTTTTTTTTGGGAAAAAAAATCGAACAAAGTCTTTTTTTCCCATTCCCATTATTGTTCATTTGTACTTTTTTATTTGCGTTTGCTTTTTCCACTGGTAACAATTTTTTTATTTCGAATTTTGAGCAGTTTCACCCTGGTAAAATGATGGACACTTGTTCTTGGGAACCGTGTACACCGCCAGAGGAAAAACCACAAATCGCTTTTCCTCCGCTCGCCGGGATTTTTCAAGTGGCGGGACTTCAGCAAAATTTGAATTTGCATCAGAGAAATAGTGATAGCTTTTCGGAAGGTTGGTTTGGAATTGAAAAAAAATGGTGCATTTTTGACCAAAAAAGTTTTTGATCAGTTTGTTTTGGCCAAATTTGGGTCAATTTTCGACGGCCAGTGTGGATTAATTCTGAATTTTTGTCTAACTTCAAAACGTTTTTAAGATCTGTAAATTTTTCAACAAAAAAATTGCGACATACCCAAAATAACCTTTGTTTCGGAAATGTTAATCAGCTTACTTTGGGTTTCAATTTTTTGAATAATGTTAAAAATTTTTGTTTTTATCTAACTACACTGAAGTATTCACTGAATATGGTATTTTCCGATGAAAAACCCAATTTTTTTTTTTCAAAAGATCAGCTGTCTGTTGTTCCTAAAGTGCAATTTTTGATAATAAGTTCAATAGGTTTCAGGGCTTCTAAATTTAATTTTTGAAATCGGAAATCATCAATTTTCAAGACGAAAATTCATAATGAAAATAACCTTTCTGCGAAAAAAGTAGTTTGCCAATAATTCTTTTCCCGGAACACTGCTAATTTTTCATTGTTTCTTATCTCCTTCTTTTTCATTCATGTTTGACGACTTTTGTTCTGTACAGAATAATAATAATTATATGATATGATGATTTGTTGAAAGATGAAATTCCCGAGAAAAAAATAATCAGTTCGAAAAATGATACAAATTTTGATGATTTATGATTATCGAAAACTAAAATAGTGATTAAGTTAATTAGTAAAGTGTAGTTAGAAAAGATTAGCCACACCCAAGGTGGAAAAAATTGCGGCCGAAACTGAACGGTTATGTAGAAAGGTGCTAAAAATATTCGGGAAGGGCTTCACGGGAATAAAATTTCCAAAGGTTGTTCTTACAACTCTGCATAGTTACCCAAAAAATCAATACCCAGGTTACCATATAAAAAATACTATTGAAATATTGTTACTCCGAAATTTTTCGACCATTGGAAGAGGTGGCCTAGAAAACCAAATATGGCATATTTCGTTATTATCGAAAATCTCATCGGTACCACGCGCTCCACCGAAATAAACACGCAACGCAGACCGCGCTGCGCCACAACACACACAAATGAGGGAACGATTCAAATTCCCTCCCTTTTTTGTGTGTGTTGTGGCGCGACGCGGTCTGCGTTGCGTGTTCATTTCGGTGCAGCGCGTGGTACCGATGAGATTTTCGATAATACAATAGATCAAAGAAGCCGACAAACTCTACTGTAGTGGTGAATTTTTGAATTGTTTTTTTCCCGGCACATAGTCACATTTTTCTCCCCAAAATGACGAATAGTGTTTGCCTAACAATTAAAACTATTATTATCAATGTTTTATTTTCAAAAACGAATGAAATCATCATTTTCGATGATTTTCCCTCAATCTCACCATTTTCCAACGAAATTTCATGTTTTGAACTTTGCACTCTCTCCTATTTCTATTTTCAATCAAATATAGATCATTGACGTAATAAAAAGGCGAGAGCAACACAATTTATGACCCATTTATTATTTATCAGTGACAGATGAATGGAAACATTTACAAGAAGAAAAGAAAATTTGTATAACAATATAATAACACACAAAATTTTGTTGATAGCAAAAGAAAAAAGAAATATAATAATAATAATAGTTGGTGTTGATGTTGGAAATATTTTTTTATTGGATTGTTTTTGGAGAAAAAATGTTTGAAACTGAAGGAGAAGATAGGAAAAAGTCGGAAAATGTTTTTTTTTTGAATAAGACCTGCCCAAACAAAAGTTTTCCCGCCAAAAAATCCCCACTTTTATCGAAAATCTTATCGGTACCACGCGCTCCGCCGAAATAAACACGCAACGCAGACCGCGTCGCGCCACAACACACACACAAATAAGGGAACGATTCAAATTCCCTCCCTTTTTTGTTTGTGTTGTGGCACGGCGCGGTCTGCGTTGCGTGCGCGTGGTACCGATGGGATTTTCGATAATATTCCCCAAAAACCCCACAAAAACCCGAATTTTTTCTTCAGATTACCACGGATCATCATCTGGAAGTCCATCCTCATCACTCTCATCTCCAAACAATCTCAAAGATGAACCTCTTGGACTGGATGTCAACTTTTGTGTGCCTTTTACTAACACTAACTTTAGTCCGGCACCAGGAAGTTCGCAGTGAGTTTGAAAAACAACAAAAAAATAAACAAAAATAAATAAATTATTTTAAAAAACGTGGCGTGGCCTAGTGACCTAGTTTGCCACGTGGAAACGTGGCATCCTCATTTTTTGTGTTTTTTTGAAATTGAGACAAGCTCATTTCGTATTTATCGATTTTTTGCGACAATTTCATATTTTCTCGTATCGTACCAATTCTAAACTCATGTTTTTTACAACAAATGAAGAAAGGTTGGGAAGATTTTCAAAAGTTTTCCAATAATACTAATAATTGTGTTGTTTTTGCAGTAGTCCTGGATTTGGAATGATGAACGGAGGAGGACAACACTCTCCATTGCCGCCGGTTGGGCATTTCTCGCATCATATGCATCCGCAACAGGTTGGTGATGCAAACACCGTGACGCAATGCTGCACAGAAATGCGCAGATTTGCTATTCTGCAGAGTTTGCTCGAAAATTCGAATTTTCGGGGATTTTTTAGCCCTGGGCCTGTTTTGGAGGCTTCTGCAGAAAGCGCGGGATTTTAGCTTGCAAGGAAAGTGTTGAACTTTTGATGAAACCATGCTGATCCGAAGTCAAAGATTGCCACAAATGCCTGTGAGCACTTGTCTGGAGCTCCAAAGTTAGTTCGTCTATTTTAACCATGTTTCTGGGTGGAAAATCAATTCTTATAACTTGGATAAGGTTGTTCACCTTTTCAGTTTTTCAAAAAATATGAAAAACCATCTGAAAACTGCAATTTTTAAGAAAATTCTGAAAATACACACAAACACACATTTTTCAAAGTTTTCAGCTGGTTTTTCATATATTTTGAAAAACTAAAAAAGGTGATAGGTTTTCGAATGTGGTGAACAACCTTATCCAAGTTATAAAAATTGATTTTCCACTCAGGAACAAGGTGAAAATGGGCGAACTAACTTTGGAGCTCCAGACAAGTGCTCACAGGCATTTGTGGCAATTTTTGACTTCGGATTCGTGATCAGCATGGGCGATTTGGTATGTTTCATCATAAGTTCAACACCTGACCCTTCCCTTGTTGATAAAACCTGAATTTTCTCTCATAAAAGCTAAATTTAGCTGATTTTTCGCCTTAAAACTCATTCCGCTAGAAATTCTCGAATTTGTTTCGATGTTCAAGAACATTGAAGTTTTAATATTCGGCACTTTTGTTTTTGCCAAATTTTTCTCGCCTAGAAACAAATAAAGAAATCGTAAAATTCATCGAATCATTGTTTTCAATTCACCAATAATTCGATAAAGAAATGTTCTATTTTTCTCAATTCTCACCGCATTTTAACATTTACCAGGTGCAAGATTCTCCCATTTTCCTTCAAACAATGAGATTTTTCAGGTACAATTGCCGCCGATTTTGAATCATCATTCCGCTCAAAACCTACACCAACAACTACATCCACAACATTATGGATTGAATCAGAATCAGATTTTCAAAGATTCAATGTTCTATGAAGGAATTGGTGAGTTTGCGTGAAGAATCTCATCACAAAAATCATCTCTGAATCAAGTATTGATCTACAAAGTCCCTTGAATTTTCACTATAAAACGCCAAAAAGCTGTCAAACACTATCTAAATACTTTTCTTTTTGGTTGACTAAATTTGCCACATTTGCTTTCTTTCTATCTCCTTTTTGCCCTTGTGACGTGGCATTTTCGTTTTGTGTGTGTCTGTGAGCGTTTATGTGTTGTCTGCCGTCTCCACGTTTCACATTCTCTCTCACACAATCCACGTCTTTGGTTGTCGGCCGCATCTCACTCAAAAACACTCACTAAAAATATGTTTTATATTTTTTTTTCATTATTTTGTCTCGAACTTAGTTTCATAGTAGCTTATATGTTCGTATTTCGTAGGTAATGAGTACACCGTGTACAGCAAATGTAATTGTGAAAGAGGAACTTCTTGATGAAGGTTTTGGTAATATTTCGTCGACTTCGCGTGAACAAACACCTGAGGATGGGGAAAATGGATCGATGGAAGATGAAGAAGTTGAAGAAGCGATTATACTAGGTTCAGAGATGATTTTAAATAGAAAAACTAGAGATTTACCCGAATTTTCCCCCAAAGTAAAGTTTTTTCAATGTTCAATATTTCTAGGTGGAATGGGTTTGGCTGTTGCTCAACAACAATTGAAATCGAGAAATAAAATGCATGAGATGGCTGTGAAACAACGATTGATTAGTGATCAGGTCAGTTGATAGAAAAAATTTGGATTTGAATTATTTTCCAACAAAAAAATAAATCTTGAACTTCCCTAACCGATTTCATCGCAGTTTCAGGGAATACAAGGAAACGGCGAAGTACAGCTGTCATCAGAAGAGCGGAGAACATTGATTCAGGAAGGATATGCGATTCCAAGTCGATTGCCATTGACGAAAAATGAAGAGGAGGCGCTGAAAATTGTGCGAAGAAAAATCAAGAACAAATTGTCGGCTCAAGAATCTAGACGGAAGCGGAAGGAATATCTAGATGCGCTGGAGATTCGAGTGCAAGGATGTGTTCAAGAAAATAATATTTTGAGAAGTGAGTTTACTATAACAATACAATTCATTTCGAATTTTTTACCATTTTTTTCAGATCGAATTCGCCAACTTGAAGCAGCAAATCGAGATTTAACTATGCAAGTTCAACAATATGAAGAACAATTAGGAAAATCGGCAAATTCTTCATAATTCTTCATCAAATCCAACAAGTTATTCTCCTCGAAAAAATCTCTGAGTTTATTGAACAATGCGTGTATTATTTAAATTTCCCAAGTTTTTTAAAAATTATTCCCTCTTTATTTTTTCATGTGATATATTTTCCCCGTTCCCCCTCCCATATACCATTATTTTTCCCAAGAAGTTTTATTCTACCCCCTTTTTGGCTCATGTATTATTATTCTTATTACTTTCGTGTCGTAATTCAGTCCCCGAAACGAAAATCCTGTCGCTTTTTAAAAAGGCATAATTTAGAAGCCCTCCAGATTTTTATTTATTAAAATATATTTATTTATTGACACATTCACGCCCTTTTCCTTATTTTCGTAGTGCCTTTTTTGGAATATAAATACTTTTTTTTGATCTACCGCGCGAAGTTTTTGAATAATATTTTCGAATCGAATTTGATCGATTTTTAAAAATATTTTCAGTTTTAGAATCATGAGCTACAATTATAACTTTATGAAAATCGTGGAAAAGAATAATCAGATTATGAAGGTTTGTTTCACTTTTCCTTGAAATTTGAAGTTTCATCGATGTTTTGAGAAAAATTCCAAATTTTCAGACATCTGTCCAATATTTCATTGTCACCGAACTGTTATTGAATGCAAATGTCGCGTATGCAACTTATTCCGAAATTTTGGATTGGGAAGTGGGTTTTTCCCCTCATTTTGAAAAAGTTTTGAATTTTTTCAGGAAAGAACTGTTCGAAATCTGATGTACATTTCGTCTTCAATTGTTATGCTCGTTTTGACACTTTGCCAAATTTATTTCAAAGGAATTCGAATTGTTGAAGGAATGTTAGCTTTTAGAGTGAGTTCCGAGAGAAGTACACACAAATAAATTATATGTTCGATAGAGCAAACTTGGCTGTTTTGCAGGCACTTCAAATATTTGCAATATTCTTCATCACAGTTACACACGAGATTCTTCTTTATCCACCAACTACAATCCTTTACTTTGCAATTCAATTCATCTATTTCTTCGTCTCACATTTTTCGAAACGCATGGAATTCCCCGGAAAAATTATTCGAAAAGTCTTGATGAATTCGTCGAAAAAAGCCAACACGTCTCATTTCACATCGATTGCGAATGAAGTTATTCGAAAAAGTTGCAAAGTAGATGGGGAAGAAGATGATGATATATTTGAATATAAAACCGCTTCGGAAGATGAACTTTTCTCGGCCAGCAGCTCGTTTCATCACTAAATCATATTATTTTGTTGCAAATCCTTGTTGAATAGTTATATATAAATTTTACGGCTGTGAAGTTTTGTTTAGAAGATTATGAGGTGCAATTTCAAAAAGAAGGTAAGTGAAAATGTTTTTTTTTAATTTTCAAATTTACATATAAAAATAGTTTTTCTTCAGAAATTCTAGAAAAACATATTACTCAGATTACAACCAGACCTGGGAATTTTTACGTTTACGTTTTTTACGTTTTACGGTTTTTACGGAGTTTCACCATAAAATCCATTTTACGGTTTTACGGCTCAAAAAATCTTAAAATAATTCCTAAAAAGTCACTAAATATAGTGTATTTTGACAGAATCAAATTGAAACTTCAAAAAAAACACAACATTTTTTAAATGAAAATTTTTATTAAATCCTAATTAATTAATTTTTGATGGATATAGAGAATAATATTGTTAAAATTATTTCAGAGTTACGATAAGTTACCAAATCCTAATTTTTGAAGAAGTTCTTGCTGTTTTTCAGTGTTAAGATTGATTAACAAAATTTTACGAATTTCACGGGATTTTACGGTTTTTAAAACCGTAAAATTTCTATTTTACGTTTTACAGTGCCACGTAAAAATTTCCCAGGTCTGTTTACAACCAATTTAGTGCTGAAACTCTATATTTTAAATTTTTTCCGGGGTGATTCAAGTCCTCAAAATTAACTACAATCTACTGTTTCTAAATCTACACAGCAAAACCAGTTAGTAACTCTCAATTTACCAGCTGGTTTTTCCTAGATGGTAACTATCTGTTTGTTGACAAGATTCCAGCTGGTAACTAACTGAGATACCAGTTGGTAGATAACTACCGAGCGCTAGTTACCACTTGGTTTTTCATTTTTTTTTCATCATGATGTTTTTCTGATGTTGTTTTTTTTTGTGACATTAATAATTGGATAATCATCATTCATTTGACAGCATAACAAAAATTAACAAATGGTTCAACAAAACAAGAAATTATCAACGTTTCACTAACCCATTTTTTTCCGTTTTCGAATCTCCCCATCATAATTTGAAAGTACAATATGTACCCTACATTAAAAGTTTTTGACAGTTTATAGATCGAATACAAAACCGAAACATAAACCTACCAAATAATGATGATTCAATGGTGTACTACAATAAAATCAACAACAAAAAAACCGGCTCTCATCAAATATATTTTTTTTGGTTGGTTACGATACAGACATTCGCCGCCTCTTTCTAGATAATCCTCTCATTTCATTTTGCTCCTATAAAAAGAGAGTGGATTTCCAACCACAACACACTCAAATTCAATATGTTGTTCAAATTCCTCTTCTCACTTCTCTTGATTTTCGTCGCCGCCATCAATGCCGATCACGACAGCGGTGAGCAACACGGACATCCAACTGGCTCGCCACCAACCGGATCGCCGCCAACCGGTGGACCACACGGAGGGCCAGGGGGACCAGGAGGACCAGGAGGACCACCAACCGGAAGCCCACCAACCGGAAGCCCACCAACCGGATCACCACCAACTGGTAGGTAAATCGTGGCGAGTATTTAAATAAATAATTTTGCACTTGTAATGATGATGATGATAATGATTTTGAATAAATATTCATTCTGAATTTTCGAAAGGTGGTGGCCTAGAAAAACTTCTCTTCCGCGCCTCTAATTTTCTTCAAAAAAACGGCCAAACATTTTTGCAGACGGTGTTGTTGGATGGATCAAATCGAAAATTGGAAAATAATAATTATGACGAATGAACTTTTATATAAATTTCCAAAAAACACACATTTATATACATATTATATTAAACCAATGATGGATGTTTGTGACTTTGGTCGACCTACTGATTCGCAAGAAGTTTTTGCTGGTTTTGGCGTATTCCTCTTTTCCCATTTTGCAATTATTGTTCGGATTCTTTCGCCCTCTTTCTTTTCTCTTTCCAATTGTCGAATACGATTTTCTTGCTCGTTCATTTTTTTCTGAAAAGAAAAATCAGATTTTTTACGAGGCCACAAATTTCGTTACCTTCAAATTCTGCTTCTCCATATCAGCCGCTCTCATTGTTTCAATCGTCATCGTCGCCAACAAATCCTTATTCAATTTATCCATTTTATCGATTGTTTTCAATGTTTGAGTTCGATCATGCATTATTTTGGCTGCGGCCAAAACCGGTGAAACTCGACCTTTTTGTTGTTTACCAGAACTACTGCTGGAATCGGTTTTGACCACTGTTTGAATCTCTTTTCGAACATTTTGAATTCCACGGATCAAGTTTTCTGACTGGAAAAAAAATGAAAAGATATATGTGGCCGAACTATTTTGATGGCCGAGAAATGTCGGGAATTCGGCCAAAGCAACAAACTTGCTCCAATGTTGCAAAAATTCTCATTTTTAGAGCGCGTTTGTTGCTTTGGCCGAATTCCCGACATTTCTCGGCCACATATATCTTTTTGTTATTTTTAAAAACTAGTATACTCCGCCCGAAAAGGAAGTTTGTGAAATTCTCAGGGTTCCCCGGGAGGGAATATCAAGGTTCCTGCTAAAAAAAACCCCCGGGGGTTCCCGTTGCTCTTTTTCCGAGAGGTACTGTAGGGTTTGCGCGTAGTGTTTGTTGTTTTTTCGAGGCGTTTTTTTTTCTTTGAAGGTTGGGATTTTCGTGGCCGAGTCGGGAATTCGGCCAAAGCAACAAACTCGCTCCAATAATGATGATTTTGCAACATTAGAGCGAGTTTGCTGCCTTTGGCCGAATTCCCGACATTTTTCGGCCACCAAAATAGTTCGGCCACATATATCTTTTCATTTTTTTTGAAATTTATGTTTAACTTAAATTTTGTTGTGAAGTAAGTGCATTTTGAGTTTCATTCATCAAAATCTGAACATTTTTAAAAGTTTCAGTAAATTTCAAACTCACAATAGTCCGATTATCACTAACAACCAATCGATAAACCGATTCTTGATTCACAAGTTCCTCAATTCTCTCAAAAATCGCATCAAAAACCGAGCCAACATTCACATTCAACATTTGCGATACTTTTGTGATACATCTCTCAAATGTTGCCAATTTATGCTCAAGATTTTTCCGCTCCAAATCACTCGCCAATAATTCTTGTTCAAGTTCTTCCATTTTATCCATCGATTTTTGATATTCTTCTTCTGAAATTCTCGCTCGAAAAAGTGCATTTCTTTGTTGTTTCGCTTGATCCAATAATATATTTTCAATATTCAAAGCTTTCGCTTCAGCCTCCAATCTTCGAGTTTGTTCGATATTTTTCTCTCGAACCAAATCTCGAATATTCTTTTTAATATTATTCTCATTTGGTTCTTCATCAGAATTCAATAAAACAGATAATGTTTCTAACAAACTTCTTCTCTCACTTTCAGCTGATTTCAGTAGAATTATATTATTTTTGTTGGAATTTGTTGTTTCTTGTGAATATGATCGTAAACATCGAATTTCCGATTTCAACATTTCAATTTCAAGTTTTTGCTCATTTATTGTTGAATTCATCAATGTTACATCATGATTTATTCGTTGTTCAGTATTTTGTCGAATTTCCAATTCTTTTTTACATATCCCATGAATTGTTTGACTTTGTGTTTTATTAGTTTCCAAATGTTCCATCAAAGTTGACACGTGGTTTTGATTTTGGGATAATTTCGAAGACATTTCTGCGATTTCAACTCTCAAATTCTCATTTTCTTGCTCCAAGTTATTACATTTCAAAATAGATTCTTGAATAAATTTTTCAATATCCGAGAAATTCTCAATATTCGTATTCGTCATTTTCGTCGATAACATTCTGAACTCTTCTTCCGAATCAAATAATTTCTGTCGAAGTTCATCTCGCTCTCCAATAACTTGCCTCAAATTCACCTCAATCTCAATCGATTTCGCATGCCATTCCTCTTTCGATTGCGTCATTTCAGCCAACTCCACTTCCAAATCCGGCAGCCTTTTCGAGTTTTTCATCGCCTTCTCTTTCCACTTCTCAACTTCTCCCTCAATTTCTTTTCGCGCCTTTTCATTCGCTCGCAATCTTCTCTCCAAACTTTCCAATTTCACTTTTGTTTGTCTTTCAGATCGAGGCTCTTTTATTGTAAATGTTCCAGCGATCTGGAAACTTTGATTGAATTTTTTTTTCAAAAAAAAAAAAAAACTCACCGAATCGGGGCTCTTCGAATCTTCTCGATTATACGGCGATGTCCTTGGTCGAAGATTCTGATGTTTACCACGAACATTCAACTCAACATTCGGAACTTCTTTAGATTCCGATTCTTCTTGAGAAACACTGTCCTGTGAAGCGCTAAACATATTTATGAACAACATTTTCATATTAGTTCCTTACTTTTCCTCAAAAATCAATGAAGCGGAAAAGTCATACAGGAAATGCAAATTTGGAAAATATGTAAAGCGAAAATACATAAATAGGAAACGGACGTGAACCTAGAAACCCGATCAACACGTGGATTTTTTTTGGAGCCAAAAAAAATATCAGTACAAATCAGTTCGTCTTTTTTGAGTCAATACAACTAGTCAGGTAGGAAGGAATAAGGGGCCTGCTCATTTTTCAAATCAGAAAATCTTTCAGACAATGGATAACAATGAGAAAAGCAGATATTTGTACCAGCAATTTGAAGAGGCTTTGAGTGAAAAACTGAAAGCAAGAAAATCTCAATATGTTCTCGAGGATCTTAACAGAAAACAAAAACCGGCGGCTGAATTGAAACCGGTGAGAATTTCAAATTTTCCTCTAACAAGGGAAGTGCCAGGTGTTGAACTTTCAAAAAAAAAATTTGATAAAAAAATTTGCCTCGATGCGGGATCGAACCTGTGACCTAAAATTTAAAAGACGTCCGTTTTTACCACTCGGCTACGCGCTCCTTTTTTTCTTCCCTGCAAATGTTTGATAAATGAAACGAGGAAAAAGTTCAACACATTATGCACTTCCCTTGTAAATCTTCTTCTCAAAACTACTTTATAATTCAGATATCTTCGGAGTATCTTCTTCGTTCGCTTCAAAACCAAGATGATCAAAATCAACTATTCTCCCGCGATGCACCAAATCGTCCATTCCTCATCGGCGCCCCAGTTCCAGCAAAACAAATTCGTAGTCAAATCGAATCCCTCGACAACGCCATTGTTGTTCCACAAATCATCGATGGTCGTGTCTTTTTCCTGACTCACGGCGATTCGGACACCCATACTGCCATCGAAAGTGGAAGTGCTCATAATTTCCAAAATTCCCAGCCTGTCAATTTGAAGGACGTGAAATTCAGTTATGAGCAATTGGTGCAACTTTTGGGACCGGCAACGTGTCAAAGATTGGAAAGAGAATTTGCGCGACAAAATCGATTGTCGGAAATCGAGTTGGCACAATTAAGAACCGCTCGTGAATCATTTTCAAGTGTTCACACTGCAAATTCCCTCGAGCCCAATCTCTTATCTGTCAGAACTGCAAATTCACTCGAACCGAATTTGCTTAGCGTTCATTCTGCACGTTCTCCAGGACCTGCCACTTTGATTTTCTCGAAATCTCCAGGATTATTGACTGCACAGGAAAGAGAGCCGAATTTATTGACAGTGAGAACTGCAAGATCAAGATCAAGATCAAATTTGTCTGCAAGAAGTCCATCGGTTCACACGGCGAATTCTCTCGAACCAAATCTCTTATCTGTCAGAACTGCAAATTCACTCGAACCCAATCTTTTGAGTGTTCATTCTGCTCGTTCTCCAGGACCAGCCACTTTGATTTTCGCGAAATCGCCAGGATTATTGACTGCGCAGGAAAGAGAGCCGAATTTATTGACAGTAAGAACTGCAAGATCAAGATCCAATTCACGCCTGTCTGCAAGAAGTCCATCGGTTCACACGGCAAATTCACTCGAGCCAAATCTCTTATCAGTTAGAACTGCAAATTCTCTCGAACCCAATCTCTTGAGTGTTCATTCTGCTCGCTCTCCAGGACCAGCCACTTTGATTTTTGCGAAATCGCCAGGATTATTGACTGCGCAGGAAAGAGAGCCGAATCTTTTGTCAACAAGAACTGCGAGATCATCTGCAAGTGAATCTTCTGATGTTAATACTTGCGTCGAGATTGCTGATGATCCAACGATTGGAGTTTTGACTGCTCTTTCGATTAGAAGTGCGGGTTCGAGATCTTCGCAAGATGTTAATACTGCACTCCCAGTCCTCACTTTGGTTAGGTAGGCTTTTATTTTTTTTTAAATTTATTTATTTATGATTTGAAATTATTCTTTTAGATCATCGCAAGATGTTGAAACTGCTCGCGATATTGAATCAACAAGATCTTCAAAAGATGTTCATACTGCAATCGAGATTCCAAATCAAACATTCATCATTTAAAACTGCTTATAGAACCCTAGCCGACTATAGAACCCTAGCTTTTATAAACAAATTTCTCTGAACTTGTTTTTTTTTGAAAATTTTCAGGATACCAACAATTGGATCAGGAAAATTACGATCCCGCTGTTTTTTTTTTGAATTTTGTAACTTGAAAAAAATTTGCGGGCCGATTTTTTTTTGAAAAAACTCGGGCCGATTTTTTTTTTGAAAAAACTCGAGCCGATTTTTTTTTGAAAAAACTCGGGCCGATTTTTTTTTTTGAAAAAACTCGAGCCGATTTTTTTTTTGAAAAAACTCGGGCCGATTCAAAAAAGTTTTTTTGAAAAAACTTGGGCCGATTTTTTTTTTGAAAAAACTTGGGCCGATTTTTTTTGAAAAAAACTCGGGCCGATTTTTTTTTCTGCTTTTTCCTGACTGCAAATGTTTGATATATGAAACGGGGCAAATGGCGAATTTTCAGAATACCAAAAATTGAATCAGGAAAATTCTCCGGTCTAAAAAAGGTCCTATTCAACATTCCTGCCAAAATCTGGCTCCAGAATTAATGCAACACAGATGTTTTATATATTGCGCAACTCTCAACAGGTGGTCAAATAATATTAGTCCACCCGATCTCATGGTTTCCTTTTTTGTTTTATTTTTTTCGTGAAGACCAAACAATCTTTACCTTGTTTTTGAATGTTTGAACTTGTGACTTTCACGCCTTTCGTTTTTTTCTTGAACCTAAAAACTGACAGTTTTATTTTAAAAATTTGTTTTTTTGTTGAAACAGTTCAATTTTTCCTTCCAGATGTCCCTTCTTTGTCTTCCAAATGAGATGAAAATTGAAATTCTGAAAAATCTTGAATTTTCTGAATGTCTCAAATGTCAACTCCTCTCTTCACATTTTCAATCTCTGATTCTGAAAAATCAGAGATTTTTGAGATCGCAAAAAGTTCGCCAATTATTTGTGACAAAGCAAAATATTCGAGTGAATTTTGAGAATTCGAAAAATATTTGGATTTTGGATTTTGATGAGGCAGAATTGTATTTGAGAAATTCTACAGTAACTGTTTTATGGCTGGAATTAGTGAGTTGGATTTTTTTTTTGAAAAAATGTTAAAACTTTTTTTCACAGATAAACTATGATTTTGAACCAATCAAATATCTTTCCTCAATTTTTTCTTTTAAATTCAAAATTGAAAATCTGAAATTGGGAAGTTCCAAAGTTCCATGTGATTTGGAAAAACTTGAGGGATTTATGGATTCGAAAAATTGTAGAAATTTGATTGTCGATAAACGATTCAATATTTCTCCAAAGTTTCTGAAAATGGATACGGTGAGAGATTTTTCAGTGGCTGTCGTAAAAAATTTAACAAAAAATTTTTTAGCTTCTTGGCCTCACAATATCTCAAACTGAAAGGATTTCCATATCAATCAAAAATTTTAAAGGAACATGGCTCGAATTAGACAAAAATGATCTAACAACTTCGGAAATCATTGAAATAATAAAGGTAACTTCAACTTCTCATTTTTTCATAATCCAAAATTTTTCAGCGCTGGAAATCCGGGAAAATCCCAAATATTCATCAATATAATATTTGTCTGAATGATTATTTGAATATTTTAGAACAACTTCAAGAGATTTGCATATGTTTAGAATATCCAAGAAAATTCGAAACATTAAGAAATACATTGTCAAGTGAAAAACTGATTCTAGAAATTCATAAGACAACAAAATTTTCTAATTTTTATTCTCTTGTGATTCAACAATTTCCAGTTTGATCTTCCTTCTTTGTGTAATCCTTTTTGGACCATTCCAATATTTGATGAACATGTTCATAAATTTCTGCTCGATTTATTCCATCCGAGTTCATTGTTGTCAATTTCCTGCAATTTATTTTATTTTTATTTGTGAAAATTCGAAAAAAAATGAAAAAAAACATTTTTGTCCGAGAGAATTACACAGACACACATCGCTTCGAGATATCCTGCTGAATTTTGTTGTGTGCCTTTAAATAAGTACTGTAGAATTTTTTTTTTCGAAAATCCTATTTTCTTTTTAAATTTCCTCCAGGGGTTGTGTGCAAACACTGTGACGCAATTTTGCATACAGTAAGCTTGAATTAAAAGCTTCGTGGGTGGTCCCCGGGATATAACTTACTTTGCAATCTCTCTCAAATCCTTCCAAGTCTCCTCAATCGATTTCTCCTCAACAATCCGTGTCAACAATTTCGGATTTTCCCTATCTTTGTTCCTCAAATTCTCCCGTCTTCTCGCAAAATCTCGTCTATAAGGATTACTGTAAGGATTACTGTAGGTACCAACTTATAGTAACTCACTTATAGCATTTCAATATTTCAGCTCTTCTTTGTATTAATTGTTCTTTCGATAATTTTGGCACTTCTGATGACGTCATTTTTGGAAGTGAATAGAAAAGGAAATAAAATTATTTGCTGGATTTTTTTTCTTGAAAAAAAAAATAAAAATAGAACACGTCTAAAAATACCAATTTTTCATTCGGATAAATCACAATTCAATTCACAAAATTTTTTGTTGACCACGTATTTTGATAAATATCACAAAGAGAATAAGAAGACACTGTTCTAATGACAAAACAAGTAGTTAAATCACAAAAAAACTATATTTAAAAACTATCGAAATGTCCAATGATGTTTAATGGAGTTGATGATTGTTTGGGAAGACTTCCTTCAGATCGAGAACTTTGTAATGTTTCCATGCTGTTTCCTGGAAATTATTGATTGAAAATTGTATAAGAGGGCAAGGAGCCACGCCTTGAGAGCCTCTATGTCAAGCAGCCGCTCCTAGAGATCACAGTTCTCAAGTAGCCACAGCTAAGCAACCTATTCTGTAGGACCGGCGACTAGAGATCTGGCAAGGAGCCGCGCCTTGAGAGCCCCCATGCCAAGAAGCCACGCCTTGAAATCCTAGTTCTCAAGTAGCCACAGCTAAATAACCTATTCTTAAGGACCTGCGTCTAGAGATCCACTCTAACAAGGAGCCGCGCCTTGAGAGCCTCTATGTCAAGTAGCCGAACCCTTAAAAATCTTCAAACCTGCGCTTGTCCCATTTGTGCTGCTCAAAATAGTTGGTCGTGTTTGTGGTCGTTCATTTGACGGATACAAATCGAAAAAATTGCACTTCATCGGTCTCATTAAATATGACGTCAACGCTGATAACAACATCATTTGCCAAGTTATCATAAATGATGTCCACCCTGTAGTAAAAAAAACATTTTGAAAAACAAACTAGATACAAACTTACACAACGCTTTAGCTGTTCCCGGCATAAGTCGATCGGCTGTGATGATACCAACAGCAGCGGCGAATTCGAAGACGAATTTTTGAATTGTGTACAGACATTGAGCGACATCACAAATTCGGAACAGCCAAATGAATTGGTAGGGATCGTGTTTTTCGCGGCCAAGTGGAACCATTACGTAGCAACCGTAGAATGCGACCAACATTGAGACGAGACCGCAGAGTTGGGAGAATACAAACCAGCTGGAATATTTTGCTTGATTGGATTAAAAAAAAATATTGAGATCAGGAGTTTTTAGAAAAAATTCTGTTTTCCAAAAAATCCCGCAAATTTTACGTTTCAAAAATATGTAATTAACATTCTAGTTGTCTGGAAAATGATGCTTTGGTAATACTCAAAAATAAAAGCTGCTCATAAATTGAGACTGATTAAAAAATGCCGAATTCTGAATTTTAGTGATACCGAAAATTCCTGACCAGATCTGTGAATTTTTATGTTTTACGGTTTTTACGGCTCAAAAAATCGTAAAATAATTCGGAAATTCTCAAAAAATAAAAGCTGCTCATAAATTGAGACTGATTAAAAAATGCCGAAATTCTGAATAGTTTCAAATTTTGGTACTGTATTTTTAAGAAAAATTTTTGAAAACTTTAATGATTCCGCAATATTCTTGATCAGACCTGGGAATTTTTACGTTTAACGGGTTTTGCGGCTTAAAAAATCGTAAATCACTAAATGTGGTGAATTTTAACAGACTCAAATTAAAACTTAAAAAAAAACCCAAAATTTTCAAAGAAAATTTTGATTAATTAATTTTTTGTTGGAGTTGCGATAAGTTACCAAATCCAAATTTTTGAGGAATTTTTTGCTGTTTTTCAGTGAAAAGATTGAGTAACAAGAATTTTACGAATTTTACGGGATTTTACGGTTTTTAAAACCGTAAAATTCCTTGTCAAAAATCCCCCAAATTTTACGTTTCAAAAATATATAATTAACATTCTAGTTGTCTAGAAAATGATATAATTTCCTTGGGTTATGGAAAAATATCAGAACTAAATTTGTTACTTGATTATATATCATAGCTGATTTACAGATCCAGCAATTTCAGATTCCCTGGAAACCTACACGCTCTCCCGTCTTCCTCCTTGTTCCATCGAAACAGCGACCGATGTCAACTCCAAACACGTTCGAATTATTGGAGTTTGAAAAACAAGCCATTCGATGCGACGTAAATTTGCGCTGTAAAATCCCAATTGTAAAAGTACACTCCTTTGAAAAGTACACAAGAATACTTACTCTGTACTTTCAATCATTGGAATACATTTGAAAAGGCAAAACGGGAACATTGTTAGTTTGATTTTAACATTTCGCTGGAGCAAATAAGTGCTCATTTGTTGTCGGCCGCCAAATATGTTGAATAATATTGTAACCAGCACAAATAGGGTAAACATGAAGTATCTGAAACAGTTTTTTAAATTTAATTTAATTGAAAGAGCTTCACTCTAGCAAAACAACTTACACTAAAGCTACAGCATAGAGAAAAACGGCGGCTCGCGGGATGAACATTCCCATAACACTACAGAATGTTGTGATTGGATACATCAGAATCAGCGAGTAAAGATCGTTGCGTATTCGCTCATTTGATACATATTTCATGACAAAATATAATTGAACAAATGCTAGGGAAAATGTGATGACAACGAATATTGATGACATTGAGAGACACCAGACATGCATTACTGACATATCTGGAAATTTTTGGATTTTTTTGGAATGTTGGAGAATTGGTTGAAAAATTTTGAAACCTAATAATTGCGGGATTTTTTTTTGGAAAATTCGCAGGAATTTCAAGGCTTTTTGCAATAAAAATTCAAAAATAACATATATTTCATAACTATTCCTAAATATTCCAAACCATTTTCTAGACAACAAAAATGTTAATTTAATTTTTCTGAAACGTAAATTTTTCGAGATTTTTCTTTTTGACACAAATTTCAGAAAAATCATTTTTCGAGCTGAAAATAACTTATAAAGTTCATTAATTTCAACTTTTAATTTTCAATCGAGGATTTTTCATAATTTTCTAGACAACAAAAATGTTGATTTTATTTTTTTGAAACGTAAAATTTCAGAGATTTTTCTTTTTGGCACAAATTTCAGAAAAATCACTTTTCAAGCTGATAATAATTTATGAAGTTCATTAATTTCAACTTTTAATTTTTATTCGAGGATTTTTCATTATTTTCTAGACAACAAAACTGTTAATTTAATTTTTTTGAAACGTAAAATTTTCGAGATTTTTCTTTCGAGCTAAAAATAGTCTCTCTAAAATTCAATCAAACTATATGACGTGATAAAAAACACCTGGTCTCTATAAGTTTCAGATTTGATAATCACCAATAATTACATTTAACAAAAAAATGGAGAAATCAAAAACCAAAAAACATAATTAGTCATGAAAGTAAATAATTATTTTCTACTTAGTTTAATTATACATTTCACGCTTTTCGAATTTGATTTAAATGATCAATTTATGGGGGCGCAACGAGGAAAAACAGATTTTTATATAGGAAAAAAAAATTTCCCAAGTGATTAGGTTAAAATTTTCGAAAAAAAACTCACTCGCAAGCCATTCTGACGCAGACGGTATCGGTGGTTCCAACGACAAATTGCTGTTGATTAACGTCTTCACCACATCCATACTGCAACAAAAAAAAATGAAATTGGTCAAAGTGGTCAAAAAAGTACGAAGGGTCCCTCTAAAACCGGATGGTGAACAAACACATAGTAGAAAAGAGGAGGAGAAACGAGGAAAAAAGGTTTGGTTGATTTTATGAAAATTGGTAACCAGGGAGACTGGCGAGAAAGAAAAAAGAAGAATGGGCGGATTTTTTATTTCTTGTTATTATGCTTTTTTTTTGTGAAAAAAAAAGAAAAAGAAGGAAAAAATCATATCTAGATGAATAGGAAATTGATGAAAATATTCGAGAAAATATGAATATTATGAGCTGAAAATTTGATAATTTTGGGTGCCCCTGAACTGGACAATTTTCAAAAAAATCAAAATTTATATGATTTTTGGCTGTGAAGTTTGATGGAATCCCGATATTTGCTCAGTCATGTCAAATCAAATAAAAACAAAACAAAAAGTGTGGCGGAAGGGGGATTATTCTCAATTTCCAGCAGGTGAAAATAGGATTATTTTCAGAATCGATTGATATTATTATACAACACCACACAAAAATAACAAACTACACACTTACTTGCCAATTATTTCGGCGATAATAGATAATTATATAGTGAATGAGAAATAATGTTTATCTAGAAATGACTGCGATTTTTTCAGAAAATCGGGAATTTCTGGGGAAATGTGTCACGTTAAAAAAATTAAATTAAAAAAAAACTCACAACATTTATCCAAAATAATTGATTTGTTCTGAAGAAGAACAAAAAGAAGCGAGTAAATATAGTTTTTTGAGTTATAGAAAAACTAACATGATCTGATATTGTACTCGACACAAAACAATGACAGAGACACTTTTCAATGTTTTTAAAACGGATTAAAATGTGAAATAATTAACATTTTTGATGTGATTCATTGCGAAATATGGGGGGGGGGGTACAGTATTTGTTTTGAATATAGACTAAGTCCGGTTCATCACAATAGTTATTTTGTGTTGAGCAGAGATTGAAAAGGGTATTTTACATGTACTTTTACTGTACTTTATTGAAAAATGACGTGAGTCACAAGAGAAATCTTTTAAATTTTCAGTTGGAGCAAATTTTCCTTTCACTAAATTCTATACAAATTCCACTTAAAGACATCTGAAGCCCTTTTGGTCCCTATTGCATTATTCTGATATTCAAGTTCAGACCTGCGAAATGTTTACGTGGCAACGTAAAATAGGAATTTAACGTTTTTAAAACCCGTAAAATTCTTGTTACTCAATATTCATCAGGGCTGCTCAAATGGGGGCAAAGTAGGGTAATTTTCCCACTTTTAAAACTAGTGGGTTAGGCAATTCCCATTTGAGACCCAACCCAATTTGAGCAGCCCTGATACCCATTAAAAAATTAATTAATTAGGATTGAATCAAAATTTTAATTTTCTTTAAAAAATGTTGTGTTTTTTTTTGAAGTTTCAATTTGATTCTGTCAAAATTCACCATATTTAGTGATTTTTTAACGAATTATTTTATGGTTTTTTGAGCTGTAAAACCTTTTTACGGTGAAATCCCCAGGTCTGTTAAAGTTATTTACCGAAGTAAGTATTCTTAATAAAATTCTGATTCCCCGAAAATAGATTCAGAATCGAATTTCAAAATTCAATTCGGAACTTCGAATTCCAATACATCCTTCTTCCTCCTTCACATACAAAACCCCTTGAAACAAAAAATTCGTTGGTCATTCTTCCCTTCCCAAAAACTATCCGTTTTTTCTTATGTCCTTTTTTCTCCCCCACAGAACACCTCCCCAATTACATCTGCGTATCTTCCATCTCCCTTATCTCTCATCCAAATCCGTATCTCCTACGATGTCCTATAAAAGGAGCGGCGGCTTACGCAGTTTCAGTCCAGATCCGATCCAGTCTAAAAACTCTTTATATATTTTCATCCCATTTTATTTCATTGTTCTTCTTTCGTTTCGTCGACGCTTTGATTTCCTTTCCAAATTCGTGTTTTTGAGAAATATTTTGCAGGTACCTCGACCAGAAGAACTAATACATCAAAATGGAAACATCGGAGCATAAAGAGCTCCGTCGTGTCGCCTTTTTCGCGATTGTTGTCTCAACTGTTGCTGTTATCGCAGCCGTTGTCACACTTCCAATGTTATATTCATATGTTGCCAGTTTCCAATCGCATTTGATTATCGAGACCGATTTCTGTAAAGTGAGTCGATTCTTCTAGGCCCTATAGGCCCTATAATATATTCAAAAACCTTTCTTTCAGACTCGCGCACGTGATATGTGGGCCGAGATTCATCACCTCGATTCTCCACAATTCCAACGTGCCAAACGTCAATATGGAGCTTCGCCAACCGGTGTCACAGCCGCTCCATATTCTAATCCAACTCCAGTCTCTTCGGGATACGGAGCTCCGGTCACCAATTCTGAGCCAGCTCCAACATGTTGCTCTTGTCAACAAGGTTTGTGAAGTTGCAAAAGTTATTACTTCGTCAGTCGCGTGCGGCTGTGCGTCGCGGTCGAGAAAAGCGACGCACAGCCGCACGCGACTAACGAAGGTTTTTATTTTTTACGACTGTCATATTTTTAAAATTCGACAAAGGAAAAAATCGATATGTGCAATAGAGCGCACTTTCTCTCTTTCCCCTTTGAACTCTAAATTTTGTAGGACCAGCCGGGCCACCAGGACCACCTGGAGATGACGGAAATTCGGGACAAGATGGAATTCGTGGAAACGACGGAACTGATGGAAAAGACGGATCACTTCTCGAATCCGCCATCGTAAACGAGCCATGCATCATCTGCCCACCAGGACCACCAGGACAACAAGGAATGGCCGGATCGAAGGGACCACAAGGACCAAAGGGAGCCGCTGGAGAGAACGGACCAGATGGTAAACCAGGAGCGAATGGAATGCAAGGACCACCAGGAATGATGGGAACTTTGGGAAGACAAGGAGTTAGTGGACCACGTGGAGCACCGGGACGTGTCAATCAAGTCAACGGGCCACCAGGTCAACCAGGACATAAGGGAATTCGCGGACCACCGGGACCAAGAGGAGAGGCTGGATTGGATGGTGGAAATGCTGAAGGACCACAAGGACCACCAGGAGATGCTGGAAAGCCGGGACCACAAGGAGAACAAGGACCACAAGGACCAGAGGTAAGAGAAACATAGGATATTGGGGTATAATCATTTTGAAATTTGTTCCAGGGACCACAAGGAGTTCAAGGAGATGAAGGAGGTTGTGAACATTGCCCAATTCCACGTACTCCACCAGGATATTAATCATAAATCCGCCCATTCAGGGTGTACTTTTCATTTTTGCTCATTCATTTTATTTTACAAATGAAAGTATTCACAATCTGTGTTCTCTCTTTTTTTCAGATTTGGTAAATAGGTAGTAAAAAAATATTTTCACAAAGGAAAAAGGGAACTGTTTCAACTTGCAATCGTGATTTTCAATGAAATATATGTTTTCTAGTAGTTTTCGACCCGCTGATCACGATCCCGCTGTCTAAAACTGCAAAACTCAACTCCTAACATGAGTTATGACGTGGCAACGTTGGAAAATTTGGATCCAGCCTCATGAACAACCCTATGCTATTTGATTTGCATGGAAATCATTTTGAAAGTGAACTCTGACCCTCCAAAGTTCCAAATTTTCCAACTTTGCCACGTCATAACTCATGTTAGGAGTCGAGATTTGCAGTTTTAGACAGCGGGATCGTGATCAGCGGGTCGAAAACTACTAGAAAACATAAATTTCATTAAAAATCTTTTTTTTAATTTCAACCAAAAAACCTCACCTTCGGATCTACTTGAAATCCTTGCTGAAGTTGACTTGTCAGAAGATCCAAATCATCTGTCATCTGAAAAAGATCGATTGCAAGGTGAAACAGTTCCAGGAAGCTTGTAAAAAAATTTCAAAATTCAAAAATTGAAAAAAATACAAAAAATGCGCCAGCCCTGTTGGCAAACTGACGCATTTCGCGTGCACACAACGCGGCGATTTAATTTTTTTGAAAACAAGAAAATTAATTTTATTCATTACTAGAAATTTCAACTGAACAAAACAAAATGGTGGCTAGACTTCTTGACGAAGACCAAAAACAGAATCTGATAAAAGAAGAGCGAGAACGACGAAGAATTGCGAGATTGCGGCAAGTTCGACAACAATCTGCGGTGCATGCGAAAGTGATTCGCGAAATTGTTAGCCAGAAAAAATCGGAAATTATTGAAGATGTTAGGTAAGGTTTTTATTGAACTTATATGTCTAGAATCTATGATTTCAGGGCTGAATTACATCAAGAAGTTAGTGCGCAAATAGAAATAATAGTTAGAACGCCTAGAGGATCAAAAGTAGCGAAGAGAAAATCAATGTCTGAAAATGCGAAGAAGAAAATAGCTCGCCGTCGACCACTAACATCACAAGACTTGAAACTTGCAAATCAAAGAAATGTAGAAGCATTGAGAAAATTAAAAGAGTCAAAAAATCAAGAAAAACGGGAAAAATTGGAGAAAATCGAGCGAAGGAAAGAGGCGGCAAAAGTGGCGAATAATATATTGAAACAGCAAGGAAAATGAACTATTCTTCTTCATTTACACTTTTTTATATAAAGGAGATCATGAAAGAACAAAAAAGAAGAGGTGAATTGTATTCCTAACCAAGTTTTCAATCAATTTTCACAAGTAAATCGATTTCTCCCGCCATAATTTGTTCTTCTTGGCGGTCTTTCGCAAACATCAAATGTTAGTTTGAGACATGAGATTTCATTTTCATAAAGCAGCCATGGAAGATAGTCATCTCTGAAAATTTTTAAAATAGATTTCTAAAAATTTCTTTTCAAAAAAACTGACTTATGCCATAAATTCTTGCGATATTCAATATACCATTGACTAAATTTATCGAATTGTCCATTATTTACATCCCAAGTACGACGACGCTCTTCCAATTCTCTGAAAAATATTTTTTTTTTCAAAACTGATTGTGAAGAGAAATCTCACTTAGCAACTGTTTCTTCGATTTGTGATTCTTTCAATAATCGTTTCCTCAAAACAGGTCCGGTTGCATTGAAAGCCAGTCGGATTTTTGCGATCACACTTCCCTAAAAATATTATTTTTGATAGATTTTCTTCATTGAATTCAATTTGGGGCTGACAGGGGAACTGTTTCAACTTGCAATCAATATTTTTTATGAAATATATATTTTCTAGTAGTTTTCGACACGCTGATCACGATCCCCCTGTCTAAAACTTCAAAGCTCAACTCTTATTATCGAAAATCTCATCGGTACCACGCTCTCCACCGAAATAAACACGCAACGCAGACCGCGCCGCGCCATAACACACGCAGAAAGGGAACGATTCCAATTCCCTCCCTTTTTTGTGTGTGTTGTGGTGCGACGCGGTCTGCGTTGTGTGGTTATTTCGGTGGAGCGCGTGGTACCGATGAGACTTTTCGATAATAACATGAGTTATGACGTGGCAAAGTTGGAAAATTGGGACTTTAGAAGGTCAGAACTCGCCTTCAAAATGATTTCCATGAAAATCTGGTTGTTCAGGAGGCTCGACTTCATTTTTTCAATTTGTGATCAACTTTGAAATTTTTTTTTGTTTGGTGAAAAAAGTTATTTGAAAAATCTTCTGGATTTTTGTATGAAACAATTTTCAAAGTTGATCAAAAATTGAAAAAATGAAGTTTACTTATGTAATCGAGCCTCCTGAACAACCAGATTTTCATAAAAATAATTTTGAAGGCGAGTTCTGTAAAGTCCTAAATTTTGCCACGTCATAACTCATGTTAGGAGTTGAGATTTGCAGTTTTAGACAGCGGGATCGTGATCAGCGGGGAGAAAACTACTAGAAAACATATATTTCATTAAAAATCTCGATTGCAAGTTGAAAAGTTCCCAAAGAGCCCAACAGGCTCCAAACTCACATATCCAACTTGTTGCAAACTTCCCAAAGCACTTTTATAATCACTTCGATCTCCTTGCAAGAAATCCATTTGACAATCATCATCAGTATCAAAAGCGGTCCAATCATTGAAGCAAAATTCTTTTCGAAACGTATAGAAACCGGGTCGTTGTGGACAATTAATTCCCTTTAATTGTGATGCAATTGAACTTTGAGCCTCGGGTTTTTGATCGATTTCAGTCAACGATTCGCAAACATCACAAAAATAGCTGGAAATTGTTGGATTTCAGAATTTTTGTGAGAATCAAAAACAAACCAATTATTTCCATGTCCTCCACAACCATTATTACTAGCATTTTGACATTTCATATTCGAAAAATCTTTGACATTCCACCATTGATATTCAGCTTTTGCGAAAAAACTGTTGTCAAGAGCTTCCGGAAAATCTTTGACCTTAACATTTCTAATTTCCAGTGTAAAACATCCTGGGAATCTAACAACATCTGGTTTGATATGTACTTGAGCTGGATTGATGTCTAATACTCTTTTGGCTCCCGGGCGAGCTGAAAAATTGGAATTTTTCTCAGAAACTTTGGCACGTCATAACTACTTTTTTAAAAGGATTTTTAGGTATAAAAAACTAAAAATGCACTTACTTCACAACAAAATTGAAGTTGAATATTGTCAATCCGAAAATAAAAGAACCCCCGTTTGAATTGGCGCTCACGTACAGTAGACTAAAAATGACGTGACACATGCACATCAAACTGGTTGGCAAATAGCCAGCGTGTAAATTCCGCATTTCATTTTTCAAATAGACTCCAAAATTTCGCGAAGTCTACTGTAGTGTTGGTTTTCTAGGCCATTTCGGTTCTCTTCCAAGGTTCTTTTTTTTTCGGAATATAACAAAATAAATTCAGAAAAAAATGAAAAGATACACGTGGCCGAACGATTTGGGGGCCGAGAAATGTCGGAAGTTCGGCCAAAGCAACAAACTCGCTCTAATGTTGCGAAAATTCTAATTGTTGGAGCGCGTTTGTGGCTTTGGCCGAATTCCCGACATTTTTCGGCCACCGGAATACTTCGGCCACATATTTTTTTCTCCGGCCATCTCCAACTTACTGCAACTAGCATCCGCTCTTCCTGGAACCAACCAAATATCTTGATAATTACATTTATGATTTAGTTTTTTCCGCGCATCCGTATACCGTGTTCCACTTCTATACCTAGCTCGACACGCCGGATCCAAAATATCACAATCCAATTGTGCGACGCTTAGCGGAATTAAGATAAGAAAAATAAATAAAGCTATATTATACAATGTTATGGATAATAATGGTCGCATACTGCAAAAATTCAGTTCCGGAAGTTTTTTTCTGAATCGAGAAAATAAAAAAATATCACAAAAAAAACCAAGGTCGAAAAAGAAAGATGATTTTTGAATTCAGAATTTTTTGACGACCTTGTATTTATTACATAAATTACACCAAAATGAACTTTTTCGTTCTTGAAAAAAAATATAAAAAAATGAATGAAAGAGACCAATTCGGTCGAAGGCAATTATGTTTTTTTCAATCTTTTTTTTTGGAAGACGGAAAAACGTAAAGTTTTCAGATGTTATTTTCAGAACAAAATAGAAGTTTTGCTGAAAATATTGATTGGAAAAGTTCAGAATCAGATTTTTTTAAAGTTTAAAGACATTTTGGGCCGATTTTTTGAATTAAAAAAATTTTGAACCTAATAAACGTGTGACACTGATAATGGAAAAAACCAGAAAATCCGAAAAATGTCTCTCTTCGCGTCGCGCATCACACACAAAAAACCCGAAAAAGCGAAAATATGTCTTTTTCGTCTTTACACACCTTCTTCTTCTTCTTCTTTTTGTCTAACTGGATTCGGAATGAAAATCGATTAAAAACTAGAAATTCGATCAAATAATAATTATTATTTTGTTGTTTGACATATATTAAAAAAACACAAAAAAAAGAAGCAAAAAATTATTTAGTTGTTTTAGATAGTTAGAAAAACCTAACATATCAAAAAAGAAAAGAAAAGATATCTAAATAAATAATAAACATGAACAAGTTTTGTTACTTACCATTATTTTACATTTCAAAAGAACACAAAAAGAAGAAGAAGAGAGCCTAAAAGGTTATTCCATAGTTTCAACTTCTAAATTATCACCAATTTTCGAAATGTGTCCGTGTCTTTTGTTGAATTTATCGATATATTCTCGACTCGACTCGTATTTCTTTCCCTTTTCTTGATATCTGCAAAAATTTGAGTATTTTTTGAAAAAAAAATCTGAAAATATTATGGAGTGATTAAAGTTGAAAAAAAATAATTAAAAAAAAATTTTTTTTTTCTTGACAAAAAACTATATTTTTCCTATTTTTTGACATTTTCTTGCACACAAAAATGAAAAAAATATAATTTCTTGACATTTGCTGAATCAGAATTTTTTGTCAAAAAATTTTTTTTAATTAATTTTTTTTCAACTTGAAAGATTCTCAAAAATTCTAGAAAAATATATTCTTCAGATTCTAGATTCTATGTGGCAATTTTGCATTTCAAAAATTATTTTCAGATTTTTAAATTCATTTTTCATGAAAAGGAAAAATTGACAAATTTTTTATCCAAAAAATCGTGGTTTCCTCAAAAAAAATTGTACGCTAAATTTTTACAGTACAAAAATTTTGAATTTTTCAGTTTTTTTTCCTCAAAAATTATTATTTTTCGATTTTTGACCTCTAAAAACTGAAAATCAGATTTAAAAAAAAATTGTACTCTGACCAGCCACGGCTTGGGCTTGAGGTGTGTTTTTATCCAAAAACTATACGAAAAATTATTTAAATGAAATTTTTTTTGAATCTATGAATTTTCGGGGCTTGAAAATCTGTCATCTGAAAATTCCCCTTCCACTTCTAAGGCCAGATTTGGGCCCAAAAACTCACAATTCACAAACTGGAACATTCAAAATCTCGGGCAACATCCACGGTTTCAACCAGCCAACTAATGGACTTTGTCCCGCTTCATAAATAACTGAATTATGATAGAAAAGAAGACCATCCAAGTGAAACCTGAAATCAACTCTATTAAATTTTCCAGAAATTTTTTTTTAACTCACTTCATAGGCTCACTCATCATTTTTGTCATTTCTTCTAAACTACATTTACACGACGGCGCTTTTTGAAACGTATATCTGCAGTAAAAAAATAATTTTTAAAATTTTTTTTAATTAAAAAAAAAAACTCAAGTCTCACTTGAAATTTTTCGTTGGTTTCGATAATTCGGGACTTTCCTCGAATTTCGAATTCAGCCAAAACATTCGAAAATCGTATGGATTGTCTGCATATTCTCGTTCATTCCATGACAAAATATCGAGAACATAATACACTTTATCGTGATAAATACAATCGAGAATTGAGAATGTGTCTGGAAATTTGGGATTTGGGATGAAAAATAAAGGAAAAATAGGGAAACTCACATTTTCCACGATCATTTCCTCCGGGTAATTTTGATTGAAATTGTTGAATTACTCGACCAGCTTTATTGTAAGCAGTTGTGACGCCCTGTAAGTTTTTATTGTGCTTTTTTTCTGAATCGGGCCTGATTAGATTTTTGGGCTGCTGATCATTTATCGAAAATTGCTGGGAACATGGGTTATGACGTGGCAAAAATTGAAATTCGTTGTTTTTGAAAGTCGAAATTCTAGTTTCCAAATTGTGAGCTTTCGAGATCCCTGGAGACTTTTCGAACTCCAAAAAATTTAAAAATTGATTTTTCTCTTCAATAAATTTCTGGCCCGGTTCAGAGTTGAGCGAACTTATTTTATCAGTCATTGGAAATAATTAAAATATTCATGAGTTCTGATCAAAAAGGCGATAATTTCTGAATTTTCACCTAAATTTTGAGAATTTTAGTTCTTATTCATACCTACTTGAATGGAGAAAAAATATTTGATAAAAAATTATATGAAAAATTTGAAACGTATTTTTTTTTGTTTTTAGAATTTTCGAATCAAAATTTTACTATTCTGATTCACGAACGAAAAAAATGTTTAAAAATGTTTTTTGAACATCGAAAGATCAATTCACGAAAAGTCAAAAAATGTCGAAAAAACATTGTAGGTCAAAATTAGTTCTTCGAGTTCTCAGAGATTCGCTGGCCAGCTCGCCACCAGATCGCTGTGGCCACCTGGAAACCGCATGGCCGCCAGTTCGCCTTGAGTTTTCCGGCGACGTGGCCTGTGTTTTTGAAATTCTGGAAAGCTGGCAAGACGGTGGTTTGTACTCAAAAAACTGCATTTTCAACTGTTTTTTTCACTTCCTAAGGTTTCAAGTACTGCGAAAAAACAGAAAATGAGCCAAATTTTTCGAAAATGCCTCAATTCACAAGTTTTTCAGACATTTTCATGAAAATTCATTTTGACGCGGCGAAGTGGCCACCACGTGGTAGCCATGTGGCCGTGACCTAGCCAGAGCCTGGCCACCTTGCCAGCGAAAAAACCGGGCGACATGTTTTCCATGTGGTTCCCAGGTCAGCCAGCCTCCCCACCTGGTGGCGAGCTGGCCGGCGAATCTCTGAGTTTTTCAGCCAAAAATGATGACCAATCAATATTTTTCAAGCTTCTGGAATCTGGAGTAATTTCTGATTAAAATTGACCTTCAGAAGTTTTTGTTGATTTTTCGTAAAATAAAAATTTTTTAAATTTTGATGAATCTCGAAAAAATTCATAAAATAAAGCAAAATATGGTTCTCGAAGCTGATTTTCATCAGAAATCACTCCAGAAGCTTGAAAAATATCGATTTGTCATTATTTTTGACTGAAAAACTAATTTTGACCTACAATGTTTTTTCGACATTTTTTGACTTTTTGTGAATTGATTTTTCGATGTTAAGAAAAAATTTTTAAATTTTTTTTTTCGTTCGTGAACCTACTCAAAAATGAAAATTTTTGCCGAAATGTAGCGTTTTTCAAAAATCTAGCTAGATAGCTGAAAATTCAAAAAAAAAGGGGGGGGATCCCTTTGGCCAGATCTTCAAAAATTTCTGGACTTTGAACCACACCTCGGCCAAAATCGTGGGTTTCAAAATAAAAAATTGTACCCTAACTTTTTACAGTATGAAAACTGTGAATTTGTCAGTTTTGGTCCTCTCCAAACTGAAATCAAGACTTTTTCAAAATTGTACTCTCGCCAGCCACGGATTGGCCGTGGTGTGCTTTGAACCTGAAGCTTCTAACCTTTGCAGCAACCACCAAACACCTCTTCCCAGTCGGTGCCGCCACCATCGTCCATTCATTCGACAAACTCGATGGAATATCAACAAGCCATTCGCTCAACAATAATTGATCCGAATATTTCGATCGACTTCGCATTGATGACGTTTGACTATAATCTGATATAACACTACTTCCATCATCATTATGTTTATTATCATATTTCTCTTCTTTTTCATCATCCGACGAATCTTCTTCATCTAATGCCAAATTTCGAAGCTTTATAAGCTTTTCAAAACGACCATCCTAAAGAAATATCGATTTTTAAAAAAGATTTTTCTCTTAGAATTCAACCTCACCCTATGTCGATCTAAAACTTCTTGTCTCCTTTTTGCTTGTTGTTCAGCAGCTTTTGATAAATTTTTAAATTGACTATATCTTGGATGTTCACCCAAAGCATTCGGATCTACTTGAAATCCTTCCTGAAGTTGACTTGTCAGAAGATCCAAATCATCTGTCATCTGAAAATCGTTTTTCTCTTGTCAGGGACTGATTTACGAACGAAAAAATCAAAAAATTTCGAATTTTTCATCCAAAAATGATGACAAATCGAGATTTTTGAAGCTTCTGGAGTGATTTCTGATGAAAATAAGCTTCGAGAACCCTATTTTATTAATTTTTTCGAAATTCATCAAAATTTGAAATTTTTTTATTTTTCGAAAAATCAGAAAAAACTTCTGAAGGTCAATTTTCATCAACAATCACTCCAGAAGCTTCAAAAATCTATATTTCAAAAGTTTTTTTAAAAAATAAAAAAATTTCAAATTTTGATGAATTTCGAAAAAATCAATAAAATGAGATAAAATAGGGTTTTCGAAGCTTATTCTCATCAAAAATCACTCCAGAAGATTCAAAAATCTCGATTTGTCATCATTTTTGGCTGAAAAACTAATTTTTTTGGTTCGTGAATCGTGAAAAAATTCTGAAAACCTTCGAAAAACAGATATAACTTTCAAAGTTCAATTTACTTTTTTTTTCAAAATATGCAAAAGAAATCTTTAAAAAATCAACAATTTAATTAACAACAAAAACAAAAATAACAAAAAACAACTATTTTCTCAAAACTTGAATATCTGAAACAATTCCATCTCCAATAATTCGAATATTTTCATAAATTTCAGATTTATTTAACAAAATGCGAGAGTCGCTGATGGATTTGTGCAGATTACAGCGGCCAATCTGAAAAATAGGGATTTTTGAGAGATTTAAAAAATTTTTCAGGAAATTTAGATACCTTTGCTGGAACTTCTTCGATTGGTTTGAATTTCATCGCAATTTTATCACCTCCATATTTGTTGTAGAAGAAAAATACGTGCTGAAAAAGGGTTTTTTTTTAAAATCAAAATCAGGATAATTAATTAATTAATTAATTACCTGTGAAAATTGATTATTCAATTGATAAATCAATTCATCAACCGGATCAAATTCAACAACCGGCAATCTTTTCGCCCCATTTTTTCTCTCCAAAATCCCCATTCTCCGAACCACCGCCGATGTTTCCAATTCGATAATCGCATCATAAACACGATAATCTGGAATGGCAGAGATCAGCGATGCCTCCAAATCGATCGCACACTCTCCAACAACATTTTTCTCCAAAATTTTCAAACTTTCGTTGGCCAATCCAACCAAACGCTTCAAAACTATTCCGCACGGATTTTGTTTGGTGAATTTCGAGCCAACTCGATCCTCTTCAGTTATCAAAACCATTGGTGGGAGGATTGGTCGCATTTTCACAAAATCCTCTTCAAGTTTTCGCCGTTCTTCTTCGCCAAACTTTTTCGCGCCAAAATCCACGATAAGTGGGCGGGTTAACCAATTATGTGATGCGAGTAGATGAAGAGTTTGTGTAAATGCACACCAAGCAGATCTGAAACATCAAGATATTCGCTGATTTTTTCAAAACAAAATCTTACTGTGCTTCAATATTTCCTTTCTTCGAAATCGCAGCAACAACCAATAATTCAATGATAATATCATCCAAATAACCGGATAATAATTTGGCACCAAGCCATTTTTTGAAAATTTGACAGGTTTTGCCAAATATCCGGTGACTTGTGGAAAATGATTGTAATTGTAGTTGAAGAAGTGGTTCGGTTACAAATCTAAAAAAAAAAGATTTTCAAAGGGAACTTTAGCTCTTTGCAGTTCAACTTTGCAAAGTTATGACGTGGCAAATTGAAAAATCGAGTTCTCCAGAATTTTTCACCACCTTTTTAAGCCTGAAAGAGGGCCAAAATATCCCCAAGAATAGAGAAAATACAATGTGAGCGAGAGAGACGCAGACACTCTTACTTTCTAGAAAAAAATGAGTGTCTGCGTCTCTTTCGATCACATTGTATTTTCTCCATTCTTGAACATATTTTGGCCCTAAATTGGAATTTGGTAGCAAAAAATACTGGAGAATTAGATTTTTTTCAATTTTCAAATTTTTCCACGTGCAAAAATGTCTACCTCTTTTTCCACGCCGACAATCGCATTCCCTCCACAGAACTCTCAATTCTCGTCGCTCCAGAATCTCGCAATTCCTCGATTTTTTCTTCAAGAATATTCAACACTTTGTCATGCACAATAACTAATTTGAAAACGATTCCATCCTGAATCAGAAATATTTTTTGTAAGATTCATAAAGGGAACCTTTTTTACTCAAATTTTGATGAAATTTTGGTCATAGACAGCTTTTGGGGTCAAAAGAACACTCTAAAAATTTTATGGACCTCTGAGCCAAGTTCCGGGCTCTCAAAAGTTCAAAAATTGCCAAATAGCTCGATTTCAAAATTATTTTTATGAGAAATAAAGTTTCAGATATTGCTCAACATAGTCAATTTACTAAACACAGGCAATCCGCAAAGGATCCTTTAAGGACGCTTAAAGGACCGTTCATCCTTTAAGCGTCCTTTTTTCATCCTTAAATTTTAAAGGCCGGAAAAAGGGTGGGCCAAAACGGGCTCATTTCATGCTCGTAGTGATAATAAATTGATGTCACACACTCAAAAGGCCGAAATTATGTGTTTTAATCATGAAACAATACAAAATTCCAACAAAAATGTAACCTTAAAAAAGTATCCTTAAGGATGCTTCAAACGATCCTTTAAGGAAGGCAAGCTCCGCCTCCTACACAAAAAATAACAGTGCGCGCAGCTCGCCATGTGTCCGTCATGCAGATTATATAAATAAATTTTCTCTGCAAAAAAGGCAATTCAGCTTTATTTCGCAGAAGTCTGTATTTAATTGAAGTTTCGGACTTCTATTTTTGTTTATCATCTGTTTAACAGATTTATCACTAAAATTTTTCAAATTTAATAAAAGGTCCATTTTTCATCCATCCTTAAACCGTCCTTAATTCGTCCTTTTTGATGTACTTAAAGCCCCCTTTTTGTACAATTTTGCAAGGATCCTTAAAGCGTCCTTAAAGGATCCTTTGCGGATTGCCTGTGAATGTACATCAATAAAAAACATTTTTTCCAAGAATTTTGAAATGTTTCATTTTTCGGCTGAAAATTCATTCGTTTTTCCAAAACAAAAAATTTTTCTGTTCAAATTTTCAAAAAAAAAATTTGATTTTGAATAAAAAGCATGAATTTTCAGCTGAAAAATAAAAAATTTCAAAAAAAAAAATTTTTTTTTTATTGATACTTTCAGTAAATCGACTATTTTTTCTATTTCTCCCAAAAATTATTTTGAAATCAAGCTATGATGACTTTTATGAGCCAATTTTGGAAATTTTTAAACTTTTGAGACCCCAGAACTTGGCTCAGAGGTCCATAAAATTTTTAGGATGTTCTAATGAACCCAAGGACAAAATTTCATCAAGATTTGAGTAAAATCTTCTTTACCTTCATAACAAAAATTTGATCAATAGTGGGAACAGCAATCAATTTCGAATCTCGCAATTTTTCCGCAATCTAAAAAAACATCTTCGTTTTTTTTCGGAACAAAATCAAATCAAAATCAAACCTTGATATAAAACGAAGAAGTCAATCTTCGAATCGCTTCAATATCTTGTCCCCATCTTCCCGAATATTCCAATTTAATATGAACAGTAACCGTCGGTGTGAATGCCGGAATTTTCTCGCCGAATTCCGGAACAACATGATCATTATTGATTTTCGCCGATTGTGCAGCATAAATCGAGGGAAAAATCGGCTCAGTTGCTCGAATATACGGACTTATTCCATGAACATTTGTGATCATCAGTGGAATTCCTTTGAGTGATCGAAGAATTGCACTCAAATCTGCAAATGCTCGAGTCACAGATTCGTATTGTTGTTGATTTGTCGATGATTTGAGATTTTTTTCGGAGGAATTTCGCCAAGACAGCCATTCACCAGGAACTGATAAAATTCTGAAATTAGAGGGAATTATTTGATAAGAAAAATGTGAAAAGCGTGAATTACTTTTGAAGAATAAATTGGAGAATTTGAAGAGCCACTTTTTCATCGGCTTCATTTGACCAAACTACACATTCACAAATACGAGTATCGGCAAATTTTCGCAATTCACTAACGCCTTTCCATAATGCACGGAACTCTGAAAAATACAAATTATCGTTTCCGGTGATTTTAAGACAAATTTCGGCTCAAAATTAAAATTTTTCAAAAAGTTGATGTAATTTTTTTTTGAATTCTTAGATTCAAGTCGAAAAAAAATTTAAAAAAAAACATTTTTTTTTACAAAAAATTTCGATTCAGAAAATGTCAAAAAACAGAAAGGAAATATAGTTTTTTGACATTTGCTGAGAAGGAAAGTCTTTTGATGTTCCCCCCTGAAATAAAATGAGACTAGGTGGAATCAACTACATATTGATAGGTAAGAAAAAGCCCAACGGGATTAAGGAAATAAAAATCTATTTCAGGAGTTACGGTAACTCCTCAAATTTTGAGACAAAAAAGCCTATGATTTCAAAAAATCGTAGTTTGGCTCAAAGTTAACGAAAATGATCGGTCAAAAATGCATTTTGATGCTAAAGTGCTCAATTTTTTAGTTAAACGGCGCTCGTAATCTCAAAAAATTTTTCAAAATGAAAATTTTTCAAAAAATGACCCCTTTCTCAAAATGTTGAAATTTCACCTCAAAAACGTTACGAGGGAAGAACGACGTCCGACGCACCGTGTTCTACGTCAAAAATTACGTATTTTGACATATTTAAATATATTACCTACCGACCTTTTAACCTGGGAAAAAAATGATTTCAAAATTTTTCACACAAAAATTCATGTTTTCTCAGAATAAAATCATATTTTTGAAACAGTAATCATTATTTCTTTGTTATTTTTTTCTCAAAACATATTTTCTGATTGTTTTTCACCTTTTTGTATGATTTCTGAAAAATTAAAAAATTTCAGATTTTTATATCATCGATTTTGAACCACTTCGAAAATTAAAAATCAATTATAGTTCGATGATAGAAATTAAGGACTTTTTTGGAAGCTTTAACTCATTCATTACGTTTTTGCAACTGGGAAACACTTTCAATAATATATCTGTCAACGGACAATTTTCAGAGACCTTTGAAAAAATTATCGATAAAAGTTGTTTCATTAAATAGTTCTTGTCATTTTTTTCAAGACGATTTTTTTTCATCTGGGAATTGGAAGTTCAGATGTATAATTGAAAGTGTTTTTCCCAGTTGCAAAAAAAGATGTGATGCATTAGAGCTTCCAAAAAAGTCCTTAACTTCTATCATCGAACTATAATTGATTTTTAATTTTCGAAGTGGTTCAAAATCGATGATATAAAAATCTGAAATTTTTTAATTTTTCAAAAATCATACAAAAAGGTGAAAAACAATCAGAAAATATGTTTTGAGAAAAAATAACAAAGAAATAATGATTACTGTTTCAAAAATATGATTTTATTCTGAGAAAACATGATTTTTTGTGTGAAAAATTTTGAAATCATTTTTTTCCCAGGTTAAAAGGTCGGTAGGTAATATATTTAAATATGTCAAAATACGTAATTTTTGACGTAGAACACGGTGCGTCGGACGTCGTTCTTCCCTCGTAACGTTTTTGAGGTGAAATTTCAACATTTTGAGAAAGGGATCATTTTTTGAAAAATTTTCATTTTGAAAAATTTTTTGAGATTACGAGCGCCGTTTAACTAAAAATTGAGCACTTTAGCATCAAAATGCATTTTTGACCGATCATTTTCGTTAACTTTGAGCCAAACTACGATTTTTTGAAATCATAGGCTTTTTGTCTCAAAATTTGAGGAGTTACCGTAACTCCTGAAATAGATTTTTATTTCCTTAATCCCGTTGGGCTTCTTACCTATCAATATGTAGTTGATTCCACCTAGTCTCATTTTATTTCAGGGGGGAACATCAAAAGACTTTCCTTCTGAATCGAAAAATTTTGTTTAAAAAATATATTTCATTATTTTTTTCCACTTGAATCACCCCACCACGTGTTTGACCGAAAATTGATTGAGACAGGAAATTGATTTGATAGGAAATTGATTTGAAAAATATCAGATAAAATCATTTTTTGTTCAAAAATAGGCTCCAATTTCGCATTTTTGGGCCGAAAACTTCGAATTTACGGAAATAAATTTTAAATTTGATTTAAAATTTTTTATTGAAAATTGAGGATCAGAATCTGAAGCTCAAAATCCACGTGGTTTCAAACAAGAATTTGAATTTCGATATTTTGACGCTAAAATGAACCAAAAATCTTTGGATTTCATAATCGCCTCAAACTTCAGAAGAACAAATCCACGTGGTTTTTTTTTCAGAGATTTGCCTGGATAGTTTTTGAAAAAAATTATTTTATCTGATATTTTTCAAATCAATTTCCTGTCAAAAATTGAAATTTTTGACACGTGGATTTATGGGGAATAAATCAAGACCAAAATTTCAGTTTGAAATGCTCAAAATGCATGAAATTTTGGCTCAAAATTGCATTTTCTCAAAAATTACCTTTTGCCTCTTCATTTTGTGCTGGTGGTCCAATTGTTAATGGGTTCGTCCATTGATTATTTACACGAAAACCAATCAAAAATGTCTGAGCCCCATTGAATCCTTGAGCAACTTTTGTAGTAGACCATTTTAACTCGCTTTCACCGATTTTATGAATTCCCAAATAATCAAATCGTTCAGGCATTGTTTTGTAAATCATCTGAAAATTTAAATTTTATGAATCATCTGAAAAGTTCAATTAAATCCGCCCACCTTGATGAAAAACTTCAAAACCCCATTAACAATATCCGAATCATCGACAGAATCTCTACCCAAAAGCGACAACAAATGTTTGGTTTCAGATGGATTTACAGTGAGTCTTACAAAATTGTCGAATTGTGAGAAAATTGGGATTTTTTCAATGAATATGGAGTCAAAAGCATAAATATCACCAAGAAGTGGAAATGTTGCGATCAATTCTTTTTTCATTCGATCAATATCGAATTTGCCGATTGAATATGTGATATTCCAATAATCCCAGACCAGATTCACTTCGAAATGTTTTTTGTATTCTTTTTCGATTTCATCTTCGAGTGTTTCGTCAACTTCCAAATATTCGATTTCATTGGTATCCCAAAGGACTGAAATAAATTTAATTGTATTTAGACAGAAAAAAAGGTTTTTTAACGTTAAAAAACCAAAAAAAAAGTGATTCACGAATTGTATTTTTATTCATTTTTTCACCATTTTCTCAACACATTGAATAAAGTGAAGCTAAAACGCACAGAAATGCTATTTCAAGTCTAAAAAACGAATCAAGCCTCTTATCTCCCAAAAAATTAAATTGGTGATTTTCGAAAATCAATAATTTGATTTTGAAGACTTGATTTGTCTTTAACAAGGAATGATCCAGGAAGTACCCCCTGAATCTTTATAAAACCGGTCTCAAAATTATTTTTTCAGTTGGGTAACATACCCGGTATCAGGATCAAGCAAGTGAAAATTTATTTCCCGAGTTCCTGAAAACCGGGAAAATTTGGGGTAAAAAAATAGGCAAAATTTAAAAAATCGTTCCATGGTTCAAACTTGACAAAACTTAGCGTTCAAAAATGCAAAATGTAGCTAAAAATGTGAATTTTTTGAAAAAAATTGAGTATGATTGTGGAAAACAAAAATTGATATAAAATATGTTGAGAATGAAAAGATTTTTTCGTTTTCATTTTTATACATATTTAAAATCAGTTTTTGTTTTCCACAATCATACTCAATTTTTTCAAAAAATTTACATTTTTAGCTACATTTTGCATTTTTGAACGCTAAATTTTGCCTATTTTTTTACCCCAAATTTTCCCGGTTTTCAGGAACTCGGGAAATAAATTTTCACTTGCTTGATCCTGCTACTGGGTATGTTACCCAACTGAAAAAAAAAATGATTTTGCGACCGGTTTTATAAAAATTCAGGGGGTACTTCCTCGAAAGTCTTTAAATAGCAATGCTAAAACCCGCAGAAATGCTATTATAGCATTTCTGCGGGTTTTAGCTTCACTTTATCCAGTGTGTTGAGAAAATTGTGAAAAAATGAATAAAAATAACGTTCGTGAATCATTTTTTTCTGGTTTTTTTTTAACCTTAAAAAACGTATTTTTATTTCGTGAATCACAAACTAACTCAAATCTTTCCAAATAATTCGAATAACCGACAGAATTTGTTGTTTATCGCTGATTTCTCCCTGTTTTATCAATCTTATAACTCTTGCAAGCAACACATTATCCGATAAATTCACCAAGTTTCGATTTTCCATGAATCTTTTCACCAAATTCAACGCAATTCTCACATCTCGTTTATCCCGCAGAATGTTTTCCGCCTCTAATTTCAATCGTTTCTCCATCCAGGTTCTCAAAAATCGTTGATTGAATTGCGGTGTTTCGACGTCTTCTGGATATTCTTGTGACTTGTAAATCGTTGTTGGTCGAAGATTGCCAATATTCGGTGAAAATCTACGATTTTTTGCGATGTTTTCGTTCCAAAAACTGATTCGAATCTCATTATCGATTAAAAGATCGGGATATAACGAATCTTTGGCGATAAACTCAACGTTCTCATTTTTCAATAAAAGTGCAATAGCACACATATAATGTGCTCGTTTTGCAGCGTATGTGAGATTCAGATAATCACGATTGCCAAAGATTTGATCAGGAATTTCGACATATATTATTGAATTAGCACTTGTTTCCACACTTTTCGGTGTTGAATATGTGAACATTGCCACACTTGAAGTTGTATTTCGAATGCCATTTCGATATTTCTCAAGAGGATATTTGATTCCTAATTTTGTCCAATAATCGAAGTTTTTATAATCGGTTCCATACTTTAGTTTGGTACTTTTGATTGTATTCGCAATGGTTTTCAATTTCGCATTTTCTTTCACGGAATTGGAAGCATCTTCACACTGAAAATTCATGGATTTGTACCTAATTTGAATTTTCCTTCTAAATTAACATACCAATAATCGATAACCTGTTGACATTGGCAGCTCATTTGCCGAGTTTTCGAACAATTCTTCGATATCCATTCTGCCTGAAATTTTAGGTATTAAAAACACGAAAACACTTTCGAAAAACAAAAAAAAATATGTGTGAATTTAGTGCTAAACAACAGGCAAGTGTTGTGTCGTTGGAATCTCTCCCTTATAATTTTTTAAAAGAGAAATAGATAACTTGGAATGAAGGAAAACTCAAAATTATTAACACAAAATGAATAAAAATTTACAAAATGCCCCTAGAAATCACGAAATTCACATTTTGCTGGGAAACAAAACTTAAGATTTAGTGATAAACTTTCAATGTCAATTTTCACATGGAAAATACTAGTTTTTCGGATAAAACTTACTTATCAGAAATATTCGAAAACTGAGTGAGGAATTTCGAAAAAAAAAATGACGAATTGGTTACTGTAGTTAGGAAAGTGTGCATTGTCGTGTTTGCACAACATACATTAAAACCGACGCCAAAGCGTGGTGGAAAAAAACGCGGCAGCCAAATTTTGAATTCCGGAACTCCGCGAGACCCGCAGACGTTCTCTTTGATCAAAAATGTTCTGGAAAAATCGCTGGCTGAATATCAGAATTTTGTTTCTAATCCCATTTTGTCCCGAAAATGCATTTTTTCATTTGTTGACACCTGAAAATTCCTACTTTTGTCAAAAATTCCTAATCTTTAGTAAATATCATGATTTCAATATTTATTTAAACAATTGTTTTCTGTCTGTTTTTTTCACCTAGTAATTGTAAGTGTAGAAAGTGCGCTCTAACGAACAACACCTGCCGCGTCTTTCAATTTTGAATTTTTGTTATTTTTTGTTTCGTCTTTTTAAAACAGTTTGTTCATTGAGTTTTAGCGGAAATTCACCATTCTAGAGTGAAAAAATGTAAAAAGATGGATATTTTTAATTACGTGAACTCTCGCACAAATGATTTTTTCGTATTTATTTCTCACTATTGAAAAAAAGGAATCAACACTATTTTCAGAATGAGTGTCACTGTTAAACGAAGTCTCGTCCCCGGACGACGTATTCTTGACGAAGAGCACGCATGCGCCATGGCAGGATATTTTATCCATAATTCTTATATGGATGATAAGACAATTGTTGAGGCCGAGGTAACTGTTGATTTGATGGATGACACTATGGAACGACGTTTGCGAAAAGAAGGCAAAAGTGATTGGGAAATCACGGAGATTCGAAAAAGGCAAAACGATGAGAGACGTGCTAAGGTTTGTTTCTAGAAGCAGTGTTCAAGATTTAAAAAAACTTTTTTTTCAGGCTGATGCCAATCTTCAAAAGCAGGCGGGAGGCACTGACACGTTTTCCGACTTATTGAAAGTATACAACTATCGTGCACGACCCGATGAGAACATCGAGGAAAGCGACGAAGAGATTGCCACAAGTTCTGCTGCTGCTATTCCCAAACTCCCTGCCGACCAGAAACGTGGTGACCAAATTCTCAGCTCAACGCCAAAAAATCCAAATCAAACTTTGCGAAGCTTACGAGCTCTCGATATATCGCGAGTTGAGAATTCGGTAAAAAATATTTTTTTAACAGAAAAAAAACGCAAGAATTTATTTATTTGCAGGAAGCATCTTTCAACAATTCCGGCTTCAAACAACCGATTCTGCGAGCTTCCAAGAAATTATTCGGTGATGAAAATGACAAAAGTGCCGCGAGTTTACAAGGAACATTCACCAAATCTCAAAGCCTTCAAGGAACTTTCACCAAGAACAACAAAAGCGGCGCGAGTTTGCAAGGAACTTTTACGAAATCTTCGAATACGGCTAGTCTTCAAGGAACATTCACAAAAGAGCCTTCTTCGCAAAGCCTACAAGGAACTTTTACCAAAGAAAATTCTTCTGAAAGTCTACAAGGAACATTCACAAAAGCTGCTGATAATGAAGAAGACAATGATGGAACATTTGTTGTGAAACCGGCTGAAACTTCCAGAAATACATCAAAAACAAAATTGGCAGATCGAGAAAAACGGGTATGTTTCATGATGAAACACAAATTCGGATTTTCTATTGAAACTTCCCTGTGAATTTCATTTTTTGTTTTCCAGAACATTTCACTTGCCAGCTCATTGCTCGAATCCAGTATGCTGAATGTTGCCGATTCGCCAGGAGCGAAATTATTCGTATCGCGCCCCAAAAAGCTTCGACCATCCACCGACAAGAGTCAGACAATTCAAATGGAATCGATTCATGAAGATGAGATTGCTGAACAAAGTGGCGCTACTTCATATGCATCGGCGGTTACCGAACAAGATTTGACGTCTGATGTTTCGACACGCAAAAGCGTCAATATTCTCGAAAAAGTTAGAGATGTTCCGAAAATCCCACAACTTCGATTGGACACGAAAACACCGACACGCAATTATTTGAAACCAACAATTGCGTCAACTCAAAAATCGGTTCATCACAAAACTCCTGTTTCAAATCAAATTCCTGTCAATGTTTCGACGCCAATCAATAATAGTTTTGAACAACGAAATACAAGTATTCATGATAGATTGAGCAGACAATTTGAAGAGGTTGCAGATGAAGAGGAAGAAAGTGTTGGGGCAACAGCAGGTTTGATTGGATTTGGGTTTGAAAGTAGATCACATCTAAAATCTTACAGTCATTACTCAAGGCGAGCCGGTCAATGTTTCGCAATTATCATCCACGTCAGAACAACGAGCTGCGTTGAATTCGATTGAACGAACTTTGGATGTTTTGAATCTTGGTGGAGCTGTTGGAAATGTATCCTATAATGATGATGATGGGGGTGTTGAAGAAGAGGAGGAAGAAGAAGAACAAGGTCCTTCAAGAAGAAACACATCGAATCAGTTATTAGGTAGGAATATTTTTGATTTTGGAAGTTGCGTTAAAAACAGACCTAGGAAATTTTTATGTGGCACCGTAAAATCCCGAAAAATTCGAGAAATTTTGTTGCTCAACTTTTTCACTGAAAACATCGAAAAAATTCTTTGAAAATTAACTTACCGTAACTCCAACACAATTTTAACAATATTATTTTCCAAAGAAAAAAATTAATTAATAAGGATTCAATCAAAATTTAATTAATTAATAATTTATTGGAGATAAAAAAGAAATTTATTTAAAAAATTTTATTCAAAAAATGTTGTGTTTTTTTGTTGAAGTTTCAATTTGATTCTGTCAAAATTCACTATATTTAGTGGTTTTTTCAAACGAATTATTTTAGGGCTGATTCACGAAAAGTCAAAAAAATGTCGAAAAAACATTGTAGGTCTCAAAATTGGTTTTTCGAATTTTTCAGTCAAAAATGATGACAAATCGAGATTTTTGAAGCTTCTGGAGCAATTTCTGATGAAAATAAGCTTTGAGAACCCTATTTTGCTTTATTTTATGAATTTTTTCGAAATTCATAAAAATTTAAATTTTTTTATTTTACGAAAAATCAGAAAAACTTCTGCAAAGTGAATTCCAAGGTTAATTTTAATCAGAAATTACTCCAGAAGCTTAAAAAAACTCGATTTGTCACCATTTTTGGCTGAAAAACTCGAAAAACGTAAAAATTCCCAGATCTGGTTCAAACAAAATCGATTTTCAGATGAAAGTTTGGCTACAGTCAACACTCCAGGAATATTTGTTCGAAATCGAGGTCGCCGTTTCCAAAGAAACAACATGGATGCCACAATCGAAGATAATACTTTTGAAGAAGATCCTACACCAGGCTCAAAAGTGATGGTTTTAGGTGGTCGAAGTTTGAGTGAGTTTATGAAAATATTTATTTGTTGGTTGAAAAAACCATATTACAGTCAAGCCACAAGCTGCTGACGCTGGACTTCGCCGTTCAAATCGAACACGTGTCAAACCGCTTCGACCATGGCTCGGCGAACATGCTGTGTACGCGCATTCTCCATCTGGTGGCAAAAGATTGGTGGGAATCACCGAAGTTGAGGTCACTGATCGCAAAATGATCAAATACAAATCGATGGATCCGAAAGTTATTCTGGAAAGACAATGTCAAGAAAGAGGTTAGAGATTCATTTTCATTTCAAATTTGTATCATATGTTTTGCAGAAAAGAAGAAGGCGAGAGCGGCTGAAAGACGTCGGAATCTTCAAGCGGAACATCGTCGTGGAGTCAATTTGGACACGACTCAAGAAGATATTGTAACTTCCGATGATGATGAATAAAAAGCATTTTTTTTGCTGTAAATAAGTCGATGTTTTTTCTGTCAAATAGAATATTTTAAATGAATTTTTATTATTTTTATGTCATTGAACTTATCAAAAATGGTATTTTTTCCATTTATTCGCTCTTTCAAAATTTTGCTTTGGAATTCCAGAAAAATATACGCTTCAAAGTTATATTTAAAAAATTAAAATTTTTCTTGGTCGATTTTCGTAGAATTTCCTTTTCTGAAAAAACAAAATCAAGATATTTATTAGGACTGATTTACGAACCCAGAAAATGTTGAAAGATTTCACAAAAAGTCTAAAAATGTCGAATTTTTCAGTCAAAATGATGACAAATCGAGATTTTTGAAGCTTTTGGAGTGATTTTTGATGAAAATTGACCTTCAGAAGTTTTTGCTGATTTTTCGTAAAATGAAAAATTTCGAAAAAAATTAAATTTTACCTCATTTTGCACAGGGTGTAATTTACTACTCAAAATCTCTAGGCTTCAAAATTTTCTGGTAGATCAAAAATATTTTTCTCTAAATCTCTCAATTTTGCGTTGAATTTCGTCGCTTCTAGTCCCAGGTCTCAAAAAATGCGCGTAATTTTTCGGGTACACCCTGTGTATTTTATTAATTTTTTCGGAATTCATCAAAATTTGAAATTTACGAAAAATCAGCAAAAACTTCTGAAGGTCAATTTCAAATAGAAAATTGGCTGAAAAACTCGAAAAACTAATTTTGACTAGTTTTACGGCAAAACATTTTGCACCAACTTCTCCTTCCTCCACTTTTTTTCCATTCATTTTCATCCATTCATTCACTGTGTCATGTTTTTTTTGTTCCTCCTCACCCACAAATTCCTTCAAGTATCGTATTTCTGGAATTCTTGCCCAACATTCACAAAAGAAACACGCACTTGAAACTTTTTTGCATGCTGTTGCTGTATTTTGTTTGTCTCTCGCTCTATGTTTTTTTTTGTTGCTGGCTGCCATGGAAAAATGCGCGAAACATCCGGGTGTTCTTCTTTTTTTTCATTTTGAACATCATCAAAATTTCATTTGAAAATTGAAATTTTGGCGGCAGAATCTACAGTATACTGTGAATTTTGGCGCCAAAAAATTGTTGAGAACCTGTTTGTGTTTTTTGTTTGAAATTGAGATACGATCTTTTCAATTTGCCAAATTCTTTATTTTTATGTTTTTTTTTGTAAAAAAAATTTAAAAATCAAGTAAAATTTTATTTTAAAAATACAGTAATCCATAAAATTCTTTAAAAAAAACTAAAAATTAATTTTTCATTTTTCAAATTTTCAAAAATACAAAGCCTACAGTACTCTCCAAATTTTTCAAGATCAAAAAAATTTTGTTTTAAAAATACAGTAATCCATTAAAATCTGGAAAATTTAAACTAAAAATTAACTTTTCATTTTTCAAATTTTCAAAAAAAATACAGTACTCTCCAAAATTTTCAAGATCAAAATTTTTTTTTAAATGAAATTTATAAAATTCTGGAAAATTAGACTGAAAATATCTAGTTCCAGCTAATTTTTCAAAATTTTCCAATAAATTCTAAAATCATTGTGATTTTTGAGAAAAAGAAATACAATTTTCAAGCCTACAGTACTCTCCAAATTTTTAAACAAGATCAAAAAAAATTTTTGATCTACAAAATGTTTTCTTTTTTCTCATCCCAAAAATCTTCCTTCCCCATTCATTCAATAATAATTTTTGTGTGTTGTTGTTTTTCACTTTGTCCATTTTTGCATTCCTGTCCTGCGCGAGCCCTTTTCATTATTTACTCTCTCTTTCTCTGCACACTCTCTCCTGCTCCCAAATCTCTCTCTCTCGGCTCACCTGAACCTCCAACGCGCGCGGGTTTGACAAATAAACAAATATACATATATATTGAGAGTGAGTATTTTTCGCGCAAACTGACCAAAATCTCGATTTTCTGTATGTTTTTGTTCAATTTTTTGTTGGAATTTGAAAAATTTGGTACTGTAGTTAGTTTTGATCAAGAAAAATAGAAATTTTCTGATTTTTCCTAGAGAAAATGTTTGAAAACTATATTTTTTTTGATTTTCGCTGTGAGATATTTTTCATTTTTGTGTGGAAAAAATATAGTTTTTAGACATTTCGTGAATCGAATTTTTTTGTCAAAAAATATTTTTTTATTATTTTTTTTCAACTTGAATCACCCTATTAGGATCTAGAATTTTTTCTCGAAAAAATAGTTGCTTGATTTACCTGATTTTCAAAGCTTCTCTAGATTTTCTGCGAAATTTCTGATTTTATTTCTGAAAAATGTCTCGATCTTGGATTTTCTTCTAGAATTTTCTTCTTCTAGAGCTTTTCAATTCCAGATTTTCTGATCTACAAATTTGAAATTTTTTTTTGCAAATCTGTTCTGAGCTCTAAAATCATCGCAACTTTTTGAATTTTTTAGAAAATCTAGAATTAGCCCTGTATTTTTTTTTTGATTAAAAAAATTCGAAATATTTTTTGAAGCTCTAGAATTTTTTGATCTACAAAAAATCTGGAATAGTTCCAGTTCTACCTTGATCTTTTGGTGTTGTTGTAAAGTTTTGATCCATTTTTTTTGGAATTTTTTTTAGGTACTGTAGTTTTGATCCACAAAAATGGAAATGTCCAGGAATTTTAAAACTAGAACACTGTATTTTTGATCTACAAAAATTAATTTTGGAACTTTTTTCTGAAACTCTAATATTTTTGCTCTACAAAAATAGGAAAATTTCCAGGAATTTCATAATTCTAGAACTAGAACACTCTATTTTTGATTCACAAAAATTTGGAACTTTTTTCTGAAACTCTAAAATTTTTGCTCTACAAAAATTATTTCTGAAACTATATCCTGATCTACCAAAATTCCATAATATTTTCATGATTCCCACATAACTCCCAATTATTATTAGTCAACATCAAAGTCAACGTCAAAAAAAAGAAACCATCTCATCAGGAATGAAAGTAAGGAAAGAAAGAAAGAATCCAGCTTTTTGTCACTTTCTCCCTTCACAAATGTGTTTCTTTTCTGTAAGTAGGCAGCAACACAAAACAAGTTCTTCTTCTTCTTCATCATCTCCTCTTCATTATGCAATTCTTTCGATTTTCTGCTGATTCTTTTTGATTTATTCGTTTTTTTTTGTTTTTGAGAAAAAATGGAGAAATCTAAGAAGCGAAAAATTTAAGCGAAAAATGTTGCCACAATTGGAATTTCTATTTTTTTGGTTGAAAAATAGATCCAAAAGATCTGCCCTGGCCATTTTCAAGTTTTTTTCCGCCTAAACTTATTTCAAAAAATGTTTGTCCAGGTTCCAAAAACAAAAGGTCCCCCCTACCTAATTATAAATAAATTAATTATGTTCTGGTCACGGTCATTCATTTTCTCTCTCCCGCCCGCCCTTCCGCTTCACACCAAAAAAAAATAATATAAAATTCATAATCCAATTTCCCCCAAAAAATTGCTGTTTCACTCGCTTGTCAAAAAAAAACCAACCAAAAACCATCAAAGTTATTTCATGCATATTTTCTTCAAGGTCTTTTTCTTCTTCTTCTTATTCTCACCTAAATCCATCCAAAGGTATTATCGTTTTTGACCTTGGTGGACACAAAAATGCATCTAAATATATTTTATCGATTTTCTTTTTCAATTTCCTCTATAAATTCTATTCTTGTTTAAAAAAATAATTTAAAAAAAGCCCGCATCCGGCCTCGAACTCACCACCTTCAAAACACTGGCGCAGCGCGTTACCACTTAGCTATGCACTCATTTTATTCCCCAGCGTTGCAGACCCGTGTTATCATCGCGGTCGATCTTTTCCCCCATGTGCAATGGAGCGCACATGCAAAAACCAATATTTATAAAAAGGATTATCTAAGTTATGTCCCACATACATTCGCAAACTATACAGTTTCCCTTCTCTTCCAAATTCTTGACACATCCTTAAGAAGATCGACCTTGCGGGAAAAGATTCAAAACAAAACAAAAAGTCGACAAAAAACTAGATTCCCTCTAACAAATCGAAATCATCTTGTCGTTGTTTAGTATAATAGCACTTATGCTTCCTTCGCTCCTCTTTAAATAACCTTTTAAGGATGTGTCGATACTTTTTTGGTTGCAAATGGAAACATTTTTTTCGTGGTTCTGTCTGACCTAAATTTCAATTAAAAATGAAAATTTCAAATTTCCACGTGGAAAATGAAATTTTCCGTTGCCACGCAACGAGTTTTTTGTTTTTGCTGGAAATATTTTGAGCATTTAAAATCAATTCTGCTGAAATACCTCTGCGTCTCTAACCAATCTAGCCGTTTGATTCTCTTCCTAAAAATGCTCTGCATCTTTGCCCTCTCTATTTTCAATTTTCCACTCTTTCTGTGTCTCAAAAATATCCTCTGCGTCTCTAACCAAAATCTAGTTTTCTTGTCTAGCTGTCTGACTCTGTTTCTCGTCTAGTTTTTGGCTCCTCTGCGTCTCTACCATCTCTGTGTCTCTAGATTCTCTCTGTTTTCTAACTGTCTAACTTTCTGACTCTATGTCCTCTGTATCTCTAATCTCTCTGTTTCTCTACCCCCCCCCTGTTCTCTAGCTATCTAGCAACTCTTTCAGATGCTCTGCGTCTCTACCATCTCTGTTTCTCTCACTGCGTTTTCTCTGCATCTCTAACCATCACCCTTTCCTAACTTTCAAATGTAAATTTTTTAAAGAAAAGTTGTGTCCTCTGCGTCTCTGCTATCTCTCTTCTTGTATTATTCTAGCCTATTCATCTTCTGCATCTCTAACCTCTCTGTTTCTCTAGGTTCTCTATGTTCTCTAGCTGTCCAGCTTCCTGACTCTATTCCTTCTGCTTCTTTGCTTTCTCTCTTCTTTCATTAGTTCTCTAGTCTATTCATCCCCTGCATCCCTAACCTTTCCGTTTCTCTAGACTCCCTCTATTATCTAGCTGTCTAACTTTCTGACTCTATGACCTCTGCGTCTCTGCTCTCTCTCTCCCTTCTTTCATTATTTCTCTAGTCTATACTCTACATCTCTAACCTCTCTATTTCTCTAACTCCTCTCTGTTCTCTAACTGTCTCTAACTTCTTTTTCTTCCTCTGCATCTCTACCCCCTTCCAACCCACAATATTTTTCAATTATCTATTTTCAGCCCCGCTACCGTTTTCCCCTCTTCTTTTCCGCCGCGCCCAATTCCAATTAGCCAAAGTGCTTGCGATTATTATTATTATTCTTCTTCTTCTCATTATTTTTTTGTTGGCTTGTCGATCTGATTCCCAAAAGAGATAGACGAAATCCCCTCTAAATCTATTTATTTATTTATGTATTCATTCTTCCCGTGTTTGACATAATCAGCTTTTCGTCCACAAAATTTTATTAATTTACATTTTCGCTCTTAAGGAAGCCAGTTAGTTAGTTAGCCAAATTGTGTCATGTTTTTCTGGGTTGGCTGCCAATTATCGAAACAAAAACCAGATTTCTTCTCACTTTTCCCTTTTTTCTAGAACCGTTTAACTTTCTTTTCATTTCTGAATTTTTTTTTTGAAAAAAAAATTATTGGAGAAAAATCTGGTTTCCGGAAAACAATGGGGACACGAAAGATGATTAGGTTGATGTTAAGCCTTCCGGAAAACATTTTGTTAACATTTCGGGGGCTCGTAAGAAAGATTAGTGGTGTTTGAGAATTTTAATTGCGTTGTGCGTTGAGTTTTGATGTCTCTGGCATTTTTTTTTGTGAAATTTTGATGTTTAGGATCTGGAAGTTTCTAGATTTTCTGAAGTTTATGAGTTTTTCTAGAAGTTGCTGATTTTTTTCTTGAAAATTTCTTAATCTAGAATTTTTTAAAGGGAAGTGTAAAGTTTATGATTTTTTTCTGAAAAAATTTCTTGATTTAGAATTTTATCTGGAATTTCTGGAGCTTTTCAAGTTATCTACAGTTTGGGAATTTTTTTGAAAATCTGCTTCGAGCTTCAAAGTTATCAAAACTTCTTAAATTTTTGAGAAAATCTAGAAATTCTAATATATTTTTTGATCTACCGTATTTTCAGAGATTTTTCTGATCTACAAATTTTTTAGAACTTTCCAAAAATGAATTTCAATTTTTTGAGCTCCAAAAAACATTTTCCAAATATTTTTTTCTGATTTTTTCTGACAATTTTCCCAGACCCACATTTTTTCTTTCATTTTTTTTCCTGCTTCAAATTTTTCTGCCCACATATTCCCACACATAATTTCATCAAATATGTATATTCAAAAAAAATTCCTCCAAAAAATTTGTATTTTTTCTCCGAAACACAATAACACTTGTTGAATGGATCATTAAATAATCGAAACACCTTTCCATCGTTTTTCGATTTGCAAATCGCCAATTTTTATCAAGTTCGACCTCATTTTTCATTTTTCATTTTGAAAATGAACATTTTTTTGAGCAAAAAAATTCTGAAAAATTCAGCTACAGTATCGATTTTCCGTGTCTCATTCCATTCCGGTCTTTCTAATTGATGCTCCGCTTTTTTTCCTTGCGAAAGCGCAGAATCCATTATTCTATATTATTATTATTTTTGTTTGTTTTGTGTCTGCCCGTCTCGAAAACTCTCTCATTCCACCACACTCTCTCTCTCACCTGTCTCTTCATTGAAAGAATGAAAAAGAAGTCAGCAGCAAATCGTCCTTTTCTTTTGAAAATTACCGCAAAAATTATTATTATTATTTTATTTTATTTGTGTATATACAAAATGTATTTAGATGGAAGTTAGAGGTGTCAAGTTACTGAATGTCATTTGTTCTAAATTGATCCAAGGGGTACTGTAGGGGATTTTTTGGGCTCTAAATGTTTTTTTCAAAATTAGTTTTTAGCCTTTTGAATTTCTGAAAAATTCAAATTCACTAGAAAACTTTTTTGATCCACAATTTCTGAAAATCCAAAAATCCTTGAAGCTAGAGAGGCTAGAGAGGTTAGAGAGGTTAGAGAGGTTAGAGAACCTAGAGAGGCTAGAGAGGCTAGAGAGGCTAGAGAGCCTAGAGAGGCTGGAGAGGTTAGAGAGCCTAGAGAGGTTAGAGAGCCTAGAGAGGCTAGAGAGGCTCTCTAAGCTTAGAGAGCTTAGAGAGCTTAGAAAGCTCTTACAAATTCTATGAATAATCTAGAAATCCCTGATCCGCTGATAATCTACAGTACCCCTTCCCAATCCCCTCTGAGAATCTGAAAATCCCTATAATTCCTAGCACACCTCTTCTCCAAACAATTTTTTTTTGATTATAAAATATATTCACCTCTCTTCTCTTTTATCAAAAAAAATGGTGTTAAAGAAAAGCAAACATGAATCACTGGGTCAATATCATTTCCCATTTCCGCATCAATTTTTTTTGCAAAAAAAAATTTGCAAAAAAAATAGTTCCCATGCGACCTCGAACCCCTGACCTCTTGCACACCCTCTATTTTGATTAGCGGCTAACCAGTTGAGCCACACGTGTAAGTAGATCAAAAAGAAAACTGGAACAGCCCATCTTTTGGGGTGTTAACAAGAAGAGAAAAGCAAATGAACAAATATTTGTCGCTAAAACTTGTTGTCATACACATTTTGTATCTAGGTGCGAGAATTTTGATGGCGCAAAAAGGTTCATGTTACAAGAGGAACACTTTCTTGTTTTATGATGTCAGAAGCCATCTTCTGAACTTGACCTAACTCTTGATTTTTATGTGAATCTTATTACTTGTCTCTTTATTATTATTATTGTTGTTGTTATGTGGTTTTTTATTAGGTTTTTGAGATGTTTGAGGTCTTCTGAAGTTGAACTTGAAAATCTTGTGGAGAATTTTGGTTTCTGAGAGTTTGAATTCTGCAATTTGATTTTTTCGAGCTTGAAAATGTTTTTGTAAAATTTCGAATTTAAAATTTGTATTCTAAAATTTTAGAATAACTTGTATCTGAAAATTCATTTGGGGAATCTTTTCTGAAACATTTTTTTTTAAGATTCTAAATTTTTATCCTGAGTTTGAAATTTTTAAGATCTGATTTCGCGTCTGAAATTTAATTCTGAAAATTTTGGATCAAAATTCTATGATTCTGAAATCAATTTTTTGAACTTGAAAATATTTTGGAAAATTCCGAACCTAAAATTTATCTACTGTGAAAATTTAGTTAGGACTTAGAGATTTGAAAAAATTCTAAAAAAAATTATGGCCCCGATCTTGAAATTTTTAAGCTCTGAAAACTTCAGCGTCTGAAATTTGATTTTCAAAATTTTGGTTAAGCTCAAAATTTCCAAACCTGATTCTGAAATTTTCCAGCCTAAAATCTGATCTTGGAATTCAGAAGAATCCGTGTAGATCTATTTTTCTCACAATTTCATTTTCTTATTTTCCAGTTTTTAGTTTCAACTAGAAATTGAAAATCAAAAATTTTAAAATTCCTAAATTCAAATTGCAAATTCTTCGGTCCAGAACTCCGACTTCAAAAGTCTCCAAGTTCCCCTAACTTCTCAAACCGTATTTTCCACATATACAAACAAGATCCTTCTCTTCTCCAAAACCTCAAAAAAAGTTTCATTTCGCCCAAATCCTCTCCCCCCCCTAAATTATACGTTTCAAAAAAAAAAGTTCCCTAATTATACCCCCTCCCAAAAACACACAAATTATATTATCAAACTTCAAGATCTTCTTGAGTAATTATTACAGTTTCTTTCATTTTTCCTAAATACATTATATTTTCCTGTTTTCCTCATCTTTATTGTCTTTATTCTTTATGATTGACTTCTTCTATGTTATATTTTATTATTATACATTTATATCGATTTGCAGGTATAATAACACAACGAAAATTGGATGTGCTAGAGCTCAGTTCAGTGTGTCTCAAAAAAACATGCATCAAGAGGAGGACCCGGTGAATTTGCAAATATTCGTGCCCGAGCTCAATGTTCGCGTAAGTCCAGTTTGAGTTGAGCTAAATCCGCGCGCCGATAAGAAAATGTGATATTTTTTTCTCGTCGAAAACAAAATAAACATGTCAATGCGCAGATCCGGCCGCCGGTCGCAAACAAACAAAAGCCATTTTTATTTTATCTCGAAATAGAAAATGATAATCATAAATAATTGTGGGGGGGGGGGGGGATTTTTCATAATTAATTAATTAATCCGAATTCCAGAAATTCCTCACCGTCACTCAGAACGATTTCATTTGGGATGTGAAGCGTAAGCTGTTGGCCACGCTTCCGCAAGCACTGCCGCAAGCCTTCAACTACGGTCTGTTCCTTCCGCCGTGTGACGGGCGAGCCGGGAAGTTTTTGCTGGAGGATCGCACGATTCGCGACTACCCCTTTACGGATTGTGTACCGTATTTGGAGTTGAAGTATAAGAAGCGGGTGTATAAGATGTTGAATTTGGATGAGAAACAGCTCAAGAGCATGCACACCAAGGTAGGCCTTAACCCTAGAAAATTCCCCAAGGTTCACCTCAAAAATTTGATTTTCCAGGCGCAACTCAAAAAGTTTATGGAGCATGTGCAGCAGAAAAACGGCGAGAAGGTCGAGAAAATGTGCTCGCAGGGTCTCGACGCAAATTTCCACGACTCACAAGGTGAAACACCGCTCACTCTCGCCGCCGGTATCCCCAACAACCGTGCAGTTATCGTAACTCTGATCGGCGGTGGAGCACACATCGATTTTCGCAACTCTGAAGGTCAGACCGCTATGCACAAAGCCGCATTTTTAAGCTCGTTTGACAATGTGAAAACGCTTATTGAACTTGGGGGAAGTCCGAATTATCGAGATCCTATCGGGTTAACACCGCTATATTATAATATGTTGACAGCGGACTCGAATGATCAGGTCGCTGAGATTCTTCTTCGGGAAGCTGCAGATATTGGGGTGACAGATATGCACGGCAATCATGAAATTCATCAAGCCTGCAAAAATGGGCTCACTAAACACGTCGAACATCTTCTCTACTTTGGTGCAAGTATCGATGCGGAAAATGTGAATGGAAATACCCCGCTACACGTCTGCGCGGTGAACAACCGTCCGGAATGCGCTAGAGTTTTACTCTTCCGCGGGGCGGATCATCTCATTGTTAATAAGCAAGGTCAGACTGCACTGCATGTTTCGCATATTGTTGGAAATCCCGGGGTTGCCGACGTCATCCAATCGCATAATCCAACCTCTTCTGTACCATATCGTGGAACTCCACAATACTCAACCAGGCGACGATTGTCCTCAACGATATCTCGACGACGATCCATGTCTCAATCATCAATCTGCAGTCAAGATATCTACCGAACACCGCAGAACCAGCGAAAAGGTCCACCATCAATGGCGCCGAGTCCAAGTCCCTCGCGCGCTTCTCGAACCACGATCACACCATCGGAATATGGAACAATGCGAAGATCGGGTATGGATTCGATGCGAATGCACATGGCTGGGGGGCATGACACAAACATCCCACGGATTCTAGTAATACCCAGAGGAGTGAAAGGCTTCGGATTCATTTTGAGAGGCACAAAACGTGAGTTTCCCTATTTTTTCTTCAAAATTCCGAATCTCAAAACTTCAGATGTCTCAATGCCGCTGAACTTCGAGCCAACCCATCGCGAACCAGCTCTCCAGTTCTTCGAAGGTGTCGACATGTCAGGAATGGCAGTTCGAGCCGGTCTCCGACCCGGGGATTATCTGCTCGAGATTGATGGCATCGATGTTCGACGGTGTTCACACGACGAAGTTGTCGAGTTGATTCAACAAGCCGGTGATACCATCACATTGAAGGTCATCACTGTGGAAGTGACCGACGGGCCATCTCCATCGTCTCGAGGTGGAACTATTGTTCAGAGAGGTATGTAGGTCGGGGTTTAGGGTAAAAGTCACTGTGTTTTTTTGTTGTTGTTGCCTAACCCTCACTATCATTCTGTAGCAGCTTCCGCGACACCACGTCACTCTTTGGTTTTCACACCCACACCATCAACAATCTACTCATCTGCCAGCAGGATGAGATTTGGTTTGTCTTTTTTTGTGCTTGTCATTGTCATTGTCACGTGAAAATAATAACCCAAGCACCTCGGAAATCCGAAAAATAGGATTCCCACAGATCAGGAGTCCCTAATCCAAGATTCTTGCAGAAAATGCCGACTACTACGCGCCGAACGACATCCGCAACACGTATTCCGAATCGCGTCACGCGTCGGTACGACATCGGCCCGGAAGTGGTCGACGGATATCGGCGGCCGAGTTGGAGAACTTGATGGTTAGGCAGCGGGGAGGCGCGTCGCAGGCCTCCAACTACCCGCAATTCGATCAGGAGAGTCTGAACGGCGGCTATTCGTCGAAGAAGTACAATTCGGTGTCGGATATGAAGCGAAGGAAGAATCAACGGAATGCGGTCGCATCGTCGGCTGGTTTGAATCGATCCACTTTTGAGCCGAATCCAACGCCCCAGCAGCAACAATCTTTCGATTACAGTTGCAGTTCTCGAAGCACTCCACAATTATCCAGAATGGATTCATTCGATTCATTCGACGATGAGGAAGATACTATGCCACCACCACCAAGCGTCTATCAGCGAACCGATCAGCGTAGCGAGTATTCTCGACCATTCGTGCCCACCTCGCGGCCAAAGACCCCACCTCCCCCACCACCGATGATGAATTATCAGCAACCTCGAGCAGCCCCGCCGCCGCCGGCACCAACGATAGTACATGTGGAACCTTCGACATCAGCTCCTCCCCCTCCCCCTCCACCTCCACCCCCACCTCCGCCAGCTCCGATCTCTTCAGGAGCACCACCACCCCCTCCACCTCCCCCACCCCCGCCAGACTTTATGGCGATGAAAGGTGTGGCGAGTGCTCCGGCGATTGCTCCAGCATCGCGGGGCATATCAGCAGATGCGTTGAAATCTGTGCAACTCAAGAAAGCTGAAAGTCGAAATGAATCCAGTCCGGCGATCAACAACAACAATAATTCGACAACGGATTTTCAGATGGATCTGAAAAACGCGTTGGCAAAACGTAGATCCAAAGTGGCGCATGACGTGGATGAGGAAGATATGCTGGAGGGTTTGACACTTCGAGAATCGGTTCGGGAAAACGGCGTGGTTGAGCGTGGGAAAATGCAGCAACAGAGTATTGTGAATAAGAAGGATAGCGGTTACACGTCATCCAGAACTTCACTCGAACCTTCGGAATCCGACGAGGGACGCCCGCATTTCTCGTTGGATCATTCGCCAAATGTTCAACGAGTGACATTGATCTCACAACATATTGAAGATTCCTATGGACATCAGCAAAAAGATAATGTGAGTTGAATAATTTAGTGAGGGTTCCCCGGGTTCCCGGTGTGCACAAAACTAATAATTATGGTGTGCAGTGCTCTAACATTAGATGATCACACTAGTCTATTCAGATGTCGGTGGCTTCTTCATCCAACGCTTCCACCATCGATTTGTCCAAGCCGAATTATGTGCCACCTGTGGATTATGACGATGACGAACACGCCGATGAGGAGGAGGATCCGGATTCGGGAACTGGCGATTCGGATGGTGAGATTCGATGTGAGTTTGAGGTTGACTTCTGGGATGGGGTTGCTCGGGTTGCTCAAGCTCGGGTTGCTCGGGCTCGGGTTGATCGAGCTCGGGTTGCTCGAAGTCGGGTTGCTCGAGATCTGGTTGCTCGAGCTCGGGTTGCTCGAGCTCAGGTTGCTCGAGGTCGGGTTGTTCGAGGTCGGGTTGCTCGAGCTCGGGTTGATTGAGCTCGGGTTGCTCGAGCTCGGGTTTATCGAGCTCGAGCTTGGGCTCGGGTTGCTCGAGCTTTCTCGGGCTTGTCAGGCTTGGAAGAGGGTTACTTATCATACATTTAACATATAAATTGTGTAGCCACGTGTCGTTTAATTTTTTGAGTTCTAAAATTTAAGCAAGCATGTTCATCTGAAATCCACGTGGAAAATCGCAGGCCACATTTAAAACTGGGCAGAAATTAATTTTTGGGAGGGTTCTTCTAACTTTTTGTTGTTGTGTGTCTGAAGCACTTTTACTTTTGCACATTTTCAGTTCGGCTCTGGGGTTTTTTCCAAAGTACAGTATCCAAAAGTTACTCCAAATCAAAAAATAATTTCCAGCGTCGCTATCATTCTCCGAAAAAACAATAGAAGTATGGACGGTGAGTGACGTCATCAAATGGCTCACCTCTCTTCAACTTGCCGAATACACCAACGCATTCCGCACGCAACGCATCGACGGTCCGGCGTTGCGTAAATGCGATCGTAGTCGATTCACGCAACTCGGCGTGACACGCATCGCGCATCGTCAAATCATCGAGTCCAGTCTACGCAATATTATTCAATAATATTTCTCTTTTTGTGCTTCCTGTACATACATAATACATTTTTGTGCCTCTCTAATGCTCATTTTATCGAGAACTTTAATTTTTTCCCTTGAATTTGAATTCTATTTTTTGCTGTCGGTGTCTTAGGGTCCTTTTTTGTGAATGAAACATAATATTTGATTTATTAAATAAATTTATTGCTGATCCCAAAAATTTTCTGAAAAATATCTGTTTTTCCAGTATTGAAATAGCAGATAATGAGATAATCGCATCAAAAATTTTGAAGCAAAAAAATTGCTCAAAGAGCACGAGACCTTATGCTGAAATTGATTTCGAAAACCTGAAATTTGGAAAAAATGATAAATAACCGGTGAAAAAAACGCTGAAATTAAAAAAAAATTATGAATTCTTAAAATTGAGTTCTGAAGGATATAAAAATTCTAACTTTTTTTAAATTGCCTTAACTCACCTTAACTTGCTTTGATTTTCCTTGATTTGCCTCGACTCACTTTGACGTAACTTAAAAGTTACTTTAACGTAACTTAACGTTGCCTTAACTCACTCTAACATTTGCATCGACTCGCTTTAAGTTACCTTAACTTGCGTTAACTTGCCTGAATTTGCCTCGACTCACTTTAACGTAACTTAACTCACATTTACGTGACTTAAAAGTTACTTTATTGTAGCTTAACTCACTTTAACGTAACGTAACGTTGCCTTAACTTACACTAACATTTGCCTCGACTCGCTTTAACTCAACTTAACTTTCATTAACTTGCCCCGACTCACTTTAACGTACCTTAAAGTTACTTTCACGTACCTTAACTTACCCTAACTTGCCTCCTTTTTATATGTTCAGCTTTCCCAGATCAAAGATAGAATTTCAATTTCAAGCTAATCGCATTAAACCCAGCTAATTTTTCCTAGAAAATTTCTGTTTTGCAAAAATTTCAGACCAAAAAAGCATTTTGGCACCCCGCCAAATCCCATTTCCTTTCATTATCTTCTCACAATCAAAAATGAAAACCAGCTGGGATAAATTTCACTAACTGACCATGTCATGTCAACATACCAAATCAACTTTCACATATTTAGTTATTATGCAACAAGTTTAAAGTGTAACAAACAGTTAAATAAGACGATTTCATCCAAATTCTCCATTTCCTTCAAATTTTTCTATTTTGCAATATGATGATCTTCACTATTCTTCTCCTGATCTTCTCGATTTTCCATTGTTCCGAGAATCTGATGGCCTATGATTCAGCTAATCAATTTCTGAATATTCCACACAATGAAATCCACGTCATCACCGATGCCATTGATAATTATAAACCTAATTTAAGAGTTAGGTTTTTGAACTTGAATTCGAATCAGAATTCGCTTTCAAAATCCAAGAAACGAAAGGCAAATCTGCTACAAGATGGATTCATAAGAATTCAGAATAATGTTACTGAGAATAGAAAATCGAATAGAACATCAACGAAGATCGAGAATGTGAAAGTGGTGGAAAACGGTGAGAAGATCGAATTGCGATTTGGTGGCGGGTCGAAAGCGCATTTTCCGTATAATCGAGTGGTGGATTGGTATGGAAGGGTGAGTTGGGAAGCTTCTGCATAGCGAAAATTTCATTCTAGAATTTTTTTTTAAATTTTATCTTAACAGTTTCAAAACTCACAATAGAACTCAAAAAATCACTGTTTCAATAATTTGTGAAATAAATTTCTGATCAAATAAAAACGATTCAGATTCCAATATTAAAGGGCAGTAAAAAAAATTTAGTTGAAAAATGTGGCAGTCGTAAAAAATAAAAACCAGTGCAACTACTTCGTCAGTCGCGTGCGGCTATGCGTCGCGGTCGGGAAACAAAGGAAAAAATGGGTTATTGATTGTTTCTCGACCGCGACGCACAGCAGCACGCGACTGACTGCACTGGTCACGACCATACAAGGCGCCCGTTGAGTCAGACGTGAGACGACGAGAGTATTTTGCAAAAATATCCCGAAAATGAATTTCGTGGCGAGATATTTTCAATAAAATGGGTGTGTTCCTTAACCAAAAAAAATACGGTATTTTTTCAAAGGGACACACATTTTTTCAAAAATATCTCGAAGCGATCTGTCGCTGATGACGTCATTAGACTCCAGTCGTCTCTCGTCTGACCCGAGCACGTCGTGCCACCACACAAATCCGAGGAGACGCAGAGAAAAAAACACCGTACCTCTCCCCGGTCGTTCAGGTGAATCGCTGCAAGACCAAGCTTCAAACTGTCTATTGGAGTAAATTGTCGTGGCCTAGAAAACCAAACATTTCCTCTTCCAATACAAAATTTGGTTTTCTCTTCCATTGGTTCTGAAATTTTTTGGATTTGAATTTTTTTTTCGTGAAAAATATTTAATTTGAGATACAAATCACATTTTTGCTGAGTTCAATGAATTTTCAAAAATGATTTGCAGAGCTCTGATCGCTTCCACACCACAAGCACAACCACCACCACAACAACAACCCTCCCACCAACACCCCCACAAATCACACCCAAAAAATGGGCGCTGAGCACAACAACCACAATTGCACCAAACTACTCGGCCCAACCCGCGCTCTATTTACCCTCCAGATTTCATAAACGAAAAGAGAATATTGTTATTGTGTATAAGAAGAAAGTGTGAATTTGTATTTTTGTTTTTTTTTGTGTTAATAAATATTTTGAATTCTGACTTCCAATGTCTGGAAGACCTCAAAAATCCTCATAATTAATTCATCAATTTTCTAAAATATTTTGATCCCCAAAAAAGAAGATTATCAAGAAATTTTGTTTTTTTGAGTGTTCTTCGATCATTTTTTTTTCTTTCAATTTTTATTTCAAAAAAAAAAGTTTGCTGCTAAAAAAAGACTTCCGGCAAATTTTTCACAAAATTTCTATGTGACTTTTTGAATTTTTTCGGTGTGCAAAAAATTGTTCTCTAGAAATCACATCATTTTCAGATCACATCAGATTTTCAGCTCAGCGGGATTTGAAAAGAAGCCTCTTAAATTTTTAGAAATGATTCAAAACAGGATCATCGAAAATCTTGATTTAAAAAATTTAGAAACGTATTTCCATAGCCAGGAAAGCCTAGAGGTCTCTCTAGGCTCTCTAGTTTCTCTAGCCTCTCTAGGCTCTCTAGGCTCCCTAGCCTCCCTAGCCTCTCTAGGCTCTCTAACCTCTCTAGGCTCTCTAGGGTCTCTAGGCTCTCTAACCTCCCTAGCCTCTCTAGCCCCTCTAGGCTCTCTAGGCTCTCTAGGCTCTCTAGCCTCTCTAGCCTCTCTAGGCTCTCTAACCTCTCTGGGCTCTCTAGCTTCTCTTTGCTCTCTAGCCTCTCTAGCCGTTCTCTGACCCCAATTTTCTTCACATTTTTTGTCAAATTTTCCAACAACAATGAAAATTGTTGTGAAAAACTTCCGGTAACTTTCCCACCTCCTTCAGCTATTCATTTTTCACTTTGAAAAAATTCCAGCTGTTTTTTTTTGTTTGCTCGACTCGAGCTCGAGCTAATCCCTCTGCAGCTCGGCGCGTCTCTGAAAAATCAGATTTTTCAGCCAGCCAACCAGACTCCGCCTATTTATTTCTCGCTGTCTCGCGCAGCCACTTTTCGCACAAGCCCTCATTTTCATTTTCGTTGTGAAGCAGGTGCTCTCGCAAAAAAAAGAAAATTTTTTTCGATTTTATCATGAGCACAAATCTTGTTCCTCCACAAGTTATTGTCGATACTCCACGACCAAAAGATCAGAATGGTAAGTGAAAGATCGAGAGATCAATTTTTAAATTCCAAATTTTTCAGGCGAATTCGAAAATGGTGCGGCGGGGCTCATCTCAGTTTCGCTGAGCAATTTCGTCAACTCTACCGCGAAATCGCCGGGCTCAAAATCCTCGGGAGGCGCGGGTAAAAAATCACCCACTACCCGATCTCCCCGAATCAGCCCACGTGCAAGTCCAAGGCTGATGAAGAAAAAGGTTTGAAACTTCTTTTTTTTTTCTTGTGTGATTTTTGAATGAGATATTTTTGTACATAACATGTATGTAACTTTTTTGCTTTCGGTTTGTGTGTGAATAAATTTTTTCTGTGATTATGTATTGCTCCGAATCCACGTGGCAAAAAAATTAATAACTCATGTCAGGTGAAAAACCAATGACTAATATAATAATCATAATCTGTGTGAATTCGAGCAAAAAATAATGGGAAAAGAAAAAAAATCTCATAAAAAGGGATTATTTTCCATTGTACTTTCGATTTTTTTTTCAGAGAAGTAAACAAAAAAGTCTGAAAATTTTTGATTTTTGGCGCGCGAAAGTTCAGAAAAACATGTTTTGAAATGTGTGTTTGGTTTTCCAGGTATGAAAATGGATGAAAATGTGTGTTTTTTTCGTGGAAAATCTCATCTATAATTCAGCTGCTAGAAGAACGTGCACTTTGAGCACATCACAAATATAAACTTTACTTTTTTGAGAGGCTAGAGAGGCTAGAGAGGCTAGAGGGGCTAGGGAGGCTAGAGATGTTAGAGAGCCTAGAGCCCAGAGAGTATATAAATTGCCACGTCTTGTATTTTCAATATTTTTAAAAATTAAAATTTATTTATTTACCTTAGCAACTAAATGGTTTCGTCATATCATCCTCATATTTCTTCTTTTTCTCCTTCGCCTTCTCCTCGCCCTCCTTCTTATCTTTTTCCGGATCCGCCGGCTTCAATTCCGCATTTGCCGCATTCTCGCCACTATCCATATTTGGACTTGCTCCGTGCTTCTCATTTTGCTCCATTTCCTTCGCCATTTGCAACGCTTTTTGATACATGTTCTCGTAGTGCTAGAAATTTTTGAAATTAATTGATTAATTAATTAATTACACTAGACTTACCGCATCTCTAGCATTGGTGAACGCATTTTTCTCCTTCGGCGCATCGTGTGCCACGTCATTTTCGTCCGCAATTTTAACGCATGGAGTTGGCGGATCCGGAATGAATAAATGTCCGTGAGTTCTGGCACGTGGTTGATAGGTCTCCAGCACATTTGCCACGTCGAAACATGCGCGGCGCGTTCGCGTCATCGCGGAAAAATGAATGTTGAACCATTCGAACATGAAGATTGCGATGAAAAGACTGACGAATGAGCCGTTTTGGCCGAAGATCGCAGAGATTTGGAGGAGAATTGAGGCGGTTAGAAGGACTAGAAGACATGTGTTGAATGGAGCACTGAAAAAAAAACATTATTTTTTTTTGAAATCTTCCAGAAAAAAAAAAACAAACAAAAAAGTTCATGGGGGGAATCGAACCCGGGTGCAAAAACTCAAGAGACACAATCGCTACCGCCTGAGCTATGGTGGGTTTGAGAAACGAGGAGTGAATTTTCAATTTATTCTTGATGAACTCACGTATTCGAAGCCGATGATTTCCTGGGCGCTTTACTCGAAAACGCCGATTGCACAACACGTTTTTGCTCTTGGGTAAGTTCCTCTGAATTATTTTCGGACATTTTTGTGAGACACTTCAATTTCAAAATGGCACATTTCCAGTTGGCACAACACGTCACGTTTTTTTTTTCAATTTTTTTTGTGCCAAAAAATTATTATTTTTTTATTCAAAAATATGTAGTTTGCCCTCGTCGGCCGACCGGAAATTGGATTTTATGTTAAGCAGCAATTTTTTATCAATAACAAAGTTTTTCAGCCAGACTGGGGGCAGAGATCGGGGTGGTGGACATGATTTTTTGATTTTTGCATACAGGATGTTCGTGATTTTTAAAAATTGTGAAGATCTTTGCTAAAAGAATCAGGAGCTGGCAAGATTTGTCAGAATTAATGTGAGAGATCGAAAGATGAAATGAATAAGCACGGCATTTTACGGGGGGAGAGAGAGAGACGCAGACAGCCAACTGGATTTTTGTAATGAACCGCTACGCACACGCGTCGCGGGTACAGAAAGGTATTGCATGAAATTTGCATAAAACTCCCATCAAAACCTCAAATTTTCAAAAACTATCTTAAAAAACTCACTTTTCCTCCAGTTTTCCTCGAAATTCAGAATCATTCGACCAAAATTCGCTTCAATAATTGTTTCGATATTTCCATGACGTTTTTCCTGTAAAATAGAAATGAGTGAAATCTGAATAAGAACTCCAAAATGAAGAAAACTTCAAGAAAGTACATTTTTTCGTAAAATTACTCTTTGAGCACCAGTTTTAGTATAAAACTATCGAAAATGATTTAAACTTGTGTTACTTTTACTAGGAAAATAGATAAATATTAATTTTACAATAAGTTTCATCCAAATTCATGGAAAAACAATGAAAAATGAGAAGTTTGCAAAAAAAAAAAACAAAAAAACAAGAAAATAAAAGTAAGAATGGAAGTGCGCCCCATTGATAAAAATTGCATGTCGCGCACTCTTTCAAAAATGTGTGTGTGCCCCTTTTGTTTTTGTTGTTTTTTGAATGAAACTTGTTGTTAAATATATATTTATCAATTTTCCTAGTACAAGTAACACAAGTTTAGTTGATTTTCGATAGTTTTGTACTAAAATTGGTGCTCAAAAAGTAATTTTTTGAAAAAACGTACTTTCTTGAAGTTTTTTTTCCATTTTGGAGTTCTTATTTAGATTTCACTCATTTCTATTTTACAGGAAAAACGTCATGGAAATATCGAAACAATTATTGAAGCGAAGAGGAAAACTGAAGGAAAAGTGAGTTTTTTAACATTGCCCAAATTTTCCTATTGATTTAGCCCGTTTTAAAAAACACCGGAAACCTTATTGACCCAAAAAAAATTGAAGATTTCTAAATATAGATCTCTACCGTACATGAATTTTGATGTTTAAAAGCGAAAATTTCCGACAGGAAACCCGAAATATCACAAAATCACCGTTGTTGAACACAATCAATCTTTGAAAGTTCACCGTCGTCATTCGTCTTTTAGACAGGTTAATCCGGTCTATCGTCTTTTGTCTCGCGATCGTTATTCAAGAATAGCAGCAACAAAAAAACGAGATTCTCTCTTCTCATTTTCTCGTGTGATTAAGAGACAAGATATCACATTATTCCGCGGTATTCGTTAGATATTTTCGTTATCCTGGATCTGATTCTGTTGTTGTTTTTTTGGTGACTGTGTGTGTTTTCCCCCATGCTATGCCACGTTTTTCACCTTATTTGATAGTGTTTCTTGTTGGAAATGTTGTGGCTAGAGGTGGGTTTTTTTTAGGAGAGCACACGATTGTCCGAGTGGCTAAGCCGATACGCCAGCAATCATAAGGTGTCGGGATCGGTTTCGCTCACAGCGAAGCAATTTTTTTTCAAATTTTGATAGTTTAACAAAAAAGTGCATGAGACCAGGGCTCTGCTAAATTTTTTAGGGCTGCTTGGGTTCAGGAATTTTTTTCAGCATGCACTTTAATTTTAATCACAAACTTTTCAGAAGTTCCAATTTATCTAGGGATATTTTTTGAGCTACTGTAGAATTTTTAACCTTAATTTTTAGGTTCCCCTAAATTTTGTAGATCAAAAATCGATAATTTCACGTGGCGCTCATAGGAATCGAAAACTTTTGCTAAAAAAATACTTTTGTTAATTTTTTTCCACACTTCAACGAAAATTTGCATGAAAATGTGCATTTTTTCAGCACAATTTTGAAAATCAAAAGAATCACGAGACTTTAATTTTCATAAATTTCGGAATCACAAATTTTTCAGAATTTCAAATTTATCTAAGGGCATTTCTAGAGCTACTGTAGAATTTTAAACCTTAATTTTCAGTTTTCAAATTTTGTAGATAAAAAAATCACCACGTGGCTTTTCTAGGGTTACTGTAGATATTTTTCTAGGGTTACTGTAGATTTTTCTAGGGTTACTGTAGATATTTTGATGTAAAATTTTTTTTTCCTAATTTCTGTAGATTCCACGTGGCTTCAGGTTCATTCCGAATCTCAGGCAAAAATTTAATAAATACAAAAGTGGTCACCTGGATTTTTTTCTGCAAATTATTGAATTTTTTACAGCTAGATTTTTTATTAATTTATTCGGACGCTGAAAATTTAGCTCTGAAATTTTGTCATCGAAATTTTGTGGTCAAACTTCACATTTTCCGAAAAATCCCGAAAACCGGTTTCCCATTGCAAAAAATGATGATGACAAATATGATCTTTGTCACTTTGCAATAGAAAACCTACAGTACCCCCCAAAAAAAATCAATAATTTTTCCAGCTCCCTTCATTCGTGATCGGCCTCGTGGTCTCGGTCTCCTTCAACTACCCACCGGAATGACCGATGAGCGTTCGGGTCCATTTTTTCCCGGATTGTATATTGCGGGAGATAAAGCGGGGCAGAAACCGCAAACTGTTCCCGATGTTTCGCTGCCCGGACAAACTGCCACGTTTTCTGGAAGGTAGGTGAGAAGAAGCCTTGAAAAGCCTTTAGGAGCCTTGAGAAGTCTTTAGAAGCCTTGAGAAGCCTTTAGAAGCCTTGAGAAGCCTCCAGAAGCCATCAGAAGCCTTCAGAATCTTTCAGAATCCTTGAGAATCTTTGAGAATCCTTCAAAATGCTTTAGAACTCTTTAGAATCCTCCAGAAGCCTTCAGAAGCCCACAGAAGCCTTTAGAGGCCCTGAGAAGTCCTCAGAAGCCTTTAAAAGCGTTGAGAAGCCTCGAGGAGCCTTGGGAAGCCTTGAGAAGCCTTGAAAAGCCTTGAGAAGCCCTCAGAAGCCTTCAGAAGCCTCGAGAAGCTTTTAGAACCCTTTAGAAGCCTTGAGAAGCCCTTCGAAGCCCTTAGACGCTCCCAGAAGCCCCCAGAAGCCGTCAGAAGACTTCAGAAGCCTTGAGAAGCCTTGAGAAGCCTTTAGAAGCCCTCAGAAGCCCCTAGAAGCCTTGAGAAGCCTTGAGAAGCCCTTAGAAGCCCTCAGAATCCTCTAGAAGCCCACAGAAGCCCTCAGAAACCCCCAGAAGCCTCCAAAAAATTCAGATTTTCAGATCCGCTTTCAATCCGTTCACTCACATGGTGTCAGCAGTTTTCACCGAAGATTTGGTCGACGGCTGGGGAACCGGTATGGCAATTAATGTGAGTTGCCCTAACTTCCCCTCAAAAATTCTCCAATTTTTCCTTTTTTTTTTTCTTTACAGGGTGTCAATAATCACGGCTTGAATGTTCGCAAGAATTTCGACGCTTTCGCTGACGCACCCCTGGCTACAAGTGACGGAATGTATCAACCATTCATAACTGCCGCAACAATCGGTGGCGAATATGATTTGTCGAAAATTCGAGAAGTGTCGGGGAATTTCAACCTACCGCTCCCTGGCATCAATGAACTTTTTGACTTTGACGGAAGATTCATGGTTAAAGGTAACTTGGGTTTTTTTCCCGGACAAAAAAACGTGATTTTTTGTGATTTTTCCAGGATTTGGAAATGGTATTCTGAACAGTGCGATGGAATTCCCATTATCTCTAACAGATCCGAATGAGCGGGCACCGTACACTTTCAAATATTTGAATTTCATGGCTGATCGACATATGCATTATGGACATGTTGTTCCGAATATTAATTTGTTTGTGGTTGGGAAGGATAAGATTATGGATCGACTTACGCAAAATCGATTGAATCCGACGATGATTGGTTGATTAATATGAGCAATGTATTTATTTTTAATTTAATAATGTAATTTGGTAATAAAAGTATTCTTGATTATAAGCTGAGCAATTTTTAAAAGCGTTAATTTTGAGCTCAAATTGAAGTTGAAAATAATAAATTTCAGAAAACAAAAATATGTGGCCGAACTTTTCCGGTGGCCGAGAAATGTCGGGAATTCGGCCAAAGCAGCTAACTCGCTCTAATGTTGCAAAAATATGAGCAATGCTTGAATTTCTAGTTTAATATAAGCAATGCCTGAATTTCTAGTTTAATATGAGCAATGCCTGAATTTTTAATTTAATATGAGCAATGCTTGAATTTCTAGTTTAATATGAGCAATGCCTGAATTTCTAGTTTAATATGAGCAATGCTTGACTTTCTAGTTTAATATGAGCAATGCTTGAATTTCTGGTTTAATATGAGCAATGCCTGAATTTCTAGTTTAATATGAGCAATGCCTAATTTGGCGCTAGAAAAAAAATACAGTAACCCAGGCGTTTTGTACCTCAAAAAAAGCCTAAGCATGTTTGGTGTCAAAATGCTCCGAATTGAGCCTAGGGGCCCGGTTCGGCCTGAAAATAGATCTAGTTTGTTGCTCTGGCCGAATTCCCGCCACCCGGCCACATATCTTTTCATTTTTCTGAAATCTACATGTTCAACTTCAATTTTTTGTGAACATTTTTAAAATTGCTCATATTTTCCGTTGCCGGGCCATTAATTAATACTTTAATTAATTAATATGAGCAATGTATTTATTTATTTTTAATTTTAATAATGTAATTTGGTAATAAAAAGTATTCTTGATTAGCCGAGCAATTTTTTAATTTTGAACATTTTTTGAACTTTTTAACATGAGCAATCATTCATTTATTCTTTACTCCGATGTCTCTCCGATGAATTCGGATCGGGCTCGATGAATCTCGAAGTTTCCACAATTTTCGCCGCAGTTCTTCGGGATGTCGATGATTTTTCGCCGGGTTTTCGAAGACTCTCCATTTCTGACCCAACTTTTTCTTTCGATCTCGCCGTTTTGCTCATACATGGCACTGCTCTCAAATCTGTGAGGGGGAGATCATGACATTTGGAAAAAATTTTCGAGGGGGGGATCATGACATTACATACAAAAACCTAAATTTTTTCAAAGTGAAATCGGTACGCTAGAAAAAAATTGGGTTTTTGCATGTGGTCATTTTTGACTTATTTTTTCAGGTTCGGTAATTTGGAAACTAGTTCTTTAGGAATATCGAATGTAGAGAACGAGCGAAGAATTCGACGGATATCTTTCATCGGCTAATTATTCTTATTTTATTTCTAAAATTCTCAATTATATTTTTCTATATCCTTCTAAAATAAAAAATGCGTTTATTGTAGTAAGTTCATCTCAGAAATTTTTACAAATTTTTCTGAACAATTACATAATAATAATAATCATATCCAATGCGTTATTTATTTGATAATCAAATTGAAATCCAAAAATATTGAATTACAAAAAAAAAGAAAAAATGAATTCCACTGAGAATTCGATCCAAAAACCCTCTGATTATTAGGCGCGATCTCTACCGACTTGACCACGAGGCTACTTATTTTCACACGTTTATTTTTAAGTGATAAAAAAGGGATAGAAGGGGGAGAGAAAATGAAAAAGAGAAGGAGAAGCGGAAAAAAATCATAAAATTTTTGAAAAATTCCCATTTTTTATCGAATTTCGCCGATTTTGTTATATGTTTCGATTGTATAAGTAACTTAAGGATGGTAGAAAGGAATGTCTGTCGAAATTATCTAAAAAGATGGTTTATTTCTTGAGATATGATCCCCCCCAAAATGACATAGCAAAACGGCTTCGATTTTGGGGGGGATCATATCTCAAGAAATAAACCATCTTTTTAGATAATTTCGACAGACATTCCTTTCTACCATCCTTAAGTTACTTATACAATCGAAACATATAACAAAATCGGCGAAATTCGATAAAAAATGGGAATTTTTCAAAAATTTTATGATTTTTTTCCGCTTCTCCTTCTCTTTTTCATTTTCTCTCCCCTTCTATCCCTTTTTTATCACTTAAAAATAAACGTGTGAAAATAAGTAGCCTCGTGGTCAAGTCGGTAGAGATCGCGCCTAATAATCAGAGGGTTTTTGGATCGAATTCTCAGTGGAATTCATTTTTTTCTTTTTTTTGTAATTCAATATTTTTGGATTTCAATTTGATTATCAAATAAATAACGCATTGGATATGATTATTATTATTATGTAATTGTTCAGAAAAATTTGTAAAAATTTCTGAGATGAACTTACTACAATAAACGCATTTTTTATTTTAGAAGGATATAGAAAAATATAATTGAGAATTTTAGAAATAAAATAAGAAATAAGAAAAATAAGAAACAATGGATGATATCCGTCGAATTCTTCGCCCTTTCTCTACATCCGATATTAAAAGCGCTAGTTTCCAAATTATCGAACCTGAAAGAATATGTCAAAAATGAAACCCCCCTCTCCTGGATATTTTTCATTTTTTTCACCATTTATTTTTTCAAATTTTTGACAAAAAAAATTGAGGGGGGGATCATGACATTTCAAAATTTTGGAGAGGGGGGGATCATTACATGGAGGGTCTGTTGGGCAAAGATGCCATGTATGGTTTTGCTGGACATTTTTTGAATTTTTTTGCGGCGAGACTTGAAAATATCTCGATTTTTGGTGATTTGATGCTTATAGATGGCGAAAATTGAGACGCCGATGAGGAAAGTTAAAGCGATTCTGGAAAAAAATTTGATTTTCTAAATATGTACAGTACTCTACAGTACTCAGAGAAGCTTCAGATCATAAACTTCAAGAGAAGGATCCTAGCCTACAGTATCCTGAAAACCTACCATACAAAATTTGATCTACAGTATCCAAACTATAACTACAAAACTTATTTACACTTTCCAAACTACAAAATTGATCTACAGTATTCAAACTGCAAAACTGGCTAACAGTACCCGAATTACAAAATTGATCTACAGTACCTTAAACTATAAAACTGGCTTACAGTATCCGAACTGCAAAACTGGTCTACAGTACTCACCCAAAAATCGGCTTCATAATTTTCTTCAAAAAAAATATTCCCAACTTGCCAAAAACCAAAAATGAAAAATTTATTGATTTTTCTTTTTTCTAAAGAAAAAATTCCACGTGAACAAGAAAAAATGACTAGAAAAACCGTAAAAACTATGAAAACATGACCCTAAAATACAAAAACAAAAAAAATCATAAGAGAGATCTGAAAATGACAAGAAAATGGTAAAGTTTACCCGGGAAAATTTAAAAATTCAAAAAAAAATTTGAAGAAAAAAAATGGAAAAATTAAAGTGCCATTGGTGGAACTGTCAAATTGTTGCCAAATTTTTGGACAGAAATTTCAATGTGATTTGCGTTGCCGTTGGAATTCGGGGTCACGGTGTTTTGAGAAGATGCATGTTTGTTCTGAAAAATTTGGAATTCAGAAGCCTTTAGAAGCCCTTAGAAGCCTTCAGAAGTTCTCAGAAGCCCTCAGAAGCCCTTAGAAGCCTTCAGAAGTTCTCAGAAGCCCTTGGAAGCCCTAAGAGGCTCTTAGAAGCCCCTAGAAGCCTTCAGAAGCCTTCAGAAGTCTTCAGAAGTCTTCAGAAGCCCCCAAAAGCCCTCAGAAGCCTTCAGAAGCCCCCAGAAGCCCCCCAGAACTCACCATATCCAAAAAAGTTCCCGACGTCAATTTCCTATCCGGTTTCACCGGCGCCACAACTCCTCTCACATAAATATTCGCCAGAGCATCTCTCAACTCTTTGAGCCCAACAACTCCAACAAGTTTACCACAATCAGTGACGTAGGCATGAGATAAACCGAGAAGTGAGAAAAGTGTGTGCACTTTGTAGAGAGAAGAGCCGAGAACAAGTTGGAAAGGGGCTGCATCGATGGCGATTTCGTCCAAGTCGATGTTGCGGTTCAGGAGAATGTCGGCGTTGGTTTCCTGGGGAAAAATCGATATAATATGAGCAATATTCAAATAAAATGAGCAATGCCTATTTTTTCTAAAGCTTTCCGAAACTACCCTGTTCATAATATGAGCAATGCTGGCTACTTGTGCTCATTTTATATTTTTTCAAAATTTTGGTACGCAATCAAATTGAGCTCTAAAATTCAAATTTTCCATAACATGAGCAATGCCTTTTTTTTTCTGATTTAAAATTTTTTTCAATATGAGCAATGCTGGCTAGTATTTATCATGTTATACTTTTTTTTTCAAAATTTTGGTACAAAATTAAATTGAGCTCTTGAAAATTTTCTTTTTGTTTTTCTATAACATGAGCAATGTCTATTTTTTCAAGTTTTTTTTTTCTATTTTTTCTAATATGAGCAATGCTGGCTAGTATTGCTCATGTTTAATTTTTTTCAAAATTCTGGCACGCAATGAAATTGAGCTCTAACATTTTAATTTTCCATAACATGAGCAATGCCTATTTTTTCTGAGTTTTTTCTATTTTGTTCTAGTATGAGCAATGCTGAAACTATTGCTCATGCTATACGTTTTTTCAAAAATTGTGTATATTAAAAATCAGAATTGAATTGAGCTTTTGAACATTTTAGGTTTCTATAACATGAGCAATGCCTGTTTTTCTGAGTTTTCTAAATTTTGTTCTAACATGAGCAATGCTGGCTAGTATTGCAATGCCAAGTATTTTTAAAAAATTAACTTTTTAGTGTGAGCAACAAATTTTTCGGAAAATTAAATTGAGCTCTTGAGAATTTTTCAAATTTCTATAATATGAGCAATCTTTTTTATTTTCTTCAAAAAAATGAGCAATCTATAATTCTAAAACACTGTTGCTCATATTATACAAAAATTCATAACAAGATTAAGCTCTGAAATTTCCTGTAACATGATCAACCCCCCTCCCAAAAAAATCCTACATTTTTCACAATATCCGCCGATTGTGGTCGTGTAAAAACAGCCTGAAGTGGCACATTATTCGGAGCATGTAATGGAGAAATCGATAACAATGTGTTTCCCGAAATAGTCCGCTCTGACACCAATTCCACCAAATCCGAATTATTATCAGTTCTCGATGTGTCTGGCACCGATTCCTTTGCCGAACTATTCGATCTTCGCGACGGACTTCTACGCGATAATCTCATCGAAGTTCTTCGCAATGTATTGAATATTTCAGCGGGGGTAATTCTACCAATATTCCTCGAATCCTGCTGATTCACAAGAACATGTCGGCGAAGTAACATTGTCAAATATCGTTTCGCCACTGATCCCAACAATATTTTATTCTCATGATCTGTGACAATTGGAAAACTTCGGAGATGTGGAGCGAGTTGGAGAATCTCCTTCATTTCACGATATGTCATATCTTTTGTGATGTAGATTACATCGGTCACCATTAATTGTTCAACTTTGACGGTGTGAACACTTACACGGGATGGTGGCAGATCGGGGAGATACGGGTATTTTTTGACGCGGATTATTGATTCGTAGATTGATGGTTGAAGGAATTTACACACGGCGTTTCCCATTAGCATTGCGATCTGGAAAATTTGGTTTTTTTGTGAAAAAAAAATTCACTATTTCAAAATTCCAAAAAATCGCAATATTGGTTTGGAAAAATTTACTGTTTCAAAATTTCAATAAATTTTCATAATTATAGTTGAATTTTAATTTCATTGACAGTATATATTAGTAAATGAAAAACAAATGAAAAATATTTCTGCTTTGAAAAATTTTAAATTTTAAAATTCTGGATTTTTCCCAGAGTTTTTTTTTGGAAAAAATTCACTGTTTCAAAAATTTAACAATCTCAGTACAAAGGTAGATGACAATCAAAATTTTTTGTAAAAAAAAATCACTGTTTCAAAATTCAATAAATCTTAATATTGGTTTCTATTGTTTCAATGTTTGGATTTTTCACAATTCAATTGACCGGAATTTTTTTTTGGAAAAAGTTCACTGTTTCAAAAATTTTTTCTGCTTTGAAAAATTTTGAAATTCTGGGTTTCCTATGATTTTCAGAAATCCACGTGGAAAAATTTTTCTCAAATTTTTTTTTGTTGAAAAAAATTCACTGTTTCAAAAATTTAATAAATCTTACAATTAATCATGGATTCTATCATTTCACTGTTCAAATTGTTCACAATAAAATTGACCGGAATTTTTTTTGGAAAAAATTTACTGTTTCAAAAACTTAATGAATTTTTAGAGTTGAATTTTAATTTAATTGGCATACTAAGTAGTAGATAAAAATTAAAATAAAAATATTTCTGCTCTGAAAAATTTTACATTTTGAAATTCTGGATTTCCTATGATTTTTTGTGAAAAAATTTCACTGTTTCAAATTTTCAATTAATCTTACAATTAATCTTGGTTTCTATTCTTTCACTGTTTGAGTTCTTCACAATAAAATTGATCGGAATTTTTTATTGGAAAAAATTCACTGTTTCAAAAAAAAAATAATAAATTTTCAGAATTATTTTCAAAATGATTATCAAAAACCCACATGGAAATATTTTTCACAAATTTGTTTTTTTTTTTTGAAAAATAATTCACTGTTTCAAAATTTTAATAAATCTCAATCTTTGTTTCTAATATTTTAATGCTTCAATTGTTCAATTGACCGAATTTTTTCTTTGGAAAAAATTTACTGTTTCAAAAAAAAAATAACAAATTTTCAGAGTTGAATTTTAATTTCATTGACATGTGGATAAAATTCAAAATTAAAAAAATTAAAATAAATTCCCGAATTTTTCACTGTTTCAAAATTCCTCTAGATATTTTTGTCAAGAAAAAAAACCCACCAACACCGGTAAAATCGGCGACAACTGCCCGGTCAGCTCACAAATAATCACCGCAACAGACAGCGTATGCGTAACAGCTCCAGTATACGCGGCGGCGCCAACCACCGCGTACAAACCAGGGTGAATTGGCGGGCCACCTTCTCGCATACCAGTTGGGAATAGTTGCACCATTATTTCGCCCACTAAAAAAATCGGGAGAGTTAGGATAACTTCTAGATCCAGAAACTCACTCAGTCTTCCACCAGCAGCTCCAATGATAAAACTTGGCACAAAAACACCAGCGGGAACATTGATCGATATACAAATTGCCACCAAAATGAACTGGAAATTTTTTTTTAAGAGTTCTGAGGCTACTGTAGATTACTGTAGGAGGATTTTTTAAAACAACTCACATAAACAATATAATACAACACCAGACTTGTGAAAATGGTCACATCATAATCTGGTCCACCGGTCCAATGTGTCAGAATTTTATCGGGGCAGGCACGCGAATCGTTGCGAGACCATGTGCAATTGTTGAAAAAATCGGCCATCGTTTCACGGAATGTTAGACGACCCGCGAAATATCGACCAAGACCGGCGGGATATGTCAAAACTCCAACCACAAATGCCATGAAGACGGTGAAGCCGAGGAAACTGCAAGGAAAATTTGATCTACAGGGTTTCAGAATCCTTCAGAAACCCCTTGAAGCCCTCAGAAGCCCCCAGAAGCCTTCAGAATCCCTCAGAAGCCCTGAGACTCGTTCAGAACCTCCTAGAAGCCTTCAGAAGCCTCAGAAGCCTCCGAGAGCCCTCAGAAACCCTCAGAAGCCCTCAGAAGCCCCAGAAGCCTTCAGAAGCCCTCAGAAGTCCTCAGGCATACCACGCCCAGGGGTTAACAAATGCACGGCGCCAATGTTTTTTCAAAATTTTGATGAAATCCACGACGCCAAAATTTTTTTTCTAAGTGAGGGGATTTTTTTCATTAGCTCTAGAACAAACTAATTTTTACAGATTCAAACGACTACGGCCCATTTCAACTTCAAGTTCCAACCTCAAATGAATTTTAATCAAAAATTATTATTTATTTCTTTCAATTACCACTAATAAAACTTATACATTTGAAAAAATCGTTCAATTGTTGTCTTTTTTTCTCAGAAAAATTTCAGAAAACGGAGACAAACCATATTTTCAAGACATTTATTATCAAACTCAAAGCCATCATCTGTTTTCTACAGTGCCGAAAACATAAAATATATCTTGGCAATCGCACCTTCTTCAACAAAATGTGTGGTAGCTCAGTCGGTTAGGCGCGCTCTGGTTTTGTTCCGAAGACCCCAGATCAACCCCCGTCTCCTGCGTAATTTTTTATTTTGCACTCGAATTGTCTGAATTTCAGAGTTTGGTATATTTTCGACATTCTGACTGATTTTTTTTGATGAGATAAGGTTCTAAATGGCCTATACCAGGTGGAAACAAAAAACTGGACAGTTTTATGTGCACATTGAAGAATAAACCCCGACCGTGCACGTTTTTTCGCACATTTTAAAATAGGCCTACACAGACTGCACCAATCGCTTCGTTCTCGGTCGCAAAACGTGCACGAGCGAAAAATAATACGTATTCGTTTTTTAACTTTCACTTTACGAGCCAAAATAAGGTTTTTATGGTCGAAAAGCTGATTTTGAGAAATCTCGATTTGCACGGTCGAGGATAATTTGAGTTTGAGAAGGTTTCAGTCTGAAATTTTTGGTCAATTTGAAAGTTCTGCTCATTCTGATATGTATTCACTGTTGAAACAGAAGATTTGATGTCGTAGGACATGTTCTTTTCAGTTTTGAAAAATAAATAATTTAAAGTTGATTTGAACAGAAATTGTCTTCTTTATTCATCCATTTTCTGATGTTTCCACCTGGTTATGGCACTGGAGAATCTCCAACAACAATATGTGATTGAATTGGACCTTTGATTCTGAAGTTATTCTCCAAAAACTGATATCCCATGCAACAACAACGTCGCTGTTGTACACACAAAAACATCGAACTTATCAAGGCAAACAAACAAGGCGGTTAGCAGGTGTGTGTGTGGTCTATTGGATAATCTTTTGACTTTCAGTCTGACGACCAAAGTTCGAGTTCGACTTCCAGCGAAATTTGTTATTTATTTTTAATTTTTGTCTTGAAGTTTTTGAATGGGATAAAAACACATATTTAAAGGGAAAAGTTGTGATGTGTCGAAATCTGTAAAAAAGAAACATCCAGAAGTTTGTGCAAATTTATCGACCAGTGATTGATTTCAAATTGTGAGAACGTTGAGGTGAGATATACAATAAGCAAAACAGAGACAAAAGCAAAATCGTGCATTTCAAACAAAAAAATATCACAAATGAAAGCATGCAAACAATACATTAGAATACAAAAATCAAAAATTGTCAGTAATTTTCGTCTTCCAAATTGGTCCTTTTGATTTTTTCGGTCTAGATAAGTTTGTTTTCACTGCGCCAATATGCTCAAGTAAATTTTTGAGAATTTTCCAAAAAAAACACCTTGTTTTCACACCGCCAATAATTTTTCAAAAACCACCCCGCCAATTTTTATTTTTCATATGCACGGACCTGGGCGTGGTATGTCCTCAGGATTCTGCAAAAATTATTGATCTACCAAAGAAACTCTAACTTTAGCTCCATTTTTTTATCCACAAAAAATAATCCGTTAAACTACAGTAATCAAAGATCCTGATATTTTTTAAATCTACAGTAATCCCAAATCATCAAAACTACAGTAACCCCGGATCTTTGTCATCTCAAAAATTGAAGTCGTAGCCCTCAGAAGCCTTGAGAAGCCATCAGAAGCCCTCAGAAGCCTTCAAAAGCCCTCAGAAGCCTTCAAAAGCCCTCAGAAGCCTTCAGAAGCCCTCAGAAGCATTTAGAATTCTTCAGAAGCCCTCAGAAGCCTTCAGAAGCCCAAAAAGGCTTGAGAAGCCTTCAGAAGCCCTCAGAAGCCTTGAGATGCCTTCAGAAGCTTTCAGAATCCTTCAGAAGCCCCTAGAAGCCCTCAGAAGCCCTCAGAAGCCTCTAGAAGCCCTCAGAAGCCTTTAGAAGCCCTTAGAAGCCTTCAGAATTCTTCAAAAGCCCCCAGAAGCCCTCAGAAGCCTCAGAAGCCCTTAGAAGCCTCCAGAAGCCTTCAAAAGCCCCCATGAAGCCCAGTACTAACTTATTTCTAAAAATCGCCTTATACACCCGATTCCTGGCCCGGAAAATCGATATTTGTCGATGCAGAAATATGAACAGCGATCCCATCAATCCACTAATAAATCCCAACAACAAAAACATCGGCAACTCTTCGATCAAAAAACAATCGGTTGGAAAATTGGTCTGATAAAACGCGGTGATTGTTCCGCTTTGCGCGTCGGTCACAAAAAAATTGGCAAAGCGGAAAATGATGGCGGAACACGTGGCAGCCAGGAATCCTCGCCAATAATTTTTGACGGCGAAATATTTGGAGGTGGATTCGATGGCGTAGAGGACGGCGCCGATGGGAGCGGAGAATGTGCATGCGATTCCGACGGCGCAACCCGATGATAGCATTTCCATTTCGCGACCTTCGTTGGAGAAAAATGCGGAATATTGACAGGCGGAGGTGATTTTGGAGAGAAGTGTGGCCACAATTGCACCCATGTGCACAAATGGTCCCTGGAAATTTGGTTTCAGAAATTTTTTTTTGAAATTTGGATTTTGAATTCTGCAGTTTATTATAAAATTTGAATTGTTGCTTTGAAAAGGATTTTTGGGTATTGCTCATATTAATTGAACCATTAGAATTGCTCATGTTAAGCAGAGTCAAATCTGATTAGATTGCTCATGTTAACCTTCTTCTTCAACAGAAAAACCTGTGGATTGCTCATATTAATTAACTCATTAGAATTGCTCATGAATTCGAAAAACAGAAAAAATTGGGGATTGCTCATGTTAAATTTGTGCTTTGAAGAAGTTTTCTGGGTATTGCTCATATTAAATAAACCATTAGAATTGCTCAGATTAAACATAATTAAATCTGATTAGATTGCTCATGTTAACCTTCTTCTTTAACGACGGAAAAGTTAAGTATTGCTCATATTAACTTTGTGCTTTTAAAAAGTTTTCTGAGATTAGAATTGCTCAGATTAAACAGAATTTCAAAAGATTGCTCATTTTAAGCTAGCAGGACTTTTCTTTTAACAAAAAAAATTGGGGATTGCTCATGTTAAATTGGTGCTTTGAAAAGGGTTTTTGAGTATTGCTCATATTAATTAAACCATTAGAATTGCTCAGGCTAAATATAATTTGAAGAGATTGCTCATATTAATTTTGTGCTTTACATTTTGTGTATTGTTCATATTAATTAAACCATTAGAATTGCTCATGTTAACCTTCTTCTTCAACAGAAACAATTGGGGATTGCTCATGTTAACCTCAATTTTTTTTCATTTTATTTTTAGCACCCCCCCTTCCGCTTCCCAAATTGAAAAATAACCCATTTCCATTCCTCCCCAGGGATCACAAGAAAAATTTTTTGTCATTTTTTTTTCCCCGACACGAACCTCCTTTCCAATCGGCAGTCCTCCACCCATCGCCAATGTCAATCCGACCATTTTGGCGACCAGAGTTCGAGTCGTCAGATAGTTCTCCATTTTGAAGCCGTGCATAATGACTTTGACCTCCGGAATTCCAGAGCCTGCGAAATTCATTTTTTTTTTTGAGATTACGGTACTATACCCCCTGCATATCTAACTACGACTCACCGACTGCCTGTTTCGAGACAATTTGACAGAAAATCGCGCTGAACATTGTGAGAATCACAATATGAGCAACCCATTGGCCAAATGCCAAATATGATGAGATTTCCATGAATTTGTCGTATAATGTGACATGTGCTGGAAAATTTTTTTTGGGAAATTTTTTTGAGAAATTTTTTTCGGAATTTTTTTTCAGAATTTTTTTTTTGGAATTTTTTTCAGAAATTTCAGTCTGATCTCATTGATTTATGGGGTGTTTCAGGTCAAATTTCAAAAATTTTTTAGTTCATTTTAGCGCCAAAATTTTTTCGAAATTTCGCTTTTTTTGTTGGAAATTTTTGGGAAATTTCAATTTTTAACGTCAAAAATCAGAATTTTTTGAATTCCAGTAAAAAAAAGTTCATTTTGGCGCAAAAATTTGAAAACACGTGGATTTTGAGCTTCAAAAAATCGGAAAATTCCAAGTTTCCGGTTCAAAAATCAAAATTGGAGATTTTTTTTATTTTTGAATTTTTTTGTATTAAAATGAGCAATGCCTATTTTTTCTGAATTTCTTATCTTCCAAAATTACGCTATTCATAAAATGAGCAATTTTTGAACTATTGCTCATGTTAGCATTTTCTGATTTCTATAACATGAGCAATCTGTTTTTCTATAATATGGGCAATTCTGAAACTCTTGCTCATGTTATACTATTGTTTTTTTTGTTCAAAATTTTGCTACGCAATCAAATTGAACTCTAACAATAAAATTTTAATTTTACATAACATGAGCAATGCCTATTTTCTCTGAGTTTTTTATTTATTTTTTTCTAAAATGAGTAATTCTGAAATTATTGCTCATGTTATATTTTTGTTCAAAATTTCGCTACGAAATCAAATTTAGAGGTTTCGAGCATTTTCAGGGCAATTTTTCTATAATATGAGCAATTCTAAAACTATTGCTCATCTTATATAATAATTTTTGTCACTCAGAAAAATTCCGATGTTTTGAACAAATGCCAAAGATTGCTCATATTAAAAAAAATCAAATTTTTAATATGAGCAACATATTGCTTATGTTAAACCCTCTCACCATGCTGCAATTTCTCAATAGCCACATCCATTCCAACCGACAGAACCGCTGTCACAACTCCTAGGAGAGCCGACAGAAACCAGTCCTCGACCAGAAAATGCACGACATTTTGAGCCTGCCTTGTGCAGAATTCCCCAAATGTCTCGTTATTCTCCATTTGCTCCTGGTTCACATCGTTTTCGTCGTCGTTTTCGTCGAAATCTCCATTGTTTTTTGTGTTGTTGGTTGTTCCTGGTGACATATCCAAAAGTGAACGTTTTACATCACTCATTACGCTGGAAAAATTGGAAATTACAGTAACCCGAACTGCAAAAAAATTTGGAAAAACCTTCAGAAGATCTTCAAATTCTAATATTTCTAACCAAAAATCTTTAGAAACTACAGTATCCCGGACTGCAAAAAAAAAAAAGATATTTCAGAAGATCTTCAAATTTGAACCAAAAATCCTCAGAAATTACAGTAATCCGAACTGCAAAAGATTTTTCTAGACGTCAAAAAGATAGAAGTTTTTGCAGTTCAAGATACTGTAGTCAGATGAGCTACAGTACCCCGAACTGCAAAAAAAGATATTTAAGATAATCTTCAATATTTAGAACCAAAAACCTTCAGGAGCTACAGTATCCCGGACTGCAAATAAATTCTTTCATTTTCAGAACTTTCTAGACGTCAAAAAAAATTTCACTGTAGGAATTTTTGCAGTTTGGAGTACTGTAGCTCAATAAGCTACAGTAATCAATAAGCTACAGTAACCCTCATTTCCGAAAATTTTAGGAGACTACAGTACTCAGAACTGCAAGATTCTGAAAATCTGTAAAGTCCAAACTGCAAAAATTTAGAAACTACAGTAATCTAAATGAAAGGAAAGCCAAGAAGAACTACAGTACCCCGAACTGCAAGCTTTTGGAGTCTATAAGAATTACAGTAGAGAAAATCACCTACAGTACTCTCAAACTACAAAATTTTATCGCGAACTGCAAACCTACAGTACCCCGAACTGCAAAAATCTCAAATTTTGGCGCCAAAAACCGGAGAAAAATTATGTTTTTTCGAAAATAAAATAAATATGCAAAAATGAATCATCCAAATTAATTAGCTCAAAAAAAAATATGAAAAAATATTTTTTGCACATTTTTCTCGAGGAAAATTTTGCTCACATTCAGAAAAAACTAAACATCGTCTGGGGGAAAATTACTTGTATCCGCCCGCTTCTTTTTTTTGTCTGAAAATATTTCCAGATTTTTTCCTGCGTGTAATTCAAAACTTTTTTTTTCCATTAAGCTGGATCCCCTTGATGTTTGAAGCTGAAGAAAAGTTCGTCATTCATTCAATTTTTTCTCAAAGAGAAAAAAAACGAGAAAAGATTAGATTTCAACGAGAAAAAATTGAATTTAAAGGTCCCTTTTTTTCAAAAAAAAAAAAAAAAGTTCAGCAAAAAAATGTTTTTTGTCAGTCGCAAAATTTTTTGAATAGACTTCTCAAATTTGCTTCCGCTACAAAGAATTATTCATGTTCGAAAGGGGAAAAAATTCTTGGAAAAAGTTCGAAAATTTCACGTGTGCAACTGGAAAAAAGAAAAAAAAGCACAAATTTTGTGCTGAAATTCAGAATTTCTAGAGAAAAAACTGAAAATTCCATAATTTTATTAACAACAAATTTACAGCTCTGAAAATCCACGTAGAACATTAGATACTCAGCGAGCAGCCAAATATTGATCTACCTTTTTTGAAAGATTATTTGCCACGGGCACAATTTGATGAAAAAGTGCTCAAAATTAATTTTCAGAACAAATTTTCAGCGCTGAAAATCCACGTGGCACAATGTGGAAATTTTTGAAGATCTATCGCCATGTGGCAGAAATTGCTTTAAATTTTAAAAATTCTGAATTTCCACGTGGCAAATTGAGCTTAAACTTCCGGAAAAAAGACACGTGGCAAGGTTTTTTGAATTCAGAATTTCAAGAAATTTAAGTTCAGGGCCCAGGAAATCCACGTGGTTTCAATTTTTGTTCGAAAATTTTTCGAATTGGAAAATTTCCAGAAATTTCTTCAAAGGGCCCTGAAATCCACGTGGAAACATATTTTTTTGAAAAATTGAGATAGAAAATTTCAAGCTTATGTTTTTCTGGCGCCAAAACCTACAGTACTCCCCCCCCCTTTCCAGCTCTATACAATTTGACGCCAACACAAAAATAGCCATCTTCCTTTTTCCCCGGGTTCCCCTGGGGACCAATCTTACATGGGCAGCAGCCCATTTTTTTTGTTGACAACAAAACGAAAACGGACAAAAAATGATAGAAGTTTTCAGACGAAATTCAATTTTTGCGATGAAATGGGGCGATGAAATGAGCTAGAAAATAACACCTTTTCAACAAAAAAAAAAGAAAAATAGTACTTTTTGAAAAGAAAAAGAAGAAGAATACATGAATTTTTGAAAATTCGCGCGAAAAAGTCACCTATACTAATTCGATTTTGTCAGCAGCGACGAAATGTCAGCGGAAATTAAATCGCGAAAAAAAATTTCAGTCAGCATGGGGGATCGAACCAAAAGGTTCTCAATCGGCAGCGGGGCGCGCTACCACTGAACTAGGCGTGCAACAAATTTCGCTGCTTGTTTTTCCAATAAATTCTCGCAATACAAAAAACAACAAACTTCTCCAGTTTTCAGCTTAAAAAAAAGAGGAAAAAACAAAGTTTTAGCATTTTTTTTTGACAAGTGAAACTGATTGTTTGGATTAAAAAATCTCCCAGCAAAAATTTCAGCGATTTTTTCTTTGCTCCTCAAAAAACAAGAGAAGAAAATGTGGGATGGGGGTAATCCTATACTTTTGGTCAACAAATTTGGATTCGTCTCAGATTTTTGAAGAAAAAAAACGAAAAAACAGAAAAAAAATTGGTTGCCAAGAGCAGGTGTTAGGTGATTTATCACAACAATAACAATTAGCAGAACAACAAACTAGAAAAAGAAAAAAACTTCCGCGGGCACCCGGGATCGAACCCGGGTTGCAAAACGCGGTGTAATCCACAGGCGCGCGCGCTAACCACTAGTACACGCAGGCATCGAGGAGCGAGGGGGAAAATATCAGTGATAAATAGCGTACCTGCGTATCCAAGTCTTTTTTGGTTTGTGGTGATGAAGTTGGAGCATTGCCAACGGCGAAAGTATCGAAACTTTCGCCAGTGGATCCATTTTTCAGTCAAAATATCAGAAGAATTCTAGAACATATGGCCTTCAAGCTTTCTTTCTGCTCACACGAAAAAAAAAGAAACCTTTTAGATGCTCTCCTTGAGCTGGGGCGTGGCTCGGCGGCGGAAAGTGTGAGATACTAACACATTTTTTTCTGCCCCTCTAGTCATTTTTTTTCGCCTTTTTTGTTGGGCTAACAAAAAAAAACTACTAACTCTCTGAGAAGCTGATTGGCGAGCCGGAAGAAGAGTTTTTTGTGTCAAGAGAGCTCGCTTTTCTTGGTGAAAAATAAAAAATTAGACGATTTCTATATGGTTCAGTGATTTCTCGGCGGTGGTTTGCCGCAAAAAACCAAAAAAAAATTTTTTTCGCGGGCACCCGGGATCGAACCCGGGGGTACCCGTTGTATCGGGAAACAACGCATTAACCGGCTGCGCCATATATGCAACTTATGTTTTTTTTAACGCTTTAAGGTATACATTGATTATACTCATTCGAAAGCTCTTAATGAGCTTTAGAACATTAGATACTCAGTGAGCAGCCAAATTGGGTAAAAATAGAGGAAATGTGATATTCTAGCGCGCAATTATTTTGAATTATTCAAATTATTAAAGAAGAAGAAAAGGGAATTCTTTGCTCACAGAGAAAAAATGAAGAAAAATCCATAAGATACAAAAAAATGACTACAAATCGGGCTAATTAGAGCCAAAAAATGCGTTTTTTTTCGAGATTTTCAGAAAAAGTTAGTCAAGCTGAACCAAAAAAATTTCTTTTTCGATTATTATTTTGAATAATATTGGGTTATGAGAACAGCGAGCGAAAAAAAAGAGGAAAACGTGGGAAAAAATTTTCTGTTGGCGCCAAAAATTCAATTAGTTCTTTCTCATTTTTTTGTGTTGCGAGATTTTTTTTCGGTGCAAAATTTTTTCAATTTTTTTCCAAAAATTTATATCCCTGAAATTATACGTTTCAAAATTTGATCATAATGTATAATATGAGCAATGTGGAGAATTTACACGTGGATTTTTGGAGTCAAATTTTGAGGAAACGAATTTCAACTTTCGCACTTTTACTTCTTAATTTTTTGAAACAGTGAAAATTTTCAATTTTTTGAAATTTCAATTCCGCTAAAAAATATTTGCCACGTGGCATGTTCGGTCTCAAAATGTTCGAAATTTCATAGCGAATTTTTTGGCACCAAATTTTGATCTACCAGAAATTTTTCACAAATACTCAATTTTAAGCTGGATATTCCGGATTTTCTGAAAATCAAACTGGATATTCAGGAGCATCCGAAGGTCAAACTGGACAATCTGAAGCTTCTGAAGGTCAAGATGGAAGGATAGACCTCGGATATCTCGAATATATCCAGGAAGATCAGAAGCTTCCGAAGGTCAAGATGGAAGATCAGGAGCTTCCGAAGGTCAAGCTGGACAATCTGAAGCTCCCGAAGGTCAAGATGGAAGATCAGATCTCGGATATGGATCTCAAGTATATCCAGGAAGATCAGGAGCTTCCGAAGGTCAAGATGGAAGATCAGGAGCTTCCGAAGGTCAAGCTGAATATCCCGGATCTTCTGAAGCTTGAAAATTCCGATCTCCGTGATATTTTTCAATGATAAAAAGCTACAAACAAGAAAACATGATATGTTTTGTGTGTGAAAAAAATTAGAGACGACACAACAGTTGTTCAAAACATATATTTGATAAATGGGATATTCTTTGATTTTTTGCAGTGACCGGTTAGGCTTAGGCTTAGGTTAGGCTTAGCCTTTAGGCTTAGCCTCTAGGCTAAAGCTTCAGCCTCAAATTTTGGAGCGAAAAAAATCGAAACTTTTTTTGCCAACCAGAAAAAAACGAGTTTCTCTTAATTATGCGCATAATTAATTAATAAAAATCGAAAAAAAATGCATCATTTTTCTTCGATGCCACGTGGCATTTTCAGAAACATCTGGAAAATTTCCGCCAAAAAATCTCATTATTTTTATTTTTTCAACAGAAAAATATGAGACAGACACCTAGCAACCTCAAAAAATCGAAAAAAAAAACAATTCAAAAAAAATTTTTTTTTTCTACGCAGAATTTTTTATCAAATTTTCACACAGAAAAAAAGAAAAGTTTTTCATTTTTTTTCAGAAAAAAAAATTTTCTGGCGCCAAAAAAGCTTTTAAATTATGTGTACTGGAGAGAAAAACAAGAAAGCAAAAGCAAAAGCAAAAAAAAATTTTTGATGAAAATAAATTGAAAGGACAGAAAAATTGTCAGCTGGGATTTTCGAGCGAAAAAAATTGTGAAATAAAAATTGGAAGATGGAAAGAAAAATAGATGCCATCTGGAATTTTCAGCGAAAAATATATATTGCTCATATTAGCCTAAAACTAGAGATTCAAATTTTGAATACATTGCTCATATTAGAAAAAAATAGGAAATTCTCAAAGGACCCGACCAATTAAAAAAAAAATTTTCAAAATGTTGAATACATTGCTCATATTAGACTAATCTAATTTTCCACGAAAAAAATGCATTGCTCATATTAGGAAAATTCTTAAAGGACCCTACCACTTGACAACAAAAATCAAATTTTTCAAATCCAAATACATTGCTCATATTAGACTAATCTAATTTTCCAAGAGAAAAAAGCATTGCTCATATTAAGAAACTCTTAAAGGACCCGACCACTTGATAACAAACAACAAAAATCAAAATTCAAATACATTGCTCATATTAAACTTCAAAAAAAGTGAATTAGTTGCTCATATTAGAAAAAAATAGAAATTTCTTAAAGGACCCGACCACTTGACAACAAAAATCAACATTAAAAAATTCAAATACATTGCTCATATTAGACTAATCTCATTTTTCAAGAAAAAAAAATGAATTGCTCATATTAGCAAAAATAGAAAATTTTTAAAGGAGCCGACCAATTAAGAAAAATATATTTTTTTACCAAATTTTCTACAGATTGCTCATATTATATTTTGAAAAATTGAATGCATTGCTCATATTAAGTAAGATTTGGAAGGATTTCTCATGTCAAATAAACTCTGAGAAAAATCAAAGCATTGCTCATATTAATAAAAACTCCAATATTCTTAAAGGACCTTAACACTAACAAATTTTGAGCATTGCTCATATTAAATTGAATTTTGAGCATTGCTCATATTAAAACTCACCAATTCAAAAGTTCCACTTTTTTCGGCGTCTCATAACAATCCGTAAATACAGTAATATTTTCACTAAATCCAACCTGCTTCATTTTTTTTGCAGAAAAAGTCCAAATTTTCCGATTTTTCGGAAAAAAGTGCCTTTTTTCCTGCTTTTCCAAAAGGAATTAACCAGTTTTCTCGATTTTCTATTTTTTTCCCATTTTTTTTGTTTCCGCAAAGCCACGCCTCCTTTTTTTCTTGGTTTTTTTGAGACGGGAAAAAAGGTAGAAAAAAAACACAGAGACTTTTTTTTTTGTTTTTTTCAATTACCTTTTCCTGAGCCCAAAGAAGAATGGAAAAAAAAAGTTTTCGAGTTTGCGAAAAAAAACTTTTTTGTTGTGAAAAGAAAACGAGGAAACAGGAGGAAACTTTGGTTTTTTTTTTTTTTGAAAAAAATGGAAGGAAAAATAATTTGAATGGGAAGTGAGAGAAAAATGAGTGCAATTTTGGCGCCAAAAATCCAGAGGGGTACTGTAGATCTAGATTTTGGGCTACTGTAGCGGAATTTTGAAGTTTGGACAATTTTTGCAGTCTGGACTACTGTATATTTTAGTTCGAACTTCTTTTGCAGTTCGGGTTACTGTAGAATTAAAGCTCCTAATTTTCGAAAAAAACACTTTGCAGTTTCGGTTACTGTAGCATATTTTTAATAAAAAATTTGCAGTCCGGATTACTGTATTTCTGTAAATAATGAAAATTCAGTTAATTTTTGAAGAATTTTTTGCAGTTTGGGTTACTGTAGCACACTAATTTCATTAAAAAATTTGCAGTCTGGGTTACTGTAGAAAATTTTAAATTACAAATTTGCAGTCTAGACTACTGTATATTTTAGTTCGAACTTCTTTTGCAGTTCGTGTTACGGGTAGCGATTTTTTAATTGAAAATTTGCAGTTCGGATTACTGTAGACACATTTTTAATCAAAAATTTGTAGTCCGGGTTACTGTAGAATTGAAGCCCCTAATTTTCAATAGTGTAATTATTTTAGTTTAAAAAATTGCAGTTCGGGTTACTGTAGCTCTAAGAAAAAATTTCTAGATCAAAAATTTCAAATTTTTTGCATACCTAAAAAATGGTTAAAATTTGCAGTTCAGATTACTGTATCTCATAAATTACTGTAGATCAGGAAAAAAAAATTAATTTTTGCAGTTCGGAGTACTGTAGAACACTTAAAAATTGTAAATTTGGGGCGCGAAATTCAAATTTCAACTTTCAGACTAAGAAAAAAAAACGAAAACCTCACAAAACTTTTCCAAAAAACAGAGCAAAAATAGTGGAGAAAAAACCAATTTAGTGTGTCCGCCCCAAAACGAAAAAAAAACTAATAATTCAATTAACTTTTTCCCCATTTTTTCACTAGTTAGTTAGTTAGGCTTAGGCCAATTCTTAGGCCTATTTTTTCCATTTTTTTTGTGATCTCACAAAGAAAAAAGAGCACAAAAAACGATTGAACTTCGCGCGTAACACAATATTTTAATCCGCCATTTTTCAAAACAAATATTCATGTGAAAACAGATTGCAACAAAAACAGAGAAACAGGACCAAAAAACTAAAACAAAAAGTGCAAAAATCGAGAGACGAACTACGTAACAAGTGACGTGGGGAATCTGGAAAAATATCGATTTTTCGATTTTTTCAGGAAGGCAAAAAGTTCTGTTCAATCAGCTTTTGGTTCGAAATTTGAGAAAAAAAGTGGCTAAAAATAGCAGAAAAAAAATTTGATAATTTTTTTCATCAAAAATTAGAAAATTGTCATGATGGAAAATGGGGTGAGCGATCAAAAATCTGGAATTTTTGAGCTGAAATTGATCGAAATTTCGAATTTCGGAAAAATTCAGAAGAAAATAAATGATGCCACATGGAATTTCAACAAAAAAAAACAAAAAATTTAAATTGCCACGTGGAAATTCTGACGGCAAATTTGAAAAATTCAAAAAAAAAATTAAATTGCCACGTGCACAGGGGTTTTATTACTACCGAGTCAATGCAAAATTGTAATCGAGCAAATAGGCTCCGCCCATCTTTTTCCGCACAGAAATGTGGGCGGAGCTTAGGTTTTCAGATTTTCAAAAAGAAAATTGAAAACCTTTGGCTCAAAAGACACACAAATAAAAAGAAAAAAGTCGGGCTATATGTGTGTTTGCAGCGACCGACATCTCGCGAGGCCGGCCACACGCTATTGTTTTTTTTGTCGGCCACGTAGCGCGCTGTTTGCGGAGGTTTTTTGTCGTCAGATAAAATGTTTTGTACGTGATTAATTCTCGGTAGTAATAAAACCCCTGTGACGTGGATTTTTGGACGATAAAATTTTAAAAATAAATTTTTTTCGAATTTTTGAAAAAATATGCCACGTTTCGGAAATTCTGATGGGAAATTTAAAAATTCAAATTGCCACGTGGATTCAGAACACACCTGACGAGACGTGTCCAAAATGGACACTGTACATTTTTTTCAAAAGTCACACTGCATTTTTTTCAAAAAATAACTTTGTTTCCTTTTCACCAACATTTAACCTGGGGAAATAAATGCGCATTTAGTTCAGTGGTAGGCCATTTTGCTAGTGTTCAGAAGTCCCAGGTTCGAATCTTCATTCGAACTAAACTTTTTTTTTATTTTTGCTCATCTTCAAAAACAACTTCAGCTTGCTAATTTTTCGAAGTTTCTCGGTGAAAATCAACTCAGCAGACTTCGTTTTAGTGTAGTAACACAATGTGCAGTGTGGAATTTACGTGACTGCTTAGCAAACCATAGTGTCACTGAAATTTCAAAAAAATTGACTTTCTATGGAAATACTTCAAATTCCACACTGCACATGGGTAAATTCGAAAACTACGCTTAAAAATACACCAACTTTCTGAATATACCAACCCTTGATATGTGCTCGGAAAAAAATGCCGTCGGATTCTTTGTAATGTCCATATTTACCATTGAAATGGACACTCCAAAATAACAGCGAAATAGGGCATTTCCACACTGCACTCATGGTGTTCCACACTGTCTATGGCCTTAGCAATCTATCATAAAAAATTCAACCATATCCGTTAAGCCTAAGCTTAGTTATCCTAACTTCAATATTTGAGCAATGTTGCAACGCATTCGTTTAAAAACACTTTCCTTTCCACCAACATTTTCCCATTGGGAGAAAAGAGAGATGTGGCCGAGAGGTTAGCATTTTAGACTGGCGAGCATGAGACCAGGGTTCGAATCCTCCTGCCAGCGGAGTTTTTTTTCGAAAAACTTAAAAATTTCACGCTGCACATTTTTTTTTTTGAAAAAAATTTTCACACTGCACAAAAAATTTGGGACACTCTCTCGTCAGGTGTGATTCAGAATCATATAGATCAATAGATTGCTCATGTTAAACTATGTGGATCTATAGATTGCTCATATTAAAATAGCTTTATAGATTGCTCATATTAAGCAAGATCTGAAGATTGCTCATATTAAACTATGTGGATCTATAGATTGCTCATTTTAGAATTTTGCCACGTAGATTTTTGGTGGCAAATTCGAAAAATTTAAAAATCTATGATTTTTTTTTCACAGAATTTTGAAAAATATTAGAATTTTTTTTAATCTTCAATTTTTCGAGATTGCTCATATTAAGCAAGATCAATAGATTGCTCATATTAGAATTTTGCCACGTGGATTTTTGGTGGCAAATTTATGGTTTTTAGCACAAGATTTCACAGAATTTCGAAAAATATTAGAATTTTTTGAAAAATCTTTAATTTTTCGAGATTGCTCATATCAAACTAGATCTATGAACTGCTCATGCTAAACTATGTGGATCAATAGATTGCTCATATTAGAACTTGCCACGTAGAGTTTTGGTGCCAAATTTGAAAAATTCAAAAATTTATTTTTTTTTCACAGAATTTCGAAAAATCTTCAATTTTTCCGGTTTTCGAGCCCAAAATCCCCAAATTTCCAGCCAAAAAATCCCCCAAAAACTCACAATTCTCAAGGTCTAAAAGTCTCCAACATATCCACTTCCAACGGATGTGTTTCTCCTGGAATAATCATTGAATGAAGCGGGGCGCCCATGTCGATTTCAGCCATTTCTTTCATCGACGCGTAGATGATCTGAAAAATTTCAGATTTTCAGAAGTGGAAGGAAGACTCACTTTTTGATCATCCCATCCGACTCGAGCCAAACCAACAATCATTGTATTCTCATCATAGGCTGGAAATTGGGGATAATTAGTTTAGGCCTGATTTAGGCCTGTCTATGCCCTTTAGGTAATTTTCAGGCTTCTAGGATTGAACTTGGGCTAGGCCTTTAGGCTTAAAAGGCCTTCTAACTGCCTTAAGAAAAAGAAATTTTAAGCCTGAATTTTAGGCTCTGAATTCTGGGCTTCAGGGCTTCTCGATATCATTTTCAGGCTTGGGAAATTCAGGCTTGATTTAGACCTAGGTGATTTTCAGGCCCAAAATTCGAGACTCACCGCATTTTTCGCCCTTCTCTTTTCTCCTCTCAACAATTGTCAGCAATTGTTTGGCAGCTTCAGCGCATGTCAAATATCTGGAAAAAAAATCGGGTGAGTGAGAGGTGTAATCGCGGAGCATCGTTGTTTAAACGACACTCCGCGTTTACTTTTTGTCCACCTGAAGTTAGCCTAAGTCACAATCAATTTTGAGGTTTTTCAGGGCAGAAATCCACTTGGAATTTTTATCAATAAAAACTTTTGAACCCAGAAAATGTTATCACAAAAAATTCACTGTTTCAATTTTTTGATATTTTTTTTCTGATTTACTAATAAAAATGTATGTATACTGTAGATTGTACAGTAATATTTCAGAAATTTTGGAAATTGAAGTTGAACATAAAATTAAAAGATATATGTGGCCGAACTATTTTGGTGGCCGAGAAATGTCGGGAATTCGGCCAAACCAACAAACTCGCTCTAATGTTGCAATGATTCTCATTGTTGGAGAGTGGCCGAATTCCCGACATTTCTCGGCCACCAAAATAGTTCGGCCACACATCAATTTTAAAACCTGAAAATTATAAAAATGCTGAAATTTGTGGAGAATCAAAAGAATTTCATGATTTTCAGCACAAAAATCTGATCTAGAAATTTTTTTCAATTTTTTTTCACTGTTTCAAAATTGTTTTAATTTATTTTTGAAATCAGAATGTCGATCATACGATAATACAATTTTGCGCTGAAAATCATAAAAATGCTGAAATTCGCGGGGAAATGAAGAAATTCATGGTTTTCAGCACAAAAATCTGATCTAGAAATTTCCAAATTTTTTACGTTTCAAAATTGTATTAATTCATTTTTGAAATCACAACGTTGATTTTTCGAAAATAAATTTTTGAAAGTGCTCATAAACTCCGTTGACAGGTCATTTAAGGGGGTTTTTCAATTTTTCCCCCGAAAAAAACCCATACCTCGCCGGTTCATAAATCTTCCTTCCCCTCATCATATTCTCCACACTTTGCTCTTTCGTCTTAATATCCAACAAACACAATGTATGATGTTTGGTGTCGCGATTCGCCGCTATTTTATCATAATAACTTTCGGGTTGCCAATTCTCAGTCCACATTACAATCGAAACAGTTTCACCGAAATTGTACAATTGCAATCCACAACATCCAACAGCATTCATAATTGAGGCATTGTGAATTACACGAACTGGAATGTTTTGTTGTTTTGCGCGGAGGACGAGATCCGCGTGAGTGGTGGCACCAAATGGATCACCAACTACTAGGAGAGCAATGTCTTGGGTGTCGGCTCCGCTGAGAATTGAGTCTGGAAGTTGAAACATTTTTGAATTTCGCGATTTTTTACTATTAAATCTAGAAACAACTCGATCGGAACGCTTTTTTAGGTTCTCAAAAAAATTAAGACAATTTTGAAACAGTGAAAAAACATTTTTTTTTCTCAAATTTCCATTTTGCGATTTTTCACTGTTTCAAAAATTTGTCAATTTTCCCTTCTTTTTTTTCTAATTTATTTTTGTTGACACACTTTTTTCAAAAAATTTCTATATCCGAATTTTGTGCTGAAAACCAAGGATATCTTCATTTTCCACGATTTTCAGCATTTTTATGGTTTCCAGCGCAAAATTCAGATCTAGGCAATATCAAAAGCAAAACTCAAAAGCAAAAAGCTAACTATCGGCTTTTTTCAGTCACAAAAAAGTTTAATACAATTTTGAAACAGTGAAAAAAAATGTTTTTTTTCCAAAATTTCTAGATCAGAATTTTATGCTGAAAATCATGGAATTCTTCATTTTCATCAATTTTCAGCATTTTTATGATTTTGAGCGCAAAAATTTATAACTAGAATTGGAACAAACAATTCAATGGATTGTTTCAATTTTCCAAACAATTATGGAATTTTTGAAACGTAAAAAATTTGGCAATTTCTAGATCAGAATTTTGTGCTGAAAATCATGGAATTTTTCATTTTCAGCGAATTCCAGAATTTCTATGACTTCCAGCCCAAAATTTAGATCTAGCGAACATGCAAAACATTAAAATCGGTTTTTTTCAGCTACAAAAAAGTTTAATTAAATTTTGAAACAGTGAAAAAAAAACTTTAAAAAAAAATTTCTAAATCAGAATTTTGTGTTGAAAATTATGGAATTCTACATTTTCCAAGAATTTCAGTATTTTCACGACTTTCAGCCCGAATTCAGAAAAAGGCAAATCAACATTCTCACTTCAAAATTAAATTAATACAATTTTGAAACAGTGAAAAAAAACATGTTTTTTTTTCAAATATCTAGATCAGAATTTTGTGCTGAAAATCAAGGAATTTTTCATTTTCAGCACTTTTCAGCATTTTTTCAATAAATTATTCGACAAATCAATATTTTTAATTGATTTTTGAAGGAAGAAAGTTGATTTGCGTTTTTTTCAGTTTGGCTGAAAATCATCAAAATGAAATGGATGAATTTTTGGAACAGTGAAAAAATTGAAAAAAATTTCTAGATCAAAATTTTGTGCTGAAAATCAGGAAACCACTAAAATTTTCTAGAAATCAGGGTTTTCATGATTTTCAAAGCAAAGTATAAGTCTAAAAGAGAAAAAACTACTGGTATCGAATTCATTCACTCCTCGAGAAAATTAATGAATTTTTGAAACAGTGAAAAAATTCAGAAAATTCTAGACCAGAATTTTGTGCTGAAAATCATGGAATACTTCATTTTCCACGAATTTCAGCATTTTTATGATTTTCAGCGCAAAATTTAGACATCAAAAGTCAAAAGAAAAATAATCTTTTTCAATCACAAACAAGTTTAAAAGACACTCTTTGTAAGACTGCAAAACCCACCGGACAAAGAAAAAGTCATGATCTCAGAATCGGCCCAATTTTTTTTCTTAGTAAGTCCCATGGGTGGGGAACTTTTTCCACCAGGTTAGAGATCATAATATCGTTTCGCCAATTTGGTGGGACCGGGTGAAGGGGAACTCTGTTTTTCGAAAATTTATCGTAAGTAGGGTTAAAATTCATAATTTTCAATGATCAAAAAATCATTTTGCTCGTCTTTTGACGCTCTTTCCGATGGAAAAGAGTATAAATTTCGATACTCAATCCTAAAAAAAATTTTTTTTTCGCCCTATATAAACATTGCTCAGGAGTCATTTCCGCTCTTTCTAACCGCTTCCAAAATGTTCCTCGTGCCTTTTTACGTAGATTTGACTACATTCAAAAAAAATTTTCGGGGTCCCTCATCTTCAAAAAATCACGTTTTTACGGTCAAGTCATGTTTTTTGCGCGCGCACACTATAGTAAGACATGAGTGAGTTTTCAAATGATCTGGGCGAAAACTCATATTTTGAGTTCGCTCACTTGTTTGAGTTTTGAGTTCGCTCACTCATTTCAAACCGGTTTTCGCTCAAATATCGCTCATTTCTGATTTGATTAGAATTGGTGGATTTTTAGGTTTTCGAGTATGGGAAATCGATTGGTGATAATAATTCGGCCTAAAAGTGACTTTTAAAGGGACAGGGCATGAAAAATGGATTTTTGTTTGAAATTCAATTGAAATACATTACACCTTTTCGAGTCACAAAAACTAAAATGATCATAACTTTTTTATTTTTCAAGCTTTTTCAAACCAACATTCAAAATTTGCTCCGAAGAGCAAAAATTTAGCTGAGGATGAGCACGTCACAATGGTCCAGAGATATTTGAAAAAGCTTGAAAAATAAAAAAGTTATGATCATTTTAGTTTGGGCTTTCTGGAACTATTATCACCAATCGATTTACCATATCCGAAAACCTAAAAATCCACCAATTCTAATCAAATCAGAAATGAGCGATATTTGAGCGAAAACCGGTTTGAAATGAGTGAGCGAACTCAAAACTCAAACAAGTGAGCGAACTCAAAAAACTGGTTTCGCTCGAGTTTTTTCCAAACCATGTCTAACTATAGCGCACACACACAAATTAGCATAAAATAAATGAATGTTTATTGCCCGAGAGGTCCTGGTTCGATTCCTCACCAATGAAAATGTTTTTATGTTTTTTTGTGCATTAGAAAATTACGATAGATAAATCAAAAAAAAAAGTATTACGCAAGAAAAAACATTGACCTGGTCAAACCACAATGACTGGAGTGAAGTTATGTGAATGCTAGAAGGTTCTGTGAAATTTGGAACCCTTTGAGCAAAAATTGCACTTTTTACATACGACTTAGTTTTTGTTTTTGAAGTTTTATGGAAATGCTGGAAGCTGAAGTTGACAATTTTGACAATATATGTATTGCCTCGAGGTTGGGCGCTGAAAACCCGAAAAAAAAGTGGAAGATCAGTTTTATGAATATATACAGGGTGGCCGATAAGTATACGACGCTATGTTTTGAGATGTTACTGACCATTGGGTGTAATATTTTTGTCAAGATACTTTTTCTTTAATCATTAGACACCTAATAAGCATATTTGAATACAATGTCACTTGATTTTTCACTTGGTTCCAAAATGTGATTCCGATTTAGGAAACAAAAATTGGGGCCGCGCGCCGCACGAGTTGGTGAGGTTCTGTGTATTATAAAAGGGCTCAAAATGTGCCAATCACTATCAATATTTTTGTTTAGAAATGCCAAATAGTCCATTTCAATATTCTACAGCACAATTTATAAAAATTTATCATTTTGAATTTTCGGCAAACCTTCGAATTCAAAAGTGAAAAAATGGGTTTTTCACCAATTTTTAGGACAAAATCGGATTTTTTCAAATCGGATTTTTTCAGTCACAAAAAAGTTTAAAATACAATTTTGAAACGTAAAAAATTTCGAAATTTCTAGATCATAATTTTGTGCTGAAAATCATGGAATTCTTCATTTTCAGCACCAAATTCATATAAAATCCCAAAAAAACACTCACCAGATTCCTGTTCAACAACAGTTCGATCAGCCTCAATAACCTCCCGCCCATAAAACTTCTCCAAATTCGTTTTGTCTAATCCATAACACAAAATACTTGTGTAGGCTTCAAGATGAACTCGAGCGCATTTTCTGGAAAAATATTGGGATTTTCAGGCCTTTTTTGGGGGCCTTTTTGGGTTTTTTGGGCCAAAACTCACTTAACCACATTCAAACCTTTGACCGTAATATCTTCAACATCTCCCAATCCAAGTCCAATTAAGTAAAAAACCATCTGAAAATCCAAGCTGAAAATTAAAAATTAAAAAAATTTCAGATAAATTAGGAGCAAAAACCTCATCAAATTTCAAATTTTCAGAAAAAAAAGAAAAAAATCAATAATTTATTCATAAACCCGTTCAAGTATTAATTTAATTAATTAATTAGTCATTTTTCTTTTGCTCATTTTGCTTTTGAGCTTCCGAGTTCCGATAACTTTTCCCGAATTCATATAAAATCCAACAATTGACCAATAAAAAGACCAGAGAAGCTAGGAACATTTGAACAAATGTGTTCCAGCCGCGAAATTCGAAAAGATAGGCGAAGAGAAGCCAGAGAGCTTGGGAGGCGATCCAGGAGAGAGTTAGGAGAAGTGCACGGTGGTTTGGGAGCTGGAAACAAATCTAGTTGTCAAAGAGCCGCCCCTTGAGAACTTCTATGTCAAGTAGCCGAGCCTAGAGATCTGCTAAATCAAGGCGCAGCGCCTTGAGAGCTTCTATGGCAAGAATCAGCGCCTAGAGATCTGCTACATCAAGAAGCCGCGCCTTGAGAACTTCTATGTCAAGGGGCCGAGCCTAGAGATCAATTACAATAAGGAGCCGAACCTTGAGAGCTTCTATGTCAAGGAGCCGCTCCTAGAAAACCTAGTTTTCAAGGATCAGCGCCTAGAGGTATACTACAGCAAGGAGTCGCACCTTGAGAGCTGCTACAATAAGGAGTCGTACCTTGAGAGCTTCTATGTCAAGGAGCCGCGCCTTGAGAGCTTCTACATCAAAAATCCCCCTCAAAACCTCACCTGAATACTCGTCAAACACAACGGCAACAGCACCAAATACCATACAAAATACTGACTTGTGCAAACTTTGTTAAAAGCCACAAATGCAAACGTGGTCATGAGCCAACAAAATGGCAAATCTTCAAAATATCGAAAAGCATAGATGAAAATCACGGCAACTTGGGGGACAAATGCCAAAAATCCGATGATTTTCGACATCAGCTCATTGTTTTCGAAGAGGTAGAGAATGAAGAAATAGGCGGAGAAATTGTGCTTGATATCGCGTCGCTTCACGTGGTAGATCAAATATTCGTCCAGGAAAATTTGGCCGTAGATTTGATAGAAGCCTAGAACAACCAGGCCGAATGAAAATATCGTTATTAGACCGTAGATTATTCCTCTGCGGTTGAAAATTAGGGATTGTAGGCTTCGGTTTTGATGGAAATCCGAGAGATATAGATAGACTGATGGGAGATAGATTAGAGGGTAGATTTTGAATTGAATCGCCAGAGCGCCATGGACCAAAGCAGAAGTTTTGTACTGAAAAAAACAATTTCAAAAAAAAAAATAAAAAGATACATGTGGCCGGGTGACCGAGAAATGTCGGGAATTCGGCCACGCTTCAAAAATGATGATTTTTGCAACATTAGAGCGCGTTTGCTGCTTTGGCCGACTTCCCGACATATCTCGGCCACCGGAATAGCTCGACCATGGGGCTATTCAGTGAAAAAAATTTTCTAGACCCCGACGAAAAACAACATGTTCCTTTAAGCTACTGTAGAAATTCGCAACGGGACCAATTTATTGTGAAAACGGAATGAATCTCTCAACTAGAAAATAGTTTTGAACGACAAAAAAATAAAATATGGAGCGAAAAGGTAGATCAAAAAAGCAAAAAATGAATTTTCTTTCAAAATGTTCTCCAAAGGGAATACAAAATTCATATGGGCGTTCATTGTGTATTCCCTTTGGGTAACATTTTGAAACAGAATTCATTGTTTTGCTTTTTTGATCCATCTTTTATTTTTTCGTCGTTCAAAAATATTTTTTAGTTGATTCATTCCGTTTTCACAATAAATTGGTCCCGTTGCGAATTTCTACAGTAGCCTAAAGGAACATGTTGTTTTTCGTCTGGGTCTCGTCGCGATTTGTTTTTTTAACACTGAGAAAACATATTTTTTCGTTGAATAGCCCCATAAATCTCAGAAAAATGAAAAGATATGTGGCCGGGTGGCCGAGAAATGTCGGGAATTCGGCCACGCTCCAAAAATGATGATTTTTGCAGCAGTAGAGCGAGTTTATTTCTATGGCCGAATCCCCGACATTTCTCGGCCACCCGGCCACATTTCTTCAAAAATTAAATGTTCAACTTCAATTTTTTGTGAATTTTTCACGTGAACTCTCTGATGCCAATAAAAAAATCATTTTCCTCCCAAAACACCTCAAAAACCCACATATCCTCTCTGCAACAACAACAAGTTCAATAAAACAATCGCCGAAACGATACTTTCCGCATTTCCCCTCGCCGAAATAATCGCAGTCAATGGATTTGCCAACCAAAACACGGCGACATTGAAGGTTTGCCTATTTTTGATATCATCGCTATTTTTCGATGGGTTTTTGAGCAATTCATAATCCATAATTTTAAAGTATAAAACAGCAACAATGATGTCAAATATACAAAAAAGGATTTTGCCGAAATCCGGGAATTGTACAACTGGCAGGAGAATCCAGGCTAAAGCTGGGGTGTATCGATAAGTATCGCGATCAAATGGACTTCCACCATTGGAAACATGCTTCGCGGCATCGGAGAATACACTATAGTCTATATCGGTGAAGTTCACCTGAAAAACTTTCAAGGTTTTGATTTTTTTTTGGGGAAAAACCTACTTTGAACATATAATCATGGATATGCGCATATAATACGAGGGTGATTCTTGCGACAAATGCGCAGAATAATATTCGATTTCTAGAGAAGGTTTCAGTCTTTACGAATCTCTTGACACCATCCATTTTCCCCTGGAAAAAGGATCCTCCTAGGAGAAATGAAAAAAAAATAAAAGTAAAAATGGAAGTGCGCCCTATTGCACTTGACGCGGCGATTTGAATGTTTGTTTTTTTTTAATTGAAAAAAAAATGAAATTTTTCTATTTTCAAGTGCCGTCTAAATCTCTCAATTCCACACACTATCTCACACCCTCTTATACTCTCACAATATTTCAATACACATACACATATTATTCGATTCGAAAATGGCGGTGGAATTTCACTCGTGTTGTGTCTGTGTGTGTTGAAAAAAAAGGAGCGAGCGAATTGCGGCGAGAGATAACGGCGAATCGGGAGACGCAGAGTGACGAAATTGATTGTGAGTGAAGGAAGGCGAGGCGAGATAGTGTGGGGGGTGGAGAGGCGCAGTGTTTTTTCGGGGGCCCCCGTTTTCCATGTTTGTCTCGCCGCCTCTCACTGTTTCGCAGCCCCCTCGTTTCATTTTTTGTCGCTTTTTTGAATTAAATGAGAGAATTTTTTCTCATATTTCTATTACTTATCTATTTTCTTGTTAATTATAGAATAATTTCAGCCATGAAACCCGAAGAAGCGTCTGAAAATGCGATTGCGTCAAGCCTGGAATTCGTCAAAAACCTGCTGACTCAAGCGGGAATCGATGTGAATTCTACGGATGGCATGGAATCTACGTCGGATGGGGAGAAACCGGAAACTATTTTGGATATGTTTATCAGACAATCTATGGAAGTCGAGGTTGAGCAAGAACAACAAGAAGTTCAGGAGGAAGTTGATGATTTTCAAGTAGCCCAGGAGGCCTTGAAACTTTTTGCGAAGCCTGAGAAACGTAGGTCTAATCCCTATATAGGCTTTCTTAATTTTGAAGAAGAATTTTCCAGAACCCCCCACCAAAAAGCCACCAAAAGAAGAAGACTACTTCGCCTCAAATCTCGAAAAAATCGCGGCCAACGTAAACGCGGCGATCGCCAAAATCCGCGACGACAACCTCAAGCAAACGCTCCCGGAAAACGATATCACACGGGATGTTGATCGTCTCCTCGAGGCCGCCAATAAAGTGTATGGTTTTCGAGTTTGGAGTGCGGCGGAGAAGAAGGAATTTGAGAAGTTTTGCAAGATTTTGCGATTTCGAGGAACTCTTTCGAATGAGGAGAAGGAGGAGTTGAAGATGTTTTATGCGAAAGCTTATAAGTTGACTGGTAAGGGAGGGTTTTCAGGTTTTTTAAGCATTTATTCATTCAGAATGATATGCATTTTGATGACTTTACGTTATCCATAAGTGATTTAGCGAGGTTTAGGCGATACGTCGCTAAATCACTTATGGGTGACCTTAAGTCATCAAAATTTATATCATTCTATTCGTCTTAGACCATTACATCCTATGAATAATCTTAAAAAACCTAAAAAAGACATTTAGTCGATATCCAACTATGTATTTTTCTAGATATTGAAGGAACTTATGGTGAGAGACGAAACGCGGTGCTCAAATGCAACGATGAAGCATCCACCTCATCAACATCGCCAAAACTTGAGCTCGAACCCCTGGAACTCTTCGGAAATATGCTGAAAAACCAGCTTTGCCCGTCAAAAAAACGCGGGCGGCCCCCGAAAACCGATCCGGCAGATCTCTCTCCACTTTTTTCGACGATTTCGGATCAGCGACAAAAAGAGAAGAATATTTTGAGAATTTTGAGCAAAGCGAATGATTTGAACGGGCAGAAGGGGAAGATTTGGAGTCCGGCGGAGATCAAAGAGTTTGAGAAGTTCTATGAGATTTTTATTGGGAAACAGAGCTTTTCGGTGGAACAATCTAAGGAGTTGAATGAGTTTTATAAGCGAGCCTACGGGGAATTTGATCCGTTTTTGATTGCGAAAGAGGTTGATGAGAGACAACAGGAGAAGAAGAAATATTGGCAGGAATATCGGAGGAATTATTATTTGGCACGGAAAGCGCAGGGAATCGTGCCATCCGCGCGGAAATCGCAACCAAAACAACAACAACAAGTGGTTCCGAAGGTCAAACAAGTGAAGGAGAAAGCGGCGAGCACTGCGGAAGAGATTGCGGAGACTCGCAAGCGGAAGGCCGCGTATTTACGCGAGTGGCGAACGCGTAAGGCGAATGAGAAGAAGATTATGAGTATGTTGGTGGAGGCGGCGGAAAATGGGCAAAATTGCGAATAAATTTCTATTTTTCTATTTTTCCCGGTGATATTTATTGATTTTTGATAAAATTTTGAGATTTTTGGATTTACAGAATTAATATGACGTGAACTTTGAAACGTGGCAGCTTCAAATTCATTTACAAAATGCGATTCTCGCGTGCTCGCGAGCTCGCAGCAGAAAAAAAACAAAAAAAAACTCCTATTCAAACACCCTCCAGTTTTCTTCTGCACACAAAACACGTCAGCCTTGAGTCACTTGACGCGTTGTTCATTTGCTGACGCATATTTTGTGATTTGCGCAATTTTTTTTGTTTTTCGCGTGGAAAATCAGGGTTTTTGCTGGAAATCGCTGAAATAATTGCGAAAATTTGCAGGTAATGGGTCACGGAGAAGAACCGCTCACCGCCACTTACAAAACCCAACGTCCACCATGGATTGGTGTTTGGAGTTGTAGAGAATAGTAAGTTTTTTGTGATAATTCTATATATTTCACTAGAAAAACTCAAATTTTTCCAGCAAAGGCCGTTCTGATTGGTGGAAAGAAGCAGGCGGCGAGGCGGATTCAGTAACTCGTTCCGGAAAATTGCGCCTTCAACGTTTCCGCTACCGCGAAGAGGATCCCGATTGGTTTGACGCCAAAGTTGCCGATGGCTCATCTCTCGCCGGTCCTCTAGGCCTCGACTCGAAAAAAACCAAAAACATCACCAAAAAAGGCGATCAACCGGGAGAATTGGCCGATTTCCAGGATAAAGTCTATGGAAAATCACATCAATTTAAAGCGATTGCCGAGAAATTCGGGTTGAGCAAAGAACATCCGGGACTTGATGTTAATCCAACTTTGGGAGATTTGATTAACTGTAAGTTTTCTGAGAAATGACATGTTTTTTAAGCGAATGAGTTGAAATATTGGGTCTAAGACGAACAGAATGATATAAATTTTGATGATTTTACGTTATCCATAAGTGATTTAGCGACGTTTAGTCGATATTTAGTCGTTAAGCCTAAACGTTGCTAAATCCCTTATGGATAGCGTAAACTCATCAAAATTTATATCATTCTGTTCGTGTTAGACCATTCTATCATATGAATAACATTGGAACACAATATTTCAACTCATTTTCTTATGGGGCTATTCAGCGAAAAAAAATATGTTTTCTCAACGGGAGAAAAGCGAAGAAAACCTATTCAAGTCGGTTGAGAAAACATAAAAATCAAACACTTGAAACACACAAATTGCGACGAGACCCAACGAAAAACAACATGTTACTTTAAGATACTGTAAAAAATCGCAACGGACCAATTTACAGTAATGCAAAAGGTCAAAGGAACATGTTGTTTTTCGTTGGGTCTCGTCGCAATTTGTGTGTTTCAAGTGTTTGATTTTTATGTTTTCTCAACCGACTTGAATAGGTTTTCTTCGCTTTTCTCCCGTTGAGAAAACATTTTTTTTTCGCTGAATAGCCCCATTAAAAAACATGAAAAAGTCGATGTCCAACTATACTGTGATTAGTAAAAATGATTTTCAGCACCCAAAGATCATATTGGAAGAAATGCGTTGATCCCAAACACCTGGTATCATTTTGGACCACGATTTTTCGACACTCCTTTGAATCAAGGAGCTTTTTGGAAAGGAGCCGCCGCCGCTAAATATGCCGCCATTTTGCGTGAGTTTTTCTTCGACCCGTAAAGTGTTTTAATCTTCCCGCCCGAATGAACATTTCAATTTGGGCGGGAAGCTAATAAAAATTCCCCGAAAATTTCAGGGATAAACTTAAAATTATCGAAATATACCAAATCGACCTTGCTGATCACGATTCCGAAGTCAAAAATTGCCAAAAATGCCTGTGAGAACTTTTCTGGAGCTCTAAAGTTGAATTTTGGTTTTACCCATTTTCCAGGGTGGAAAATCATGTTTTTCCACGTGGATAAGTTTGTTCAGCACATTCGAGAACCTCATAAGACTTTAGTTCATCAGAAAAGATGAGACAGAAGCTAAAAACCGTAATTTTTCAAAATTCACCAAAAAGATTACGGTTTTTAGCTTCTGTCTCATATTTTCTGCTAAACTAAAGTTTTATGAGGTTTTCGAATGTGCTGAACAACATTATCCATGTTGAAAAAGTTGATTTTCCACCCTGGAAAATGAGTAAAACCAAAATTTCAACTTTGAAGCTCTAGAAAAGTGCTCACAGGGCAATTTTTGACTTCAAAATCGTGATCAGCATCGTCGATTTGGTATATGTTTCATTAAAATTTTATTCCGGGACCTAAAAGTTAGGCTAAAACACTTCTCCTGTGAGGAAAAATTCAAAATTCCCTTTTCCAGTCGCTCCCTACACAATCCTCGAAATCCGTGCCATCAACACTGTCAGCGTCGGTGAATTCGGGCCAAAAACATTTGCCAAACGATATTTGCAATTGGCTCCATTCCCATTGGCCGTCGCTTTCGCCTGGGGTTTCTCATTGTCAGCCGCTGCCACTATTCGAAACAAGGATGATGTTTATAATCATTTATTTGCTAGCGCTGCTCTTGGATCAACTGTGGCTACGATGAGTGGGTTTTTGGTGGAAAAATCTTGAATTTTGAGCCAGGGAGCATGAAAATTGGATAATTTTCACCCAATATTCTTGCAGAGAGCAATATCGCTTTGGGAACTTCGGCCGCCGTTTTCTCGGCCATCTTGGGCATTTTCTGGCAATATCAACGACACTCTGAAACTGGACTTCAAGTGAGTTTTTTTTGGGAGTTCCGGGCTAGATTTCTGGATGAAATTTGGCTGAAAATATCAGTTTTTTTCGCAAAAAATTGAAAAAAATCTAGTTTTCCAACTCAAAATCACTAAAATTCAAAAATTTCATGAAAAATCACTTTTTTTCCTGCAGGGAATGGTCGCTCAACCACAATCATCAGGAATCTGGGGAGGACCACTCGTCTGGAAACAATTCCGCTTCGGAGATCAACAAATTCCCGAAATTCGATATTAGTAGAGATCAAATTTTTGCAGAATTTTTCAGATGTATACCTATTGTGCTCTTTTTCGTAGATATGAAAATATGTGACTTTTTTGAGTGGGGCGAAATTTGATTTCAGAGAAAATTCTAGACAAACCTGAATGTTCCTTTGAATTACCGTAACCTAGTTGAGACCCCAGTGAAGAAAGTAAAATGTTCCTTTAAATTACACACTCCCAGATTTACAGTAATCCGAAAACTTGGATTATTTATGGAAATTCGAAACTTCATGTCCCTTTGAAGTCTAGCCTACAGTAATCTCAAAATCCTCTGAAACTGAATGTTCCTTTAAACTACCGTAACCTAATTAAACTTCAAGGAAGTTAAATTTTATTTTAATTCTAGTCTACAGTAATCTCTAAAACTGGATGTTCCTTTAAAGTACCGTAACCTAGATAATTCAAGTTTCAAGAAGCTATATTTCCCTACAGTACTCCCCTGATCTACAGTAATCCCAAAACCTTGGATTATTTACGTAAAGTGCCGAAAATTCAAAAGTTTAATGTTCCTTTGAGTCTACAGTAATCTCAAGATTCTCTGAAATTGGATGTTCCTTTAAATTACTGTAACCTAGTTAAACTTACAAAAATTTTAATGTTCCTTTGAATTCTAGTCTACAGTAATCTCTACAACTGAATGTTCCTTTAAATTACAGTACCCATAAATTTTTTCAAGCGAAAAAATTGCAGAAAACATTTTTTTCTGCATAGTTCAACATCGAAATTTTTTTTTGCAGGGCAGAGCTCAAAAGAGCCCTGCTTCATTCATCCAAAATCGATTGTTTTCCCTTCTTTTCTTCTTTATTTTTCAGGTTGTCAAGACAACAACACGCCGTGCACCGCACACAAAATATACTTTTTTTAGTACTATTCCCAAAAAAATGTGGATTTTTTGTGCCGCCATTTTTTTGTTGCCAATTTTTTTGGAAGCCGCATTGTCTGACTGTAGATATGCCAAGAATTTGACGGGAAATGGTGAGTTTTTGAAGAGACATGACATTGGGTTACTGTAGAATTTCTGAGAATACGGTAGATCAGCCTCTGGGTTACTGTATTTTAAAGGAACATTTTTTAGCTGAGCTTTACTGTAGATCAGAGTGAATTTAAAGGAACATATCATTTTTAATTTTTTTGGGGATACTGTAGAAAGTCAGAGGAATACTGTAAATCAGCGTTTGGGTTACTGTATTTTAAAGGAACATTGTTTAGCTGATTGTGAGCTTGGGTTACTGTAGATCAGAGTGAATTTAAAGAAACATATCATTCCTAAATTTCTGGGGGATACTGTAGATAGTTTAAAGGTACATACAGATTTGAATCTGAATATTTGAAGGAGTACTGTAGAAAATCACTGAATTTTCCAAAAAAAAAACATTTTTGGAGTACTGTAGGTCTAGAAAGCTTTCAACTTTTTTTATGTACTGTAGAATATTTTGAAATTAGATACAGTAACCCTTAACTACAGTACCTCTGAAATCAGATTGAAAATACTGTTACAGTACTCCTGAGCTACAGTATTTTGAAAATAAACTGAAATTGATTGTGAGCTACAGTAATCCTTACAGTAACCCAGAATCTACAGTGATCTTACATAAATTTGGAACTTTTCAGAAAGAGAACTTACCCATATTTAAAACGGTTCCAAACACTTACAGTACCCCACCCTACCCTACAGTAACCCACCTACACTACCACAGATACAGTACCCCCTTTTCTCACCTACAGTAACCCACCTACAGTACCCCCAAATCTTGCAGACGACGAAGAAAGCTGCCTCTTCTACTATCTTCTACACCGCGAATTCGAACACACCGGTGATCCACATTCTCTCTCAAAAATCGCGCCGAAAACCGAAGAGCTCAAGATTACGGTAGGCGTGGAGTACGGTAGCTGTGGATTACGGTAGATACGATTTTTTGCAGATCGAAAATGTCCAGATCCGATATGTGGAACTTGTCAAAGGCTCCAGCTATCAATTCAATGTTTTTGGCGATATTTTTCTGGTGAGTCTTGGTTTGGGCCTGGGCCTGGGACTGGGCCTAGGCCTAGGCCTGGGCCTGGGCCTGGGCCCAGGCATAAAGCCTAAGCCTAAAGCCCAAATTTTTTCAGAATTGGGTGGATGATCGATTGAAATGGGACAAAGACGGTGAATTCGGGGATAATGATCATTTATTTGTGGCAAACGCGAATTCGGTGTGGAGTCCACACGTCATAGATCACACGTGAGTGTTTTTTCCCGCCAAAAATTGGAGCCTACAGTACTCCTTTTCAGATTGTGTATGGATAATGGTTGCACATATTTCGTTGATGACGTGGATGTTTATGATGACGGGCGGATTTATGCGCGAATTCAATTCAAATACACGGCCAGTTGTGGAATTGATTATAGAAAGTGAGTGGGTTTTTGATGTCGGAAATTGTGCCACTTTTGGTTTAGGTGACACAATTTTTGAAAACTTCGAAAAAAAAAGTTTCAAAAATTGCAATTTTTGGGAAAACAGATGCCACGTGGATTTTCCAAACAAAAGAAAAAAATTGAAATTACAAAAAATTCAGACTCCAGATTTCACGTGACGGAAATCTTGCCACGTTGAAAATTTTCCAAAAATAATTTGTTAGGACTACTGTAGCTCAAAAAATTCCATCCAAATATTTTGCAGTTCGAGGTACTGTACTGTATTTTGAGTGCCACGTGGATTTTGAATTTTCAGATAATTGAGCATTTTTGTAGTTCGGGTTACTGTACCTCAAGCCAAAAATTTTGCAATTTGAGGTTTTTTTGTAGTTCGGGTTACTGTACCTTAAGCCAAAGGTTACTGTAACTCGAAAATGAAATGTTGCCACGTGGATTTCTGGGATTTGGAATCTGATATGAAAAACTAAAAACCTAAGAAAAAAAATGTATTTGAACTACTGTACCTCAAAAATCTCAAACCAACATTTAATTTATTGTTAGAGTTTTTGTAGTTCGGGTTACTGTAGCTCAACAATTTTGGATTTCTTTTATATTGATTTTTCAGGAAAACCTGGGATTTTGAAAAAAAAGTTTATTGAAATACTGTCTCAAGCCAAAATGTTACTGTATGTGTGCCACGTGAATTTTGAGTACAGTAATTTTTCCCGCCAGAAAAAAAATCCCCAATTTCCAGATTCCCCGAAGAAGAGGACAGTTGTTGCATCTTCTTCACGGCCTTCGAAAAAGACATTGCACGAACAAAATTCGAAATCGAGGGAAAAACCAAAGAGAAATTGGCTCGGCCCGTTTACGCGCAAAAAATCTACGACAAAGAATCAAAGTTGGAAGATCTGGTGCACGAGCATTCACCATGGATGGTTTCGGAGAAAACATTGAGCATTGCTCATTTGGGAGGGATTGAGAGCCTTCAAGTGCTCCAAACTTGCATCCGAGCCGAGAAGCCGATGAATACGGTACGAGTTGCGCTAACTCTTCCCGTCACACTTGCCACGTATGTCATGTTGGCGTCGCCGTTGTTTGGCGATTTGAGAATGCAATTATTTGTGAAATTGTTCAGTTTGCATATTCAGACAATTTGTTTTTTGTATTTGTGTTCGATTACGCCGCCGAATGGATTTTTGGGAGTGAGGCCGAGGATTTGTGAGTTTTTTTGGGGTTTCTAGGCCACCAGTATAGTTGGACAACGGCTCGGCTCAAGCTGCTTCAAAGCGGCTCGGCTCAAGCCGCTTTCAATAAAAAAATTGAAAGCGGCTAATCGGCTATTTTTCAAGCCGTTTTGGTCAGCCGATTAGCCGAATGATTTAGCCGAGTCGCTTTAATTCAAAGCGGCTCGGCTCGGCTTGGAGTGAATTTTTGAAATTATCAGAAAAATGAAGTTAAGATAATTTATTCATGGGTTTTGGGGTTTTTTGGTACGGGGAACATCGTGGTGGGACCCATTTAACCCAAAAGTGATTCTTAAAGGCATGTTGTCACCAAAAAAAAATTTTTTTTGAAAATTTTAGATTTTGGGTTTTTCGGTACGGGGAACATCGTGGTGGGACCCATTTTGGATAAAAATGACTCTTAAAGGCATGTTGGGACTAAAAAAAAATTTTTTTCGAAAAATTCAGATTTAGGGTTTTTTGGTACGGGGAACATCGTGGTGGGACCCTTTTGGTCTGAAAATGACTGTGAAAGGCATGTTGTCATCAAAAATAATTTTTTTTTTTGAAAATTTTAGATTTTCGATTTTTCGGTACGGGAACATCGTGGTGAGATTCATTTGACTTGAAAGTGACTCTCAAAGGCATTTTGTCACCAAAAAAAATTTCTAGGGGGCGAAAAAACCATTTTTTGCTAAAAGTTGAGTTGAAAATCGGAAATAGAGAATGCGCTCTAACGCACAACTCGGTTTTTACAGTTTCGTGTGTGCTTGCAGGCAACACAATGACGTCTTTTTACACCAAAATGTTCCCCGTGCTCTATAAGCAATTTTCAAAAACATTTTTTAGTGACAAAATGCCTTTAAAACTCATTTTTAGACCAAATGGGTTCCACCACGATGTTCCCCGTACCAAAAAACCCCAAAACCCATGAATAAATTATCTTAACTTCATTTTTCTGATAATTTCAAAAATTCACTCCAAGCCGAGCCGAGCCGCTTTGAATCAAAGCGGCTCGGCTAAATCATTCGGCTAATCGGCTGACCAAAACGGCTTGAAAAATAGCCGATTAGCCGCTTTCAATTTTTTATTGAAAGCGGCTCGAAGCCGAGCCGATCAAATTCAGCCGTTGTCCAACTATAGCCACCAGGATTTCATTTTCTAGGCCATCTTTGATTTTTTAGGCCACCTGAACTTCGTTTTCTAGGCCACCAGAATTAGGTTTTCTAGGCCACGAGGATTCGGGTTTCTAGGCCACCAGGCTTAGGTTTTCTAGGCCGCCAGGGTTAGGTTGGTTTTCTAGGCCACCAGAACCTGGTCTTTGGTTTTCTAGGCCACCTGAACCGGGTCTTTGGGTTTCTAGGCCACCAGGATTTGGGTTTAGATATGAACCACCTATCATCTTCCAACTTCCTAGGCCACCAAAACCTGGTCTTTGGTTTTCTAGGCCATCAGAACCTGTTATGAGAATTATCAGTCGCGTGCGGCTGTGCGTCGCGGTCGGAAAATAATCAACCGCGACGCACAGCCTCCCAACCGCGACGCACAGCCTCCCAACCGCGACACACAGCCTCCCAACCGCGACGCACAGCCTCCCAACCGCGACACACAGCCTCCCAACCGCACAGCCGCACGCGACTGACAAACTAATATTTTTCTCATTCCAGACATTTTCTACGAGCTCATCTTCATGATCGCCTTCGGCAGTATCCTGGTCACCCTGGTTGTAATGGCCCTAAGTCGAGTGAAACGCAGTGTACCACCGTCGCATCGTGTATTTTTAACGGCGAAATTGGTGAGTCACCAGAAAGGATTCTCTTCCCCAAAAAAAAAAAACAAAATTGTCTCGCAGATCAATCGCATGATTTGCTGCATTGAACCCGAACGCTCCGACGCCTATCATCGATATGTCGAAGAATCGCTGGAGAATCCGCAGCAAGCTGAAACGCAGCGACCATCTAATGAGGCGGATTACACGCAAGATTGGCGGCATATCTACCTGGCTGCGAATAATATGTTCAGCGCCAGTATGTTCAGCATTTTCTTGCTCGTCACCTTTTTCGAGTTTATTTAAGTAGATTGAGAATTTGTACATAAAGCTGTGATAAAGAATTTTACACCAAAATTAGGCCTAAATCTACAAAATAAGCTAAAAAACTTTATTTATCCTAACACAATCCACAAGAACTTGCACAATACGCAGTCTTCTGTGCGGTTGTATAAAAAGTGCTCGAGCAAAACCCGTTAGCCGCCCATGAAGAACAAGCAGATGCCGAATTTGTGCAACTCGATGAGCCGGTTGTTGTGGATGTTGTTGATGAGGTTGAAGATGTGCAATAACCACATGATAATGCACAATATGCAACTTTTTGGGAATATGTATAATAGGGCGATTTACAGAAACCATTGGCCACCCAATTTGCGCAACTAAACATGGATTTTGATTTTATTTTGTGGAGGAAATTCTTACAAGGCTGACTCACTTTGTTCCAGAATTTGTGCAAGATTCAACAGAAGTTGTCAAAAATAATGCAATTGTGATGAGAATTATTGAATAAGCCATTTTCAGTGTGGTTTAGTTATGATTTACATTCAGAAAAGGTTCTTTTATACTCAATTATTTTTATTTGAACACATTTGGCTGAGGAAACTTTGCTCTATTTCCGGAAACGTGGATTTTTGTCATAGATGTTTGCCAATTGAACTTTGAACCAAAATTTGTTGAAATTCAGATAGTAACATCAGTGCAAATACAATAGTTTCGGGTCAAAATTTCAAATTTTGCTCTGAACTTCGAGATTTTGAATTTTTGACCCCAAACTACTGTATTTGCACAGATGTTACTATCTGAATTTCAACAAATTTTGGTTCAAAGTTTAATTGGCAAACATCTATGACAAAAACCCATGTTTCCGGAAATAGAGCAAAGTTTCCTCAGCCAAAATGTGTTCAAATAAAAATTATTGGGTATAAAAGGAACTTTTCTAATCATAACTAAAAATCACACCTAAAATGGCTTATTCAACAATTCTCATCACAATTGCATTATTTTTGACAACTTCTGTTGAATCCTGCACAAATTCTGGAACAAAGTGAGTTAGCCTAAGTATTTCCCAAAAAATAAAATCAAAATCCATGTTTAGTTGCGCAAATTGGGTGGCCAATGGTTTCTGCAAATCACCCTATTATACATATTCCCAAAAAGTTGCATATTGTGCATTATCCTGTGGTTATTGCACATCTTCAACCTCATCAACATCCACAACAACCACAGGATCATCGAGTTGCACAAATTCGGCATCTGCTTGTTCTTCATGGGTGGCTAACGGGTTTTGCTCGAGCACTTTTTATACAACCGCACAGAAGACTGCGTATTGTGCGAGTTCTTGTGGATTGTGTTAGGTTTGGAAGTTTTTAGTGGTGAATAAATAAAGTTTTTAGCTCATTTTGTAGAGAATTTCAGGCCTAAATCAATAAAAATTCATTTTTCAAAATCAAAATTCAACAATAATATTCAACAAATAAAACAAACCAACAATCAATCTAATCCTCATCATCCGATAAAACAATGCGATTTCGCTTAACTCTCCCCTGCCCAAAATAATTCTCCTTATCCTCCCCGAATTTCCGCTTTTTCGGCCCCTGCACAAACAAAATCTCATCATCCGAATCTGCTAGATCTTCTCCTTCTGGTTCAGATTCTCCCTCGGATTCTCCGCCATCACTTTCAATAGCTTCATCATCAAAAAATCCGCCATTTTCTCGAATAGTTTCATCCTCATCCTCTTCATCTTCTTGATCAAAATCAACAATATCACTATAATCTTCTTCAGGTTCAGGTTCAGATTCCGAATCGATTTTCTGCAAAAATCCAAATTTAGGCCCATTTTCCGGCCCGAAAATCACCAACCGCTCTCCGTTTTTTCAAATATTTCTCATGTCTTCGATGCGATTCTTTTTCCAATTTCTGCTCCAGCAAATCGAGCTCGTCTAATGTCTGATTTGGTGTCGGATCTCCATCTCCATCATCTATCATTGAATCGTCTTCTTCTTCATCTGATATTTCATCGTCTAAGAAAAATTTCAGATTTTTTGGGGGCTGGAAATCTTCACAGATTCAGATTTACGGTTTCAAAAAAATCTTGAAATCGAAAAATTATTTTTTTTTGTTTGAAAAAAAATTTACTGTTTCAAAATTATTTGATTTTTTTTTCATTTTTGTCAAAAATGATTCAAGTCCGAGGTACTGTTGTTTTGTAGTAAATGATTTGCAGTTCGATTACTGTACTTCAGAACTACAAAAATGCATACAAATTTTGGAGCCAAATTTTTTTGCAGTTCGGGGTACTGTAGTTTTGTTGTAAATAACTTGCAGTCCGATTACTGTACTTCAGAACTACACAAAAAACGTTGAAAAACAATTCCAGCCTATTTTTTTGCAGTTCGAGGTACTGTAGTTTCGTGAAAAAAAATTAATTTGCAGTCCGATTACTGTACTTCTGAACTACAGTACTTTTCCATCTTTAAAAAAAGTTCAACACACATTTTTTGCAGTTCGAGGTACTGTATTTCATGTGCCACGTGGATTTTGAATAGATCATGAAAGGAAAATTTGTAGTTTGGATTACTGTAGCTTAAAAAAACTCAATTTTTTTGCAGTTCGAGGTACTGTATAATTGAGAATTTTTGTAGTTTGGCTTACTGTAGCTCAAAAAAGCTCTAGAAAATCACAAATTACAGTAAATTTTTTGCAGTTCGTGGTACTGTATCGCCCCGAAAAACTCACCCAAACAAACAATCGATGGCTCCACAGGAATCTCATAAACATCTTCCTCATCCACAAATTTCTGGTCAAATTTTCCTTTAGGATTTATCGCATATTCCTCGAATAATCTGCCAATTTTCATGGGATTTCCTGGATTTTTTAGAGCCAAAATGTCATGAAACTCCTTGGAAACCATTAGGTTTTGGCTAATTTTTCGCATTTTTTCCAGAAGATTTTTTGAAATTCCGCGAGATTTTGAGCAAGGCATAGATATAATTGAGAGCTTTTTGAGGTTTGATAAATTCTCCGCAACTTTATCCACCAAAAATTCCATGCAACAAATTCCAAAAACTTGTAAATAGAGCTCTTCAAATTCAGGAAAACTATTAAAATCCGCTAATTTCTCAATAAAATCGCCCAAACTTTTGATGGATTTCTGATTTTTCGATGGATTTTCGACGGGCAAATTCAAAGAAATCGATAATTTCTGAATGCTCGGCGGAATTTGTCGATGAAAATCTTGGAAGCTGCAAGAACCATCGATGTGGAGCTCGAAGATCTTGAAATTCGATTCGAGGATCGGCGATTTTTTGCGCAGTTTTTCCTTTTTCGTTTCGAGACTCCATGAGGAATTCATTTCGTCGCCGCCAAAAATGCATTTCACAAATAATTTCAGATTTTCGAGTTTTGTCATTTTCTGGAAAAAAGTATTCATATTAGTGAAAAATTTAGTGAAGAATTATTTTGTTGAAAAAAATTTTGAAACGTATTTTTTTAGGGCTAACAAACTTCGAAAAAAATGAAAATTTGCAGTAAATAAGACTACAGTATCCCGGACTGAAAAAAAATAAACCTATTAAAATTTTCGAACCGTTGAAATTATTTTTTTGCAGTTCGATTACTGTAGTTTTATGAGAACTTTTTTGCAGTTCGGATTACTGTATCTTATTAATTGAAACTACAGTATTCAAACTGCATGAGAGTGGCTTACTGTAGCTTTAGAATATTCTTTTTGAAAAAATGACTACAGTATCCCGGACTGCAAAAAAAATGAACAGGAATACCTAGAAGTGCAGTTTGATTACTGTAATGAAATATAATGTTTGCAGTTCGATTACTGTACTCACATTCAACAAATTCATCAAATTCGGCAAATAATATTCCAATTGCACAGCGGGCATCGAATGCAAAACCATATTCAAATTTTCAATTTTCAAATCCGAAAAATCGAAATTGCTCTCCTCGAACTTGAAAAACGCTTGCATAATCGAATCGAAAGAGCACATTTTGCTCAAATCCTGGCTCAATTTTCCGAAATTCATTGTTTTGAATTCGCGACGTTTCGAGCAAATTTCAATGAATATTTTTTCCGGAGCATTCCAGAAGCCAATTTCTCGAAGATTTTCGAATGAATCCAACATTTTTTTGGAAGTTTCTCCAAGGTTTTTCTTCCAAATTGCTTGGTAGAGGGTTAAAAGGGCTTCCATCGTGAATCGACTTCTGAAAAAAATGAAAAATAATTTTTTTTGGACCAAAATTTCTCTTACGGATTTCTTGGACACGTCAATCCCAAATACAATTTCTCCAGATTCCTAAAATTCGTCAAATGCGCAAAATCCGAATAACTCGGTCTTCCAACAGGATGTGCAGTCAATTCCAACTCCTTGAGATCAGTGGGATTCGCGATTTTCTTGAGGAATTCAATGTTGGCATGATGCCAGGTGAGTTTTTGTAAGTTGACGAGTTGGGGGAAGACAGAGTTTCGGAGGCGGAGAGCGGCGAGAGGCTGAAATTTTTCTGATTTTTTCTGATAATTAGCTGCGTATCTGAAGTTCTTGCTGAGTATCTAACGTGTTTCGGTCATTTAAAACCGCTCATTTTTGATGGTGTAAATGCGCAGCATCGTTTTGTATGGTAACTACGATGCTCCGCATTGATACCCTTAAAAACCGCCCATTTTGGATGGTGTTAACGCGGAGCATTGTAGTTCATCGCGATCATGCGCTCCACCGAAATAAACACGCAACGCAGACCGCGTCGCGCCACAACACACAAAAAAGGGAACGATTCAAATTCCCTCCTTTTTTTGTGTGTGTGTGTTGTGGCGCGGCGCGGCGCGGTCTGCGTTGCGTGTTGGAGCGCATGGTACCGATGAGATTTTCGATAATAGACGGTGTAAACGCGGAGCATCGTAACTACAATCTCACCTTAACATTCCCCAAATCCAACTCCTTGATCTCCTCAAATCTGTGCGAAAAACATCTGATAAATCGGGAAGGCTTCATAAAAACCGGCGAATATTCCATTCTCACACTCTGAAACCTCTTCAAAACCTCAACAACACGTTTTTGAAGCATAAACGGTGCGCGTTTCATCGAAACCTCGTCGCTGCCTTCCTCGCAAATCCAACCAATCGATTTGGCGGAGAAATTCTGGAGTGCCAGGTTGCCGCCGATTTTCAGCAGCGCTTCTAGAATATCGCAAAGCTTTCGAATATCCTGGTGTAGTTTTTTGGCGTCTTGTGGCGATTTTTGCTCATAAAATTGCTGTTTTAGAGCACATTTTTCATCAAAAAATAGTTTTTCCACATCAAAAACAATCGGCCGAGTTCGAGAAACTCGCGAAGCTTCATCTTCCACAAGACATCTAAAATCGGAGTTCAAATTTTTCCAAGCAAAAATCGACTTTGAACTTGAAAACAGCGCATAATTCACAATTTTTCGGTAAATATCTTCAGGTAGTTCCATTTTTTCAGTGAGATCTGTTTGAAATTTTTTTTAAAAACGCTCAAAAATTTTTTTTAGCAAATACACGAGGCTTTTTAGAACCTCTTCATTCAAATAAAATTGTCAAAAATCAATAAATTTATACATTTTCTCGCTTCAATTTATGAAAAGTTATCTTCTTCTCAACATCCACAAGTCGTTGGCTGATTTTTTGCAAAATTTCAGAGTATTCTTCGCGAAATTGCACAAATTCTTCACGCTCTCTGTAAATTTCAGATTTTTAATTCAAGATTTCCTCCTCTCAAACAAGATTTCTCCTACCCTTTCCACTTTTCCAGCAACTCTTCACAAATTCGAATCTCCTCATCAAGTTGTGGTTGAAGTTCAGCGACTCTCGAAAAACTCGCAGAATCCAGCGCATTTCCCAAACACTCTTCAAATTGTTTGACGAGTTCGATTCGATGATTTATCAAATTCTCCGAGAATTTGATCGATTCCACTTTTTCCGCCAAATTTCCAGAGAGACACGAGGTTTCCGTCGCGATTTTATGAAGCGACTCGAGTTTTTGCGGGGCGATTGAGTACAATAAATTGGCGCCCAACTCATCTTTCAGTTTCCTATTCAATTCATCGATTTGTGTTGTTATTGGCTTGCTTTTCGAAAATTCGTCGATTCCTAATATCGCCTCGATATCCGTCAATGATTGATCCAACGTTTCATAATCCATTTTTGTTGTTGTTGCTCTAAAATTCAATTTTTAAAGTGAGGAAACAAAAAAAAATTGCGAAAATAAAAATATTTTTTCTGTGTGCAATTGTGCGTCACGGTGTTTGCACCAACCATAATCTTTTTTGAAAATAAATGACATGGAGAACTTTATAAGCGTAAAAATCGTCTAGATTGACATGTGAGAACTGTACAACAACGTTTTTCTATCGATTTCATGAATTTCATGAATTCAAGTAGTATTTGTGGCTGAAAATTACAGAAAAAAGTTTTTTCTTACGGTAGTTTTTAGAAGACGCATGAAAAAAATGATTTGGGTCTCGTTAGGTCACGGAAATGCGTCAATATTCATCCTTGACGTGAATTTCGTTTTTTTCATTTCTTTTTTTTTGAGAGCTTGCGAAGGCTAGATAACAAAAATAAAAAAGTAAGTATATATTTCAGATGTCTGAGGAGGAGAGACAATCGCTTCAGGATGACGAAAAACTTGTGATTGAATCGATATTCTGCGAAGACGCCGTATTTGCACAGCAAAAATGGAAAGTTTGGCACCCTCTAGAAGTCACCATCCACCTCAAACCACCCGAATCCTGCTCCACCGAGCCATCCACCGAAAAACGACGCGAAGTGTCAGTAGATCTACACGTGGCGTGCTCAAGAGAATATCCAACTCGCCCGCCAAATTTGGAGATTCGAAATATCAAGGGGATTTCGCTGGACACTTCGAGGAGCCTGCTAGAATTGTTGAAGGAAAAAGCGAAGCAACTCGTGGGCAACGCGATGATCATGGATTTATGCGATTCAGTCAAAGATTTTCTGGCTAGACAGGATAATCGGGCGGTGCTAAGTTTCCACGAGACAATGATGAGAACCAAGGAGAATGCGGCAGTTGAGATAAATCGAAAGCGTTTGGATAGTGAGAGACGGGAATTGGAACTGGTGGCTGAGGAGCAGGAGAGAATTGCGGTGGAGAGACAATTGGGGCGGCAGGAGATTCTACTAAAAGATCATCGGATGGAGGGAGAATGTCGAATGATTGGTGGAAGAAGGGTTGTGGTGTTGGCGAATATTCCGATCAGAGATCGGAAATTGCACAATTTCTGTAAAGAATGGATGGGCTTTTGGGATGTAAGGAGATTTAAAAGAGAACTAGTAGTTTTCGACCCGCTGATCACGATCCCCCTGTCTAAAACTGCAAATCTCAACTCCTAACATGAGTTATGACGTGGCGGAAAATTGGGGCTTTGGAGGGTTAGAACTCGCCTTTAAAATTATTTTCATGAAAATCTAATAGCATAGGGTTGTTCAGGAAGATCGATTACATAAGTCATACAAAAATCCGGAAGATTTTTCAAAAGTTTGAAATCTGCAACCTGAAATAACTTTGAACAGTGAAAAAAGTTAAATCAGGTTGCAGATTTCAAACTTTTTTGAAAAATCTCCCGGATTTTTGTATGAACTCTCTAAACTTATGTAATCGAGCCTCCTGAACAACTCTATGCTATCAGATTTTCATGAAAATAATTTTGATGGCGATTTCTGATGTTAGGAGTTGAGCTTTGCAGTTTTAGAGGTCGAAAACTACTAGAAAACATATATATTTTTAAAAACCATGTGTTTCCAGAATTCTCAATTGCTAATCTCCGAATGGACATTCCGCCACACTTTGGGAAGAAATGCGAGTGATGCGAAAAAACGAGATTTCGAGCCTTTCGTTCGAAAACTCGAGGAAACTTGTGAAGAATTGAATTCACTTTGCAAATTCGACAAACCCGATCCGAATCTCGTCGAATACTCGTTTATTCATGTTCAGAAGACGGCGGTTACGCCGACGAATTTGTTTGTTCAGATTTTTGTTGGGCAGAAGATTTATCCGGATGAGCAGAATATGTTGGATGCCTATCAGATGGTGGCTACGAATGTGAGCGAAAAATTGTCTAGTTTTTCTAGGGAGATTGTCTAGTTCTAGCTTCTCTAATTCTCTAGTAAAAAGTGTCTAGCTTCTCTAATTAGAGACGCTACAGAATTACAGAAACCAGACACTTTTTACTAGAGGGTTGGAGAAACTAGAACATTAGGGTTAAAAAATCGGAAAATTCGAAGTTTTCGGCTCAAAAATCAAAATTGGAGCCTTTTTTTGAGGAAAATCTGATTTTATCTGATATTTTTCAAATCAATTTCCCCGACAAAATTCAAGTTTTTGACACGTGGATTAATGGGGTGATTCAAGTCGAAAAAAATCCACGTGTCAAAAATTTCAATTTTTTCCAGAAAATTTATTTGAAAAATATCAGATTTTGCTCAAAAATAGGCTCCACTTTTCGATTTTTGAGCCGAAAACTTCGAATTTTCCGATTTTTTGACGTTTCTCTCTGATTCTCTAGTAGAAAATTTCTAGTTTCTCTAATTCTCTAGCCTCTCTAGCTTCTCTAACTTCTCTAGCCTTTCTAGCCTCTCTAGGCTCTCTAGCCTCTCTAATTCTCTAGGCTCTCTAGCTCCTCTAGCCTCTCTAGCCTCTTTAGGCTCTAGTCTCTCTAGCCTCTCTAATCTCTCTAGCCTCTCTAGGCTCTCTATCCTCTCGAACTCTAGCCTCTAACCTCTCTAGCCTCTCTAGCCTCCCTACCCTCCCTATGCCTCCAATTTTCCAGTGCTCCCTGGTCCGCCGCCTCGCCGCCCAAGCTGTCTGCGGTCTCCGCTACCTCCACGAACAACAACTCTCCCACTCGGCCCTAAGCATGTGCTCCGTCTGGCTGCGCGAACACGTCTTCCGATTCTCCGACTTCGCCACCCTCCACGCCTTCCTCAATCTCTGCCAATTATTCAATGATCTTGTAGCCGGAAAAAGCGCCGAACAACTTTTAGAAGATGAGAAACCAAAGCGAAGGGATCTTTTTCAACTTGGAACATTGCTGGATGAATTATTGATCGAAGCGAGAAGTTCGGAATATTCGCGAGTTCCGTCTCCTGAAATCAGTGGAGCTTCGTTGGCAAAATTCATCGCAAAATGTCAAGAAGCAAAAAACATCGATCAACTTGTTGATGATCAATTTCTGAATCACGATGTTCCAATAAGCGGAGATTTCTCAGATGATCTAATATTCACATCATGCGGTGGAGCAATGGGTCAACAAAGTCGAGTTATGAAGGAATTTGTGGTGATTCGAATGTTGGGAAAAGGTGGATTTGGTGATGTTTTGCTGGCGAGAAATAAAATGGATAGTATGGATTATGCGGTGAAGAGGATTCCGTTGAATGCGGGAAATGAGCGATTGAATCGGAGGATTAAAAAGGAGGCGAAGTTGTTTGCGAAATTGAATCATCCCAATGTTGTTAGGTATTTTAGGTGAGTTTTTTTTTGTTCTTTTCCAATTTTTTCCGGCTCAAAAATCGAAATTGGAGCCTATTTTTGAGCAAAATCTGATTTTATCTGATATTTTTCAAATCAATTTTCCGAAAAAAATTCAAGTTTTTGACACGTGGATTTATGGGGTGATTCAAGTTGAAAAAACATTTTTGAAACAGTGAAAATTCTGAATAAAAAATCAAAAACATCAAATAATTTTTGTTCACTGTTTTTTTTAAATAAATTTTTGAAACAGCGAAAAATTTCCATTTTTTGAATAAAACCCTTATTGGAATAGAATCAGAAAATAAATTTTCCCCAAAATTTTAAAACTGAATTTTGAAACAGTAGATTTTTAAAACAATTAAAGTATAATTTCGAAACAGTGAAAATTCTCAAAAACAATTTATTTATAAAATCAAATAATTTTTTGTTCAATGTTTTTTCATGAAATTTTGAAACAGCGAAAAATAACAAAGTTTTTTTTCACAAAAATTTCGATTTAGCAAAAATTTGAATTTTTTCCCGAAAATTGATTTGAAAAATATCAGATAAAATCAGATTTCACTCAAAAAATAAATTCCAATTTTTATTTTTGAGCCGAAAAAAATTTGAAGCTTGAAATCCACGTGGTTTGAAACAAGATTTCAAATTTCGAATTTTCGCGCCAAAATGAACCTTTTTTTCACTGGAATATCAACTTTTGAATAAAAATTTTGATTTTTTACGTTAAAAATTGGAATTTTTTCTGAAATTCTCCTTGGAAACTTGCACCAATTTTGATTTTTGACCTGAAAAAATTTGAAATTTGATAAAAATTTCTAATTTTCGCGCCAAAATGAACCAAAAATTGTTTATAATCCGCTTGGTTATTTTCGAGTTCCAAATTCCACCTACCAACTTTTTCCAGCGCCTGGGCCGAAGATCTAACACCAATCGACTCGCAATCCGACACCGACTCCGAATGCGCTGTCCCAATCCCCGGAAAACCCAAAAAACCCACCAAAAAATCCACGACGAAGCCCCGGAAAAAAGCGGGAAGAGAATCGATTTCCGAAGACCCGGGTGACTCACTTTTGCCACCACAATTGAGAGCAATTGAACGAGAAGCGGCGAAGGCGGCGAAAAATCGATTGAAAGTTGTGGAGACTAGTGAATGGTCGACGAGTTATAGAGGTAATTACAGTATTTTGAACTGGAAAATTTGCTGAAAATCTCAATTTTCAGCAGCCAATCATCAATCGTCTTCCCAAACTTCTGGATCAGATGAGGAAATTGAAAATGAAAATGTGCAAACTGGTAAAAAAGAGCAACACTACAAGCAGCATGCATCATTCGAGTAATCGAGCCAACAAAGTTCAGACATTGTTCTCGCCATCAAATGGCGGATTAGCGTGTGGTGGAGGCGATGATTTGGTTGGTTTTTTTTCGAAATTTCAAGAAAATATATGTGTTCTGGTGGTTTTTGACCTCTAAAATTGCGGAACTCAAGTTCTAATATGAGTTATGACGTGGTAAAGTTGGAGAATTTCGGGCTGAAACCTGAAAAAGCTTTGAAAATTATTTTTTCCCATGCAAATCTAATTATGGGATCAATTTTGAAAATGTATCCCATAATTAGATTTGCATGGGAAAAAATAATTTTCAAAGCTTTCCCGAAATTTTCCAACTTTGCCACGTCATAACTCATATTAGAAGGTGAGTTCTGTAATTTTAGAAGTCAAAAACTACCAGAAAACCCCTATTTTATTAAAAATCTCGATTGCAAGTTTGATATTTTGAACCTGGGAAATGTTCGTTTCAAAATTTCTACAAAAATGCCAATTTTTAATAAAATATGGGTTTTCTGGTAGTTTTTGACATCTAAAATTGCAGAACTCCAGTCCTAATATGAGTTATGACGTGGCAAAGTTGGAGAATTTCGAGCTGAAACCTGAAAAAGCTTTGAAAATGATTTTTTCCATGAAAATATAATTATGGGATAAATTTTGAAAATTTATTTTTGTTCAGTGAAAAATTCTTCTGATGAATTTTCTCACTGAACAAAAATAAAAATAAATGTTCAAAATTATTTTTCCCATGCAAATCTAATTATTGGATCAATTTTGGAATTTTTTTTGGTTGTTCATTGTTCAAAATTGATCCCATAATTAGATTTACATGAGAAAAAATCATTTTTGAAGCTTTTCCATGTTTCAGCCCGGAATTCCCCAACTTTGCCACGTCATAACTAATACTAGAAGTTGAGTTTCGCGATTTTCAACGACGGAATCGTGATCAGCAGGTCGAAAACTACCAGAAAACATATTTTTTGAACCTGGGAAATATAAGTTTCAAAAAAAAAATTGTAAATTTTTTCATTCCAGGACAATTTCTGGGATGATTCTGAAAAAGAAGAAGACGAAGAGGAAGAAGAGGAAACTGGAGAATCAAGCATTTTTGAAAAATTAAAAACATCAGAATCCGATTCAGTTGATATTGTTTTTGGAGAAGGTTCTTCATCATCGAAATTCCCCGAAAAATCAGAAATCGAAGAATCACCACCAAAACCATCAAAACCTTCAGCAAAAGAGAAACTATTTAGCCCAAAAGTGTTGATTATTCAAATGGAATACTGTGAAAAAGGCACGCTTCGGCAATTGATTGATGAAGAGAAGCTCATTAATAATCAGGAAGTTTGCTGGCGAATTTTCTCGGAAATTTTGTGCGGATTGCAATATATTCATATGCAGGGAATGATTCATCGAGATATTAAACCGTTGAATATTTTTTTGAATTCGCAGCAGAATGTGAAGATAGGGGATTTTGGATTGGCTACGAAGGATTTTATTAGGTAAGGTTTTGGAGGTTTTCATCGGAAATATAGAATTTTTGATGAAAATCCGTGTGGCAAACGTGGTTTTTTATACTAAAAAATCTACTGTTTCAAAATTTAGTTTAAAAATTTGAGGAAAAATTTGTTTTTTGATTCCAATTCTTTCTTTTTCAAAAGTCTGTGGAAAAAAAAATTCAAAACAAAAATTTTTTATCGAAAAATCTACTTAAATTATTTTAAAAAATTACTGTTTCAAAATTCAGCTTTAAAAAATTTGGGGAAAATTTTTTGTTCATCATTCTCATTTTTTAGAAAAAATATCTGGTTATTTTTTGCTGTTTCAAAATTTCGTGAATTTTTTTCAAATAGAAATATACTTTAATTATTTTTTAAAAATACTGTTTCAAAATTCAGTTAAAAAATTTGGCTGAAAAATAAAATTAATGTTTGATTCCAATTTCATGAACTTTTATGAAAAAAAAACATTTGGTTATTTTTTGCTGTTTCAAAATTTCATGAAAAAACATTGAACACATTTTATTTGATGTAGGAATGGCGAAAAATCCAAAATAAATTATTTTTGAGAATTTTCACTGTTTCAAAAATAAAATTTAATTGTTAGAAAAAATTACTGTTTCAAAATTCAGTTTTAAAATTACATGAATCAAAAATTAATTTAATTTTGGGGAAATTTTATAAAAAAAAACATTTGTTTATTTTTTGCTGTTTCAAAATTTTATGAAATAACAAGCTTAAAAAAACTTATTGGTTATTATTAACAATTGCAAATCCAAAATTATTTTCACTGTTTCAAAATTCAGTTGAAACATTTTGGGGAAAAATTATGTTTATTCCATTTTCTACTTTTCTGAAAAAAAATGTGACAATTTTTCGCTGTTTCAAAAATTTATTTAAATAAATTTGAAAATGTTGAATTAATCCTTTAATTATAGAGAATTAACTGATAGAGCAATATTCCAATTTAAAAAAAACTTCCAATTCCAGAGATCGTAAACGCGACAAAGCGGCCGAAAAAAGCACAAGCTTCGAAAAAGAAAAAGGTGTCGTCGATCAAACTCGAGACATTGGAACACAATTATACATGGCACCCGAGTTGTTTTTGGAACAGGAAAAGGGCAAATTGTACACGTCGAAAATTGATGTATTCAGTTGTGGAGTTGTGCTTTTCGAGATGTTTTATAGACCGCTGTTGCCTGGAATGGAGAGAATTTCGACGATTGAAGCGTTGAAGTGAGGAAAACATCTGAAAATTCATAATTTTTGAGCTGAAGTTCAAAATTTCTGGCTTAAAATGATGGGAAAAATCTGAAAATTTATGATTTTTGAGCTGAATTTCAGAATTTCTGACTTAAAAGTAAGAGGGAAATCAGATTTTTGTTACAGAAATGTTCAAAAGTCACGTTTTAAAAGTGAAAATTCACAATTTCTGACATGAAAATTGAAAAAAAATCTAGTTTTTGTATTAGAAATGTTTGAAATTCGGGGTTTTCTACCTGAAAATCATGAAAATTTGAGTTTTGTGGTCTGAAATTATGATTTTTTTGGAAAGAAAATGCGGATTTTTAGTTTAAAATTTATGATTTTTGAGCTGAAATTCTGAATTTCTGACCTGAAAATTGAAAGAAATCTTGTGTCTGTGCCAGAAATGCTCAAAATTCATGGTTTTAACCTAAAAATCTTCAAAATTAAAGATTTTCCAGTTTTCAGCTTCAAAAATCTACTAAATTTGAGAAAAATCATGGATTTATAGGAAATTCCGGTTTTTGAACCGAAATGGTTGAAATTCAGGTTTTTAAAATTAAAAATTGTTGAAAATTTGAAATTTTTGACCAAAAATTATGATTTTTTGAAACATTTCAACTTCAAAAATCAACCATTTTACATACTAAATTTGAGCAAAATCATGGAAAAATTCAATTTTCAACATTGAAAATCAACCCTTTTCCAGAAAATACGCCACACTTCCCGTCGATTTTGGCACAAATCTAACCACCGCTCGAAAAACCATCGAATGGATGTTGAAAACGAATCCAGATGAAAGACCGACTGTAGATCAATTATTAAATGATGAAAACCTTCCAATGAACAAAGGCGAAGACGCACAATTCCAAAAACAATTCCAAAGAATCATCAAAAAACGTGGATCTCGTCAACACAATTGGATAATCAATCAAATATTCAACGAGGAAATTCCGGTGGCTGTGAATTATTGCTACGATGCCGAGATTTGTAAGGAGCGATTTGCGAATAATCGCGAGCAGATTATTGAGAATTTACGCGAGGAATTTGGGAATATTTTGAAGAGTCATGCCTACGAATTGATGCATATGCATACGATGACACTTTGTTCGACGGCGAGAGCATCGGCGCCTGTGAGAATTCGACCGGTGGAATTTATGGATAAAAGTGGGACGACGGTCGCGTTGCCGGTAAGGGATTTACACTTTCATAAAAATGTTATGAAAAAAAAAACACTTGGATATTTTTTGCTGTTTCAAAATTTTATGAAAAACTATTTTTTTTTTGATAAATTGATTCCAATAAATTAGAGTTTTCGCTGTTTTAAAAATTTAACTGTTTCAAAACTCTCAAAATTTTGGCGAAATATTTACTTTTGATTCCAATACTCTTCAGGCCAGATTCACGAACGGGAAAAATGTTTAAAAATGTTTTTTAACATTGAAATTTCAATTCACGAAAAGACAAAAAAATTCGAGTTTTTCAGCCAAAAATGATGACAAATCGAGATTTTTGAAGCTTCTGGAGGGATTTTTGATGAAAATGAGCTTCGAGAACCCTATTTTACCTCACTTTATTAATTTTTTCGGAATTCATCAAAATTTTAAAATTTTTTATTTTACAAAAAATCAGCAAAAACTTTTGAAGTTCAATTTTCATCAGAAATTACTCCAGAAGCTTGAAAAATATCGATTTGTCATCATTTTTGACTGAAAAACTCGAAAAACTAATTTTGATCTACAATGTTTTTTCGACATTTATTGACTTTTCGTGAATTGATTTTTCAATGTTAAATGAACATTTTTCTTTCGTGAATCAGGCCTGAAGAGTATTGGAATCAAAAATAAATGTTTCGCCAAAATTTTTAAAAGTTTATTTTGAAACAGTGAAAATTCTCTCTTTGTTGGAATCAATTTATCAAAGAAAAATTGTTTTTCATGAAATTTTGAAACAGCAAAAAATAACCAGATACTTTTTTCTAAAAATGAGAGTGATAAACAAAAAATTTTTCCCCAAAGTTTTTAAAATTGAATTTTGAAACAGTAATTTTTTTAAAACAATTTATTAAGTTGTAAGTATATTTTTGAAACAGTGAGAATAACTTTAAAAAATTTCATTTTTGACGTTCCGCCAAAGTCACATCAAATAATATTTTGTTCAATGTTTTTTTTCATTAAATTTTGAAACAGCGAAAAATTGTCCATATTTTCCCATTCTTCTAGTACACGTCGACCCACTTGCTGCAATGGGTGTACGGTTTTTCAGTTTTTTCCACGAAGTGCTACGAGAAAACCCCGCAACTAGACTTCATGAAACTCATTATTTCCATAGATTTTAACACGCTGATCACGAATATGAAATCAGTTTTCGAAATGGTTCAGTAGTTCTTTTGCATTTTGATGCATTCTGTCTCACACCCATTGCATCAGTTTGTTCTTTAGTGGGTCGACGTGAGTAAAGCTTGATCAACACAAAATTTTCCCTAATTTTTTAAAGCTGAATTTTGAAACAGTAGATTTTTTAAAAATAATTTAAGTATACTTTTATTTGAAAAAATTCGCGAAATTTTGAAACAGCAAAAAATAACCAGACTTTTTTATCAAAAAAAATTTTTGGTCCAACAAAAATTCTGTTTCAAAAAATTGATTTTTAAAAAATAGTGTCATAGCCGAATTTCTAGCTCAAAATTCTTATAATTTTTTTCTCCAAAAAATTTATGAAAATCAGTTATTTCAACCCGTGAAATCCCATAAAAATCCAAATTTTTGGTCCAACAAAAATTGTGATGAAAATTTACTGTTTCAAAAGAATCATAGAATTTTTCAATAATTTATGAAAATCTGTTCCATTATCAATAAGCGTCAAAAATTGCCACGTCATCAAATTTTGGCTCTAAAAATTCACTGTTTCAGAAAAATCATGAAATTGATGACTGATTCTAGTCTTATTGTTTGGTATTAGGCAAGTGGAATTCAATAAGCGTCAAAAATTGCCACGTCACAATTTTTGATGCTGCAAAATTTACCGAAAAATTTCACTGTTTCAAAAAAATTTCTGGCTCAAAATTCCATGAAAATTAAATTTTCGGTTGTAAAAATTCCTATAATTGTTTTCTCCAGAAAATTGATGAAAATCAATTTATCAACCCACGAAATTCCATAAAAATCCAAAAAAAATATCTGATTAAAATTAACTGTTTCAATAGAATCATAGAATTTTTCAATAATTTATGAAAATCTGTTCCATTATCAATATAATAAGCGTTAAAAATTGCCACGTCATCAATTTTTGGTGCTGGGAAATTTTACCGAAAAATTTCACTGTTTCAAAAAATTTGTTTTGAAAAAAATAGTGTCATGACTGAATTTCTAAAACCTCAAAATTCCATGAAAATTCAAATTTCGGCTCCAAAAATTCCTTTTAAAAATTGATGAAAATTAGTTATTTCACCCCACGAAATTCCATAAAAATCCCAATTTTTGGTCCAGAAAAATTCTGATAAAAATTAACTGTTTCAAAAGAATCATAGAATTTTTCAATAACTTATGAAAATCTGTTCCATTATCAATATACACCGGAATACAAATTTCACTGTTTCAGAAAGTTAATTTAAAAATAATAACATAGCTGAATTTCTAGCTCAAAATTCTTATGATTTTTTTCTCCAAAAAATTGATGAAAATTAGTTATTTCAACCCGAAAATCCATAAAATCCAAATTTTTGGTCCAACAAAATTTCTGATAAAAATTAACTGTTTCAAAAGAATCATAGAATTTTTCAATAATTTAGGGAAATCTGTTTCATTATCAATATACACCCAAATTCAATAAGCGTCAAAAATTGCCACGTCATCAAATTTTGGCTCTAAAAATACAGGAAAAAAAATTCACTGTTTCAGAAAAATCATAAAATTGATGAATGATTCTAGTCTTATTGTTCGGTTTAGGCTATGGTCATAATTAGGCTAATATCAGCGTTGTTAAGATTGAACTTGGGCTTAGGCCTAAGGTTAGGCCCTAGGCTTTAGGCTATGTAAGAGCTGAGGTTAGACTCGGAATTTTTTTCTAGACCTTGACTTAGGCTCAGACGAGTACTGTAAGCTTGGGAAAAATTCTGAAATTTTAACCTTGAGACATTTTTACCCTAAACTCTAACCTGAGCAATGATTTTCCAGAAAATTCTGAATTTTTTTCCAGATTGACCTCCGCCAAAATTTTGTGCGATTCTGCGCGCGAAACGCCATCAATCGATTGAAACGCTACAATTTCGGACGAGTTTATTGGGCTGATGATTCAAGAGGTATGAAAATGCATGAAAATCAACCCAAGTTACCCTAAATTCCCCCTTATTTTAGGCACAACTCATCCACAAGAACGATGGGAATGTTCAGTTGATAGTATTGGTTTGAGAAGTGCTTCGATCTCTTTGGATGCTGAAATTCTGTTAACAGCCTGTCAATTGATTTCGACAAGCCTTAAAGGCCTTAAAATGACCTTAAGAATTGGGCATATTCAATTGATTGATACGGCTTTGAGACACTTGAAAGTTAGCGATGATTTTCGAGGAGATGTGCTCAATATTTTGCATTGTTTTTCGACGAGTGATAGTGGGTTTTGGGTTGTTTTTTGGGGGGAGAAACTTGGAACTTTATATATTTTTGGTGAAATTTTCAGATTTCTAGCCTAAAAATCTTGAGAAATTTCACGAAAATCGTTGATTTTTCATTTAAAAAACCATTGAAAAATACGTTTCAAAAATATTGTATTTGAAATTTTTATTTTCGATATTCGATAGTTAATTCTGTACGAGAATACTGAAAATTTACGAAAAATTATGATCTATGAGCCAAATGTTCAAAATTATCCTAAAATTCCAGAATTTCATCTGAAACTAGATTTTCTGAGCTGAAAATCTTGCTAAAAATCTGAAATTAAAAAAAAAGTTTAATTTTTCCGAAACCCTTCAATTACCTGCTGAAATTATCTGGAATTTCAGATTTTTGAGCTGAAAATATGGAATACCCCAGAAATCAGGAAATTATAGTTTTCCACCTTTTTTTGGAGAAATTTTGAAAATTCGAGATTTAGAGCTGAAAATTATCCAAAAATTGCAGAGAAAACTGAAATTTATGAAAAAAAATTGACTTTTTCAGAAACCCTCCAAATTATTGATGAAATTACCTAGAATTTCAGATTTTTGAGCTGGAAATCTTGAAACTAGCGAATTTTTCATATTCTAAAAATTCACTGTTTCAAATTTTTCATAAATAAATTAATTTTAAATTCTGTTTTGTTCTGTTTTTCGAATATTTTTCACACTAACCCTTCTTTTTGAAAAACTATGAAATTTAAAAAAACTTAGAAAAATCAAAATTCCACCCTCAAATCCACGTTTTTTTTGCCAGAAACGCCCCAATTTAGAGCTGGAATTTCGAGCTGAAATTTCAGATTTTTGAGCTCAAAAAGAGCTGAAAATTAGCCTTCATTTGAAAATCTTCAAAATAAATATGAAATTTTCAAAAATTTGATTAGAAAACCCTCAAAATTTCCAGAAACCCTCCAATTCCCCGAAAAAATCCGTCAACTCGGCGAGCTAATCGGTGTCAAAAGTGCCACTTCTCTCCTCCACTGCCTTCCAAGCGAACCAAGTCTCGTGAAATTTGCCGAATCGCTGCGACATCTTCTCAAATCGCGCGACGAACCGATTCGCGACGCCGCCACTCGATGCATCAAAGAGCTCTCGGATATTTTTGAGGTGTTCAAAATTGCGGCCGGCGAGGAAATCACATCAAAATTCAATGTGGTTTTCGACGCGGCCACAAGTTATCGGCCACGAACTTTTGGCGATGGCCTAGTTTTTCAAATCGTGGTCGAAGTGCCGAATTTGTCGAAGCGCGCGAATTTGACGGCGAAACATGTGGCGGTTTTGGCGGGCGGAAGATATGATTCGATTTTGTTGCGAGAACGACACCCTGGTGATATTGTGCCGAGTTTTCCGCGATGTTTGACGGGTTTTGCGATTTTGATGGATGTTGTTGCGCAGATTCGAAGACGTGTTGGAATTCGGGTAATTTTTGAGTCAAAATTTCAGAATTTCATTTAAAATATGGGGAAAACCCTTCAAAACTAGGAAAAGTTTTGAAAATCCGAAATTTAGAGCTGAAAATTAGCCTAAAATTTCAGATTTTTGAGTCAAAAGTGTTCAAAATTTTCCTGAAATTCCAGAATTTCATCTAAGAACTAGATTTTCTGAGCTTTCTGAAAATTTGAATTTTGATATGTTAAACTACAAAAAAATTGAATTTAAAAAAAAAAAAAACTGGAAATTTCAATTTTCCAGTTTCAGATTTTTAAGTCGAAAATTAACCTTTAAGGCATTGCTCATGTTAAAAAAAAATCTTTTTTAATCACTGTTCATGTTAAAATTTGCCCTGAAATTTTGTGACGTGGAATTTCGGTTCTAATAGTAGAAATTCACAGTGATTTTTAAATTTCAAGCATTGCTCATGTTAAAAATTCATTTGAATTTTTGTGACGTGGATTTTATGATGAAAATCCACAGTAACTTCAATTTTCAAGCATTGCTCATGTTAAATTTTTTGCAAATTTTTTTGCAGGAAAACAAGAAGGGTTGCGTGACAGTAATCTGCTCACTAACTCAAACTGACGGAAATTTGATGTTGGCCGAAAAATTCCGATTGGCAAAATTGTTGTGGAGCAACAATTTGGCGGCTGATGTTTTGCACGAACCTGTCGAATCGACTAATCAATTGGCTGTAAGTTCAGGAATTTTGAAAAATCTGGAAAAAAATCGGCTGAAAATGAGCCCAAATTTGAGAAATTTAGGGATTTTTTGATCTAAAAGCATATTTTTCGATGAAAAATTGTGATTTTTCCAGGAACACTGCCAAAAAATGTCAATTTCCCACTTGCTCACGGTCTGCAATCCGTGTTCCGAAATTCTCGTCAGTTCACATCAAAAAGTACTCGGAAGAATGTCGATGGAAGCCGCTGTGAAAACAGTATGCCGTGCTGCAGCAGAACATGAGGATTATTTGAGATTGGCACCGCTTGCCACGCTTCCACCGATTAACAATGATCAGATGGTTGATGAGGCGAATGAGAAGATCAACACGACTGCGACGACACCGCTGGCACCGTCGAAAAGTGCGTCGCAGATTTTGAGCGCATCGAATGCGACCAAATCGAAGTTTGCCATGACCACTATTTCGATGGCATTTGTTGAGAGGACGGGAAAGAGGGATAAGAAACGGATTGATGTGAGTCGAGCGCCATTTGCGCGAGTGTAGACCGCGAGCTTCCGCGTTAGCGGCCACGCCTAAGCCTAGAGCCAGGCCGGAAATTTTCCGGTTTTCCGCAAAATGAGTTTGAAAAACACGGAATCTGATCTTTAGTAGTAATATATCTTTAGCGGTCAAACCTAACAAGCCTAGAGTAAGCTTAGAGCCTTTTCTAAGCCTAAGGTAAGCCTAGAGCCTTTTTTGAGTAGACCGCAAGCTTCGAAATTGGCCAAATTAGGCCAATTTTCACTTTAGACATGTTTTTTGTAGACCCGGAATTTTTACGTTTCAAGATTTTAACTGTTTTTGAACTTAAAACCCGTATGTTGATCTCACCAAAAATAAGATTTGAATGATTCCCAATAAATTTTCATCCAGAATTTTAAGGTCCCTAAGGTCCCTTGTGAGTGGAATTACGGTATTTTTGAGACTAAATATGTGATGTTTCCGATTTTCAAACCACATTTTGCAGAGTCAAGTTCAATCGCATATCGCCGACGAAATCCAAATTTTTGACGGTAAAACGAAAATCGAAGTGATCGCTTGTGATGTTAGCCGCGAATTGATCAAGAAGATTGCCGGAGAAATTACGAGGCAAAGTACTGGACAAGAGGTGAGCGGGGGTTTTTGCGGGCTTTTTAGGCTTTTCCGGGCCTAGAAATGTTGGGCCTGAAATTGAGAGAAGAGCATTGCTCATATTATACCGAAAAGTTCAAAAACATTGCTGGTTAAAGGATCATTTTCATTGAAGAAAAATTGAATTTAAAAAAAAATTTTGTCAAATTCCAACTTGCCACGTGGCATTCATTTTTTCAAATTTTAAGCTTTGCTCAGGCTAGACTAATTCTAAATTATCAGCTTCAGATTTATTGCTCATCTTAAGCCAAAATTTCAAGCATTGCTCATATTATACCACAAAATCCAGAAAACATTGCTCATTTTATAAATTTCCTGGCTAATTTTGAGCGAATTTAAGATGGGTTGACAATTGTGGCGAAATTTTTTTGCCACATGGAACTTTTTTTTTAATTTTGAAACATTGCTCAGACTAGACTGTTTCTCAGCATTGCTCATTTTAAGCGCAAACCTTTTCGGATTACTGTACCTACAGTAACTTTTTTTCCAGATCGACGTCATCTTCGACCAACTCTCCCGCCAAAATCACGGTCGCGCAGCCAACGAGAATCTCGACGCTCTCTGCACTCAACTCCGCCAAACACTAACTCAATCTTCGACCACCGCGCCACGTGTTTGTATTATTTTCGGCATCGCCGACAATTTTTTCCGCATTTTAACATAGGCTTCTGGGCTTTTTACTAGGCCGAAACTAGGCTTTTCAGGGCCGAAACTAGGCTTTTTTTGTTGTTGTTGTCGAATAGTATAATTTCTGTGATTTTTGCCGATTTTTCATATCAAAAAGTGTTTTTTTTTCCATATTTTTTGTATATATTTGGTCTTGTTAGAATGAAATTTGCGCATTTTTGTTGTGTTTTATTTGATAAGATAAGGATTTCTCTGGATTAAAAGAGAAATTCGATTTCGCCACGAAATGACTAATTTATTTTGCCTGATTTTTTTGATTATTCTATCCCAGAATGCGTTTTTTGCACAGCAGAGGTTTAAAAGGGATTTTATGTTGATTACGGATGGAAATGTGACTGATGCACGGTGTTTTGAGGTGGGAATTTTTGAGAAAATTTGGTCCTGGGTGTATTTTTGGGGGCGAAAATATGGATTTTTAAATTTTTGAACTGAAATTTTTTTTTGAATTTTCAAAATTTAGCGCCAGGAGCTACAGTAGTCCTATGGATTTTCAGCTAAATTTTCAAAATTCACGATTTTTGAGAAAATTTGGCCAAAAATATGGGTTTTTGATTATTTTCGGCTGAAAATGATACATTTAAAGCTGAAATTTTTTTTTTGAATTTTTAAAATTTAGCGCCACGAACTACAGTACTCCTGGGTGCTAAATTTTCAAAAGTGTCGATTTTTCAGGCTGAAAAAATTTTTTTTTGCAAATTTTTTAAGCCCGAAAAAATTCAAGAAAAAAATACGTTTCAAAAAAATCACATCAAAAATTTCTTAAATTTTCAAAACGCTAAACTTACCGCAGTTTTTCCTGAAATTAGAACAATAAAATCTACAGTAACTCTAAGGGAATCTACAGTAATCTTAAGGGAATCTACAGTAATCTTAAGAGAATCTACAGTACCTTTCCCGCCAAAATCTACAGTAACCTTCAGGATTGTCAATCGGTCTACAAATCCAAATTTGAATACACCTTCAATCAAAGCCTCGCAGATTTCTACGATTTTCCATTTCACCCAATTTTACTCGACGAAAAATCGTTTCAACTATACTGTAGTTTGGCGGCCGAAAAAACCAAATGTTTCGCGGAAAAATGCGATGATTATGTGAGTCTACAGTACTCTTCTACAGTACTCTTCTACAGTACTCCTCATTTTTCAGACCGCCGAAAACTCATTTTCTCCTTCAAATTTCGTGTGCGCCTTTAAACGCGAGCTGTTCGAAAAATCGCAAAAATGTTTGGCGAAAACTGAGCCGATCACTTTTTTGAAGTGCGATCATGAGTGTCAGAATCGCACGAGTACTGTAGCTAATCAGGTACGGTAGATCTCCGGAAAATTCCGAGTTTTTTGAGTATAAATATGACCGGGTTACTGTAGGACTATGGCCGGGTTACTGTAGGACTTTACTCTTCAGAAAATTTTAATTATAAGCTAGGGCTACTGTAGCCTACAGTACCTCTGAGAAATGCAATTTTTCTCTCTTGGATTACTGTGATTACTGTAGATTATTAAGTTAACATGAGCAATCTATCACAGTTGCCTGACCCACCCATATTTATACTCAAAAAAAATCGGATTTTTCGCTGGATTACTGTACCTACAGTACCACCTCAGGTTTTCGTCTCATCCGAAATCGCCAACTACGAAAAAGAGCTCGACAAATTGTGCACGTTCCAAAATTGCTATATGAAATGTATGGAACCGGTTGTCAAAGAGGTACGGTAGGAGCGGAAGATTGCGGTCGAGCGCCTTCCGCGCGAGTCTAGACCGCAAGCTTCCGCGTAGCGGCCACGCCTAGGTCTAGAGCCTTTCCCGAGCCGGAAATTTTCCGCTTTTCCGGAAAATGTGCTCGGAAAATGAGTTTTAGTATTTAGTAATATTTTCGAAAAATAAAATTTTTTGAATTTTTTTTTTCAATTTTTCAAATTTTACTATTTTTTTACGTTAAAAAAATCGTAAAATTTGAAAAATTGAAAAAAAATTCCAAAAATTAAAAAAAAATTAATTTTTTTATGATAAAATTTGAAAATTGAAAAAAATTCCGAAAATTAAAAAAAAATGTTTTTTTCATGATAAAATTTGAAAAAAAAATTCCGAAAATTAAAAAAAAGTTTCAAAAATTTGAAAAAAAATTCCAAAAATTAAAAAATTGAAAAAAAATTTCAAAAATTTTATTTTTTTTAATCACAAACTGAGAAATTTTCTCAAAAATTAGAAAAAAAAATTCAAAAATTGAAAAAAAAATCCAAAGGCCCTTCCTAATCCTAAGCCCGGCCCAAAACTGCAAAAAAAATGTTTTTGCAATTTTCCAGCTCAAACCCCACCTGATCCCGTTCCAGGCTTCCAGGCTTCTAGATCTTCTCTAGGCCTTTTGCAGGCTTTTAGACCTATGTCTTTTGAATTCTCGGGCTTCTAGACCATTTTTCGGGCTCCTAGGCTACTTTTCAAGGCTCCTAGGCTTTTTCATAGATTTTCAGGCCCAAAAACTGCAAAAAACTTAAATTTTTTGGGCCTCGCAAGCCTTTTCGAGCCCAAATCCTCGTTCCAGATGTGTCAAATCGAATCCGAATCCACATCAGCCATCGAAATCGTCGAACTCTACATCGAATGGCACGCCGATGATATTTCAGATTGGCATTCGATAACTGGAAATGAGAAAAATCTGCCGAATTCATGCGGGGATTTGGTGAAAAATCGAGGAGCAAAATTGGAAAATGATCCGATTTTGCAGCAATTGATTGATGAAAAATAAGTTCATATAAATTAAATTTGAAAAAATCGGCCAAAAATAAAGAAAAAAAATGAGATTATGTGGGGGGTTTGGTGTTCAAAATAAAGAATTATAAATCGAGATGAGAGAGAGAGATCAAAAATTGTTAAACATTTTGCAAAAAAATCGAAAATCGAAAAAATTTCAAATTTGGGCGGCGGTGATGTGGGGTTGAATGACTGGAACATGTTGTGGATGAGCGTCACGCCAGGTACGGTAGCTGCAAAAATTATGGGGATTTTCAGATAATTTTCAGGCTTTCGGGCTATTTTTTCGGGCTATTAGGCTATTTTTTCAATAATTCTAGACCATTTCCCGAGATACCGGGCTATTTTCAGGCTTCTAGGCCCCTTTCAAAGATTCCAGGCTGTTTTCATAGATTTTTAGATATTTTCAGGCCTTCTAGACATTTTCTAGGCTTTTTCCAGGTTTTTAGATCATTTTCCAGGCTTTCAGGCCACTTTCAAAGGCTCTTAGGCTTCTGGGCAAATTTTAAAGGATCCTAGGCTATTTTCAGGCCTTCTAACCCTTCTCCAGGTCTTTCCAGGCTTCAGAGCCATTTTCAGGCCTTTTCTAGGCCTTTCCAGGCTACTAGATCATTTTCCGGGCTCTCAGACTATTTTCTGGGTTTTCTAGAAGATTTTTCAGACCTTCAGGTTATTTTTCGGGGTCTCAGGCCTTTTTTTTACAATTTCTAAGTTCTTCCTAGGCTTCTAGACCATTTTTCGGGCTTCCAGGCTACTTTTCAAAGATTCCAGCCTGTTTTCATAGATTTTTATATATTTTCTGGCCTTCTAGCTCTTCTCTAGGCCTTTGCAGGCTTCCGGGCTCTCATGCAAATTTTCGGGCTTTCAGGCTTTTTTCAATGGTTCTAGATAATTTTTCGGGCTTTCTGGGCTATTTGCAGGCTCCAAAGCTATTTTCAAAGACTTTCAGGCCTCTAGATCATTTTCCGGGCTTTTAGGCCAATTTTCGGGCTTTCAGGCCCTCTAGACCTTCTAGACTTTTCCAGGCTTTTAGACCAGTTGCAGGCTTTTCTCAGCCCAAAGTTATCCTAACTTGAATCTTTCAGCCCCTAGATCTACAGTAACCCTGTCATATTTGGTATCAAAATGTTCAGAATCCTCCAGATCTTCTTCAAAAATCCACAGTACCCTCTCCCCGCAAAACCACTCACAACGGTGTCAATTTCCATTGATAATAATACTCAACCAATTCGCCAACAGTTCGATACGGTAAAATGAGTCGTCGAATCAATGAGAAGTCTTTTCCATACTTCTCAATCGCCTCTTCGAACATTTTCGATTCCTTCTCATCGAAAGACAGTGCATCCGGTCGAACTGTTCGATATGCGTAATTGACACGTGGAAATGGGAAGGCGTTCTGAAAATGGAAGAGAAATTTTTGGGATTTGGGATTCTAGGCCGTGAAAAAAAGTGAAAACGCAAAAAAAATTTGAAAACAATATCTACCGTAGTTCTGTTCGCGACGAGACCATGTGTGTGTGTTTCGGGTGCTGCGCTTTTCAAAAACTACGGTATTTTTTTATTTTTTTCCGGATTTTCAAGGTTTTCGATGTTTCTACATGGAAAAAAGGCAGAAATCAAGCAAATTGATAAGAATAAAGATGGTTTAACTCTTTTTAACGCAGAAATTACTATGAAAAACGATTTTTGATGATTTTAGGGAAGAAAAACGTCTTTTCCTCTTCAAATTTGTTATGTAGATTAAAGGCGCATCGATTTTTTGAAGGCAAGGTCTCGTCGCGATGAAAATACACTTACCTTCGCCTCTTCCACATCAAAATCATGACGCAACAAAACACAGAGCGCATCCTCATCATCTTTGGATCCTCTCCCTCCCAAATTCTGCTCATAAGCAATTCTCAACTCGACAACACTCTTCAAATACTCGTCAATCTTCTCATCACTCAAATTCTTCTTATTCGACCAGAGAAGCACTTCTGGCTCCTCGTGGCGAGACCCTTTTACATCATCTTGGGTTTTAGCAGCTTCTGGCGAGAAATCATCGACTTCTGCTTGATATTTTTGCTGATCAACGCGAATCTCCTTGCGAAATGGATCTGGTGGATTATAATCATCGTCATCCTCATCTAAATTATTGATCATTTCCAGAGTAGAAGTTCCTTGCGCTTCTTCTTCCTCTTCTTCTTCATCTGAGAGATTTCCAACGGGGATTTCTTCCTGGGCCGGATACCCATACTTTTTCTTGAGTTCCTCGATTGACATCTCATTTTCATCTTCCAAATCCTGAAAAATTCAATAAGCTATGCAATGTTTCTACACGGAAACTGAAAAAACCTTCAATTCATCCTCATAATCACCGCCTTCAAATTGTTCATCTTCCTCAATTGTCGCCTCATAATCTTCGCCATTATCGTTGTCCAAAGTGTCGTCATAGTCATCTTCGTCATTCAAAGAGGATCGTGAAAGTTCGTCTTCCATTTTTCAGCTTCCTAGAAATACGAAAATTTGAATTTGGCGGCTACAAAGTGCAGAAAAAGAAAAAGAAAAAACACGAGTTGTTTGCGCGTCAGCTTCGGTGTGTGTGCACATCGCGCGGTGTTTGCACAGAAAAGGGGGAAGTTTGAAATTTAATTGTTTTTGGGGGGAGAAAACTGTGGAACTGACTGGAAAAGAGCAAAAAATCCTGGAATTAATTTGAAATTCCTCAAAAACGCCCAAAACGAAAAAGAAGAGCAAGATAAAACTGCAATTTCATCCACACGTTTCCGTGTGGAAAGATGGCCGAGTGGTCTAAGGCGCTGGCACCAATCTCTTCGGGGGCGTGGGTTCGAATCCCACTCGCGTCAGCAACTTTTTTTTGTGTTTTGTGGCGGCGAGAATCAGAAAAGATAAATAAACTCGATTTTATCATCTTCAAGGACAGAAACATTTTAATGAATTGTTATTATTAATTAATTCATCTCTTTATTTCGAATTTATTGTTAGAAGGTCAACTTTTCGCGCCAAAACATCTATCTCCCTATCATATGATTTTTTGTTCGCATGCATTTTCCCCCAACAAAAAATTCTCCACATTTTTCCACTGCAATGCAAAATGGACCTAATTTTCGGCCCCTAATTTCGCCCAATTTTTTGCGCCGCGATCGCTTCCCCACAAAATTCTTTCCTATTCCTCTCTTTTTTGATATAGTTTTTGGCGGGGCGAAAATCGATTTTTCCCCGGGTAAAATTTTGAATTTTTTGAAAATTTTAACAAAAAAAAATGAAATCGTTTTTTTTGCACAACTGATAAGAGCAAAACCTTGTTTTATGATTCGAGTAAAATGTTTTTTTTTCAACAAAAATTTTTTTGACGTAAATTTCTTTTCAGCAAACTACATTTTTCCATCATATTTAAACATATGACATGTTTTTCTTCAAAAAAATAAAAAAAAATTATAATCCAGGAAATTCAGATCAGCTCATTTTATTTTTTTTGCGGAAAAAATAGATGGAAAATGAGCTGAAAATGCGATATTTTTAGAAAAGTCGTGGTTTTTGATGGCCTAGAAAACAAATTTATGACCTAGAAATCGATCAAAACCGTTTTGGTGGCCTAGAAACTCAAAACTCTTCCACAAACCTCATAAAAAAGGCCGGCGTGGCCTAGAAATCCTTTGAATGTGACCTAGGAATCCAAAATATTGATTTTGGTGGCCAAGAAACCCGGAAACTCGTCCCTAAACCTTTCAAAAAAAAAAAGCCGTGGCCTAGAAATCCACAATATTGATTTTGAATGGCCTAGAAACCCAAAGCTCGTCCCCAAACCTCATAAAAACGCCGTCGTGGCCTAGAAACCCAAATTATGACCTAGAAATCGATCAAAACCGTTTTGGTGGCCTAGAAACCCTAAGCTCGTCCCTAAAAATGGCGTCGTGGCCTAGAAATCCAGAAAACAATATTTTGATGGCCTAGAAACCCAAAACTCGTCCCCAAACCTAAAATAAAAAGCCGCCGTGGCCTAGGAATCCACAATATTGCTTTTGGTGACCTAGAAACCCGAAAACTCGTCCCCAAACGCAAAAAATGGGCGGAGCATCCGATTTTCTCCCCGTTTTTTTGCTCCAAACACCGGATTATCTTTATCACACACAAATATCCTTTTTCCTCACCATATATGTAAATTTTCCTTCTTTTTTTGATATTTTTGAAAGGTTTCTCTGTATTTTTTTCTGCTGAAAATCTGGAATTTTCAGATTTTATTTTCAGCAAAAAAGATAGAGACAAAAATGCATTATTTTTGTCACATTTTTGAATCACATTTTTTTCAACTTGCCTTAGGGTCTTTCGGGATTTTTTGCGTCACTTTTGGCCGAGTTTTTTCAAAAATAAATTAGATTTGGAATTCTAGTCCCCCCAAAAAATTAATTGGAAAATTTTGAAGAAAATTTTTTTTCAATTCATCACAATTTCCATGAATAGCATTGAATAAAAATCATTTTTTCTGTCCAAAAAAAATTGTTTTTTCTGATTTTTAAAATCAGTTTCTTTCCTAATTTTTTCTGGAAAAACGGTGACACTTTTCGAGATTGATGGGTTTTTCGAATTCGAATTGGATTCGTCATTTTTCGCCCAATTTCAATTTATTTCATTTTCATTTTCATTTCACTTGTCAAAAAAATAAAAAAAAAATTCTGCGCGAGCCGGGTGTCGAACCATCAACCCCTCACCCCAAAATGAAAATCACTACCACTGCGCCACGCTTGCAATCGCAGACCCGCTGCGTAAATTGTAGTTTTATATGCATCGAAATATTTAATTTCTCACCGCGAGGATTAGCCAAAATCCATCGATTTCAGCTATTTTTTTTTCAGATTTTTTTCTGGTGAAATGGAAGTTTATGCATCTTATATTATGGGTTCTATTTATTTATTGATTGTGCTTTTTGGTGTTTTGGGAAATTCTTGGGTCGTTTGTTCAGTGGTCAGGAGCAGAAAACCAAAGTGAGATTTAATTTTAAAAGGGGAAGGGTCCCTTTAAAGGGGGATGGGCCCAAGAAAAATCAATAATTTTCCAGAAATTTAATGAATCGAAGTTCGCCCTCCGACAGACTTCGCGCATATATTTCTGTATTGGCTGTTATCGATTTAACAGTCCTTATGGCTTTGTTAGTAAGAGCAATGTATTCATATTTACCGAATTTAGGCCTGGGTAAGTTTTGAGATAGGTCCCGTAGCGAAACCTAACCTTTTTTGCAGATCCTAACAGTTGTCAGGCGATGTTTGTGCTGGAGAATAGTGTGAAAATCACATCACTCACTGTAATCTCTTGTATTTCCATAGAGCGATATATAACAATACGAAAACCGTTCTGCAGTCAAATTCGTCGACAATTCGTAAATTTGACACCGCTCCTCGCCGCCCTATTTGTTCTATTGGTTGTTGCGGCGATAATTGTGCAAATGACATCGATTACAGTGTCGGGTGATGGTTCGAATTGCGTGCGGATTATGAATAGTCAGAAGATTGCGCATAGGATTGCGAATTATTTGACGGCGGTCGCGTTTTTGTTGGATTTGACGATTATTTCGCTGAATTATTCGCAGATTGTGAGACATGTTAGGAGGAAATTCACGAAACGGAGGGCTAGAGGTGAGCAAGGGGAGCTAGTATAGTTAATAAATGACATCTTCATGTTTTTTGAGCGTATTCATATGATAGAATGGTCTAAGACGAACAGAATGATATAAATTTTGATGAGTTTACGTTATCCATAAGTGATTTAGCGACGTTTAGTCGATATTTAGTCGATAAGTGGCTAAATCACTTATGGATAACGTAGAGAAATTTTAAAAAAAATTAAATTAAAAAAATAAATAAAAATGCGACGCCCTTTTTTCGGCTGATGGGCCAGGATAGGTAGCCGGGTTAGGCACGCGAACCTGTCCTGGCTTATGTCTTACCACCCAAAGCCAGCATGAGGCCAGGTTCCCCACCGCTGACGAAACCAAACCTAGCCGTGTCCTTCCACGGTCTATAGACTATAGAAATTCCTGAGCAAAAACGGAAAATCAACATTTTCAACAGAAAGACGAGGAACCACTTCTCCAAAAACCCAATCCCCCTTTTCAAAACCACTCTGAAATCCCTGTCCTTTTCAGTCCAAGCCAACTCACGCGTCCGCGAATCCCTCGTCAACGAACCGCGTTACATGCGCGAAATGACCGCGGCAATCATCCGCGTCGGCGTATTCCACGTATTCTGCTGGCTCCCAATGGCAATTATGCAATTCCTACCCGATAAGACCATTCAAATGGAGCTTATCCCAAGTATTCGACAATTTGGGGCCTATACCCAGTATGATATATCACACTTCCTAATGTGTTTCTCAAATGTGTTCACTTATTTGAATGCGGCTGGTGATTGGGTATTTTATGCGGTTATGAATCGAGATTTGAGGAATTTGATAAGGTGAGTGCTTTTGCTCGAGCAAATTCGGTCACAAAAAGTATAATCCTTTGAAACTTTTCAACAACAAAATAATCTCATTATCATTTTTTGTTGTTTATTATTTATCCTCCCTCTAATCCTATAATTTATCCATCCAAATCTCATTAAAGATTTGCCACCGAACGTCGAAAACGATCAACAATGTCACATGCCGCGTCACCATCAACTAATCGCAGTTTAAAACAACAGGTACCCCCCCCCCCCCCCAGGGGACCTATTCAAATTCCAAATTTCCAGGTGCCCCCTGCGATGCGAGTCCTCAACTCAATTTCCTATCGAAGTAGCGTTGGTGGAAGCATGGATGATCCGGTTTGCGCCAGTTTTTTGACTAGCAATTCGCCTAAGGAATCCACGGTATCCCAGGAACCCAATAGTCCACGACCGAAAACTAGTATTTTGACGAGTTCGCGGAAACCAAGTGAAGGGGAGATGGTTTAAATTGTTTATTGAGTAATTTTGCATAGTTTTAATGTTGTTATGTGTATAGAATTACGGGTACTTTTTATGAAAAACGTAAACCACACCCGTTTGAAAGTAGAAATGTTTGGGTGAAGTACGGTTGGCGAACTGTGCACACACCGCACTGTCACAATGCACAACTTTTTCGCTGAAAAATTATTTTTTTCGTTTCGTGCGTCTTTAACGCGCTCAACTGCTAAGAAAACTGAACACGCAAAACATAGTCGCATAGTTCACGAAAAGACGAATTTTTTGATATATTCAAGTTCTGCTATCGATACCGGGAAGTTCTCCAAAATGGGCGCACCGATTTTTTAACATATCAAAACCGTAACTGAAAATCTGCTTTTTCAGAAGCCACTAGGAATCAAGTTACTTGTATCTTAATATTCGTTATGAAACGAGGAATTCAATGGTGTATTCACCTTATTTTTACTTGTCGAGTTACCCTAGTTATTCCAGGAAAACACGTTAATTTTCATACGGTGTTTAAAGGAACATGACTTTTATTTTTTTATTTGGTCTCGCTTGGAAGCTAACTTTTTTCCTAGGCAGTTATACGAAGTGACTAAAACATAGTCGCCTAGATCTCGATGAGCTGATTTTGATGCTATTTTCACGTTTTCATACGTTACCCTAGGGACCGTGTAAATGGGCGCACCAGTTTTTACGCAGCATTTCTTCTCTCTCAATGTATTTGAGCGGCTGTGAAACTGATGAAAAAACAAAAAAAAAAGAAAAATAAATATTTTTTGAACACACCGCTGTTTATTGATCGAGCATGTGCGCTCTATTGCACACGCCGTTTTTTGCAGGAAAAAAAGCGGGATCGATTTTTGTGTGTTCTTCTTTGGTTTTTGCGCGTTTTTGGTGTTTTTTGCGGGAAAATATGGATTTTAAAAGTTGTAGAATTGAAATATTCAAAAGTTTTTAGCGGGGGAGTTAAGGGTTTTAGGAATTTTCAGGTGTTTTGGGATTTTTTTTTGAAATTTAGGACGTTTTATGCTTTTTTCTCGATAAAATTCAGAAAATAGGGTTATTCTAGAATTAAATAAATAAAGTTATTGATTTTTAAACGTGACCTATTACGTGGCAATTCACTTTGGCATTTCCACATCATTTTATCTTCATTTCGTTTTACCATTATAGTTGGACATCGACTAAGTTACTTTTTCAGGTTTTTTAAGCAAATGAGTTGAATTATTGAGTTCTAATATTATTGATAGGATAGAATGGTCCAAGACGAACAGAATGATATATATTTTGATGATTTTACGTCACCCATAAGTGATTTAACCGAGTCAATCGACTAAAAGTTGCTAAATCACTTATGGATAAGGTAAACTCATCAAAATTTATATCATTCTGTTCGACTTAGACCATTCTATCATATGAATAACATTAGAACCCAATATTTCAACTCATTTGCTTAAAAAACCTGAAAATGTCATTTAGTCGATGTCCAAGACGATTGAAAAAAGGAAATGACGATAAAATAATGTGGAAATGCTGAAGTGAAATGCCACGTAAGAGGTCACGTTTAAAAATCAATAACTTTATTCATTTCTAGAATATAACGTATAATCTTTTAAGATAAAAATTTAAAAAAATACCATCCGATTTTCTTCCAGACGATCCTGTAAAAGACCATAATCAAACTTGAATCAACTTTCAATAATAATTTATATTAATAACAATAATGGCTTCCTACGAGCAAGACCCTGAAGCCACCAAAGCGTATCAAGACGCATGGGCGAGTTATTATGCGCAACAAGCGGCGCAAGGCGGAGGCGGCGGACCACCACAACAACAACCGCAACAAGATCCGTATGGCGGAGGACCAGGCGCGCAAGCAATTGCCGCTGGAAATCACGCGCATGATCCGTATGCAGCTCAAGGCGGACCTGGTATGAATCCCTATGGACAACAACCGCCACAACAAGGTGGATATGGTGGAGGAGGTGGCGGTGGCCGCGGGGGATACGGAGGAGATCGTGGCGGATACGGAGGAGATCGTGGGGGATATGGTGGAAATCGAGGCGGAGATCGTGGAAGTCGTTGGGATGAGAATCGTGGACCGCCACGTGATGGGTAAGATTTTTTTTCAATTTTCGTCTGCGCCGCGAAAATAGCAAGGTATTTTTGATGAAAGGGTGTTTGAGGGTTTTCCGGGGATAAAATCATATTTCGGTTCAGTTCATCGAGTTGTTTATTGGAAAACAGAGTCAGTCAACGAGTTCAACAAACAAATGTGTAATTATGTATGCCGGATTGTCTCCCGTCTTATTATCTCTATCTTGTGCTGTTCATTTGGGTGTAAAATTTGCGTAGAAAATGGTGTAAAATGGGGCGTATAAGGTTTTCGGACACACTTCGGCCAAAATTGTACGCTATCCTTTTATCAGTGAAAAAATTGGCTGAGGTGTTTTGGGAGTATTTTTATTTCAAAATTCGAATATTTCTACTTATTTACCTAATTAAAATGGGACTCAAGAGCTTTTACGTACAAAATATCAAGAAATTGTGTTCGGTTGGGAAACTTACAGCGTTTTCGTGTAAAATTCAAAGAAAATTATGTTTTTGCCATAGTTTGAGCTTTAGGTATGGTTGAACATCGACTAAATGACATTTTCAGGTTTTTTAAGCAAATGAGTTGAAACATTGGGTTTCAATGTTATTCATATGATAGAATGGTCTAAGACGAACAGATTGATATAAATTTTGATGACTTTACGTTATCCATAAGTGATTTAGCGAGGTTTAGTCGGTATTTTTTCGCTAAAAGACTAAACGTCGCTAAATCACTTATGGATAACGTAAAGTCATCAAATTTTATATTATTTTGTTCGTCTTAAACCACTCTATCATATGAATAACATTAGAACCCAATATTTCACCTCATTTGCTTAAAAAATCTGAAAATGTCATATATCCCGGAGTGTTTTTTCTGAAAATTATGTCGAAAATTGAAAAATGTAGAGGGATACATTAATTTTTCAATTCAAGAGTGCGATTCTTTAAAAAAAATTCAAAATTTCACTTCTCAAAGTCCCCCCAAAAGTTCTTCAATAGTTTCTTCCAAACAAATTACCCCAGGGTCATCAGATGTTATCGCAAAAATGTTCCTTTTGCCCCGCGTAAGCGAATTAAAATCTGTCTATCGCAAAACATCAAAAAACATGGAACAGCACAGCAAAAAATGAAGAGATTATTTGATAAAAGACGGGAGAGACCGGCGAAACGAAGTTTGGTTTATGTGTGTACAAAAATGAAAAAGTGTCGAAATATATTTGGTGTCATTCATTCATTATCATGATGTTGTTGTTTTTGCAGACCAGGTGGACCACCTGGCGGAAGAGGAGGTTATCAAGGTATAGATTATTGTTATCATTTTCTTTTTCGTGTTGTTGTTTTTCTTTTTGTAAATCTGCTAGAGGGTGGATTTGATCTCGAATGGAGAGATCAAATCTGCTTTTTGAGTGGAAAAATATCTGCGATTCTTTGAAAAAAATTGGAACTATTATAAGTTCAAGAAAAAGTTATAAGGAACAAACATGTCAAAAATCTTCAAATGGTTGAAAATCTATCGTTGAAAATACCAGTTTTGTTTGGAAATTTATGCTAAACTACGCGAAAATCAGGGTTTTGAGTTAAAAATTATATGAAAGTCTCGCAATTTTTCATTTTTCCTAACAATCTAGTTATAAAAACCCGCTCAAATCCTGAAATGGTTGAAAATCTATCGTTCAAAATACAATCCGAGCTAAAAAGTTTGATTTTGAGGTGATATGTTTGAAACGTCATACTAACCTACGCGAAAAAGTTAGATATTTGAGTTAAAAATGATCCTATTGCCTTAAACGTCAAAAATTTTGCTGAAAGCTCAGTTTTGTTTGAAAAGTTATGCTAAACTATGCGAAAAAACGTGATTTTTTGAGTTAATTTCCGAATAAATCCCTAAAAATCTAGTTATACTAACTTTGCAAACCCCCCAGGTTCATATCAATTTGATTTTCCAATCAACAAAAATCTATTTTCTCTCTCCAACAAAAAATTGATGATTGATAACGCAATGTTATTTTTATGTCTTGGTTAAATAATCATGTAGTGCAACAAAAGTTGAAAGTGCGAAAAAAAAACCAGTTTTTCTTCTCTAAAATTCTGCATCTCTCTGTCAACAGCAACTAGACTGTAGTTTGATGAAAAAACGTGTGTTTTTTTTGCAGATAGAGGAGGACCGAGACGAGATGGACCACCGGGAGGTGGATATGGGGGTGGAGGCCAAAGTGGCGGGGGATACGGTGGACAAGGTGGAGGCGGTGGAAATCGCGAGATTGGAAGTGATGGAAGAGTCGAATTGAAGGAAACTGTTTTTGTTCAAGGAATTTCGACTGCGTAAGTCTTTTAAAATTAAAAAAAAAATGCAAAAATTCCCTACTTTCAGAGCCAACGAAGCTTTCATCGCTGATGTGTTCAGCACTTGTGGAGATATCGCCAAAACCGATCGTGGACCGAGAATCAAGATCTACACTGATCGTGGAACTGGAGAACCAAAGGGAGAATGCATGATCACTTTTGTCGATGCTTCTTCGGCTCAACAAGCGATTGCTCTTTATAATGGACAACCGTTTCCGGGATGTCCGAATGCGATGAGTATTAGTTTGGCGAAGTTTAAGGTTATTATTAGGAGAGGATTCCAGAGTTTTGCAAAGTACCCTTTTAGAACTCGACGCGCTGATCACAATTAGCTTCCGAGCTGTACAGTTTGCTCAAAATTCGGAAATCTTGGTTCTGAGCTCGTTAAAGGACCAAAGTGTCCGAATTTTGAGCAAACTTCGGAGCTCGGACTGGAGTTCGGAAGATAATTTTTGTGACATTGTGATCAGCGCGTCGAGTTCTATAGGGGTACTTTTACTATTTTGCAAAACCCGTTATGAAGTCCCTTGTTGAAAAAAGCAGGTTAATATTTTGTAATAAAAAAACATAATTTTCCTATGTAGAAAAACGTTGAAAAACAAAATACACAGTTTATTGTTTTTGAGTAGTGACAATGTAAAATTGAGAGAGTGCAGACAGTTTTTTGTATTTTTGGGTGAAAAATCAATTTGTCTGTCTGCGCTCTCTCAATTTCACATTGTGTCTACTCAAAAATTATAAACTGTATATTTTGTTTTTTCGACGTTTTTCTGCATAGGAAAAATATGTTTTTTATTACAAAATATTGTTCTGTATAGGCCCATAAATGGTCTAGAATGAAAGATATTCATCCCTAGATGGTTCTAATTTATATTAGAAGTTGCGAAAAGTCTTTCTCGATTTTAAAAAGAGGAATTGAGGGACTAGGAAATTCCTAGGCTATTTTTACCTAGTCCCTCCATTTCTCAAAAGCGGTTCCTCGGGCCTATTTTCTCGATTTTATAGGCCCGATGAACCGCTTTTGAGAAATTGAGGGACTGGGTAAAAATAGCCTAGGAATTTGCTAGTCCCTCAATTTCTCTGTATAAAAAGGGAAAACTTTTTCGCAACTTCTAATATAGATTCGGACAATCTAGAGATGAATATCTTTCGTTTTAGACCTTCCTGGGTTGCAAGCTAAAAATTTAGTCCAAATGATTATATTTTCAGTCGGAATTGCCACCAGGAGGTCGTGGCGGATTTGGCGGCCGCGGAGGTTTCGGCGGTGATCGAGGAGGTCGTGGCGGCGGATTCAGAGGAGGAAGTGATCGTGGAGGTTATGGCGGTGGAGGCCGAGGCGGCGGCGGTTATAACGATCGCGGAGGACGTGGTGGATTCGGCGGAGATCGCGGCGGTGGTTTTGGAGGTGACCGAGGAGGCCGAGGTGGTGGATTTAGAGGAGGTGATCGTGGAGGCGGCGGCGGTGGATTCCGCGGAGGAGATAGAGGAGGCGGTCGAGGCGGTGGACACAATTCGAATATGGAACAACGCAAGAATGATTGGGAGTGTGGAAGTTGTGGAAATAACAATTTTGCGTTCAGAAGAGTGAGTTTTCACTCAACACTTGATGAAATTTTGGCTGTAGACAGGTTTTGAGGTCGAAAAAACATTCTAAACATTTTAGGACCACTGAGCCAAGTTCAGGGCCCTCAAAAGTTCAAAAATTGGCTCATAACTCAATTCTCGATGATTTTTGTGATCAAAGCTTCATTTACACAAGTTTGGGCTTCAGTAAAGCTTAAATTATTGTTGATTTACTAAAAGCGCATCAAAAAAATATTTTTTTCGAAAAACTTTGAATTTTGGATGAAAATTCATGAAAAATCTCATAATTTTTTCAGAAAAATTTGATTTTTGACTAAACAATGTGAATTTTCATGAGTTTTCAGCAAAAATGCAAAGTTTTTCGAAAAAATGTTCTTTATCAATGTACTTTTAGTAAATCAACAATATCTGAAGCTTTGCTCAAGTCCGAAGTTGTTTAAATGAAGCTTTGATCACAAAAATCATTGAGAGTTGAGTTATGAGCCAATTTTGAACTTTTTGAGAGCTCAGAACTTGGCTCAGAGGTCCTGAAAAATTTTAGGGTTTTTTCTTGACCCCAAAAGTTGTCTATGGACAAAATTCTGCTTTTTCACCTGAAAATATGAGAAAATTTCGAAACAGTGAATTTTTCAAACAAAATTTGAGCTGAAGTTTTTTTCTCATTTAGAATCCTGAAAATTTTTTCCAAAATCAAAAGATGAAAAAATATAGGAGAAATTTGGAACAGTGAACTTTTTTGTTGGAAATAAATTCCACGTGGATTTTTCTGAGATAAGATGAGCTTCCAAAATTTTTTTGTTAAGCAAATTTCAAAAAACTCACAAAAACCCCAATTTTTCCTTCTTCAGGAATGCAATCAATGTCAAGCGCCTCGCTCAGATGGTGGAGGTGGTCGTCAAGGAGGCGGCGGAGATCGCCACGGTGGCGGACCAGATCGTCGCGGACCACCAGGAGGCGGTGACCGAAATGGCGGCGGAAGAGGACCACCAGGAGGCGGAGATCGATTCCGACCATATTAAATGCTCTTTTCCTCTCTCTCATCAATTTTAAACCCAAAATCCTGTTAATTTTTACACCAAAACTGAAATTCTTCTAAAATTATGTTTTATCCGATCTCCCATTCCACTGTTTTTTATATAACGAATTTTTTTTCCAAATAAATAAATGTTCCTATTTATCAGCAGCAGCTTTTTTTGCCAAGTCATCTGTTCTCTTTTTTCGCCCCACAACCTTTTTGCGAATTCCTTTAGCTGTCTGCGTCTCGAAATCTCTCGCCCATCTCACTTTTCCTCCTCTCTCGCCTTGTTTTGTTATTTGCTTGTTGTTTTTTCGTCTCGCGGAGAGGTTGGTGAGTTTTTTTTAGGTTTTGGGGAAGATTTTAGGGCTGAAAATATACTGAAATTTTTAATTGAAAAAAATTTGAAATTTTCCGAGAACTTTGGTTTTGAACGAGATGATTCAATCAACTCTAAATTTTTAATCTGAAAATTTATGGAAATTTTGAAACTGAGCATTTTTGAGGAAAATCAGAAAATATTTGAAATTTCGACACCGTTGGATCCATCAACTTCAGAATTTTACACCCAAAAATTTGTGAAAATTTTGAAACAGTGAATTTTTAACTCATTTTTTTATTCGAAAGTCGCAATTTTTCAAAAAAAAAAACTGATTTCTCAAGTTAACCTCTTTATTTTCAAGCTGAAAATGAGCTAATTTTGAAACAGTGAACTTTTTTGTTGGAAAATAATTCCACGTGGATTTTTTTGAGATGAACTTCAGAATTTTCCAACGAAAATTTTGAAACAGTGAGAATTTTTAAGGAGAATCAGATAATATATCAATTTCTGAATTTCCCCCTGAAAATATAGGAACATTTTGAAACAGTGAATTTTTTCGAACAAAAAATTTGATTGTGAGCTAAAATTTATTCCCTTAGCAAGAAATTATTGAAAAATTTTCCAATTAAAAAAATATAGGAAAATTTTGAAACAGTGAACTTTTTGAATTACAAATTTTTCCCGATAAAATTATTTTCTCGAATTTTCAAGCTAAAAATGAGAAAATTTTGAAACAGTGACTTTTTTTGTTGGAAAATAATTCCACGTGGATTTTTTTGAGATAAGAGAATTTTCTAACGAAAATTTTGAAATGTTTTTTCAATCAAAATTTCAGTGAACAGAATTTAACTTTTCAAATGTAAAGCAGTACCAAATTTATAACTTTAAATCTGAAACTTTAAGAAAATTTTGAAACAGTGAGAATTTTTTTTGAGGAAAATCTGAAAATATTAGAAAATTCGAATTAAAAATTAATTCGCTTGAAAAACTATCAATTTCTGAATTTTCCCCTGAAAATATAGGAAAATTTTGAAACAGTGAACCTTTTGAATTACAAATTTTTTCCGATAAAATTGTTTTCTCAAATTTTCAAGCTAAAAATGAGATAATTTTAAAATAGTGACCTTTTTTGTTGGAAAATAATTCCACGTGGATTTTTTTGAGAATTTTCCAACGGAGGTTTTGAAACAGTGAAAATATTTTTTGAATTTTTTCTGTTTTTTTCAATCAAAATTTCAGTGTACAGAATTTATTTTTACCAAAATTTTAGCTCTCTATCAAATTTCTTGTTTGTGAAACTCAGCATTATCAAATTTATAACTTCAAATCTGAAATTTTGAGAAAATTTTGAAACAGTGAGAATTTTTGAGCAAATATATCATTTTCTGATTTTTCACCTAAAAATATAGGAATTTTTTGAAACAGTTAATTTAAAAAAAAAAATTTTCAATGCAAAATATAAGAAGATTTTGAAACAGTGAATTTTTTCAAACAAAAAACTTGAGCTGAAATTTTTCTCATTGAAAATCTTGAAAAAATATTGAAAAGTTTTCTAAATGAAAAAATATAGGAAAATTTTGAAACAGTGACTAAAAAAAATATTTTCTCCACTTTTCAAGCTTAAAATGAGCTGATTTGAAACAGTGACTTTTTTTGTTGGAAAATAATTCCACGTGGATTTTTTTGGGATAAGAGAATTTTCCAACAAAAATTTCGAAACAGTGAAAATATTTTTTGAAATGTTTTTTCAATCGAAATTTCAGTGCAACATTGGAATTGTTATCAAATTTATAACTTTAAATCTGATATTTTGCGGAAATTTTGAAACAGTGAAAATTTTTGAGCGAAATCAGAAAATATTTGAAGTTTCGACACCGTTGGATCCATCAACTTCAGAATTTTACACCCAAAAATTTGTGAAAATTTTGAAACAGTGAGGATTTTTGAGGATTTTGAGCGAAATTAGAAAATATTAGAAAATTAACAAAATTCCCCGTGTAATGGAAGACATATCAATTTCTGATTTTTCACCTAAAAATATAGGAAAATTTTGAAACAGTGAATTTTTTCAAACAAAAAATTTGAGCTGAATTTTTTTCTCATTGAAATCCTGGAAGTAGAATTATTGGAAAGTTTTCTGAATGAAAAAAGGGAAAATTTTGAAACAGTGAATTTTTGAATCACAATTTTTTCAAACAAACATTTTTTTCGAAAAACCTAAATTTTCAAGCTAAAAGTGAGCTAATTTTGAAACTGACTTTTTTTGTTGGAAAATAATTCCACGTGGATTTTTTTTTGAGATAAGATGAACTTCAGAATTTTCCAACGAAAATTTCGAAACAGTGAAAATATTTTTTGAAATTTTTTCCCAATCAAAATTTCACAGAATTTAATTTTTGTGAATAATCTACTATATACTAATTGGGAAAATTTTTTTGGCAATAGTGTGTCCGGGTCCCGTTCTCAAAACTGTGTGCATAAAAATTGATGGTCAAAAAAAGAAAAAGTTTCTAAATGTTGGCAGCTCGATGCGCTACCTATTCATTCTTTCTTAAAATGTATGTGGGTGCGCGGAGAATCAAAAGTTTGAAAACTCCAATGTATTTTTCGATTTTAAAATGTGTCGCTCGACTTTTCTCAATTTCCAGAAGACCATTTTTGATGGGACTTTCACCATTCGATCCCAAATTCTTTCCCATCGAGGCGCTAATATTCGGTTTTTCAAAAAGTGCGCGAGTTTTCACGTGAAAAATCAAAACTTTTTTCATGCTAAAAAGAATGAGCACGTTTTTAATCAGAAAAAATAGCTAGGTCACGTCTCTTATCTGATCTTTTTATTGCTCAGTCATAGCCGGACATTTTTAATCATTTCTCGCTATTACTCTACTCCTAATCGGTTTGAAAAATAAATAGAAAAAAAGTGAGTTAGATTACTGTGGAAAAATTTATAATTTGTTCGAACTTTCAGATATTGGATAATTTCTTTTACAAGAAGAAAAACAAATACTTTAATGTGAATGTTTGATAGTGAGTTTTGATGTGTTTGGGAATCCCAATATAGTTAAGCCCAAACAATTATTATCAATCCAAAATTTTGTGAGCCTTGGAAGAAAACCGATATGGCCGAGAAAATCAATCGTTTCCTCTTTCAATGAAAATAATTAAAGGGCGGCGGAGTTTACTATACTTTGGTTTTATCTTCTACGGCTCTGAAAATTTCAGATGGAACTAGGGGCTGTTAGCCCCCAGGCGTAACAGTCTTCTTATTGATTTCAGTTCCGTTTTTTTCTATGATTATTTTCAATTTTCTGTGGAATTTTTTCTTTTTTTGATCAAAAATAGATTCGTGGCAAAAAAAATCGGCCCGAGTTTTTTCAAAAAAAAAACCGGCCCGAGTTTTTTCAAAAAAAAAACCGGCCCGAGTTTTTTCAAAAAAAACCGGCCCGAGTTTTTTCAAAAAAAAATCGGCCCGAGTTTTTTCAAAAAAAATCGGCCCGAGTTTTTTCAAAAAAAAAATCGGCCCGAGTTTTTTCAAAAAAAAATCGGCCCGAGTTTTTTCAAAAAAAAAATCGGCCCGAGTTTTTCAAAAAAAAATCGGCCCGAGTTTTTTCAAAAAAAAAATCGGCCCGAGTTTTTTCAAAAAAAAAATCGGCCCGAGTTTTTTCAAAAAAAAATCGGCCCGAGTTTTTTCAAAAAAAAAATCGGCCCGAGTTTTTTCAAAAAAAAATCGGCCCGAGTTTTTCAAAAAAAAATCGGCCCGAGTTTTTTTCAAAAAAAAAATCGGCCTGAGTTTTTTCAAAAAAAAATCGGCCCGAGTTTTTTCAAAAAAAAAATCGGCTCGAGTTTTTTCAAAAAAAAAATCGGCCCGAGTTTTTTCAAAAAAAAATCGGCCCGAGTTTTTTCAAAAAAAAATCGGCTCGAGTTTTTTCAAAAAAAAAATCGGCCCGAGTTTTTTCAAAAAAAATCGGCCCGAGTTTTTTCAAAAAAAAAATCGGCTCGAGTTTTTCAAAAAAAGTCGGCTCGAGTTTTTTCAAAAAAAAATCGGCCCGAGTTTATTCAAAAAAAAAAATCGGCCCGAGTTTTTTCAAAAAAAATCGGCTCGAGTTTTTTTCAAAAAAAAAAGTCGGCTCGAGTTTTTTCAAAAAAAAAATCGGCTCGAGTTTTTTCAAAAAAAAAAATCGGCCCGAGTTTTTTCAAAAAAAAATCGGCCCGAGTTTTTTCAAAAAAAAAATCGGCCTGAGTTTTTTCAAAAAAAAATCGGCCTGAGTTCATACATAAAATGGGTCCCCTGAATCGGGGTGAGGGGCTTAACTTTTTTCAAAAATCTGAAGGGAAGGGTGTCTAACTTGGTCAATTTTCTGCTGATAATTTACCAAAATTCGCTCAAAAATGTGAGGAAGGTGTTTAACTTTGGAAAATTTTTAAGGAGGGACCCTAACTATAAAAAATGACTCGGGGGACCTACTTTATGTATGCCCGAGTTTTTTCAAAAAAAAAAGTCGGCTCGAGTTTTTTCAAAAAAAAATCGGCTCGAGTTTTTTCAAAAAAAAAATCGGCCCGAGTTTTTTCAAAAAAAAAAATCGGCCCGAGTTTTTTCAAAAAAAAAAGTCGGCTCGAGTTTTTTCAAAAAAAATCGGGCCGAGTTTATTCAAAAAAAAAATCGGCCCGAGTTTTTTCAAAAA